AGTATACAGTACAATGGTACAGTACAGTACGTTATAGTAGTACAGTATAGTGCGTCCTATATTACTGTGCTGACCAGTGTGACGTAACAGGTTAAGTGGTCTTGCACTTCTGCCTACGTCACAGAATGCGAGCCGCGTGCAAAATTTGCAAAAAACGATGAATCACGCCTATGTTAAGCTATGGGAACTTTCCCCTGCACGCTGATTGGCTGCCTCTTAAGTACTGATAAACGGTCGTTATGACGTCACAAGGAAGTTCGAGAATTTTCGCGCTATTTCCCGTTAGAAAAACAAATTATTTTAGGTCGGCTAGAAAGTTTATCTAGTCGGATTTTGAAGTTTTTAACCGTTAGGAATTAGTTTTATTAATTAAGAAAATTTTCTGGTGGTCAAAACACCGTTAGAAATTAAAATGAAGAGAATTTCCGACCTGTTGCCGGTTAGCCTTTGTCTAACTGTCTAGACAGGTTCGTTGACCTAGCAGGTCGGTTCTCGACCAAAAGCAAAATTCCGAGTCGGTTTCTCCGTCAGAAATTACTTTTTAACCGATGAAAATTTTAAACTTACGGCTAGAAATAGTTTTCTACCGTTAGAAAGTAAAAAGCCGACCCAGTTGCGGCTAAAATCGACCTATAACCGTGACTTTACCAGTGTCGGTGTCGGTGTCGGTTCCGGTCGATTTCCTCCGTCCGAGGTCGGAAATCCGTCGTTTCCGAGTTGAAAATCGCCGTTAAAGTTGCGGGTCGCTGTTCAAAGCGAAGGTCCCCGTATTATAGGATTAATCCGTTCGCGCTGCAGACTCTCGTTCGAGTCTGGTCCGTCAGTTGGGAGTGTGCTCTTCGATGTGGAAGAGGCCGAGAAAACTGTGCTCACCAGCTGGGTGAGAATCACTTCAGTGATCCTCGTTGTTCCTCAGCTGTAAGACGATGCGACCGTTCTGATCGAAGTCAAGGCAGAGATTGCTTCAGCAATCTATCTGACAGTGACTTTCGGGTTCTTCACGAGTTCTCCGTAATTTGAGCCTTCACCGTCTCCTCAAAGATTCCGTGGGAAAGAAAACCAGACGATCTGCTTACCATGTAACAGGCAAGCGCGAGGAGATCACGAGTGTGCTTTATTGACAAATAAAGGGAACAATGCTGCGTAATAGCAGGGAAAGCAAAACAAAGCACTGATGGCTAAGCAAGCAAGCGAATGCTAGAAAAGCTCTTGAGCGTTCGTCAAGGCGTGAAAGAAGCAACTGGCGGCAAGCACGTGCTGTGTGCCATCAGCTGTGTGATGATGCGCAGACTGGACTCAATCCAACGCGAGCGTACGCTGAGTCATACAGCGAGAGAGGGACGAGAGAGCAAGTATGCTCAGTGTGTGCGCCGCGTATATCCGCTTCAGCGGATATGAGTGCAGTGCAGCAACACACGTACGTACAGCGAGAGAGGCGATATGGCAAGCATGAGTGCAGTACGTCCATGGTGGGCCGTATGCACCAGGCGCAGTCATGTGCCTCTGACATAGCCAGTTCTTCAGATTACTCAACTAACTAATCCAGATTAAGATCTACATTGCCACAGAAAGATTACACCATAACCACGAAACCAGAAAGATCGAGCAAAACCAAATATACTGTACTGCGTGCAATCCGAAAGCGATAATCGAAAACCCGGTCAAATAGTATCCATTTTGTTCAAGACCGCTAGCTCTTCGAACGCCAAAGCGAAAATTATTTTAACAACGTCAAAACTAACGTTGTCCAGTGAAGCACAGTCCGCTAGAGTAGGTGAGAGAATGCCCGAACTACCACTACTGTCCAGTTAACACAGCCCGCAAAGTCAGAGAATGCCCGAACTACCACTACTGTCCAGTGAGCAGTTCCTGTTAGGTTAATGAGTGGCCGAACTGCACTGATTCGTCCAATGTCGTGAGGTCAGTGGAAAACGAAGGGACAAGTGTCGTGAACGACGAGAGTCACAAGATGCGCATCGAGCTTTTGGTCCTGTACGGTGGCGAACTAAAGCTAGCCGGTCTGTGAAACTGCATGCAGAACCTGCATGAGAACTGTACTTATGACCTTGTCGTAAGTATTCTTATAGGCGGAATGGACTGCCCATCTGTGCCAAGTTAAAAAATGGAACCCTTTTCTCCTTCGGTCACGGTAATCTACTGTAAGCAAATATCCTGTCATTTTCGTTGACGGTTGCCATTGGTAGATACAGGGTACCGGATAGTCACTAACGGGAACAGCACCTTCCAGAAGCCGAAATGCGGTATACATCGGGTGAAACCCTATTGAGTAGTGACTGTTGGTCGGTTTTCGTAAATTCGCTCTCCAAAACTGTACTTGCTAAGGCTGAGGCGTGGAGAAACGGATAAGAACATGTTAACGCAACAAAATGTAAGCCAATAATTTGCGGTACGAGCATGTAAACTTACCAGTAAGTTACCACGGCCACGTGTATCCTGACCCGTTACCAACAATGGTTGCTGTTTACCGTTATATTCCGCAAGAGAAGCAATAATAGTAACACTTCGTACACCGGAACAGGACATATTCAGATCTATTTTACCAATGCTGACGCGCAACAGCATGTTCTTGCAGCCAAGCGTTTATATGTATTCGCCACCTGCGGTTGGACTGAAGCGGTTAGCATCGACTCAGCGGTTTTACGATGTTATAAATGTAACAAGTATGGTCACAAAGCGAGCGCATGCCAATCACCTATTCCTGTGTGTGGAAGATGCAGTGAAGCGCATTTTACTCGTGAATGCCACAAAGATTCCTCGAACTATAAATGTTCAAACTGTTCGGTGAATCACGCTGCTGGATCAACCAACTGTCGTTCGCAACAGCGGGCTGTAGAGAAGTACCGTACTAAATTTTGACCACTCTTCTCTCAGCCCTAAATATATGACAATTACTACGCTGAATATCTGAAACCACCTTGACCGGTCCAATATTCTACCCTGAAAACTGACATTTACATCTCATCCTGGCAACCATCATGAAGACTGCAATAACATTGCTGCCATGAAGAAATGACCTCAAACAAGATTTGTTGGAGCAATGGTCCATTCAAGGACTACGCTGTAAAATCCTATCAACAACAACAACAACCGTTGTATAGAGTGCTTTAATAATTATCCGCAGTTGTCGAGCTGATTGCTTACGCACAAAACAGCATTTTACTAAAAACGCTTATGCTGTGCTTACCGTAGAATACATCATTCTGATAATATGATTGTCGGCAAATTTAAAAAAGTAAATACTTACTTATCGTACTTAACTTTTTATAATAGAATTAATATCCATATTAATTTTGGTGTATATACATACGTGCATTGCAGATCCAAAGCGTATTTGCCCTACTACCACTTCTAGGCGTAAGAGTACTTATTATTTTACTTTTACCTTGACCGGCAGTTCTCCTAGCAACACCGTAATTCTTTCTACTACCGAATTTTTACCTCCTGATATAGGATAAGTCATTAAGAATGTGCACAATGATCTGCACTTCGGCATTTCTCAACAACCGCTTACCACTTTATGCCAGCTATTGCGACCAGCAGTTCTCTTGTAATGTGCGGGCTCCCCATAGTGGCGCATTTTATGTGAATAGCGCACGGTGCTTGGCGGACATTTTCGAAATAACTATCCGAACCGTTAAGTGCGCATGCTGTGTACTTTGGTACCGGTATGCTTGAAAGAGCGGTTGTTAAGATATGTTGAAGTGTGGGATTGATGTAATCGCTAGGGATATCGGTCGATCCGGGGTAATCCAATGTTGACACACACCCGTATGTCAAGGAATGCTGCCATTGCGATCGACCGGTCGGGTGACCCCGGGAGGCGCATCTGTCTTCGTTGACGAGTGATTCTGCCGTCTCGGCGGATGACCTTTCGAATCGGCAAATGACCAACTGACCAGTTGAATCTGTCGGCAGCTTGGTCGAGATGTCGATTCAACCTTTCTGTTGATCTTTGGAATCACCTAGTCAATCGTGATTTACATCCGGTGGACCATCCGAATGGTTCCCGTCGATTTGTCGCGATGAGTGGCAATATTGCTTTTGCCGTTCGAGGTCATCCATCGGCGCAGCGAGTCGTTTTGCAGCCGTTCTTCCATGCCGCCAAAGGTCACTCCGCCATTCGTATGCATCGCCCGATGCGTCGGTACAATTATTGTGCGGGTCACACCGTATGCAACAGCTGCGAATCTGTCGATGCGACTCTCAACTGGACGGGGACCGGGGAGGTACGTAATTTCGGTCAGTGTTCCTGAGATCCTCTTCCGCCGTTCTTCTTGTGCTATTGTATCGAGCGGGTGAAATTTCCGTCTTCGTGCGGGTCGATCCTCCGTCCTAGGGATGCCAGATCGTCCCATTTAACATTTTCCCACACTCCCGCTCGGCAGCGTGGATAAGTTCTTGCCCGCTGAGTAGTGTTCCTAAGGTACCGCTAAATCTTTTATTGGCACCAGGCACCGTTTCCGGCTCCCGGCCGAAGGCGGGTCAATTATGTCAATCCAGGCATTAAAGGCCGCAACCGGCCAAAGGCGCACAAAAAAGCTCTTTCACCATCGGCTCTTTATCCAGGCCCAACGAGGAAACGCTGTTTGTGTTATGGGGGCTCTATCAGACCAAAAAAGTATTGAAGAAGCGTTTTTTTGTAGCTTTTTGAGATGTACTTATTAGCTGTTTTTTAGAACCACTCACATTTTTAGAGTGCATTCATTCCTGTTTAGTCTCCGCTGTTCTAGCTGTACTAACTAAATAAGTGTAAAAAAATTGTATCCTCAGCATAGCGACCTACAAGGATGTCTTGATCTATCGAACAGAGCTTATATCGGAAGTTCATGACATGACATTGTTATCAAATCAGTTGTTATCACAATTTTATGCCGATACTACACTACAACTGCAATGCATTGTTCACCAACTGTATGAGTACCGAAATTACGCAAACGGCTGTTATTATTGTTGTACTACACATACAGCTGTGCAAATGCCTGCCTCTACAAATACAAATCAATGTCAAGGGTCTAAAACTAAACTGGAAGCGAGTAGAAGGATTAATGTGAATCCGCTATGTATGCACTTTGTGCACCGTAAAAATTTTCAAAGCTAACTTTTGCTTGTGAAAGTTGTGCCGAGAACTAGGGTTTTCCAGAAACTGATCTTGTAGTGGGCAAACATATCGAAAATATAATATCCTGCCAAAAATGTTCCAGAGCGGCAGTTTAACGATAGGAGTCCTGTCCAGCCTGATTGTCATTGGAACCCAGTTCGGAATTTCAAAGCTTATTTGTGGACTTTTAGGCAAGTAGTATGTAACTACGAAGCACAGATTAATTATTAATGGAGCTCATAAAAAACTACTAGCTATAGTGTAGCTATATATGCAAGCGCACTGTTCCTTAGCTTATGTTACGTTTGTTAAGAAGCACCTGGCTGATACGAGTACAACAATCTACTATACCAACATACCTAATTATAAATTTTGTGATTTGTGTTTCATGTAAATTAACTTGTCATAAGCCAACAGATATTTTCGATCTATTTGTGCGTTCACGACTGCTGTATATTATACAAACTTCTACTCTGTAGGGCTTGTCTGCATTCTAATTGTCATCGGTGTACTGGATTTCCTCCGTACACGGGACTGGTCATTTACCCTTTGGGTTGCCGCCAAAAGATATGTGTTTTCTCGGGCGATGCTGTTGATCGGGATATTTTACGCTGAGCCCCACATCCAGTGGGCAACCCGAAATCCTCGAGAATCACAAGAACGTATTCTACGGTCAGCAATAAATTCTGGAGTTAAGACCAAATACGGAAAGGAACACGGATTAAATCGAATGAAGGACCGAGAAGACTTCCGAAATCTGCATCCGCTGACAAAATACGTGCATTATGAACCTTACGTCGAGCGGATGATTAGCGGCGAAGCAGATGTGCTTTCTACAAAAGCGGTTAATTTTTATGGATTAACTTCCGGAACCACGGGAAAACCTAGTCGAATTCCCTGCACCAGCGATATACTTGTACAAATGATGATTTATTATATGCCGTTTGTTATTTACTCGTATGCCTTCAAATTCAAAGGATTTCCTTTCCCTGGCGGACTCTGTCCTAAACGGGTACAGTTTCACTACACAAAAATGTTTACAAAAATTAGAAAAGTTTAATACGTACGTAATAATTATGAGTTACCTAAGGTTTTTTTGGTGCTGTCACTGCTGTGTATCGTATTTTATGAATGTCATGATGTGTGCACATAAAATTAAAAGTATGTCCTTATACGAGTGTATAAAAAGTGTCGTAATAAGTGTATGAAAAGCCGGCGACATGTGAATGCATACAAATAGTACGTATGCATCGGTATACATAAATATACTGTATAATGTTATCGGTCTGTGTATTCATTACTCAAAAAATAAGCATATCAGTTTCTTTACTTCTTCCTGGAAGACTCGTATACAATGTTCCATGAAGTCGAATTCGGTCGTTCTGTATAACTTTTTCGTTGTCAGTGATTCAGGACGGCTTGCAGCCGGCATTTTTCCGAATAAAATCGTTAAATCCTGGTGACGAGACAATTCTCAAAGTATTTTAATTTCAGCGGTTAGCCCTGCTCTTCAGTCCAGGAAAACTTCTTAAAACGACACCGTTGGGAATCAAGATGGGACCGGGAACCGCAATGTATCTGGAACAGGACGAAGTGTTTTCCTATCCCAACTGCGCCAAGGATATTATAGACGAGCGCACAGCCCGATATGTTTACCTGGTTTTTGGACTAAAATATCGAGATCTTGAGGAAATTGAATCCATGTTTTCATCGATTGCATTCATCGTATTTCATGAAATGGAGTTGCACTGGAAAGAATTAGTGGTCGACATCCGCGAAGGGAAGCTGAAAAGTGACCTTCAGCTATCTGTGGAAGAAAGAGCAGCACTACAGCAACATTTGACGCCGGATCCAATTAGAGCTGCCGAACTGGAGAGAGAGTTTCAAAAAGGTCGGTGTTGGAGAACAAAATATTGTATTGGAAATGGCGGAAACACGTTATCGCATACACCTAATCTTCGATGTTCGTGAAATTTTATTAATTTTAGTTGATTTGATTTCGTGTCGCAATTGCAGGTTTTGACAATATTGTCGAGAGAGTGTGGCCAAAGCTAAAGCTGCTCCTGGGGGTCACATCTGGACCATTTGCACACTACAAAATGTTGTTGCGCGATAAGTACATCAAAAGTGAGTACAAGTCGTAACCTGGCATTTCTGTGCATGAGGACATGTGCTGTACAATGCAACAAAGTAAAAGCCCACATTTCCTTTATTTTGTGCAGATGTTCCCATATTCCAGCATATGTACGGGTGCACTGAAGCCATGCTGGGAATAAGTTTGTGGCCAGAAAAAGAGTCCACTGTGCACTTGTTATGGCCTTGCAATGTGTTCTATGAGTTCATTCCATTCGAGCAGATAACCGATGAAAACCCGGAAACTGTTTTTGCTGATCAGGTAACTTATGAGTATCAGGAGTTAGAACACCCAAATATAACTTCCATCAAAGCAAATTTTTTCTTGTAGGTTCAAATCGGCCACGAATATGAACTGGTGATAACAACGAAAATCTTCTACCGTTATCGCTTCGGCGATTTGATCCGGGTAGTGGATCGTTACAATAAATTTCCGGTCATTGAAATCTTGACACGAACTGGTCAGCTGATTAACATGAAAGGCGAAAAGGTTTCCGAAACGGCCATCTACACAGCGATCAACAACATGGCAGCCGTCCACAATAAAGTAAAGAAAATTGTGGACTATACATCGTGCGAAAGCATGTTTATGGAATACGTTCTCGAGACAACAGGTACGCTCGAATAATAATGCAAGCGACAGACAACTTCATACATAACGTCATATGTTGTTAAAACCGTTTGTTGTAATTATCACCGTTTTAATTTATTTAGCCCAAGATTCAGCGTTTTATGTCATATTCATCGAAGCTGATTTATCGTTGGAAAACACAAGCCGCTCTGAAATGGAGACAATTTGTTCGAAAACTGTAAGAAAGCGTTCTGCTTGTGAGTTACAATCGTAAAGAATGCATTACTACAATATAATTAATCGTACGCCTAGAATTATATGCTTTTGATCCAGTTTAATGATCATGAGTTTATATTGACCATTCATATTGGATCGCTTAACGGAATGCATAAAAGTGCTAACTATCGTCTTGCAATTAGCTCGATGAAAAGCTATGTGAAGCTCATGGAAGATATAAATATCAACGAGAAAAAGGAGGTCTGGACTGCCTAAAGGTCATATTCTTACCAATCGGCACATTCTTCGAGTTTCGGACATTCATGCTCCAGAATTCTACGACTGCCTCCGCACAGCTTAAGCTACCAAAAGTTTTGAAAAAGCCCGAACTGCTGCGATTCATGCTGAGCAAAAGCGGTTTGCTAAACAGTCCGGAAAGACGCGGCAGCAAGGTGTAGTTTCAAACGCCAGAATGGCATAAGGTGAACTAAACCACATTGCTTCCTGACGCTCATACAAAAAGAACCATTAACTGTTTCCATTGTAAGTCGGCACTAGCATAATATGTTTTTTTGAACGTTTGTTCTTTTACTTGTTGATCTTAATCTTCGACGATATTTAATAGTTTGGGCAGTTTTTGCCGTTACGAGTAGGAAAAAGAATAAACTTGCAGCAGTATGTAATGCTCTGTGAAAACTTGCGTGGTTTGTTTTTAAAGCTTAAAATATATTTATAATGCGGAATTTATAGAATTCTTGGATGGTGACAGTTGCACTCATCCCTCGTCGAAATGATCAACAATTAAAATGAAGCAGCGGTTAGCCTAACTAGTGTTATTGTTCGTTAACGTTAACGGTGATAGCACAGATCACAGAGCATTAATCCGTCTGAAATCGTTAAAAATTCTCAGAAACTCCTCACGTTTTTGATGAGTGGAGGAGCGCAATTCGATTACCATCACCCGAGGCGAAAGGTATTCACGCTCTTTGACGCGCAAGTCAATGCGACGATTAGCTTCGCTAACCCAGATCTTCCATGGTGTTTTGGCTTTCGCATCGTTGATGCAGATGATACCCATAACTTCTTTCTGCCAATCACAGTACAGGCACAATTACTTCAATAACTCCGCTTACGATTCGCACAAGCGATAAAACATAAGTAAGGAAAAAGCGCTCACCGGTAGAGTGATGGTTAAGAACATGACCTTTCGGCTGTCAATGTGCACATCCACCATTATCCAGGTCGACGTTCCAGCTGCACGTATTTCCATTCTGTCTGACCACATCCAGTGGCCGGATTTCAGTTTTCTTGGTCTGGCCAGCTCGAGATCAAGGATGTCGGATGCGACTTCCATGTCCAACCCTAAAGTCAAGACCAGGGTAATTAACTTATTGTACGGAACAAGCTGCGCATTTGCTTGCGGTATGTAGTGACAGTATTATTCATTAACAAGACTGACAAATTAAAACACCAACGAATGTGCTAGAATTACGGTAATTACCGTATCGTACTTGATAGCCCCTGCAGCGCTGCGCCACCCGCTCGCGCTGCATTCAGAGCATTCCAGTAGAATTCGCAGTCACCTTCGTGGTCTTCGGCCGTCTGATCTTCCAGGGAATGCGTACTGATCATCTCCGATGAGGGCGCAGCAGCCAGGATCTGCTGCGAGACGGAAAACGAGCGGCTTTCGCGCTGATGCAGAAGGAAGAGCTTCTGTTTATCCTGCAGCAGGCGCTCATAGCTGGGCAGAAAATCGAGTTCGCTATTGCCTCCATGATCGCCCAGCAGTTCGAAATGATTGTGGGATGACTGGTGCTCAGGCAGCTGTCGGGCTCGCGCTTTTTCTGAATATGGGTTTATTCGACCGCCGGAGAGGACAATAGCATTCGGAGGGTCACCCATATTGGCCGAACCGACGTTTATCTCGCCGATGGAATCTAATTCCTGCTAACAGCTAATTACTAGTTTACGTCAAAAAATTTGAAAGGTAAATTTTGTGACCATCATGTGGCTTATCAGGTAATAAATACTAGGAATTACTGCAGTTTTGATACTGTGATCAGTTAAACGTGTTAATCAGGCTGATATGATTTGAAATGCCATTAATTACATTAGATCTAGAGTCTAGAGGGTCGCCAGTCTTTGTAACCAAAATAAACAATTTTACAAGCGTGCTTCGGCTACTTAACAACAACAACAACCGTTTGCGTTTGGGATTTGACAATTACGCTACTTCAAGTGCATTTACACGAGTATTATAAGTACACTGCTACTTATTGTCGGGTGCATAGTATGTACAGTAAGTACTTTTGGTTAGTGATCACTTTGGTTAGTGATAACTTTTGTCCGCTCAGAGTAGTACAGTACGATACGCGTTTATGATATAAAAATAATAATAATTCTATCGCATTGTGGGTACTCATGGAGCTCCGTAAAAATAAGTGATGATTTTGTAAAGTTTTACAGGTATTAGTAAGTAATAGATAATTATTGTATCTACGAGAAGTCGTATCGTATTAAATTTATCGTCGTGTCGTATTTATTGTATCTACGAATTATTGTATCTCGTTTAGAAGTACTGTAAGCATATTCTGCAGTGCCGTATTAACTATTAGATACAGAGCGCAGTCCTTCTCGTTAATCTTATTATTAAAGGATCATTGCCGTACGTTGGTAACTGTCTGTAAACACTCTATAATTACAAAATGTAGATCTCGGCTTCTTTGCAAAAGAATATGGCGACTTTTAGGCCGGAGTAACATCAAGTACGATAATGGAAGTTTTATCTATATTTGTCGTAAAGCAAAAATTGTACTCGTAGTCTAAATATCTGTAGTATTTTCTAAAAATTAACTATATTGACAATATAAAGCTGACGGTGAGTACGGCACCGGGTACCGACTGCTCTAGATACGCCTAAAAGGCATATGTTGGTCTAGAAAGGTCATATAATTATGTTAGTATGTTGATCTTGTATCTTTAATTATTTATCACCCCGCGGAAATTAAATTTTATATTCATTTATCATTATTACAGTACTTCCTTATTTAAATATCAGTTTTTCTGTGATCGCACTGGCCTACTGCTATCGTTCGTGTCTGTATATCGGCGAATGATGAACCCGCCCACAGGCGGACGCCAGCGGGCTAATGGCAACGCGTCGATATATTTCCGGTTACATAAGTGATAAGCGTAGCTGTTAATCTGCTCTGGTCTGGTTCCGGCGAGAACGCTGTCGTCAGCACCTGCTGCCTTTGTAACTTCGTCTTCGTGCCATTGATTTTCTGCCATACGCATCTTTCTCTCTCGTGTGATCCTTCCGTTAATTATCTTTTTGCTACCTGTTCCCGGTAACAAAAAAATGACGGATACCTTGAGAACTGTCAGCTGGAGCGAAGTGGAGGCGCACAAGTCTAAAGACAGCACGTGGCTGGTGATCAATGGCAAGGTGTACGATGTGACGAAATTCCTGGAGGAGCACCCCGGTGGCGAGGAGGTTTTGCTGGAAAATTCAGGCAAGGATGGCACGGAGAACTTTGAAGATGTGGGGCATAGTTCGGATGCCCGGGAGATGATGAAGGAGTACTTGATAGGGAAGATCGAAGACGTTAAGAAGAATGTAAAAGTGGAGAATAAGAAAGTCGACGCAAGGGCGGAAGCTGCCAAAGCCAACAATAATTCCTGGGTTGCCTGGCTGGTACCTGCTGGATTTGCGATTGCTGCGGCCGTGGCTTATAGACTTTTTGTTGCTTCCAAAGCCGCGCATGACCATGTATAAGAGGTAGGTGTTGGAAAGCTGAAGGTTTAAGTTCATAGCTGTAACAAGTCAAATGGCCTACATTTTTTTCTTTTGACATTTTATAACAATTGGTTTTCGATACCTTTTCGTTTACCTTTTACTTTAACCCTAAGACTGCTAAGGGTTTGGCACAAAAGAAATGTTACTTTTTTGCAAATTATCTCTAATGCCGTATGCAACTGCAGATGTGAAATGTGCTGTTAAAGGTGAAAATATTGCTGCATAAATATATGATCATCGAAGCGTCATAATTAGGCCAGCAAACTTATTAATAACTACACCTTAATGGTTACCATCATACAATAAGGAGCATTGCACTGATTCATCATTATATGATTAATTTCTATTGTCACACCTATGGCACGCCCTATTGTTAATGTACGCTCTGGTTAATATGATATTGTTCTACGCTTATTAGAATTGCTGAATTTTGCTAATGCAAACTGCTGTCCCAAATATTCTAGTATAAAAGCAGCGCTGCGTCGCTGCCAGAAATGCGCGCTCTTCTCATTTGGATTTTCAGTCATTCCCCATCAGTTAATATTTGTTACGAGTAGTTTAGTATAGTGTTTGCCTTCTCCGTCAGAGAAATACCACTTGTAACAGTGCTTCAAAATTTTTGAAGAGTAGGTTTTATTTCCAGCATTTTTTGTTACCTCTAATACTACTCTGTATGTATACGTATCTTGTTTGGGTGTAACAAATGTGCATAGTTTGCACTTTTCCGGGTCATCACTTATGTATAAATAAATACTGTACTATATGTGGAGGTGTTTGCTTTAAGAATTTGCGATTTTAAAAATTCAGATTTATATTGCTACAAGTATATTTCTACAGTTTCAGTCATTTGCTGAACAAAAATTTTATTAGGTTAAGCCCAATCCAGTTTACTGAAAATGTTGAATAAATATCTTTCTAACCGTAAGAGTAATAATGCGGTGAGTCCATGTCAGTGGCATTGTGAGAAATCCAGGAAGCACTAGTTGAAATTGCAGATCTCGTTGTTTCTTCGATAAATGACATGAATGTTTCAGTTTTTTCTTTATAGGTTTCGGCTGTAAGACAATCCTTCAAACCGATTCCACGACTACCTATTAGCTCGAGCTTTTACCATACCTCAATTCTCAAGCTGACCCTACAGGCTTTTTCCAGAAGTGAAGCTTTCGAATGATGTATTTGACATATTTTTGGCACATCTTTGATTTTATTAATGCGGTCTTTGCAGAATTTTAACTTTCTTATTGTTGATGCCGAATGAAATGAGGAAGATGCCAGGTAATTTAAGTGTAAGTTTTGAACCATGCTGATGTAGAAATATCAAAATACTGTAACCTCGTTTGGCGTTGCTTTTCGACAAATTTATCGTGATACCATTAAAGAGCGGCAAATGTGAATGAAATCCATTTCTTCCAGTTAGAAAACCGGATGCAATCGGTACTACACTAGTACTACAGTAGTACAGTAAATATGCGATTTACGATTGAAACAACTAACGATAAATAAATTTAATTTTTTGACGGTCGTTCACATATCACGTCGTGCGCACCGTAAATTCTCGCAATTACATACTGCTGCTGCGAATCGTTTCGGCGTAGAATTCACTGGATCTCACATGTTATTTTAACAAGTTAAACACCATTAGCGAAATGTTTCCCCTTTCGTATGGGGGCAATGAAGTAAGTAATCATCTAGTGATTTTGGAGTTTTTAGCAATTTAAATACGTTAATACTCTTCTGTTTATGACTGTGCACGAGTAGTTAACTTAGCTATGCGCTTAGGGTGTATTCGGATGTTTTTTGTAACGCCTCTTTTGGAAAGAATTAGTTTGTTACTGTAATCGACCGCTTGCATTTTAATTTTTATGTAAACGTTGTGTGCCAAATTGTAAGCACAAACCGTGACAACCGTCCCATCTTCGAATTCCGGAACTGCAAGGAGAATCAGGGAAGCCTTGTCTAATACGAGCCGCTTTAATCTTGTAATATCAATATCTATATACTATAATTATTCAGTCTGATTGCGTTATTTGCTTATCTGCATTTTTGATATCATGTTTTTGTTATCCCTGCTGCCTGTAGAGTCGTGACTCGTATTAAAGTACATTTATTTTAGTTTATCATTACCTACAGGCCACATTCCACACATTATCGCGGTGCGATTTCTAATTAGGCTTTCTTAATTTTCATCACTTATGAGATTATCATGGAATTAGATAAGAGTACTTTGGCCTACTACAGTACTTTCTTCACACTTAATAGTAGGTAGTTGTAGACTTGCATTATAAATTAATGGGAAGCTGAAGTGTACTTGGAAATTGGAATTGCCGACAAAAGGGCAAAAAGGCAAGAGATTTGATATTCGCCGTTTCTTACTTGATATATAGAAAACTGTGACCACTGCTGAGTAATTCCAGAATTTTTGTGAGTACGTTATGACTATGCATTCACAGGATAGATGCAGTCCACAGATATAATCCGGATCTACTGAATACAGGTAGGTCTTGATATTATATTCGTAATATCTGTATACCTGTTCCGGATATACTTATAGATATCTAATATCTATATGTCACAATGTGTGATCGCGCTGTTCGGAATCTAAAGGCTGCTCAGCGCTTACTGCAAAGACATGAAACCGTTTGTGCAAATTTTTTTATCTTCGCTGCTTTACACAAATCCCACCATCATAACAGAACAAGTAAAGAAATAAAAAGTTCATATAAGCAATTCCATCTGAGTCGTCGCAAAAATTAAAAGGCTGCAACTGCCGTTAGCGCGATTAGTCGCCGACTACTATGCTTCAAACAGCAGGCTGCGAATACGGAAAACATCGAAGTACTAGTACTCGTACCAGACACATGTAACAGTAAAAAACTTTCGGGCTTCATGTTAAGAGCCACCAAGAACTCATGGGATACGAATACGGAAAATTAACACTAGGACACAATAAAATAAGCACATAAAAGCCAACATATCGAAGATTCCAAAGAATGATCAAAGGAAAAACACCAAAACATACTATGATCGCTAACCATTCTGCTTCGACTTACGTCAAGCTAGGAGAGCACCAGCATGCAAAAACAGCAAATGGTCCAAACAGGCAATATATGGTACAGAAGAAAAATCGGAGATCTCGAGGTAAAATCCATGAAATCATTCCAGAATCCCTGTCTTTCATGACGAAGCAGCTCCTGAATCACCATGGGATTTATCGCTTTCGCGATAGCGCTGCAAATGCAGTTTCAGCGGCTCCACATACTGATCCAAACCCAGTGTGCTCATGGCAAACAACAAATCTTCGCCGTTGATCGTCTTTCTCTTTTCTAAATGGCACCGATCACTGGCTTCGCTGGTAATGAAGCTTATGAATTCGCTCACACATTCCTGAATGCACTCCTTGGCCTCTTTAGAAATCTTCCCCGAGTCAGGCACAACGCCGCGCATGATCTTCCCAATGTTGGCAATGGGGAGAAAACGGTCCTGCTCGCGCAGCAACTGCGATTTCTGGTTTCCATTGCGCGAACCACCTTCCTCCCCCGAGTGGGAAAACTCAGAGCCTCCTTCTAACGAGGTATCCATTTGGAATCGATCGTGCAGATTGAATAAAAAGGCAAACTAAAAAATGGAGTGTCGATAATCAAAATACGTAACGGAAACCGATAAAACAATCCTCAGAGACAAGCTGCAGAATGAACTCAAAGCAGATACGAGCAAAGTTAAGTTGATGTTTTCCGTTTCACGTCCTTGCCATTAACAGGAGTCTGGTACTGTAGACTGGCACTGGATGTATTAATAGTGTAGTATTCAAATCTGGTGCAGAAAACGGGATGATGAACGAGCAAAACATGGAAGAGTTTATGAATTATAGATTCCAAAACTGACCAAAAGTCACAAAACTAACTAATTGTAGACTTTACAATTTACAGCTTACGCCTATACGGTAATTAATTAATTATACTCGTGCAAATTTTTGACTAGGGTAGACTTTCAAAAAGGCAGCCTTCAGAGTAACGATTCCATTACCATTTACCACTGTCCACGAAAATTGGAATTTATGGTCATGCATGCTGTTGCTCACGACAGCGCTCGGTTTTTTTGGTGTTTTATTTCATGACCTACAGTAAACAATATACATTATGTAGAAGTATTTACTTATTCAAACTAAAACAAACACTTATGAGTAAGGTGCCAGTTTTACAACGCATTTTATTGGTTATTATTATAATAATGTAAGCACTTGCAAGTTGCAACACCGCCAACATGGTACGTAGATCAACAGTTCATGATTAGTTGTTCTCCCGGTACGCACTACGCACTTACTGTCACTTATTATGAATTTAATTTGCGACTACAAATAAATTTTGACCTTTTAAAACCCCACTTGGATTATTATGTAATTAAAACAGCTCAATTATTCTTTTTCTCGCGAAATTTCACCGATAAGAAAGTCTGTCATTTTCAATATTGCAAATCGGGTATGGTCGACTTTCTTGAATGCTTCCGTTGCATCTTTTCCGGCAACATCCATCATTGCTTTTGTTCCTCCAGGATGGTTCTGTACAAATCGAGACACATCGTACACTTTATTGTCGATTACTAGCCACAAATCATCTTCTTTCTGATGGTTCAGTATTTCCGACCATGGAATTTTTCGCATTTTGTGCTTCGGAGCCATTGTATTGTAAATCGGTGACTATAACCGGAAATCTATAATTCAATCGAAGCTGTTAACGTTTTTTATGGAATAACTTATGACTGTGTATGCCACTGTATGGTATGGTTCTTTACCAAATTCAGCAGGTGGTGCATGCGTGTTAACGGTTCACATAAGTAACTGTATAAATACTTAAAACTCCTTGCAAATGCACATTAAATAATTAAATATAATAAAATTTTTAATTGCATGATTTCATTGATTTGCATCTATGACAGCTCCGACGTCCAGACTCGGTAAACCTGCCGGTGGGCAGTAGCCGCAGTACTCGTACCATATATCCTTTTGTACCATTTCCAAGCGGGTTTGGAAATGGTACTCAGTAGTCTATAAGCCTACGAGCACTCTGCTACGAATACTCGTATAGCATGATGGAGTCAGTTTAGAATTTCAAACAAATACACAAAAATATGAAAAGCCTTTACGGTTTATGACAAGCTGTGCGACACAGGATATTTCTCGGTTTTATTTTTTAGCAATTTTAGTTACTTTACATTAGCACGAAACACAGCATGCGACGAGTAGTTGTTACGGGATTGGGCATCGTCTCACCTTTGGGATGCTCTGTGGAATCTGCGTGGAGGAAACTGCTTAATGGCTGTGTGGGTATACAGCGCTTATCCAGTCCCGAGTACGCTAATGTTCCCTGCAAAGTGGCCGCTCCCGTTCCGCGGGGATCAACACCCGATACGCTCAATCCGGAATCTGTTGCGTCGAAATCCGAACTGCGATATCTGTCGCATGCGATGGTGTACGCACTGCACGCGGCCAAAGATGCAGTAGAAGATGCGCGATGGCAGCCCGCGCAGGATGCGGAGAAGGAGCGAACTGGTGTTTGTGTGGGAATGGGTACGTCTGCAGCGTGAACGTGGTGAGTTTCATCCAAAACGTTTGGTTTTCATTGCGTGAACGCGCTTGTGTTGTCAATAATGAAACAGGAAGAGAGATGGTATGCATTGCAGCTTGTGTGCTTTCTCCATGTGTTAGCCAAGTAAACTGTAAACATCGATGATCAGTCAATCGATTGCTTATTGTCACATGCTGATCGTTAACACAGTATCCCTGGCAGGAAGTATCCTTAAACGCGTTCATTAAAAATAATTACCTGACGGTGATGGTCTGGATATTGTCGCGTTTAAAGAGTTTCTATTGCACTTTGCTCAAACGATCGCGTCGCTGCTTTAATACGAGTACGGCTGTTTGCATAGTTTCACTTTCACGACTTTCCGGGATCGATCGCGAGCTGAAATTGAAATGCTCTCCAGGCGCGTATAACGTGACTCAGCCTTCGAAAATCGTCCTTGTTTTATGGTTTTGAAATAGAACTTTATTTTTGTAAATTATGCCTTAGTCAATTTTTTTCTGATGATTTTTCTAAATTTTTATTAGCGGCGGATTTACGAGTACTTAAAATGGAGTTATAGCACCGCCTCGTGGTGTTGTGGTTAATGCGTTTAAATTTTTTTAGGAATGATTGATCTCCAGGAAGTGTACGACACAGGCGAACAGCTGAAGCGTGGCTATTCCCGCGTATCACCGTTTTTTATTCCTCGCATATTGCCTAATCTTGCTGCCGGTCACATTAGTATGCGATATGGGTTTCAGGTAATTGGATCGTGCCGTCATTGCTGCGATGTGCACCACGATGCGATTGTCAGTAATGTGATTGGGCACTTTTGTTTACCCAATTTTTAGGGCCCCAATCATTGCGCAAGCACAGCTTGCACAACCGGCCTCCACGGAATCGGCGACGCTTTCCGATTTATCCGGCATGGAGATGCCGACGTGATGGTGTGTGGCGGCACGGAAGCTGCAATAAATCCCCTGAGCATTGTTGGATTTGCTCGGATGCGCGCTCTATCCACTGCATTCAACGATGACCCGGCATCTGCTTCACGTCCATTCGATAAACAGAGGTAAATCGTTACGTACTTTGCACTCTTTTGGGTTTTCAATATGGCATTTTTCACAAGTAAGAGGGATGCAAATGGTTATTCGATGACACCTTGGCAATCATGATGGTTATTCAAGTGGTTTTCAGGGATGGTTTCGTAATGGGTGAAGGCGCTGGAATACTTGTTCTGGAAGAATTATCCCACGCTCAGTCCCGTAATGCCAAAATATACGCTGAAATTCTCGGTTACGGTTTATCAGCCGATGCCAACCATATTACTAGTCCCGCGGAATCTGGTCAAGGCGCTTTTCTGTGTATGGAGCGCGCTCTAAAGGAAGCCCAGCTAGAACCGTCTTCCATATCCTACGTTAACTGTCACGCCACATCGACGCCGCTTGGCGATAAAGCGGAGATGCGCGCGGTGCGTCGACTATTTGGAAAGCATGCGGAAGATGGACATATGGCGATATCGTCGTGTAAAGGAGCCATTGGGCATTTATTAGGAGCAGCGGGTGCCGTGGAGGCAATTTTCACAGTCTTGGCTTGTCAGGATGGCGTTATTCCAGGAACGGCTAATCTGCAGGCGGTTGATGAAGAAACGGTGGGATTGCGGCTGATCGCGGGGAAAGGATGTGCATGGGAAAGAACGGGAAAACGGAGGATAGCTCTGAAGAACTCGTTCGGTTTTGGCGGCACTAATGCTAGTTTGTGTATATCCGAAATGGTTTCGGGTTAAGCTAGTTATTGCTGTCTGTCAAACTACTCCATTCTCTTGTTCGAGTCAGTTTTGGAAAAAAAGGATGTTCTGTAAGAAAAAATGGGGGCGTTTGCTTATAGGTCTTTTATCTGTTTTATTTGCAGAATGTTTTTGTATGCCAGAAGATTTGTCTACTTCTGCAAGGAATCGTTGCGCAAAACAGTTATTTAGCATAAAATATATGTGAGTTGGAAAGTTCGGTTTTCGTTGAAGTCAAGAAAGTTGGAAGTTCATTTTGTTTCCAAAAAGGACAACTCTTTCAACATATTATTGATCTCGTGACTAAGAGCATGCTGGACCATACAGTCACAATAATTATAACCCGAAGTGTGGCGGATGGTCTTTCCGGATGACCTGAAGTCAGAGCCATGGGACCGCCTGCAACAACGGAATAAAGTAGATCACAGATGACATTGTAATGAAATCGCTGACTCGCAGCATCAAACACAAAATCGTTTCACATCGTTGCTGAAACTACGCTGCGCAAGTACAATTTTTCACTTTTCGGATTCACGTACCAGTACTGTACTGTAAAACTCCGCTTCCGGGACAGCCCATCATTTCAAGCAGGACCGACTTTTGTGGATTAACATGCGCGAAATCTACATAAGCAGTGCATTAATCCCTTAATTCAATATGATTAACGCAGGTTTTCGGATCGTCGCTGCAACCTGTATTCTGTATACAAATATACCGCGGTATACAGTACGTACCACATCGCCTGTTCAGCGCTAAACAATGCGTTTGAGCCTCATAAATATTGCAAGGATTCGTTTCTTTTCCTTGAGATTGTAAAAGTTGATTGGCACAGCGCACGGAATCATCGGTGGCTGGGAATCGTGAAACATTGCGAAAAATCGGACAGTTTGTCGATGCCAGAGCAACCGCTAAGGAAAGTAATTGAAAGAAAAATAAATAACCTAATACAGACCTAATGAATAGTAGTTGAAAGGATGTTGTTATTGTTACCATTCTGATACACCAAATTCTGGCAGTAATTTCGAAGAAACTTCTTGAAACTGGCCAAAAACTGCAGGTCCAAGTTAACCGGCCCGTCAGAACGAGCTTCCGGGCAGTCGCGCTCAATGCATTCGATTACGGCGTCCGAACTCCTACACAGAATTTCTGTCACGATTGCAACCGCCGACGAAGTAAGCTTCCAAATGATATTTACTGGCAGTAGTGAATGTATCGAGTGGGTTCGAACACTTCAAAAGGTGATCCGCCGGACAACCACATGCAATAATGCACACGCCTTCCATCACATACAACGGACGCCGGCACTGTAACACACCACAACTGGCAGAAGTTTACCAAACATAATAAGCTTAAGATCGCCTCACCTGCCGAAGCGCATCCAAGGTACATCATGGCTAAAGGCTTTATGACTTGAGCTGCAACATTCCCCACGAGTTGAAAATCTTGGATAACCAGTGACCTTTAAGTTCCCGTACAAACTAATGATTTTTATTTTCTCAACTTACCAAGCTGCGGCAGACAAGAGCGACTGAGCGTACAATCCATCGTTCGACTGACTTCCAAGCACGCTCCCACCGCCGGCAGAACACCCCCGCCACTGGACGTCATACCGGAAAACAGCAGCGGCCACGAGGGTGGCGCCGCCAGATTTCCGGGCAATACCGGCGTTGTGAGTGGTCGATCGCCGACGCCCATCAAGCCGACATTCACCGGCCAGAACTGCCAATCCGTATCCTGTTGGGTGAATCCCAAACCCACCGGATTGCCCACATGCACCACGGCCACACTAGCCGCCTCGCCCGTCATGAGGTTCTCGTTAAAGGTGGTCACCGGACGCGCGTTGGGAGGCCGGTAGTTGACGTTGACGACGGGTGGTCCCGAGAGAGCATACGGATTGTTGTGCTCGTGAGTGCTCGGCCATTTCCATCCGGAGTCGGCTTCCGTTACTGTTGGAGCGGCTCGTTTCCCTCTCAGCGGATTAATGGGGCACTGGCTGAAGACTTCCGGCCATTTCGGGGCCAGATCGTGAGGATAATATATGCGACATTGGCCGGTTGCAGCGGTTAGCCCTGTTATGTTGAAATAAGCCAACGGTTCATAATTTCATCGAAGAGTTGACTGTTATTTTGCTTTGTTTGTGTACAGTTACTGACTTGTTCGGGCTTCAATGGATGTACACAGCTGTGTGAGCACGAATGTGGACTGTTCGATAAGGTCACGTATGCCTCGGTCCACTTGTACAGCATTTCGGCATTCCGTTGTCCAACAGTTCAGGAGTTTGCCGTAGATTGTAGGTCTAAGATAATTGTGAAACAAGTTAAATTTTATAAGGTAAGACTCATGTCTTACAACAACCCCACACGCAAATATGTATAGACGAGTAACACATGGAATATATGTACAGTACATGGAAATACTGGAAAGGCTTTTCATTGCCGTCAAGGCACATGGACTGTATCGTTTATCTCAATTCTTGTCGCAAACATCCAAAAATATGAAGCTGTAATGACTTTTTTGTCTACTGTGTAACAAGCGAACCCGCAAAATTCATCCACTTGTTCTGGTCTGAGGAGATATGCCGATTGCGGTCGAAGAAATATATTTGGTATTGCCGATAAACAACGTCCAGGATTGCACAGCTGAGCTCCGGCTCCTAAAATTATAACCAATTATTCGCCAATGGTGCCATTTAAAAGCATTATTAACATTGTCAATATTTTTGGAACAACCCAAAAAAATCGAAGAGAGCACATTTATCACTAATCATTAAATAATACCGCACACGCGAAAAGCCTCTTTAGCATTGCTGGAAGTGACTTCCGTTATTGAACGATCAGAATTAAATATTAAAAATAACAGAACATCTTTCGAACGTTTTCATCATATCATTATCTCACTTCGAATTTTTTTTTGCGCTTGCAAAAAAGCATAAGCGGGTAAAACGGTATGCTGTAAAGGAAAATTTAAACAGAGCTGGAAATGTTGCAGTAAATGATGCTGACACAAGGGAATTTTATTGGAACGCAAACTACGTTATCCAGTGAGCGCAGCACTCGAGAAAAATAAAACCGTACTCAGTAGAGATGCAGAAACTGCATGCACTTTTGCAAGTCGCAGAATCTTACCGGCGAAGAAAAGAATTCCCAGTCCCACAGTTGCTAGATTAGCAAGTATAGTGTCCATCACTTACGCACAAAAGCACATCCCTGTCTTTTTTTGGATAGTGAAAGTATGAATAATCGGAGGTACAAAAAGAAGATGATAAAATTTGTCCAAATGGTAGAGTATTGCAGGAGTTCTGTCCTTTCAATCAGCGAGGATAAATCAACCTGGTGATTCACATCTCTGCTGCAACCGTTTGCTAATATCGCTTTGTATGGTACGTACAGACTCTGTATATAAAAACTTTATTGACCACTCCGTAACAATTTTAAGGTGAACAGTGTATTTTGTTACGTGATTGTTGCATTCCAAATGCGATTAACCGAAAAATCACATACCGGCGGTGTTTCACAATGGCTGTAAATTGATCAAAGGGCAGGCGCGTCACTCTCTCTTCGTTTGCGAGAAACAGAGCGGAATTAACGATCCAAACAAAACGCTGAATATCATACTATACGATGCGGCTTCATACGACAGATTGTCAGAGCTGGTTAGAATACAAACTGGAAAAATCGGTAAAAACATATTTACAGCCCGTTTTACTTATTATAATACACTGAAAAATTATTAAAAGATATTTTAGTCTCTGCTGAAAATGTGCCCATTGTGCTTGACGGATCCAGTGTGTCAAATTTCGATCTGCTAGACGTTTAAACAAAGCAACTGACGCAGAAGTTTATTATCGTTGAATTAGGCAGATGCAGTTACTAAAGTACTTGACATAACAACCAGAATTAATACCGATCAGTACTGCGTTTTCACAAATGACTAAAAAGATAAAGAACTCTTTGCTCACAAGTACAACAGCAAAATACCAGCAAAATCACGATCACGAACTATTGTATCCACAAATTTACATAAGAAGACATACCTCCTTGACTCACGACCATAAAAGCATAAATCACGCACACAGGCGGCTACTTTTTCATCTCAATAATCACTTTGCCTTTCGTGTCGCCAGCCTCCACCTGTTGAAACGCCGCCGGCAGCTCCTCGAAAGGATAAACTTTATCGACGATTGGTCGGATCTGTCCCTTTTCCACCCGTTTCGCAACATCCTGTAAAAATGGTCCATTGGGTGCAAAAAACGCCCAAACGGTATGATAGCCTTGTGATAATCCCTTGGCGTATTCAATCGAATAGTCCGCTGCCGATTTCGCTAAACCAGCCACGCTTCCACGCTCATCAATGTTTTTCAGCAGTGGGTAGTTAAGAGTAACGAAGAAGGATTTCAGCATGCCTTTCAAATACTTCTTCGAGAAATCATAATCACCTCGTGTAGCCTACAAAGAAAACTTAAAGATAATAAATCAATGCGAAGCAAGGATAAAGAACGAGAAGAAAGCAAACGTTTGTAAATACACTCGAAAACGCTCTGGCTTATTCTTAACAAACAGATAACATTTTTTTTACAATTTTATGATACCTGCACGTAAATTCTGTCGAAACAACTGCATAAGTAACCATTCACTGGTACAGCACACCACGATTAAGTATGTAAGACTAGTCGCCTGACATTAAATTACCGCACTCTGTTTGTCGTTCACTGTTTCCGTCTAATCCAAAATCAGCATGATAACAAACCATTTATGTAATTTTGTGTACGCACGCTTGGTCTGTACTGCTTTTCCGTGTTAAAATACAACTCTTACCTGGAAGATAAAATCAAATTTCTCCCGCCTCTGCAATTCAGATTCCACATCGCTGGCCTGGTAGTCGATAATATCGTCCGCTCCCAAAGAGGCCACCATATCAATGGCCGCAGTTCCACACACTGCCGTCACATGAACGTTGCGCAGCGCTTTCAGGTACTGAATGGAGAATGAACCCACACCACCGGAGCCACCAATGACCAGCACCCGCTTTTCGGACATGGCTGGTAGGTTCTCGATGAGCTTCAGCACCGACCACGCCGTGCAGGCAATGTATGGCAAACTAGCCGCTTCCGCATGACTAATGGTTGCCGGTTTCTTGGCTACACACCAGGTGGAAGTCGTAGCATACTGAGCAAATGTGCCTTGACGATGAGGACCGATTACACCGAAAATTTCATCACCTGAGACAATAAAAGACATCAGTTCAGCCCAAAAGATCCGTAAAACCATCGTTCTAAGTTTTATCCCGTACTGCGACTAGTGCTCCGGGGCCATTATTTTTTCTAACGTCTTTCATTAGGGAAATTTTTTTCATTTTCCCTTCCATTTCATTAAGGAAAGTCACTTCATTTTTCAAGAGGCGATTCTAAGAAGTTTTTCTTTGGATGTAAGGTCTCATAAAATATTACTACAATTTTGAGAGATGAAAAGTACCATTGTGCTTACCCAAAGATGAAAGTCAGTTGAACACTAATCTTATAATTACAAGTTAAACACATCGAATGCAAGGGTAAATAACGGATCTACGAGATATTCTGACAGAGAGAATCTACAATCTGATATTCTGCTGATAACTACGGTACCAGAACGTGGATTTCAACATACCAGTTTTAACGCCGTGTACAAGAGAGCCCGCATCCACTACAACTCCAGAAAAATCTCGGCCAAGCGTCAGCGGAAACGGTTGCTCTTTGCGGGTAAAGACCGTCTGAGGCATCCACGAAAACTTCGATGCGGTCCGAATATACTGGATAAGATTTTCTCCATAGCCGCGCGTACGCTCAATATCGAAGGGGTTCACACTTGCAGCATGGATTTCCACCAACATATCTGTCACACATTAAAAATGGTTTTACGTCTACCCTTCTATGATATTATCACAACGTGAATACCACCACTGAAGTAGTTCTTGCCAGTAACAAATCACAGTATCATAATGTAAACTACAAGGAAATGAAGCTGACAAAAATTTTCATTTTTTTTTTATTAAAATATTAAATTTTAATAAAGCAGTTTTCCGTAATTATTTAAAAAGCGAAATGTGTAACCAAAAATAAAACCCAATAAGGGCCATAGCGAAAATAAAAATGGCTAAAAAATTACATTTCTAATGCTAATGTTTACCGATTAAAACCCGAAGCCAGCAATCAGCAAAAACCCTACGCATCCGTAACTCACCAAAAGGATCGCTCAGTGAGGGGACCTTGACATCTTGCTCCAGTTTCATCCCACCAACATCGTTGAACTTGGAGATCTGCCAAGCCTTCATGGTGCCTGCAGACGATGCAGTGTCGCATTTCGTATTCCGCTCCGTTTGCTGGCGCTGCTCCTGCCTCTTGTCTTTGCCCTGCTTCTCCTCTTTCTTCAGATCAGCTATCTTTTCCCCAGTGTCTTTGGGAAACAGGATACCCGCAGTGGTCATGCGAGGCCCTTCTGAGCTGGATGTTCCTGGAGCGACGTCGGGCATTCTGCTGGGGAAGACGGGAGTTTCGGGAGCGCCATGCTTAGCCGTGCTGCTGGATGGCGGGATCGGAGTGTCTGCTTGCGTGGTCGCATAGACACAATGCTGAACAGCAGCGGGATTTGTGCGGAGAAGCTTGCGAGCAACCAGGCGCACGAGGGGGATAACTGTCCTACTGGATATCAGCTGTTCCATGTTATTGTCGTTTTCTATCACAACCACAAACCAGTTCTGTTGTGTGCGGATGGGGAATGCACTCGATCACGACTACGCTCGTAACGGTAATAGGAGCAGGATGTTTACGATGTTATTCCAGAAATAGCTTCGTTAATACAGCAAATCTACGGTAAATTTTCAAAACATAATTTCAACAAGTTGTCAAAAACCAAATTACTGTACAGGACGCAGAAAAAGGCTACAGTCTGCACATTGAACTGTTGTTTTGGTGTTTTCGCTGTTTTCAAATTGGACACGCAGAATATTTGCTGCCGTATGACAAAGTTTAATTAAGATCATAACGTGCCGTGGTGTCCGAGTGGTTAAGGAGTCTGACTCGAAATCAGATGGGGTCTCCCCGCACAGGTTCGAATCCTGTCCGCGGCGAATTTTTTTTCTTTTGCAAGAACATTTCCCAGGACGCAATCTATTAGCTCAAGCACCACAATTTTTAGCGTTTTTAAAGCAATTCTTTAAATAAAATTATCTGATCATTATGATCCAGAATTCAGTTGAGCATTAATTAGCAGAGATGCAGAAGGAATGGACGTACCTTCACGTAAGTAAGTACTTACGATTAGTGAAAGACCGGAAGTTCACAGAATGGGTTTGCAAAATTTCAGTCGCTGCGTTAAATTACTGAAGTTACATAATTAAACCTGCATTGGCCCGCTTTTGGTTTTTCGTATCGACAGTTATTCAGTTTTTTTAAAGCCTGATACGAAAATCCTGTGCTTATTAATCTTAAATAGAAAAACTTATATTGGCAGATAATTCGGCACTCGACTTCTGCAAGCAAACAGCAACAAAACGTTTTAAATTTATAAAGGTCGTACATGCGGGTAACCGTGGGTCATTCAAATGGTCGTCGTGGTCGTCGTTATTATTATGAGCTGTTATGGTCGTCGTGGGTAACCGTAGGTTATTCAAAATTATGTGAGCCGGAAACCATTGTACCCGATGCCTGTCAGTCCTGTCAGTGCCAAGATGTGGGCTCGGGTTTGCAGTACGTTCGATGAAACCTTTGTGCAATACGAGTGCAGATCGATACTTCATGTTCTTGCATTGTACAGTTGTAATTTGTAAGTAAGCTATCTCCGTATACTGATAAATTATAACTTTAATTTGAGTATAGGATGACGAGTACGTATGTAAATTATTGAGTTTTAGAATTATTTAGTTGCAGCGACGTAGAGCGCACTGCTTTTCACAACCATGCCCGTGAATTGTCATGACATTAAGAATTGTCAGAATTAAAAAAACAGGAAGAAACCGGTAGTCATGTGCATGCAGGTGTATGCATGGGTCATGGATTTTGAGCGTTTCCTTATTTTGGTGTCCACAGATTGGGTGTGTTAGGAGGGGTCCAGTTGGCCGCGTATGCCGTGTGTGCTTGCAAACACTGGTAGCATTGCCCGCCATACGTGCAGCAGTCCCCAACGTTGTAAGCCGTGTTTTGTTTCCACTCGTTGTCTTCCACCGGCAGCCACAGGTTCAGTGTATTGGGCGGGGTCCAGTTGGGAGCATCGACACGATGCCCTTGGCGGCATTTGAACGTCTGACCTTCGAACGTGCAGAGGTCGCCCACATTAAATGTCTTCCCAACCGCCCATTCGGACGACGAACCTCCGCTTGATCCCGCCGGTGCCGGTGCTTCCGGAACTTCTCCAGCGTCACCGCCCTGTGCAGCTGCTTGCTCATCTACGTATGAAAATAGTGAAATCATAAAATAAATTAATTCTGGTGTCAAAACGACGTAGGGTAATCAAAATTAAGCACATCAGCCACACGGGTACGATTTTCATTTCCATTAAAACTGAACCATACTCCTTACTTTTAAGCCAGAACTAAAATGCAAAAACATTGTATAAATATTACTACCAATATTATATTATTCTTGCAATTTTAAGTGTACTTCGAACTCGAAGTAATGTAATAAGCACTTATACAAAGCCGGAAGATTCGCGCGACTGAGAATTGCACATAAAATAAAATATAATGCCCCAAAGTTTACGAATTATGGATAAGAATATACGTAGTACACACTCAAAGATTTAATACAATAGAAATATTGTACAAGTCTGTTTATCATAATATAGATATAGGTTATAGCTTATATAGTACGTATCTGGTAGGTGAGTTTTTTTTATTTTTACTGTGCACGCAGTACAATTTTTAAGTAAGTACAAAAGAGGTGCCCGTTAATAATTTTAATTGAGCAGTTACGTGGCATATCTGTTATTAACGATCAATAGACCGGGAAGTAAATATCATACGCATACCGGGATTCATGAATTCTCCTCCAGTACTCATCGTAATGGCTAATGGAATTGTCCCGCGCTAGATCAAAACAGATCTTGCAAACCCTACCGAGTACACATAAAATGCTGATTATTTAGTAGCTGCCGCTGGAACAATAGGAAAATGTGTAAGCCGTAAACAAAATTCTTTGCTGAGCAATAATCACAGATCACAGTTCTGTGCAGATGGAACCATGGAGCTGTTGACATTAACGTTCTTTGTTTCTAATGTAAGCAGAACTAATGGTACGTAGAAATGTACTTCTGTAACGCACAACGACACAAGCATGTTCCTCCACGAAGTTAAAAATCAAAAGAAAGAAACCCGATCGTACCTTGAAGTACCGGCGAACAGAATTGTTCTATTAAAAATACAAAGAATAAATTTAAATCGAGCTTAAAGTTAACGCTGCCTTACAAGTTAAGTGCAGTCAAAAGACTAAAAAATACTGGTTGCGCGGCGCGCCCTGTGTACATTGCACACAGACATTACTTTTAAAAACACTACTTATAAATGGGGATGCACTGTTCTGTACTTGCTTACCATCCCTGAAACCAGTTTTCTCTAGATATGCGAGTACTTACAATATCCTTAATATGTTATTTCTTAAACCAGTTTTGCCAGAATTCGAACTTCTGTTGTCAAACGTACTACTCCTACTTGTGCAGAGTAGAGCAAAACCAGTTTGACGCAGTTTCTTTAAGCCGAAGCATCGTTATAGAACTTTTTAAGTTGCTACTTGCTACGCAGATCGAAGCAGCTTGGCCCGCCGCCGCGCGTAACGCTCTGATCGATCTCTGCTTAATTAATGCTGTGAAGGTATAGATCTGGAACCGGTTTCAGGGAAACCGGTGAGGGTCATAGGTCACTTTACAATTAATTTAAAAAATTGATTCTGATCTATTTCTGCATCGCGGTGCCGCCTACAAAAATGGAACAGAGTTGAGTATGTATTGGAATCTCATAATATTACTACTGCAATCTGCAATACAGTTCATTGCTTGCGTAAGTATTACAGTAATACTGTAATATGCACAGTACAATTGCAATACATATTACAATACACGCACAATTTTCTGCTAAGGCTTTAATATCTGATACTTTTTTTCCGGTGTCTGAATAATTGCCCCTCTACATGCCTCCCTAAAAGTAGAGGGGTACTTTTTGAATATTACACTTGGACAGCTGTGTCGGTTATCATAGAATTAATTATTCTGTATAAATTTTGTTTGCCTCCCTTGTCAGCTACGAGACGAGTCCTACCTCCTACAAATGTTGATAAACGCTATATCTACGGTATATCATGCATTTTTTGTACTCATGCTTAATCGGGTAGGACTCGTCTCGTAGCTGACAAGGGAGGCAAACAAAATTTATACAGAATAATTAATTCAGAATGCAAATAAATATATAAATATATAAAATAGTTCTACATAGAAGTAAGTATTGTAGGGAAGGGCGCATCTACTTATACACAAACGTAAATGCATCAGCAGGTCACCTGTCTGTACTACGAGTAGTTCTGCAAAGCGAAGTTTCGGTCTAGCGATTGGTACTTTACCAATAATGGCAATAAAAGATACCAATTATTGGAAAAACGAAATACTCGTATTGTTTGTCTTACGTTATATAATTGGAAATTTAATACATACATATTACAGACACAGATATGAAATAAAGCATAATGAACCGTTTCAGAAAATCATACTGAACCGTTCCAGTTACTGCGGCGATACCTCGCGAATCGCGACCTGGATCATCCAGATAAGCTCTCATAAGCACTTACCTAAATTAAATTAGCCATAATTGTTAGTTCTTCCCGCTCAATCGCTGTAGTAAACACTGCGCCAACCCTGGGCGGTTACGACTGAGTTTCCAACTACGGAAAGACAGGACAAATGTTCTAATTTTAGCGCGTTGGCAGTTGTCAGCTTTGCGATTTTAACAGTTTTTCCGTTTTTGCTTTTTATCACAAGGACCTTTTCGAACCAATTTGCAGAGGAACGAGAATGTTCAGTTCTCGAATCTCCATAAACTTTCATGGTGTCCATTGATATTTGCGATTTGTGGTGTGGTTTACATGTTTAATGGCTTACCACTCTTTGAATATTAGCACTAGCTGACTAAAACAAGCTTGTGCGAGCTGGATTTCAGGCGACACTGTGGATCCATCGCATCATTGTTCTCAATCAGATTCTTCTCAAGTTTGTATAATCGCGCTGTCAGTTTGTGCCTGTCTGGGGGTGTCTTTAATCTGCAATGGTGTCTCAGTGAGTAGTCCGATATCGCCCAGTTCCTGAGTCGTGGAATCATGTCGGATAAACTGGATACCATAATTCCGCGGACAAGAAGCAAATCAAGCAAACCCAGTCTCAATCCGATCGCTGTCGATGTCGCGACCAGTCGGCCCAATTCCCAGCGGGATCCTCTTGAGGCGGTGATCATTCCCCTTCGTTCAAAAAGGATTGCTGGTCGTAGTGGTAAGCCCGAAACCCGCGCCAAACCTGAACCTGTGCGCAAAGAATCCGAAGTGTACACGTTTGGAGAAGAGGCAGGCAGAGACATCGAAGATGCAGCCGTTCCTTTGAGGCAGAAGTTGAGCCGTTCTGCAAAGAAAAAGTCTCGCCCGTGCCAGTTTCCCGAGAGCGGCAGTGAGGAAATTGAATCTCCCAGCATGAAGCGGAAGAAAAGCGACGGACCTGCTGCAGTTGTCGTGCGGACGCTTGCTCCGAAGCAGCGCTCGAAAACTGGGACTGTGGATAACGGCGAGGAGGCGTCTTGCTCCAAGTCTTCTAGTGGTTCACGAGGAGCTACGCGAACACGGGAAAACAGCGAACAGTAAGTTTTGGGTTGCCCGTGTTGTGTAATAACTTACGACAACCTCGAGTTTGCATGGACATTTGTAAGTAAGCATAATGTGTAGTTCTATATAATACAGGCATAAACAGGAATTACTTACATGATGATTGATGCTGCTTGAATTGCTTTCTTGCTTAGGTATTTTCCTTTCGAAATGTTTGTGTTTTTTTGTTTTGAAAAGTCCGGTGGTTTATAGGGGATTGATGTGTATTTCTTTATTTGCATTTTGCTGTCTCTGACGGTTTCCGTTTTGCAAAACTCACAGAAGCCCCTAAAAATTGTACCTAAATGATGGGTAAATGGTAAATCGTACAAGTAATAATGAACTAAAATGCTAAGTGGTTTTTTCTTGTACATGCAAGTTTGGGAGCACATTTGCTGTTTTATGTTATTTTTGCGATTAGTTACTTGCATCCTAATTTTTCATGTTCCATGTTTTCGTAAAATTCGCGTGTTCAAACCGCGGTAGCATGTCTAACGCAATAAACGCATGTTGTAATAATTATAGAAGTGCAGTATTGTACGAGACTACGAGTACTAATTGTCAGTTGCATAATACGCAATAAATGTTTTCATCAGAAAATCCGAATCCGAGCACAATCAGAGCTTTACCAGTAGCATCATGGAGAGCGCCATGGATGATTGTGCTTCCGTTAAACCAGTGGAGGACTGTGATGTGATACTGGCTGATGATGACGAGAAGGAGAAAAAGAAATCCACTGCTTCAAAATCTATCTTGGATGAGAACCAGACCGCCCATGATTTGTCCGTTTTCGAAACTAGTGCGCGACAGACAGGATATATTTTTAAGCGGATATTGTCGGATGATTCGGAATACGTCGAGGAGGATGGTTCCGCCTCAACATCCGAAGGGGATCTTGTTGAATCATCTGACGAAGCGTAAGGAAAAAAATCAACTTTGAATTTAAGTGAAATGTAAAATTTATGTAATTCAATACTTCGTTCTGCATGCTCGATTTTTGGTTTGACCTTATCGATAGTTTTGTACTGTGTAGTCTAGATAATAAAGTAACGGACGGCCAGAAATTCGATTTTGTGATATCTGCAAGTACATTCAGCGATGTGCATTTTTTAGATTCGATAAGTCGAGAACGGACAAACGTTCTATGCGGAAGAGAAAGAAACCAGAGCGGTAAAGAATGGCTACATATTTTTTCAATGATCAGCAGTGTATGATTTTCACCTGCGGCAACGTTCGTAGATACGGTATTTCCTCCAGTGGTATTGAGACCCGGCGACTACGACCACGAAAAGCGAGCTCTTCCAGCAGTTCGCAGTCGGGCGATAAGCAGAAATATAATGCGGGCAAAGTATTGAAACGTGAAAATATGCGGCACCGTCGACGTAGCCCTGGTTTGTTCCCAGTTGACGATGATCCGGCTTTAAAAGAAAAAGGCACACGCAAGGTTGAAAAAATGGGAAGAGACCGCAAGTTACTGCGGGATGCCGAAAAGGCTGGAGTTCGACATCGTTTTGGCGAATACAACTTACGCAGTCGGGGATCGAAGGAAAAGGAATCGACACCTAAACCAGAGTATATACTGCATACGTTTTGCTAAGATCTGTTTTTGCTGTAATAGTAATTCTATAAGTTCATACATCTTTCAGACCCAGGAAGCGTTATGGTCTGCGCGCTAACCGTCCCCCGGAAGGAGCGTTGGTTATGCCGGATTTATCTGCGATACTTCACCTGGAAAGCGAAATTTCCGCCGATGAACCACCCCGGAAGAAAAGGATTGCCAACAGAAACAAGGATACATCGGACGAATATTCTTCTTTCGAACCCACTCTGTATTGGCCAACCAAAGAGGTGTACCTTTTGTCTAGTACCATGGTGTCTTTTCCGACCATGGTTCGGTTGACACTTAAGAATCGTATTTTCTATTAATAGGGACATAATTCATTGCATTTTCTTTATAGCAGTAAAAGTGAAAGGTTAATAGAAGACGCGATTGTGCGAAATGTTTTCCCCTGTGCTTTCCTTTGTACCAACATTTGGATAATTTTTGTATAATTGGAACGTTAAAAATGAGCGATTTTTTGACACCCATCGGCACTTTAAATTCCTGAATATGAAGTTGTTGACATTGTTTAATTGATTTTCTGTGTAATTTTTGTTTTTTTATGTAGATTAGTTTTGATACAATCGGTGGCTGTGCGGCTATCAAGGAGCAGTTAACGCGGGAGCTGCTGCTGCCATTTCGTAAACATTTGCTGAAAAGACAGCAGCAACAACAGGCAGTTCCCGATGAAGCGAACCCGGAAAGCGTCGCTTTACCAGAACAAACTGGAGGAGCGAGCTATTTTTGCAGAGGAGTATTATTTTGGGGGCCTCCTGGTAATACCTGCAGAATTCGACTGCTACATTTGACTTTTCCGGTATCTGTTGTGTGATTGTTCTTTTGTAGGAACGGGCAAAACTTTTATGGCTAAGGCGGTGGCGTATGAGTGTGGCAAAGATATAACTTCGGTTCCCGTTTATGTTATTTCGGGGGCTGAATTGCTAACAAAATGGGTTGGCGAAAGTGAGAATCACTTGAGGCTTATCTTCCAACAGGTAGGGGAGAGGTGACGATTTTAAATTTTCGTAATGGTAACTTTTTTTTGGTTTCTTATGCCTCACACTGATGCGGGTGCAATTTTAAAAGACGATATTCTATCACTGAAATTTAAGTACTTACTAGTATAGACTGAATTAGATTGCAGTCTTATTTCTGCTGCCAAATTTTTCAACGGCAAACCGGTGAATGCATAGAATTCATGTTAATTCCTGTGGAACAAAACATATTGTCATCGTGCTTTATCTGTGTTTTAGGCGCAGTTGAACAGTCCCTCCATTATATTTATTGACGAATTAGATGGTTTGGTTCGGCGACGGTAAACGCTTAACTTGCAGCTGTTATTTGAGCCATTGCGTTCTTGATTAACTTTATACTGTAGCTTATCATATCTGTGTTGTGCAGATGTGTCGGTTTCTGATTGTAGAACGACGTCAGAAAGCGATCATGTGAATTTCAATATGGTCAGCACAATGCTGACACTGCTCAATGGTGTGATCGACCGTGGTAAGGCGGAGTGCTTATTAACTGTAATTGTTCTTTTATGCTTTTTTTAAAAAAAAATTGTATTTGTGTAATATCTATATGCTTGTAGTGATGTATCTGTAGGTAGAAGCGCACATTAGGAAAATAGCGGTTCTCTTGAATCAGCTGCAGATAGCACCATATAATTTGTATGCACTGCATTATGTGACTACGTTACCTGGCAGGTACAAGGTGGCTCGGAAGAATCGGTGTTACCTATGAGTATGTTGCAGGATCTGTGATTGTCATAGCCACAACCAATTATAAAGATGTGCTTGATCCCGCTTTGATGCGCTCGGGTCGCTTTGATCTGAAGATTCTGTTCCCTGCCCCGAACACGGAAGAGCGGACTCTTATCTTGGAGACTTTAACCAAAGACTGGAAGGTACCGTTGACGGATACTGATCGTGCCGCTGTCGCCGTCAACACAGAAGGTATTGTTTTGTAATAGTCTGGCAGCAGACAATCAGCTGTTCAGTGGCAACAGCTGATCGTTTTATAAGCTAATGTACAAGTACCGGATACCTACTTAACTTTTGCCGCAGCTTGCATTTGTCGTTAGTATACACATATTGTACATACAGCATACTTACTCGTATTATGGTGAAAGCATTAATTTTAATGGACTTTTAGGTTTTACTGGCGCTGATTTGGATCTATTGTGCAAGAAAGCTCAAAATATTTCTGAACTAGCGGTTGAACAACAGAAAGAATCTGACAACAACAACTATAACAACAATGAACTGCCGGTATATTTCTTGTATTATTGATAACAGGGCTGATAACTTGCTCTAACAGTTTCTTTTGGCAGGATACTCTGCATATTTTTTTCAAAGCACTTTTGGAAGTGGAGCCTTCCGCACTGGCAGCACCTACTAGTGGTGGCACCGTATCTGCCCCTTTGGACGGTCGTGTACGACCATTGGTGGAGAAGCAGTTGCAGAAACTTATTGAAGAACTGACCGCTTATTACCCAGTTCGAATGCCCGGAGAGTCCATGGCTCTGCACAGTAGTGCCATGTGGGGTACTTTCAAGTAAGTTCACGAGATCGTTAATGGGAAACTCTGCAGTAAAAATGTTTTGGGCGCTTATTAACATGTGTATCATTCACAAGCAAGATGTATCGCTTAAGCTCCACTTAACGCTCCTTATTTTCTCGTTCCGAACATTTCCGTTGTTATAAGGCTTGTACTCGTATAAGCATCTGTTGAAGAAAAATCCGCGGAACGTTAGCGAAGCGCTTTGTATACCAGAAGCGTATACCAGGTTTCTGTTCTTATATTTTACACCGTAGAAACTATTAGGTACATATAACATAACGATTAATTATGTATGTTAAACAGCATCTGCGAAAGTTGACAGTTCAGAAATCAGAACTAGCTTGATGCCATAACTTACCACGATAGCCTGCTACTCTTTCTTTTTAAGTTAGTGCAGTATCATGCTCCTAAGTTTACTATTCTGCATTTTTCTGGTGCAAAGAAATATTGGTTGTCCTTGTCATACGTACCACTTATGGGCTGCATTATGGTTTGATATCTCTTGTTATATGTTTTCTGGACCTTAAGTGTACATTTGTTTTGCCCCTGGATGGGTCGACTATACCATGACGGTAACTGTGTACTCTTCTATTCGTAGGAACGGATCGTTGATGTTGGACTACCACCCAGTGTTGTTCGTGTACACCGAACGGGATCCTTTGCTGCTTGATCTTGTGACCTCAGCACTTTTCCACCAACTTTCCATGAAGAACCAAGTGCGAAGCATTGACTTCCGTTCTACGCAGTATACAGTAACGGTTACGGTGAGCCAGGAATTACCAAAAATGATTCTGTCATGACTGGTCGTGCATTCGCTGTACTTGTGCTAATAGGTGGACTGCCAGACATTGCTCAGTGAACGCTCATGCATTGCGGGTTTGTTCCACCTGGACGAAGCGTGCAGTATGCCGAAGAATGACATACTTACTTTGCCAACTTGGTTGGTAAAAGCTTTATCTAAACGGAACGGATACCGAGCACCACTTCTGGTTGTCACCAGCAGCCGCCCTCCTGATGAATATGCAGAGAAGGTGACTAATCCAATCAGTATGAAACTAGAGGAAAAGTACGAATATTATATGTATATTTTCCATCGAAGCTATTGTTTTTATTTTCTTATAGCTTGTAGCTGGTATTTTGAAATGCATATTATTGATTCCATGGAATGTTGTTCTTTCAGATGCGGGAGATCTTTGGTGACACTTCATTGCAGTTCCGGGTGAACCAGCCTAATCTTGACCAGTTGAAAGAATTTTTTTCGGATTTATTCGATTCGCTGCACGACTCTGATAATGGCATTTCGGTAATTTGCAGTCTGTCTGTGGAAACACCTGCACGTATTTTCAGACACCTGTCCATATAATCTATGCTAACGGTTTAATTGTAGAATGGTGCGCCTGAGCGGAGCGGAAACGGAATACTCAATGGACAGTTGAAAAGGAAGCGAGCGAAACTCGCTGGTTATTTAAGTTCGGAGTTGCCAAAAATCGATGATCTTCTATCAAAGCATCAGATTTTGTCAAGGGCCATTTGGCAGGGCCGGAACGATCCCCACAAGGCAGATTTTTTTGACGTAAGATAGTGCTCTAACATTAGCAGCCGTAATTGAAATACTGCACACCACTCTATCAGTTATCGTCGTATAGGCATCATTGTCAAATGAACTTCGTTTGGCAGTGATGCCTATTTTAACGAACTACGTATTAAATAGAAATCCTCTTTTGCGAAGGATCTGTACTTATTAAATGAGCAAGCAGAGTTGCAAGTTGTAGAACATCTGAACGTCTTAACACTTTGTTATTAAAAATAAATTCTCGCACATAATCTGGTACGAAGTGCAAGGCTTTGCTGTGTATTAAATTTTAGGTATATGACTCTGCCCAAAACGATAAATTAAATTTTTTTGTAAAAACACTTACTTTGAGGATAATCATTGCTTCTAATCTTGGCTGGTAACTTGAAAGTGCTTGTAATGTAACCTGACCGAACTACGCGTACTTACTTCGTTTTCCTGAGCCAAACCTGACGGAAGTGTCGCAGATTCACGTGTTCGTTGTCGATGAACATTCAGAGTTTGGTTGGGATTTATAGTGGTGTGGTATGGACTTGAAAGGTAGCCAGTTGTTGCACTGATCACTTCACAGGTTCGCCACTATGGCATATAATTATCTAACTTTGAACAAAAGTTTCTAGTATTTCAGTGCTGTATTTTTCCACGGAATAACAAAAATGAATAAGCAAAGTAAAAAGTCGGCGTTTAAAAAACAGCCTGTTGCTTCTTGATTTGAATTTGGTGTTGTGGAAGGTTTAGCCTCTGCTCGCTTGCCGTATACGATTCACATGATCTAATTTCACTTTTTCAGCGCGTGAGAGAGTTCAGTGGACCGGATGGAAACGATAGTGATCGGGCATCACGCGCCAGCAGTAGCAGCGACGAAAAGAGTGGACGTGATGATATGGCTGGGAAGGGAACAAATTTTGGTCTCGGCAAGTCAGCCAAGAAGTGAGAACTTTTGCTTTATTTTGGCCGCCTCTGCTCTGCTCTCTTCCGTTTGAGTGCCAGAATTTTTAATACCATTCACTTGAGCTTTTGCTTTTGGAGGTCATCGGGATTTGTTGTTGATTACCTTCTTTGTTCCTAAACGTTATCGGAGTCGTTGTCTTGGATCACTACTTCTCTGACTACAGTAAGATGTTCCGGCTTTCGTTGTTTTTCTTTTTATTAGCTGGGTTATGTACCTGTGCTGGATTAAAATATTTACACGAGCATTCGCAAAAGTCTTATCAACCTGTTTTCAAATACTGATAAGTAAACAGCGCGATTGATTTTGTTGTGCTGGTAGGATGCGTACATATTATTAGAATTATTTTTGCGGTGTTTCTTATCGTTCCGAACGATGGCTGGTCATTGTCCGCTAACATTTAACAATTTCCAAAGACGAAAGCTATGGACATTGGCCGTGTCTTTTAAGGTCAGATTATGCATTCTGCGGCAGTCTACTTCGGATCTTGCATAATTACTTACAGTACCTATGCGAGCGATTGTTCGTTAGTGTACAGTAGCTGCATGCATGCATCTGTATCGATGGTATCGTGCTTCAGGTACTGTATGTATGACAATTGCTGCAGATTGTTTGCTTTGCAATGTCTTCTTCGTGTGATGTTCGCAAGAGTGGTTTGGTTGCCTCCTGGTTTATTAATTATTATGTATTTTATTTATCGTTAATTGAGAGTACTCAGCTATGAGTTTTGGGACAGTTTTCCCTGAACTTGTAGACCATAAGGCATCAGTTAGCAACAAGCGAACTTATCAAAATTTCGGATCCTTTTACTTGGGAACTTTGCATCAACTACAACCTTCGAAATTTTTTTGCATGTATTTTTAACTAATGTAAGTATCTGTACAGTACTCGTATGCGAATTGTGAGCAGATACCCTCAGGGGCCCAACGTTGCGCAGGCACCCAACTACGCCTGGTACCTACTACTTACTTGTACTACAGATTTCCGATCCAAAATGCAAAATATGGGCTGGCAAAGTTGATAATTCGACCTAAAGCACAAACCGCCGTACTCGTAAGAAAAGTGAACTTGAAGTGCCTACGGCCTACCCAACCTTTTTATACCTAGTTACCCACTTTGAGTTTACCCATAATTTTTAATTATTAGTGTTTTTAATATTTATCGATCTAGTGGGTAATGACTTGAGGGTGCAATTATTCATCTAACGCTGTTAATAGAGTAGTAAACTGATACAACTGTATCTGTCCATTTTAAACTTCATTTATTTGCACTTGCTCCACCATAAATTGTCCGAAATTTTGGTTTGCTCGTTGATTCTTTTCTTACGGTAAGTAGATAATTGCTGCTTATTGCAGCAATGCAGAGTTTGAACTGTTCTTACGTAATATTATATCCGTTAGCAACCGTACGCATAAACCGTAAACTGTAAAGTATTTTTTGCTTTACTGTTACTTAACGTGTTAAGTAACTTACGTTAAGTTTACTTGAGTAGCTACCTAGTTTGTTGTTGTCACTGTTGTGCCTATGATTAGTGCCCGATGTTGTTTTTCTTCTCAGCTCGGCTGTGATTTTGTTATAATTGAAAATAAAAATGCCTATCTGTCTACACAGGTGCAGTGCGTCTCTTACACATGGTCTTGAGTTTCGTGACTCTAGAGTATAAGTATTCGTTACTTGTTGTGTGAGCAAGCATTAAAGCATTTTACTGGCTTCTTTCGATATCTCCAGGCTTAAGTCAGAAAGTCAATAAGTGGGTAGGTTTTACGTAAAATTTAATGGGCAAAGCCGCAAATGGGCTCACTTTGACTTGCAGCAGAAGTCTAGCTCCTGCTGTACATACGTGCAGTACAGTACGAGTACTCAAGGTATTGATGTTTTTCTGTTAACGTTACCCTTGGGATAGCTTTTGAGAAGGGTATTACCGTATTCGTTGCCATTTTTGGGTCTTCCTCGCGCGCTGTGCTGCGCTTGATCTGGTTTGACATGTTGTAGAACATATGGCATAGTTTCACCGTCCACGTCAGACGTACTTCAATACAGTCGATAGATTCGATACTGCATACTCATATGGCGAGACATTTCTAGAATATTCTCGGCTTGCAGTGTACGAGTTTTAAAGAGCGCTATAAAAGTGTTGCAGCTTGCATCTTCATCGTCTGGGGCACACCGTTCTGCCAGTCGAACGTCGCATCGTATCCTATCGCTTCATTTTAATTTTGCGTTTTTTTAGATTGTGTGGATCAGTTCGTGCTATCCAAGCCTTGTTATTAAAGGTAAACACTTAGCGCTGCTACTCTCATATACAGAGCTTTGTGTTAAAGTACAGTTTTAAGTTATAATTATTATGTTAATTACTGTAAGTATTATTATGTGAGAAGATGTGAGCATTGTTGTTAGTTATCCTGAATAATTAGTAAGTAAAAATACGAATACGTGCTAGGGTAACTGAGCCTAGGGGACTATATTAATGCGGTAAGCAGCAGTTTTGATTAAAGGTACTGAGACAAACAAAACCACAGTGATAAATTGTTTCAGATATCCATTTCGATATTATTGTAGTATTGTTGTTGTCGTTGTCGTATCTCCTAATTGTAATCGGAGAATGTTAATGGTGTTCGCATTTGACTCCATTAGCTTGTTAGGTCCCCTTGACGGTGTGTTATCCTCTTCTGGGACCAAGAATAAGGTTATAATGGAAATGTTTTCTAATAAATTAAGTAATATAGTATAATATTTCTGACCATTTAGATGCAAGCGTTAGGGGATTAAGACAGTGATAAGCCGTAACTCAAGTTGTAGAACGTATTTCCAGGTCAGTTTTTCACATCCCCGTGTGTGCTCTGTGGGCTTGCGAACGTACTACGTAGTAGGTCAAATTAGGTAAAGGTTTTTGAATGTGAGCAGTTTTTGCACTTGCAACTTATATTCAGCAGAGTACTCGTTATATGTGTGTGACGTATGTACGCGATTGCATGAATAATAATTATCATTATTATTAATATTGATATTCACATTTCTCGAGATTCTGCGTAAACGCATAGCAACGGTACAAGATCGGTTGTCTGGCTGAGTCTGTTTTGTGTTGTTGTTGTTTGTCATTCAGTTAGTTGTTGTGGTCTGGAATATTATTAATAAACTTACGTAGTAAGTACTTCACATTGGCGTGAAGGATGGTAATTGCCCTTTCTGTTTAAGAGGTAATTGACTGGTCAAAAGTGGTAATTGACCATGTCTACGGGAGGCACGTCACCCGTGGGAGTAACAGGCACTCAGACACGCACGCCGAATACTGCGGTGTCGGGTGATGATGACTCCACCGGGTTGCCCAAATTAAGTAAATTTGACCCAGACACGATGAAGCTGGAAACGTGGCGTGTACAGTTTAATAGCCACGTGGAATCGTTCAAGATGACCGATGACAAGAAGAAGCCACTACTCTTGGGATCCCTGAATCCGAAGGCCATGGAGATGCTAGCCTCCATGTGCCGCCCGAAGGATCCAGGTCAGTTCACGTTCGAGGAACTGTATGAGAAGTTAAAGCTGGTATACAGCAAACGGACAAATATAAGAGTAGGATGCTACCTTCTTTTCGATTACAGAAGTCAGGTCAGACTTTGTTGGATTTTTCGAACGATTTAAGGAATCAGTGCGTCAAGTGTGATTTTCCAGACGCGTTTGTAGATGACCAGCTGTGTGCTGCATTTATGTCAGGTGTAGCCAGTGAAACTACGCGCCGTTATTTGTATACGTTGCCTGTATCGTCTGTTGAAAAATTCGATAAATTATACGAGGAAGCGGATAAGTATGAGACGAGTAAAGCAGACGCTACAGACGGTCGGTGGTAGATCGTCGTCCCCGGACGTAGCAGCGATAAGGCGCGGTGGATACGGTGGTCGCGGTAGAGGCCGAGGCGGTAGGTTCCGAGGATCAGGCCGTTTTGGACAGCGGTCCAGTAAAGCAGCTTGTTATGGGTGTGGTTCAACCGAACACATGAAACCGGATTGTCCCCATAAGAGTACACAGTGTAATAACTGCGGCCGCCGAGGTCACCTGGCAAAAGTATGCAGAGCGCCAAGAAGAGGGCGTGGTCAGAGAGGGCAGAGGAGAACAAATTATGTAGAAAGGATGCCGTACGACGTTTTACGTACAGGGCCAGTAACCCCGTCGTCAATTTTTGTCCCGTTAAATATTGACGGCAAGACTGTGAATATGGAGTTAGATACGGGATCGTCAGTCACGATAATGAGCAAGTTAACATGGCGGAAAGTTGGTGCACCGAAGTTGGAGAAAGTTGACTACTGTTTGCGTAGTTTTACTGGCCATGTCATTCCGTTAATGGAATGGTAGATGTGACAGTTACATGGTGGCGTAACGAAGTCACTTAAAGCGTTGGTTACTGAGCAAGGTTGCATAATTGGGCGCGATTGGATATCAGAGTTACAGTTAAGCGCGCTCAGTTTAAAGCAACTACAGCAAGGTACTGTAAGTAGAATTGAAGAGTTTAGCCTTGCAAAGATACTTCAGAAGTATAAGGCAGTGTTTAAGGACGAGCTTGGTTGCTGTAGAAACTTCAAAGCACATTTGTACTTGAAAGAAGGCGCTCGTCCCGTGTTTTGTAAAGCAAGGCCAGTACCGTTTGCTTTGAAAGAAGAAGTCGAGGAAGATTTAGAACGGTTAGTAAAACTGGGTGTTCTCACACCAGTTGATTATGCAGAGTGGGCTGCACCAATTACATCTATTAAAAAGCCTAAGAAAAAAGTGCGTATCTGTTCTGACTTAAGTACTGGCTTGAATGCGTCGCTGGATGTACACCAGTATCCTTTACCACATCCTGACGAATTATTTGCGAAATTAAATGGTGGTAAAAAGTTCAGTAAAATCGATTTACGAGAAGCATACGCACAAATACCGTTAGATGAAGAAAGTGCAAATTTGGTTGTCATAAATACGCATAAAGGATTGTTTCGGTACAATCGATTGCCTTTTGGCGTAGCAAGTGCGCCTAGTATTTTTCAGCAGTTGATCGAAAATATACTGCAAGGTTGTGAAGGTGTAGCAGTATATCTTGACGATATAATTATCACTGGTAAAGATGATGAAGAGCATATGAGAAACCTAGAGGCAGTGCTTGAGCGGTTGGAAAAGTTTGGACTTACTGTAAAGAAAGAAAAGTGTGAGTTTATGATGCCATCGGTCGAGTATCTTGGTTTTATAATTGATAGCACGGGGCGGCATATTTCTCAGGACAAAACCCGTGCTATTGTTGAAATGCCACCGCCCCAAGATGTGAGTCAGTTAAGGTCATTTCTGGGCATGGTAAATCACTATGCAAAGTTTTTGCCAAATTTATCTGGCCGTTGCAGTTGTTTTTATAATTTGTTAAAGCAGACAACTGTCTGGAAATGGGATAACGAGTGTCAGAAAGAATTTGAGTTATTGAAAAATGACCTAACAAATGCGACTAAATTAGTGCACTTTGATCCACAGTTGCCGCTTGTGTTGGCGGCCGACGCGTCTAAGTATGGTATAGGCGCAGTTTTGAGCCACAGGTTAGCTGACGGATCAGAGAAACCGATTGCGCATGTGTCTAAGTCGTTATCGCCAGCCGAGAAAAATTATGGGCAAATTGAAAAGGAAGCACTTGCTTTGGTTTTTGGGGTTAAGCGGTTTCATCAGTATTTGTACGGCAGAGAATTTCTGTTATTAACAGACCATAAGCCGCTGGTGACGATTTTCGGGAGTAAGAAAGGTATCCCCGTAGTGTCAGCAAATCGGTTGCAGCGATGGGCAATCATACTGATGGGATATACGTTCAGCATTGAGTACAGACGTACTCAAGACTTTGGTCAAGCCGATGGGTTAAGTAGGCTGCCGCTACGTTCAGTCGATTTGTTTGATAAAGAAGACTTCGGAATGTCTGAAACGGTGAATTTAGTGGAGACCGAGTTACTATTAGGTTTACCTGTATCTGCGGACATTGTACGCACAGAAACAGCCAAGGATGATGAGCTGAAACAGGTAATGACGTATCACTTAAACGGTTGGCCGAAAAACGTCGCTGAAAGGTTGTTACCGTACTCGCGAAGGCGCGAAGCATACTCAGTATGTAAGGGCTGCTTACTATGGAATAACCGTGTTGTTATACCACGTGTCTTGCGTAAGAGCATTACAAATTATTTGCATGCTACACATTCCGGCATTGTTAAGATGAAGGCTGAAGCGAGAAGTCACGTATGGTGGCCGAATATTGATGAAACGTTAGAAGAAGTGTCAGCTGCGTGTGAGATTTGCACGAAACTAGCGAAAGAGCCAGCCAAAGTTCCGTTACAGCAGTGGCCGGTGCCGCAGGGCCCGTGGCAGCGGCTGCATATTGACTTTGCGGGACCTTTCAAAACGCGAATGCTACTTATCATCGTAGACGCATATACGAAATGGCTCGAAGTGTTTGACGTTCGTAAAGCAGATACTGAGAACGTGGTGTTAATATTTGAAAATCTATTTGCTCGATACGGATTGTGTGATACAATTGTTAGCGATAATGGAAGTCAGTTTACGTCAGAAGAATTTCAGAAATTCTGTCAACAGTATGGAATTAAGCATCTGACCAGTGCACCTGGTCATCCTCAGTCTAATGGGCAGGCTGAGCGTTATGTTGACGTGGTGAAAAAGGGAATCGAAAAAGGAATGCAGTCAGGAAAAAGTTTTGCAGTCGCATTACGAGAATTTCTAAGTCGTATTCGCAATGTTCCGAATAGTACGACAGGAAAATCGCCGTGTGAATTGTTTCTGAATCGTAAGACCAAATCGGTGTTAGATTTAGTGCATCCGGAAAGTGCTAATTACGTAGATGCGCGTGCGAGACAGAAAAAGAATTTTGACAGAAAAGCCAAAATACGAATATTTACGGTTGGTCAGCACGTGCAAGTGAAAGATTTTCGGAAAAATAGATTGCGTGACTGGGCAGCAGGAAAGCTAATAAAACCGATTGGCAATACAATGTGGGAAGTTGAGGTAGATGGTGTAATACAAAGACGCCATAATAATCAGATTTTAGCTCGTAAATGGCTAACGGCGGAAGAGCATGTAGAAGCGCAACTAGCGGCTAAAGCGCATGAAATGTCAGTGCTAGTGCCTGTTAGTGTTAATGGCACACCAGTGGTCAGTGAGACCAGTGCACCGGCAAGTGTGCAGGAAGAGGCGCGAAGCTTGGTAGCTGCGCCAGCCGTAGTACAAGGGCGAAGCTTAGTAGCTGCCCAGGACAGCGTGAAAAGCGAGCCAGCAGTTCCTACTGTACCAGTATTGCCAACGACAAGCACTATCCCAAGTACGAGTACTGTTCCTCCTGCTCGTTCCATGGAAAAACCGCGGAAAGCGATTAAGCCAGCTCCTATACGTGTTGCTGAGCAGCCAGTGCGCCGTGGCGAACGTGAGCGAAAGGAGCCGGTCAGGTTTGGCGATTATGTAAAGCATTAACTTTCGCGAGATTTACGACTGAATTAAGAAAAAATTTATACGCTTAGCAACATATTGCTGCGAAGTACTGTAGTCGAAAAATATCGTAAGAATTATTCAGTTGTGTCTGATTCAGTTGGAAGTATCATTATTATTTTTAAGCTTTACTTACGTTATTGTCATATATTTATATTAACGGGTTGCTAAACAGTTATTTAATCATGCCTAAGTTGGTTAAGAAATTAGTTTTCATTTACGATAACCCGCGTCGCGTCACCAATCGGACGTGCTATCACTGCGGAAAACCTGGACACGTGGAGCGGTACTGCCACATGAAACGTACCGAGAAGAAGGATCCGACCTGGGAGCGTCAGCCCGCCAAGGAAGCCAACGAGGATCCAGCGTACGATGACAATTTCGAGGCTGAACCGGAATTGCCAGCGGATGGACCGGAAGGAAACGCCCCACAGAAGAACGCGTAAATTTTTTTTTTTCTTATTTATTTATATATTCGATTTACGTGTTTAAATCTGGTGTGAGGGTGTGACGTATGTACGCGATTGCATGAATAATAATTATCATTATTATTAATATTGATATTCACATTTCTCGAGATTCTGCGTAAACGCATAGCAACGGTACAAGATCGGTTGTCTGGCTGAGTCTGTTTTGTGTTGTTGTTGTTTGTCATTCAGTTAGTTGTTGTGGTCTGGAATATTATTAATAAACTTACGTAGTAAGTACTTCACAATGTGCGCTGCACACCTATCTGGGCTTTGTGGAATTCCATGAAGTTATTCATGTTTCTTCTGAGTTAAACAGGTTTATCTGTATCAATAAGCTAGCTTCGTAACCCATCGCGGTACCCAAGTCTACATAAGATAGCAGTAATTGTTGTTACCCATTCGGCCAACAGTCGGCAGCTGCGAAAAGTGCCGTGTGCAGCGGCTACGTTATACGCTTATAGCGACAGTCGCTTTTCATTTTGCGTCGGCAGCTGTGTGTCACGCTGCTATACTGTACTATTCTACGAATACTACTCGTACAGTGTTTAATATGTTAAGAATCTAAGATGCAGGCTCATGCAGCGAGCACGCACTAAACAGATTGAGAAACCATTTCGCATATCGATTTAACCCGTTGACGCCCATTGGTGTTAGCTGAGTACATACTACATAGTATGCAGCATAGAAAACTAATACAAGTACTGGGCGCTGGACGGTGTTACTCAGATTAACTGTGTTACCTAGATTGCGTTGCTACTTGTATGCTTCAGGTTTCGCATACATCTTACGCAGCTGGGTCTAACAATATTACTGCAGTCAACATTGGTTGGCCTGGCGTTACTCCCTAATCAATAAGTAGTGTTGATTGATCGATCTTTCGCTGTGTTCGTGAACGATGCACTCCTGCTCATCTCGTCCGTGCAGCAATACTGTAGCGGCTAGATGAAGTGGCTCCACAGAGTCTGGTATACGGGAAAATGCAAGCCCAATATGCACACATTGCTCCGTGCAGAATTGTTTTTGATTTCAAACAATTTTGACTCTGATGCTGACGTTCTACATGTTTTACCGAGTTTTCTTATTTTTAGCAACGTACAATAATTATTGTTAGAGCATAATGTCAGAGCTCTGATAGTTTTCAGTTTATAAACCTGGTTTGTTGTGGTTTTTGTGGTGCCCCTGGCAGGGGCAGGCAACAGTTAGTACAGTACTAATATCGAAAAGCAAAGTGTGCGCCTCCCGGTGGGAGGAAGGCTCGTGTTCAATGCCCGGCCAGAGGCAGGCAGCGGCCGGATCTAAAAGTGGAGCCAGTGGCCACTTCATCTAGCGGCTACAGTAGTTGAGAGTTTTTAATTACTGTATTTACACGATATTAAGGGACAGAGAACTCCCCAGGACCGCCCGCACTAGGCGTCGGCTCCATTGAGTATCTAATTATGAGTCTGTACCCGTGCAACTAAAATCTAAAGCGGCGCCAAAAAACCCATACGCCATGCGGGTCGTATGATGACGTAATCGTGCGTACCCGTGTGTGCGCCAACGTGCCACAGAAAATCATGTGCGGGGTGTGCTATTCTCGCATTTTGGAGTACAATATCCCCGCCTACGATTATGCTACATGGTGCGGAGCATAGCTGATACGGAAGGTGTCGGAAGCACTATACAGTATACTGTACAGAGGGAGCCTCTGCATAACTTTGTTGTCGCCTCAATTTTTTTAGTTTGCTTTCCTTTTACGCTCGGCAGGAGGTATAGTGACACTAGAAAACTGTCGTTTCAGGCCGCGTTTTTATGCTTGTGCATGGTTTAACATAGCATTTAACGTAGCTTGTGAATCGATAGTAATAAGGGCTCGTCCCAGATCCGAAGCGAAACTCGTTGCGATACAGCAAATCCACCTCGCGAGGTGGCTTCACGTACCGTACCTGAGGCTTGGTCACTGCATACAGCCACCTCGTGCGGTTAAGCAACCGTATCATAGCGAGATTCGCTTCGTATTCGGGACAAGGCCTTACATTTTATTTGGTTGACCGTGGAGTTACTGTACTGCACTGGTCTGTCGTGACTAGACGTCGAGCCCCGCCACCACTTGCCTAACGTTGCTTCTTACTAGGCATTTCTGTTGATTGGTGGACCCAAAAACTTCTTTATTGTCGCATTCGATTCGATTGAATTGTGTATCACTGTATGTGACTGCAGTGTGCACCGTGCGAGTGCTTCAGGGCAATCCATGAATTGCGTACGTAACTTACCAGGGGAGGAGGGGTGAGGGAGGGGTATAAATTGCTAGTTTCTTACGTACGTAATTTGTGGATGGTCCCCTATCTGAACTAGTTTCCAGCGATGAAGCATACTGCTTATCTGACGTACCAGTTTGCATACAGATAAAGCTCCATACATAAAAATCGTGCTACGGGAGCCTCTTCTAATGTAATAATTCGAGTTGCTTCTACATTTACTAAGCAGAACTGCTTGATTTCAGGGAGCCTTGTCCAAGAAGCATGGTTCAATGGGTGCCTTATTTAAAAAATGATTTGCATTTTTTCAGACGCGTTGGCAAAATTCCTTTCCTATCCTACACGCCAAGGCAAATTTCTTTTATAGCAACCCTTCCCTGTTGCTCAATCTAGCCATGTCTTCGTCTAACTCCAGCTGCGTTCACTGCGGTTTCCCATTTCGCCGGTAAGCAAGTTCCACCTTCATTACTGTACCAACTGGGTGTGGCGTTCCTTATTTCATGGTACTGGTAACGTTTATATTTTACGACAAACACGTTGCTGTACGCATGCTATAGTTTAAATGCTTCCGCCGTCCTTGCACTGTGAAGCTAATTCATCGTAAAAGTATACTTTTGGCAAACACCGCCAGCTGGTCCAGTGTTGAGTAGTGTCACACGATTGTCATGCAGGGTTTGATTTTATCTCACCGTGTACGATGTGCCGTTCTATACTGATAACAGAATGCCCAACTCTTGAAATAGCGCTACACTTAAGAAATCTTCATAGTGAGATAATTTCCAGTGATATAATTTCCATAGTCAGAAATCTGCGATTGCCAATTTGAGTTCGCCTCCAATTAGTGTGTTTCACCCGTAACTAACAGTCTTTTGAAAATGGTCTGATGATCGGTAGGCAATTTCGAATTCAACCGTGGGCAGCAACTGGTAAACAAAATCTGAAAACTAATACCGTGCGCAAATAATGACAAAAACCGAGGCATGCGAGTTCACTTTGAAACGATTGCACCCTATTACCCTACTAACTACCTTGCAAAGGCGAATTCTGCTATTAAGAGCTTATCCGGCAAAATAACCTGTGCATATCCAGGTAAGATCGTGTAGCTTTTTTCGTTACTGGCTTATTTTAAAAATTTTTTTTAGTAATTGCGCGCTTGGTTTCTCGATGTAGCAAAGCGTATCAATTAGGCCATACCTATAAAAATGGACATATTTTGGGTCTGTAAGCAGACGTGGTTGAGAAAACTGATTTGTTTTGATCGCATTAAGTTCTCTTGTTCCATTTTTTACTGAACAGAATTATGTTTTGTCGTATTTGACCTACCATACGGGTGCGCAACTTCGTCTCAAAAACGGCAGGGTCGTGTCTAGCTACGCATTGTTTAATCTTTTGTTAACTTAATTCAAAAGTTAACTTAATTCAAAATTTAACTTAATTCAAAATAACTTAACTTAATCTCTTTACGTTCCGACCACCGGTCCACCGCCGGGCTAGACGCAGAGGTCCTATGGTCTACCTACGAGAAAGGAAATTGAGTCTTTTTCTTAATCGCCATAAATTTCCAGTAAAATTTAACGGGAACGGGAATCTGCTAACCCCCGGTCAGAATAAAGAATAGAGGAAGTTGTTGTATTATGTGAATCTGAGGGTCGTTCCCTATACTAACTCATTTCGGCGGTAAAATAAGTTTTATTACGGTCAACGGTCAGTCCAAAGCAGTCCAGAACTTTCGTTGCGATACAGCAACTCCACCTCGCGAGGTGGCTTCGCGTACCGTATCTGTAGGCGTGGCCACCGCAAACAGCCACCTCGTGTGGTTGAGCAACCGTACCATAACGAGATTCGCTTTGAATCCGGGACGAGGCCTTAAATCTAAATTTACTCAAATCACCAATTCGAGTTGTTAACGAAAATGGGTTATCGATTTCGAGGTCGCTCAGGTTTCGAGGTCGAAAACGGTTTTCCCCTTTATCCAGCTTGAATTTCGTTGCTTTAAAAAGGAATCGCTTCCAGATAATGTTATCCTTACGAATCCTTTGCTACATACAAAAACTTTGTTGCTTTGATTTTACCTCCAGATCTTATGAAGAACCAAAACAACCGGTTAAACGTCAAATTTCTTGCCTTTGTTTGCATTCGTTTGAATATCGGTTGGTAGGTTTTGTTAAATGTGCAAGGGGCGACTGGTGATGTCAGCAGGTTGATTGCAAGCTGGGCGTGGCTATTTGAGTAGGGAGAATTGCTTATTTGCCGTTTTCTCATAACTAGTTATACTTCGCTTGGCCCATTACTTCAGTCAGTTCCTTATACGAACCAATTTGTTAATGACCCAAAGGCTTAGCTTTTGACGTGTTGGATTTTACAAAAAAAAATTTTTTTTGGATTTACATATACAGATATTGCAATTCCTGAGAATATTCATCAGAAATACAGTATAACAAAAACAGTTAAAAATTCGAACATAAATTCCAGTAACGTCCCATGAGTACCGGCCGGCTCTATCAACATCTCTGCCATTAAAACACTACCTGACATTTTCTACGGAAATAGCTCCGTCAGGCGTGGATGGGAAAGGGAAATAATCTGGATAAACAGGAAGGGGATACAAACCACTTGAGATACCACTATACTATATCTATATTAGGCTATTAGCGGTTAGCCCGACCAGTATTCTACAATAGCAACATGCCAACAGCTATGAAGTATGCCCGTATTAACAGGCATACCGTAAACCACACCCCTAAATGGTGTCAATCACAGGCGTGTATCATTTTGATTACAGGTTTCCCATAGACCGTTCGGAAACCAGCCGTATTAAGAAATTGATCAATAATACGCGCGGCCTCTCCACAGTCTGGAGATCTCTTCAACCAAAAACTTTTGAAAAAAATGTGATACCACAGTTAGATCGGCCGTGGTCTAGAACTGCGTCACATGACTTTTGTTTTTGAATACGTCCGGTCAGAATCGTGCCCGCACGATGCCGCAGACGATCCAACCGAGTTTCAAGGTCCAACCCAGTTTCAAGGTGACCTTGAACTTAGAAAAATTTTGCTTGGAAACAGTACGCAGTATACATCATTAAAGACGCAAATTAAACGGAATAGACTGAACTTTTTTTCGTATAAAACCAACCAAAAAAATTTAGTAACCACAAGTTAACCTATTGATTTTCGTTGTCGGCACATTTGTAAAAATAATAATGGTAGGTTTTAACCATACGGACAATGCGTTACAAGCAAGTACTGTAGTCTGTAAGTGCTGTAGTCTGTAAGTTTGTTAATCGGGCTGTTCGATTTTGGTAGAACCACTGTTCTAAACAATTGCTAAAAGCGAGGAGCCGCATTTATAACAGTATTTTAAATTGAGTGAGTGACCGAGCTACCACTACTGTCCAGTGAGCAAAATCGCTAATTCAGTAACTGTGCTACCGAGCTACCACCGACCGAGCTACCACCACTATCAAGTGATCAAAATCGTAACGTGAATAAGTGACTGAGCTATTGGCCGTGGATCACAAGAAACGCGGAGGCGAAGCCGCAGCTGTTTCTTGTAACTATATACTATACTGTAGAAAGTCTACTTTCTACACTTTTTGGAGTACAATATATAGGTCCTGCAACGGTGTGCAGGCCTGAATGAAAACAGGTGACCAGCACCACTCTTACGAAGAAATTCCTTAACAAATATGTATTTTCCCAGAAAAAGAGATCATTTCTTTGACAGATTTTAATATGCCGTTCACACGCGAACCAAATCTTCGACCGAATGCTCTTGCAGGCGATCCAAAAAATTTTCTGTCAGCATATTCGGAATCAGCGTTATTGGTCTAACTACAATAAGCGTCCAGATTGCGAAAACAAATATTTTTGCCTGTGACTCCACTGCCACCACCCAAGGTAACATTGGGGTGGTTGGGGGCCGGCAGTCAGAATTTCGTTTTTTCTTTTTCAACTTTGAAAAGTGTTTTCTCGAAACGATATTGTACCTCCCTTCCACGGGTGGCCGTTATGTGAAAAAATAATTTCCTTGTTGGCTGTGGTTGTGGGTTGGTCTCGCTGAAAAAATTGCTGTACTAGTGCTGTCGGTTAGACTGCGCGCATCCTCGTATTGTTAAGATTTACATATCCAATAGAAACTGCTTTCCTCTTTCTGAATTTGTATTGCACAGAACTGTAGTTTAAACCGTTTTTAAGCCTTAATTTAAAAACGCAGACAAAGCAAACGCTGATCGACTTATTTGCCTGATATAACCGGCTGACCATGATTCACCCACTTCAAGACGTGTTTAGGTAAAAAAACGTCGTGACAATTCCTGTAGAGGAATTGAATACGTAGGCGGTGGTTATATCATTATTACATAATAAAAAAATATGCAGTGAAAATTTGAAAAAAAGCTTAATTTTGTTCAAATTTAAAATGATTTTGAGACGACTGTAGAGTTTTACAAAGGAGTTTAAGTAGATCGAAAAAGTGCATCCATACCACCGGCCATCGCTTCCAGTGTTCCCTTTCATTAGGGCTACACCGGTGACATGGGTGCAGTTTTCCGATCTATTTGGGCTTCCTTTGTAAAACACTGCAGTCGTGCAAAAGAAATTCGGTGTGGATACTGAAGAGGAAAATACCATCTCACTGATGCCAGTTAAATCGGAACCATGCGTTCATCTGCGTACGAGTTGTCTAGGGCCAACGTGGATTTTCTAGGGTAGAATTTCGGAATGCCTGAACTATTCTGATGTATAGCAATACGTTATTTTGACATGCACTGTTCATCCTGGACACAGCATTCTGGTCCTGGGAAACGAGCAGTTAAGTGTTCCAGTTCAATAATTTTTTTCTGAGCGCAGATAGTATGGAGAGTGTGGTGAGTCATCCGCTAATCCAGTCGCAGGACAATACGAATGCAAGCCTGCTACCCTTCGTGTATGATTGTTGTTGGAATACCGACAGTCTAGCTTTGCGATACATGTACTGCTGTACAGCATCTTTTCACTACTCAAATGGGAATCCGACAGAGAATCGGCAACTGAACAGACAGGATTGAGGCTGACCTTTAGTGTCCTTTGCTTTCCATCTTTTCCCCGTTAGAGGATAGACAGACGCAAAGGCTCAGAACAGACAGAATCATTCTGACCTTTCACTTAGAGAGTTCTGACTTTTCAGTTACACGCTGGATCCTATACTAATATAATATATAGACAGACTACGTCTGCCATATGTTATACTCGTATTAGGCTTGCCCGTTGCAACCGTGCAGCGCCTACGTAAAACTGGCTGCGGGCAGTGGCTTAATCAAATTCCTTACAATAGCAGACCTCAAGCATATCCAGCTTTATCATTCCCAGCCTGGTACTGCTTTAACAATTTTTTGGGTTCGAAGTCCAAAGAGATAAGCAATAACCAATAACAACACATACCGATGGACTTATGCGAGCGATGTTTGAATGCTACGCTTACTAGTCACGCATCACCGGTAAAATGCATTTATCGTAAGACGACTTGCATGAGTGGCACCGGAGACTCGGAGAGCAGCGAAGGGATAAGGAATGAGAAATAAAAGGAAATAATATTCAAGAATTTTGACTAAAAGAACCTCATAATTCATGATGTCCTTACAGAATAATTGTTGCTTTAAATTTTCTACAGAGAAGTTGCTAATTGCACGTATAAGATGGAAACAATTAGCGCGATGGATCAGAATGTTTTGCACCGCTCTTCTAAAGAATGTGCTGGGATATTTTTCGCAAACAAGGTTTCGCCTTTGTCAAGACAAAAATTAATTAATTAAGCAGATCAGTTAACTATTTAAGCAGATCAGTTGTTAATTAGGTGTCAGTTCATTTTGTGGCGCTGAATTAAACTGGAAATGTTTACCGCTGTTAGCCGACATCGCAGCATGAATTAACTAGCGCAGTGCAAACTGTAATTGTAATTAGCGTACTTAGATAAATTACCTAATAGTCTGATAATAGATTAATTTTAATTGCTCATTTAGACGCTTATATATATGTATTAAAGTGTATGTGCGTAGAAGAAGACTAATGTTTTCATGACTTGCTGCCTGATGCCGTGATGCGTATTTGCAAAACGGAGCTGTTCACTCGGGTATTTGTTAAACGTGCCGTATCTTTTCTTCGACCAGTTAAAAAACAGATCGGTTCGGAATGTTATAATTATAATCCTGGTCAAAACAAAACCAGACTGGAGATAAGAAAGCCAGAGGTGATTGAGGACGCGTAATAATACTCGTACTAGTACTTATTTTGGACGGTCATGAGCGGAAGTGCGGAACTGAATCCTGGTCAGCACACACTGCGTTCCTGTATGGGCTGCTGTTTACGTGTTTATTAGCTTTACTTTGATTTTTCTCGTGGTTTGCCCTCTTAAGTAAGTTTGTGATTTCTTATTTTGCTTGCCGGTCACCCCGTGCGGCGTGCTGTATAAATATATGCTGATCGCACGACTTAGTTGCCTTTCGCCTTGTTTTTTTGCTGCTCTGTAGTCTTAGAACTAGTCGTTTGTTGAAAACTAGAATTGTTAAAAATGGAGTATGAATGCGTGGAAGATTATCAAGATTCGTTCTTTCCTTGCACCTCGTCTACTTCTTGTTTTTTTGTATTTTTAGGAAAATTTATTGATGTTTGGCCTTCGAAAGTGATAGGGGAAGATTTTACTATGAAAAGTACTTAGTCATCTCCGTAATTTAACTTTGTTAAAAAATTTTAACACCTGGTGAGCAAGATATTGTAAAGTAATATTGTGTAGTAGAGTTTGTTCAACTTGTTTGCACCGAGCGCGAAGCGCGAGGTGCTGCAATTACTAGTAACTGATCGTCAAGAGCAAAAATTTGTCTGGCGCCACGAAGAGCGTCACGGCTCACTTTTCCAGTTCCACAAACACAGCACCACTACTCAGTGGTACTGCCGCTCGTGCAATAATGTGGTTAACAACCTCCGCTAGTATTGAATTAAACTACCAGCTAATTGTAATGTAGTAGTAGTATTAGTTACTATGAGAACAGGGTCCCGGCAGTCCTATTTAATATAAGTTTTTTAATGAACCTCTACTCCAAAGAACGCGCCGGGTTCGCCGGTCCATGGTAACGGAAATCCATATTTGGGGAAGCTCGTGTTTGTGAATTAATTAAAGTTTTAAAACACGTGGGTATTGCTGCTTGACGTGCAGTAATATAAATAATAAATAAGTTAAATAGCTCGATTTAGTTTAAATTTGTTGATTGATTTAAGTTGTTTGGAATTTAGGCGAGATGATAGGGATCGACACATCAAAGAACACCACGAAAAAAGGAACAAGGTCAGATGCCTTTTTTGCCGAAGGACTGTGCTCAAGTAAGTGACCGCTCGCGTATATAGGAACAGATTGCTTTTCAGTTCTTGTAAAATGATTTAAAAATCGCTTTAAAATATGGTACGTATCGATAGCACTAAACTTCTTATTTAATTTGAGTTTTTACCGGTAAAACTGATCGAGATGGGTTTTGCTTTCAGGCGAGCCGGATTTCGTCACTTGAGATCAGCCCGCTGCCAGAAGCGTCGAGCGGAACTTGGAATTGATCTTGAACGTGAACTGGCCCGATTGGCTCTTATTGAGATTAACCAGGAAGACGCACCGGATCCGTATTCAGCGACCCCGTCACCGCTATCGGTGGAAGCAGGCCTTGCCGATCCTGTTTTTGACGCATATTCTCCTAGCCGCGATCCGTTTCTGTATGAAAACGTAGAGGAGTGTGGCGTCGATGCCTCGGACCCAGAATTGGAAAACATCGAGGTAGTCCTTGATGGTTGAGATAACTTCGCATGAACGCATACGGAATTCCAGCGATGCATTTGCATTTGGCATTTAGAATCCCTTGCCGTGTATTTTTGTACTCTTGTTAAAGTTTTTTTCGTTTAGCTGTAGACTGTTTAACCTTAGCACCTTGGTTTCTCTGCATTTGGTATACGGATCAAATTTTCAGTACCCTTTTACTTGTTCGCTTTAGATCTGTGGCTCTGTACTTACGTTGCTAATTGTGTTTTTTGAATCTGGTATTGCTGAGATTATTACGATGGTTCTCCTTGCTGAAGTAATAAACATGGCCGGAACATTTGAGCGGAACAGTTGAAACCGTAAGATTTCGAAAGTGTAACAAGTACAATAAACATTAGCCTTCATCTTGAACTACTGCGATACACATAGATTGTCCAGTACGTAAATTGGGTGATTGCAAAATTATCAGTAACTTTAGTCAGCATGTTTTACAAAAGGCAGCGCCTAGCGTCCACATGCTCGACCAAAGCGCAGCGAAGGTCCTCTGTGTTCAGGAAAACGGGGTTTTTGTCGGTCACGCACAAATTAAAAAAATTTATTTGATTAATATAATCTCGTACATTTTATTTGGTTATTTTATTGTCTGGCTTCGCTTCGATCGGTCTTTTAGTGCTAGTCTGTAGCGGTGCACTTTCCTGGTCTACGAGTAGATGAAGTATCCATTTCGTTACAAAATGCATTTTTTCTGGTGCCAGAAGCCGAAGAAGCAACGCCAAAACTTCTCTTCCAATTGCAGACTGCCAGTATGAATTCAGATCTGCGCCTTTTCTCGATAATTCTAGCAAAACCACTGCGGGTACGAGTTTTAGTTAACGCGTTAGCGAACTGTGGTACTCGTACATATGCCGTGCGTGCCGTTTTAAAGTTGATAGATACAGTAGGCTATTTAAAGTTAAGTAACTGTAATAAAACAGATAAAGAGTCTATGACGAGGCCTTTTTACGTTATTAGAACGGTTTACATTACTTTATTTTTACGGTTTACTTTATCAGTACGGTTGCGGCTTACTTTACTTTATTATCATTTTTAATCGAGAAATTCCGCTAATTTGATGGGGATGGTGTGTGTGGTGCGGCCTGTCCGCTAATTTGTTAAAGGAGATCGGCCCAAAATTGTACATTAGAATGGGATATAAGGCCGCTCCACTTGTTTTCACCGGTAAGTCTCAAGATTCAGCGTGGAAATGCTCAGAATGTGTTGGGTACCGCTCCTTCTTCTGTTAACTGGAACGGATTTTTTCTTTGAGATGTTGTCTGAGCTGGCGCTGCCGTTCTTAGATTTACTGAATAGTCTCTTCACCACAATAAAATTAAAGTAATTAATTCACTTCTCACGAACTTCTAGAACGTACGAAACTCGAAACCAAAATATCATTATCAATCCTAGGCCTGCGTCAGTTAGCAATATCAACAGTCGCAAACAGTTAATAACAGTATTTACTTTGAACACTCATGACCTTTATGTACCATCTTATCCTGCGGCTTGCAATATTCATGGAATTCTGAACACCGCGAAGCGTCACGGCAGAAATCATCAGAGATCATGAAGGCAAATTCACTGGAATATGAATTCTAAATTTAAAAACTTAAAGCGCCGGCACCGGAAGTTGCTTTAGAATTTTCATCAGTTGATTTAGCGGTATGGGTTTGAGAAGGTTTGGATTAGACCTGGAATTGAAAAATTTTAATACTCGTAGGAGACAATTTAGCTCCAGGAAGGCCAATTCTTGAAAAAAATTGTACAGTTGTACATTCTAGCTTACATTTTGTGTCCAGTGCATTCGTCATCGCTGAAATACTTCTTTGAACCTAAAGCATAGAAGAAAGTTAACAGTCTGATTGTTAGAACTGCAATCCTACGTACAACACATGCAATACACCGCAATCGCAGTCGATCGCACAGAATTACAATACACGGGCAATATACTGTAGTGCCACTGAAAATAATAAAATGTGGCGCGCTCGGTGTGTACTCATAATCAAACTTCCCAAATGGTTAAACACGCACTTGATAAAAATAATTCACACCTGCCCGACCCATTAAAACAGATGCATAAACAGCTATAAATAAGGTCAGACTTTCAAATTTTTTTAGAACGTAACTAGCATTAGTTAAAAATATCCTTATAACGGAAAAACTGCATTAGCGACTTCGGTTTATATTATATTATATGTGGCACCTGCAACACGCTTAGAAACTTAAATTACTGTGTGCACAAGTGCACAACTACTGTACAACTGCAAAGTATTTGTAGGTAGTAGCCTCACATTTATCGAAGATTGCTTTATCCTGTACGCTGCAGCATTCGTACACTTTGACATAGTTATCTTTTTTTGACGGTTTGTCCGATGTTGCATCAATAAACGTTGCCACAGCCATCCTGAAGAGGAGTAATGCAAAGTGGTCACATTAAATTTTACATACATGTAATCTTAAGCAGAGCTACTTATCACAATTTACAATATATATAGTTTGATTACGTACGAACTACGAAGTATTTATTTATATGGCGATCCCGCATCTCACTTGCATATGTAACCTGACTGGCTTAATTCTTTTGTGACCTTTGGACACGCGAAATCGAACTGCTCAGAAGCCGTTCAGTTCCGATGCTGTGCCTTTCCCATGTATTGTGTGTTTTTGCTTCGCACTGTATATAATACGATTATACACTATGCTTTTTGCAGAGAATGTGATGCCTGACCCCTCACCTTTGGCCCGAATTTTCTGGCACCACGCGCTGGATCTTCGCCACTAACGCCACTAAGTGAAGGCGCACCTGTTATCGTTGACCACCGAATGTTGTCTTGATTAAGGCGACTTCTGCACAGCAGCAACGAAACTGGCTGAGCGGTAAGCACTATGAATTCAAAATACCCTACCCTAGTGAATGAACGACGGCAAATGTTTCGACCGAGCCATCACTACTCCGTGTGCGATTTGTCAGAATTTAGCCTGCCAGTATGTAAGTACCGTATTTTAGTTTATCCCATTGTAATGGTGTTATTTGGGTTTGCAGTTCAGCAGTGACAGACGGCACGGTATGCCCCGGCGGGCCGCTGACAGCAGCTGCAGCACTGGTCAAGGCTGCATTCATCCAACGCCTAATGTGCCCAGTTGCTCGTAGGTCTGTGTGTGAGGACGTACCGAACCCAACATACCACGCGTGGACACCTCCAGGCGTGCTCCACTGCAGCAGCTTTTATACTCGTACATCACAACTGCCGATTTCCGTTGAGTCCACAGCTATACCGCCATCTACGCCGATGGTCTCTGCAGCTGTGAAGTGCATGATGCCCAACATGCAATACACTGTTCGCTGTTTATTAAGAAGGGTGCTGCTACAGGGTAAAAACGCGTCGGACTGGTTGCCGGCAGTCTGCCCAGCGTGATGAGCGCTGGGCGAGTGTCCACTGGCAACATCATCAACCGGCTTCTTTCAATCAGCACAGTGCTCCGCAAACCACTTGTTGAAGGTTCCACGTTTTGTAATTGTGTACCGGCGACGAGACGGTTATCGACTGGATCGATGTCGGGAAGAATTTGCTGGCTCACTAGTGACTGCTGTCTCCGGCTACGCATGGGGAGCGGTTTTGTTTAAAAAAGAAGCCGACGAGGCGCTGTGCGTACTGGTTGCTGAATGCTGATGGTGATGGACATCACGGCTGCCTCGATCGAATGTCCGGTACATCGCAATAATCGCACATGGTGTCGAGACCTTTGTAAGCGCATAAAACAGAGTTAGTAAAGCTAATTTCGGTTACAGCAGCGGAGGTGATTGCGAAGTTTGACTATTTGGTTGATCAGTGTCCAGCCTAGAAAAGCCAATGGGGAGTGTCGATGAGATGTGCGCAACCCCGGTACTGTAGAAACAGAGTGTTTTCGATTCGATCTAGCACAGCGTTTGTGCGTTTGTGTTTAATATATTTAAGTTTGATGCGGAGTTGTATTTTATTCTTAATAACTAAATAGCAAGTCGTTCTTTCCTCCCGCTCACCCTCTTCGCCGGGGACGCCTTTGACAAAATAATTAAACTTCGAAATATATAAGATACAAATAGCAAGTGGAACTGGTTGTACTGAATATTCTACCAGAAAAGTACAGATAGAGTACTTACATAGCCATACAAACTGAACAGTAGCAAGTGTACAGTATTGAACGCATTTAAAAGATTATTATATTTTGTAAGTTCAATATTATTCCGAATGTCAAAGAAAACAATAAATAAAATCCAGTAAAATATGAATTAATTTATTCGTTTGCGAGTAACTTACGTAAGGAGATCGCCAAGCGATTTCGTAGTTTCGGAAGGAAACTGTGATGCAGACCGCGCTACTCTGCATAGCGCCGGCTTCTTGCAGTTGTTGTCAGAGTGTTGCAATGCGATCACAAGGCCTGGGACAATCTATAATTCGTTTAGTGCTTAATATCACGTTGAAACTTTTATCATTAATTATAAACTAATTAAAAAAGAGCTGCTTTACCAGACAGCGGCATTGATCTTTCCTTCATTACGAAACTGTGCGAATCTTGGACATCGGAACTCAGGTACCGTACTTACGCTTTTTAACAAGGAGTGCGATTCGTCCACAAACGGTTTCAGGTCTAGCCCGCCAATTTGAACCGTTCTCTGGCCATATTCCATCAGCGAAGTTATCAACTGCAATCATTTGTCGAATTTACATTGCGATGCACGTCGGCAGTTAATTTAGGCTGTACTTCTGATTACATTACGTGTTGCATTTTTCTGATCATTGGTTACTATCAAAAAATAATTAACGATGTCTGACTACCGTAGTATTTTGCCATGCAAACTTATTTATTAACTTTTAAATAATAATAAATTAAAAAAGAGTCTTTTCAGTAAATCAAGTTGGCCGGATGTAGATTGTAGATAAGTACTAATTAAAAATTACTCCCAGAATTTGCACAATGATTGGCAACATTTTTGTCCTTTACGGCATCTAACAGCAACGAGTATAAATAAATTACCCATTATCAACATATGAACATGAAATGGCGGATAGTGCATCCAGGCATTAATGTTATGACAAGGCAAAAATATTATAGTATTTGGCGTTTTAATTATTGTACAACAAATCTCAGATAAATACATCGGAATATATTTCTGTTGTACATGTTGACAAAGTATCGTTGTCGTTTTTTTAATATGTTATTCGATTTTCACATGCTCTGTAGATGAGATGCAGTTTACGTGTACTTTTTTAAGTACTGTTTGGACTTTTGTTTGATATACTGTTGGAAAAGATAAAATTTGCTTTGAATACAAGCCGCGGATATTGTCGTGTAATCGTGTAGGGTCAAACAAACCCTGCACTTGATGAAGTACTGTACAGTATGTATTGTACAATATGTAAGTGTACTCGTAATGAATCTTGTTTATTTACGATTAATAGTGCAGATTTAACTCGTACAAAGTGATTAATTAGCTATAATACCCAACGGTTTATCTTGGCCATTTATTGCTAATTGCTGATCGGTACCACAATTCGTAATAATATAATTAATAACAAGTATTGTTGCACATTATGTATAGGTTCAATGTTTAAGTTCAATGTTAAATCGAAGTGAAGACATTTTGTACCTTCTGAAAAAACTTGACTGCATTAGCCGCAAGCGGATTGCCACCAGGAAGAGTACTACGCATCGCCATATTGACCAACTGCGATAAATTGTCTAAATTCGCGAGTCTTGCCAGACTGAGCTTTCCCTCCGAATACTCCTTGAAATACTTCGCGCCCAGGTCAACCAGAAACTCCCCGGTTGCGTCCATCATTTTCGGCACGGAGTCGTGTTTGTGAGCATTGTCCTTGATAAATTTTGTCGCATCCTTAATTACGCTATCCAGTACGGTTGTTGTTTTTCCTGCTTCGCATTTACTGCTTTTGGCGTCGCAGTAATCACTGCTTTCCGTAGTGTGCTTGGCGTTTCCCGGCTCGTTCTTAATGGAGTCGGTGCGAAAGAATTCTTCAACTACCGCATCCTCGTCGGCGGTTTCTTCGGCTTGAGAATAGCAAAGAAGGCAACCAAATAAGACAATCCAGTAAAAATGCTTATTTTTCCAGTTCATGGTTACCAAATTTCGGATGTAACCGCAGTTGTTGGCAAAACGATTTAAGCTTATACAACTCAATATCTCGCATACAGTTATATAGGTGTGTATACAAACAGAGCAGTTAGATTTCTGAATCAAATCTGCGAAATACAAGCGTAATTCTTCAACAATAAGAACAAGTCCAGAACGCTGATCTCAAAGTATTGTATGTTAACGACAATTTACTTTTACGGCGAAATTCAGTGAAAGCATCAGTTCACAAACGCGCAAATCCAAAAGGCCTGGAGGACAAAAGTGATGTTATTGACCGTGAATCTGTGATCATGATGCGTTTTGTTGGATGCACCGTTGTGTAGTGTATGCACCGGTACGCATACTGCAAATGTACAGTGCATTGCTAATATTAAAGGCAAAATTAATACAGTACAGTACTTACTTACTGCATCCGTAAATTCTGTAAATTATTTCATTGTATCATAATAATAGCATGTATATGATACAATGAAATAATACAAAAAACGTCGCACCGGCACTTTGGTGGATGGTAGCTTATTGTCAGATGTTTTGTATTTCTTCGAACTGTGTTAGCTATTAAATTCATTAAAAACCGTACGAGTACTCATTACAATTAATGTTAATAATTATCAGAGGTCCGCATTAAAAAAATTTTCAAAACACTGCAGTATCGTAATTTTCTAGCCTATAGTCTGCGGTAATTTTTACAGTTCTATAGAGGATAGTTAGTATAAAATATGGACGTATAAGTATGTCACAACAATAATTATCATTAGCCACCACTCATCCGCCAGTACTGTACAGGTTTTTGAGTTGGATTGACATACGAATTCTGTAGCTATACTGTAACACAGCCACGGGATGTAATATTCTTAACTGTTTCTGTTATTTCTGTTTTTTTTTGTAAATTTTGCATTCAGATATCGTGATAAAAATTTTAAAAGTCAATTGTAAACATTCCAGTTTGATTCAGTTTACGTTGCTTTCCTTTTTATTGCACACATTAGTTTTTGCGGAAGAATTTGGAATATATCCAAATCCTTAACCATACAATAAAATCCCAGTCATTCATAGTAATCTCAAAAATATTTTTCGCTATAAAAACAAATGTACTTTCTGTAAACAAATTATTTGCCCACATATAAATGCGAATAATCAAATACGGAGCATTTTCCAGAAACAAATTCAGCATCTGATGAATCATGGTCCAGATCATGGGCGGATTTTTATGAGCAAAATTGGTGGCACTCAATTGATACAAGCCGACACTTGGCAGAAAAATTTGAATGGAGATGAGCACCAGTATCGTGATCTTCAAAGCAGGTCCAATATTATTGTGCGCAGCTTCTTTACTGCCGGCTTCATAAACGTATTCCAGCAATTCCACCGAATCGATGATGTCCATCAGCACCCGGCCTTTCATATAGTCAATCACAGTTTTCTGACCTTTCTGATGGCGAGGTATCCGCTTGTGTCCGGAGACGACAAATGCAAACACTCCCGCCGTGCTGACAAAAGCCAGCTCCAGCATGTTGGATCCGAAGAGCATGTTGGGGTTTAAAGTGCTACCGAAGGTCACCAGAATGACCTGCATCTTGGCGATGAGTACACCGGCATACACCGCCCAGCTTATGTAAGCTAATGGCAGCGCACCCAGTTTGTACTTGCGTCGGATACGGCCGACGCTTAAACCGCTAATAATCTTGTCATCCCGGACTTTAAGTTGGCCTTGCAGGGTGTGATAGGCTTCCGCCACATCGGGGAAAATGCTAATGGATGAGGCGGTAGAGGTTTTTGAGTGGTTGTCCGCATCCAGCCGGTTGACTTCTGCAACGGCTGTCCGCTTCTGATTGTCAGCATCCTCTTCGTCGCTCTTTTCGGCTTCTTCGAACAACTCGGCCATGGTGGGTTCATATTTGTACTCCCAATCAACAGCATCCGGTGGAGCTGATCCATCCAGTTCATCTGTTGACGCGTCTCCTAGAAGGTGTGAAAAAACTAGCACTATGTATAAAATGTAAGCCCATAAAGGCAGAACCTAATATTATAGCCAAAGGTTACTGCGTAACCTGTGCAATTATTGGCAGCGTGTAGCCATTGGTCATCTGGGAGTGCAGGATTATGCTCCGCCCCAGGGAAGACCATATAAATATCCGCTCGGGGAAGTTTCCCTCTCAACGATCTTTTAGTTTGGTTTTGCGCTGCCAAGTTATAGTCCTAGAGACATTGATACCGCAGCGTAGAGTGCTAGTTTTTTTCCCTTCCGGTACGGGATGCGCGGGACGTGATCAATAAAAGCCGCCAACAAGGGCATCGCTCCAGCCATCACTCTGCTACCTCTCGTGGATCCGGACGCGGTGGTCATCGCGGGCGTAGCCGTCATCAGAGCTCTCAACCAAGCCGTCACAGCGAGCAGCATCGTCACCACAACGGCCAGCCACGTCACCACAATGAAAACCACCGTCACCACTCGGACCAGTCTTCATCGGGTGAGTCTTCCGTTAGCCGCTCTGTATCACGTTCACATACTCGTTCCGAGTCGCGGAGTAGATACACAAAGCTTTCTTCGCATGCGCGTAACCTACCACGGCCGCACCATCAGGCGCCGTACAAGGTAAACGCTAATGGCAAAAAGCGTCGACCGACGCCTACTGATTTGTCTTTTTCTGAGTTTCTGGTGTACAGTATGCGGACCGCATTACGATTAGCCAGAACAGTGTCGGGCGTGTACCAGAAATCTCTCGAAGAATATCTCGAATATCTTGAATTTCTGACGGTGCGCTATCGCGACTACAACGATGAATCAGTTTTAAAATTTGACGATGAATTTCGCCGTCAGGCAGATTTTGAAAAGTTTGACCTTTCTAACGTGCAGGAACGTGCTATGTTGTGTGACAAATTTTTTCACGCAAAAACACGTAGGAACGAAGAAAATACCAAAATTATTAAAAAGCAGCTTTTTCGTCCCTATAAACCACCAAAGCGGTACCGGCATGCATGTTGCTTTTTGTGGCAAGATAACCGCTGCACAGCAAACACGTGTTCCGGCTTCCCACACGTGTGTGGCCATTGTGGCGCCAACCACCAAGCCGTTAACTGTGGTAGAAGCGCAAACAATCGCAACGCCGGTCCCAGTCACATGTAAAGATTTACCCCTTGCCGCCGAAATTAACGCACCATCTTTGTTAATTGGCGGCAAGGCTGTGGCTGTTGACAGAGATCTCCTTCACAGGTGTTCTCTAACCCGTTCACTTAGTGTCTGGGAGAGAGAACTGCACTGCGACGAAGATGATGTCTTTATCTTAATGGGTATTGCAGAAGGCTTCAAGCTGGTGTCTGATATTGATGTTATTGTACCGGCTTCTTGTGCTAATTATGTGAGCGCCTTGAATGATAGCACTAAGCCTCTGCTTGACAAACTTTTCGCGAAGAGATGAATATGGGACGTTTATCAAAACAAGCTCATAAACCAATTCGCGTGCATGCTATTGGCGCCGTTCCCAAGAAGGGATCATTAATTCCCAGGCCGATCACTGATTGCAGCCGGCCATTTGATTGCTCATTAAACTCGTACATTGAGGTAGAATCTTTCTCATTTGATTCTATCGATCTCGTACTTGAAATGGCTAAGCCGGGCTGTTATTTTGCGGTTACTGATATTAAGTCAGCATACCGCTGGGTGCCGTGTATCCGGCACATCGGCAGTTACAAGGGTTTAAGTGGCAGTTTGAAGGCGAAGAGGAAAGTTATTTCGTTGACAATTTCCTTTGTTTTGGTCTTTCCAATGCTCCACACATATTCAATCGTATCTCGAAATCGATTGTACGCATGATGCAACGACGTGGGCATTTCGTTATTGCGTATTTAGATGATTTTTTAATAATAGCTTTCACACTTGAAGCTTGCCAAGCAGCCCAGCGGGATTTGATAAACCTGCTATTGTCGCTAGGTTTTGAAGTTAAAGCAGAAAAAATTGTAACCGCTACTCACCGTGTACAATTCTTGGGCTACATCATTGATTCGATCAATGAGCGTCTAGAGTTACCGGCTGATAAAATAGCAGCTTTAACAGATTTGGCAAAATCGTACTCTTTAAAGCAGAAGCTGACAAAAAAAGAGCTACAGATTATTGCCGGCCACATGGCTTTTGCAAGTAAAGCTATCTATGGCGCCAGAACGTTTGCGCGTATGTTTTATGACTGCATCGCTAAGCTTCAACGTCCTTGTGACCACCTAAGGTTAACAAAACTTCTTCGTAAAGAGTTAATTTGGTGGTACAAGTTTTCATCTACGGTCAATGGTTTATGCCCAATTACGTTGGGAAAAATTTGGCCTATTATGACGATCTCCACCGACGCATCGTTTTCCGGCTTCGGCGCAGTGTTTAACGGCCGCTGGTTAGCAGGTTGTTGGGCAGATATTATGGAGTCAGCTATTCCAACTGGCTTTAAGAGCAATTGGATGCTTTCACCAAAAATTAGCCCTGCGTTGCGCAAAAATATAAACTTTTTAGAGCTAATCGCAGCATGTCTTCCGGTGCTGGTATGGGCACAGTATTTCTCTGGCTCCAAAGTTCTGATTCTCAGCGATAACACCCAGACTGTCGCCTTTATAAATAGAGGTAGCACAAAAAATGCTGAAGCTTTACTCTGGTTAAAAGCAGTTTACTACGCCAGTTTAAAATTTAATTTTCGCGTCGCGGCTGTACATTCAGCGGGTGTCACAAATGTATTAGCAGACGCGCTAAGTCGGTTAAGTGAATCCTCTATTCACGTAAACCGGTTTTTGCAAAGTTTTTTGAAGCCATTCCCTGGTCCGAGCTTACCGCAAAATGTTCTTCGTAGCTACCCAAACCCAGTATCTGGAACAACGATTGAAGGATTTGCAGATGCATGGGATGGCGAGCACCACGCAGCGCACCCGTTTTTCTCAGTGGCGCCGTTTTGAAAATTTTTGCCGCGTTCATAACTTACGGGCATTACCGTCTTCGGTCCACACCGTATGCTTATATATATCGTACCTTTCTCGCATGCTACAGTATACTTCCATAATTAATTACATTAACAGTGTAGCTGCTTATCATAATTTCCACGGCTATGATTCGCCGAATTTAACGCATTTTACAATCAAACGCGCGTTACGTGGAGTTCAGCGGCAGCGCTGTGAACTCCCACTACGGCGGCGCACAATAACAGTAGACGATCTCTATGCAATACATAACCAGCTGACTAAATTGCCCCGACGTGTTCGCTATTGCTTTTGGGCAGCTTGCTTAATTGCATTCTTTTCCCTGTTACGATCGTCCAATTTATTTTTTAATGATCGTGGGTTGCACTTAACAATGGGTGATGTAAATTTCGGCAAAAACGTGACAGAGCTCACGGTAAAACAGCTTAAAACTAATAAGTTTAAAAGCTGCACGGTACGCATTCCGATTCCAAAATTGCCCGCATCACATCCGTTGTGTCCAACTAATGCGATTAATACTGCGGTTACTAAGCTGCCTTTCTCCCCAGACCGCGCATTATTGTCTTATATTCGTCATAATTCCGTTGTTGCTTTGTCCGCCAGTAGGTTCAACTCACTTTTACGGACAGCCTTACGCCATGCCGGCCTACCAACAACAAATGTATCTGCACACTCCTTTCGGCGGGGCGCAGCAACCTGTGCCCATTCACTGGATGTACCCGCAGATGTACTGAAGGCGCAAGGCAACTGGAGAAGCCGCTGCTTTGAACGCTATGTATCACGGGATTTCGACTTACGGCTACAGTTCTCCACCATCATATCGTCTCATCTCTCCTGAACTGGTTTGGTTTGTGTTTTTCTTTGTTCTCTGGGCGTTTTGAGGTTTCCGGTTGCACCCTCGGTACAACCGCCCTGTTTTGTTGTTTTTGTATGGTATTTCATATGCTCAGAATTAAATGCCGAACGAGAGAAAAACCGTCGTGTTGTTTGTTGCTTCTGCGTACGCGATACAATAATAGCCAAAGGTTACTGCGTAACCTGTGCAATTATTGGCAGCGTGTAGCCATTGGTCATCTGGGAGTGCAGGATTATGCTCCGCCCCAGGAAGACCATATAAATATCCGCTCGGGAAGTTTCCCTCTCAACGATCTTTTAGTTTGGTTTTGCGCTGCCAAGTTATAGTCCTAGAGACATTGATACCGCAGCGTAGAGTGCTAGTTTTTGATCTTCCCGCCATCCCTCCCTTACCAATGTCCACTGGTGTGGAGGTTTCCGGTTGCACCCTCGGTACAACCGCCCTGTTTTGTTGTTTTTTGTATGGTATTTCATATGCTCAGAATTAAATGCCGAACGAGAGAAAAAACCGTCGTGTTGTTTGTTGCTTCTGCGTACGCGATACAATAATGTAGTAGAATTAAACAGTTATTCTCTGCTTAGATAAAACTAAGCGTGCACCAAACTGCTAGAGTATTATTATTATTTGCAAATCATACAGAGTACAAAGTGTACTTATCACAACTTAAAGCAGTGATGATGATACCGTGCTCATGCTAGCTTACTATACCACCTGTTTTTGCGTTACCAAGAAGCTTCCCCTTGATATCGTTAGTAATTTTTGAGGTGTAAATATCAGTGCACGTGCACTCGTATTATTATTGGTTATTATTTTATACATATGTTGCAGCTACTTAATTAACTGCGGCAAGCGGTTTTTTGATTTTGAGCAGACGCTTGAAGAAGTTGCGCATGCTGTCATTGTTGGGGCTACTAGTAGTTAATCTGATGCTAACCATTTGGTACTTTGTGTTCTGTATTTTAATTAAATCACGGTAATTTCTCAGATAATACGACTATTATCTTGGGGAAAACTTGATGTGCGTATCAGGTATTACGGCTGTCTAATTGTAAATAACGCAATCTTTAAAAAATTACTTATTAGTATCGCTATATGTAAGTATTTCCAATATTCTAAAATTTAATTAACGGTTGAATGGTGGAGACAGTGCATCATAAAATGTACATGCACAAAAGTACGTAATTTTGCTAGATCCCTAATTGTTTAAATCTTTCTCCAAGCTGGTCTCACGCACCATGGAAAATAAACAAAAGAGTCTGTCTGATTCCGCCAGAAGCAGACAGTTCTTTGCCTCTGTTTTCCTTTCTGTCGCGGATTATGCGATGATTACAAAGTTTTGGGCGTCGCGTTTTTCAAATAGTTAACAAACCTTGACATCACAAAAAAGTACGGTATCATAATACGGAAGATTAATAGTCAATATAACGGCGGCACGCTTTTAGCACTCAGTGCGAACGTGCTTTATATTGTCAACTGCACATTGTCTGTTAGACACTTTCAAAATTTACTGCGAACAACACGCCTGCAATATCTAAAATGAGTGAAAAATATTAAGTCATTGTTAATTAATCATAAAATAACTCACAAGTGCGCTGAATGAGCGAAGATTTCGGTCAGAAGGAAAATACCAAAAAACGCATACGCCTGCGCACGATTACAAGTATTGTACTTGCATTGCAGTGCGCCGCAATACCGGTACCTAAATAAATCGTTTTCCGGCAGCGTTAACGCATCTTTTATTCGCTTTTGACGAGAGTGGAAAATTATTTTTACCAGTAAATTTTTTGGTTCTGTAGAACAGATTTTGTACATGCACCTAGTTCGTTTACCGTTCTCGCGATCATCAAATTCCGCGTCTGTGAACGGATGTAGAGATATTCTGGTACTGTCATGATCGTCGCTTATCTCTGATTTTGGCTCGTTCGGATCATCAGTTCGGGTTTCTTCTTTCTTCCGTCTTCTTCGATGTCTCCTGGGCGCTTTGTTTCCGCTATTTTGTTTGATTTGATTTTGCTTAAAATATAAATCCGCGTAGACATAAGATAATAAAAAAATGCCAATGACCACAATATCAGCCGCTATCCATCCGAATGCATGTATATTTCCGCCGTAATGAACCAGGTACCAATCTAAAATCACCGCCTGAAGGGTCAAAATAACAACACTGGACGTTCGCAAAAAGAATTCCGTTACGGTCGGCCGAGGAAGTTTACAAAACATTTGCACAGTTTAAATTGAAGTTTCGTTTTGATTAATCCAGGTTGCCCTTAGAATACCCCCATTTGCGCACTTAATTATAATATCACACGTTATGCCATTAATAGCGATGCACTTAACTTGTTTGAAAGAGAAGACACACCTTGCAAACGCTTTCTGTGTGTGATTCCGCATTTTTTCTTAAACAAGTGTTGACTGTTAGCTCAAAGTACCAACGTACCTAGTATGCGTCAGGCGGGACCGAAGGAAGAGAATCAATATTAAACGAAACGCGCACATGCCGGTGATTATCCGGTATTTTGGATCGTGATTCATCCTTGACAATTCATTGACGGCTAGTTGCCGCAAAAAGTGTAGACGCTACAGAAACATGTTTCTGTTCATATGTACAATTCTGAAAAATGATGTACATGAAGTATATTATTTTGTACAGAAACAAACCTGTACAGGTTTTTCAGAATCCAAACCAATGCACCGTAAAGCAAATGCTAGAAAATTTGTAAACAGCGTCGAGCACATCATGATCGTGATAATCTTTACAATAACTGAGAAATTTAAAACCGGGAAACTAAAGAGACTTGCACATATCAGTCGCGACCACACATGCGAGCCAAATATACAAATACAATACGCACCGTAATTCATACAGTATTTCCATGCATTTTAAATATCGTCTTAAAATTTGTACTTGCGTCTTGCACTCATCTAACGGGGTGTACCGTTTACCGTAGGGTTTACCGTAATGCTTAAGTTAAAAAATATGCGAAATGCACAATTGTTATCACTTCCAGTGGCTCACCAATTAATTATAAAGTTTCAAGGGCAGTGTGCCACTTTTTATGTTTGTCAACACCTCCATAAGACGCGCGCAATCGAAATGACAAGCATCGTCGTGCATACGGTGAAACAAATACTGTACGGTAGATCTATGCACGTATAACGTGTTTGCGAAGTCCGAAAACTTATAATTGTTGGGAAACGTTGCGAATCAGCACATATTATGCAAGGTCGAAGACAATGCACAACAGTTATGTGGGAAACACAATTAATCAAATTGCTCTTAGTTTGTTGACCATACGGTAAAAATGTACAGTAAGAACAGTGCGCACAAACTGCGTTTTTCATAATCAGTAATGACAAATGTGCTCATATCGCGATTGTTTTTGACGTTTGAGGGCAGTTTTAAAAATTTTAATTTTTGAAGCGTAGAGAGGTGTGTGGTGCGTTGGTAACAGCATTAATTATGCACAAAGCACAACCTAAACAGCGATTACTGATTTGGTCTTTTGTCCGACCTTTGCCGCTTAAACCGAGCCCAAATAAAAATGTATATCGTGTATCAAGTATTTAAATATGTAACACAAAGGTTTTACTTACAAAATTGAAAAGGAGGCGCCCTTTTGTACAAATTTTACCTCGAAAAGACAACTCTCGTTTGGTTGACAGCGCATGGAAGATCATTCTAAAATAAACTGTAAGATATACTTAGCCAGTAATTAGCCGGTGACAGATTTCATTTGCATATTTTACAAAATAAAACTTTTCAGAATCAGAACATATCCGTATCAACAACATAGCTAAATGCATTCCATCGCATTGGTAATGGTATGCAAAACGGTCTAAAAGTTATGCTACAGTACATAGCTGGTTGAGGTAACCCTTATTAATTTCAATCGAAGTAAATCGGTTATTATTTAGCTATAAACAAACAAACAAGGCGAAGCATTTACAGTGCGTGTTTTCCAGTTGACCAAAACTGTACACTCGTACGCTGTAGGCAGAAAGCCTGCTAACCGTTGACTTGGAGAAGCCTTGTGGACATGCTGAAACCAGCAGGCGATTTTAAAAACTGTTGTGATCTTTATGTCGATTGTTGCTTCTGTCACTGAGTTCTGTGTTATTATTATAATTCTGTGTTATTATTATTATTCTGTGTTATTGTTATCTACTAATTACAGCACTTATACTAATATCTACGGCACGGGTACATCATGCTGTGTTGTACAGGATCACAATACCTGCGCCATTAAAATTATAAAAGATTTTTTAGAAAAAAATCCCGGTTTACAGAAAAAGAATAAAAAAAACGTTGACATAAAAAATCTACGGAAACGGTGATTGAAAGCGAATTGGGAAAGCATATAGACTCCTTTTATCTCGCGCCACCAACACCAACAAGAAAATTTTCAGTCGATTTTAAATTATGGTACTGTAACACCAAGCTACCTTACAAACTGCTGCAGTACCAACCTTTGCATGGAAATCAAGTAGGTATACTAGCTAAGTATACTTACATATCCGTTGCACACAATAAAAATTAATATCTGATGTATGTGATTGACGCCGACTGAGTTGCTACCACCAATCAAAAACTTTCAATTCAAAATTCAAAAGAGCTGCTCTTATGCTAGCGTAATTGTTGCAGTAGTTCTCGCATTACACCATCTTGACGGAGAAGATTGTTACGAAGAGTTAAAAAGCTGCCATCAATTATTGAAAGCTATACTTTTCCGTCGATCCAATTTTGTTACCGCAAACGCAAAACAGCTCCATAAGCAGGTAGACAAAGGAAATGCACGCTTGAACATAATCAGCGGTAATGATGAAAACGTAATCTTACCGTAATATCATCAGCTATTAGAAAATAATGTGAATATACAGACAGTAATGGCAACAAGAGCAATCGCTCGTTCGTCGATTGACAGGTGCATAGCGAGCGATTTGTCTAATTTGATAGGATTCCCTTGAACCGTATATAAACCCGCTCACACATTTTTTAGAAAGCTGTGGCTGTTTCCATTATCGCAACTTATCATTAAGTGTAGGGAGTAAGCACCCATATATATTACATCCAATCTTCTATATTCACTCATAAAAGAAAAGCATTTCAATCTGCCATGATTTCCGGGAAAGTTATCGCGTTGTTGCTGATCGCCAGATTTGCTGTCGGTAGGAAATTTTTGTTTACTTTCCATCTACATAATTTGCAAGTTCGGATAGCTAAATTGTGCGATAATTTACTATTGTAGCATGCATTTTAAAATATTGTAAACGCAAAAATTAAAATTTTCTCGCATTTCAACACATACATATTTTTTATTTGCTATAATTACTTATTATCATCCGCTGTCAGCTTTGATTTTATCGGAACTTTACGTACCTTACATACAGACTACGTACTTTACGTACTTGACTTACCTCTCTAGTTTTATTCGTGCACCAAAAGGGCATAGTTTCGGTGTACATGTAATACTTTGTGTCTGATTCCGTAATAACCAAGTGTGACATACACAGCGGTAATGCGTTCCCACGGGTAGTATGCCGTGGGAAGGTGCGCTATTGAACACACACCAGCAAGGTCCAGATAGGTAGTCATTGTAGTTATGTAGGATGCGCAATACACCCGACCATGTTTACGAGAACTGATTGGCAGCTACATTTTTGGACTGTAATTCTATGTCAACCTTACGTGTACGCAATTCTTCAGCACAAAACGACGTAAAGTGCACCCCGGATGGATGGAGAGCGATTGGTAAAAACGGTATGTGCGTGAGCACAGATGACCTTGACGCCAAATGTTCCGACAAGGAAGTCAGTGCATCCCGAGTGGATTGTATGGGTTTCGATGGCGCATGGTGCTGTTACGGTAAGCCCTATTAAATTCCGTTACGTTAGAAGTGCAGACTTCTGAGTTGTTCTTTAGTAATTTGCGGTGTTGTAATACCTTAGTGTCAAAAGACATTATTTTTTGCAGCTAGACTAACATATTCACTAGTCACAATGTCGGTGTATAATTACTGTACTGTAATCCTATCGGCTATCATCTACAGACGTCCTTAATTTACCCACCGGCGGATTCTTTGAACTGTCGATTAAAACACTGAATGTTAAGATGTTAACGTGAAAGCGATACAATGCGAAGATTACCTAACAATTTTTGCGGTTCCTACATAGTGCCCTTACCAAAAGCCAACTCGGCCATGAAAGTCAATGTCAAGCAGGCCATGGCCCCGTCGGCTGGCTCATACAATTATGGCACCACCTCTGTGGTGACTGTGCCACCGCCACCTCCTCCCCCAACCACCGCTTATACTCCAGCACCGCCAGCGAGCACGACCACCCCGGCGCCCCCGCCACCCACCACCACTACCCCATGACCCGCCTCCTCCACCGCTGCTTAGCATGCTCCAGCTACGCCGCTAGCACGACTACCCCGGCGCCCCCGCCACCCACCACCACCTATGCCACCACCACGACGATGACCACTACTACAATGACGCCAGACTACTGCCTGCACTGCTATTCGTTGATCCGCCGCCACCGCGATTGACGTTCTGATATATGCTGCCATGATGACCGAACGGTGGGCGCCATGCTGCCGCGTTTTCTTTACTGTGCTTGCACCACTTTCTACCGCCGCCATGCCCGCCGCCTGACGTACGCTGCGGAACTGGCTGGATATAAAGGTATATACTTCTGCACCCTATGCCGCCACTGCCGGTGATACCACACGTTGATGCGGACCGCCGGCGACTACCTACACTGCTCTTTCGCTGATGACCACCTGACGTTGGTGGGCCTAGCGACAACATGCCACCACCGCCAATGACCACCACAAGCGGGACCGCGCCGGCGACCATACCACTACCACTGCGCCAGTACCACCATGACGATATCAACGACAGCTATACTACCACTACGCCGATGACCACCACAACCATGACACCGACAACTACCACCTACGCCCAAACCACCACCACCACGCCAAAGGTCGTCGTAACGACGTATGCCACTGCTAGCCCCATAACCGTAACCGTAACACCCATGCCGGTAACCACAACGACCCCGACGGTGACCATGACTCCGGGAGCCACCACCACCTACGCTGCATATGCATCGGCTAACAAGATGGCATCTGGGGACAAGGTGTCCGTCGGTGGCAGTGCTAATGTTGCCTCGGCAGCCAAACGCATCCATCGTATTCGTGTCAAGTAAGCCTGGAGGACTACCGGAAGTATTCTACCTGGCGAAAGCCGTTCCTTAACAGTCACCGGTCGTGCAGTGTCTTACCATGATCTGATTTTTTATACTAATTTATGAAAGCAGTTTTCTAATTAGCTACCGAGAAGAGAGAATTAATTATTTAAGTTATGGCGACGAAAAATGGGAGCCCCTCGCTCGTGCTGGAATCGAACACGCAATAGTTTTGTATACTTTCAGTTTCCTTGTGAAGCAAAAAAATTTGAATAAGAATTTTTTGTCATAAAGAATGCACAACATGGTACCAGTTGACAAACTAATAGAAGAATTACGTACATAATTACATTAGTAATAATAAGTTCTGACGAGATGTTGTTGTCAAGGTCAAGGTTCGATCCTTGCCTCGAGCTCAGGTGAACACAGGAATTGTCAAGTACGAAGTTAAGGTTGCATTCATGCGCTGTATGCAGACTGATAAACAGCAGACAAGCGATGGTGCTAAAATTTGCGCAAGACAAGCAGCGCACAGGACAATCCAGGATAAACGGCATAAACAATAAAAAAAACTCATAAAAAAATCAGATTTTGCAACCGACATTACTTTGGTGCAAACATGCGCAAAGATCACGGCTGGATGATAATTTTTTTAAGGAGAAGAGCTTTTTATATGAAAGGGAGAATAGCAAATTAGCCATTTTAAATGGAAAGTGGAGGGAAAGACCGCATCAATGTTTATCCATCTCGTGTGGCGCTTACAGGAATGCGCAATCGGTTGACGCTTTCGGAGAAGGGCGCCAATCTTCTCCAGAAACGCGCGGATGCCCTGGCCTTCCATTACCGAGCCAAATCCAACAAAGCCCTTCGAAACATTTTGGAAATGCAGCTGGCAGTTAAGAAAGCGCGTATCAGCATGGCAGAAGTAAATTTTATCGCAGGTGCATTTGTTAAATACGGAGTACCCCTACAATATGTCAAATTCGCATTATAGTTATGTGCAGTGTCACCGTGCCTTTGTAGTGGACATGTTTCTCATTAGGTGCTAGCAGTTTCCGTTAGCCAAAACATACGACTCTGGTGTATGTTATCTTTGTTATTTTGTTGTTCTTTTAAGGTAACCAAAATCATCAGATTCTGGAATGTGTCGGCCCAAGCGCTCGTTTGCAGCTAAAGATCAATATTAAGAATATCGCGGGCGTGAAATTACTGGATTTCGAAGAAATTCTCGATACTACAGGCACAGACCGCAGTAGACTTATCGGACTGGGACGAGGTGCTGAGCGCTTGAATCGGTGCCGTATTGTGTTCCGTAACCTTGTCACATTGATAATTCAGCAGGCGACGCTGAGGTATTCCCTAAAGGTCATCGATAAAACTCTATCGGCTACTAACTGCCGCATAAACGGGCTGAAAAATGTCGTTGTGCCGCGACTGCAGCGCACTATTAATCATATCATCTCGGAATTAGACGAGGAAGAACGAGAAGAACATTTTCGGCGGAAGAAGATACAGATAAAGAAACGCTTTGCGAAAAGTATGGAGTTAGAACAACGACGTCGAGCACTGGCGATTTTGTAGCAGGCTTTATTTGCTTGCCCGGATAATAGTGAGCGTTTGGTTACAAACGCATGCACACCAGGTGCCTGAGAATTAAACAGTTAATAATGTTAGTAATATAACGATATGGTCGACAACAAAGATGTGTTTCCGGTCTTCAGAAGCGTTGATTTATGATTGGATTCGGGTGTGATGCTGTCCTACGCACTTCCATATTTTATCTTTATATTGCTGTGATAAGCAGCATAATTATCGGTAATTTACTTTTAAGTCTTCTTTGTTGAGCATTTATTTTGTGTCATAGTCTGATTTGCTACTGGTCTGTTGTATTTTGATATTGTATGTCTAATCGTACCGGATTTATTATACATGTAAGTATGAACATGTATCGGGTTTCTTCATTCCAAGTATTTCCTGCTTCGTTTCAGTGCTTTTTACTTAGGAGTTAGGTGCAGTATGATTTTTATGTTTTGGACTAATGACGGTGGTCCTTGAAATATGAAGATTGATTGCCGCGTTCTGTGCATTAAATGCAGCATTCATGCAATTAGCTCCGAAAGTTTCCGTAATAACGCATAAATGATATGGATCGAGAATACGCGCAAGAGACTTTCCGGTAATTTTGAACTTTGCACTATTGTGCGGTGGTTGCAGAAGCATGTTGTACACAGTAGGTCACTGGACATTAAAAGTGGCAGGCAATCACACGAGCCTTGTCTATCTTCGTACAAGTTATCAGCGCAGTGATCAAACGCATTTTGTCGCAAAACGTTTTGTAGAAGTTAACGTGCGCTGCATGACAGAACCAGAAACCCGTAATCAGCGTTAGTTATTGTCGCGCTTGCAAATTATCGTGGAATTTTGTTTCTGAATATATTCAGCATATTTTGCCGGCACATTAAGATGATTGATGAACCGAATGTGTATTACGAGCAGCTGCTGTCCGTCATTCGACCGAATCCGCTGTGTCCCAACGGCAAAATCTTGTTGTGCAAATGGTTGACGGGAGATTTTAAGGACCGCTACACCGGATTATGGGGACCAGCACCGACGAATGATGATCACAGTTTGCGACAGGCGCTTGTCCGACTCGCAGCAACGGCCAATGGAACGTCTTCCTATCCTAAAATCCAATCGGACAAACTTGAGCTGATGGCCGTGCTGCGTTTCGATGTACCTGTGGACAATCTGGAATACATTTACGTACGTAAAAAAATCGCAGAGTATAAAATGTCTACAGTGCCATTTTTCCATAAAATTCAGAAATCCACAAACAAATACGGCGATTTTTGCACCATTAATAAATATTGTACAGGTACCTAGCGCTCAGAACTTGTGCTTGGATACTCGTACAGTGATTGCGATTAATACAGCAGAGATTTTAATGCTGCAGAGATTAATGCTGCAGAGATTTTAATGCTGCAGAGAGAGCAGCGTAAATTTTTCTTTTAATTTTCAGTTTGTGATGGTGTAGGTGACTGAGTTGGGCCCGAGCGCTCTGAATACGCCGGGATCACGACACAATTCCGATTCTGACTCGCCACTGACCCCGACCGGCAAAGTGAGCAGCGTCAATCCGTTCACCCAGAACGCCACGTTCATCTGCGAATGGTTCGATCTGGATAAAATACCCTACGCGCAGATGCCGGCCGACGATTTAATCTGGTACGCGAAAGTCTTGGACGGAAAACGCGTGGAAGGATCGTTCAGTTTTGCCGGCGAGCCGAAATACACCGTCAAAAACTTTGTCCTCAACGAGGTGAAACATCTCGTGGAACCTGGAGACATAATCGCTCCAGCTGCCTACGACTAGCGAAACTAGTATAATAGCTAACATCGTCATAAATTTATTATCATTTTGGAACTTATGGCGACACTACGTACCTGTCCATTGCACGGCTTTGGCGGTCAGTAAATGCACAAAGATTGCTCATTTTCCTACATTTGCTACTTCGTATTTAACTTTCATTGATTTAATGATTTTTCTATGGATTAAATCATTGTTGTGAATTTCTCACAATCGGTTTCAGACTTTCAGTAAACCATTTAGTTGCATACTTTCGAGTTAATTGTGGCATTTCGTGTGCACCATCCATTTGGTTGATTAAAGCTCGATTATTGAGTTGCTCCTTGAGCTTTGTGAAACACTTGCACCGTAGCTGAAAAATGAAAATGAAGCATTGATTGGTTATCGAAAAAAAGCCAATGCGTTTTGATGCTATCTTTAGAGAAGGCGCTATCTAATGCACAATACAAATGCATTCATCCATTGTGATTGTCACAATTCATTGGTATCAAACAGATTAATAAAACCGGGTGTCACAATTTGAATTTCGTCCAGGTGCACCATGCAGTCGTTACCCTAATATTTCTTTGAAATTTCTTATAGTGAGCAGGATTGCACTACTTACAGAGTTGCTTTCCGGTAGGAGTTAATTTTTCTTTAATTCTAAAATACTGTATGGAAGAGATGCAGCTCGAAAAAGACCTTATGATGTTTTCATTACTACGCTGATATTACCAACTAATGTTTCCCTGCTAAATTTTATAGCCGCTTAAATGTTTTACTCTCGAATTTTGTTGTGCCTTAATTTTAAGGCTATTGTCTACTCTAAGTGTTAAATCGTGTATTGAAGATAGGAAGTCTAATGCATCTACGTCGCAGAGTTTAGTTTTCCAGCTGAAATACAATAAAGTGCGTTTTAGCTCTGTTTTATTTGATTAGCAGTACTTAAGTATAATTATTGGATGTCCGAAATCCGAACAAAATCAACAGCGTTTGCCACGGCACATGTGCGGGAATACGAGCTCTTGGAGTTCAAACAGCATGTTAGTGGAGCCCTCGCTCGAATTAGTGTAATCTTTAGCCAAATGCAGACTGTCTAAAGTCAGTACCAATTAAATCAGCAGACACATATTTACAATCCGTATTTTACATCAGCCAGAATGGGTCGTCAGACCGGAGGAAGAAGAAAAACTTTATAACGAGCTTAAGGAGCTAAAGGTCACCGATCTATGCCCGAAAGGCCCCTCTCAGGAGAACACGAGCACAGCTCCACTTCCTGATCGGATCAATTGTCCCAGTTTAGTCACATTGATACTGCGTAAAGTTTAAAGTTTAAACGCAAGTTTACGGAGTCCTATAACTTTATCGGTTTCCTTGAAGGTAGCCTTTGGCAAGGTTATAAAACTAAGCCGCGAAATCTGCGATATGAGACCACTAGTCAAGCATCGTACGGACGGTTTTTACCAACTGCCTACGAAATGCCTCACTCGTTCCATGGATTGTCGCGCTCTTTTACGGAGGTAGAATGCCTGCATTTAGAATTTTCGTTTCGTTACATAAGGTATAATGCGGCTTTCTTTTCAGAAAGAGTTGAAAATTGGGATGGCTGACCGCGGATGGAGTTTTAACGGGCATGTCGATCGTTGATACAATTGCAGTAATAACAGAATGTTAGCTACAATATTATAGCTCTTTAGTATTCTATCATTCTGTTATGTATGTTCTTGTACCTATGACTCAGCCTGTAAAAAACTGTATGATTGTACGTACGTATTACCACTGTCTTGTTACCAGAAGTTTAGTACGGTAAATTAAAGTTCGCGCCCGAAAATACTCTAAAGTTTGTTTTTGCCTTAAGATCTACTCTAGATTTGGAAGTTGTCATCACAACCATGCTAACTTTAGTTACTCTGCCTTGTATAACAGGAGCACTGCTTAATTTTACCTGATCCTTTTTACGAACACCTAAGTTAAAGCAATAAATTGTACGCGTACGTACTGAAGTTATGAACGTTTATGATTAATTTTGCCCACGCGCTTTAAGCAAAACTTGCAAAATAACTTTACCCGATGCGCGAGAACATTCAACCGTTAAAAATAACCTGATACGCAAATACGATACATCTTTGTACAATTTAAGTACTGCTACCTTCAATAAGATATGGTCACGAGTCACGACTAAATTAACCATCCCATAATATAATAACCATCCCGTGCTTCCGTACACCTTATCGCGCCCAGACATCAAACTTGATACCACCAGCCAATTTAGGTCGATTTTCCGAACCTGCAGCCAGCATTTTGGTTGTGCCCCGGATTTAAACCTCTTCTGGCAAAATGGGACAACTGACTGATATCCACGGTGGACCCGAATCCAAAAACTTTGAGTGCCAATATTCAGTAGGTAAAGGAAAATAAATGTTACTGAAAATTAATGCAGTTAGTTACTAGTAATTAGTTGTGTACAAAATTGTACCTAAGAAGAATTAATTATGTACAGGTATTTCGAAAGATGCAGAGGCACAAAAAAATAAAACCAAAACGGAATACATATGTATATCCTTACATAAATTACAAATTGTAGCGTTTTACTTTTGACTGTTAATTTTCTTTATTGACGACAAAACGCGTTCTGGAATAACCTGTGGCCGAATTTCAGTCGATGATTGCCGATTTCCAGCGCCAATCCACAAGCGTGACCTGCCAAGAAATTATACGCTGGACCAGTATAGGGACACTGATGTTTGGATTCCTTGTTGTTTCAGTAGATTTATACGGTTAGTAATTATGCAAAAATACCTAAAACACAATTTATGTGTTTTAATAATTAATTTTATGCAGATAGTAATGATACAAAATACTGCGCGTATGTACGAACGTCTTACATTTACGTTAATGCTGTATCACCGTATTTTTTGTGTGAATGCACCCTTAATACGTAAACTTGATTTACAAGGGCGTTAATCGAACAACGCAGTTATGTTGCAATAGGTGCCTTAAAGTTTCCGGAACTGGTCAGCGTATGGTATCCCGGCATGTGTTTGGGAGTTTTGTTGATGTGCTCCGGATTATGCGGTACTTTCGCCACATACCAACTGATTTCGCTCGACTATCGCCACGGCTTCATATCTAACACCTTCCTGGCCTTCTCCGGCTTGTCCATCGTGTTCAGCTGCGCGATGCTGATTGGATCAGCCATCTTTTTTCCGCTTATCCTTGACGATCGGACCGACAACCTACAAGCCCTGAAAAACACCACCATCACGTTCTACGTGCTATCTTTCGGTTTATCGGCGGCGGAAACGGTGTTCGCATTGCGGTGCGTCTATGCTCAGCAGTTCGAACGCATGCTGGAATCGGAGATTGTGGAAATCTCACCGCTGGTCATACCGAAAACCGAACCGTTCCTACTGGCTACCGGCATTTATGAGAATGAAGAAGAGACAGTATTTCCGGTTCAAGGGATACGAAGCAAATGCGAAAAGGTTCCAGATGTACAAACCTATCTCTGCCGGAACGAACCGGAGCAGCTGGACAATGAGGAAACAAACACGAATATTGTTGATCTCGATGTTACATGACAGAAGTTTTATATGTACATTTAATGTATTATACAATGTTATTCATCACAAGAAAATGGATAAAAATACGCGATTTCAAAATCTGGATTCCGATACCGTAATCACCAAAGTTTATTTCAAGGAAGCCAAAGACGAAGCCAGCAGACAACAACTAACAAATAAAAGCCCTATTCCAAATTCAAAATAACTTCGGACACACAGAATAACAATTTCGTACATACCATCGCACACACGAGCACAAAAACGCTGAAACCAATCTCCACGCTGTGTAACGAAGATCTTGTCAGAAGAAAAATAAAATACTGAAAAACCCACGGGTAAACCTGCTTCGGGTTCAACTGCCCAACCAAATCAATCCAATAATTTCTTCTTTAACAACTCCAAAAACATTTCCTTCTCCTTCCGATCCAATTCCCAACGCTGCTGTTCCAGCTGCAGTTTGGCCTTCTCCAGGGACAACTCCTGTTTGCGCATTTCTATTTCCTCATGTTTCTCCTTGCGTAAACTCTCCATTTCTTCTCGACGGATACGCATTTCGTCCACACGCTCTTGTTTACGCGCCTCCAACTCTGCACGTCGCAAAACACGATCTTCAGCGCGCTCTTGCCGGTCGATGGTCACGTGCGTCTTTAAGTACGCCAGCAATGCTGAAGGGGTTAATGTATCGGGGATATCAGCAGAAAGGTTCGAATTTCCGTACAAAAGTGTTCGGTTCACCGAGGATGCTCGCTTTGATGCGCTACGGGCTATAAAAATCAAAACATGAGATAAGCAGCCATAAAGGAAATACCCCAGCATATACTGTGATTGTGCAGCTGATGATTGAGGTGGTCTTTAAAAATAAAACAAAAAATTATTTTTAAGCAAGTCATAAAACAAAAAAGGCAACTTTAATAATTTACTCGAATGCGCCGGCACATTGATGTCAGAAGTCTGGCTGGCGTAATGCACTATTCCACTTCTGGTCCGCCGCGGAGCGTCTTCCTTCGGCAGCGAAACGATGGAGTGATTCCCGGTGTCCGGTTCATCCGCAGGCGGGTTGGATTTGCCGTCTTCGTCCAGCTCTTCGTCGGCCCTTCTTTTCATTCCGCGAGTGGTGGTGTACATGGCCGATACGCGCACTCCGCGCTGGTTTGCATTCGTGATTTCGAAGCTCTGCTCTTCCGCATTCTTGAAGTAATACTGCACCGCGGCCAAACCGAAGTCTTTGCAAATGACCACAACGCGAGTGTACGCTTTGCAGTTGGTATTGCGGTCCGTTCGACGCAAAAACATAACCGCATCCTTCTCGCCTTTGGCATCCTAATATATATTAATAAATAATAACGATCCAAAACACACAACACATTTAAACTTTTTTATTCACACAATCCAGACCCATCGATCACCGATACTATATAAACATTTACCTTTAATAAGTATCATGTCACAAGTACAAACTTAGTACTAGACAACATTTATAACAGAAACACTTCTCAATGCTATACCACCGATACTACGCTCCATTATGCAAGTTCCAGAAAATAAAAACACAATATATATATTAATTAAAATTAAACTGCTAATTTTAAAATCTAAAGACTCAGATTTTAAAAGCAGATCCGCTAGACAGCCAGAATGCAGCGAAATGGGTCGCATAACATAAGTGATAAGTCTGCATTACTGCCATTACATACGAACACGTCGGGATAGTTCTCCGAAAACCGTTCTACGGGGTTTGAAAGAAAATTCTAGATTTAGCATTTTAAGAGTGTAAAACAAAAAGGATTTGGCAAAGCGAAGCGAAAAAGAAAGACTGAAGATGGAAAATTTCAAAAGCCATAAATACACTCGTACGTTCTCCTCATTGGTTTCTATATGACTACCAGTCACTGCGTAGGACTCACCACAGCTTCTCCATTGACATATCTGAAGTAGCTGGTTATCTTCCCGCAGTTCTGATCCCATGTACCCAATCCGTCAAAATATAAGTCCGTTTCCCTAGGCAATTTCTTCAAGTCGATAACAAAGAGGCAGTTGCACATTATCCGCTGAGGAACAGCGAATAAAATGTGGGGAACTGCGCCTTTGGCGGCGCGAAATAGTAATGTGGCCAAACATTGTGTCGGGATAGTTCTGGACACTCCACGCGATACTGCCTCATAACCATCAACATCGTAACCGGAAATGTAATCCACTTTCCTGCAGCAGGAACATTTTGTAGTTTATTTGATGTAATTTAGTAGTGTAATCAAAAGTTTATGGAAAATCCACTCATAGCTTTTACAGCGTGTTATTAAACCAGACAAGCCAGCAGTTCCCAGTTAAGCTGTTACCGCCTCATAACGCTTTCATAACAGGGATTTTAGTACTTACGTTCCGTATACCACTTGTTGGTATTTCGCTTCTTTAGTGGGCGACATTTCCAGTGCATCTGGATCTTCAACGTCCTGCTCTTCGAGCCTGTCTTCGGCTTCCTCTTCTTCCATTCCGTTTTCATCAGCTGTTTCTTCTGCCATTTTTAATGTTTTATGGGAATCTAGCCAATATTAATAACTGTCAGCTAACTAGCAACGACAACTTCCAAAATTGTACGATCTACGGAATTTGGTTCAGTCGCTTTTAATTCCAACTGTGATAGTTCCATCGCAAGATTGGTGTTCTGCAAATGGCGTGGCATCGCGACTGGCATCCCCATGCAACCTGTCTTTCTCACGTGGAAACTGTACCATGTGATTCCATTGCTTTTGGCATTGGAAGATTTTACTGGCCCAAACCACTTGTGGTACAATTAAAACTTAAAAGTAAAACAACAGAGAAATAGATCAAAAAAGCTTACCGCATAACTTGTGGCCAGTTTTATAAAAAATTCAGATAATATTTGTGTGAGTCGTAGATGCCAGTGATGCCACGCTTTCGGAGTTCTGCGAAATAATAGGAAGGTATTTGCCAGTTAATTCGAATATAGAATTAAAACTGGAATGGAATCACCTACGAATCGGTGAAAATCAATGGAATCGTGATTTTTGGCAGAACTGCGTTAAAAAAGACCGCCTTTTAATACGAACTGACTCAAGCATCTGCAGATTTTTCGAATTTTGTGAACTCTGGGTTTATCGTATGTTTCATAATGACTTGATTTGTATACAGTATAAGTAATCATTTTAGCACCGTCAGAAGAATGGACCAAGCGAAGTATCAGCGTACTGGGTCGCGTCCATATCGAGGCAGAACCTTTCGACGAGGTGGTTTTCGTGGTGGCAACAGCGAAGGGACAACGATGAAGATCCGTATTCGAAGAAGGTTCATACAGAATCGGGTTTTCTGGACAGCCCAGTGATGCTGATGTTTCGTGATTATGCCGCAAAGCTAGATGCGAAGAATGATCTGTACGAAATCTTGGTGAAAAACAGCCGTGATACCACTATCGAGTCCAAGCGGATTATTTTTCTTCTCCTGCGTTGCGCGGGACACCAAAAAGGTTCCCTGGAAGTCCACCAGATCCTCACCGAAGCGCGCACACGTATAAAGGAACTACAGAATACTGCTTTGCAAAAGATCGCCATGGACCTTTATGATCAGGATGCATATCTTTTCAATCGGGCCTACTCGCCCGGTTTGCAGGAATATATCGAATGCTTGAGTTTATGGCACTATCTTGAGCACGAAACATTAATAGGACTGGATGGAGTTCAGAAAGATCTACGGTTCGTAATTTCGTTAGTATGTAATTTTTACCTTCATTTTTTAAGGTAATTCTGGGGGATTCATGGCTCAGAATTTCTTGGTTTCGTCGTCGTTTAGGTTTACCGTCGACGGTAGAGAATTCGCCCTGTTAGTGACGCCGTCTGATTACGTTTTGGGCATCAGTGATCTCACTGGAGAATTAATGCGATACTGTATTACCCACGCAGCCAATCCATCCGCGCAAGTCGCCATATTTCGGCTATGTGATTTTGTGCGGGCAGTGTATGTGGACTTCCTGCGCATCCCCTACGGATTGTGCGGGAAAGACTTCGGGACCAAAATTAGAGTGATGTTCCAGAGCGTTATCAAGATTGAACGTGTGTGCTATCAGCTGGCTCTGCGTCAGGCGGAGGATTTGCCAGTGCCGCCGCCCAAGTTTATCATGAAAGTGGATGATTTTGCCGAAGAAGGCTTGGATGGTGCTGAACGTTTCTAGCGCTTTAACTACTCGTAGTGCGTTTGATCTTCTACCAGTGAAAAATGTTGGCTTTTTGTACTAAAGATGTTGAAGTTACTATGCTGTATAGATTGCTTAGAGAATAGTCTATGAACTACTGTGCAAACTGCAGAGAATTGTAAATTTGTCGGGTCCTACTGCAGTGTTTTGGCTTTTGTCGTTTAATAAGAACATGCATTCATCATTCATGTACTATTGCTTACTTTTCTTGATGTTTATTGAAAACACTAAAACACTTGGAATCTTCGGAAAAGTAATCGCTTCTTTCTTGTGGAATAAGCGAAATTTGTAGTCTGGAGACATACGTTTTTTGCCCCTGGATGCCGGAGCCACCGGTGCGTAAACAACCGTAAGAAAAGGTTCATAAGAGGTTTAAGTCTGCATAATGCAAACACGAAGAATTATCACGACCGGACTACTGTTATTTATGAGGTTACGCAAATGTGAACGTTCACGATTTCGCTGCAGTTCTACTTCACAGATTTAAATATCGACACTCAGTACTCGTACAGATACGGACAAACAACTGCCGATGAATACGTATTAAGTAGATAATTTTTATATTTTTGATTATTTACTAAAGTTAATAAAATGTACCAATCTTGAACCATTATGAATCTTGATACTGCATATTTAATTATGTACATAAAACATTAAAACCAAAGTAAATGTGCATTAGATCCGGGAAACAAAATTTCTCTCCTCTAATCAACCATCACGGTCGGCATTGCGCCGACTGGAATCTAAAATATAGGGTTCTTCCGACAGATCAAGAATGAAAGTCAGGCATGATGAATTTTGGAAAACAATTGCTGGCGATTTACGGCGCAAACCAGCGCCTGCCGAATGAACAAATATCATATTCCATCCGTCAATTTTCGCTTCAACAGCTCAAAAAATAATTCTTTTTCCTTCCTCTCGATTTCCCATTTTTGTTGTTCCAAAGCCATCTTGGTTTCCTGCATGCGCAGCTCTTGTCTTCTTAATTCCATCTCCTGCTTTTGCATTTCTCGATCTTCCAGCCTTTCTTTACGCCTTGCCTCCAGCTCCTCCCTCCTCAACTTTCGCTCCTCTGCTTTGTCCTGCCTTTCCGCCGCGAGATGCGATCGAAACACAGTGATCAGCGTCTCCGGATTAATATCTGTCGGTGGCGAGCCGTTTTCATCGAGATGCGGTGATGAACGGGGAAGAAAAGGTCGAAAGATGCGCTTCGGGCCGGGATGATCAACAACGTCGGTCCCCGATGCAACTGCCGCGCCACCCACTTGACCAGGCAAAATGTCCAGTTGACCGATCTTACGTTTCCTGTCGCGTGGTATGGTAGCCAGAATTCGAGGAGGGTGCGCATTTACGTTGAGGTTCTTCTTTGGTCGTTGATATGAGATCTCGAAAGGTTGCTCTGGCACGCCCTTGAAAAAATACTGCAGAGCGGCCAGTCCAAGTTGTGGACAGATGACGATTACCCGGGTGAAGTTGAGATTACTGCCGTTCTTATCAATCCGGCGGACAAATTCGTAGCAGTCGGAACCGGAGTCCGAGCCACCTTTAACTTCCTGTAACAACCAAAGCGAAACTAAATACCAGATTATGAATTCATGCTAAAAACACTGCCAAATTAAACTCTCTGTCCACACCCACTTTATAACTACATACATGAAACCGGGTTTGACTGCCATTTACGGACCTTCGTGCAAAATCTGAAAATATTTCGGTTTTGTGGCCTCACCGCGAGGGCATTTCTCCGCGAAACTGACCAGTGAAAGAGGTACTCCTTACGACCTCAACTAACAGTTGTTTCAAAATCATTTGATGAGTCACTCAATGAATCATCCATTCATTCCTTTTTTATTCCTAAACCGCTAAAAGGAAGACACCGAAATTGCTCTCGGAGCAGGGAGCAATATTTGAGCAGAATCCATCATTGACTACAGCGAATGTTGACTCATTACACTCATTTAAATAAAATCCCTCGAGATCTTCTGAAGCAATACCCTAGGGTAGTAAACCCGGCAGAGATGTCTCATCGGCAGTGCAGTGCAACATCACCATCGTCGACAAACAAAATGCAGACAAAAGGTGCTGCAAAACGGTGCATGACTCACTGAATAACGGAAAAATGGCCAACACTGACTAATGCGCTTACTCATCTAATCCTTCGAAAACGGAGTAGAGAAATGGTAACACGCATCGTCAGCGCCGCAATCCCTGGATCTCACCACTACAAGTTGCAAAACTACCGGTAGATCGATAAGATGACCCACTCATGCAGGAGGCACACATTTGAGTTTTCGACAGAAAAACTCGCAGCAAAACAAAAGTGCATTCGAACAAGGCGATTCTTACTGTTTCGTGCCTTTTTGCATGAACATTTAGCCCGAACCTTATGTTCACAGAGTAAAACAGCTCACTAACTGAACCGCAACAGAAAACTATCGCAATCTGCAGAGTACCTTACGTGCATTTGACGTGAATACATGCAAATAGCTGCCCTACCTTAGGCTCTTCCGTGGCGCTGTCCCATGTGAAGTAGTTCGTCACTTTTCCGCAATTCTGAATCCACGCACCCAGTCCATCCTTGAGAATCGCCGAATCCGAATCCAAAGCCCGCAGGTTCACCACAAACAAGCTGTTGACCATAATCTTCTGCGGGACGGTGTTACTGATCCAGGGCATTCTGCCATCCGCGGCTTCAAACAGCAAAGCAGCAAACATTTTCGGTTGAATAAATCGATTAATGCCCACTGATACGGCCACATAACCTTCCACTTCTTCTCCTGCGCCATTTTCCAACAAACTGAAACAATTTGCATCATGCTACGCGAACGTGAATTCTTGAGTGCGCATCGCGTACTGAAATATTTGTTTCGTGTTTTGCAATCCAGCTATTCAATTTCGATAGTCTATTTCGCGAGAAAATCTATTACAAGATCGCAATTAATAATGACAACTTATTCTCAAATAGAAACAGAAATGTAAGGTCATCCAGAATGGGCATGAGCAGCACAAATGCAATCGGCGAAAACTCGCCTTAGTATGGGGCCCAGAGATCCGAGCTGGTTCTTACCCTTCATATGCACTCTGCATGGGGATAACCTGCTGGTCTTTGGAAACGTCCAGTTCCACTTCCTCGCTCTCGACGCCTTGCTCGGATAAAGCTTCTTCACTATGATCTGCAGCATCAACACTTTCCATCATGTTCATTTCGAGACAATAAAAAGGAGACTGATCGAATAAAAAGGCACCGCGGACTGACACCTAGTATATGGACAACTTATGCGTGTTTAGATACGATGGAATGAGTTTGGGAACCAGAAGCTGATTCATCGTTCACATACAGCGTGGCCATCAATGTGGTTACATGTTTCGTAGCTCGACTTTACGTATTGCCTGTTCGCTGAAGTACATCATTTACACTCCACAGACAGGGAAATTATACAAGGCAATCAGAATTTCTTGTCCTGCCGAGCAAGTACGGCAACCACCTCCCACAGGCGGGTTGTGTTGCTTCATAGCGTGTACGAAGTTACCGTACAGACTCACCAGCACGGATCTCATTAGCCACCGCCTACCGGATGTCCACTACCCTGGACGACATGCATGCATTCCCTGGCCAACACGGCCCTAGAGTGAGTAAACGCAATACTATGGCCGTACACAACTAACAACAGCACCTACGACTTACGAGTAGATCGAAATTTAATGTTTTTATGCACAAACAGCGCATACAAACCATGATTCACGAATTCAGAGATAAAAGAATGCATGCACTTTTGCGCAGGCGGAAGACGGAGCTCTCAGGAGTGCTCGTAGCGCGAGCCTACAGGAGCGGCGCCGTACAGAAAACGAAACAGCGATCACCATCAAAACAGCGAAGCGGTGATTTCTGGTACAATAGTACTCACTGTAACACAAAAATTTAGCAAAAAAATGACCAAAATTTCACTTCGAAAATTAGTATCTACGATTTCACCAAGATTACGTTGCGGTGGAGCTCTTGCTTTCGCAATAATTGTTTATAGTGCTCTACTGTAATCTGGTTCACTTCACAAAATTAATGTAGTGCCACTGTGCACTGTGCAGCACTGCAGTACATAATTATTTATATCATTTTCAGCATTATGGCAGCTGTCTGCATACTGCATAGGGATGCACTTGTACTGGCGGTACTGCTGTACGAAAACTATAACTGCAATCGTGTGCATTTGCTAGATTTCCGTTTTTACGAAGCGTTCAACTCAAGTTATGAAAAGAATAATTAGAAAGATGTGTTTAGTTATTTGAGTATTTTTCTTCATATTATATGCGTGAAGAGATGGATACAGACAAAGCAAGATATTTCACACAAGCCGATTCCGAGATGGAGTCCGAAAGTCGTATTCGAAGAGATTTCGAGGCTTATTCAAAGCCACGAGAGCCTACGGCATTTCAAAAGGCCTTCGGAATCGATCCATATAGTCATCTCATGCATAAATTTTCTCAGCCCATCTGGGAAGCCGAGCTGAATCAAAAAGATATGGAAAAGCGTCAAAAAAGGTTCTCAAGAGAAGGACCAGCTCATCTTGCAGCTATGACCTTTGAGGATGCAGAGAAAACCGAGGCATCAATGTGGAACTACCAGACGTGCCCAGCAGAACATTTTCTGGATGCTTACTTGACGAACAGTGTAATCTCTGCTGTTGACTACTGTCTAGGCGAGGCTGAAAAGCAAAATATAATCGAAGACCATGTATGTACCCTGGTATATTATTATATACCGTATGTCTCAATAAGGGATCCCTTGATGCACTGCAAGATTGCAACTACCTCTATAATTTACAGCGTGCCTTCAAGTTGTTCTGTCCTTTAGACTTCATTGCTGAACATCTATGGATGTAAGTGTTCTACCTTGACTGATTGTTTGGACTTGTATACTTTAAAACGTATCTTTATTAACAAAATTACTGCATTTCCTGTGATTGTAGGAATAATACAGAACACCTTGAGCGGCGCAGCCTGGAAGTTAAACAACAGTTCAGTATTCCTTTATTCAAAAATTACTTCTCGAAGAGGTAATCTTTTCAAAAAATATTTCCGCATATGGCATATTTCGTCTAACGGTGCTTTTCAGTCCGCGAATACAACCACCGCTCAGCTTGCGATTAACCATTGATGAAGCAGCTAAAATTATCCAAAAGCGGTGGAAAGGAACACTGGTAATATGTCATTTTATCTGCATAAACAATGTCGAATTTAGTTACAGTACATGCCCAAATAGTTAATCACTATTTTGCCGACAGACCCGCCGACGCCCAGAAATTCGCGCTCTACGCCGCCACATGGCAGCCGCAAAGGTTCAGTACGGCGATCCACATAAACTGGTCACTGAACTCTGGGACAAAGAGTTTCAGCGCGCAGAGAACCTTAAACATCCCGAAACACCATGTCCGTGCCCAAAGAAGTATCCTCCTCCGCCCACACCACCTAAACTACCGCCATATTTGCAACAAATGAAAGCGCACATTGAAAGAAAAATCCTCGAGGCATCGCAGAAGCACGAGAATGTGTTGGAATCATCAATCGCACGGAACAGTGACATCTCTTCCGAAAGTGATGACGCCTGCGAGCCACTTCCGGTCATCAACGGGAAACCAGCTGATCCAGTCCAAAGCGGTGACAAAGCCGGCTCTTTCAGTGCAGACGGTGCGCTTCCGAACGATGCGTTCAGAAAATCGCAAGCCTCGGAGGGTGGATCAGAAAGTTTAGCCCAAAATCCAGCATCAACTACCAATAGCCAAACGAAGAAGCATCATAGTTTAACACATCCAGATCCAAAAGACAGCAAGGAAGAACCACCTACGTTGGATGGTGCCAAGAAAAAGCAAGGAAAAGGTGTCAAGCCAAACAAATAAAATTCTGGATGATACAAACACTACAAGCCTGCAACCGACTGTAGCTTTTTTGTAATAATTGAGCTGACTGCAAGTTTTTTGTACTTATTGAATTATTTTTCTATAGTATTGCAACGGCAACTTCTAAGCTGCCACTAGTGGAGTGGGTTAATTCACCCGTACCACGATAAAACGAGGTTTGATGGTTCGTCGGTGACCGTCGGTGATGTTGCGAGTTAGCGAATTACCCAAAAATCAGTTATGCAATTGCGAACAGGTTAACCGATACCGGCGCGATTGTCAAAGTGCACAAACATTTTTAATCAGCTGAAAAGTCATTGGTGAAGAGCAAGGGCAAGGGCAAGAGCAAGAATGATTTCAGAACATTCAGACAATCTCAGAAGTCTAGAAAATCCACGTTAGAACTGGTCATCTCGTACAAGTACACATTGAGATGTTTTCGGTTGAACTAGCACCAATAAGATGTACATCTTCACTACAGATCTCATTTGTACGGCTACAGTATGTATTTAGGTTCTTCAGTAGTATTTAGGCCGAGATACAATATGAATTCCGCACTCAAACAAAAATTATTTCGATAATTTTATTCAGGCGTACAAAACGTGCAGAAAAAAAACTTGAGAACGGAAAAGAAAACTACCACCTCGTACCCACAGTTCCGCTTAACAGTTAAAGCAAGTAAGAACCAACAAATGTAGTCCGCAGAAATACCTGGCTTGCAGCATCGAATTCAAGAGGTGAAAGACAAGCTAGATTACACAAACAACCTGCATGTCCACTAGTTGCAGCCTCGCACAGTCTCTTCAAGAGCGCATGAACGACCTGGAAAACGATGATTTCCACAAAAAGAACAACAATGGAACCACTGAAGACAATAACGGCAGCAAAATGGCAATACACATATTCTAAAATTTTTCTTTCCGGGGATCACTGCACTGGACACCAAGTAACCTACAAAACAACAACACTGTATTCGACAATTCGACATATTCCACAAAGAAGTAGGGCTGTATGGCTTGTATGAGCGGAAGCATAATGAACCACAAAAGCTTAACCTAAATTACTTATCATAACGTATTCACATTTCACACTAACAGTAATAGATAACGCCATTATCACCTTATCTTTCGATTTCACAGTTGTAACAATATTTTCGATGTCCGTTTCTACGGCATCAGGAGGCTTGGATGCATCGATGCGGTGATGCAGATAACGCTTTTGATAATAATTTATTAAAGGTGCCGTCTGATCGTGGTAGGCTGTTAAACGCTTGTTCAGCGTCTGGACATTGTCATCTGATCTTCGTTCCAGCGGTTCACCGGTTACCTAAAAAACAGCGCTAGAAATTGTATACTTAATATGGCAATACTGCGAGGCAGGTTGCAAAAAAAATGCTAAATCCCATTTTACATTTCTGTATCTGAGATCTATGTCCAGAACTTCTTACGCAAAAGAATGGTAATCAACAAGAGCAGGAAAAGTGCTCCGAAAGACAAACTCACATCATCCACGCCCGGTATGCGAGGTGGATTGAAGATCTCGTGATACGTGCGTCCACTTGTACGATGTATCCAGCGTCCTGTGATTCTTTTTACCAGTAGCTGATCCTCGATATCAAATTCTATCACCGTGTCCAGCTGCCGCTTCCGTTCAGCCAATAAAGCATCCAACTACCCAACAAACAGCCGTCAATCTTTTTAAGCAGAGTTAATTTCACCTTCATCCGTCGAACAGCCGCTCGAGTTGGAGCGAATATGTTCTAAAGATTACGCTTCCTAATGAAGTTCTAGAGAATATATCCTCGTACTGTATTCCCTGCTGCACATGTATATTTTTTATAGTGCTACTAGTATGCGTACTGCTCAAATGTCGACATATAAAGTGCGACGTAACAGCTAACCTTCTGAGCTTGACCGAGTGTGCGAGGAAATCCATCTAGGAGAAACCCTTGACGACAGTCCGGCGTATCCAGTTTTCGGTCGATGAGATGCACAACAACGTCGTCACTGACCAGTTTCCCTTCATCCATAACCTTCTTAGCGGATAATCCCATTTCTGACCCAGAATCAATCTCTGCCCGCAGCAGGTCTCCTGCAATCAGTGACGATCTTATAATAATCAGCCGAGCACCTTTCCGAGAACAGAATCCATTTTAATGGAACTTATGAACGCACTACTACTACTACAGTAAGTAAAAGTTATTACATTAAGCATTAAGAAACTTGAAAATAGCATTAAAATCTGAGTATGCGTTTTATGTTAAAAAATTTGCATTACCAACATGAAACATGGCCCAGAAAAGATAAATTAATTAATAAACCATTTTTTATATCTTTACGACAGTATCGGTGGAACTATCTGAACGGCTCAACTGTTCAAGGCTCCGAGCAAAAAAATGCAAAGTGCAATTGTTCAATGTTCTGTCAACAGAAAATCCGACGAAGTATAATGCACTAATAATCTGTTCTCACCTGTTGCTAAATGACAAATTCCATACCGTTCTGCCAATCGGGGTGCCTAAAACGAAAGCGTCACAATTGTACTGGGATTTCTGACAGCTTGCCGTTTGCAGTTAATGTAGTAATAAAGCAAGACGAAAACCCACTTGAGTTCCTTTGCCAGAACCCGGAGGACCCACGAGAATGGCATTAATGCCTCGCTTTTCCGCTGGTGGCTTCTCAACAACAGTTGGCGCATGAGCGGATTTTACACCGACATCGGGATTGCGAGCTTTCGGATCGGAACCAATTTGACGAAGAGCCATGATGAATCAAGATGAACGAAGAACCGCGCAAATTAATACTGCATTATAATCTGCAGGAACACTCTCATGCAATCACGCACACGTGTATGAACAAGATCAGGCTGATAAGATCATCCACCGATAACGGATATTTTTGCTGCCGGTCAGCAGAAATCACTGATTTCGTCACCGACCAACGAAGACCCTTCGTGCAGGCACCCGCGGTGCATTCCCTCTCCAGCAGACCAAGGACATTAAAGTCTTGGTGGTCAAGCCTGCAAAAGAAGGGATTTATCACCGACGGTCAAGATTGTATTCAAAGAACGTTAATATCACGCTGTTCAGGTCGCAGCTTTCTGTTGCAACATCATAAAGTTAGCCGGGAAAATTAATCAGAAAAATGAAAAACTAAAATATTTTACTTTTGGCAATATGGAACGTGGCCAAGCCTTGCGGTGGAAAGCATTGTGCTGATTGGCCCAATATAGCATACAAAATGCTATGAACCGGTGTCTGAGTCACTTCCGGTGGCTCCAACCGCACCGTGACGTTGCTTCGGACAATACAAAATATTGAGAAATCCCGTTTTCACTTCCCTCACCGGTTTTCAAATTTCACAGCCCCTTCATACACAGCGTTTTACTAAAAGCGATTATGCAATTTGGTAACTTCCTAAGTACGCCTTTCGTTTATTTCCGGTGGTGCCATCGAAATATTTACATTTGCTAGATGCAGTTTTTAGGGGGAAAAATGTTCAAAATGCTTGGTCATCTATTTTCTGGAATGGACTAGAAAGTGACGCTCGCTGCATTTTACCACATTCGAGCAATTCCCTTTACGGTCTCTACCGTATTTTACATACTTTTAACAAAGTACATGACCTTGAGGACAGCCTAATGTAAGCTATTGAATCAAAATTAGTTTACCAAATGTTTCAGTTTTTAACCGCGTTGCCGCTGCAGGTTTTAAGGTTATTAACGCTAAGAAATTAAACACTACTATACGTAGTACATCAGGTATTCCTAACGCATCACATGTATTGCACTTGTGTCAGGGAAATAAAATCAGCTGGGAAATGGAATACATCAAAAATTAATAAAAGTGGTCTTTATCCAAGAGTACATAATTTCTGTTGGTAAATCATTGGTAGAGATTCTGGCCGTGACAATCGCATTACAGAAACAAATTAAATTCCTTTGGGGCACGGCACTTCGCTCCAGGTGATATCGATGCGGCCTTCGTCAGTGGATGCCAGCTTCTTGAATGCCGCTGCAGACAACACCAGTTTGCCCTTCTTGCCCAGGGAACGGTCAACGATTTTCACCGTAACGCTAGTCTTGAATTTGGTGGCTTTCACCAGAACACACTTCTTGCACCAGGGGCTATCGCGAGCACGACTGAATTGACCGAACTGCTCCTGGTTAATATTGGCCACCATCTGTCCTTCCCGTGCATTTATTTCGCAGGCGCCCATTCCGGGAGTTGTGTAGGTGGCTTCACCTTTGAACTGCTCGGCAGCGTTCACGACATCTGGAAGAAAAGCTGGCCAATTAAACCGTCACGGGCTCAGCAAAACAGAAATCAAGTTTTTATAAATCATGCATATGCTGCATAAACTATGGTCAATGCTGTATAACCACAATCTAATGCAGATGCACATGGAGAATAAAAGTATGAATGCAGTTATAGCCGTCATGCGTGTAATGTAAAAACAGCTAGCATAGATTAAAGCTTTTCTTACCGCAAGTGAATGCATAAACCACCAGTGCGACTACGATTGCCGCGATTTTCGAATCCATTGTGAGTTATCGAAAAGGTCAAAATAAAAAACCTAAAACTGTAGCTGCCGTCGCGATTTTCAGTTCGACACTCCGCTGCAAAGGCAAGAATCCTCGCCCTTATATTCTTGTATTTGTTAGCTACCTTGTCATTTACGGTGTACAGCACATTAAATTGTAAGTACAATACGGTGCCTGTTATTCGTCTATTTTACCGAAAGATCTTGTTCAACCGGTATAGACCTTATGTAAAGTCTGGTACGAGCCCGTCTACTTCAAAGTGCATCCTCTGGTCATAATTATTGCGAGGTTCCTAATTGCCACCACCCTGAATTTGACCGGCTATATATAGCTATTAATCATGGACCCTACTCGTACTTGTTAGCATGCGCCGACATGGAAATTGCTGTCTAGTTTCTCCTGAAGTGCTTCAAAGGCGTGGCATGCATTGAGGAACAGCACTGAATATTGCTGTGTTTTGTAGAACATATTAAGTATACCATAATTGCACATTAATTTTCTTGTTTGAGCCCTGGAGAGATGCAGCGTTGCCAAAATTTTTATGTACTTACTGATCGTTGTCCTTGTTACGTAAACGCGCACAGCTGATATGTCAGTTTTTCTTAACTATAGTTACAGTAATTTAATACTGCACAACGACGTAAACAGCAGCTGTACAGTAAATTTATTCTTTATATTATATATTCTGAAGTCATAGACCACCGCGTGAATACAAGTACAGCACAAACAGGTATACAAATACAGCAAAAACGCGGTTGTGGCTTTGTAACATCTCCCTGGTCATCCAAAAGCTACCATGACTTCCCTAGAACCTTAAAAGTAAAAACGTGCAAAAATAGTTGGACACACAATGTCTATCATGTACAAAACTAAAATTTCATAATTTTAATAGCTTGCATTTGCTTATAATAATATCACCCCAGCATGCAAGCGATTTGCAAGAACCGCCGCAAATGTAATTAATTAATCGAGGTTCCAGCTTCGAAGATGTTAATGAAGCTGGATACCTCAGCCATGGTTTACGATATATAATTATTATTCCGATCCATTTTCGTTAGACGTTTGCAGCGTAATGTCGCTAGTGGTAGTTCCATCGCGTATCTGTTTTTTGACATGACTTTTCTGTTTTAATGCCCGCACCGTCATCGGCCGTCCATTGCGCCATTCACTGGTCAGTGCATGGAAAAAAGCCGTCAATGTGGATTCACCACCCGACTTTTGAGTCGATGCATCGACGTCGCCGTCCACTGATAATTCTCCTTTGGAAAATGAATTACCAGTAACCAGTGGTTGTTTTTGGCTGGATTTGGTCTTGTCGGTACCATTACCAACGGGATTCAGGCTCACTTGCGCCGTTTTGCTAGCGACGTCATAGCCGGAAGTGTGCAGGACAGATTCAGGACTAACTTCGACGATTTCATCGTGCTCCGCCTACGACAAATTAGCATAAATAAAAAATAAATTATGACAGTCTAGTACAAAACCGTTGTACTGGGCTATGCGTACGCCTAACAAATTAAAATTATCCTTGAGAAGCCGAGAGGAACCACCATTCTATTGCTTTTATGTATGTTTTAGATTTGCTATACTGTTTTTTGTTTTTAATTTTCTTAACCTCCATCTGGCAGTCGTAGTCCGACAATTGGCATTCTGACGTTTCACTGTCGCTGCTGCAGCTGAAGATGGATGCATTGTCATCCGTACAACCCGGCTCTTTTTTCTTATTGGATGCAACCGCATTCGGATCCACAATTATCTCCAGCTTCCGGTTATACCCTTGCGTCAAGCTGGGCAGTCGCTGGCTAATACTGCCAAAGTGACCCGACACGCCTTTATTTTTCTGTATCCGTAGCGGTATCAGCTTGTCGTTATTTGGATTGTTTTTCTGGTTTGGTTGGGCGGAAGTCATATGAAAATTTGGCTTGAGGGATTTGTGCGTTCCACTCGAGCAGTGCGGAGTGGGTATGCCACTGCAGGCATTGAAAACTTCCGCATTCACACTGCCGCTAGCCGAAGAATCAGCGCTTGTATTAACGGTGCGCGGCTTACTGCACGTGCACCTGCCGCAGTTCTTCTGCTCCGACACAGCCGCATTGTACGAAGGCGGCTCATCGTCTTTATCTCCACCACAGTCCCAGTTGTCGTCCATCGTCATCTCCATTCCAATGGTGCAGCGCGTTGGATCCGGCGTGCTGGGTTGCGCCGCATCCCCGCCGGACGGATCATCCATCATAAAATCCAAATCCGCATCCGAGCCGATATCCGATCCGGCAATGGAACCGGTCTGACAGGTCTGATCGGCGACGCAGGGCGGTCGTACATTTTTTATCACCATATCCTTGGTCGCATTGGCGGCCGCTCGAGCGTTTGCCGGATGGTTGGTCACGCCCTTTGCCGCCGGTTTACAGTGCAGTGCGACCGGTGGCCGGTTGCGTTCTACCTGGTACAGGGGATTACGTTGGACCGCCGGTTCGATGACCACGCTCAAGTGGCTTTGCTGGCGGCTGGTTGTGCGGTAAGCCGATTCCGACAGTTGCGTACTGCGTCCGCAGCGATTACTCCGGGTATACGAGGAGTTGGCAAAGGGTTCCCAACCCGTAGGATTTGAGCAGGGATATTTTTTGTAATGGATTGCGCTGCTGGGGCGACCGCGACTGGCGGTCCGGTCGGGTGGAAGCGGATGACTGCAGGCGCAGTTGCACACGGGTGCGGAGCGGTATAATGGCGGGCCGTCGAAGCCGGACACCGTGCCGGGTGGGTTTCGGCTGCTGGGATGGGTGTTGGTCCATACCACGCCAGCAGACGGAGCAGCGCTGCTGCATGTGGAAATCAACTGTGCCGAACTGGCGCAGCTGTGTACCGTGCTCACCGTCACTGAATTGCACGCAGGATACTGCACTTTCCGCACAATAATCCTCCTGCAAGTCAGAAGTTACGAATACTAGATCGGAAGTATTGATTCAATGAAACCAGTAGCGATGAAAATAATTTATTACGATTAACCTTGCAGACAAAAAAAGCCATGCGCAAATAATTACATTACCTAATCTTAAATAACACTGTACAAGTACAGTACTCTCGTAATCATTTGGTGTAGCGGCAGCGGAAAACAATAACCTACCGGTGTTTGCAATGCATGAACAGCACAGCCGAGAATGTGATTAAGAAAAATGCCAAAATGCACACTGATGCAACCAACCAATTTTGGTCAGTATGTGCAGAATGGACAGTGGTCAGCATATCTGCATCGCCTCCTGAGCCAAGACCGATGTACTCTGGCGGCAAATATACCTATAAAATTGTATAATTTATTTCTGAAATTACTTAATAATTCTTCTTGCTACCGCATAAACAATTGGTAAGCAAGTTCTCATTGTTGACAGTATTATAATTTATTTTTTACTTCAACAGATTCATTGCAGCGTATTCTTCCTTCGCTTTCCATGGTTGACCGGAGATGGTGCAGCATTCGCACTCCGTGGGCAGAAATATTGGACTCCTGTGGCACGGTACTGGAGTGCTTTCCCACCGCGTCAGTCGGATCGATCATGCCCGGCAGCAGAAACTGCGCGGCACCGTAGGCGGGTTCGTCCGCATTAAGCAGTCGCGGGGGAAACCATTCAGGGGACAATGACTGCTCACCGGAGATACCGGAAGCCAAGCCGGCACCAATGGTGCCGCTGGCAGCTGTCGGGGCCAGTATTTGCTGGTGAAGGCCGGCTGCTATTGTGCTAGCGCCGGTCTTGGCCTTAACAACTACGCGGAGAGTATGGTCTTGAGCGGAAGTCATGATTTTCCGCTGGATTATGGATAGTGCTGGAAGTCTATGGCAATAAACCCGAGAACCGTTGATTGTCTTTATCAAAACTCACCTGAATTGTTATTCGATAGAATGCGTACGAATCGGTACGATTACAGAAATCATAACTATCTAAATTAACAGCAACATGCATCGACAAAGTGCCAAAATAAATGGCGTATTATTAAAATGTACGCGTATGTCATTTTACGTCCGAAACGTAAATTTTGCTACTGGTAGAAACAATCATTAAGAAAGACCTCCCTAGACCTACGAACAACAGTAAGTCAAAAATTCTAAAAATAAAATTTGTTGACTTATTCTGTGCGCGGCATAACGACAACTGTTTAATGTTTAACGACGTACGGTATACTCTGTAAACACTGAGTTCGGGAATAATAGATTTCCCGGTTACTATTAAAGTAAAGTATTAATTTGCATTTTATGTAGGTACTAAACGTTGGCCATACCGTATGTGATCGAAAAGGCTGGCCGGCAGCAGACTGTCCAGGCACTGGCGTAGAATATCGTGCCATTCTGCTGTCTGCAAGAAAATATTGTAAGAAAATATTGTGAGTAGTAACCAGAGCATCTGAATTATTTTGAAACAGACGTTTTTTTAAACAATGCAAATGCTCAATAAATTGCTTACTCGGCGGCATATTTTATTAAATTAGAAAGCAGCTTGACATTTATGGACTGCCTAATAAAATGTTATCTTCAATTTTGTCAAATATGTATTGCTAATTATTTGATACTGTTATGGCATTAGTTGGTTACTAAAGTCCAAGTACTCCTACATCTCACATATTTAGGCACAAAACTGTTGCAAATTTTCTCCAGAGCAGAAAAACATAAAAATAATATCAATAACATTTTAAAATCATATTTGTGTAGTTCCTAGTTACAGCAGCTATCTAATACTAGTAAATAATTCATACCTTTAACGGTCTCAAAAGATCCACATCCAGCTCTAACGAATTAGTGGTCGAAGACGATCCAAGGGTCATTTTAGCCGGTTCCAGAATTAAAACAAAATCACCGAAATTGTCGAGCTAGTACATTACACCGGCATATGGTATGAGGCGAACGATAAATGGTCTCAACACAACGGGAAGCAAAAACTTTTACGGCTCATAATTTACCTACAAGCTAAACATTAGTCGTAATACAGAAGCCGCAATTTCATTGTTGCGCGACAATGCGTGATTGTCGGCTAAATCTTTCGGTCTCGTGTCGATAAACTTTGATTTGACGAGCAATTTTCTTGGATGTTATTACTAGGTACAGCGCAATATGATCGTGAATAAAAACACGCGCATAAAATTAATCAGCATTTCATAAGCAAGAGAGATGTAGCCTGGGTCCGTGCGGGCCGCAGCCGGACCAATACGGTTTGGCAGTGGTTGTTTGCTTGCCATAACATAGGCGGTTCAAGAATGAACGACCGGAAGCGGCCTTTCCGTCTTTCACATGTGGATCCTACAGGCTTACTTGTACAATACTTTGCTGATTACCACCGGCAATTTGCATAGTCGGCAAATAATGATCATCCGTACACGCTCTCTCTTCAAGGCATCTGCTCAGCTCAACAACGGTGACCGCCCAAATTTGTAATGATGCAATTAAAAAAGCAACGGTTGGTGTAAGTGCCGTATTAAGATTGTCTGTACATGTCAGTCTGGTAAAAATAGCCATCCTCGTGTCGTGCACGACAAGTTTAAGCGGTTTGTGTACAATGAAGACTTTTGGCAGTTTTTAAGCCCACAACAAGTATTGTAAACGATTAAGCGGCAGTTGTCGGCTTAAGTTCCACTACCTTAAAAAATGCCTACTCAAATTAGCAGATGCAAGAGATTCATAGAAATCCCACTGTGTGTTGGGTATTGGGTATCTACGGTGTTAGTAAGGGTTCAATTCAAACTGACCGCTGCAACGCCTATATTCTCGTTCACTGCACATGGGCCGGGTGAAGATCTGCCGGCTCCAGCGCCAACTGAAACCCGTGCAGCTTTTGCAAGGCGTAAAAAGGTCGTTGCATTAGAGGTTCATAATTCAGTACAATTGTAGTAAATCCTTAAAAAAGTTTATGTAATCTTGTCCTTGACATCTACCGACCCAAGCTTTTATTATGAATTTCACCAAGAAGATTGCGCCAAATTTTGTTAGCAACAGAAATTTGTACCTTTACATTATTTGGCACGATGATTTCTACTTTCTAGTACATCTCTGAGCTGTTTTGCATAATACTTATTTTAAGTATAAACGGCGCTTAATTAAATCTATATAGCAGCGTAGCGAACATAGCGTGACCTTTGGACATGAAGCTATATTGCGCAAGCCATCCCGTGGCGATGACAAAATAAATGGAAATATTTTCATCAATTTCGAACGTACATTGTGTTTGGACGCACCAATTGCGCCTACTTGCGATTAATCCTATAACTCGATATCAAACAGTTGGCTATAAAGTCGTCTGTTCCTTCTGGATCTTCGTTTGCATAAGTGAAAAATACTTGAAGTTTGATGTTTTGCGTGACAATCATACCTAAAAAACGTCCCTAAACCTATCAATGAGTTGTCAGATGCTGATTCACTTCGCCCGAGCACTCTGCCAGGTATTCACTGCATCAAGTAAGACCTTTTCTCAAGTACCCGTCCAACAGCCGTCACAGTCGCATCTCAATTGTGACACAACATGGCCAAGGCTCCGCGCGAAACCAGAAATGCAACACGCCAGCATATATGGCCAGTGCAGCCCAATGTGCGGTGAATCTTGCAGTAGCAGCACATGTTTGATCAGTGCAACAGGAAGTACCCTCAACAAACAAAACATTACACATGCCTATTGTACAGAAATATGGTTTTTTTGAGTTAGAATGCGGACGTATGATCGAACATTGTAACTTATGCTGCCTGGAAGAGTCTAGCGTTTAGACGGATGCCTCGTTCCCGGTAGAGGGAACATGGATATTTTGATTATCACGATCTCGTCCATCTTGTACTTCAGCGTTGCGCACGGTGCGGAGCCGAATTCAGAACTGCTGTTATCAACAGAAGCATCAACTGTAGAATCTTTCTCGGCCGCAGTGCTTGATTCGAGTTCTCATTCCAGTAATTCCACCCTAACCCCATGGCCGGAAATTACCAATGGTATGAACTTACATTATACACTCACCATACAACAGTGCCAACATACGGTATATAATTTATTTACATTCTGTTCAATGGAATGTTAATAAATTTGTATCTGTTCGTTGTAAAATAAAATAAATTTACCTATGTTTTAGGATGTAAACAATACAGTTTATTGTATTTAAAAAGCCAAAAAGTAATAATTATAACATCACTATATATAGATTTTCTATATCATTTTCAATTGCTTACTGGACCTATTCATCTTTAATAAATCCGGTTATTAATTTTTGTGACAGAATACTTACTCGAATGCGTATGCATTATCTAGATATCGTGCTTTACATTATATATTAAACTAGTTAACATTAAGGTACAATAACATATTGTCAGTGCAGCAATTTTTCGCGTAATACAATATTTTTACAGCGTCCGGCGCCAGAAACAAAAAACGCACCACGCATATTGAAAGCCAAAATACATACACAGCTAAATAATTCCAGAAATGCTAGGTGTGTACGGTATGAGATTAAGGTTATTGGTAAGTATTTATTCTGATTAGGATTGCCAAGCGATTTTCTCACTTCCGACGAAGGAATTTCTACAACAGCCTCGACAATAACATCTGCGAGTACAGGAACTGAAAGTACCAAAGAATTCGAAGAAGGCAGTTTGCCGCCCGCGCCAACCACGCCGTTTCCAGACACCGCACCTACAGATCCGCCCCTGCCGGAAATGGCCAGACCGTGCGACCAAATGGCATGCCGGCTGCCTTTTTGTTATTGTCAGGGCTACCAGATCCCCGGTGGTTTGTCCGCCAATGACACTCCACAAATGGTGCTGACCACATTCGATGGCGCCATCAATATGCACAATTATCCGCTGTACACGCAAATGTACCACAATGAGCGAGTCAACCCGAATGGTACTTACTGGTGATTATTAGTTTATCCAATACTTTATTTTAAACTTCAAGCCGACCAATATTTACATATGAAATACGACTGTGAATTTTTCAGTTTCTTCGTTACGAACATCATAATTTAAAGTTCAACATGCAGATAGTGAGTGCTATTTTCATTAGGATGTCCGGTACGAGCCACTTTTTTCGTTTCGCACCGATGGACAGATTACAGCAATGTGCAGAATTTGTATGCCACCGGCCATGAAATCGCTCTTCGCGGTGTAGCGTAAGCAGCACGGACAGTAGTGTCATTTTTATTTGCAACGTAACTATATATATCCGTACATCAGCATATCCCAAAATTATTTATGTATGTGGGCATGGGACATCAAGATAAGCATGAATATAAAACTGACTAATTAAATGTTTTGTGTAGTTTAACCGGCGACCAGTTGAACGCGACCTACGAGAATTTCACGGAAGACATTGTGGCATTCCAGCAAATCGCCAAGAATTTCGCCGACGTGGATCCACAAGACATGGTGGGACAGCGAGCGCCCTATCTGAAGACTGCCGGTGATGACCAGTTCCTGGCGGCATTCGATGCGAAACTCTTGTACGATGCCTCCATTCTGAATCCCAATACAACGCCGGTGTGGCCTTTTACTTTGGATTATGCCACGCCCTTTCAGTGTCCCGAATGGTATCCGCCGTGTCCGCTCTTGTCGTATCCAGGCTTATGGGAAATACCAGCAACAAGGATGGTAAATTTCGCGCCGAACAAATTTTCCCGCGTTTCTAAAATAACTGCGAATGACAGGTTGGACCAACGGGAATTCCGTATGGATTCTATAGTGCTTACGAGTTTCCGAAAAATCCTATCGAAGTGGCGGAAGTTTTGATGAAGGTGAGGCACCGGTCAGTGAATATAATCAAGGGCTGAACATTTGAGCACCAATGTTACCCTTGCTTGCAGTTTTTCAAAGCACATTACGAGGGAAATCGGGCTCCCTTTACACTGAACGGGCTTTCCTATTGGTTCGGAACAGCGGAGTACCGGTTAGGCTTTGAGTTGTTTTTGGAGCAACTTTTGCGCTTACCGGATGTATGGATAGTAACAGCATCGCAACTAATCAGGTCCGAATAATAAAGACTAACAACTGATTCCTAATTACTAACAGAATTACGATCGCGCAATTGTTATACTGTATGGTTATCAAAATTGCATCGATTTGTTGCTTAATTTTGGATATTACGTGAAATCAGATATAAACAAGCTGACGTACTGTACGGCATGCAACGCATAATATCGCTTGATGTTTCAGTTGGATGCAACGCCCAACGCCGTTGTCGTCCATCAAGGACTTCCCGGCATTCAAATGCGACCGTCCGCGAACCGCCCAACCGTGTGATACCGGCAAGACTTGTCGGACATTTCTGGAAGGAGAAGAAATTTACTTCTCTACGTGTAAACGTTGCCCTTTTACGTTCCCGTACCTGAAGAATTACAATGGTTGCTTTAATGACCCTTGTCCCACTCCGATTGTGGAGTACGCTGACAGTGTGTCGGCATTGTGCTGCAGTTATGTCGTCCACGTAATAATGTTACTGCTTGCGTTATCTGTAGCAATAAAAATTTAATTTGAAGCTCGGACTAGCAGTGATTTCAGTGACTTTCCATGAAGCTCTCCAGAAACATGATAAGGCGATACATATATATATTTATTAATCAGAAGTATCTGCACCACTAAACCAGTTACCACACATGCGGTGGTGCTCGAACAACAAGAAATTTCAACGTCTTAACGGTGCAAACATGATATATAGACATTTAAAAAATGTGATTCACAACCGTCGCAGTTTTAAACCGTTGTAAAAAAATTAATGTGGCATTTTTCATGGCTTACTATTTTTCATGGATATATTGAATCACTCTCATCTCGGATATCTGAACGTGCAGAAATGCGGCTTGCGCACGATCATGACAGCAGACAGTCTGCCCCTATCTTTAATCTTCAGATTAGCACTTCTGTATTTCTGAAATCAGCTGCAAGCCTGCAAGCTGCAACTGTACTAAATTGTAAATTCCATCTTTCCCCGTTGCAAATGGTTTTCTGAAAATGCCTGCAAGACGGCGCAGAAGTCGGCGGCAATCAGCGATTGAACTTGTTGAGACTTTGATTTTGTTACGTTATTCGCGTTCTGATCAGTGTATTTCTTTGCTTGACGACGAAGAGTTATTTCATTTAATAATTCTTTGGTATGTTCTTAACGACGACTCTATCTCGCCCTGATCGTAGTTAGTGGTGTTTCTGCATTATGAGACGCAGCGTCCTGACCACCGGTTAACGGCAGTGACCTCTGCGCCGTACCGTATTTACTTCCGGTAGTCCAACCGCTCCAACGCTATTACCGAATTAGAAATTTATATTCAGTTTTTGACTTTTTGCCTTTGGTATCGACTATCGACCCGCTATCGTGCGGCAGTTTCCTGGTAGGGGGTTCTTTTTGGGATAAAGGTACGCGGACTGTACTACTGCAAAGCATACTACTACGTACGTAAACGACGGCTAAACGGCCATAAACGACGTCGCTTTAGCCTTTACGTACGTCTGTCGCTCGAGATCGCTCGAAATTTTTTGCTTTTTCTTCCCGCCTTCGACTTCTACAAGATTCACCGTCAGTTGAGGCAACGCGTTTTATAGGTGTTCTAGATTCTGATCGTGTTTTACAGTACACTTTTGACCTTTTGTGTAAGACTTCAAATTTTCTATTCCAAATCCTGCTCCAGCCATGCCGCCGAAACCAAGTGGAAAGGCTGTGAAGAAGTCGGGGAAGGCCCAAAAGGCAATCCGCAATCCTCAAGAAAAGAGAAAGAAGAAGCGGTAAGAACTAGAACCTGACCTCGATTCGATCGCTGACATACGTTGGTTGTGTGAACCCTAAGTAAACTATAGTCTGAGAAAGAATAGTGCAGTCCATTTGCTCCATTAATGTGGAATGTTACTCAGTCTTTGCTTGCCGTTGAACTATAATAATTGAACCTGGGATTTCCGAGCGGATCTGGGGTTCTTGGAGTGTTCATAATTATTACGGTGATATTCGTAGCAGTTAGTTCAATATATGTGATTTCCATCAACAGAAAGGAGTCCTACTCCGTCTACATCTACAAAGTGCTGAAGCAGGTCCATCCCGACACTGGCGTCTCCTCCAAAGCCATGTCCATCATGAATTCCTTCGTCAACGACATCTTCGAACGTATCGCATCGGAGGCGTCGCGTCTGTCCCACTACAACAAGAAGTCCACCATCACCTCGCGCGAAATCCAGACCGCGGTTCGTCTGCTGTTGCCGGGAGAACTGGCCAAACACGCTGTGTCTGAAGGAACCAAAGCTGTCACCAAGTACACCAGCGCCAACAAGTAAAAAGAATGTCTTCGTCGCGGATTTCCTGGAGCACACGTTTACCCAGCTATCCTGAATTTTCCTTGGTTCTTTTTCTCCTATTTTTTAGTATTAATCGTAAGCTTCTCCATATAGTGCACTCGAACAACCTGTCATTTTCTTTACATTAAGTCGCGTACGTCTTCTTGTACCGCCGATAGTAAGCCATCGTTTTCAGTTTTTAAAGCTGCGGGAGTTGTTATTGTGGATTGTTGGTGCTAAACATTTTGAAAGTGGCAACTGTTAGACGAAATGTGTTATCGAATTCCATCTGATTCCGTTGTTCTGTATCTGCTTATATTCTGCTATCCTGAAATGCACGCTTTGAAGCGATGATAATGTATAAAAGCTTTCATAAATAAGTTTCACTGTGCAGGCTGGTTGATTGTTTTCTTCTTGTAGTTTTAGACAGATCCTTTGCAGAAATGAGCCAATTATTTCATAAGCGTCCGCACTCATATCAGGGTGAACTGGTTCCTGAATTGGTTTATCCAGTTTCCTCGTACTCCAATCGTGTTACCGTGTACAATTTCGATGATTTCATCTACCCGAGTAGTTATGTACTGTAACATTGAGTGTTTAATTCCAGCGTCGTAACACACAACCCAACAGGAGACAAACAGAAGACGTATCAAACAGCCTGCCCGTCCCGACGGGCGAGGCGATAAAATTCATCTCTAAAACCAGGTTATAACCTGCCACACAACTGACCGAAGACAAGCAATCTCTAAAAAGATAAATACATCAAACACACAGTTCTCTTGGCCAGATAAATCCGAGCGAAACAGAAACAAGCTGAATTAAAAAATAACAAAAAGTACCACCAAACTATGGAACATATCGGCGGCTGCTGTGCATCCTTATACGCACACACAGACACACCAGCGTCCACTGCATAGTGCATACCACATCGAAAATTAACATAACAAACCGTACTAGATTTACACTCAAGGAACCTTGACCCTTCTTTAGGTAAACAGTACCTTTGGAAGATACGTTGAACGGCTCAAAATTGCGGGGAAAAAAACTAGCAACAGTCTAGCTACCTCTGCTATCAATGCGCCCATTCCTAATGGAAACGGAACCGCGGCACCCGGTTTCCACACCCCACCCCCCTTTAAAGCTTCAGAATCTTCTTCTTCATCAATTCGAGATTCATTTGACGCTCCTCCCGCTCCACCTGCCACTTCTGCTGCTGCAGAGCCAATTCAGCGCGACGGAGATCCATTTCGGCCTTTTTCATTTCCATCTGTTCGCGTTCCAGTCGGCGCTCTTCAGACTTCTCACGCTGTCGTGCTTCCAGTTCTTCGCGCTTGAACTGCAGATCCGATTCGTGATGACGCTTAAAGTATTCCGTCAGCATGGAGACCATGGAGCCCTCGGGAATTCCAGCTGCTTGCTGCTGGGAGGCAGCTTGAGCGGCCATGTAATGGTGCAGGAAGGGATTTTGTGCTAATGGAAGTTGCGCTGAAAACAAAAACCATTTACAATGTACACAAGTTATTTCCAAACACCAACAACGATGAAGTGGAAAGCAAGCAAGGAAGGGTCGCTTTTTGGTTTCCCACCCACTACGAACTCAATCAGAGACGTTACAGAACTGAAGAGGGGCGTGTGAAAATAAGGCCGAATTGCTGTGATATCGCGGCACTGCAATACGTGTAAGGTCAACTCAGTGTGGTCAGTGCAAGGGAACAATCAAGTCCAACTGGACGCTACAATTGGTGTGCAGATTAAAAAATTTCTTCATATTCGTTATGAAGAAAAAATTTATAATGCTTTGCACATGTAGATCTAAATACCCACTATACTACGCATAGCTCGGCACTTACGCATAGTCGGCGCTGGAGTACTGTCCGCCGGCTCAGCCCCCGCCGACTCATCCCTTCCCTTAGCCCGAGTCCTGGGCCGGCTGGACGCTTGATTCATATACTCCGCCAACTGTGCACCGTCAAGAAACGCCGCCCCATTACTACTGCCAGCGGCGTCCGAGATCTTCCGGGGGCGGCCTGGTTTGCGCTTCGTACCTGATCCTGACGGTGCGTGCTGCGCCTGCATGGCCGCTGCCAAATGGGCGGCATGCCGCATGGAATGCCGCAGTGGATGCTCGTCGTCCATCATATCCCCGTCGTCGTCGTCGTTCTGTGGACTGAAGTGGTCGCGCAATTTACGCGGCCGTCCACGACGTCGTTTCCCGCTGCCAAATGACATCTCGTCGTCCCGCGCGGGTACGTCGGGAATGATTTGCGCCAGTAGTTCATCGCGCTTCTGGAACTCGTCCAAAGTGCCGCGCTTGGGATTGTACTTCATGGCATGACCACCAAAGTTTTTCAAAAGGAAGTCGAAGCGCAGTTTGCATGTTAGGGCCGACAAACTTAAAACCGGACCGAAAATCTACAAAAAGCAATCCTATCAAACTTCGGTAACTGTCGGCAGTAATAACGGTGGTGTAACTTGTAAGCAATACTACGTCGTATTTTATCATAACGACACGCAACAAAAAACAATTCTAGTACAGGTATGCAGTAAACACACACACAAGTAAACACACATTCAAACAAAATAACTAATTTTTAAGTAATTACCAGGTACAGAAAACCATAAGAACCAAACCCTAACAAATTTTTTAAAAAATCAGACATGTTTGTATTTGGAAATCAAATGCGTGGTTTTCATCAGCGCTGTTTTTGTGAGAACATACGAGTACCGGAGTACGAGTAGAGTTTAAAAGTTTAAACAAAGCATTATGTTCACGGAAAAGGAAAGCATAATTACGAAATCTTATTATTTCATTTCTCATTTAATAATGACCACAGTTTTCCGTGTAAACCGCTTCTTTGTCTAACTTGAATAAACTGAATAAAGAATATTATATGGATCCGCGCTAAGCGAGCAAATGAATAAAACTAAAGACGGGCGAATATCGTAACACCCTTGCTTATTTTCAACTGCATGCTATCCAGCTATCGTACGGTACAGTCCCATACTGAAAGTTTTAACGAAGTTACACAAGTACTGTACGTATGCAATCTTTAAATGTGAGAGCGCGGTACCACGTTACAGCTCTCGTATTAAACCTCGCATAGCTGGCACCGGCGCTGCGATTCAATAAAATTTAAAAGCAGCAAGATTACAGTGTAAGTAAGAAATCAATAAAATTTTAAATGTGCATCTAAAGCGACGGCTTTACCGGAAAATGGAATTCAAACGGTTAAATTTCTGATGCACAATAAATTTCCTGTACCTTTGACCATACCGGTACGGGTAGCGGATTCAGCAAAAGCGTAAAAATGTATCGGCAAAAACATTTTTATTTATGGCCAATGCTACGAAGCATGATGCATCCGTACGCGCTACAGCCCAGCCAAATTCCCTGTTCAGCGTGCCGTATTGTACGCCATACCAGACAACGTGGCGCATTTCATTAAACAACCCGTAGCCTATACGGCAGCGTCAGAGACACTCCGACTATCGGTTTTGCTTCCAGCCATCGCACTTTTCGTTCCGTCCACAAAAAACGGATTATTCTCGCAGCCAGACCGAGGCCAAGCTTTAGTAGTGCATTTACCTGTTTGTTGTTAAGATTGTGTGCAATCTTCCCCCACACTTCCCATGATGACTTGCCCGACGCATTGTATGGCTTATCGTCCTGACTGTAAGGACAAAATCCAATCTTATTGTTGCTACGGTTCATCAAATCATCCAGGTCTCTATGTACAGGCGGAAATAGTATAATTTCCACTCACTTGATAATCTCCTTCAGAAGTTCTATATCTTGTCGTGGCGCAAAACGACAGCGTTTCAAATTGAAATTGGCAAAACGATTCGGCTGCTCAGTTGAATCTGAGCCTTGGCGCTGGTTTGGTGGGGATCCGTGACTATCGTGATCCCCGTTAACATAATCGTCATCCTCATCCTCATTTTCATCGTCCCGCTCGTCGTCATGCCCATAAGACGGCGCATCCGCAACAGCCATGGCTGCAGAATTATAACCCGAATTATTATACATCGATGATGCGGCCTTCGCGTTCAAAAGCGCTTTATAGGACATGAAAATAATAGATCTACTAAATATCAAAAAGTAAAACGTCCCTGACACAAAATTATAAACTATTTGGACACTATACAACGCTACTACAATGTCTCTAAAAATTTTATTCCACCTTTAACTAAGCGCAACGCAGCAATAGCGGAAAATATGGCCACTGACACTTATATAAATGCGCGGTGGTTGAAATAGCAATAAAACTTTCCAATGATAAAATAGGGCATCAAAATGCTGAACTGCGTGTGCAAGTAATATATAAATTTGACGAGAGAGAGAGAAAGCGAAAATACTTTGTATGTATGTACATAGATATAAAGTTGTATGAAATCAACTATAGCTTAACGGTAGTATTGTATGTATGTGAAAATGGCCGACCAGTAAAATACAACAAAACCCTCATTGGCTGTAGGGCGGACCTCAATATTAATGCGTCTTGGTGATTTGCAAGTAAACCGGTTTCAATCGAATCGCACCACGCATTCAAACAGCGGACGCCGGTACACAGCCGTTTACAATTATACTGCTTGAAAAATTCGATTAAAATTTGTGTATGGTACGCAAAAAATAACATAAGTAAAAGAAGTTGATAACACTGGGCAAGGGCAAATGTACTAAGTATGTATGTATATTGCGTTTATGCCCTCTTGCAACGCGGTTCACACTAGTTCCACCCGGCAGGTTGATATGTTTTATACCAAGCGCGACCAAGCTAGCGAAAATCGATAACTCTGCCAAAATTTCTCTATTTACCAGGGAGACCGACATTAAATTAATGCATATTCGTGAGAGAGAAAGGCCGCGAATGCAACGGCAACATATGCAACTGCGCTGGCTGCACCATACAGATCTCCACGCGCTTGCTAAATAAATAAAATTTTCTTTCAGACAAATCTGTGCTCGATGCTGATAGTAAAAATATTCTGCATGCTACCAGCCATGCCACAGCCGCAGTTAGCTACCGCGCACAAACTACAAAGCAAAAGAGACCGATCGCGAGCAGATTTGTTTAGTTAAAAATACATGCATGCCTTTCGCAAGGTACAGTACATTGCAACAGTCATGGACGTTCATTATGGTCTATGGACGTTATACTTCACAGAAATTATATTATGCGCTTAACTAGAAAATAATTGACAGAAATTTTGGAAATAAATGTGCTTTCATAATACATAACAATTTCAATTAATTCGTTTTACAATTGCGATGGAAGTTAAAACAGAAAGTTCAATTATGTAATTGAGTGGTACTCGTAAGCAGGTTATAATACTAATTTACAATTCAACCTAGAAACAAGATGAGTTTAGTAATAAGAAAGTAAGTACGCAATTACTACTTAGTAAAATATAGAATAAAAAACAAGGCTGACAAACAAATGATGCCAACATAAATGAAGCCATGTATGTACGTGCTAAGAGCTCCATCGTAATTACTGCAACTTCAGATAGTTTTAATATTTTTTTCTTGTCAAAAAATATGCTTTTCATAGAAATAACACCTATGCGCGCCGGATTTTGCATCTCGAATAATTCGCAAGAGAAAGATAGTGACTGTTGAAACTGACAATGAGGCAACCTGATATGACGAGATTTTTGGTATCACATATCTATATTTCTCGTTTTTTACAAAACATTTAGTGCAAATATAGAATACACTGCCACTTCAAGCAAACTTCTCAAGTACAATTTGACTAACGTAATTTTAATATATATAGCCATAACAGCAAGAAAACGAAAATGCTATTCAATCAACATCCGGCTTTAAAAATAAAACAGCCAGCAGCTAAAAAAACATTATTTCCACTGCCCCAAAGTATAGGAGTATACACATAAGTAAAATTAAGTATAAGTAATACACATGTATTGCAAATACATACATGATGCAGTATACCCATAAAACTCAACGGCATACGAAAAAAACCTTCTGAATGCAGCTGCCAAATAGTGCTTTATGTTTCTGGACGGAGAACACAAAAGGCCATGAAAGTAAGCATCATAAAGCACCTACAGAACGATACGGGGCCTCGGTACCGAATAATTCAACAGAGAATTCACCGACACCGGTCACGTTTATACATTTCGCCACGACATAATGAAATTAATAATGTCGTACAGTATCCTCGGCGTTCCTCGCTATGCTCCAAGCTTCGGTTGCTGTAATTAAATTACCGGTGTCTATCATTTCCCAATTACCACAAAATATATTGCTGAACACATTTTACAACAATCAGAATTATTTTGAGAAAAAGAAATAAAAGTTATATGTCTACTATAATGAGTACTATCTACGCTGTTGCGCATCCAGTTTGAAATATAGACATACTGTGTCGTTCCATTACAGTAATAAGTACTGTATTCCCGTTCCCGGCATTTTCTCCCACGGGAAAAGCTGCACCAAATCGCGTACAAGAGGCACTACTGATGGTGAGTACTGAGTCCTGACCTTGACTGTGTGCATTTGCAACATCTCGTTGCCCGTCAAAATTTCACATATCAGTCGATAATACGATCGAAAGTTCGAAACGAAAGTAAGAAAACGATAACACGAATTACCATAGCACGAACTCATTTGTTGTTGACCGTTGTTGCTATAGTACCAAATACCAATAATATTTCGTTGAAAACTGGCACTTGGAGAAACCTGATAAAAAGTACAGAATTCTGCATTCAGGCTGTTAAATTAATAGAAGAACAAATTCAGTACGGCAACTAAAGCAGCAGTAAAATAAAAAAAAGCAGCAGTAAAATAAAAAACCACTGTGGAGACGACTAAATCATTTTATTACTTTTATTTTACAAGTTATTTTTACTCCAAAAATCGGAAATCAGTCTGATACGAAACGAACATTCGTCTATCAAGATTATGGCCCATGACCTATGCAGAGAGAATTTCCAACAACGGAAACCGCAAAATAAATTGAAATCCATAACTGAAGGCACCAGCAATTTACAACTGTTAGCACAAACATTTCCAACTCAAATTAGCGGACCCAGCAGTCGCTTTTACCAAAATTCTCGGCTGTGGCTGTGCTCATCTGGATACACAATTTGTTTTCTATGAGAGGTCAGTCACAGACTGCCGATCGGTCTCCCTTATGAGTCCTCTCGAACTGGAGACCGTAGCGATACGGCTAGTCGGATACATACATGGTACGCATTACGCAACAGGTCCAAAGAAGCTGAATGTACGATGAATAACCTATTCACTAACACCGGAACTCTTAATTGTCTAATAGGTTACATATTATCAGTAACTGGTGATCAATAATATGCCTTATTTATTAAAAATACAGATGAGTACAAACTGTACACAAAGCCGTAATGGCGTTATGCGGTTACAAGCTTCAATTTAAGCCGGCCCGGCATCCTATAATGACATTATGAATTAATTTGCAGTTTTTGCACGGTAGTATCGTACTAGTACTAGTGGCAAAGGGAAATGCAGGCTTTGATACAGAATGTAATTCGTTAATTGGTACAAATATATATTACCGAATGTAATAATTTGAGATCGTAAACTCTAAAGTTCTCTAAACCACGAACGTACTTACTTGTGAACGATTCACATTCACCGGACGTCGACCACGGCATCAAACCGACTGCGTGTTCCATAAACTGCAGAGTGCAGTGTGGATCATCGGACAAATTCCCGTTCTCATGTGCTACAAATGCTGCTGTTGCGGAAACGAAAGTATCCGTCGGAGGAGCGGCGGGATGGCTAGGAAGATAGGCATGATAACTGTACGAAGACCGATCAGTATTCGCGTCGTGATCACTGCGCTGCGCAAACATTTTGGAATCGACCACAGCATAACCACCGTTGAATGCTCTGGAAAACTTCATCTTGAAATTATCCATTGCCAACAATACTGAAACCATTGGAAACTATCGACTGATTTCTTCTCCTGGCCGCCTGACCATAAGAGAAACAAGGAAAATACTAATCGGCCACACAATGCACCGTTTCGGATCAAAGGAAAAATCTTCAAAAAGGTGCAAATCATCAGTGGCGAGTCGGGGACTGGCGATCCACTACTTCGGTCGAACTACAGTATAAACAATAAGACTGCATGCAGCATGCTGCCTGCGACCCAAATTTATCCCGTTGTTCTATGAACGCTTTACGTTGCTACGTACTGCGTGCAGAACAGAGAAGAAAAGTTTCCTGCATCAAACCTCACAGAATCACCATTTAATATCATGCCATCATGGCATGATCGCAACAACGTTAGAAACAAGCCAAATTGAATAAAGCATTTGAAACATACACTTTCATAAACGTAATAACATCGGTAAGCAATTGTTTCACTTATTTGTGATACAATGTCACAGTATCAGATTTCGGCGGCTGGACTTGTTGCTTGCGAATCACTTCCGAAAACGCAACCAACAAAGAGGGCAAGTGCAGTCTGTGCAGACTGCAGAGTATGACGTCACGCCGGCTTCGAGGAGTTTCACCAGTGTAGCAGTGTTTACGCCTTTACGGTAGGCGTGTTGAAGGCTCTGAAAGTTTAATTCCTGGAAGGTAAACTGCATACAGTAAAAGTCGGTACTGATCTGTTAATCATCTGTTAAAATTATTTTCTAATTATTATTCAATACTATTGCTTACTTGCAATCTGTAAGTATTGTAAATCTCGATGCAGTGTGACGAAGATACCGGCGTCAAGCCGCCATCGCAACTATTCAGAAGAACGCATTATTTCAGCATTTCCTTGAGTCGCTGACTCCCGATACGGCCACACCCAGCTCTAGGGCCCCAGATATCTGATCTCGTACTCGTATGAAAATAATTATGAACTTTTCTGAATGTTTGTTTTACGGGACTCCATGTGTTCCTGGCCTAAAGGATTACGGAGTACAATACGTTCCACTTTCCACTTGCAATATTTTATTTCTTCTTACACTAGATAGTAGATACTGTAGATTTCTTTTTTTTACATGGGCATCTTTCAGACCACAAATAGCATGATTTTTGATTTTATAACATTCGCAAAAAGCCTTTTATGCAATTATTGCAACTGACAATTCGACAAACTTTTCGCATTCATAATTTGCATGTATTTACAGGTTAGGTTTATAAAGCATGCGAGGACTGCCGGGAAGTCCCGGACGAGGGGGCGCATCCAAGTGTGTTTAGCGAACATCTGAAGTTCAACGCAATAAAACTTTGTTCAGTACCATATATCAAAGATATGGCCGCAAAACGTTTGTTTGAAATTGGTTGTCATATTATCATACAATCTTTCTTTATAATAATGTAACTGCATATTTCAAAACATCATAAAATTAATAATTTAATCAAAATAAGCGTTCATTATGCGAGAACGACTCAAATTCACAACGTAGCTGACCGTTTCGTCACAAATCATTTGTACACACAATACACAAAAACGTTAAAAAGCGCATCTGACAAGAAAAAAGGAAAACTTCTTACGTAAAAAAATTTATAAGAAAGAAAAACTTCAAACCACACAACTGTTTCTAATCAAGAGATTGGGCATTTAAAAAATTTCCAAAGGAGGCTTCAAACCGGTAGTCTTTTTCCCGTACCACAGTGCCGACTGTATTGTGATGCCATCAATTTGCACGGACATGTGGTGAGTCGTAGGAACTATCGAGAACTTCTTACTGCCAGAATTATATCTGCAACATCATAAACGCAAAAGTGAAAAGGCACAGGTCTAGCGATACGGGCATATAGATATTCGATTCTGACTTACTTGTAGAGCTTTTCCGTCATGCTGTCGTCGATCTTGGTTGGACCAGTACCGTACACCTTCACCGCTTCATTTACGTCAGCATCATACGCGTACAATCCTCTGAATTGGCAATTTGCATCACGAAACAGAACCAAAAAATGGCTTCCGTTATATCTGGCCAGTGCTTCAAGCACCTTTTTCTGAACATCTTCATTGACGATTCCAGGCAAGCAGCAATCACGAATAGCATTATGAATAATTAACCGATTGGATTTGGCGCTGGGCTTCTTGAAAAGCTTCGGTCCTGTGAGAAAAAATATTACACTTATGAGTAAAGTATAACAAATAAGTTACAAACCACTGAATCCGACTAAAGAGCAACAAAGACTGGGCCCAAACGGTTATGAACTAACATAATTCATCTGCCTTTTTGTACTTTGTACCAAATGCTGTCACAGGAAACATCATATCTCACCATTGTAAACCTGCACGTCCTGGTTTGAATTGGAAGAACTAGCATCACTAATTGAATCCGTCGTCACAGCTCGGGTCCGAAAACCTCCCGGAGGTGACAATTGCCGTCTCTCCGGAACGGTTGGGCCATGTCTTGCCGACGCAGCAGCCACACGAGAATTATGGAGTGAAAGGATTGAAAATTCTAAAATCAGACCAAAATTATGCAATAATAAAGCTGCTAAGAAATGGATACACTGCAAGTTTACAACTCTTACCTTGACTGACTTTCATTATATCACCTTGGCTAGGACACCGCTTTATTTTGCTAGTCGCGAAATCGGTCACAGGAGGAGCTTGCACTGGTGTCGTCACACTATTGGCATGCACTGAAAGAGGACGCGGTTTCCGAGATTTATTTTCCCTCATGGTCACCGGTGGCCCCAGTCCCGCTTCCTCCGCTGCTGCAGCTGCTTTCCGACGCTGGTACTCTTCGAAGACGATCTGACGGCGAATACGATCTTCTTCCTTCTTCTTAGCTGATTCTGCTTGACGCTGACGCTGCAACTCGGCCTTTTCAGCATTCTCAAACTCTTTTGCTTGCCGCGCCAATTCCTGCTCAGCGCGACGTTTTATCTGAGATTCCAGAATTTTCTGTTTCCTACGTTCCATCTCCGATCCGTTGTTCTGTTTTATGGAAATATAAATGTTATTCTTATCCGTAACTAACGCACTGCGTGCAAATTATCGTAAAATTTTCTTTAACTACTAATTATCCAATGTATAAGAGCTACTGACAAGCATCTTAACAAGACAAGCATAGTACGTAATAGAATAATTGTAATGAACAAAGCAGCAGCTTCCAGAATCATATTTTATACACCAAAAGCAGTCCAACGTGACCAGAAGAACCGACACTGCCCGCTAACCAAAACGTACCTCTTCAATCACGTTAAAACTGGCATTTCCATCATCGTCGTTCGCATTGTCGTTCCACAGTTTCCGTGGCTCAGCTGCGGTCGGATTGAGCACATCAATCGAATTGACAAAATCACGATGTCCGCCGACATGGCCCCGCCCACCCCCAATGGCAGGCCCCAAAGTTACCGTGCCAGTCCCGTTGGTCAGTTGTGGATTTCGTATTACTTTTGGCTTGAACTTGACCGGTTTGGGAGCTGCACCCGTGGGGATAAACTGTTGTAAGGCTTCATCCAGAGGTTCCGAAACTGAGGAAAATGTATGAGATCCACTAGCATCATCAACCGAATCAAAATCACTTGCATTACTCTGGGAAGTGTTGTGCATGGAGAACGCAGGGAAAGACGAGGGACTGGCGTGGTCTGAAACGCTCACATTCCGACGAGGAAGAGGTTTGGGAGGCTGTCTGGTAGAATAAACATTAGCCGCATCGCCGGCACCGATATCCGTTTGTTCTGTCCACTTGGCACGCCGATAAGGAAAATTCTGAAATTCATCAACCATCAAGAACGCCAAAAAAGAAAAAAAGGAAGAGACAAAAAACCTACACTAGTTTCACCGATATCTTCATCCTTATTCTCGCTGATTTCTTCGTATAAGTGCTCTTCTTCCGATTTCTGTGATGATTGTGACGATGCGGATGAAGCCGGTGCATTTGGTCCGGATTTGATAAACGCATTGTCGCCCAGCTGCCCCACCTGCTGGATCCATTCGTGGCCTTTCTTTGCGCTTTGTCCCCGAAGTTTCCGTTGTTTTTCTTCCAGTGCTAGTTTCAAATTGATAACCTGCGGTTGACCTGGTTGAAAGTTATTTTCCGGTAATTCTTCATTCGTGGCAGCTCTGGATAGTCGGGATTTGTCCGCCGGAGAGGATAACTCTAACCACGATGTGCTGTTTGGCAAAGGAGCGAAACCAGTTTTCTTAAAAGGAGAAGTCTGCGTCCTGGCCGAATCCTTCAACACACCGTTTGGCACGCCCATTTCCCGTTTTGCAAGCTGGCTAATGGCATCGATTACTGGCAAGTGTGCACGCTGGAAAAAGGAAGAAAGTTAAGTGTGACTAAAATCGAAATTATTTGCTACCAGAATAATCTGTTCACCACCACAAACGCCACCGGATTATTTTCTGATATACATCGAAGTACTGTACAGAGCATGGTTTACGTGAAGAAATGCACTACATTTTTATTGCGATTCTTTGTATCGTAAATAATCATATAACCATGCTTAAACTTAATGAATACGCATAAGTCAAACAGTCATCCCCGTCGGCGATCAGCAGATTTTAAGAATGCCCAACAAAATGGAAATCAAAAAGTAAAACTATTATGTCAGTAAAATAGAAAAAATATAAACAGAGAAAAAAGTGAGCAAACACATTCGCAGATGTTGAAAATTAACGATTACTATCTGTAATAAAAAAACAGAAGAGTAATTTATTCAAATGGCAACTGCCGCTTGTAAAACAATCCTTCCGTCTCCAGTTATTTCGGCTTCAGTTAAGTAACAACTATCGGCGGAAACTTTACAACACTCACCATGCGAATTGGTCGGTTAAATGAAAGATCAGTTTCCGTTATGGGATTGCCATTAGAATATACCAACTGATAGCCTTTCTTGCTTAGAAGCTGTAGAATTTCATCGTGCGTATAGTTTCTGTAGTTTGGAGTCCGGTAAATATTTCCCAACGCCGCCGCATAAAGTTCTCCACTCGTCAAGCCGAGAACGTAATCAGGCTTTATCAACTTCTGACCCTGCAAAAGCCAACGCACCGCTAACAAAGTGCTCGCCAAAGAATAAGCAATATGGTAGTCACCCTTTCAAAAGTTCATCAGCCACATAAAGTCGCCGTCACTCGGATAAAGTCAAAAATCAAAAGAATGCTTTATTACTTTATCCCATTTTCATGCTATTTCTCAGGCTCATATATCGAATCTTTCGGGATGGTCACTACAACTGCGTAAATTTCTATTGGAAGTATCAATTTTGACTCGCGCAATTCCGAAACTACCGTCGGCAGCCGCAAAACAACCAATACCGAACACATAACTGACATAAGTCACATAAGCTAACAAAGCAGTGGTCGGTACATACCAGTACTGGAATACTGGTTTGTTTTCAGCACTCGGAAGCCGCCTACTGTAACAATTCATACCTGACCATCCGGATAATATGGTTCCTTGAGATCATCGCGAACTGTCCCATGCGCCATGTGCATCAACCATAACAGCATTTCACGTTCTCTGGCCTGCAACATTAACAAGCTGACACATAAATTCCACTCTCTTGTTTTAAAAACAAACAGACAAAAGGCCCAAATTACCGCATTTATGAGCATGCGGTAAATAACCTATACATCAACCTCGAGCTTTAAATACTGATGAATGGTGCGCGTTTAACCGGAACAATGCCATCGTCAGCAACGACGGAATAGATCCTATTGGTCTAACAATATGCGAGTACAGATACAGCGCCGAAATCTTAAAAAATTTGTCCCAAGATACAGTGCGAACGATATCCAATACTATTACCATATAAAATTTTATATATCGTGGAATGCATAATGAAATATATCGCCTCCTTCAAAATATAGCGCTGATTGGAATTCAGTGTTCCTAAAATGGGTTTCCGACTGGCCGCTTAAACAAGAATATCAGACAAAAACGCTAATCCAGTCCACCACCATTTCTAATACGTAGTTCGTCTCGCATACTGTTCTGTATACTACACTAAATGCTGGCGAACTCAACAAAGATAATGATTAATGAATTCCGCAAACCCACTCATACCCAAATGCGTGCATGCACACACTTCCGTATAAGCGAAACAATCAACAAAACACGTTAAAGTGTCAAAAAATCATTACGTCTGCCGGTAGCAATCCGTGCACGACACTGTTTGGCCTGCAACTTGAAAGTACTCGTTTGATGAAGGTATACTCACTACTTACTGGTTAGTACACTACATAAGATGCTGGGTGTTGCACTGGACAAAAATTTAGTGCATTCACGAATATAAACGATATAATTAGCCAGATTCATCAAAAACTAAAAGTTTTTGTTGATGAAAGCAATAACATTGTCCACGCTCGAAAAACTGCGAAACTGCTTTGCCGGCAACCAGCTGGTGATGAAATGGCTCACAAGCGTCAAAGTCTTGTTTTAAGCAGTAATGCTGCCCACTAGAGTAGGTAATTACGCATTTTTCGCATATATCTGAATATCTGAAAATATTCGTATCTGCATCACCTATGTGGGTTGCAGGCACGGCTGGAAAGCAGTACGAGTATGCATTACGCAGATGGGTTGTTTTTATTTCCATTAAATAGTCCTACACGTTCATGCTCTTCTGTGTGACTGGAATGAAACGTCGCCAATTAGGCAGTCGCGTTCTAACAGCGCAGTATCAAATCTTCCGTAAGCAGCAAAACAATAATGCTGCTAAAAACCCAACATACAGACTAATTCTCAAGTACTGTGCAGCAACACGTACATGTTATAACATGTACCGTGAGAGCATCAATAAATGCATCTTATTGCTAAAGCGACAAAAATGTGATTTACAGTAATAAGTAAAAACCTTCCAAGAGTTGACGTTTTCAGGGGTACCGCCATTGTTAAGCATTACTGTTTATCTCGACAGAGCACTACCCTGAAATAAAGCTTTAGTACCAGCTGTAAGTTACAAACAATAGGCTCTTCAGCGTCTTCCTCTCACTTTTGATTCCAACCCAGACACGTCTAGGATTGCTGTAAATTTACACCGTAATTAGAACGGTAAACAAGTCCGAAAGTCGAGACCGTATGCAGAACTGGTTTCAGCTTATTTAAAAAATTAAATGCTATTAAAGAAATTTCAGGCGTTTCGTATGTCAAGTCACAGGAGTACTGTGTATTGGGCAACTGTCTGTGTTGACCAAAACAGCGTGGCAAATACTGTACGTTTATACCACGTTCAAATACCTTGAAAACAGAGTAATCGTTAAATTATATGAGTACTGCGCCAATGGTCAACCTACCCAAGACATTTTTCGTTCATCTTTGATATTCATTGAAAATTTTAATTTTCGCCTGTACGATCAAAATTACATAAGTTATAAGAAGTTGTCTAATTCTGTGAAAAGCGCACTGAATAGGGACGAGATGACAGCCAAGTAGCTTCATCTTCAACAGAAACTCCTCCGCAGAAATCAGCGCTGCCGAGTCGACGACCCTCCTCCACTACAAAAACCAGACGATCTCCATTCTCTACCTTTCTAGTGTTAAGAACCTTCTGTTTGAATCCATTAACAGTTTCAACATAAGCCATGCCAAGCCGAAGTAGATATTCGCAGCCGTCAAACCACTTAAATTACTCTCCAATCGATCAACATGAATAGTCCAACTCCATTCACCGCTGACCAACGACAAATACTGTGAATTATAAAAGTATAGTAACAAAACTGATATAACGCAGTTTTATAATTGCACAATACGACTACATGTGCTACGCACTCGCACGGGCTGTGATAAGTACAGACAGTTACATTACAGACTGCAGCGCCTTTTACGAGTAACAGCAAGATCCAGCACCATCACACTGCCGACTGCCGATAAAACAGTTACAAACTCGTAGGACACAGATGATGCAAAATAAAATTGAACTGACTCCGCGTTATATAACGATATAAATTTCATAGAAGAACAATATTTAGAACAGAAGTAAGTACAGATTGCAATTATGTGCAATGCGACCGTTTCTGTTGGCCTATTACGAGTAGGAATCAGTAGATAATTTGCCTATGCTAAACCAATTCAGTATACGTACCAAAAAAACTGGCAACCGCCAGTCACAAAATTAGTTAGTAAACAAATCGCAGTCTACTGCCATTCAAGACAATTTTTAAGGTTTAATAAGCATTATATCTATATTTAGCGTTTACAATAAGTACGTACTTGTCTGTTTTAACTGTGCTGCGAGGCCCAAGGTCACCATCATTTAAAGTATTTCCGTTTTCACATTCGATTACTTACAACAGCCACGGATGGCCAAGCAGATGATAAATTAGGATCAGGATTCTGTGGGTGCTAATTGACTTACCAAGCTTACAATGATTAATCCTTATTACAATTCTCGGATTTCATAATGAAATACTGTGACAGTTCTGAGCTATCGATGTCACTGCGCAAGTTCGTTTTGCTGGCACTTGGCAGTTCCTTCTGACCTCGAAGGCTGAAGGATTGATTTGTTTCGTATATTTTGCCGTTCATGAGAAGTAATTTGCTTTTACATTTCAGTAACAGGCGTATTACCTCGTACAATCATTGACTTCCTCAAGTATAGGGGCAAAAGAGGTAAAACAATGGAGGTAAACCAACCTACAGCGTCCTAGAGAGCTTCAATTTAGAATGCCAACAGAATATCAAAGTTTAGCTGCTTTCTTGAGTAGGCTAATCATATTAACCAACACCATCATCATTTTGTGTGGTGGCACCTAAATATTAAAACCAAAACAAACACCTGGATGCGTGGCGTGAGGCTTTTCTTATGTACTCGTAATACCGTGCAGCTGCTGCTGCGCTACCCCGTCATCACCATGACTGACTCATTCACTTCTCATTGTTACTCATCCAAAGCATCTCAAAATCATGTCCAAATTTAACGAAACGATGTTCTAATTTACCAACAATAATTAACGCACTGCTTGAAGATCTAACATCTTACATCCTCTCTAAATTTTTAACGAGAATAACAGAAACACGTATGTTTTAGCTGAACAAACAAGCGTGCCGAAAGACGAAATTACAGAACTCCGTGATGTCCATGTGGAAAAATTACAAACTCATGATCATAATTGTACAGACAAGGTCTGATGGTTGAGACTCACAGCGCACCTTAAAACCAAAATTTCAAAACAATACCATAAATCGATTGTTCGTATATCGCTGGTATAGCACACTTAAGGCAGCTAGGCACCCTCTTACATATTAGTGGTTGCTTTGAACCAAACTGTGAATACGTAACTAAAAAATTAACAAAGGCCGAAAAACCAAAATCAGATTAACATTTAATAAGAAGCAACTGATAACCACTCCCAATTTAACGTCAGATGTTCGTTTCGCGAATTATCCCAGAGAAAGTAGTGCAAATTATGTTATGCCAATACCGCCTATTACTGCATAGTAGCATACCGTTTGAAAAATTGTTTACTACGGCCTTCAGTACTTACTTCCCGTTTGTAATAATTTACTATTATTTACTGTTTTAAGTTTTACCCGGTTGAACGAAAATGAAATCAGTTTAAGGAATGCAAGAGTGCTGGTAGCACTGCTGCTTAAGTACAGAACTGTAGTATTACTAGTACTCTTATTACTCAGATTTTATCGACTCCACTACGGTACGAGATTTAGTAATTTAACTACAAAGTGCTACGTACTGTATTTCATTATTTTAACGACAAGCAACATGACGCTTGTTCATCTAAATTAACGATCAGATTTTCCTGTTCTGTATTTCGAAAAAAAACCCGTACGATACGATAGTCAATACGGCGTTACGCCGTTTCCCTTAACGCTGTAGTCCAACAGAACTGTAGTGTGACATAATACAGGGAACGTATTACTTGCAAACATAAACCGCCAGCGAGAAAATGTAACTACACAAATTGAAACGCACCTTCACTGCGGGATCATCATCAGGTAACACGCCAGGACCATTTCCGTTCAAAATAAAACTACTTTTAGGGCGCTCGTATCCATCATGAAAATCCATGGTCCAACACTGTCAGTTATTATTCGATGGTCGCTAACAATCGTTAGGTAACACCGTAACTCTCACTGTGCACCATTACCTATGTCCATAACAGACGCAACTGACAACCAACGGTTTTACGATACTCAAAGCCATAAATGATAAAACCAAGCAGTTTACGCTTTGACAGAGATATCACAAGCCAAAGGAAAGATGCTGTTTGATTTGGAGAAATATCCTCGGCATATCAAGATTGCTGCTGAATGCTGAATCGCTGATCAACTAAAAATCAAGACAGCAAAGCCAAAGGCTGCAAAGCTTGAGGTTGGTGCCAAACGTCTCGGAAAACGGCTGGAAAATGGGTTTATCATCCGCAGTCAATGTTCACGAATTCACTTCCCAACTGTTGCAGGCTTGCAGCGTTCTCGGTTTTTGAGCTTTTGTAAGGTATCGCAAGTGCTGAGCCTGCTGACGTTGTACAGTTGGACGTACCAAACAACGGGGAAGAATCGGAAGATTTAAAAAACCCCAACAGCTCCTTGTTTAGGACAACGATAGCAGCCCAAATCCTCTTATGGGACAGTCTGGAACAGCGAGAAAAATCAAAGGAATTAACGAAGATCCGAAGGGAAATTAAGAAATGATAATTATCGTTCGCTGCTGGTGCCGTTGCTCTTAAAATGATCGAGGTACATCAGTGATAACCTTGAGTGGGCATGCAGCTTTTACTTTTACAACTTGAACTGATGGCTTTAATATTTCGCAAGTTCGTAGGCGGTGCATGCTTACTAGCAATGCCTTCTCTGGGCGGTTAGAGGGGATACCATGATTACCAATTTACCATCATCCCGGATACCAAAATATTCCTTTCAATTAAAAATTCTAAAAATTCTAATAAGTGAACTACAAAGTACGTATAAACTTGGGCAAGCCGCAAGCGTATTGATCTGTGCAGTGTGCACTGGCTGCTGTCGAATAAAAAGAAAAATTTAAATAATTAACCAATTTAACCTCAGATCTATCATCTACATAAAGGATTTGTTTTTACTTTAGATTTTAGAATACTGCACTGTTTTTCCTTGTATCAGTTGTATGGTTTGAGATTTATGTGTTCAAAGTGCTACCTCAAAAGTTCATTCAGTATCCATAATATTTGAAAAAGAGGCTAAAAATAATAATATACAATACTAAGAGTACGATACTATGTATTTATTACTAATTAACATTAACATCACAATATTAACAGTACTAAGTACTAATTAAGTAGTAAGTACTCATCGTATCATTATTAGGTAAGTACGCTGTTAAATTTCACATACTCGTATACCGGATATTTTTAATATTATTGGCTAATGACTTCAGTATCATAAAATTAGAACGTCAGAACGATAATAAAACTTGGCTTTCTTCAGCTTTACTTCTTCTTATTTATTTACAAAGCAACCAAGCACATGGAATCGGATAGTAATTATTGCTACTATATGTAAAAAAGTACTTTAAGACTGTCGATAAAAGAAACGAGTAAGCATCTTACTGTAAGCTGTAAGCACTAATACAGCAAATTTGTTCGTCTGGAGGCGGAATACGTACTAAACAGTTAACGGATACGATTTTAACAGTGAGGACAACGTAAATCCTTCCCATTTACGGTTATCATACATTAACAAAAGGGAACAAAAGCAATGATAAAGCCAACAGACGGGTACTGCCAAAACTCAGCCCGAACATCCTTTGCATCCGCAGTGCACGCACTGTATCACGCGTTCCTCCTGCATTTTGGTTTTGGGGACGCGGCAAATGCAGTTAGTCCCAAAGTTGGTATCACGTGTCTGGACGCAGCGAAGGCAACAGAGATTTTCGTATCCAGGTTTCTTCCACTTGGCAACCAAATTCTTGTCCGCAATACCTTCCTTCAAGCAGAAATCGTACAGCTCCTTGCTGATGGCTTTCCGTTTATAGTAGAGATCATAAATGTAGCGAGACTTTTGGTGGTGCAGTTTGAATATGGGCCACAGAGCCTCTACTTTGCGTTTTCCTTCGTGAGGCTCCGCTTCTGCTTCTCGCATCTTCTTATCCAGTTCTTCCAAGGTAGTTTCGATGAGCTCCCATCCTTCAGGTGGAGGATTTTTGTTACGACGAATCTTCGGCATCGTGCCAACTGTCCTGACTCCTGATCAAAGCTAGATTTTTTAACTACTGTACTTCACTATTCGTACTGTGAACTCAATGGCAAGTGATAATAACTAATTATTATAAGTAATAACAACAATAATATCAAAAGCACGGTTGAAAATCTCCACAGACTCGACAGCCGCCACAGTAAAATCAAAATTTAGATTTTGACTGTCACTCGTACGGACTACGTACTTCTAACGCACGCAGTGTATCATCTGAGTGATCTGCACGCACGAAAATCATGAGCAGATATGCTCCCAATGGTAGTCTTTGGCAATTCAGATTGGCTGCATTGAGTTAGCCAACCACTATTGCGCACTGGAGTAAGTACTCCAGTGCGCAATAGTAGTGACGTTGCGCAAACACGCTTCTCGTGGCGGTTGCTACTTCTCGTCGCTTTTAGCACTAGATGCGACGGGAAGCAAACACCGGTCACATTTGAGCTTGCGCAAAGCAAATGCTGTAGCTGGTAGGCTTTGAATTTTCTGCTGTATCAGTACACTACATTTGCGAAGCTATTGAATATTGCAAAAATATTCATCTTAGAATATTGCAAAAATGAATAGACATTTAGAAGATTTATACCTATGTGATGCGATCGACGATGAAGAATTTCTCTTTCTTTCTGAACCGAATCGGCCGGTGTGGAATATCGAGCGAAAAACTAATTTTCGCCTTAATTCTTTCACTGATGATGAATGTATTGCGAATTTCCGATTCAGCTTTCTGGATATTTATCGTTTAAAGACAGCTCTTTCCGTACCAGATATTGTTTATCTGGATAACAGGTCTGTTGTAAGCGGGATCGAATGTTTATGTGTTCTACTGCGACGACTGGCCATTAAGGGACGCCTGATTGAAGTGTGCAATATATTTGGAAAACCAGAAAGCGCAATCAGCAGAATTTTTACGTGGTGTGTTAATCATATATACGATACTTTTGTGGCCCGGTTGCTGCATACTTTTGTGTCTCCTTATCAAACTGAAGCGTTTTTCAAAGATTTGTGCCAGAAAAATGTTGAAAAAGGATGTCTATTCGATAACTGTATTGGATATCTGGACGGAACCCTGATTGAAGTTTGTCGCCCTCAAGGACCAGATGAAATTCAGAGACAGTTCTTTTCATACAAGAAATATCATGCCCTGAAGTTTCAATCCTTGCAAGCTCCGAATGGTTTGATTCTACAGTTTGATGGCCCGTGTGTCGGAAAATTACACGACAGTACGGTATTTCGAAGAAGTCTCCTTGCTGATCGTATCCAGGACTTGAACAACAAATATGATATTGCTGCGGATAATCGCTTTATGGTGTACGCTGACAGTGCCTATGCGAAAAGCCTGTACGTCATGCCGGTTTACAAAAACACAACAGTCGGCTCATGGCAAGCAAAAATGAACGACGAAATGAAACCTCTTCGGATCTGTGTTGAATGGGGATTTAAAAAAGTTAAACAGCTTTTTCGGTTTATAACAGACAGAGATAATATGAAAGTTTTTCTTACGCAGCCAGGTAAATATGTTCCCGTTGCAGTAATTCTAGCGAATGCCCATACTTGTTTATACGGCAGTCAGACCGGCGACTATTTTGACAGTCATCCGCCAACCCTGGAAGAGTATTTTTCTGTATAGAAGTTTCGTGATCTTGAAATCCATAAATTACCTGACAGTGGAAGTGCGCACTGGTCCTCGTGATCAAACACACTTGCTTATGATTTTCAGAGTATGTCAAGATTTTTTCTATTCACTAATTTTGCTGCAATTGTGACCTCTCTAGATTGAAACTGAACATAAAACACCAAAAAACTTAATTCTTTTTCAGCACTAGCATCATCATATCTCGCATAGTCTCCTGACTTTGTTGTAAAAGAGTTAACTGCGCATTTCTAGCTGTAGCATCACTTTCGTTCTTTTTTCGTTCAACGTCCAGCCTTTGTCGTTCTAACTGTCGATCCTTTTCTCTTTCCTCTCGATCGAATTCTCTGGCCTCTCGTTTATCTTGTAATTCTTCTTTACGCACTTGCGCCTCGCTGCGGAATTTTTCCTTGAATAACTGATCGCGATTTCTTCTGCCAGATCCCACACACTTTTTAAACGGAGACGTATTTTTAACTGGGGTAAAAAACATTCGACTCTTTTTCTTGCGCGGTGTGCCAGTTGCTGAATACATCTCCGGATTTTCCTCTTCATGACGCACTCGGGCTTCTGTAAATTAAAGAAAACGGAGTGACCGTTACTGGTTTGTTAAACAATACATTAAATAAAATCACACAAAATATTCGCATTTTGTTGTGGCCAGTCGTGCATTAATCAATTTTGATTACAGTTATTCACAACGCAGATAAGTTAAATAATTAACAAAATTACAAATAATTAACAAAATTACAAATAATTAACAAAATTACACAAGAGATATATTTGCAACCAATCATTAGCAATAAGTTGACCAAGAAGCAATTTCGATCGCGTACAGACATTAACTCTACACCGCTAAAAAATTACCTTCATCCATCTCCCAGTCAAGATCGCTCGAATCTCCATTAGTCGCTGCTTTAAGGGCCATTCTTTGTTTGGCTTTCTCCTCCAGTTTTTCTACCAGCTTCTTGTTTTCTGACTCTTTCACTTTCTGCACTTCCGTCATTGATTTAGACTCTTCTTCAGCTGCATAAACAGTTTCCAAAAACTGCTCAAACTCTGAAGGCTCTGGTTGCTGTTCGTCACCAGTGGGGTCAACGTTAGGTTTTTTCAGCGCCTTGTATTCCAACAACAGTTTTCGCGTTCTGTCTCTACAGTACTTGGTGCTTCTTATCTGCTCAGGCTTGCTGATTTTCTCTGCAATCTTCTTCCAAACGGCTTCCCTTTCAACTAATGGCATTGAGTAAACCAGCGAGTCCGCTACAGCCCGTATCAGCTCGAGATCGCATTCTTGCTGTTTAACCGATCGTTTACGCTTCTGTCGTTTCTTAGCAGGGGGATCTGAAATGTTAAAAAAATTTCATTAAAAAAACTACAAGTATAGTTTCTATTGCGAGCGCCAATAGAATCTGTTCGTCAAGTTGGAAATGTACCTAAAGTAACGGAAGAAAGACAAGTCTGCGCTCCGTCGGCCTCATCCACTGCATCCCAACCAGAAGCTACATCGGTGGCATCCCAACCAGAACCTGCATCGTCGACATCCCACATGGTAACAGTTGTAGGTTTCACACGATGTCCAAAACCGAAACGCTCCAGAGAAATCCAGCAGCCTGCACGCAACCTTTTATATTACCTCACAAATTTAAAAAATATTTAAGTAAACCCTTCAAAAACTGCGATTCATTTACTGGCTTTGCAGAGCTTCGCTTACCGTGATTTGCTTTCCGCAACGATGACGACGTGAAGACAGCCGACAGAGAGAAATCCACAATTTTTACCCTGCCAAATAAAAACCAATGCAACTCGTTCATACGAATAAATTATCCATTGTACTGTACAATAAGCAGATAATATTGATAACTCATTTTTGACCTCATTCTAAACACTAAACAATTGGCGAAAAGCACAATAAAGGTCTTTTCATCGAGCAGCTCAGTAGCTGTAAGTGTTTGTGATAAGCACTTCACCTGCTCATCAGACCGTATAGAAAACAGTTGTCATCTGCCATACATACCGTTTACACAAGAGTAATAATAAATCTACACAATCTTCTCTCCTTTTATCATCCACTTTGGCAGGTTATAATTTAAGTCAAATTAAGAAATTAATTGTTTTGTTTATCGAGTGTTTACACAAAATTCTCGGGGCAAAGTGCCGTCGAACCCGCGAAGGTTCGCACGTTTAAACGCGCACTACTACGGACTCTCACAAGTCTACCTTTCCTGAAGTTTATCCAGTATTGCACTAACCTCCCTAATATGGAACACTGATGGGATGTAGCTCCAAATATCCCAGTATTTACAGGATGGGCAATGCCATCGGTGGCTATGTGAGCAAAGATACAAGCATGAACAAACAAATGCGGCGTTTCGGGAATAAAAAATTCACGAGCCAAAATTGCAGCTACAAGATGAGATTCGATAAACGACGCCAAGTGTTTTTTACAGTTTCGAGAGGCGCGAAGAAACACACTTAAAAGCGACGAGAAGTAGCAACCGCCACGAGAAGCGTGTTTGCGCAACGTCACAAGTGGTTGGGATAGACTGCGGGATGTACTCCGGGGTGTACTGCACTAACTGCAGGACATACTGCGGGATGTAATTCGTGGTATGATACGAATTTAAATTTTAGTAGTTTTAATGGTATTCATAACAGTACATTAATAATTAATAACAGAACCATTACTCCCGTTTAGCTAGCTTAAAAGCAAAAAACACATCCTCGTTGTCAACCATGTCGTTAAACGTTCCAAGTACAGAGACAGCGTTTCCCTGTTCACTGTTGTATCTCAATACTGATTTTCTGGCTCTGACTCAATATAATTTAAATTTATGATGCGGATCAGAAACCACCCGGCTGCCTAACGTGCTAGGAAAGATGATCCAGCTGATTCCAGCAGCAATCAGGCGAGCCGCGACCACTAGAGTATCAGCATCGAAATTCAGCGAGGAAACGCAGCATCTGTTGTATAATGGGAAGTTGGGAACATCACCACCGGCGGCGATTTTAGACGAAATCTTTTTTGCTATTCGCCCGCCTGTGTTTGTAGATGTTGCTGTGTAACTCGCTTGTGTTTCAGCTTCTCATGAACTTATGTAGAATGTGTGAAAAATTTTGTTGCTCATAGCGCTAAATAAACCCTGCCATGAAAATTAAATTAGCTATCCCAAAACTGTACTTCAGTGTACAAAAGTGGTTGGCTAACTCAAATTACTCAATGCAACCAACCCGAACTGCCCACGGCTACCATTGGCAGCCACATTTGCCCATGATTTTCGTGTGAGAAACGATTCCAATACAGTACACTAAACGCATCGCGATTTCTCGTTTTTTCGTTTTCAATCTCCATTCTGATTCCTGAGCATCCTTTGGACAATTATAAAAAAGACAACACTGCCCGGATAATCTGATTGTTAATCTGTTACTATTTAACAGTGTTACTGTTATCAAACTGTAATTTACGATTAGAATTAACGCGCGAGCTGGACTCTTCTGCTGTTCTAAGTTTTCGAACCATAGAAATTTGCTTTTATGCAGCAGCATAAGCTGGGGGTCTGCGCAGTTTAGCCTTGAATTTCATTTCCGTTTCGACTTTTCACTTTTGATGGTAAGTGTAGATCCGGACTAACAATTAGTATATTATGTGGCTGGTTTCGCGAATTTGATCATTCCTGGAATCTTGAGAGTCGAAAATGGCGCTGATTCCATTAAAAGACCATGCTGTGGCAAAAACGGATGACGTTTTATTTAAAACGCCAACGATTCCCAAGAAACGGAAGAAAGTCTTAGAGGAAGAGGTGTACACAAAGGTTCGTGAAAATTTAATACTGTAATTATGAAAAGTCGTTCTCTTCACTGAGTGCATTGCTTCTATATCTGAAATGACGTAAAAATCTTCGTAAATCCATTTAACTGATCCAAGTCCGGTAATGACTGTCTGTGTCAGTGGCAAAATGAATGAATACTCAGTTGTGGATAATATGGATATTTAGTTAAGGACGTTTCATCTTTGAGTATAACGTAGAATGGATAATACTGTTAGTCTGTCACTGCATGACGTTTTTCAGGGTGCATCGGTATTAAATTTACCATTAGTTTCGGTTATCAGAAATATGTTGCAGGAGTTGGAAAGGATTATTCAGAGAGATTTCTTCCCGGATGTGCCGAAGTTGAAAGCCCAGAACGAGTATCTGGAAGCTGAATCCCGCAATGATCTCGTGAAATGTCGGGAACTGCAGATGCAGTATCGTCCCACACCGCGACGCCGTCCGGACACCTCCAGCACCGACATTTCCGCTCAGTCGCCCCTGCCTGTGCAGTCTCCAGCCACGTTTGAAACGCCCGCCTCCCCGCTGACCAGACCGTCCAGTGATGCCACGGATACGCCGAGGCGCACAGCCACTACAGTGAATTCACAGGAAGACGAACAGCTGACGGCGAAAAACGCTTTGGGCCTGGATGACTTTCTGCAGCGTATCACCAGCGAAGATAATGCCTCTTTTGAAGAGATTATGGACGAGAGTGATAAGAAGCACCGCGTGAAGTATCCATGGCTGTATGAGAATGATCCGGTGAAAAGGAAAGCATTGGAAGATAAAGTGAAAGCTCTGGCGATTCAGGGCGGAACGTCATCCAGTGTGCTGGCTATTGCGTACGATCGACCAAATACTATTGATACGTGGGATTACAAAGCTAAAAACGCTGTTATGCAAGTCCCTGAAGGTACGGATAATTTATCGCTGTGCATCGAGTGATTCTCACGAATCGGTTAATTCAATAACATTTTTTGTGTAGCTGTGTTAAATGTTATTTCAACTGGTATTTTAGTAAATTACGAGTAGCTTTACATAAGTTTACGAAATTTTCTTCGTTATGGAGACATAAATTAATGTTAGTGAAGCTAAAAATTTTACGAAAATTCAGTTCCGGATACCTCGATTGTAATTTATGTGGTACACTGCTCGTTTATTTAGTGGCGTTTTTTGTAGTGAGTAGTTTTTGTTTCATATGTTATTTTAACAGTATTAACTGTCACGGCTTTGTGGTAAGATATAGATGAATACTTAAAATAATCTTTTCTCCGAAATTCACAAGGATTAAGTTTACCAAAATGTTGTAGCAGGTTCGTGGCACTCCGCTTTACTCCTTTCTTTATTAGGTGTTCCCTTTACATCAGACGAATTGGCAGAACGAGAGAAGCAGAGGATTGTTGTGCATCACCAGAACACTCGATTTCAGCATGATCCGTGGAAGGATGTTATCGTGCCGCGTGATGGTATTGACAGCGGTAATCAGGGCAAGATCGGCCCAGATGGGGTGGAAATTACAGTTTCCGCTACGCCACAAGTGAATGGATATCGATATCTTGCCACACCCTCTCCTGCACCAGGTGGGAATTGTGTTTTCGTTTGTGCCTTATAATGGTAATGTCTCCGCAAAATGGATCGGTTATGCTCAAATAGCTCAGTCATTTGGATTCGTTACTGAATTAGTTCTTTTAATGAAATACGTATATTTTTTATCCTATACGTATTATTGTAGTCCTAATCAAATATTACTGTATTTTGTCATCTCTTGTTGTAGGGGTGGGTGAGTCTCCCATGATGACGTGGGGAGAAATTGAAGGCACTCCATTTGCACTTGATGCTAGCGACACACCGGTTGTCGGGTCTGCTGCCGGGCCTCAGTTTAAAATTCCAGAAGTTCCTGATCGTGATAAGCTGCATTTGGAACTGGTGGATAACGTCACCAAGCGACACCGGGCAAAACGGGAAGAAGCACTGAAACAAGTGCGCTCATTAGCACAGTACGTCTTTGTACATGAAGTTTTTGTGTAGCCTTATTTTTACATAGTGTTACGTCATGATAAGATAAGGTTTTGTTTATTATCATAGCGTAAGAATCGATTATCTTCGAATCTTTTTATTTGCGCATGTCTGTAACAGTACTTAATAACTGTATCACTTAATTGCAGAAGTCCTAGTTTTGGATCTGCATTGTCTTCAGAGCGATTGGCCAACATGTCGCCAGCAGCTCAACGTCTGGCGACGAAGCGTCTTGGAATACGTTTAGGAACCGATAAAGCGTTAGCCGCCAGCTATTCGCCCAGTCCACGTCGAAGTGCCTCCAACACGCCCGCTCTCTTGTCAGACCGCTCGCAGCGAAGTCAGTTACAATCAACTCCTGGTACTCCGTCGACACCCTCCATTACCGATAACTTGCTGGATATTCGCAGGAATTTTACTTCAAAATAACTGGGTGATATCTTTTACAGATCAGTAAACCTTTTACGCCTGCTTATCGTCGCACTTTCGAATGTGTGATAATGCGTTCATTATATCTCCGTGGCTTCCTGTGCAGAGCGAAATGATTTTTTTAATATTTGCTACAGAGCAGGGAAATAATGCAGTGATATGTGTGTCTGAATGATGGAAAAGAAAGTCAATACTATATTGAACAAGAAATGTGTATGCACACAATGATACTTCTGTTGTACTTATCAAATTGTAATCCTACGTACAATACATACAGTGAGGCAGACTGGCAGTATGTCTGCATCGAGTGAAAAGAATTGGTTGTATTGAATTTCTACGCAATCACCGATTCTTTCGCTGAATGCTGCATATTTTTTCGTTTGAAATCGGCGGCTTTTTTACGGATGGGGAAAGTACAATGATAGCAGTAATTATAGGCATTGTGATGATAAACGTGCGACTCGTTGACGTGACCTGTGTGTTAAAATAGACCGGTTAACTGCGAAGCGATGTTGTGACGTGAGAGTCGAAGGATCGGATATTTTCTTCTAACATACCCAGCAATAGCGTGGAATATGTAAGTTTCGCCAAGCATGATGTTTTGACGTTGCTGTATTTGAAAACCGGTTTTTAAAACACAAACAGAAAAATTTGAGAGTGTCTCACGGACCATAAGCTGCTACCAGAGCGTGGTCAACGTCAATAATAGTCGTACTACGATTTGCTAACATTATGCGGTGGTCATGTAATATGTAATGGGCTGAAATTTCGCCGTACCGTTCAAACATTTACTAATATGCACTGCTGCAATAACGCATTATACAGTATGTATATGGTCGTAACTGTCTGATGCAGTGCTTTGGTATAATACCGAACGCAAATTCATCCCATTTTGCTGTGTGTTCATGCGCATCAATCTCAGCATTTTTGTGCTTACAATAAAGTCTTACTTCGAGCAGCGTATATTTTGTTATCGCCATTCTTGTTGTTACTGAAGTTTCCGTCATTCATATTTTACCGTTCTGAAAAGAAGAGCTAAGAAACGGGAGTTTTGTTTTTTCTTCCCAAAACTAAATAAGCTGCTCATCGAAAGACGAAAAAACAAACTGATGGGAAACAAGCATTCGATGCCAGCGTGAGTAATTATATTGCAATTTCTGTTATATAATGTGTTCATTGGATCATCTTTTTATCTTTAATAATCTGCTTTGTTTATTATGCACACGTAGCGTATAACACTTCCCCAGTATGAAAAATAATTTTGTTTGTACGATGCTAAGTGATTTTTGTAACGTCAGTTACATAAAATAAGTAATAAACTACGAAAGCAACTTATATTACTACATATACTTAATCAGCCGCATATATTCTACCAAGAACTTACTATAGGTAGTAATAGTAAGTAAACACTATAGTAAGTACTTGATTCTACTGATCGATACGTACGACTACAATACTCGTGTTTGTAGCTATAATAACCATCTGTATCTTCTTTTACGTGATTTCCGATGCTTTTAAAGAACAATAACAATTAACAGCAATACGAAAAATTTGTTCCTTACCCACTCAGTTAATAGTTAATACTTGTTTAATCATAGCTACAGATTCTCGTTCTTATAAAAATTTTAGTTGGTGTATGACTGGAACGGCAGGCGGTTGCAATGCTCAAATTCTTCCCGTGTCCTGTGCAGAAGAGCTCACTCTAAAATGTCCTCTTCGGATTCCGGAAGTCTACTGATCAACGAGAATTTCAGTCAAAATGCTCCAGTTCTGCGATCGGTTTTTGACCCGAATCCAGTAGCTGCAGCGGATGCCGGTGGACCACTGGCTGTTACACCGGGCAGCACACCGGCAACGTTAACAGAGCAGAAAACGGTTTCCGAACCAGATGACATATTGCCAGCGGAAACGCAGGATGTGGTGCAGAAGCTGCTCTTGGCCGTCGGAATAGGACAGCTTTTTGTGGCCGCCGCTGGCATTGCTTTATTGTCCGTTTTAGGTGAGTTACTAACCAGTAAGTACGTACTACGTACAACTACAGTACATACTACATACTGTAGCATACTTGCATATGATGTATTCACTGTAGCAGAACTTAAATAATTATCTAAAATAATCCATGGCATCTTTTAAGAAAAATAATTAATACTGTATATTAAGCAACTAATTATTATTATCTACAAAAAAATATTAAAAAAATAAATGGTTGGTGGTATGGGCTGGTTCTGAATGAGAAGCGCGACAGTGGGAACCGCTTGTCACCTTTTTACCAAGAAATCATGAAGCGGCTCTTAATGGTTGGTTTGTGTTGTGTGTAATAGGATACACAATAGCCGGCGGAATTCTTATTGGAGCAGCTTGTTTTCTGGCCATTGCCACGCTGGTCACGTACTCCCTGTTTCGCTACGCCCGTAAGCAGTCCGTTAAGAAAAAGCTACTGGATGAATTTTCCTTATCCAAGACCTTCGAGGTCATCCGCAGTCTCCTGCTGGCCATCGCCGTCACCATGATCTTGGCGGTGGCGTCCACCATCCAGGGAGCGGTCCTACTGGGCAACGCCGGCACGATGAATGTACCTTTTCTTCCGTTCATCGACCCCTTTGTCTATCAACGCACAGTCACCTACATGTTCATCTGGCTGGGATCGGGCAGCCTTGCCCTGGGCGTCCTGGGAATCCTGGTTGAAGCAGTATTCTTGCACCGACTGTACAGATTGTTTCGGGAACTGCGCGATCTCTCGCCGGGAGATGGCTTCTTCTCCATAGAACGACCACTGCCCCGGAGGCGGAGCAGCGCGGTTAGTGAAGAAAACAATGGTAAAATGATAATCGCACCTAATGGGACCTATTCAACGTATGTCCGTTATATTGATGTTCCGGCAAACGGATCGCCGGAACCGGTGCGGCACGGCTCCGCAACAGATGTATGACAATTTTCTGAAAACTGATTTGTTTTTCTTTTCCGTACGAGACTGCGGTTGATGAATCAACGACGAATGTGGTAGCATTGTCCAAAAGTCCAAAGACTGCTCGTTGCATTTCAGTGAAGCGCTTTTTCTAAAATTGCCTTAGCGCCGGAAGAGTATCTAGTAACTTCGTAATTAAAAAAAGACTTCAGTGTAGTATTGCAGACTGCAATACTGCAATTTGCAGTGATACTGTACAATTGTACATCATTTCTAACGTCTCCATGACTTCCTTTTTATTCCAGAAAAGCAACAAGCACACAAAAAAGTATGGCATCTGCATGGCATAACTATAATGTTCTGTCTGAGGAAACATAACAAATCAAATGCCATATATCACAAAGTTAATATATTACTATCTATAACAAGCTACACATAAAACCCAAAGAATCCCAAACCCAACGACAATAAATTATGCAACAGTCAGTCTATCCTTCCTGTTCGACAGTATTAGGTACCTCGTCTTCTTCTTCATCTTCAATTTCTGGCATAGGAAACCTCAAAACAGCTGCAATACCCGAAAGCTGTCCCAACTGTTCACCGGATACATGCATGGACGAAAATATTCGCGCCTGTCCACCACTCTCTTTCACACTTTCCACCAACTTGACGAAACGTTTCCGCTGATTAATATTCGAAGATCTGTAAACCATAACGGCACATTATCAGTCTCATCAGTCTGCGTGTATTTCATCATTACACCCATTACGCCCACTAGCTATTCAGAATACTCCATTGTATCACCTGAAGAGTGCATCGGAAATCATTAGCAGTTCCACCGCTTGACTTTCGTTGGCCTTTTCAACATGATTTATTCTAAAAGGAAAAATCCACATACTCAATAAAGTTGTGATGTAAAGAAAAAGCACTCTACAATATCAATCAAAACGAACAAAATCGGTCAAAGTCACACCGTATGTGATGCTCTCAAATAAGCTTTTTGATTCTGTCATATATTTGCAAAGCGTAACAGAATTTATTTCTGTTAGATGAAAATCCAAATTTGGCCAATGCTAAAACACCAAAAGCAATATAGTAATAAATACCCATAATACGCCCTGGTTGGCTCGTTATGCATCATCTGATAGAAAGAATCCAAAGCCTTCACTTCACCGGCAGCTCTCGTTTCCGTAAGTCTCATGGTTAAATTAGGATCAGCAAGGAGTTCTAAACAGACAAAGTTTTAGTACCGACGACTAAATTCTGACACGTTTTTTATTAAAATTTATAAAAATACTGCAGATCATAATCTAAATGCTTAGTATCCCAAATCCAGAACCCAAAAGCGGTGCTTTGGCGATAACGGTTTGCAATATAAACGATCATGTTCTCGGCCAACTGCACCTTGTCCCTGAAGTTTTGCGGCTTAGGATCCCAGTTATTCCTACTTGAGTACCTTTGACAGAATGCTTGAATCCGGACGAGGAATGAGCAAGGATAAATTTACTTTTGTTGTCCAGGATCTTCTTTTCGTCTATCTTAGTAGCCCACTGCAGCATGTAATCATACAGTTGGTCCTTTATAAAGCCGGGACTTGCCAACAAGATGCATTTCAAGACATCGAAATTCAAATGCCGAAGGATTGCTTGAACGATGGCGTCGAAGAATTTTTGCATTCCCTAAAGACGAGTCAATCTTCGCTCTTGGGGTACAATCTAAGTTGCATTGTAAAGGTAAATATATCACAAATTAAACATAAGAAATTGTGCTTATCAAAATTTCACCCCTGTATTCGAATTTGTGACAAAAACAGCAGAACAATATATATACATATTGCAAACAGCTCTCATCGGTGCACGTTAAACGTCAGATATTCGCCCTTTTAAGGAAATTAAAGTACCATGATCGTATCAAACGGGCAAAGTGGGTACCTTTTCGTGCTGTTGTATATTGCCTTTCCTTTTCCTGGGGATCGTAACGTCCACCTTGGCCCGAACAGTTGTCATACTAGGAGTAATCAGGCATACGTGTGCGAGACCTTCTTGCATCACAACCACCGCCAAATCGGCATGCTGTGCCACATCGCACGCATTGTCTGCAAATGCCAATGGACTGATAATTTTAAAAACGAGCGGGTGTCATAGCCCAACCGTCCCGTTAAGCGACATCTTTGCGGCAGAAAGTAAACCAAACGAAAAACAACACCAACGGTAATAATGCCATTCCATACCACGGATCCATTAACTCTATGCACATTTCTCAATATTCAGCCCGCAAGAACGTAGTTTCCGTAAGGACGAAAATCGGAAAATGCAGTCAAACGGTACGATAGACTCACCTAGTATCTCTAAAGCAATACTATCCCAGTTTGGTTTTATTATGGTGAACTTGCGGTTCATCTCCAAATCGATGGTATGATAGGCCCCCATCTGGAAGGCAGAGCGTAAATCCAAAAACACGAAAAATTCAGACACAACAACTACAAACAGTAACAAGACTGGCAGTGGCTCTCTTACCTTCACGTACTCGTTCTCCTCAGTGTTCCTCCCCTTAACTCGCAGCATACCCGCTTGGGTATCAAAATCAACATTCTCCACGGCCAGGGTTAGTGTAGTGCGAACTCGGTTAGCCGAAGTGCTGCCTGTCGCGGACTCCGTGTTGACTTTCCTGCAAAAACAGGGATCCCCAAGATGGGAGAAAAAACCTAAGAGACTGCACGAAGAGCTTGCCTAATGGTTGATGCACGAATCAGATCGCCTTCCGATATGAGATTGTACGCGTGCCACATGTCCTCCGTTTCTTCCGGGATGACTGCGACACTCCTGCAATGCATTTGTGGAAAAAGCCTTTCAGTGAAGAACTGGCTACGACAGCACTTGCATCATCATTCATAATCATCCACATACCCTTTCCCATCTTTATCGATGTTTTTATGAACTAACTTCATTCTGATACTGACTAGCCCGTACAAAAATTATAAAAGTGACAGCAAATAAACCTCCATACAATTCACGGAAAATAATTTACTCTACATGAAACATACAAGTTTTTAGCTTTCAGCTTTCAATAGGGTGAAAAAATAAATCCAAACTTTTAAAAGGTTGGCAGGCTAGTTACGAACACCGGTGCAGCAACAAAAATTCATGCGACTGTCACCCCAGAGCCCGTCGGAAGCGTTCAATGGCCAAATTCGTGGGGCTGGCAATATTAAGCCATGCAGTGTTTGCAAAATGCAAGCTCACGGTCAACGGAAGCGGAAATGGCAACAATCGCACTCAACAGTGTTTAATTTTAAAATTAATTCTTTTTAGGCAAACAGGGTCAGAAGGTTTTGAACTTTGCGTGGACATGGCATAACCCTATGCCTCTATCTAAAGTCCAGAGTATGCGTTGAGAATGGTGTTTCGCACTGCGTAGGTATTCATAATTCGATAAACATTAAACTCGCAGGTCACAATGATCGCAATACAGTAAAAATTATATTCTTCCCGGTTTAGTAGTCTACGGTAGAGAGAAAACGGTGGGTTAAACATTGCACAGCGCTCCTATTTGCATTATGTTTTTGAAAATGAGAAGTGAGAACGTTCTTGGGAAGTTTTATATGTTTCCATCCTCATTAACGCTTAACTCCTTCTGGTAGTTGAACGTGCATGAACCGTACATAATCGTATAAATTGCTATTAACATTTGCTTGGTCTGGGAAATTTTATCTAACTGTAAGTGCAACTGTTGCATAGCTTTCTCTAAATCGCTACGGCGATAATTCTTAAGCTTCAAGTAATACAGTAATATTAGTACATAAATCCGCATTGTTCCGTCATGGTGTAATACAGGAATACCATGCAGCCATTTTTGCACAGCGAATAACTCTGCGAGAGAATGCGATAAATTAATAATATATTGTACATAATAACTGTAAATTGACACTGCTCCGTACATTCGTGCGAACACATACGTACGATTTACTGTTTACCACACACATTTCACAGAATGGGAATGTCGACATCCGCTGATTCAAGTAAATAGTGCTCTTAAATTTCTGTAGTTTACAGCTTACTTACGCAGCCTAGCAAGTCATATGCATGTAAAAGAATTTTACAAAGTATTTTCCAGTGTGACAGGTAAACTTTTGCGGCGAGCGTATAAGCCACTCTTTTACACCCGATCAACTCTGTAAAACCCGCTTTACTGCATTTTGTCAAAATAATGCAGACGTCCGATTGGACATAGTGCAGGATGATAAAGAAAAAAACCTGTTGCCGCAGCCCAACTTTGTGAATCGAACATCTCAGTGGACGTAAACATGATCTACCGTTAGCGAGCAGCCGGTAGGTAACTGTGTAACTAGTGTAAACCGGAAACGTGTCGAATGCTGTAAGTTGACAAAGGCTCCGCTTGAAGATTTCATATTTGCGCTAGAAACATGCACTACACCGATGATAATTATTGTCTCCACGGTGGTGGAATGTTTCGCTGCAAGAGTGCATCTACCATGCAAGGACACGCTGCTTAGTCTGCATCCATAATGAAAATTCAATCACCAAATTCCTTGGCTGTGGAATTTCATGACTGTTTTTGGGTAAGTTTCGGCTTTTATCTGGTTAAGTCTGTCGTTATTGTCGGTAGCAGCTAGGTACATTAGTCTGCAATTTTGTGGGAATTATTTTGCGCTGCAATGCCGCCGCCGATGTCAATAAGTATTGATCGCTTCCTTGTGTCTATTGTTGTCAATTTAAAATGTTAAACTAACATTTTTTCCGATTGATGACATTGTACTGCACAACATGGCGTGCAAAGACGGCATATTTGTAAGGGCATGTACGCAAGCAGTCGATTAAAGGACTATGACTATCTAAGCACTTTTGGCTCATTAAAAATTCCATGGAGCCAGAAGAAAAACACTTTCTTTCTTAATATGAGTGGTTGAATCATCTGTTAATGATAGATCTGCAGTGTCGGTGTAACCCGATATCTCTTCCGCTAATGCACATCTATCGGCGCCTGCTTGACAGGTTTATAGGTTAGCGAAACAACCTTGCAGTTGTTACGTGTGGCAGCGCTGATTGTGCGGTAGCGTGCCTGTTTTATCCCAGTAATGCAAGGCGTAAGCATATGGAAACTGCAAACGCATACGGGAAGACCATTGAACAAAAAGATATAAATGTCGCGATGCGGTTTACGGATATGGGGTGATGTTATTTACAAATTATGCACGCGCACTTCGCAGTCTTTCGTGTTCAGCGCATAGGAATTAAAATTTAAAGTACTGTACTAATCCTACTGCACTTAACTAACAAATTATTGCATGCAGTATTTCAGCTCCTTAAGGAGAATTTATACCATGGTCGCAAGATCCGAAACAAGATTTTTGAAATTCTGCAGATGTAATAAGTGGACTTACATCTATTACTGGGCGGAAGTTGAGTAAAATTAGGTTGCAACGAAAACGGTTATTCAAGTTTCAATAAATGCATTCCGTAGATTAACATCGTGGCAAATGCAATACCCTGATTATGGACGGAAAAGAAACAATATCTTGATAATATTATTGTGATGTGCGATGCGCCTGCTATTCGGTGAAATGCTGTGTGCTGGCAGAACAGAAACTGCAGTTATGTATTAATATATTAATTTTATGATTGGCTATACGGGAACAAGCATTTTTAGCTGTTGATGCAACTACTTTGTCCGCTAGACACACCAGAAAACTATCAACTTTTGTACAAACTCTCACATAATTTATTCAGTACGATATATTGTTAACTCCTTCAAAATGTAGTGTTTACATACTTGTACAGACACTGAAAACGTCCTTTTATTTTTGAATCATAAATTTATTAATTATTGTGCGCGAAAATTAGTCTGGCTTTGAACTGTTCGACAGCTGCCGCTTTACGTACAGCAACTCCGAAGCAGATTACAGCCTATGTTTTGTGATACAATTACCATTGCGACGCTCTATCTTTAATCTATTCAAAGGTTACAGCGAAAACACTGGAAATGTGCCGATTGTTTTCGCTTTAACGTGAGGACGAGCAATTTCTCACGACTTGGATTAGTGATGGGAAAAGCTGAATGTATTAGAAAGTCAGATTAACAACAAACCATTGCTGGTAGAACCATTGCTCGTAGTCAGCGCTGCCTCCGGTCTTCTAATATTCTTACCGCTGCTGTTTCATAGTGGTTGCGTTGCATTTCCTTGGGAGAATACAAATTTGTTAGATAATTCTTGCAAACACATCTGTTGTGCATCACATATCCAAATGCGCTTGGAATCTTGGTATACGTACTGTACAGATATATGCGTTACCTTTCTTCTGTTTTTATTGATTTAATTATTCAGAATTTTTTCCCCTGATCTTTGTACTGTTTCGCTTATAAGAAATAACCCAAGATCTGCAGTTTATTTCAAACCATCATTTAAACACGTGTTAGAGAAACAGTTACAAAAACAACAGCTCGTTAAACATTTCGGCTTTCTCCACCGTTCCCAAAACAGAAACCGCATTACCACGCTGTATCTCTATGGATAAACGTTGTCTGAGAAATTCGTGCGAGCGGGCTTCTCCTGAATGAGAACGTAATCTTTTCCCCAGTTCTTTTATGATGGCAATGGCCGCTGGTCCCCACGGGCCCATAGTTTCAAAAGCGATAGGTGTGAATATATAGCGGCCGTTTAAATAAGAATAGAACCTAGACTTCTTCTCTTCAGCCTGCAACGCGGCCGATCCCGCAATTGCCGAAGTAGATTTGATGTGGGAAGCGGCGACAGTATCCACGCAGGTGACATCCCATGCCAAGCACATTCCTCGCTGCCAGGCGAACGTTGTGCAGCCATCGGGGCGTCGTTCGTTGGTGTGGGAAGTGCCTCGGGGTTCAAGTTTAGCTGGGATTCCGGCTGATACAAAAGCCCGACATACGATACTGTTAAGGCCACCATGTCTTGGGTGTCTGCCGGCGGAGAAGGTACAGGAAAGACCATGATGAGCGTATCCGTCGACCGGCTTTAAACATTTCGTGCAGTTGTGAGGTTCACAAATCCTGGCGCCGAGTCTAAGGCCTACTGAGATTTTCAGAGTGTCGTCATCGAGGAGGTTACCTATATGGGCGGAAGGCAACGCGTTGAGCCAAATGCCGGCTTCTGGTCTCGACTGGGCAAGCAGACGCGCCTTATTAATTTCATCATCCCGGTATATTTCTAGCAGGGCAGCCAGAGATACATTACACAATGGCAAATCCCATGCCTTCTGGGAATTGCGGAATTCTGGAAGATTAAGCATTTCGTAGCGCTGACCAGTGGTCACTCTAGAGATTCGATGGTGACCTATGCCAAAGGTAACAACCATATGCAGTGATTATGCAATCGTTTTGCATAAATTTCAGGTTTTATCATTGTGACCTTACGCAAACCAACTACTTTTATCTGTACTCGTACTTACAGTATCAATGAATCGTCGCTAAGAGTGACGATGATTACGATTACTAAGATTGTGATCATGATAAGTAATATATATTATGCTGTATCAAGTACAGCTACGTAAATAATACTGATAAAAAAGTAATACCAGCCAACGCAGGTACTTTTAGACTTTAGTAAACAACAAAATCATTATAATATTATTTGAATCGTGATTTCAAAACTAGTAACGCATCCGTACGTGCATACTTTACCACCCGGCGCATGAAGTAATTTTTATTGTTGAATAAAATTTAAGCTTTATATGCGGAGTACATAATACGCACCGCATAAGAATCAGTTTTAGCAGCACTGTACAATAAGTTGACGTATTCACGACGACGTACGTATTGACAATAAGTTGACGTCGATACTTAATCGATTAAATAGTGTATACGAATAATAATCATTAACCTACGATTTCTGCACAGAATTTGCAAAAATAACGAGCGCAGCTTGTGTTTTCGTGGTGGGATCTTTTGTTTGAAGTCTGGCAGATGATAAGATCTAACAGGTAGAAGGCGCGACAGAAGTCATAGAGCGAGGATCTTTGTTGTTTGCTGTTTGCAACTTTGCATGCATATTTGTGAAAAACCATGGGCGAACTGGCGAAGATTCTCAGTTCTATTGTGCGGCGCGCCGCAATGTTGTGTGGTATCCTCAAAACGCACGGGAAAAGGTTACGTGAGGAACTTAGGCGGTCGGACCAGGACGCGACCGGCTCTGTCCGTATGACGCATTGTTACGTCAGGATAGCTCTCCTAAGGGAGCATCCATAAATTACGTACGCAGAAAACCACGGTTTTTTCACCCCTCCCTCCCCTTCGTAGCGGTCCGTCACGTTTGCTTGACCCCTCCCCCCTGGTTCGCTCAATCGCAATACATGGAGATGACCACCCCCCTCCCCCCCGGGTTCGTCGGGGTCGTCACAGCTTGTCACGTTTTTTGGACCCGTCCCTCCCTGGTTCGCTGCGTACGTAATTTATGGATCCCCCCTCCTAATAGTGCGGCCACAAAAACCGATCGATTGAGCCGAGTGACTCATCATCACAGTATTGATCACGTGGGGTGGTGTTCTTTGCAGGCCAGCCGGATGACGCATCGACGCGCAGCGGCATTTTATCGCAGAAAAAATAAATAAATTCCATTGAGAACAGCGAGAGAGACGTACAGTACAGCGGTACAAGCATCGAGCGGTACAAACGGAAAGTGAGCACGTTTGGTCTGTGTGTGTAACAATTGCTCCTCGAACAAATGCATTTTAGCATTGGCTGTCGCCTCTACGGTATCCTGGTTTGAACCCCAATGGTATTGGAGCAAATGTTATTAAACTGCTGAATGCATATTTCCCGCAGACGCAGCAGCTTTGGTTTAAATGGTTGTTGGTACGCAGTACTTTCAAGAGCACAAGAGCAGAGGCCTGTTTATTGAAGCGTCTCAGGTTTCTCGCTGATTCACGGGGCCCATAGGTTGGATAATTTTTGTGCCATTGAGACTTTTTGACAGTTTCTGCCCGCGGGGCACATCTGCGGATTATCGCGGTCGTCCAAAACTGTCATTGTGCCGTGTGTTGTATAGTACGGTACAGCACCGTACTTCAATTATGTATTTTTGGAGGACGAGGACGATGCAGCAGCGTATTAGATCGTGATCAGTAGCAGTGCTGAGCTCGTACGCGACGCACCATTTGTTTCCTATCCTCACCTGCAGCCTATAAAGGGAATTGTGTTGGGTCATTTGATCATGCTATCAGTCCCTCTTTAGTCCGAGATTGTCCTGTCATTCGGCTGTTGTGCGCTAACCATAAGTTGTTTGTGGTTTGTCTTGTGCTGTACGGCCTGTCGACATGTCTCAAGGAGGCACACTGCGACGCTCCAAATCCAAGTCGGGACTCAGTCTTCGATTGAGTTTCAGCCGGGGACATAAGAGTCCCGTTCCTGGCGAAACCAAGGACGATTCGGTTAGTGAATTTCCTAAAATTTTTTTGAAAAAGTGCTTGATAAAATTTTAAGTGTATGTACTTGGTTATTAAGTAAACTTGGCAGATAAAGTGATCGTTTGTGCTCAATAATTCACTAGATTATGTATAACTGACCCGGCGTCATCGCTGCAAAACATTTGTTTATGTTGTGAAATCCGAAAATTAATGTGTATGCAGGCTGTAACTCTGATACTGTAATAATATTAAGTATTGTGACCATTTGCCGTAGACATAATAATGGTTAAAATTATTAATATCGTTATACAGTATGCCACAGCGGCAAGCCAATATCCACATAGTAATGACGATATCCGGCGCTGGCATTGTTGACGGAAATGATGGGGTATTCGGTGTAAAAAGCCACTAAAAACGGGTTTTTACATCTTTTTCTCTTTGGTTAAGCAGTGGTTATGGGGAGATAATGTGGCGTATAATCTGTTTGGTATGGTCATTGAATGGTGTCGTCTGCTAGCATTTATTGACAGCTTCAGACGATTAAAGCGGCTCATAACTCTACAATATGCGGGTGGCGCTTTTGGTCTGATATCAACAATTATTCCGCGGTTTTCTTATAAACACACTCTCGTTTTTAGGGCACCAATGGCTTTCAGGAATTGCGCAAGTACATTAAGCAGAGCGCGGAATTCGCCAAAGAATTAACATCCATTCTGCAGGAAAGGTAAGCAGTAGTGCAGTGTGTTTGTTTGTTTGTATTCGATAGCGAAGGCATATCGGGTTTATTTGACAACATAGACAGATAATTGAGCCTTGTTGTGCTGGTCAAAGTGTAAGATTACATTTGCCGGAACGCGCTCGCTCCTCGCAACAGTGTCAGTGGACGGCGGGTTTACTGTTTAGACTTTAAGCTCTTTATCAGGTTTTATCAGATATTTTGGACTTTATGAGTGTAGGATCAGCAATTAAGTGGCTCATAATTCGCCGTACTCCGAAGCAGACTTGTTTAATCACTGCTCGTAGCTTGCGGCCCTGTCGCATGCTTGTATTGATTGGGTATTCTTAACCGCTGCGGTAGAATTATGGAAATATATTTTCGAGATTGAATGCATAGTTGCATACTGGTTCATGATTTCATCGTCTTGCTTCTGGAAATATAGCGAGGATAATTACTGTGAATTGGTAGAAAAACACTGAACGCGCTATGCAAAGCTTTATTTGAAATTTAGGCACATAGTTTAGAATAATCACAGAAATTATAAATTCTTCGGATAGTGCTGCATTGCATAATTTTTGTGGCAATACATAGGAATGGGAACAATTTTGGAAAGCTATTCTGATGGACCTAGCGCATGAAACACTGTAAAATTAAATATTTATTTATAACATTTTCCATAAGTTAAAGCTGCAGTATCTACATTTGCTGGTGATTTGATGTACAGTCACGGTCAATAAACAACTGAGCACTTGAAAATTGATGGATGAGCCGCCATGGATTTCTGTATAATTTTAGCACAATAGTTATTTAGACATGAGATTAGAAATCCGCGTTTACTTTTGGATTTTAGTGGTTATTTCTGTTCACGTATGTTACGTATTGATCAAACGACCTGATTTTACCGCAGATTCGACGAGCGCATGTCCGAGTTAGGATAACACAGTTATTATAATAGTGCCATTTCCTGTAGGTCAGAATTGGAGACGACCTATGCAAAAGGTCTGTCCAAGATATCCGCACGTCTCGCCAAAGCCTCCAAGGATGCTGTGGGGTAAGTGCCATCGAACTGGAGAAAATAATCGAAAAAAGTATTGTATTACCGCCATAATCTCTTGCCGCTGATAATCGCCCACGCTTAATGTAAATTGTCTTCTGACCGTGATAATTTTAAAGTGATACTTGAAAAGCTATCTCACTGGGGTTTTTTTAAACCCGGCTTTTTTGATTGTTTATTCTAAGACCGAAACAGTAGTCCTCACTTAGCCTGATACGCTCACGCTTGTAAAAGTTTGTCCCGTTATCTACCGTCACGTTGTCAAACACGTGGGTTTTTCTTAATACCAGGGAAGTTTCGCTTTTTTCTGCAATTGGATTGTCGAAGATGTAAGTTCAGTGGAGACAAGTTGGTTTAGGCCGTTAGGACTTCAATAAGACATTTTGGCTGAGCCTGAGTTGTTTTTGTTGGTTCCTTGGTTGAGTTCGGCTTAATTTCGTTCGACGCCAGTTTGCGCTTGATGTTTTAACTGAGTTGGGCAGTTCTTGTAAACAAGACGCCATGTTACAACAAAGCCGAAGCAGTAGCCAAAACAGTGGTCGTCCAGATAAAAAATGCATGATAACCACGTCGAACCAGGGTGTCGCATGACAATCTGCACGGAAGTTCGCTTTAAGTCACGTTTATCGTTATACCGATTCGGAAGATGGTCATACTCTGTTATCCCAGATTCGTAAGGAAATTAACACAAATGATACAAAAACCACGGTGTGTAGTGTCACCTTAGTATTTCTTGCGTGTCGATTTGCGTCAAAGAAACTCCCGTTATATCTATTACGTGCTGAGCGTTTCTGCAATTAAACGAAAGCCGCCAAAATCAATAGCATCTGGGTGGAAAGTTACATCGCATGCGCGTTTCGCGAAGATTGTCAGTCGGTGCGATGTTTATGTTTTGCAAAACACTGCTCAGTGGCGGTATGTTTTGGTTTTTCTCTTATTTTACCAAGCTTAAGCGGGGCATTGTTTGCGGCTGTTTTATGTGACTTATTTTATGTGATCATATGTATTGTTTTATTTTAATCGCATTCGAATAAAATGCTGTCAGTTTATATGCTCACTGCTCCTTCAACCTTTGTTAGGTTATTATGTTCGTAATTGTGCAATTAAATGCCGGGCTGGATTTACTGAAGTGATGATAATTATATAGCATCGAAAATTGAATGCAACCTTCCTTAGCGTGGGAGGTGGTTCGCTGGTTTTTATGACAGTTAATCCTTTTTTGTAGTACCCTGGCCAATGCTTGGATTGGTATCGCAACGGAGATGGAACAAGAGGCTGAATTGCACCGGTAATTATCGCAGTGGGGTTCCAGCAATGAAAAAGTTGATTAGTTTGCATTAATTATAGGTATGTTGCGGACTTCATGCAGCAAGAAGTTGCTCAACCACTTCGAACGCTGAACGAAACACACACTAAATCACGCAAACAGGTAAGCCGCTAATGCTGCTCGTCTTGACATAATTTTCTCAAGAGCCGCCTAGCATTTTCGTTAATTCTGGTTATTTGTAACGAGAAATTTGTGTAATTTTCGAAGCGCAACATTTGGTTGCGCTGTATTGGTTTGAGTTATTTTAGCAGTAAAGTGGCAGTTACACTTGGAATGTTAAAAATATTATGATGTATATGGACCATACAATGCACCATATACGGTGTTGAACAAAACGAATGAATGATGGGAATTTATTGTCCGACGTATGCAAATAAGGTTTCCGTGTAATGATCTGTGATATTAAATCTCAAATGCTAACGTATAAATGTGCAAGTAAAATGTCATTGATGTTTGTTTATATATTTAATACATTCATCATTTTTCGGGTATAAATGCACGACATTGCGTTAAACCTGAAAAAGTGAGTTAAGCACCACGGTTGGATGAGTTTTTGTCATGTCGGGCGAATAGAATCATGAAAGCGTTTATTAAACTGAATCCAAGTGGAACTAAATCAACAGCGGTTGGCTTTTGTTTGGCTAGATTGAAGCACAGGTGGAGCGGGCTGATAAAGCGCTAAAAGAACGCCGTGCCGATGAGTTCAAGGTACTGCACATTTACAGTAATTGTGCTGCACATTTACAGCTCTCTAAATTGGAACATTTTTATCTGATCATCGAACTATTCGCTTTTTTGTTGACTTTTCCGGCATCGCGATAAGTACCATCATGGGGTTGTTATGATGATCTCATAGGTTAAGCGCGATAGTCACACATTGTCCAAGGAACTCGAGAAACTGCAGGAACAAATCTACGCTGTCAAACTGGGCAAAGTGAAGTCGTCCAGTGAAAAAGAAGTCGGCAAACTGCAGGCCAAACGGCACAAGTTGGCGGACAGTGTCCGGCTGGAGGAGAAAGAATATCACGATGCGGCTGTTCGCGCCGAGCGGGCTCGACAAGACTGGGACAGTGTCATGTTTAAATCGGCTAACCATCTGCAGAATGTGGAGGAAGAGCGCCGGAAATTCCTTCAGGAGACCGGTGTCAAATACGTCAACGTCATGTCCTCGATGGCCCCGAAATACGTACAGATCTGCGATAAGATGCGGGATAATATGAATCGAGTGGATCTCAACTTGGATATCCAGAGTATTATATCGGAACGGGGCACTTCTCCCAATATCCAGGAGCAGATTTTATGCGACTTTTATGTACGTCGATCAATACTTTTATGTATTCACTTACAGGCGCTTTATTGAGCCATTAAGTCTGGGCATGTGCTGAATTGATTTATTTATTTATAGGCTGAGGATATGGTGAATTTGATGAATAAGGATAGGCGCTTGGAATTTCTTCACAGATATGCTGCCATCTTTACGGAAGATATTCAGAAGGAACTGAAAAGCCGTGAAGGTAAGCCGCATATTTTTGGTTTCTTTGTTTGTTGTGGTGTCAGAATATGTGGCGATCTTTGTTTGCTTATGGTTTGTGTTGTGGCAGCGTGAACTCCATAATTTGCTTGCAAATTCTTTGGTTTATCCTGATTTAATTTTATTTTGCTTTCAATTTTTAGTTACGGAGAAAGTGCGTAATGCATGGTTTGTCCTAGGAATGGGTCATTTAGCTCAAGTGTACCGTGATACACCAAACTTTGCCACAGAAGAGGGCCAAATGGAAGTGGGAGAAAAGCTGCAGCACTCCGACACAATGCTCCGCTTCCTGCAAGCCTGTCTGCATAAAGTGCACGCAACAATGGCTGATGTGGACGGCCTGGAGAAACCGCGCCATCCACTACAGCGTTTCATGGAACGCGATCGCTCAAAAGGTCTCAACGTGACCATTCTCCGTATTCCCGAGTGGGTAGCACGCGATCTGAAACCCGACCAAAACGGCGACATCCAGAACACCGCCGCACCCGGCAGTCCCATCAATCAGGCGCTACAGGAGCGCGGATCACGTGCCAGTTCCGCGGGATCGGGACACGGCTCGGTGGGACGGAAGGAAGGCTTCCGGCAGAGTGTTATGGTGCAGAGCCACATCTATCCACAGAGTCCGACACACCAGAGCTTCGATCAGGTGGATCACGGCTCGGGGATGCCGGAGGCACCGCCCAGCTATTCAGAGGCCTGTAAAGGGCGCTGTCGGGCACTGTATGACTATCAGGCGAGGATGCCGGACGAACTGACGTTAAAAGTTGGTAAGTTGTGATGATTAATAAATTCTGGCTATCATGGATTGAGTCGTAGACGATTTACGACGCTTTAGCTGTGGTGTGGTTTTTGTGCGAGAAATGTGTAGTTGTTTCGATAGGATCGGTCTCGTTTGTATGCTACATTATTCATAAGACACGGGAGTGATTCAGAAGCACAATGCGCCAGGTTGGGTGGCGCGGGTGGTGTACTAGGCTATCCACAATCTTTCCATATTACTTACTCATTAGACTTACTTGCTTGTGTATGACTAAGCGCTTCCGGTCGTGCCAAATGGGAGATTCGGTCGGTTGCTGATGTATTCCTTGTTTTTGTCTGCCCTCTAGGCGATATCATCTTGATCCATGCCAAACAGTCTGATGGATGGTAAGTGTGATGATTCATCCGGTGGATCGATAAGTAGCGGGGTGTGCTGTGGTATTCTGAATATTTCTTTCCTCCAACAGGTGGCGTGGCGAGCTGCGTGGCAAAATGGGCGCCTTCCCTGCGTGCTATGTGGAGGAAGTATGATAGATAATCTCAGACACATTGTGATGGGCGGATCCATGTATAGCGCAAAGAGATTGCTGGGATCGCGAATGATCTGGTGACTGGCAGTTGGAAAGACCGGAGAGTTCTCTTTGTGGAGTGATTGACAGAGGTTCCGTATTGAGAGATCGTCGGCTTCCGTTCGGCTTCGGATATACATTTCACATTCTCCCGAGTTTGCCCCTTTGGACTTCCCTTTCCCTTCATACCCGGTTGATTCCGGTTTCACAGTTCTGTGGTTTTATGTACAAAATACAAATGCTTTTCGATTGGTGTGAAGTTTTTACCGGTATCTGGTCCCGGCGAACACGAGTTTACTTTTAGCAGTGGGTTTTGTACGTTATTAATTTGCGGTTGGCGGGCCGTCGCAACGAGAGTTGACAATTATTTTATGGTTATGGGTGAATGGTTGACGTTATAAAGACCTATTTGGTTTTTAGAAATGGTTCCGGAAAAAAAGTGATTAAAAATTGTTTTCTACGTGAGGTTGTGCTTTATTCCAAGCCTGTTTGAGTTACTTCTTCAAGTTATTTATATGATTTAATGTCGGACAGAAATGCCATTACTTCTCCTGCGCTGACTACCAGCAGTATAAATGACATGCAATGAAATGGTACGATTAGTAAATAAAACAAGGAGTATCTAACGGTAAACCAAATGCACAAATTTTGAACCGCTTTTATCATCATGCCAAATTCTCGAATCGTAATGCAGTAATTCGCACCGAACGTTTAATTTGCAATCCATGAACGTCAACTCAGTATCAGCATTACCTGTTGTTATGCACTGCATAATCTGCATTAGTACGAGTATATATAAATGATTTTGACTAGAGAAACAAATGCACAAGAGCTTACAAGACTTCGCTTGACTTATTCATATTTAAGGCATGTAAGAAAAAATTAAGTTTTCCGTTAAGAAAGTGCAGGGGAATCTAGAAGCAGCAGGGTTTAAATTGTGATTAAATACACTATAAAAGCTTATACTACGTACTTTCATTGACACTTTGATGCAGTACTCTACTCTAGATGTCCTATGAGTTGTGACCTTGCAATAGGCCTGCTTCCACAATCTGCTTCCACAAATGATCGTTGTGTGCGGTGCACTTGAGATGCTTTCATTTCCGGTCGATTCCCATAGGGATTGTGTTACTCATATCTTAACCGAACAACTGTCACTACGAATTACACTGATTGCGCTGCTCCATTTGTTCCGCACAAAAGCCGAATGATTCACGGGCGCCGTATCCAATTTTTTCAGCGCCGTGTGTTTGCATTTGCTTTGCCAATTAGAGAAATTGCCTGCTGGGTGATTTATGGAGACTGCTTTCTTAACCGGATGTGGATTATTTGCCGACGACCTTTAACCAAGTACTGCTGATGGATTGATGGATCTTTTGTGCTGATTGATCGGAGCAAGGTTGTTTATGCATAACATAAACACATGCACCTGCTGGAATTCCCATGACTCGCTTTTTACGGTTGCTGGATTAGACGATTAGTCATGGGCCATCCTGCAGATTACTAGATAATTTTATTACAAAGCCACTGTAAGAAGGACGCACAGAAACACGACCTTCTTACAGATTCAAGTCTTACAACCAAAAGCAGAACTCATCCAGGGAAGATAGATTTACGCGGTAATGCCATATGGTGATCGCAATGTTCGCTACAATAAACTTCTATGTGTGTTCAAAATTGCAAATAAAAGGAAGAATACTTCTATATTTTTTTACAGGCATACACTTCCGTTCAGCTTGAAATTGTGTGTTAAAGGTTAATAAATTGAAACTTTCCCAGTCTTTCATGTCTCAGCTTTTTCGATCATTCTTTATCAGTGTTTTTCTTTTGGACTTTGAACACATAGAACAATATCATTTTTGGCAGAGTAAATGCAAGTGTCCAAAAGTGTTTACGTGCGTTTGAATGTAACTACTCCAGTCCTTAATTATATATTTTATACATTGCAGTTCAAAGCATGGTACATGCAAAGCTTATCGGTTACTGGCATACCAAATCCCCACAGATCTCCTGAGCAAATTAACCCTGTAAATTCGGCTGCTGTTGCTGCGCTTCCTGCCAAGAATTGGGACGCGGCTGGAACTGCACCTGCACGTTGAGAGTGGGCTGCTGAATCTGACCGTGTCCGTGCGCTCCCCAGCCGCCCTGCTGTTGCTGCTGACCGTGGGCGTGGCCGGCATGTTGCTGGCCGTGCAACTGGTGCTGCTGTTGCTGGAGCACTTGTTGCTGTTGTTGGTGGAGGAGTAATTGTTGCTGTTGCTGCTGTTGGAGGATTTGCATCTGTTGGATGGCTTGCTGCGAGGCTTTCACGCAGGATTGACGACGAGTGCACACACCGTTACAGCATCCCAGGGACTGCTTAATATCTGCCGGTGTCGATTTAAAGTAGCAGTCGTTGTCGACATTGCACCCTAAAACACAAAATTAATATGCATTTCCGATGTCCTGCTTTCTCGCCGATTTTTTAACACGAATTTCTCACTGTCAAATTTGTTTATAAGATTTAAAAACACATTAATTTTTGTTGTATTTCGTACGCAGGATGTAATTATAAACTGCTTTTATAATTGTAATATAATAATTATGTATAATAATTATGAACATCGTATTTTTGCATTTATCTTACTTTGCCAGCATCGCTTTCCATACATAGCCGCGTCACCCTGTGCGGTGGAGCCGAGCTGCAGCAGTTCCTCCGATTCGATGCCGAACTCTTCGCTCTTTCCGCCAGCGGATTTGGGCAACGGCTGGTAGTTGGCCGGAACACGGCCGAGCTGCTTAGCCAACGCCAGCTTCTCGTTGTCTTCGATGTTGAGGCATTCGAAGAAAGTACCGTGGTGTTCCGCCGTAGCGAAACTGCCGGCACAACAATCCATGCTGTTGCGGCAGCTCTTCGGTCCGCAGAAGCGGCAGAAACCAGCCTGGCAAGCGTGCATGGGAGAGCAGTCACTCTGGTTCAGGCAAGGCTTTTCTGCCAAAAAAACCCGGGAATTTAATCAGGGCAGCCGAACCCGTCTATATTACAGAACCGACAGTCCCTTGAAATCTTGAGGGTTTTAGAATGTCAGGTCATGTATATAGTTATCACAAAAATATTGTGCATGTAACTACTAACTTCCATATTTCCATAAACCATAACAAAATGCCAACAATGGCTTGTACTCGTATTTAAAACCTTGCTACCATAATATAGCACACCACTGGGCGTACTTACCGATATCAGTAAATATCGGAGTGTTGAATGGCACGCAGAGATTCAGCAAAAGGTCACAGCGCAGACCCAGTCCGCAGTCCTTAGGCTTTTTGCATTTGTGGATTCCCCACACCTGATTTCGCAGTACTTGTCCGAAAAACTGTGTAATGGGAGCATAGTTGCTGGTGTTAGTGCTGCCGGCAGCGGATCCGGACTGGTTTCCGCCTTGCGGGTTGAATTCCACATGCGCTGTGAAGCCCGTCGACGAGGAGGTTGTCGAGTCAAATTGTGACGCCACTGAAAAACAGTACACCTAAATCGTATATTTTAAGTGTGCATACGGTTAGTACGTTAGCTTTTGTATACATTAATGGACAACTGGTTAATATATTTGCAAATTAAACATTTCAGTCTACACTACGTGAATATCTAAATATTACTCGTAGTAGACTTTACAGCAGAAACTGTAACTTTATCGGAACATATGCAAAGGTCACAATCATATCACACCTTGTGGAACTCCACATATCAGCGCCACGCATAATATTAATACTGAAAGCATTTTCAACTGCAGAATGTAAAACGAACGCTTTATCGCGACAGTTTTTAAAGTAGCAATTAAAAAACCGTTTTCCAACACTGCACGCCGGCTTTATACGGCAGACGAAGTACAGGAAGTGATCACAACGAGCGATATGTGGGCACTGGATCTGATAGGAATGTTATTAACCCTGGATAAGCGAAAACAGGAAGTGTCATAGTCCATACACACAAAACAAGAAATTTTGCAATTACCAAAAACTGCACGCAAATAGCTACTTATATTTCAGTCTGGCTTGTTTTCACTTCAAACTTCCACGTGCTAGTAGACCAATTAAGCATTTTACAGAATTTGGCATGTTTTAGCCAAAAGTTCCGTAACAAATTCGAGTGGTCATCTTCAATTGTCGCAATCACGTACGTACCGTCACCTGGGAAATTCCATGAGTATTGTCAATATTACTCTACTATTGAGAAATTTCTGAAGATTCAAGTATCTGGAACTCGGAAGTGTGTCTTCAACTGGTCATGAGAAGCAGAGTGATAAGTATCAGAATTCTTATTATAACTTCCTAGATTACGGAGTGTATGTTATTAGGATACCGACCTGATTAAAAATATGCGAGACTAGTACTAAACTCCAATGGGTCATGGTTTCCGGATGCACCTACTAGAACTATTATTTTTTATACTTACTCATAGACCGTCTTCTCTCTTTCCCTATCGTATCTGGTAAGTATGACCTTTATAGCAGTTTAGCAAAGCTTGAACAAGTTCTTATTGAATTTTTCAACGCTTTTGAAGTGAAATATTGCCCATATTCAGTGTTTCGGCGTACATTATATTTTACTTACGACCAGATGGCTTTCAGGTCATGATGAACGCCATACTTGTCCAAGAAATATACAGATACTGTCACTTTGTTAAATTTTAATACGAGTCTCGCTTTTTTGACGGCTCAGTAAGAACATTTCATTAACTTATAAATAAACAAAAAATTTATTGACAGATTGTTTCTAATTTATCGTTATCTCTCACGTGAATAATAATCACGAGGCTGGTGGCGGCGTTCGCAACAGAGACGATAACAATGAGATCATTTAATTTATCTGATGGGCGAAACCGCCAGTTAACCAGAGCTGATTCTCAAAAACGTTTGTTGCCAAATAAATAATGCGCTATCTGTATTAGTACTTACACTGGTACCTCAACATTTTCAGGAACAACAAGCATGACATTTCCATTCCTCCGGAAACTCTTGCATAATCATCATGCTGCACTTTACTTCTGTAATCAGCAAACCTAATCCTACCAACAGTTACAAATAGTTATGCAAGTCCGCACAAGTATTAAAGTCGACAATGATATGACATGCAAAGCTACCATTACCGGTATTATGGTTTTTACGTTAGAAACCAGCATAAAAATAGTAGTCTAATGCACCTGGCCTTCGTTCTCAGTTATCGAAATCGCACAGCACTGGTTTGAAGCACTTTTGTTTTCTAAATTAACAAAACAAATGTTTGATAAGCAGTAATACTGAGATTTGGGCAGAATCTTTTCCCAGTTTTCTCACTCTCCATACATCAATAAGAGGTAACGTTAGCATACCGGAGCCTTACATACATTACAACAAAAATGCAATCCTTATTGCTTTTTGACTGCATCGTTGTCGGAATCATAGTTAAACCGCAGTGACGATAGAATATATTAATCATTTTCCAAACCAAACTCGTTAATTTTAGTGCGGTAGCTCACCATTGGAACCAGCACTGCGATTAATGAGCTTTACGACATACGATATAAGAGCGATAAAGCAAAGTACATTTTCTCCCCAGAAGCGCACAAATCTTTTACTTTCAAAGTTTCAAGATTTTGTAATTCCCACCATTTATATATTAGCTTCCAATTCTAAGAAACCGTAAAAAACCCTGCCGCGTTAACGCCTCCAAAAAACCACCGAATCAAATCAGACATAATTATGCTTAAATTTTACAAAATACTGTGAAGTGCAATGGCAACCCGGAATAACAAGATAAAACATCAGTAATTATTCCACCACCAAACCCATCTCTGCAACGTAACACAGCGTGCATTTTAAAAAACTTCTAGAGGACCTTGAACGAACGGCAAGGCGGCTGACTTCCAACAATTACTGCAGTTCCTTCCGTACCTGATCCATAATCTGCTCATCCAAAACCAGCAGGTACTTCTTCCCACAGAATCCCTCTTGTGTCTTCTTGATAGCCTCTTTATAATCCTTCATGCCGATAGCCTCCATCTTGGGCGGACGGACTTTAGCATCCTTCATCAACTGCACCACGTTGTTCAGCATCTCAATTCTCTCCTCCGTCGAACTATCCCGGCACCAGGCTCCAATCCAGAAGCCGCGCAGTACAATGTCCTTGAAAATCAAGGCTGTTGTCGGCACGAGAAGGGGTTGCTTGGACATGCCACCGTACGTGACCAGTTGGGCTTGATTCGTCAGCAGTTTGGTCATATCGCTGACGGCTTTGCCGCCCACGCAGTTCAAGCCCAATTTGGCTTTAGGCAGACTACCGAGGAGTTTGCGATCCTGGAGGTCGGCGTCGGTGATATTGTGAGTGCCGCCCAGCGATTTCAAATGGGACAGTGTGGCTTCCTTATCCGGACGGTCACGGATGATATTGATCGTCTGCCAGTCGTTGGCTGCGGCGAACTGAATCACCAGCTGACCGACGGCACTGTTCGCGCCGTTCTGAATAATCACGTCTCCCTTTCGAAGGGCCTAAAAAAAGAGCTTTTGAATTTCGGAATGTTTGGATGCCGTACATATTACACAACCGCACAAGTCCGATGAATTTAAAAGAAATTAAACAACTTCCGAAAACATTTGTGCAGCAGGTCTAAACGCGGCCGTAAGCATTACACAGTAAACTGGATATACTTACAATTATTACAACAATAGTCACTATCGTAACAAAACTTTCAAAATAAATTATAAGCAGAAGAGCAAAACACCACTACTGGCTAGTCCTATACAAGAAACAGAGTTATCAAGTTCAAACAAATTTACTAACCAAAATAATTACTACAGAGAGTTAGTGTGGCATTAGTCTCGAGAGAAGAGACGGTAATCTTAATTCTTAAGTAATCAGAGGATCACCGAAAACGCAGCTTACAGCGTAATCATACAACATACGGAATGCCGTGCAGGGATTGATGGCCAACGTGGCCGCGGCCCAAAAAGGCACGTCGTTGGGGATCTTGAGCACTTGCGTGGCCGGTACAACAGCATGCGTCTGCCACGTACCCGGAGTATCGGTAGACATAATAACGCGGTCGCCACATTTGACGTTCTTCACAGCGGATCCCACGGAAAGTACTTCGGCGGTGCCTTCATTGCCAGCCACCCAGGGCAGTTTTGGCTTCACTCCGTACACTCCTTGGACGGTATTGATATCCGCGGGATTGATGGGCGCTGCCAGGAACTTTAGCGCAACATCTCCTTCGCTCAGCGTCTGCGGAATGGACTCGGTTTCAATGGCAAGCACTTTGTCCGGATCGCCGAATTCCTTGTAGCGTAAGCCCGTCGACTGCCATGAAGAGGCCCGACGAATATGCAAAAGGCTACCGCGGAACGGATTAAATTTCGAAAGGATCATGTTTGATTAGAAATGAAAACACCTGCAAATCACATTAATATCAGCAAAGTTATGATCACTAACAGTATTAAAGTTAAATTAAACTACTTACCAGTTAGTGAGTTGAAACTCCACGATACTGCGGAAAGAAACAGCTGATTTCTTCCACCGAATGTTTTGTACAGTATATGTACTGGATAGGACAGTAAAGTGAGTACCAAGAACTAACAAGCAACAGCTGATCAGAGTCTGGCAGCGGTTTAATAGGCACACCGCCACTTCGCGTAGTTCGTAACTTCGTACGAAGCTACTACCGGTGCGTATTTCCTAAATTTTTTACTGTACTTGTAGAAAGAATACTCAAATCATTAAAACAGTTATTGTTCATTTAAATTTTAGAATTTTGGCTTTTGAGTGCGGTTAATTACGGTTAATAATTGTAGTGATAGCAATTCGGGTGTGCCGAAATCCTTGACACGGCATTATGAGCACCAGTTTATGTTTGTTCATCCTGTCGGCGTTGCAACAAACTCTTAAAATAATGATCTGTCACTACTTAAGTTAGTATTCTTATATGCGTAGAGCTTCCAATATATCTTCTGTAAATCCAAAAAATCTAGGTATTGGAGTCAACGCATGCAAATCTCTACTGTTGCATTGCAGTGTTTTTCCTTGCGAGTTTTTTTAAGAAAGTTGCAAGCTTTAAATGCAGTATCATTTTACACGCTACGGTCGCTACCCGATCGTTCTGGATGTTCATATGGAATAATTCGAGTAGGGAGCTCACTTACAATCATTTCAATACAGTATATAATACAATTTTACAGCGCAACATTTATTCCCACTTCAAGAATGTGCATTGCTGCAAACATGCATCCCGTCACCGCCACATCAACTACGTTTTGGCTTCAGGTTCACGTACAACGATCTTGTAAATCGCCCATATCTTTTTTCACCTGAGAAAATACACTGTCGTCCATTACGAGCAGTTGCTTTCGACCAACAAAACCTTCTTGTGATCTTTCCATAGCTCCTCGAAAATCTTTGAGCAGAACCGGCTCCAGCAATGGCGGTTGCAACTTTCCGGCCTTCATGATCGCAACGACACTGTCAAGCATTTCACTGCGTGCCTCCAGTGAGACCTCTGAGTTATAACGTGTCATCCAAAATCCGCACAAGATGATATCCTTGAAAATCATTGCCGTGGTCGGCACAATCATTGGCTGCTTTGACATGCCGCCGTATGTAACCAGTGTGGCACCCGGTTCCAGGATTTTGATCAAATCAGACACCGCTTTCCCACCTACGCAGTTGAATCCAACGCGGGCTTTGGGCAGATCTTCAATCAGCTGAGATCTGAAATTATTCCGGTTTAGGAGTTATTAAAGAGTCTTTGATCCTATCTGTTTCAGTACACGAATCCATAAAATTCTGGTCTACATGAAAAATCATTTCAAAACAGAAACCGTACAGAATCAGTTAAAAAACGTTCTCGCACAAAAAAAGCAGCAAAATCAGAAATGCCGATGCGAATAGGAGCATACTCATACCGTTTAAAATCAGCATCCGTTATCACATATGTCGCTCCTAAGGACGCCAGTTGTTGCGCAACATCTGCTTTATTTGGCCGATCCCGAATGATGTTGATTGTTTTCCATTTATTGTGCGCCGCAATCTGAATCACAGCTTGTCCAACTGCGCTGTTGGCTCCGTTCTGTACCACCACATCTCCTGGCCGGAGGCTCTACTGTTGAAAATAATTAACAAAACAATCAAATTAACCAAAACACTACAGGAAGGGACGTCAAGAGAAAGTTAACCGAGTGGACAATTGATGCTACGCAAAATTCAAGGTAGCGCTAATCGTAACCTGTCAGATGATTATTTTTCAAGTAATGAATAATGGTAAATTAGTAATTTGCAAATAAAATAATCTATATTTATTATGTATTTATGGCAGTGCTCACGAATTAACAAGGATCAGTCAAGAAAGCCTTAGAGAAAGCCTTACAATTTCGGACTGAGCTTTTAACAAAATTCACCTACCGCAAAATCATGCAGCATTCGGTACGCCGTGCAAGGATTGACGGCTAAAGTCGCAGCCTGGGCAATTGGTAAATCTGCAGGGATTTTGAGCAGATTCTCTTGTGGCACAACAGAATAGGTGCGCCATGTTCCTGTTGCGGGATTGGCAGGAATGACACGATCACCCACTTTGATGTCTGCGACTCCAGCTCCCACTGCAATCACTTCGGCGACTCCTTCGCTCCCTCCGACAGACGGTAGCGGAGGTTTGATAGCATACACACCCTGAACAGTGTTGATATCCGCGGGGTTGATGGGGGAGGCCAGAAACTTCACGGCCACATGGCTTGGAAAGAGGTTCTGCGACAGCTGTTCAGTTTCCAAACGCAGAACTTTAGCAGGATCGCCATGCTCAGCGTATCGAAGAAAGGAGGATTCCCAGGTAGAAACAGATCTTCTGATAACATTCCGGCAAGTTCCGGATATCAGACGACACTTATTGAACCACATTGGTAATATCCGAGCTTCAAGTTTGCAGAAAATGGTTAATGACGCAGACTAAAACCGCCGGAGACAATGACAAAACTTTTAAGTAAGAAAAGACAAATCATTCAAAATTACTGTCACATGCATTTAAAATGTTCAAAACAAACTGCGAATGACCGATTGCATGCGCATTGCAGTTTGAATTTTGACTTTTGCTATTGCCGCTTGTGAGTGTTCTTGCGGACTGAAAATCGGCCTTCAAGTCTTCAACTGCCGCCCGCTTCCGTCTTCAGTTTTCTGATCGCTTGTATTCAATCGATTGTCTCAAGTTCTTGAACATAAACCAAATGAAAATTATTTCAACTTTTAACCTTCTAGAAAATTTTCAGTAACTGGGTGACTGATATGGAATTCCGAATGGCCGCGAGTTTTGTTGATTTTAAACTTTGATTTCAAATTCTTTGTCTTAAAATCAACGATTACAAATCGATGATTTTCAAACACCATGATCTGAAATCAATGATTTTTACATCAATGATTGCGAATCACTGATTTCCAAGTCATGATTTTTCGACTCCGTGATTTCTAACCATTGATTTAAGTTCAGTGATTTTCATTCAACGATTTTCAGTAGTGTGAACTGACATCAATGATTTTCTATCATTGATTTAGAATCAATGATTATCAATCGTTGATTTTGTACCACTGATTTTGCTTCATCAAAGATTGCGCTTTACTGATTTTCAATCACTTGATTTAAGTTCAGTGTTTAAAAATCAACGATCGACAATCAATGATTTCCAATATGTAACCGCCGCACCGTGCACCGGAAGAGCGACTAAAGGCAACGGTCTTGCGTTCAACACGTTCGACTCACGACAATGATAACTCAGCGGTTTTCACGATAATCTGTCAATATTCACTGGCCAGATTTATTCAGTGTTGCCAGTTTTACAGTACTGTACTTGCGAATATGCGTCCACCTTGTAAAAACTCGGTTCTGTCCGTTCTTCCCGTTCCTTAGGTTTCCTAGGAATTTTTTTATTGCAGTGGCAGTTATTTGATTTTTCATTTGGAAAATGGAAGTCCATGGAGAAGTTCTGGAGAACCCTGACATCCGCCAGCACGCCACTAAAGAGCATTTTCAGCAGTTTCAGATCGATATTATGTTGGCTTATTATAATGCTGGGCTGAAAATTCCTCATTCCGTGGCCCGCACGCATATCGCTGAAAAGATCGGTCAACCTGGAAGCCACAGGGCACGGGCAAAAACGAGTTGGGACTTGGTTCAAAAATCGCCGAGAGAAAAGAGAAGAAACTCACACAACTGGCAGAAAAGAAGGAACAGGCTGGTGTGGGTACCGTTGATGTTATGTCTCTACCACAGGATGTCACTTTGCAGCCTGCAGATGTATAAACCCGGTGTTTATCGGAAAATGCTAATGTGGACAATAAGATCAATTAATTGCACTTGTGCGATTCTTTATGGTTTAATAACTGGATAGATGCAGATCCTAACGCAGCTGGTTTAAATCCGCAGTAAAGGTCAGGAGACGAGTAAAGAAGAATGAGCAGCAATTTACATAAATAGGAAATTTTGCGTGATTGCACAAAGACAGCCACTCACTAAATACAATGTAAGAAAATTAAACTTTATTCCAGCCACAAATTATTCTGTATTGTGGAAGCAGAAAAGTAGTTTAGTCAAGTTTAATTTTTTGTATAAAACTTTCAGAGTACAGTACGTAAAAGTGCAGTTATAGAATTAATGCTTGGACAACACTGATTTTATAACAAATTATGAAGACAGCACGATACATTATACTACGCATTTGGTTTTGGATGATGATGCCAGGCATTCCGAATATTAGGCAATCCCTGCCGCATTGAATTCTCTCATCGAGAGGTTCTGGCCGCGATTCTCAGAAATATTGTGCCTTAAATCTGTAAATGTGTACGTTGTAATCGTAAGGCCTGCGTAATAAAAAAGCGCTTAGATGTAAGTATTGTAACCGCCCAATAACTACACCTCATGCCGCCACATATGGCAACCTACGTTGACCTTTTACTGCTGACCAGGGCTACGCGACAGGTCGTCGCGGGACATTTGGTTGTACGGACATTTCGTCTAAGGACAACCCGTTTTTGTGGCAAATAGTCATATGACTGTTCGTTGTCATAAACCAGTCGATAATTTTTTGGCTCCCCAAATGTCGGACGACCAAATATCATCCAACAAAACGGCTGCATAACGAGTTGTCCCAAAACAAATTAGCCGCTGCAACGAAAAACCTGTGGCGATATGTCCCACGACGAAATGTCCCGCGACCACTTGGGCTGTCACGCTGACCAGCACCAGTGTTAATTTACATGTGCATTACTACTGCATTATGCGCTAATTATCGGTTATTTTGCGAAATTGGCGGCAATGCTACCTGCTAGTGACGCGCATGCTCGGAATCAATACTTGAGTATGTGATCTCTCCAGCTGTTTGTTTGCCGGGAATGCGGGGAAGTTTGTGTACAATTTTCTGCACGCGTGAACAATAATCAGTTTCACAGCAGGTTCAATATTACTCAACATTAGTTAAAATTTTATAAACCGGGCAGAATGCATCACACGAAAAAGTGTATGTTTATGTATCTGCGCTGAGTGCGCTGTACGGAAATTTCAAAATATCATCTGATTTAATAACAAACGGTCTTTTAATTGTCAGAAGCAAAATAAAGCATATACATTAGAGTATTTTTCGGCATTTTGAAAATATTTTCGATTCGGTCGCAACAAACAGAACGAAGTGTGTAAGGATGCTGTACTTTCACATAACTTTACGTCATTAACATATGGATCCGAGACATCTCTCTTGGCACGCAGTTTTCTTTTTTGCGTCGGAAGCCTTATTTTATTTATATAACAGGACTTATTAAATTTTATTATATGTCCTTCCTCGTCAAATCTCTGATCACGTTATGTTATTTGTTGCGCATCCATAGGTTTGTAATCCATACGGGAAAGGGGATTACATGGAGATTAAAGGCGGAAGCAACATCTCTGTCAACAATATGATCACCTTCAAATAGTTATGCGGCGCCAGCGCGGGCGAAGTTAGGCGGACATATATATATGTGTGCGGAGAAAAAGGGAAAATATTTCCCCTTAAAAGGTCACACGACTATGTACGGTATATAGCAAATTGCTATATACCGTAGCACTTTTAATATTGCTATTAGCAATATCAAAAGTGAATGATGTATATTGTTGTAGAAGAGACATTTGGGATTCTGCGGCAGTACACTGGTCCGTTTGCTGTTCAGTGGTGCACACGACAATGTCGTCGTGATAGAAACCGATTCCCTGGATGAAACGGAAGCCGATCAGCCCAACAGCAGAAATAACGTGTGCCGGCTGATATAAAAGATGTGCGCGCGCACTTGACCTTTCGAAACTGTCCTTCAGTGCAGTGCGCAGGAAAAACGGCGAATTTATAATGTGTATGTGGTGTGCAGCTTTGTGCTAGTCAGTCGTGCTGAAATGCGCGACATTTTACCAAAGTTGACATTTTAAATATTTAATAAACCAAATAATATCAGTGTAATACGATAAAGTAAGGGCATATGCTATGCAGTTAACATAAAACAACATCGCTGTGAGTGGTTTGTGCATGGTGTGCACTTTTTATCATGCATTCACATTCCACTTCTTGTATGGTTTTTTCTGGGTGTGTTTGACGATAAATCGAAAATCTACTGTCCGGCATCAAAATCAAAACAAATAGTACGACCGCACTCTTCATGCTTACTATACATCTAATTAAGAACGACATAGAAATTCACACCAAGGTTCAATTTATTTGCAAAATAAAGGCGCATTTCGTGTTTTCCACGCACCTTAAGATTCCACAAAATGTCGTTGGTATTACACAATAATTTATGGTACTTTTCCGTTATCCATTAAGATCAAATGTCACAAATTTTGTTATGTACTAACATCAAAGAAAAACACGGCATGCAGACAATAAAAACAACAAAGTATGCATTCACCAATGCACAGTACAGTCAGTGCAGCTAACAAAAATCTAATTTTGTGCTAATACGGGTACTAAGGTAGAGAATGGTATAACCAATAAAAAAAGCCGCACCTAACAAAAAATTCACAAAATAACAATAAAACACAGAGCTCATCCGACATTAACCGTAAAAAAAGCAAATGACACAAACTGTTCTTCAAGCCCAAGAGAACGAAGTATTTCGCTCTGTTTCCCTCTTTCAAGGCATCACCACCACGTCGTCATTCACCGCCTGTGTCGGGACGATGGAGAGGAAGTGATGCAGCCGGCCGGGTTGGGCAGGAAGGTGAACATTAACCGCTGGGCACGACCTGCCTTCTTCAGTTCGGCGGTGGTGATGGCTTTGCGGCGTTCTTTCTTCGTATGCGGTGAGAGATGGTAGAAGAAATCCTCCGGTGCATCGGGAAATGGTAGCCGGCCATTGGCGGACCGCACCTTCGGCTTGGCGGGAAAGGCCATCTCACCGCTGTCCAGTTTGACGCGTTTGTAGGGCGGAGAGGGAACACGGGATTCTTTCTCTTTGTCTTTGCCGTTTGTGCGCATGCTAGCAGGTACAGTCAACAGCGCATGTCCTACAAAAAGGCAATTAGTAAGAATTTCGCATCGTTTTTTCGAACCAGTGCTTGTAAAACAAGGCATATGATATTTGTTCAGTCAGATGCTGGTCGACGGAAACGAAATGTTTAGTCAGATATTTAATGTAGTAAGATAAGGCACAAAATGCTGGTAACGGAAGTCTTTTATTGAGATATATTGAATTTATATTTTCAGAAGACGTAAACCTGTAACGAATATTTTTACAATGGCTGTAGAAAGAAATTAAATTTTAGTAAGTCTTTTTAGCAAAAATGTTTAGAAACCATCCAGGTCAAAGGTGTATCTCAACGAATCAGTTAATTTTAAGGCACTGTTTTCAACACCAAATTCTATAGTCTAGTGTCCAATTTCAAAACAGTTACCTGGCGAATTTCTACTTGTCTCTGAGTAGTCGGTATCAGTTTTTTTGGCTGACGAACGGCGCATTTAATCAAAATCGTTTCAGTTTCACAATTAGTTACTGGAACACTGATAACCAGCACAGCAAAAGGCATTCCATAAATGCACATCATTATTCTGAAGTCAGTCGCTGCCAAGCAAGCAAATCTCAAAAGCTAAAATTAATAAATCGAAGCTTATTATTATATCTTAATGACGTTCTAATTCAAATCGACATAATTGTAGGAGAATGCCGACAAAGCAAAATCACAAAAAGCTAAAAAATCTCAATATTGACATGAACACGACTCATTTCGTTCAGGTATAGCTCATTCCAGCGTCATAGTGATGCCGCTTAATCCGCAATTCCGCAGTTCCGTTTAATCTGCAATTCCAGTTTTCCACAATAAACTGCATACCATGTACCAGTACCTGTGAAAAAACATCACCGTATCAGTACCGCTTGTAAAGCTACATGAATTACGCTGGTAAAGAACTGCAAATGGAGAAAAGTTGTTGCTTACGATTCAGTTAAACTGGAAATGCCCCTGCATTTCATTATCCACTGACGCAATACAGTCCCGCAAACCTTCCAGTAGTTGCTCTTTGCTCATGCATCCGCTCGGAAGAGTCAGCTTGTTAGTACAGGTCGTAGCGGTTGGACGTCGGTTTCCGTCCCGTGCGAATGTGAATGAAACTTCAATCTTTGGCGTTGCAGGTACCATGTACGATCCGGTGATAAATCGTAACAGTTGCTTGCGTTCGTGCTGGCTAAACTCTTCCAAAATTATGTCATCAAGCCATGCCATTGTCTGGATTTCTTCGTCATCCGCAGTATCTTCGTTCAACGTTTTGAACTGCTCCAGCAGATCTTTGCCCTCCATCACAGCGCGGTACAGCTGCGGCTCAAAGCGTTTCCAGTCGGAGCGAAACGCCATCAGTTCCTGTATAAGACTACAGTATTGAAAACTTTTCAAAACCGCAAAAAGTGTCACATTTTACCTTGTACATTTTTCCGGCTACCAGTCCCTCGTAGACATACTTCAAATTCCCGGCACGTTTGTGGACCAGTTCAAATTCCGCAATTAGTCTGCACAGTTGCTCACGTCCGTGTTCCAGAAGGACAGCACACTGCAATACAACTAATCAATCATACCGCTGTTTTAACATGGTTATCTCGTTATCTTACCGGGAATTTCAGATTCAAATCAGCCCACTCCTCAGCGCTTCCTCGTTCTCCAGCACGACAGGTCCCACACCAGACATAATGCCATCGATCATACTGCCGATACCGGGACTGAACGAGAAAATATCATTGACCTCAATGGGAAGATTCAACAAGTAGCGGAACACTGAAGAGTTCAACCAAGTAACGAAGGGCGCTCCATGTAAAACTGAATCTCGCAATAAGTGTCCGAATGCTCGAAGTGCAGAATGTCCCGCTTCGGTGACAATGGCATCCGACGATATTAATACAACTGTTGCACATTGTTCGAACAACGTAATGCCTAAATCCGGGATGCGGTAGTGAAGAAATGCTTGACCAAGCTTCGTCATGACCTCCTTATACGGGCCGTCCAAGTCAGTTGCACTACAGCAAATCATTCACCATAGAGACAAATGCATTTTTAACAAACACGGTGTGTACCAGTATAAGCCTTTCTGACAGCAGTTTTAGCGGCTAGCATAATAAATGTCTTGCAGCGCCCTTTTCACTTGCTAAAACATTTGCAAGAATTTCTGAACAGTTTGCTTACTCTTCGATTTGAATACATGGCCTTCCCCCATCAGCCAAATTAGGACCATGCGCATAGTGGAAGTCGATCCAGTTCTGGACGTTATCGTTCCCGGGAATCCATTCAAACACGTAATTCGACTTGAACATGGGTTCTCGTCCGGTGACCTTTACACACAATTGCTTACGCAACTGCTCCACCGATGCTTCCACAGCGTTTTCTTCCTGGTCAGGAAAGTTTCCCACGCGCATTCGCTAGAAAGTTACGACAATATACACCAATTTTGGATCATAGACAATTTATCGAGTTAATCGAAGAAAACAAAAAAATATCAAAACTACGAAGAAAAGCGTTTGAATTATTTTTAATTCGCTCACTTTGAACATTCGAATTATTTTAAATTAATTAATTGTAATTAAATTTAAATTTTAAATTAGCTCACTCACTTTAGCAGGCAACTGGTGGTTTGCGATTTCACTGGCGCCGCTGTTTTCAAGTGCAACATCTTCCGCATCACTTTCATCTGAAGGAACGTAGATGATAGGCACAGTGGATCGGAGACTTCGATGAATACCACTGACATCTTGGTTTAGCTGGGCCGCAACAGTGCCACGGCGCACTGGTTGAGGCGACGAGGAGGGTGAAACGTCAAATATAGAGTTATTACGAGCAGCCAAATCAGAAGTACGCTGGCTTGACAATCCCGATGTACTGGCGCCGCTTAATCGCGACGTACTGGCGCCGAAGGATCGTAAAATGTTGCTCATCCCACTGTTACCGTTTAATTCATCTAAAATATAACAAAACTTGTAGCTTTTGACAGCTTCATGTCGAAACCTCCAAGTTGCACACACTCATACTCACCGGTAAAACCACGCAGTCCCAGCTCTTCAACAGTCTTCCCTTCGGACTGGAAAACATATGAACTTAATCAACCGGATACATCTTCATTCCCGAATTCTGTTTACCTCAGCAAATCTCTCGACAAGTTCTCGTGAAATGTTGATGATTCCGCTGTCGGCCGCAATGTACATGCGATTTACAGTTTCGCGATTTGGATTTTCCGAATACCTGCATTTATCGCCAAATTAATTCAAACTAATTTTCTCATCTAATGGCTGTAAATAAATGATACGTTATTCGCTTACATCTGCTGGAACGCCCATGATGGAGACTCTGTCGGCAAATTTGCTGGGAAGATGTGCTTCCCGGAGAGGTAAACGCGATCCGGGTTATTGGGATCCACCACAATACGACTAAGCAGAATCCATTCCCTGCCTTGCAAGAAATTGGCGAACTCTTCGTTGATTTTCATTCGAATGTGCTGTCCACTGAGCTCTTGAAAATTGACGCGTTTAATCAATCCACAAAATCGCATTAATTCCAATTCGGTTTTGCCCTCACTGTATAAAACATGCCAGAAACATTACAGCTTGTGATAACCGTTTAACGCACACGTGTTCTTAAATTGCAAGCCGTATGCGCATAGCTGGTAAACTTACCGCGCTCGTTGTGTTGGAATAGCATTCTTGTCTCGGTAGCGGAACAAATAGACATCCATGGGATATTCGAAAGCGACCTGGGGAACTTCAAGACATTTCGCTGCGCGGGCGTTGAACTAGCAGGTGAACGGAACATTCGAGACTTTGGCGTCTTGCTCCACGTCCCCGCCACGGGCGCCTTGCAACGGAGACTGTCCGAACGATCCGCCTGGTGGATAACCATATGGTGCAGATGGACGCGACCGTGACCCTTGAAGTCCAATACTCTGGCGTCCGCCACTAAATCCAGCATTCTGAGGATTCAGTCCATGCTGTACTCCAGGCTGCTGCATGCGGGCTAGCTGCATTCCCGGCTGCTGAATTCGCGCTACCTGCATACCATTTCCAGTGTTGCCTCGGACTTCTGGAGCGCCAGTTATGCTTTGTCCAAATGATCTACCGTCATGTTGAACTGCTCCACGCGAATGCGGCGTATAGCTGTTGGCGGCTGCGCTGTTATTGATCGTAACAGGGGCTTGCGTGGTATTGACGCCTTCAATCGAACCGCTGGCAGGTGCACTGCGTTGGATGTCCACTTGACGGCCCAGAATGTCCATATAGTTGATCAACCTATGATTCCCCAAATAATGCTTACATGTCTCTTCCTCACATTTGGTGCTTCCTTGGGCTCGGTACGAAAAATCCACTTCTTCTGGAGTAGAGATTATACATCCGCAAGCAGAAGCCATACACTTGTATTTCCACATCGCAGGATCCGCCATGTTTTCGGCTAACTGGAAAAATGTTGCATTGACAATTAAAGGTTCAAATTAACTCATCAGTTAAAAAACTGCAATTAAATTTTGCCCAAACTTTAGCCGCCTACACTAGCAATCGCAGTAATGATCGCTCCTTCTGCAGGCGTGTTCATTTGGAAGTGTCCAATGAAATCCAGTTCACGCAATGTTAACCAATGGCTACTCGCAAAATTTAGCGGTCTGTTCGTGGGAATGCAGAGAACAGCCCACCGGCGGCAGCTTTGAAACTAACGTGCCGCTAAAAATTCATTGTTTCTATTGTATGCCGGTTTCTAGGAGTAATCGCCCACCTGGCCAGATCGGATCGCCCTGCTCCGTGATGCCGGTATTCTGGAAGAGCGGAAAGAACGATTGTAGTGCGTAGCGTAGTGTGCCCGCGGTCCGTGATGAGGCTCGTGGGTCCCGGCACGCCCAGATCGAGTAAGGCATTCCGCACTTTCATTTGCGTGGTGCGGTAGCCGGGTATGCTGTCGGACAGTTCAGCGGTTGGATTGGAGAGTTCACTGCGGAAGAGATTCAGTGTTTGCCGGTAGCAGAAGTCCATATCCGTTATCGAGGCCTGACATAATTATGCACAACATTACCGTTTCATTATGTGCAACATTTATTATGTGCAACGTTCTGAGTCTGACCGGAAAGAAAACATCCCGACCGCACTAGCACGGCAACGCAGACCAAGCCAGAGATCGCCCGCATCATTCCACAATTCCTGCTACAAAAAAATGCGGCACTGTCGCTCAGACACTAAATATTACCTCACACGGTATAAAATGGAAGTGAAGGAACTTAACAACCAGCAACAACCATACTAAACACAACCGTTCTTTTAATAAACGTCTTTAGGAATTACAACCAATTAAGCCACCATAACTGTCAACATCAACTACATGGTATCTCCTCTAGCATTTGTCATTGTGTAAACGACACAGGTGAAAAACACACTAAATCATACAGGAGTACAACACACTGACATTGCGTTAGTTTAAACCTGTACACAGTCTGCTTCGACACATCTAACGATCCACTTCCCCGAAGACGATATCCAGTGCCCCGATGATGGCCACAATGTCGGCCAACATCTGTGCTGCTTGCCGATATGATTGATGGCCGCGAGATGCGTGAAGCCGGGCGCCTTGATTTTACAGCGGCATGGGGCGGCTGGTGCCGTCCGACACCAGGTAGATCCCGAACTCTCCTTTGGGCGCCTCCACGGCGGTGTAGGTGAAGCCGGGCGGGGCTTGGACGCCTTCGGTGTACAACCTTGAAATGATGGATTAAGGCCTCCACCGATTCCTGCAAACAGCAGATTTTTTCCAGTGAACCGGGTTATCATGGCATAAGTATTATGCAAAAGTATGAAAATGTGAAAGCCATACTGGCGCTGTTCTGTGAACGTACGTGCGGAATACTTAAACATAGCGAAAATAAGAGAGGAGGCGACGAAAATAGCGACCGTTAAGTAAGCTGCAGTATTCACAGAATTTCACGGAAATTAAAATCGTGAATCGAAAAACTTCACATACCATTACACACTCAAACAGTGTGCAGATGTGCTTTCACTGGGTAATACGGACATGCTAATGAGATCACATTCGGTGACCAAGTGAAAGCCTCCTCAAAATGGGATTCTCTTAGCACCGTTTTGACCGAACAAGCTCATGAGAAATAACCTATCGGCTTCGATACGTGCTGTCAGAACATCCACATACTATCGTAATATGCTGCCGAATACTTACATTACCACTAACGTTGCGCATCTAAATAATTGTTTTAATTATATGCCTTTCTACTTCATAAAATTATTTGTGCACTAATTTGACCAATTTACCCATTTTACAAGAAACCACCATGCACCGTACGACACGGTCGTAAGCATACCTTCATTACCTTTCGAGAGGGATGCACCACCTTGTATCGTCCACTTTGATCTCGCCAGGTGGCATTTTATTCAGGCACTGATGGATGATCCGCAGCGACTGGCGCATTTCCTCCACGCGCACCAGGTAGCGATCGTAGCAATCCCAGTGTGAACCGATGGGAACATCAAACTCCACTTGATTGTATGCATCGTACGGCTGCACTTTACGCAAATTTCTTTTGATGCCGGATCCTCGTACATCGCACCACTGTAAGAACGAATTCACAAGTTTTCATGTCAGCATAATTCTTGCGAGTATTTAATTCGGAATGAAACAGTATGATTTCAAGGAATGTGTGCGTACGACTTAAATGTGTATGCACTACGTATGAGTTAAATTAAGGTGCAAAACTATACCAATCTTTCCAACATTGTCAATTCTTCTCGTAGCTCTAAAGAAACTGAAACATGCAATGCCAGCAAAACATCAAAATCAACGAGACACACCTCATCTCATAAGCAAGCGCGTCCTCCGCCGACACCGTTCCAGTGCCGACAGTTCGGGCTTTCCAGATACGATTACCAGTAAGGAAATCTTCCAGTTCATCCAGGCGTTGGTTATACTTAATAGCCCAGTCGTAGATGTCATCCGTCAATCCCAACGGCAAATCGTACTGCACTCCACCGGGACAAGCATAATTCGCGTGCATCCGGGCGCCGGATAATCGTTCAAAAATTCACACAACTAAAAGGGTGCAAACATTTATCAGTGCCATTCTTGCTTTGCTTTTTCCACCTGTTACAGTACTCATAAGAAAACTAATTAGATTCATATTAATTACAATAAAATTACAGTACACTGCAGTTCCTCACTTGCTGTTGTTATTAAATCAGCGACGTCGACTTATTGCAGAATAATATGTAAGTACCTTTTCGCATTCCTCAAACAACCAGAAAAAGGCGTCATTGCTCTGATATTCAGGGCATGCGTATTGTAATTTAAAATACGAGTAAGTTCTCCGAATAAAACTGCAGAAAAACCCAGCACATTTTAACACTTATGGAGAACGGTGTTACAGTAACCAGTAATGTACGTTGAAAGATCTGTTAGAAAGTAACAAAAAATGCTCTATTCACTTTTGGAAAGCGAAAGAAATTAACAAAAACCCACCTATAATCCATTCCGCACGGATGGGAATACCGAATACCGATATGGGAATACCGGAATATCGATATTTAATAATTTCTCAATAGCCAGGGAGAAGCACTGCTCATTGCACAACATGGACACGTAATCCAGACGGTCCATGTACGTCAGGGCCTGCATGTAGGTTTTACACTTGATTAACTTCTCCGTGGCGCGATGCAGCAACCCAATATGGGGATCAGCCCGCACCACCGTCTGCAAGAAAAACATCCATACAAATTTTAAAAATTCACGCTGTCCAAAAATGCTTGCATAGCCAGCAAATCGGGTATTTCCTGTACAGCATGTCTGGACGACAGCAAAAAGACATTGTGCTAAGGCAGATACGAAGCATAACGCAAAAGAATTAACCCGCCTTTCCGTCTAACTCCAAAACCAAACGTAATACACCGTGCGCTGCGGGATGTTGCGGGCCCAAATTGCGGGATATTGCGCATTTTCTTCTCCACAGGAACAGTCGCCACTGCAACAGCCCGTTCCATTACTTAATATTCACAACAAAACATCACCACAGGCATAGATGCGCTGCCTATATGGGCTTACTGCTGGTGGACACGATATCATGTTTTCCCAAGGCGAGAGGCTTATCTTCAGGCTAATTTAAAATAAGAATCCCAACAAATCTTGACGGCCACAAGAAAACCGTGTGTGGTTTATCTAAGTTTAGCATCACTTTCCAGTTTCCACTGTGTGGGTCGGGCACTCTACAAAAAAAGCGGAACAATTAGTTCTAACAAGCAGGCTTTTGTATTCGAGGGAGAACGGCTTTGGTTGTGCATTTGAAAACCTAAAGAATGAACAAGAAAGAAATGTCTTTAATAAAGCACGCCACCGTGCCACTTTAACCTGTCTCAGATCAACTATCCAGCCTTATTCTACAGAGCAGGTTATGGCAACTCATAAGATACTGCAGCCTATTACGACGGTTGACAAATTAAATTCTCTAATTGTGAATAGAAAATAAATGAGTCAATGCCCAGGCCATCTGACTCTCAAATGAGGATGACGGTATTACACGGCTTTCTCCTACGCGAAGCCGAAACGTACTGCACCGCACTTACGGAATAGTATCCCGTCCACATGTCCCTCGCCTGACCGAGAGACACAGGCCACAGGTTCCGCAAAATGTCGCGACTCGCGAGAAATATGATTGCCGAATAGCAATATTGGTTGCGGTTGGCAGAGCTGCCTGTCGAAACTCCGTGTTAATGAAACTGAAGAATCTGTAACCGGAGCGCGCAATATAATACAAATGCGTGTTGGGACATCCAATTTACACCGACATAACATGAAACAAAATTTAGAACGAAACTCACAACGATAGGCGCTTTTCTGCCATACAATCGTAGGGCTCAACCCATGATATCGCCTGCGGTTTACACTGCTGGAAAGAAACCTGAAGAAAATAAACATTATCTTTCGGATACTGAGATATGATACGTATAATCTGGTATACCTTCCACACTTTACAGCGCAGGATTACGTAACTAAGCTTTACGATACAAATGTTGTAATTTTTTACAAAGCACTTAGTAATCGTAAAAAAAACACAGCCGGTACTTTGCGATTGCTTTATGCGGCTAGTTGTTTCGAAAACGGCTCGGTTTACATGTTCAGCAATGCATTATTAATCAGGTGACAGACAGAACATTTTGTGCAAAGTACGGTAATTCATTCACGCAGAGTTACAATGGAGGCTATAACACTGCAACAGACAGATCGTATGCAGCAGCTCGCAAACGCGAGCGCCAACTATTTTAACGCGCAATGGCGCTAACCGGCTCGGGCGAGCAAGACGTTCAACAGAACCAGACTAAGAGAATTCTAAACAGGTAGCAAGCATCTCTAGGGAAGGCGCCAATCCTCTGCTTCGACTGATCTCCCTGTCTCCTTCCATTTGGCACGATTGGTGCTGCGGACATCACAGGCTTTTCAGTCCGGCCGTTACTGAGTAGCCAGGGTGGTTGTGATCCTCCATCTCCCGTCTCCGTGGTGGTATTGCTGCCTCAGCCAAGCACTTCGCACACAGGTAGGCCGTGCACTCGCAGCCTGAACTCAGAGTGGTCACCCATCTAAGTCCAAACCGCGCTCGTTGTAGGCTATCTTTCAAAACCCGAAGGTTCATCCATCTAGCCACAACGAGTGTGCCCGACAACTAACACTAACAGTAAGTACTAACGTACTAACAGTAAGTGTTCTTTCAAGAATAACCGTCCGCATAGCTGATGACGCACAGAATTAGCTGAGCAGAGATAATTCACTGTTTTAAACTTTTAATGATTATTATTTATTTGTGTACGTTTTCAACACAAGTACACTCACTAGAGTTAACAAGTTTGAGAGAAAACTAAAACGCCAAACATTTAAAATGTTCGTATGGAGTAGGCTACTTGAAAGTCAACAACATTACAAACAAAACTTAAAAAGGCCCATGCAGCAAGTCACATTATGCACGAGTTGATGTACTACTTGCCAGTCTACTTACCGACGCGATTTCTTTCAGTGGAAATGTTCTTCTAAAAGTTCTTTCGCTGCTTGAAAAACATTAATTCCATAAAATCCATCACTCGCTCGCACATCCATATTCGCCCTTATGAAATCAGCTTCAGCAGGAAAGCTACTGATGATGTCCATTACCGGAACAGCATCTCTAGAATGAGCCACTTGATTCCTTATAAAGTCCGGAAAATCTTGAGGCGCATCCACATCTGTTTCAGGCAGCTCGTCACCTGCCGTTAATAGTTGCTGCAGCGGAAAACCTTTTAACCCTTTTTCATGGCAGCCGAGTATAAAAAGTTGTCTTGGAGAACGCTCATGCTCCGTCCGGAGTTTGTGATTATTAAAAAACTCAGTAAACTGATTCAGCTGATCTTGAATCCTGTCCAAGTAGACTAAATGCAGAATCATCATGTCCCGAGGATTTGTATAATCCAAAATCCCCATATTTTCCATATGGATGAATACAGACCGAAATAACTTGATAACAACGCGGCCAAGGTCTCTCCACAGCCGTTCTATCCGTTGATTGTGAACCGATGGTCCCATTATAATACTCGCGCGATTTGGTCCCATATAGTGTTCCATCCAGCGTGCAACTCCAAAATTTTCCCCTAATTGAAATATATTTTAGAGAGCAGTTATATAACCGGCAAACTTAAAACGTGAAATCGTATTGTACCAAAAAAGCGCTGTAGCAAAAACCAAAAGGGTGAAAATTATGACAAAAATCAAAATTTTACTTTAAACGCATTTTCACCTCCGCAATCGCTTCTCACTCTAGAAGGCGCACCCCACTCTTCCGCACCAGACAGGAACGCTTCCAGCACTGTACTAGCTCGATTGTTCGTTGCAACAATGAGAGAAATAATCGTCCTGGAATATCCGTCTATAATTCCATGTATAACGAATCCCCAGCGAACCAACTTGTGATTCCCATCCATGTGCCATAAAGCGTTCGGACCAGGATTAGAATATACTCTTCGGGGAACAAAAGTGAGATATCTGTTAGCAACTCCGTACGGATCAATTCTTCGCAACGATGAAAGTATTCTCCTGCGCTGGATGTACAATCCTCCAGTCTTAAGCTGTCCAAAAATATAACGGTATCCGACATTTGGAAATGATTCCAAAATTCCCGCAATCAATAAATCCAAATCAGCATCACTAATCGTTGAAAACTACAATTAAAACGAAAGATATTACAACCGAGGGCAACTGAAAACAGTTACAGCAGTTCACAATCAAGTAGTTCTTTAATAGCTTGTTCGGCCAGTAAACAGCCTGTCAAACTATGCACCAGTGCAAGCTTACCTTTTTATTTAAACCAGCTTCTGCCAATCGCTGCTTAACTGTCGTAACTCCAACTCCATAAAACCGAGCTATGTCCTTCACTGTAAATCCTTCAGATCGCAAACCAGCCAAATCATCCTCGGGAATAAAAAGTCTTCCATACGAATTAGTGCACTCAGTTAAGGCAAAACAGATTTCGTCCCATCTTCGTCTTCCTGCAGTCGAAGTCGTAAAGCACTCGAGCAATCAATAAGTGTATCGAACAGCTCCTGAGCCCTCCGCTCCTCCGGTAAATTGTCGCAAATATCACGCGTATATCTGCTAGACGAAACATTCAAGTACAAACAAAAATATTGTGAAACCGTTGCGGCGTTGCTGTTCAGAACTTACCCGAGTAAATAATCAACTTGTGTCAACGCTCCGTCAACACCATCTTGATCGTGGTCCCCATCCTCAGCTGAAAGAAACCGCTGAGCTCGTCTTACGACCGAATCCGCAAAGATATAAAATTGATCCATTTTTGTTCTCTCAAGGTTCACTACGAAAAACCAAATAAATCTTCTAGAAAACAGAAAAGATAAAAGACTGTCAACATTGCTATTTCCAGCCAGACTGAAACTATATTCCAGTAGTTTGGGAAAACTCCAGCAATACAACACAAATTCCATTAAACCACCGCAACTGGTCCGGTGGAAATGGAATTGGAACCGGAAAAAAATTTAAAGTCCGAATAACAGGTTTCCGGTGCACGCGGTGGCGATCAGAGTCACTCCTTTCGGTGCACGGGGCGGCGGTTACATATTGGAAATCATTGATTGTCGATCGTTGATTTTTAAACACTGAACTTAAATCAAGTGATTGAAAATCAGTAAAGTGCAGTCTTTGCTGAAGCAAAATCAGTGGTACAAAATCAACGATTGATAATCATTGATTCTAAATCAATGATAGAAAATCATTGATGTCAGTTCACGCTACTGAAAATCGTTGAATGAAAATCACTGAACTTAAATCAATGGTTGGAAATCACGGTGTCGAAAAATCATGACTTGGAAATCAGTGATTCGCAATCATTGATGTAAAAATCATTGATTTCAAATCATGGTGTTTGAAAATCATCGATTTGTAATCGTTGATTTCAAGACAAAGAATTTGAAATCAAAGTTTAAAATCAACAAAACTCGCGGCCATTCGGAATTCCATAGACTGAAGTCTGGGTGAACTATGAAAGAAAGATGGTTCCGTCACTTCCGTGTGCTGCACCTTTGTCTCACTGAAGTGTCTGAGTAAAAAAGTGGCAAAAACCGCAATCTCATTAAATTTTTCGATTTCATTCACTGCATTTCGAATTAAATCATCGTTTTTGAATCTACAGCCGTACTACTATAACCAAATACTTACGTATCAAACTCTGCAACGCTGGATATGAATTCTGAAAATTTCAAATAATTTAACTTATTGTTAAATAAAGTTCCTCTGAGTCTGCGCATATGCCAAGTTGCCAACAACATCTGCGATTAATTACAACACTTATGCAAAAACCACGCGTACTGGTACAGTACAGAAGCCGCCGTGCCGGCAGCTTTGTCAGTGTGTCCCCAACTCAAACTGCCCAACAGATCTTTTATGAGTGTGGACATACCGAATTATACCGATGTACTGTTTATGCCGCCGGAAATGGAGACCTTGAAGTGGAAGAGATTTACAATCACTGATCGTGATGGCATACTTTAAGTTACTTACCTTTGCGCGTTGCAGAGCAGGTTTACTGCAGGCTTGCTTAATTCTCTCTGAGTTTACAATCTCTCTTTCTCTCTCGGATTATATGATTGCGCTTCTTATCAGTTATGAGTCGCCATGTACTGCCGGATAAACTTAGCAGACAGAGAGATACCAACCTTACGCACGCTGGTGTGTGTGGTGACTAATGGTCACACACAAGTGAAATGGCTTTTCGCCACTCGCTCTAGTACAATTTGGAAGCATGCGCATAATGCAAGCAGTTCCAAATAGATGGAGACGGAGGAAGTACCTGCGACCTACGTTTTGAATTGTGTTTGCATCTAATATCAGCCAAATATTACGATATATATTCACGGTATTTTGCATTGCTGTGCATTCCTGCATGTTGTTATTCAACGATTATTAGCTGTCCGTTAGCCTTTCTTCTTTTCTGTCGTAATGGGCATGGAGCAGTTGTAACTGTGCAAAGGGATCTTTGTGGTCGCCTGCGCACGCTGGCAGCGCATGAATAGCCCAGCCAGCAGTAAATTCCTTCCGGAACATCATCCCATCCGCTTTCATCCACAGATTTAGTTCCACATCCCAATCGATTGGCCTGTCTACGACGCTGCACTGGCGGTTCTTTGATTGCATCCATTGACAGCCGCGAACGGCTATAGTTGAGACAGACAAGTAAGTTTTATCCCCCTATCGACTTTGAGGAGAAAATTACTTGTACTGTTTTGATTAAAGAGTGCTGGAACCGAGTGTACTCTCTCAAAGCAGGCTTTGTCCGCGTATCTCCAAATTAGCACACATCATTTAATACACATTTACACGCGAAATCTGTTGACGAAATTTATTATCTCTCTGGTTTGTGAACTGATTTAACTTGTACTTGGAAGTACGGATTTGTTTCCATGCGGATTAAGCACCACCGATTCCGAACTTATTTTTGATTGTGCATTTTATATTAATTCTGGCCAATATTTTTTCGCCTTTGCTGCTTATGTGCATTTGGATGTAATCAGTTCATTGATACAAGTGCAGAGCCGTAAACTTTGCAATTCTGCATCGGTTGCATCCACTTGCTGACTTGCATGTGATGAAATGCCATCATTTAATTTGCAGCCAGACGAAATAGGTCGAGGACGTCGATAAAGGACAGATAGTTATTAACGACTGAGTAGCAGAAAATTATCATCCTTCTCGGCACTGTACCATAATTGCTGTATTCACCTGCGACATGCATGACTGCAGTTGAATTTGATTAGAACGGAGAGCCAAAAAGGAGAAAAGGGAGTGCAGCACTTATTGAGTGCAAACCTTTCGTAAATTAAAGGTAAAGCCGTAAAAAAGCGAAGATTTTGCGTTAAAAATTTTAAATACATTACTTCTAGTAATCCTAAGTACGCATTTCTATCACTGATTCACCGGTCCTTATACATTTGCTGCAAAACTAATTCTTTGAAAAACACGTTTGTTTCGAATTCGAAATGGCCAAATTCTGATCCGTGAACCTAAAGGCTACACTAGTTTATTAGTGCGCATAGTGGACTTCGAAAGTAGTAAAGCCTTCTAAAGCGTTCAAAAATATTTTTAAAAATTTATTTACGATTAGTACTACTACTTACCTATTTCTCCCGTGTTAGGTTTATATGGTACATATGTCAGTTTCTGGACGCTAGAGCCGCTGGCAGTGTCACATATCACTTGGATAAATTGGGTTAGTAATTGGCTCCGTAAATTGAAATGGGTAATAATACGAAGCACGATCACTGCAAACTGCAACACTTCGCCGTATCACATACGGACCTTGGTACGGTAGAAAATACAGTACGAGTACTTATGTGGTATTAAAGCACTAAGCAGTCTATAAAATTATCTGAAAGAAAATTGATTTTGTTGAAAAAAACGGTTGTTTCAGAACATTACAAATCAAGACAACCTCGACCTTGCAGCGTAGTGTGTATTTATATCGCCTGAAATCTGACCATTTCTGAGGTTAAAAACAGTAATACGTAATTATTATTTTGAAATTTTCAGTATGGAAGTATACTTTATGCTAACAAGTAAACCAGACGTGTAGGACTTATAAGGAGTACAATTATCACAATTTTTAGTACAACGTACATCCAATTTTTTAAGTATTTATTAAACTACAGAGTGATATTGTGTACTTACAATAGATCCGGACTATCCGGTTCGCCTTACCGTACGATACAACGATTACACGATGTATTTACCTGCAAAATAAGTTGTTACCACTTCCCAAAGTCTGCTACCACTTCCCAAATTAATCAGAATAGACTTGCTTTGATCACTTTGATGAGATCAGTATTAAAAAATTTTATACTTTGTAGTTAACGTGCCTACAAAGTATTACGTTCGAGGCTTCAAGCTAATTTAAGTAATACTAATAAGTAATAACCATGAACTTGCAGAATATTTCTGTGCAAACTACGGATGCAGCTCACAAGTCAGTGCTGCAGCAGTCCGAGATTTCTCATGGATTCTCATGAGAAATCTCGGTTTATTACGCGGTGGTGTTTAGCAATCCAAGCCCATCCCAGGAACGCCTGAATTGAACGCCTTTGTTCAAGCTTTTGTTCGCGCAAACAAAAACAAGCTCGTGGTGTATCCAGATCAGATGAACTGCAATTTTAGAAGCCGCAGTAGTGAATCCTCATCGTCGTCATCTGATTTCGATCTCGAAAGTGGCTCCGCCGTGAGAACAATGAGTTCGAGTCGTTAGGGCAACTTTAGGACCAGATTAGCGAATGTTAAATTTTCGTGTTACAGTTACACATTTCGATGATTGTTGGTTGTTGCTCATGCTGGCGCAGGCGGTCGAAAATACGAGAAGCAGTTTGAGTTGTGGAACTAAAATATTTTAGCCTGCTGACAGCTGGCTGCTGCATTAAATTTTAACGCCTGCAGATTTTTCCTATTTTTTTCCATCTCTTGTTTTTCGTTTTCCATCCAGCTGCTGCCGTCTGTTGATACAGTATTTTTTGAGATTATTCGTACTACTAGTATATTGTTAGTTTGTTACCATCAGTATTTTCGCAAAATCCAGTCACTTCGTCATTGCAGTTTGCAACAGTTCTAGTTGACTCGATTGTTAACCTTTCGTTCTTTCTGACTTTCCGTGAAGCGTTCGCGTGCAGTACAGAGTACACTGTTCACTAGTGTTCCGACTCGTGAAATCTGTTATCTCCCTCGCTCGAGGGATTCTCTCTGAAAATGTTTTTTGACGCAGCAGCCGTTAATTTTGACTTTAGCAAGTGTGATAATGCACAGGATGATCCTATGTTGAGTGGTGATACGGGGACGCCCGAATGCGAAGTGGATGTAGATTATTTCCCAGATTTTCCGGACGAGCTCTGTCGTGATGCCGCTGAGGCATCGGATCACACTTATGCACTGACTGTTTTTTCAGTGTCACAGACTCCAATGCACTTCGGGAACAATGCCGGAGCGCCGCATGGCAAAGCGGATCACGGGCGCGGACTGCCACAAAGTCCCGCGGGAATGACACAAGGAGGCAACGCTTCGCGCCAGGACGATGTACGACAGTGGCAGCAGAACAACTACTTCGTGGATTCCGGCATAGTCTCGGGAGTGACCACGCATGTAAGTGTTAAAGTCGCCGTGTAGTCCATAATCGAAGCAGACCATTCCACATGTACTGAAGAAGTCAGCACACTCAACAGGAACGATTGCGTGTTATTTGTTGGTTTATTGGTAAAAAATAGCGGGAAGACCGGACTTCTGCAGTCTGTACTGAAAAGCCTAAAGCTGTAAACACGAGAGAGTACTAGTATCTCGTTTGTCGTTGTTAGTTTTAATGCGTCGTACCACCGGTCGGGACCGGTTGCTAGTTTCCTACTGTTGGTGGCGTCACTTCGTTCCAGACGCTTCTCAAAGTCTGGGATTCTGTGTACGGTTTACGAGTAGTGCATCTGTGTAGTACTGTAGTGTCTACTTACATGCAGGAGTAAACATTCTGTAAACGTTGCCAGTCTGATGCCACAGAAGAGTGAGAAGACGTCTGGAAATTCTTGGCAGATCGCGTAATTTTTGGCACCAATAATCGAAGCTTACTTACAGATACTTGGCCGGCTGGACATATTTGTATAACAGGCTTTAATACCAGCTAACAGGCTTAATACCAGTCATATACTAACTAATCCGTAATCCACACGGACCACACCTAATGGTAAGATACTTGCGATGTCCAGTTTTCCGTATGCCGGTACAGTCGATTTAAAATCGTCCAGACTCCTTGAGTCCTGACTTTCTGTGGTTTTCATGAATGTTATCCCTTTTGTAAGACGCGAGTGTTGGGATAAAATAGTCGTTATGGTACATTAAAATTTAGCACGGCACAAAACCAGGCGGCAGTTCACCTACTTTATGTATTAAGTTTAGGATAAGGAAATCAGTCTCATAACACTTGAAATTGCAATGGATTTCGTTGGGCAAAAGCAATATTTAACAAGACGTTTAGAAACTTCGAATGGCTCTCGCTACCGATGAACGAACCTCTGGTTTCGAAATCGTAGTCGTTTCGTAATGGGGGTTGCCAATGGTCAAATCCTCTAAAAAACGGATCGACTTTTGGTAGCAGGTTATTAATCCACTATATAAATACGGTACAGTATCATTTTGCGCCGAAACATCAAAGTTTGCATCTTTCTAAGTGTCTATGCGAAGCACAGGATAGTAGCAGTGTTGGGTTAGCACTCAGTCATAATGTAATGCTGACCAGTGGCTCGTATTGTTCAATACACCGTTTGCCGCTGCTACTGGTGTTTAAACCATTTGAAAACCAAATCTCAACAAGACTACAACATATTATGAATTTGTTGGATTAATCATTCGATGCAGCTTTTTTTAATAGTGTTTTAGTGCACCGAGCAACCTGAGTTTGCCTCTTGTTAAGAGGTGAACAAAAATACTTATTGTTGTTTGAATTGATCCGAAATACCAGGACATGATCGTGACATTGTGTTGGGTTTGGGAACCTTAATAGTCGCATAAAATTTGTCCATTTCCGTTCCACTTGTAAAAGATTCGCATTCTGTATGACAAATAATAGCTATGAATTATGACGATAAATGGAGATACTCTGATCGTGGTGGTGTCCGTTGTTGACTGGAAAAGCTGGGCAGATGATATATCATTATCGTATAACTTCCGCTGGGGATGCTGGCATTGCGTGACATTACTCTCCGGGACTTCGGCCATTGAGGACATGAGTGCTTGCTAATTAAATTAACCGACTTGGTAGAAAACGGTGTTTTAAACGCTTAAAACCCAATGAATTGGCTGGATATTCAGTACTTAAAGGAAGGAAGCTACGCAGAACTTAGATCATATTTTTTTCGTTTCAGGCGCATTCAGTATATAGCGTTAACAGTGGGGGAGCATATGATGAAATGGATGCTGATCATCAGCCGCTTCCACCGGCCCCACCAGCTTATGAATCGCATCAGCAGTTTTTTAATCAAGAGCATACTCCTCATCAGTTGGAAGGTAAATTGCTACTTAGTTGCATCTAGCAAAACTAATTATCGTCTTCGCTTCAGCGTTTTTTCTTTATGCATTTTGTGGTTCTACTTTGGTTTATTAAGCATTTATCTTTTTCCTTTCCTGTTGGGTTTGTGTGTAGTCATAAATAATTAGTTTTTTTTTAAAAAATTATATAATTATTTTTTTCAAACCATGACTTGAACACGTGTTAAGAAACAAAAAAACAACAGCTCATTAAATATTCATCATTTTTAAAATTAACATCTTTCCGACTTTGAGCGTTAACAAAGCAGTGCGTCCACATTTGAAGCCGGCGCTGTCTGTTTTTCGTTACGCCGGTAACCGCATTGCAGCTTTACGTTATTTTTACGTTAAAGTTTGTGTCCGGTGATTGACAGGTTTTCTGTTCCTTAGATATCACGGAACAGTACTACTCTACAACAACCCGTTCGCAGCGCATCCGAGCTGCCATGTTTCCAGAAACCTTGCCAGAGGGAACTGAATATCCAACTACACAGTTCACTACGGAACCGACAGCCGTGGAACATTTGGCTGAGCCAGCACAGTTGTTGAAAAAGGGTGTTCATGAACTGGTCCAGTACCAGACTAATGCGGACACGACGGTCAGCATTATTCCTGATTTGGTCAAGCTCCTACAAGATGAGGACCCGGTAAGAAGACTACATAATAGTAAATGGCTCAAAATAGACATTAATAATTGTAAACAGAGTAACTATTTAAGTTGAGACAACAACGTCATATGTTGTTAGTATCAGCCTTGCAGTGCATCTGCAGGCAAAAACTGCTTTAGTGTTATGAGCCGAAGTCTGTTTGTACGAGTGGTTCATGAGAACTGCAAGGGAAAAAAACGTTTTACGAGATTGGGTCGTTTATAGCAGGCCGAAAACCATCTGCGAGTTAGCGCAGTTATTGATGAGAAATTATCATAATTATATGGTCGAGCGCTGCGCTCTCGATGCTGACACGGCCGTGTATCATTAGTCAGAATGTATTTGATTAAAGAGTAGCGACAGTAGCGAGTTTTGGATGAACAGACCGCACTAATAAAACTTGACTGATGCAAACTGTTTAAATTGAACGAATAGGGATCTGTCGTCTCTATTCAATTGCTGAATGCATCTCTCCCCGGAAATTAAATTTGTTCGCCTCGTATGATCTGACTGGCGTTTTCTAGCTGATCGTTTGCAGCTGAAAAGAGTAAACGTACGGGAATGTGATTGTTGCTTTATTTGATCAATGTTGCGGCGGCGTCCATTTGTAACGGGAGGCGTTTTTGTGATCATTTAAAAAGTATTTCGGTGTCACATCTTGAGCTTTAGAATTCAGTTTTATTCGTTTTCATGCACAGAAATTCTGATTGTACCGAATACGGGGTTTCCGATTTTGCATCCGATCTAGGCGCAAAATCACCTTTCACGCACCATATTTCACTGATGCGGATATAGCCACTTTGCTGCGGTCTGGTTATCGTAATTTACCTTTCGGCTTTTATCACCGGACTATATGAAATGAGCGAATTACCGTACTGCTCGTCGTCAGGGCTCGATCTTTGTAAAAGCATTTTAATAGCCTTAAACTGGTTGAAACGTATTTTCGGAATCGTATGGGTCTGATCATTATAAGTACTGGGTACTTACTTACAACTGGAGGTAACGATAAATATTTTCTATAATGCACTTTGCAGTATTCTGTAATCTATACATATTAATGCTGAGTACTGTATTTTTTATACTACACGTCGCGGTACATGCACCGGCACCGGAGTTCTTTTTTAGATCTGGGTGTGTTTATCGTTTTCAGGAAATAGTGTCAAACACGGCCCGCTTCATCCATCAGTTGTCAAAGGATGATGCCAGCCGACAAGCTCTGATGGCTGATGCACAGGTTGTTACAGCGTTGATCCAAACCATGCATGCTGGTGCGGGAAAGGATAACGAAGAAATAGCCAATTCGGCTGCCAAAATCTTGTACCAGCTGTCCGGAATACGCGCAGGCCATGAGGTCATCTTCCGTTCCTTTGGAATTCCGTTCCTCATAAAGCTTCTAGGGTACAGGCTTTTCTTTGCGGTAGATTTTTTATACTATAAGCCGAGTCTGCAACGTTCCTATAGTTTATACGCCTATTTTCCTGTCAGCTGCAGCACTTGTATTAATTTTTTAAATTGTTCAGGTATCGATATGGCCCCATCGTTCGCTACGCCATGACTACTTTGCATAATATGATCGTCATGGAGCACTTCCCACAGGCCAAGACGGAAGTGTTTAAGCATGGCGGAGTTAAAGCGATGGTGCCACTGCTGGATATTGAGGATGATAAATTTGTCAGTGTGGTGTGTGATTGCTTGAAACATCTAACTATTGGCAATCAAGAAGCCAAGGTACGGCATCTTTTAAATGTACGTTGAGGCTGAACGCTGCTGCCAATTATTCCGTTCACAGGTAATCATTCTTGCTGAAAGAGGACCGATCCGACTCTTGCGCATCATTGACATCAATTTATACGAAAAACTGATAAATGCGGCGTTATCAGTGTTGAAGGCAATATCCGTCGATGAGCATAACAAGAAAATGATTCTGCAGAATAGTATGTTATGTTTCCTCTAATTACTGGTCTTGAACTATGATGCTGCTTGAAACAGTTGCATGTATGTAACACGTTTTCTTTCTGCAGATGGTGTGGCGATTCTGGTGAACTTGGCTAACCGTTGCCGCGGATGGCAGTCAAGCCGAGTGATGCAGACCTCCATCTTGTACTTGCTTCGTAATCTGTCCGATATGCTGATCAATGACCGTGACTTTCACGAAATGGATATGAGGCCCTCTTGCAGCTGCTGGTGCCATTGCTGGAATATCAGTCGTCTTCTAATCCTGACGCACTGGATCCTTTGGTGCTGTGCTCCGTAGGAATTTTGAGCAATTTGACTTGTAACAGCGAGATAAATAAGGGTGTAGTATGCCAGCTGGATGGAATCGCCCGTTTACTCAACGTTTGTCAGCGTTTTCCAAAGAAGGAAGAAGTAACCGAGCCCGCCATGTGCACACTACGGCACATCACGAATCGCCATGATCAAAGCGCCTATGCTAAAGTCCATGTGCGAGAGAGAGGAGGGCTCCGCCTGATCAACGCCATGCTGAAACAGCCGAACATTCAGTGGACGCTGATTAAGGCCATCGTTACTTTGCTGCAGAATCTGGCGAGTGCTGAATCTAATCGCGATCAAATTCGGGACTTAGGGATCATGAAGCAGGTTGTGGACTACTTCCAGAGTGCTGTCCATATACTCCAAGAGGTATTAGGTCGTGTCTGTGGATGATTGTTTTGATTTTTTTTCGCCTGATTGCTCGGAATGCGGCTATGTGTTGTTTTTGCTATAGCATTTTTTATGAATGATATTCTATGTACAGTATCAGGCCTCGGGACGCAATTTGCCCTTGACGAACGTGGTCGTTCAGAACGTCCGAATGCATGAAATGCTGGAATGTACCATCGGGACACTGAGTCAGATGGCAAAGGATCCTAAGAATCGACTGTACATTCGCAGCCAAGGATTCATTATTCCTACGCTGGTTCAGGTAAACCATTATTCGCAGTTTCGGGACACTGTTGCTGCATGATTTTGGTTGTAGTTGTTGGCGTTTCTGGCCGAGAATGTTATTCGGTTTTCATCAGCTCTGTTGGCGGAGCTCAGTGCTGATCGGGAAGGCGCAGAAGCCATCATCCATCAACCTGGCGCTGTCCAAGCCCTGATTGCAGTGGCGCAGCGCTATCGGCACAATCCGAACAACCCATCTGCCGCAGAAGCAATCGGTATTTCCAGATATATAATCCGGGCGCACCTTATGCTGCACTATAAAATTTCTTTTAAAATTGTCTCTCTCGGTAATCCCCTGTATTTATGGCTAATGTTCGCACGTTGATCTAGCTACTTATGCGGCCAACACGCTGCACCGGATTGGGGAGACTCAGACACCGGAATTTCAAGCGCACCTTCAGAAAGCGCTGTACGAAGTCGTTGGTCAACCCAACAGTATGGGATACTACGGATCGGTACGTTGTTATCCTTATAACATCATAATTTGATCGACTGACTGCACAATTATCTCGTTAATGTGGTTTGGCGTTTTTTGTTTGATACGAGTATCTGTGCGTCTGTGCGCTCTTTCATTCCACTTTCGGCTTTGTCGTTCCATGGCTCCGGTGTGGTTATTGTTTTGCTGTATTGCAGAATGAGAGCGGAGCGGACTACGACTACATGCTCACTGATTCGTACCATCACTACCACTCCAGTGGACCCCCCAGCGTCCATGGTAGTGTCCATGGTAGCGTCCACGGCACAAATTTGTCCGGTAAGAAAACCCCTCTTGTAATGCAGTGACGTTATTACTTGAACGAAATTCTATCCTTTTTACGCAGAGAAAATGTTAAATTAAATGTATCTATTACTGTTAAACTGATGCAATTAAGAGTACTTTTATTGTCATATGCTTCGTCATGTTGACTTCTTTTCGTTGCAGTGTACGACCCGGAAAGCATGTCGGGCATGGATATGGCACCCTACACTCCCAGCGCCCAAGTGTGGGATCAGTACGCAGCCGCCCAACCGCAGCCGCAGTACAGCCTGGCCACGCCGCAGCATAGTATGGAATTCCAGGCACTGCCAACAGATAATGTCAGCTGGAAGGACTCTGATGTGTAAACGGCGCGGCTTTCGAAGCAGATGAACGTCGGCTGGAAGTGATTCTGACGTGCAGCTGCTTGGCTTTGGTGTAACTATTTTGTAATAAGTATTGTCATTTTTTTATGTTTTTTATAAGTGAATCTCATACTTTCGTTTTGGCTGATCAGGTTTGATTGATCATGGTTGCGTACAGATGGCTGCACTTCTTACATTCTTAATTTTTACTGCTCTTATTCGTTTATTGGGGCGTTGGGACCAATTGCCGGCTGTATTTTCTGCCTGTCCTCGCGGTAACCTGCCATGGGTTTATAGAGGTTGTCCTTAATTTGTTGTTATTTTATTAATTGTTGTAATCATACAAATATTTAAATAAACTGCATGTGTGATTTAACCGAAAAGACTGTGTGGCGTGTGATCGCGCACGTGGAATAGGACGAGATATCAACTAGACGTGTGGGCCGTGGGAATTTAAATATTTACCTGTGCCTGCCTAATTTTGATTTGCGATATGGCACAACATTGCTTCACTATGACATAATACAAAAGAAGTGTAATTGTATCTCGGATTCGCATGCAGCATTATTTTCGTTTGTGCTGCTCTTCATTTCAAGTTTGAGGTCATTGTAACGGTGATTCAAATCGCTAATCACTTTCACTTCCGGTACATGCTGTTGGTGGCGACTGTTCGACGGCATACTTGCAAAATCGAAGTGAAATTATTGGAAATGAATTTGTAATCTTAGTTATCTCCGGCAAAGTTATTCTTAACGGAGAGCGGAAATTCGGAGGCTGGGTATTGTATTAATATCACGGTACCATTCATCACCTTGCGCCAAATATTCTTCCGTCTTTAAAAAATTTTCGTAACAGACTTAGCTAATTCCATGTAAAAAGAAGATTATTCTATGCACTTCCATAAGCATTCCCGAATGCTGTGTAGTGTACACATCAGCCAGCATCGCGCATTATCTGCCCATGATATGTGTGGACACTGGACAGTGTGGTCAAAGGAATACATATACCCTGCGTAATACCACAGTCGGTTAAAAGCTAAATACAGTGTCTAAATACAGATAAATACAGAGTCTGCGCAGTGAAAAAGGGTGTTCCCAAGAGATTACTGCATACATTCACTATAAAAAGGTTATGTAATTCAGGATGGATAGCCTACAATAACAGGGGTAATAAATGTAGACGAGATACTCGTACATATATAAAATACAGAAATCAAAAGAGGGTTAGCTAAAGCTAGACATTCACATGGCATGCGTCAGTGCATAAGTACTGAGAGCATATTTTCCAATACCACATCAATTTATTTTTTTGTGTCTCGTGGGGCCATCGTTAACCATAAGACCAACTTCATTTAGCTAGCTATATCGTGACTCTTATACGCATATCGTGGTTCTCTATATTGTGGCTCTTCATTTAGCTGTATCGTGACTCTTTTAAATTCATTGTTTTAGTAAATTCTTTTGAATTTCATAATTTATCGCAATTAAGTCCAGTCATGCGTATAAGTATAAAGTATTTATATAAATATCCTAACAGGTAATACCGTAATGTCGGCTACTATTTGTCAACATAAATCACAGGTCTGACCATGAGCCAACTGTGGTGTTTCCAGCCATTAGCAGACGGTTTTCTACCGGGCGCCATATTACTGAAAAATAATTAGTGACCGCGTTGATTAAAACCACACCGGCGCACTGTATAAGCGGTTCTAGCCGATTTATTCAACGCAGAGTAGGTCAGTTTAGTAATCCTACAACGGCAGGCTAATGTGTTGGTGCTAATTATTGTCAAGGATACTTTTGATTCATGTAGTAAATAATGCCTTTTCGCGTACACAGAGGACATGTGTACTGTCCGTACGACGCACTAACAGAGAAAAACTCGAGCAGAAAACGCTGATGGCGAGCCAGTATGATAAAAAGCTGACCGATTCGTGCATCTCTCTCATGCGGGTGTTCCATTTCTTCTCTCGTTGCTTGCATCTGATCGACCTTTGCGCAACCTCACGTACGTCGGTTGCTGCAAGATCTCACCTGTTCTTCACCATCCGAAGAAGCCGTAAACGCACCAGTCTTGTGGCGGCACTGTTCGACAGTTCTGGGGTGGCTGTTGTTCATTCTCGCTGGTGTGGCTGTAAAACGTTTGCCTGGCGATTCCGTAACAGGCAACTTATACCAAAGGACACCATGCGGTGCGAGAGAATAAGGTCGTACTATAACGGATTCTATGCTACGCTTGTCATATTATGGAATATTCAGTTTTCCGAATCCACATTTTCGCGGCTTGGTAAGCGGCTTTGTACTGTAATGCCGAATTATGCACAAGTATTATAATAATGTCTTGCTTGAAACTAATTTTGAAGTGGTCACTTGTTTTTTATATGAATGATCGCGAGTGATTATGTGGACATTCATATTGCATAGCGCACGACTGACCGCGAGGTCATTTGGAAAACTTAGTATTTTAGCAACAGGGCGTTGTAAATTTATTGTGTACAGTAACAGCTGGGAGAACCGGTAACGTTTTATATGCCACTCGCTACGGGGTTTTGTAAAGTTAAAACCTAAATAGTACAGATAGTGCAACACTAATTCTAACCATAACAACACGTGGCCTTCCGAAAGCGAATTCCGAATTTTGACCGGTTTGGCTTTACAGTTAAATTTTACCATGCACCATAGAAAAAATTGTCATTTATTGACTGTGGCAATCAAATTAACAAAGCATATCTGTTTTTTTGCTAAAATTTTTGGCTAAACTTTTGGCTAAAAAATATATATTCCGCATATGGTTTAATGTATCGACAATCATATTACAGTATAATAGGCTTCCTGCCCTCAGTAATCGATCACAAGTGTTTGAAACTCATGCATATACTATTTGGATTTTTTATTTGATGCGGTGAATTGCTGCGCTTTCATATGCTAAATAAGTGATGCCTACCGCGATGCACCGCCTAATGATAGACACAGTCATAACATCCGAAGTAAATCGATCTTTTGCAGCGAAGATAATTCAATAACCTCAGGCTGAAAGCCGACATCGTTATTATTAAAATTGAGGCTCAGTGCTGTTAGGTGTAGCGTCTCTTGCATAATACAACAAAACACTCTATCAATCACATTGTTCACCGCTGACCAACCGGAAGTGATGCTGTACGACAATGCATAGTGGCACAGCAGGTGGCACAGTTACGGCAAGAGCTGTTATTTTAATCGTACATGAAGTTAAAGTAATACTTGAATAAATTTTACAAAATGTCAAGTGCGACTGACAGAATGTCAAGTTTGCAGTGACCCCATGTGAGACGCCCTTTGGTACCGGCAGATGTGTGGCCGACCGGAAGTGCTGCCAGGATTTCGGTGGAATAATATTCACCAGCGACGGAGTGCAGACACCCAAGAAGGAACTCATACAGTACCGGATAGCCGGTATTAATGCCCCGAAAAGCTTCGTGGCGGCCGACAATGACGACATGGACGATGATAATTCGCCCGGTCACATCTTCCCAAGGGCCAATGTCATCGGGTGCGAAGATACCGAAGTCTGCTGCTATCTGCAGCCGGTTGCGTCATCGGAACGCGAAGCATCAGCGTGCAGTGTGTGTGGTGCCCGCGGAGACGGTGACAATCAGATTGTCACTGGAAATGTAAACGATATTGAAATACCGGTAAGGATCACGTGTCACATTAACAAAGCATTGCGCGACAGGTACTGAACTGTTTTAGTAATTAAAACTTATAATTTTAATAATTAAAATATGTGCAAAAGGTTTCTGTAGTTGGGTGTGATGATCACTATGATTCTGCAAGCAGCAACGCTAAGAGAAATTAAATAATTATGTTCTTAAAATCTGCTTCACCAGTCAGTTTACTTTTTTCTGTTTATGTGTCAGTTGGCTTTTACTTGTACAGTTATCTACGGCTACGGTTTAATTTGCGGCAGTTGCCGAATCAATGCTCAGCAAAGTCGGATAATACGGCATATGTAAATAAAAAAATTATAAATCGGATTTTCTGTTTCTAGTCCAGGCAGGGAGATCTGTTCCAAGTAGCAGAAGGCGGTTCCCAAGTTAATCCCATTCCAACACAACCCACCACGACGACCACGACAACAACCACCACAACCACAACGACAACGACAACCACCGCCAAACCACTGCCGCCACGAAAAGTTATCCCCAGAATTTTCGACTACACCTACGCCTTCGACTACTCGAAAATGGCTCGTATTATTAACGGTCGCAACGCCAACAAGAACGCCAACTGCTGGCAGGTGGCTTTATCCAATGCCAGCGGCGTTTTCGGATCAGGTGTTTTACTGGACCATCACACCATTTTAACCGTCGCCCACAAAGTGGCCAACTTCAAACGCACCCAGTTCATCGCCATCCTGGGTGCTTACGATTTCGCGTCGGATGATCTGTTCACACAGACTTTCTACACGTATCCCTTGGAGATCATTCTCCATCCGCAGTACGATCCAGTCACATACGAGAACGACATCGCTATTCTGAAGATTCCACCGGTCGGTTGCGATAAACCCAATATCTGCACGGTCTGTCTGCCCGACGCACCAGTCGATGCCAATGCGTGCTCAGTGCGGGCGATGCCGAAGAATTTTGTTCAGGATAACAAAAAACCGCTAAAGCAGGCAGCCGAGCAGTTGCTCAAGCATCGGGATGATTATTTGGATGCCAGTGAGAAGCGACAGTTGGAGATGCGCAGTGACCAACCGCAACTGCGCAGCGGACCAATCGGATCGGTTTGCGACAAGCGTTGCACCGTCAGCGGATGGGGCACGACACGCGACCAAGGTAAGTGCCACAGTTTAATTGCGATTGCGAAACAATAACTATACCAGATGCTTATGTTGGAATTGTGTATTACAGAAATTGCCACAGTTCTGCAAGAAACGAAAATGGCTGTGATCAACAACAGAGACTGCGAAGCGCGACTGAAGGCGGTGGGCGTGAGGAACTTCACCGTCAACAGATCGATGTTCTGCGCCAGAGCGAATAATGATGATTCCGGAACTTGTGATGTAGGTCGAATAGCTGACAACGTTGATGAAGGTTTCTGGTTAGTATTTGCTTATGGCGAGACATCGTGTACAGCTATTTATTTTTACGCGATGTCTTACTTACGGAGTATACGAAAACAAACAGTGTCAGACAGTAGTGAGACATTGCCAACTGGTACTCTGGACTTAGTAATCAATTGTAATTCTCGTGGGGACTTCTAGCTTGCATGGATAGTTCCAGAAAGCAGTCTTCGAAATCTTTTTCTGTATGATTTTTAATTTTCGGATTCATTATACTAAGAAAAAAACCCGAAAACTTAAATCATACTAAAAACGTTTTGGAAGCCATCAAATGAATACTTTCATGGTTTCTTTAAGCCAGTAAATGATACCATGACCTTTAGCACCTTATAATATGCAGCGTCAGTCACCGATTTTAACTTTGAACTACTTGCTTTTCGCTTATTAGAGAGACGGAGGAGGTCCTTTGGTGTGCCAAGCGGATGACGGCCGATGGGTGTTGCATGGTTTGACGGCGCTGGGTTTGGACAACTGTCAGTTTGGTACGCAGGCACCCGGCATGTTTGTTGATGTGGGCAAGTACATTGACTGGATAACGAGAGTGGGTTTCGTCAAGCAAACCTCCTCCATGGGCTCACGATCTATACCCGTTAAATTAAACATTAATCTGGGCCCTTCTCAAAAACTCGAACTGCGATCAAACGAACAGAAGAGTCCGACGGGAAACAGCACGGATACGTCACTACATTTGAAGCTGTTTTCTAATAAAGCACCGGAGAACGTACCATTGTTAAAACCGGTCAGCCCTGAACAGTTCAAAAGAATTAATGCTCCTGCTCCTATTCAGAATTCTTTGGACAAGAAGCGGTTTCCTGTTGAAATATAGTCCATTCCGGGGGTAGGGAAATGTCTGAGGGTTTTCTGCCGCTACTTTTATTATGTTCCGTTTCGTATTCAGTCAACCGTGTCGTCGATGTATGTATGGTGTTGTTTCGGTTTAATTGTTATGAATTACATATTTATTCCTCAATGAGGATAAAAATGTCCTGTAATGTGCACTGTATTGTGTAAAAAATTTTGTTCTATAAACCCTGTCGCTGGTCGACAAGTGGCTCCAGACAGATACGAGCCATTACAGTTATACGATATTCAAGTACTCGTAATATAGTTATAGGCCCATACATATTATCGGGTACCTAAAACAACAAAATATCTATAGAATTCCGCGTATATGCACATGCCTAATTTCATGGCTTCTGCCTTCCGGTAAGGTCATATTTTAAGAATACTTGTTAGAAAGCAATTATTAAGATGAGTTGTGTCAGTGTATCATTATCAGGCTGTCAGCCAAAATCACAGAACAGAGTCTCCACAAGTTTGTTCAGTGCAGTTATTATCGAAAAGCACTTAAAAAAGCAAAACTGAGAACTTCATACCGGAGCTATACTCGTATTAATGTGAAACCATGCTAGTTAAACTGCGGGCGTAATCCATGAGAATTCTACCAGTAGATGTCCTTTTATTAAAAGACATGTAGCACACTGGGATCAGTGTGTTCCGGCAAAAACATCACCGCTGCGGCACCCAGAATCGATACTCCTCCAATGATAACAATAGGAAGTCCCGAGAAGGCGTAGCGTGTCTGCATCAGAAATAGTACTTACTTGTTAGTTAACTGGTACTCATAGTAGCCATGCCAAAATAAAAAAAAACTACCGAATATATTAGTTTTAAGTGCCACCTCTTAGAATACTTACAAGCAAGGACAACTGGGAGATAACATTCCTCCAGCCATAAAAAATAAAAATCCAACACCAAATCCACTGTTGCGTATTTGCGTGGGAAAGAGTTCAGCAGCGTATAAAAACATCAAGCAGTAACTGCCGACAAGCGACATCCTGGCTAACAGGGCCAAGATTACTTTCAGCCGACTAGCAGTTATCAGTCCTCCGGAAATGGCTAGAACACCGGCAGCGACAAAGAATGCGGTCATTGGATATCTTTTCCCAGATCTGAATCGCAACAATTGTTTAATAGTATGGAAAATAAACAGTTTAAACTGCCCTAAATGATACGCTCACGAATCGGAGTTCTAAACAATTAGGCATGAGATAATTTTCTAGCATTCTTTTGCATTTATACAGTACTAAATCGTTCTTTTTTCTAGCGCTCAAACTATAAATCTGCGTGTTTTACGCCAACGCGACCTTAAAGCTTGTTTTACCTTAAAGCGACAACCGTAGCTAAAAGGCAAGGAATCAATTCCAGAGCTCCACCAACCAATAAATCTGTATAGATGTTGTCAGAAAAATTGTCGATAAGGAAAGATAATCCAGAGTAACCAAAATTAGTGGCAAACCTGAAAACAGTAAATTAAAGTAAATGGTTAAGCAGTCTAGTCCGTATTGTACAAGCACCATTAAAGCATGCTTAATTATTGGCCAAATTGTCAAGACAGTGCCAATGTGAACCGAAGAATCATACCAGACGAATGAGATAAGAAAGGTAAATTTTCTGATTTTAGGAATTCTAAAGCAATCGGCCACGGTGTATTTGTGGGACGTTTCTTGTTCCCTTAGAGTATTCTGTGCGATAACAGCCAGACCGGAAACATCGTTCTCGGAAACGTCATGACCGTTCAGATATCCAATTTTTCGGATTGTTTCCTCTGCTCTGTTTATCTGACCATTGACGATTAGCCACTGAAGCGATTCGGGAGCAAACCTGCAACAGCACACTCCGCGATCAGGAGAATGCCCAGCGGGATGTTTACCTAAACGCAAATACGTAAATAATGCGGCTATTTACCAGACATTCAATAAGGCGATGCAGGTAAAAGCTGCCAAAAACGCCTGAATCAGATCCCATCGCTGTATGAAGGACGAGCAGACAGCCAGAGTCATAACTCCCAACGGGAAGAAAAATTCACTGGCGGCCGCCACCAGTGTCCGCCGATTCGGTGGACTCCATTCCATAAGCAGCACATATGCGGTGCTAAACATCCCCTTCAAACAAAATGATTTGCATTTATCGTTTAAATTCAAGTTGTCAAATGCATTACCACTCTGCCAACTCCTGCCAAAAATCTCAGTATTGTGAACAGCACGAAGTTACGCACGAACACCAGCGATACATGAATACCAACGAAGACTATACTGGCCACAAGCAGAACTGGACGACGTCCAAAGTGATCGGATATCCATCCTACAAGTGGCCCAGCAACCGCCGATCCTGTTCAATACAATCATATTGTTTTTCTAGTTACATAGTACAAAAGCACCTAATCCGATGCAAACTTTACCAACATAATAAAGCGTTGTAGTAAAATCCGGCAGTGATTTTTTCGAGCACACTAGTTGCATCTATGGAACACAAAAAGTAAAACATTTCTAAATCGAATCGCAATTTAAATATTTTCATAATGAATTTCGTTTACCCATCACGTTTCTATTGCTACAATACGATCAAAATGCGTAATATAATGTATCACGCACATCTCCAATAATAGAAGTTTGCCGGTCTTTGTAAACAAAGGTTAACGTTCCATTGCAGTCGCAGTAGTCCGTGGTCACATTTCGCCCCGGATATCCGATGTGATGTGGTATATCGGGTTTGAAATTCGCACCCGTCGCATTAGCGGCCACAATGTGGCTGCAGTAGATTTCCTGTGGGGGAAGATTGTAAAAGATGGGAATCAGATCCGACATGAGCAGAGGAGTGAACTGCAGACACAGGGCAAAAAACTGTATATAGTGAAAACGGCCGGGATTGCCGATCATGTGCAGTGCATCGTCGGGCGTTTCGAATCGTTTCGACGGTGCTGGCGGAGATGATCGTCCATCGGTGCTGAAACTGGTGGCGGACTGCTCGATAATGGGGGATAATTTACTGTGTAAAAGGGGAGAACGCTCGGTCGGCATTGTGACGACCACTGTTTATGTTGACGATGTCTCGAATACTGTTTAGAAATAAAACGATCATGTCAGTTTTGTATTTCACCGCGCAATTGTCGACGCTAGAGTAGCGTGGATTTTTAATTGGCTCATGGCACTTGAAAATTTAGTCAGATGAAATTTTGGTAAGAACGCTCTTATCAGTTGACCTGCTTGGCCACACTTTGATGTAACTTATCAAAGATTTGACGAGAATGAGAATATCGTAAGACGGCACTCGCATAATATTTCCAAGCACCAAGTGCAAAGTTTACAAAATGTATGATAAAGCGAATAGAATTAAATTCCACTGTCTCAGACATGCCATGATGGGCACGATTGCGTTAATGCCGGTTTATGTAAACCACTGTGAATGCGAATGTCATGATACCGCATATGTAATTTGCAAGTTACCGTACATCCTACCCAACGATTAACAAATGTGCCGGTACCTTAATCGTCCACAGTATTATGATAAAGTGGGATTAATCATTACCAGAAACTAAGTACTTCAGTTTGTCCGTCTTACAGCTTTGTTTCTGCCTCAAAATGTTGACAAAAATTTATTCAGTTGTTTTTATTCTTGCCGACACAATAAGTTAACGTGCAGACCGGTGACAAATGTCGCGTTTTAGTCTCCATAATTGTACCAAATATTTCACTGCGTCATCGGTTACCATTTGTTAATGAAATAAAACAAGCCACTTTAGGCATATTTCTTCATCAGATTTGTATGGAAATCCGCTAATTTTTCCAGCATTTCGTGCAGCAGGTCTACAGGAGGCAAAATAGTTGTTCTGAAAATGAACACATATTAAGCACATCGAAACGCATATAAGCATTCAAGGTTTGGTCTTGTTTTTACCGGAAATGATAAGTTCCTGGCTGTTGGCGAAAGCCGGAACCCGGAACAATAACCACTCCTTTACTGTCCATTAGCTGCATTACGTAATGAAGGTCTGCCGCTCGTCCTTTGGTCTACGAACGTAACAAAGTCGATTAATAATTGAATCGCTGTTCAGTGGGCTGCACGACTCTCTGAAAAAACATCTAGCTCATCTGTTATATGATTTTACCTTTGCTTCTTGGATGAACTTTTCTGGCAAATCCAGCCGAGGAAAGGCGTACATAGCTCCCTGCACAGCATTGCAGTGCATGCCGGGAATATTGTTCAGCAGCTCGGTGGTCATTCGGGCTCTCTGGACCAAGGAAGACCGCGTTGATTCCCGCTCTTTGATAAAGAGATCATACGATGGATCACCTGGTTTCGGCAGGTTAACCATGGCAAATGTGGCTAACTAAAAATGAATAAAGCGATTATTTTATACTGTAGCACAGGCACAAAATGTGGTCTAAAACTTTCAGCGTAAGGTTAAAATTAATATGATTAAGTATCATAGAAATGTCGCTGCTTATTTATTAATATGTTACACTATAAAACCTACTTGACCAGTGGATGGAGATGACCTTATCGATAGCAGCTTTCTGAGTTGATCTAGGACTTCTTGGTCAAAGTTGTGGAATTCCACATAGCCTCCTCTCGCTCCGCATCTGGAAGCGTTCAATTTACTGTCCACTTGATTTGTTAATCGTAAATACATGCAAGAATGTTCTTACTCGTTCATTAAGCCTTTGGACGCCGAGTGAAGAGAAATCAGTTCCATATCACAATAAGGGTGGCCCATGTCTGCTATAGTTTTTTTGAAAGAATGGAATTTCTGAGATGAATCATGGATGTTGTCTTGATAAACCTGGCAAAGAAATATGCTTTAGCTGGAAAAGTAGGAAAGCAGAACATTAAATATTTAACGAACGCTTACTTCGTCAGCCATAATTATCAAATTTTTCTCGGCTGCAAACCGGATAATTTGTTGAATGTTGTCTTTGGTCAGTACTTGTCCTGTCGGGTTCCCAGGATTAATAACGACGAGAATTTTGGGGTCACAGTCGTCACGGTTGTCTTCGAGAAGGGGAAAAAAGATAACAGCGGTTAAATAATTGTAGTAGTCTTTCTAAAACCAGCCTAATACCTGGTTGTAAAATTGTATTAAACCAGGTTTGACATTACAGAAAATATGCAATTACACGCCAGGATAAATTTATCTTTTTTCGCTTGGTGCATACTTATTGCTCTGTTAAGCTCATCTACATTTAACTGCCAGCTGTTTTCTTCATCCAGGTAATAAGGGATCTGGAAAAAATGGCACAATAATTTCAGTGTCATTTTGTCAGCTTTATCTTGTGTCAGCTGCAGCCAAACACTGCCGAAACGTAGCACTTTACCTCTTTCAGTCCTATCTCATCAATGCAGCTTGTGTAATATGCAAATGTCGGAATGGGTACCATTAATCCAATTGGCTTCTTTCCGGCAGATGTGGTGTTTAAAATGTTAAGAATGCACTGTAAATCCAATTTTAATTTTTAGATGACATATAATTAAATTAGTGATGCATCTAAAATGAAACTGATTTGGTAATGACATATTTTGAATTTGTGGTTGTCATGCAGCGTGCTAAAAAATAATACAGGTGCAGTACCTGCAGCAGGACTCTGTAATTTATGCTACATAGCTATTTTATACCACAATTCCATCCCCGGCTCCAGTAAAAAGGAAGATTTCGTTAGCATAAGCCGGTATGCCACCGTCCCGTTCTTGAATAAACTTGGCAATATCTTGACGCACAACCTCTAATCCTTGAGGATTGCTTATGTATGAACCAATAGTTCTGCCATGACAAGCGTCAAGGAATCGCTTGCTCAACGCCTGGACATCGGCCGGATATTGTGTGCTTGCATCAGGATATGCACAACAAGCCAGCAGCTGTCGAAAATGCGAGTATTGAATTTATCAGAGTTTGCACACAACATCTTAAGATCTAAATTTCTATGCATCTTTGCCAATTACACGTATAAGTGATAATTAATGGTAATGCCAATTTGCAGGTTCTTTGCAAATGATTACAGTGTTGAAGAGAAGTCAACGGATACCATTCGTGCTTCTGCAGATACGCTAAAACTTGTATATATAGGATTCTGAATAATAGACAAGGCACTAAAACTATATACTGCCAACCTGCCGGTAAAAGGTCATTGGCTTTTGGCCCATCGCCGGAGCATCCCCCACGTTGCATCGTATAAGCTTATCAAAAGGGAGTTTCTTTCCCTGTATGTGTTAAAAATTCCTGATCATATCACCATAAATAATGACTAAGAGTGTATATATATAATGTGATTGCCGTTTCTAAATGAAACTATTTTAACGCAGTTGTACCAGGACATAATATACAGCAAACATTATTAGCACGTGCATGTTCATACATTTCGTAAATCACTATCCAGCTGGTTTGCGCGATCATTTATCGGTCCGCGAATCGCATAAGCAATAGCCCGGACGCTTGGGTTGACATCATCCAAGGTAAGCAATTTTTTTCCACCCGCTCCATTGCATCCAACATCATGGCCGTTTGCTAGTTTGGCAAATCCATTGGCCTGCATTCTTGGGCTGGGATCTTTATTTCCCGCAAGAATTAATTAAGACCAAAAATCTGGAAAGTCAGTTGTAGCAGCTAGACACAATCCTGATGCGTGCAGCGGGCAGTCATAATTAGTTATGACTTTTGAGTAACGAACTAGCATTTCCGGCGCACTGAATTTTGACGGTGAAGGTTTCTGACGGTTATCTTTGTTTAATTCTTGGTCGGAAAACATTGCTGAATGACGAACACGTGGCGATGTAGCAAACTTATCTGATAAATTATCAGGAGACGAGTCAAGGGTCACGGTCAGAGCGAAACTGAATATTGTAAGCATATTATATATCAGTAGCAGCTATTACATCAGAAGATTGATTTTTACTATTGAATATGTGCATGAATATAATTTATTATGGTTGGTACAGTAAAGCACTGATCAGATTTCATATGCGGAAACAATTACCGGTTATTGCAGCACAGGCTTATTCGATTACTGAATAGTAGAGACATCTTTAATAGAATAGCACTAATTTTTAAATTGTATAATGAATGGTCATTATTATGAACCAGGAGACTTCCTGACGCAAACGTTTTGATCCCCAATTCCTCGTGTGCACAGCATACATTACTGCACAGTATAGTCAAAGTTTTAAAAAGCCGCGATTCTATTCTGTATGTAGAACAAGGTAGTTGTATACAAAAACGATGCAGCCGTGACAAGTGTTATCAATATAATTATATAATTATAAAGAACCGAACAAATAATACGAGATACAACCTACAATAAAAATTGTGTTGGACCTTGGTTACCACCCAAACAACGCTCTTAGCGATGCAGCCGTTTGCGGTTCAGATTTCGATAGATCCACGAACGAACTGGGATATTTCATATAAGCATTGTCGATTTTTGGAAACAACTGCGTGGTTGTTGCTTCACTTGAATTGTCGCTGATCTGAACAATTGGCGATTGGATAATTCGCGTGTGGATTGGTCTTCTTACGAGTACAGACAATGATGGCTTCCCGTTGTATAACAAACTTTGTCCGCGCTGAGTATACCGGGGACTAGCGTCAACCGTGAATTCTGGGCCTCTTGGACCGGGACCAGGAGCTCCAGAAACTTTGTCCCGGTTGTCTGCTGGATTTTTCGACATAACGCATTTAAACCAATGTCACATTTTGACTGTTTACTATATTAAATTTCCATGAATGGGTACGTATAATCAACGAAACTTACTAGTGCTAATATGAACTCGCGAGTAGGCAGTAATTAATAACTGTGTATATCATTGCACATGTATACGTAGTACTGTACATTAGCCTTAATATCTATATTTACCTGGTGAGGAGCCAAGTTTGTCTGGACTAGCGTCCGGACCGCTCTTCACATAATTCTCGGGAACCGGTGCGGATTGGCTACGTTGACCTGGGCGAAGGGTTTCTGATACGTCAGTCCGCGACCTGGATTTCCTACGTAGCGTGGATTTGCCGGCGGTGCAATTTCCCCATGTCGTAAATTTGCTGCTGATGCGCCAAAGGGATTTCGCGCCACTTGCCGTTTGTCTGCAATATGTACACTTTTGCAGACAAAGCGATGGTGACAATTACACTGACACTGCTGGACCAAATAATTTTTGTTGCTTTAATATGTAATTCTGCTGATTTCTCCACCCCAGAACTTTTTGTGTTGCGATATTACCAACAATACTACTTTATAAATTAGTAACTGACTTTTGTACTATGTACTGCACATGTATACTGTATTGCAGTAAGAATTTTGTAAGTTTGTAGGACTGCATAACTACCGCAAAAACAGAATTAACTGAACACCAACATCTCGACAGCATCCAAGAGCGAATCGAATTTGTACTATAAAATGTGCTATAGTATAATTCTTCACTCCGATCCAATAAATTTTTTCAGTTTGTCTGTTTAAAGTCGAACGTTGATTTTCTTACCTCTGCCTGCTAAACCGTGCTCCAAGTTTCCAAAGTTTACGCCGGACTGGCAAAGTTTTGCATTTTTGAAAGCGCATTCGATTGCGTACACAATTATTGTTAATACTAACAAAATACCTGAAACCGAGGCCGTGCAGCTTGCCATCAAAACTTGATTGGTACTGACCTAATGAATTTACATAAAGCCGTAAACGAAATGCAATATAACCGTCTTTCGAGTGGCCGCTTTTACTTATGCTTAGTTAAATATTTAGCAAAATATTATAGAAAGAACGATGGGGATAAGTATGTCCGTACTCCGCAGCAAGCAATAACTTGCAGTTGCAGTATCAAAATGGCACTGGCGACGTTCAACGACATGGTGAAAACATAAAGAAAAATATAGGAACAATGTCATTACCACAAAATAACACCATTCACACATAAATAACCCCCACCGGTACAGATACACAGGATATTCAGTCTAACTGAATGAAAACAGATGCCGCATATTGCTAAATATGTACAAAGACAAAAATTACGCGCCAATTAATTAGTACGTGCAGTTTATGAACATGAACCGAGACCGTGTTATATACGATTTCAGATTTGTACCCGAAAAAGTATTAGTTTCCTTGAAGGTACAGCCATAGGAAGCTTGAGCAAAAATTAATACTTCTATGCATTTAAGAGGTAGATTATCCAGGTAAGTACGACTACGCACATGCAACGAAGCTTCCGCTCCAGATGTTTTGTTTCCGGATGCGGTACGGGTAAGGTGCCAATTACGCAGACGCCTGCAAAATTAATATGCAAGCAGTGAAAGCTACTCAAAGTTTTTACCCACTTCTTGATAGTAAAATGTTCCGGTTCGATGCATGATGTCATGTCTTGTGGATTATCGCAAGTAATCACGAGTCCTGATGACTAGGTAATACTACTCTAATACGTTTACTGCCGAAGGCTTCGGAAAGTGCAAATTTTTGACATGTAATTTTCCGGTGTTTTTACACTTTTACACCAAATTATGGTAGATTATTCCATGACGTAATGACAACACTGCAGAGGAAAGACATCGGAAAAAATTATGCAACATGTACAACTACGAAAATGGGCAGCTTCAGGCGAGCATTTTTCAGTTGTATTCAATAACCATAAAAAACGCGCTGCACAGATTTGCACATGCACTGTTGCTGTGTAAATGTGTTGCAGTTCTGCACCGACAGAAAATCGCACTGAATGACTTAATTGTCGTCAAGTTTTGAGGTTTATTCCGTATTACACGGTATTCAAGCCGGTTCGAAAATTCTAAACGCGGGAACTGCTTGACAAAAAGCTGAAAATAGAATCAAAAATTTATTACAACATAAATAACACTTTCACTCGGTAACAAGTCAATGGCCAAAGCTTCGGGAAGAGTGGTAAAACCAAATCGGGTTACTGGACAAAACGTTCATAGCATAACTCTGACACAGTTTTTTATATGCTTAAGTAGCAGCTTAAAAGATTCATTCAGTTTTGATTTACGAACTACAATGTCGATTGTCCACTTAACAAGTTAAATCATCATAGCTATACAGTCTAAAGTTGTGATTAGTGGTTAAGACTGCTAGAAACCGCCAGTTTCCTTAAATGTTCCATAAAGACTTGTAGATTGACATCTTCTGTCAACACCGAAGTTACACCCTCCTGAAAAAAAATTTTCTTTCAATATTCGCGAGAAAAAAAGTATGAAATTTAGCGGTCTAGAACATGATGATCTGAAGTTCTGAACATCTGAAGCAGTACGAGAGCGCTTTTATGCGTACCTGCGGCTGCTGCCAGCCGAAAGGAGCCATAGTCTGCGCTTGCGAAGGATTGACCTTTGACAGTAAAAACCGCGCCTGAGATCCACCCTGCTCCGTTACGACGTATCGCGGCATTGGGAAACGGTGAGAAAGCACCACTTCGGCATCCTCTACGGGAGCTTTTAACAGGCTAGCAAAATTAGCATATTCCGGCATTTTGTCATAACCTGCGTTTATCCAGTGCATTATTGTCTGAAACGAAAACAATTTATGTTTAAGGAACTCACCACAAGACCATAAGAAGCAAAGGTTACTCTCTTAAATTAAAGAGATAATCCAATTCAGTAACAGCAAACTGTGGTGCCAACAAATGTTATTATGATTACCCGGAAATCCACATTTAATGTTACTGTGGTTTTGATTATACTGCAATAAGCAATCTACATGCAGTACTAACCTCCCCTCGATAAATTACTATATGAAAGAACGTATCCAGCAACAGTATCCTATCTGGCTGCAGGCTAGTGGAATCCAGCATTACAGACTACAAAAATCGATTGATTTATGCACAAACCAGCTCCACAGCAATCAGGCCGTAGAATATTAAGGACGTTCTTACAAGAGGTGGTCCCTGCAATGAATAAGCGTACAGCACTGGTTGGATTATGATATTGGCTGACACCACATCCTGCTTCAGCACGCAATGGCGGTAAAATGCGCTTTCATCCAAACTAGTGTTGGACGTTTGCAGAAGCTGCGATCGGCGAAGATGAAAAATTGTGGTTGGCAAATGCGCGAAATTTTCCGGCAAACCAAAAGTGTTCGGATCGTCCGTAGTGTATTTCCCAAATCTATTGCACTACAGTGACAACACCTTGATTAGAAGTTCAACCTATTGTTCTATACTTCTGTATATGCGTAATTGGATACATCTCGATATCATACGAGTAGGAAATTTTCTTCCCTAAAATTGAAATATTTAGGTATCAGATATTACCGTTCTGACTAAAGTTCGATCGATCCAGCGCCGCACTTCGGTCCCCAATGGTTCGGTCTCCAGGCGGGTAACCGCCATCCTTGACATCAAAACTGCTGCTGCTTCTTGATCGAATCCAGCAGCGATATCGGGACTATTTGGTTCGCACCAGCTACATGTCGGAAAAAACATATATCAATACAGTACTTTTCTTTGGTACAATACATAGTTTGTACTGGCATAATGCTACTTATTGAAGTTACTTCCTGAAAACTATCAATACGTATCGCTTTATTCTAGGGATACAAAAAGTCCATTAATTACCGCCGATTGACTGTTGTGACTCTTATCCGCTTTTGCCCAGTTGCGTGCTGATAGGTCGTCATAAACTGAATAAAAAATTGGTTCTCTTGAGGGTTTACCATAGTTTCCTAAAAATTGGCAAACTGAAATTATTCCAATCAGCATTCTACAAATCCTACAAATTTGGACAAACCTGTCCCGACGTCTCGAACACAAAGCACAGAGTGGTGTTGTTAAGTAAACAGCAGCATCGCCATTCGGAAGTACCACCCGTGCCCATGAAATTATTGTCGGAAACCGATGAAGATCGTACGTTGGCCTGTGGCACAGCCGGCCCTAAACATCCACATATTTTGACGTTTTTCGATGCCTAGAAAAATTTTAGATCATCCTGATAAGCGAAGATCTTTGTAAATTGCGTAAACAAATAACACGAGAATACTTTAACTCCAAAAGTAGAAAAAAGTGTTTTACGAATTGTGACCCAGTACGTCTACCTTGACTTCGACAGAGGCATTGAGCGCAACCGGGAGATCGCCATGCTGGTCAGGATTGAAAAGGACTTGCATGTTTTGCGAAAACAACTGGGAATTAAAATTATCGCCCAGAAACATCTGACCACTGCAAGTTATGTGTAAAATTTAAAGTAAATGTCAGGTTAGATTGTAAAACTCCTTGCTTATACAAAGCACAATACATCGGAAAATCGAGACTTCCTACCCGGTCAAATTACAGCAACTTTTCATTTCGTGAAGTCCGGTTTGATCCAAAGCACAGGAAAATATGTCGATTGTGTGTGAGTTCGATACTGCTCGCTGAGCAAGGGTTTCATAATACTGTCAAAAATAAAAGAGTACGAAATATTATGTAGTACGTATTTAAAATGATGGTCATTAATGGTGTACGATTTTATACTGTACTGTACAGTACTGTCTGTATACTGTCGATAAATAATACACTGCGTGTACAAGTACTTCTCACCTGCGTGGCGCGCACAACAAATGGAGCGTTGCCCATAATGAGATCGTGGTGCGAGCGAATAGGTATTTTAAATTCATCCCCGACCACCATGCCGGGACCTTGCGTGCACGGTCCGCCGACAAACAGTAGAATCCGCGCTCCGGTTCCGGGGAAGGAGTTCTCCACCAGCCCCACCGCCGTGTTCAGCGCCGCTCCCGTGGATCGCAACGGCCGCTTGCCGATCGCTGTCGGCCACGGGTCAGACGTTATGTTTGTGATGATGTCCGCGATGAACTTTTCGCAGATCTCAAGCGGTTGAAGAAATCTATGGATTTTATGTCAGTTAAACATAACGTACGGATGCACATGTAACGCATTCACAGACTTACCGATTGGGGAATTTTTCGTTGGATTGATTTTTGGGAATTTGCTGGAGCGGCTGCAGCACACCGGAGTATCGACCAATTCCAAGCTGATCCTATAAATAATTTCTTAACTGTTTACGCCGGTAAAAATTTTTTCCAAAGGTATTTATGCAAAAATCGCACCTGCAAGACTTTTGCGGAGATATCTTTAGTGCCCTTAAAAATGAAGCTGTGCTTGATGATGTCCATGCTGAGATCGTGTATTGCGACGGTGCGGCCGAACGTAATCAGTCCCACGAGAGTGCTTTTTGGTAGAGACAACAGGGCTTGCACCACTGCGTCCTGCACACGAGCACATTCAAATCTAAAGTGAACTCATGCTTTCAAAAATTATACCTTGAGAGCGAACAGTTCTTCGTTGTCCAAGCAAGTGTCCAGTACGAACAGATAAATGGGCGGCATCACTGGGCGCTGCATAAAGTACAGAGATAACTTACTCGATTAAACTGCTGTGCCTCGTTACCAAACAAAAGTTTGCTTCTAAAACTCTTCGATTAAATCTGCAAAATGAATTTGTGCTTCCACTTACTGATGAAATGTATTCCATGGTAGTAAAATTTCCCATTAATTCGGCTGGCCGTTGCTGTTCGCTTGCTCCTGCATATTGTGGAGGAAACTAAAAATAATTGCAATCTTAATATTATCGTTTATTCACCGAAATGAACATCTGGTGTAAATTTGATTACTGAATAATACTGTGCGCTTACCGTATTTCGGTTAGCGCAGAAACAGCAAATCCATCCTTTGGACCGAAAATCAGCCTGACTGCACACATGGTTTAAGGTTATTATGAAACAATTAAGCAAATCACATGTGTACAAGGACGGTTTGCTAGTCTTACCAGAATGGATTCAACACTGCGCGGCATTTCGCACAATATACGGGTTCATAGCGGAACGGCGGAATGTCGAAACGCGGTTTTATAGGAGTGTGGAACACGCCCAGTGGAAGGATCAGTTTGGCCATGTCCTCCTTGTCAAACGGCCAGCAGTTCCATACAAAACGGACGCCGTCAATGCGTTCTTGATCCCGGACGGAATGCATGAGCGACGATGGCTGAACACTTTCGTGCTGGGACGGTGAATATGCATATTCCGAAGTGACGCTGGATGCAGTTTCAGTTCCTTGAAACATTTTTACAGCACTTGCGCGATGATAATGCTAGGCCTGGGAAAATAAGGCACCGATTGTGAGGAAGGGATATCCTTCCAACCTACATTGTTGGATGGCTTATCGGGTGCGGAATGTGTATCGTGGAATCTCCTAGAGTATATTAATTATATTTCTGAAAGCTTATTGGTTTCATGATTATCTCCTCGCTTGAGTTGTCTGCCAAACGCCGACAATCGATCGATTTTTGCGAAAGGTGAGCGGCTGAGCCACTAGCAGACCCAACAACTTCCACGTCAGAATCTCCAGCGCATCGCACTTTATTACCGAATACGTACAGCGCTAAAAGTTAGTGCAACCGCCAAAGGGGTAGACAACCAGCAGAGACTTAGTAAGGGCTGTACTACCTCGGGTGGATGGTAAAAGCGAAACTGGCAGTGTGCACTTTTGATTTTCGGAGATTTTTTGATTTTTTCCTTTGCATTTTTTTGTCCGAGTTCTTATTCATTCTTTAGAAGGTTCTTCCGAATTTTCACCGTTTGAGCGTATACGTTGAGCATGGTTTTAGGAAAAAACCAGGAATATTATATTTTAAAACGCAGCATCAATAGATAGATTTGCGAATCCGTACTATGCCTTCGCCGCAGATTAACGTGGAGTTCGCGTAAGTGCATTTTGTGAAATTTTGGATTTTGGTCTGGAAGTTGGAACTAAATGCGAACAAAAACTGGGATAACATGTTTGAAGCTTATGTCATTGGAATTTTGTGTGTGTAAATGCGAAGCGTATGGGTAATAACAGGATTTGTTTGCGAAGGTGGTTTAAAATTTATTAGTTGCAGTGGTGGCGTGGAGCTTCTTTTTGATAATGCGAAGAAACTCAAAGTATCCCTGAATTCGACAGACAACTCCGGCAACGCTCTTAGTAAGTGCCAGTCGAAACGCTTTGCATATGTGCAGGATGCGACATACCTGAAATGTTGGATCGTTCTGGGCGTCTGTACCGTACATAGTTGTTGGCATGTTGCATAGAAAAGGCATGTTGCATATCCTTTTCTATGGTTGTTGTATGCAGAAACGTTGGGGGATCTCCTTCAGACCTTGAAGAAATCATACATCAAGCAGCGTCCGGAACTATTCATGCAAGGCGATAGCATGTGAGTTTCCATTAAATTTGCCAGTTGCTTATATTTCTTGTCCGATAGTTTTGACAGATTGGGAGCACAGAATAATATTATAGTTTGTATAGTTACTGTTTAACATAATATTTTATTATGCTTAATATTCATTTAATATTAACATCATGTAAATGGTGTTTTTGCAGACGCCCTGGAATTTTAGTTGTGATTAACGACTGTGATTGGGAATTGATGGTATGTGTTACTGTGCGTCATAATTATTTGTCTACATTCGTAGATAATGTAAGGCTCTATGCTCTTTTGCTAGCTTGCATATTGATTGAGACTTTCTCAAGGTGGTTGACTTTCGCAGCTTTAAAGGTGCCTTAATATCTGGCAAAATTATATAAATACTTATTTTTAATTATTCACGCTCTCGCATTCTGTTTGTACCCAGTTGGCAACTGTAGCTCGCAAGTAAACGTTCGTCAATAGAGAAGAAAAAATTGTTAAAGAAGAAACACTTAGGACAGCCGTTTTCTTTTTTAGGGTGGCTTGAATTATGCTTTGGAAGCCGGTGATAAGGTGGTGTTCATTTCCACCCTTCATGGAGGCTAAATCATCAATGCATTTTACGTGAGTTTACCGAGAGCCGGGAACTGAAAATTATCCTATATCTGTCAGACGGTGGGTCACTGTGATGTGCGTGTGCTCACGTTTAATTGCCACTTGTTGTAGCTTGAAACTCTGTTTAATTCTTTGTTATCTGTAAAACTTTAAAGAGAAGATGTACGGTCTTGTATGCTCTGTACTTTATTCTTTTATCACATGTAGAGAGTTGGTAAATGCATAATATGAGTTGAACTGCTATATTCTTGCTAAAATTTGTGAATTTTGCGGATTTGAGATTGTTGAATCTGCTGAAAATAATCCTGATTGTTGGATTGACATGTGGTCAAACATCCATCGGTAATGGATTTTGCTGTAGCAAATTTGAAATTTCCAGGCTTCTGCACTCTACCGATATTTAGTAAAACAAATTCAACATGCAGGTCACATAGCAAAACTTTTCCAGAACTAAGCACAAGCACTGTCAAAAGCAACAATCGAACCATTTAACTGTGCGTGGGAACATGTTCGTGCGAAGTTCCGGTGCGAAAAAATTATACAGCGGATTTAAATCTGTAACATCGTATCCGGATTAGTTGCACATTAGAATTATAAGCTCAGGCCATTTAGACCAGCTAGAATCTTCATCCATTTGAGCGAATCGTTTTTATATGAAATATTCAACGGTCGTAAAAGCTGTCAAAAATCCCACGGCTGAACCACGATCTCACGGGTTGGAAAAGACGAGAGAAGAAGCTCTGAACTGGAGACACGAAAATCACATATATAATGGAAGGCTTATCCGTTTGGGAATCAGCATTGCCAGTATCGGATTCCGTCGTTGTAGGGAGAGGGTGACGTGGTGTTCGTCGCGACTTACGGGTTGTCGTCGTTGTGTCTGGTTCCGGTTCTTCAGTATCGCTGCTCGGTGCATTTTGCGCATAGGATGTTATGTTCCCCTTCGGGCTTTTCTCTGCAGCCCGAAACCGTGACGTCATTTCAGTTCAATCAAACCTGCTTTACTGCTTTTATTATGAACCATCATTATGCAGACCGGGAAAAAATTGTATCACAGTAACTAAGTATTTAATACAGACAGGTGAAGACGCGTAAAATTGCCCTGACCTTTCAGTGGATCGCCGCTCCATTTCAGTCCGCGCCATGGTAGACCACCGCTGCACTGGTCAATGCCGCTTCGTTTTGGATCACACACGGCGACACCCGCGCAGTCAAAATATTTTTTGGTTTTGGAAAACGTACAAATTGCTACCACTTCATTGTCCGGGCGAAATTTGGCTTTCGGAAAAACCGTGGAGTCGATCACACCTACTCATTAGAAATACAAGCGAAATGGTAAAAGTTTTAGCAATACTATGTAAAGGAAAAAATTTTACCGTCACTTTCTTCCCATTTGAAGTGCCAGACTTTCTTGCTGTAACATTCGCGATGCATAATTTTCATATTCTTGGAGGGATCTATTTCCCAAACGACCGGATCCTCGCTGCACTGGGTCTGACACTCAGTTTGATAGTCCTGGTAATAGGTGCACTGCAAATACAAGTACTCGAATATATGTCAGACATTTTGAATGATCCTCTTTCCTTTATTATGTGGTGCTCCAGAGTTTGACGCACGAGATTGATCGATACAAGCAGGAGCAGAATTTATTCATAAATTATATAACAACGCTGAATATACTTTTAGAGGGTTCGGATAATTAAATTTCCTGCGAGTGTTATTAGTAACTGTGCAGTGAAATAATGTATGATGGGTAAGGATCGGGTGCGTTATCGGGTAAGGATCTAACTGTTGTACCTGGATGGTGTCCTTGTCGATCTGGTCTTTTGTGGGCGGTGCTGGAGGTTCATCTGTTACGGTGTCCGGATCTACCAAATTCGCATCTGGATTTGGGCAGGGCCGGGTACCACCACAGTCGCTGCTGTTTCTTTGCCCCGGTATTAATGGATTGATGTTTTCTTGTAAAAAAACCCAATACGACCAGATAAAAATCATGCTTTTCCATTTACATAAAATAGGTGTGTGTATTCTTCGGAATCAGAACAAAACGATTGTAAAACTCTACAGAATAGTTAATTCTAAACCGTTCATATGTTACTGTCCAGCATGTCTGATGTACATAATAGGATTAAATTAAAATAGTTTTGTTTCGGCCGCACAAATGTAAATGCATAACAAAGACCACTGAGGTATCATTCATAAATCCTTGCATTTTAAATACATACCTCCAAATGCAGCTGGCGCAAAAATCCATAGGCACGACACTGACAATAAATGGAAGGCTCTCATTTTTAAATTAAAGGTAAAGAGCCGTTAGACCTTTCTGGATGAAATAACAAAAGAAATTAGCAGTACAAGCAAGCAACTGTTTGCTTGGCGTCTAAAGAAGAGCGGCGCATCAGCATGCTCTTGAATATATAATTTTAAGGATAGGAATTTAATGTTTACTGCACGTACGCTTTTGAAGCGCAAACCAATGCATTGCTTAGTTCATGTTTTTTTACAGCTTCTGTTTCGTCTATGAATATTGAGTTTTGGCAATCCCGCGTATATTTTTATGCATATTTAGCTCCCGGCCATACCGGTTCGTCACGCGCGTGTGCCGCTGTTTTGGGATAGAAACACAATGCTTAAACCTCGATTATTAGTCATGATCATACAGTATTGCGCATTATCACTGACCGTACTTTTAAACGTACTGAAAGCGTTTAATTTTGATTTTTTACGGTTATTTGGTTTGTACTTGTAGTGAGGCAGTTACAGTCATGAGTCGTGACGCATTTATTTCACATTTTTCGTGCTGCACACTTAGCTTTTCGCAGTTCCGCAACAGACCACAACTACGGCATCCGCAGGAAACAACTTGAGCATGAAGAAACCAAAACGCCGTGCTCGTGAGGAACGTAAGCTTGTAATAAATATGCAGTGATGAACGGCGAGACATACACAGACTGGGTACTCGGTAATTTATAACCTGTGCGCATCACGAGCGATTGCCCAACAGTGATGACAACCGTCAACTTGTCTGGATTTACAGTACTGTTTCAAGCATCAACGGCTTTAACTGCTTAGGGCTTTACGATTTATTCGTCTTCTGCGTAAACCTTGCTAGGTCCGACGCTCGTTTCCGGCAGATTAAAAGTTGTCACTTTAGAAGTGCCCTTATGACTATGCGCGCCATTTTCCTCTTCCATTGGTAGAGAGTGATACGTTTTGTTATTCTTTCCAGTCCACTCATAGCCGACCTCCTCGACGTCTTTGCTGTGATCGCTGAACACTTTATACAGAAAAAATCTGTCTGGAATCCTGCTGGTATCCTCGCCACCTGTTGCGAAATTCTTAAGCTGTACTGGCGTAACAAAATAGATTATAATTATTGAAGTACAGGGAGTAATTGTGGTTGCGATTGCATGCTTACCGGTAACAAGGCTCACGATGGATGCTACAATGATAGTAACCCAAAATCCGATAAAACCATAGTACTGGAAGGACAGTTTGTACATTTTACTGATCCCGCCGCTGAAACTGCAATTAAGAAACGCATACGATTGCATACTGCAATGATGCTTCTTAATTTCAAAAAGTATTCCATTGCCAATCAACTTAGTGTCTTTTTTAAAAACTTAATAAGTTGGCAGAATTTTAAAACGATAAAAGTCGTTCAGTATGTAGCAGTAACAATTTAACCTTAAATTCGTGCTTTAATTTTTAATATGTATCACAAAGAAATTATAAATTAGCAAATAATTACCTGGTACCTTAAAGGCGGCGCTGTAGTAGAGCTCAAAATATTCAGATCGGGTGCTGGCGTTGTGCCCGAATAACTAAACGCTTCCGACAGCAGTGCCGGTGTTGTCGTTGGAAAGGCAGTTGTTAAGTTGCTCAGCAAAGTTGTATTTCTCATCCACATTTCATCGCACTTATCGGCACTTAACGGCAAATGCGGTTCCGGAGCCGTGGTCACTATGGAACCGATTCCAATCCAAAAGGTCATCGCTAATCCCGCGATAATACCTACGGTGGCCCCCTAAAAAGGTCTAGGTACTCAATGCAAAGCTTAGTTAGATTAGTTAAACCGGCATATAAATGGGTACGGCATGTTTTAGGTAGTGTCGTCAAATATTTTTCAAAAGGTGCTTTTTGTCACGTTTCAAGGACAAAACGCTTACCTTTGAATTACAGAATGGCAGCATCATCCCACAGAAGAACAATCCCAGCAAAGGACCGCCGCACATTCCCTCGATACTCATGCAAAACTGAGTTAAACCTTGTCCCACTACTGATGCCAGCAAAGCCATACCGATAGCCAGAAACCCCACAAGAAATGCTAAAAACATTCTAAAATCAGTTTATACTTTGAAAATCTACGAAATACTACATATCTTATTGTGAACGAGAACAAATAGACGTAAACGGGCATGACCTTTAGCGCATTCGAAAGTGTTGGTACCTGGCAGCACTTACATAACCCTTTTGACCACCGCATCACGGCTCTTTCTGCGTTGGCCAACGACGGGCTCAATGGCTTTATGAAGTCTTCCATAAGTACAATCACAATGCTGTTGACTCCAGAGGATACGGTACTATACATAATACAAACACAGCTTCAGTTCATTTGTCTCATGATGAGTCGGTGACGTAAATGTCATACCATAATTGTACGTACGCACTATAAGTTTATACTTCAGTAAAAGAGTGGTTTCCACCGGAATTTATCATTAATACTTGTTATTCACCTTAATGTGGCACTATAAACGACTGCCGTAAAAAGTCCTGGCAATCCTTGCAGATAACCGACAGTGTCCAAGACGTACAGCGCCATGGTCTGGTCTTTCCTTTCAGTTCTCCCGCTTAATCCGGGGTCACATCCCTGATAGTAAGTGTACATGGTTGCCCCGGTGAAAATTAACAACAACCACCAGAAAATCGTTGTGGGACACTGAATGGCAATGACTCTGCAACAAAGCCAAAACAAAGCTTGCTCATTAGGACCCTTAGCGCACCACCACAAACGCCGTATGCAGCTAATAAATGGAGCCATATAAGAGTATGTAGGTACAAATTACTTAGTAGTTAGTACAACTGCAGTACCAGAGAATAATTTACTTTTGGGCAGCATTTTTGGAGCGTACTGAAAGATATCTTTGGACAGTCGCTTGGTTCATCCCGAACGGTAAGATGGTAAAAAATCCACCAATAAGCAACGACCAAAACGACTGGCGTTGAAACGGATCTGGATCAAAGCTGAAAATAATTCACAAATAAAATGTGTTTGTAATTAAATACAGCTTTACGTACGTTATGTAAGTGGCCAACATAAAGCGTTTTCGAATCTCCAAAAATAAGTATTGCGCTAATATGCGGCAATATTATCATGAAAATGGTGTAGGTATTTTGTAGCTGGCTGTTGTTTATGCAAGTGTCACGGCGGAAAAAATATGTGAGCAAACCTAACACTCAGTCTTCCGGTTGCTAAATTCTCTTGATAGATTTTGGTTGGGCCGCCACTGATAACTAATCCATGGATGAATATAGTCATAATTCCACACAACATAACGCTCATTTGAAAAGCGTCTGCAAAATTTTAGCTCCGGTTAGCAACACATAGGTACTTAATACGTGTCTTTGTATCGATACTACTATCGATACTACAGCCCTGCCGGGCCAAGTTGGGGCACTTTTGTAAAATAATTGGCAAATATTTCTGTTCGTTGGTCTATATTTATGTTTAGACTTTTTCCGTGTAACTTTTTATCGCCAATCCAGAAATACTAAAATCCGAGTCTTTTGATTAGCCAGTAGGGTGTCGAGCATTAATTTAGGGGGACAGGTAGTAGTACGTTGTGGGATGCTTACATCAGCCCCTCCAGTAAATTTACCGATCGATATTTTTGTTTGAGCTTTTCTGCAAAGTGTTAAGTGACCAAAAAGGTGCTTGTTACGGGGCAGAACAAATCTTGTGCAGTCAGTAGTTGACTTAGCATTGCAACAAGGGGCATCTCCCATAGACTTGCATGTTAATATTGGCCTACCGAGAAATGTGGTTGCCTAGCACATATATTGAGATGACCTAAAACTAATACTTTCCATGAGTAAGTCATAGGTCCTGTTAGTCAATTTCGGTGTGCCGAGAATTAACTGTCTCAAAGACGGGGAGATGAAAGTGCTAGAAGAGTGGAAGAAAAAGCCAGCGAAGCGGCAGCAGCAAAACGTTATGGTTGCTGTTGAAGTTTGCTGGAGCAGAGTGTCTTCGGCTTGTTACATGGATTAAAAGCCTGAAGATGACGCTTAGCGCTTTGGGAACGAGATTTCATCAAAACCGGCTTACTCCGGCATTTTGCGGCTGCGCGGCGAGCTCGCGAATAAGGTCACCCTTCACTGGGACAGTGCTCGCCGACGCACTGCAAAGGTCATAGAGGCTTGAATGGAATCGACTGTTGTCAGGCACTTTTCACAGAAGAACTGAATGATAAACAATTCTGGTTTATCACCTTTAGATTAAGGCCTCGACAGAATTTTTAATAAAATACTGAATGTGAGGTAAGCTGTCTCTCCATACGGGTTTACCGGTATTTTTAAGCTGGTCTACTTTAGTTTTCACTTCACTGTGGCTTGAAGCACGTTCTAAACATAAAGACCTTTAGCTCAAAAGATGCCTAACACCTTCCGCAACCAATTAAAAATTAAATAAATATTTATTTATTGACGGCAGACATGCAGTAATTTTTTTAAAAAACTGCCCCAACTTGGCCCGGCAGGGCTGTAATATCGATACAACGAGCTGTTGTTTTTGTAACTGTTTTTCTAACACGTGTTTAACTGATGGATTAAAATAAAATCGTATATTTAAAAAAAATTAAAAAAATACTAATATAAGCAAAAATTTACGGTCACTTATCTTGTTTAAAAAAGCGCACACAAATAACTATTTTCATAACATGTAAGTTGTTTATGGTTTAGTAATGTACATAACATGCAGGTCTACCGGAACTCATTATTTAGCGTACCGGTCCACACCACGGCTTTCATTCCTCCGATTGCGGTGTATATAGTGCAGATAAGACCGGTAGTAACAATAGAAGCCCATAATGGAAGTGCGGACACTATAAAATGCGAAACCGGTGTCACTCGGGGAAATTTGAATAAACTTAAAAAACACGAAATTTTAAAAAAGACCGAGTTGTTATGATTATTTATGGAATTTTGGCTGGCCTTTGTACCTTGACTTAAGGCCAATCTGAAACAAGCAACATGCGTTTGATACACTTGACCACAATAAGAGAAATTTAGATGAACTTACGCTGGAGCATAAAGCACAAGTGCCATGTAGAGGAACTGCAAATTAATATGTTGTATTTTGCTATTACATTGATTACGGACGTTTAACAGCCGAATAAAAAACATATATATATGCAACAAGCAATGTCGAGCGCAATCTTTTTTTATGCTTATTGCACGATTACTGCTAAAAAATAAATGAGTAATAATACTTACCATGTTGATCATGAAAATTAGACATGCACATCTTCTTAAGGTCCAGTTAAATCTGTGCTCGAAATACTGCAAAACATCAAAACAAGCGAAATTATTATTGCAGAATATAGAAAACAGTCCTTGTTGCTGTGTTAACAATAAAACCACTCGCCTCGTATACACTTTTCATTTCCAACCTGTAGAAAAATGGAACGAAAAAGATTATCGCAATTGAGGAGCAAATAAACTCTCCGATCATCAGCAGGATGTAACCGATTCCGTAATGATAGACTTCCGAGGGAACGCCTGTTATATATAAGACATGCAGCGGATGTACATATTATCTTCCCGTTAATCGGATGCGGTTGAACATGCACATTTGTAAACGTTTAAACATGTTTCAACTTATCAGTTATCGCTGCATGCACTGATGTAGCAAAAAATCTTTAGCTCACCTAAAATCCCTATCGCGGATAGAAAAGTAGCCGCCAGTGACAAGGCCACGGCGACCACATTCATTTGATGGTTTCCGAAATAAAAATCATCTGCAGTATTGGCTTTGTCACCGGTACAAGAGCTGTACAGCCCAATACCGAGTGATGCTAGGAGAGATGCAGCAAACACAGCATAATCCGCTATGGAAAACCTGGCCGGACTTGTTGCGTCCTCCATGTTTGCTGACATTGCTTACTAAAACAAAATGTGGAGCAGCCGCCGTAGAAACACAGCAGAAGTTAAACTCGCAGTAGTCCGGAGCTCACAAAAATATTTAGACTAAACAGCTAGAAAAGTCCAATCTACACCTGTATCTCCATAATCGCTACCGCATCCAGTTATGCAGTATTTACGGAAACAGCAAAATTTAAGTCGACGGTAACCGGCAAAGGAGTGCACCCTGTTACCAAACGCTCGCTACGCATTTCGATTAGTCCGAGCACTGCCGCATCGCATGCCGTTAAACTAATCTGCATTATCATTTTCATAAAAGCACGACAATCCTATCGCACGAGATAAAACACCGATATTAATTACTAGCTCTTTTGATAATTGTTATACTCGGTACACTTCCTCGTTTTCCCGAAAAAAGGTTATTGAAAGTTGTACGTCTCTAGTTATACGTACGTTATTTTCTGGCAGAAATTGCGAACAATGTAGATACCGAGGGTTTAGTTGGCATTATCTTATCATACGGTTGCTCGGATGGATCACAACAGGATCAAAGAAAAGATTGTTATTTGTTTCTACATTGAGGTGCACACGTTGAAATAATATATCTTTGTACGTCAGCTTTCGCTAATTTAGCTGAAATCAGGTAATTTAATAATCTTCTAGTTAAATGGTTCTGGTTTTTCGGTGTAGGAGCGAAGTCCTGCTACGGTTTGTTACAGGCTTGCAGCAGATCTATCTGGCCGGGTCCATCCACCGACCACCATTAGTCGCTTGTCAGAGTATTTTATTTACTACTGTAGCACTTTGCATCAGATCATACTCGTAAAATTACAAATATAAGGGATCATTTTATATCAGCGTCGACAAGGTTTCCCAGCGGTGTATTACCGCTTTCAAATTGCGAAATAGTAATATATTCCGTGTTGTTGACGGTGGCAACCCTTCGTTCCCTATTAGAGCAGGTAAATATGCTATACAAAAAAAATTTCTCTGGGATAATCTGGGAACCCATGCCGCCTAAAACAAAAACAAGAAAGCAAGAATTAGCATGCACCGTAACAATAGAAGTATACTTGCTTGCATGTAAAACAGTTGTATAATCCCATCCTACACATGCATGTATGATATATGCAGAACTTGCAAAATCTTAAAGAATCTGCGAGACGTGCATTACACAGCTAAGCATCGAACTGCAGTGTGACATGCCTGTTGTGTACCAACCTGTAAGGCAGCTGACTAATGTGGCAATAATTATGGTGGTGAATGCGCCAATGAACCCGTAATATTGATAGCTTATACTGTACAAAACATCTAAACCGGATAATTCAGGAGTACTTGTTGGAGTCCTGTAATAAAACACACCTTTCAAATTGTAGTTATTAAACTATATAATATTATTGATTATGGCATTTGGTTCACGTGTTTCGTCTTTTTGGAACTTTTTCAAAACTTACGCAAGGCATTCAAGTGAGTATTTGGGCGGACTATCCGTATAGTTACAATTGCGTGCAGTTTCAATCGCACCCAAAGCAATCCTTTGGGTCAGATTAGACGTTTGGTTCTGGAATGGCCCGGAAAGATCGAAATTGCACGAGTCGGCATTAACCGGAAAGGTCACCTGCGGTAACTGTGCTACGAAAGCTCCAAGACCAATCCAGAAGCTCAAAGCGATTCCAATAAGTACACCAGTCAATGCGCCCTGCAAATATCAATCGTGTGCCGGGTGTAGCCAATCACAGTCCATTTGATTTACACTGCTTTAATGAACAAACATCGCTAGTACCTAAATGAACGGCGCTACCTTTGTATTGCAAAATCGAAGTAAAGTGCCACATATATAAAGACCCACAATGGGCCCACTGCAGAGTCCGGTTATGGTTAAGCATAGTTGCATTAATCGTTTTCCCATAGCCGAGGCGCCGAAAGCCATACCGATCGCCAAAAATCCGACACAAAATGCTATAGAATGCCGGTACAAAAGATTAGCTCTAGTTTTTTGTTGGTTAGCGCATTGCAATAATCATATTAAAAGAAGAAAAACTTACAGAGAAATTTTGAAATTCGAACCGTTGTTTCGTCTCGAAGTTTGGTTCTACGGCGAAGTACTGGCATGATGAAGTCTTCATTCAGCACCATTACCACGCTATTGACTCCTGATGAAACGGTGCTGAAGTGAGGAATGAAATATGCATCGAAATGCAAAAACGCACAACATAAGCCTTTATATTATTGATTTGCACAAGAAAATATTGTTATGAAAAGCAGTTTAAAATTAATGTATTTAACCTGATATACTTGTAGTCTTGTACCTGTAGGATTATACAGTTTTCTGCTAAATTTGCTACGCATACTGTTAGTAGTATAGATCACTTTCCTATACTGCTATAGTTCCATGCTAACTCAGGTAATTATTTATTTTACCTTAATGTAGCACTGTATACCACAGCTAGAAACAGTCCCGGGAACCCCATAAAACGCGATAACGTATCCTGGACAAATATGGCCATCATCTGATCAGGCCTTTCGATCCTGCCGGCTTTTTGCGGATCGCAGCCTTTGTAGTATGCATACATGACTAAACCCATTATCAGGAGTATCCATTCCCAAATCCACACAACGGGGATATTAATTGCATACATCCTGGATCGTAAAGAAAATTACAGAACGTTTTGTGGTAAAGCAACAATTATTATAAGCGCATACTTCTGCGCCGTTCGTTGTGACTTGACGGAAAGAAATCGTTGCACGAGAGATTGATTCAATATGTAGGGTAATCCACCGGTGAAATAACCTCCAATAACGACAGACCAAAATGTGTGACGAATTGTGGGATCGAAATTATAACTAGTTCAAAGAAGACGAACGTCAGATCATCTACAGAAGTATGTACATTTGTAAAAACACTTGCTTTAAAATTGTTTCTAAACAAAAAGCACCTTATGCCTAATCTTCCTTCATCGTAGTTAGTGCTCCACACTTTGTTGACGCCACCGGCTGATACAATACCGAAGACAAACACCGCAATGTTTCCAACCGCCATTACGCTCATCTGAAATGCATCTGAAGCATTTCCTTCCCATTACCAATTTTATCCCTTCAGTCATGCATGGATGTTTTTAGCTACCTGTCCAGATTACGGCCTTAATTCCACCTAGTGCGGTGTATATTGTGCATATAAGCCCGCTGACTAAAATGGCTGACCAGATTGGTAAACCGGAGACTGCAAAAAATCGTGGCATAAGCTTCTGTAGATGCGGGCTATCATGCGGTAATACTCGTATAATCACAGCTTTGCAGTTGCTTGAGTGCCGACTTGTTGTAAAGTCCTGTTTGCAGAGCTGCAGTTGCATACCTTGACTTAACGATAATCTGAAAAACGAAGAAATGAGAAAAGAAGGGGCAATTACGAGTAAGTAAGCTACAGATGCAGAACAAAACCGTTTCACATATTTTGGTATGTATTATTGGTGTTGCGGCACATTTTATTTACCTCCCACGCAGTAAAGAAAATTATTTTGCTTACGCTGGAGCATAAAGGACAACTGCCATATATGACATCTGCAAACACAAAATTTAATATTTATATGTTTTACTTCACATGTGCACTGTGCAGCATTGTGCAGCACTGTGCAGAGAATAATAACATGCAGTTTAAGTTACATTATATAATTACCATGTTCATAATGAATAAACCACATGCAAGCAAGCGCAAAGAGCGATGAAACCGATGCTCGAAATACTGAAATGCAAAACAAAGAAGTTTTCAAGTCCAGCAGGCGACTGGAAATATACAATCAAGAATAAAAAAGATGGATGCGTATAGGCTGGAATGATATGCACTTGTTGCTAAATTCACTAGTTCTAAGTGATCCAAAAACAAATAAAAGATCGTATCACTAGCGTTACTTACTTCGTACACGCTGGGCAGTTGAAGGTTATAAAAAAAGGGAATTATCACAAACAAACATGTGAGATGCATGAAAAGTTTGTAGATCGTGTTGAATCCATAACTGAATCCAAATGTGTATACCTCACCCGGAATCCCTAGTGTAGTAAAATTAAACAATATACAGATAAATAAACCTAACACAATGAGATAAGTTAAACAAAAATATACTCTGTAGTATTGTTAGTTTTATTAGTAAAAAATAGTGTTGTCAGTTAACAGTTCTGTTGTACACCATGATATAATTATGTGTTATTCATTTGGGGAATCGTCAAACTTACTTTCTTAATATTATTACTCTTAGCACATCTGAATCTTGATATCAAAAAAATATTTTGAAGCCTGCGGCAGGTTAGTGTCACATCTTCTGGTTTAATGCTGGCATACAAAGCGACACTGGGATATATTATTTGTACAAGTATACAAGTACATAATTACGCACTGCGTACAAAATCTTGAGAACAAAGCAGCATTTTTACTGCCCAAATACTAATTTACCTAAAATCCCGATAGCCGACAAATAAGTTGCAGCGGTCGAGAGCGCAACGGCAACGTAGTTAAGCTTTTGATCCCCAAGGTAGAAATCTTTGACAGTCTTTTTCTTTTTTCCCGAGAACGTCATGTATATACCAATTACAAGGGATACCAACAACGATATGACGAAGATCGTGTAATCCGCCCATGTAAATTTATTTTCCAGCTGCATTATGATATAGCGTTTCCAAATAAGTAAAATATTATTATCTGCGCAAAGTTTTGGCTAATTATAACTACCTACGAAACTGTCATGAAAGCACGGTTATACACCTGCATTTGAAACATTTTGTGATTGTTGCAATTAGTCTTAAAATGGGGTCGGCAAACTGGACATACACAAGGTAAACAGTAGTTTTCTTGGCGACAGTTATCTTATCAACTGAAGGCTAATTACTCGTTCATAAAAGATCTTCAGATTTTTTCCCAACAAACTTTCTACCCTAACTGATAATTAAATTAACAGCAGTTCAGCGGTAAAAGGCTCGTACTTCCAAATCACTGTTTAATGCGCCTTATCTAGCTGCGTAGTGTCAGCAGTGGAACACGCACAGAGTGGGTATTCATAAATTCTACTTGGGAAAACTTTATTTCGATTCATAACTGTCACGGCTAAAACCCGACACTACTGCTTTAAATTGCCTAAGTTATATTGCCAAAACATCCGATGCTGTCTTTAGAATCATCAAACGCTTTAACACCTGGCAGAGTGTAATTCTACTTATGTAGATATACTCGTACTTCTATGGATATTGTAGCGATAATACTTGTACACCCGATAAGACCACCCAGTTATGATTCACCGTTCCATCGCGTTATAAATTTGTGTCCACTTTACCGGCTAGTTTCCCTTCTCATGAATTTCTATAATTCAGTCTTATACTCAGCTTGCATCTACTTGATCAACCTTGTCCTAAACTCTTGCTCCTAAACCTTGCTCCGTTTCTTGCATTGCGTTATCATTAAACATGCCTTGAGATACGTACGTTGTTGCGTTTGACCGCTTAGGATGAACTATAGCGTCATCCCAATCGGAGCCACCTGTGTAATTGCGTTACATCAGTAAGAGCGTCCTCGGCCAGCATCGTTGCCGCCCGTGCCACCTTGCATCCTAACAGCGCCCGCTTAATCGTGGTAAAGGCTGATCGCCAACCCACTGGAACAGCAGCCAGATAGGCTGTTGTTACAATATTGTAGTTGCATTAATTGTATTGTTAGTTGGTACAGTTTTTCAACTTTTGCATAAACAACATGCGGATGTACATGTGATCAGATTTTCCGTCCCATGTTGGATCTGAGGGCGAATACATGTTACTTTTTTGATAATCAGCAATTCGGCAATCAGCAATTCGGCAATACCTCTAAATCTAATTATTACGCATTACGGACGCAAGCGAGTTTACTTCATTGAAGTAGCGGTACGAACAAGACGTACGAGATAGTTATACAATAATTATGCAGAAGGCAAATTTAAGAATGATCAACAAACAACAATAACAATAAAATATATACTCTACCAAAATTTATAAGAATTCCTTTAACGGGTCACAGTAAAGAGGAATCTTGAGATCTTGTAGGTAGCTTAAATTGTGGCCGTTTAATGGTTATTGCGCTGACGTATTTTGTGGAAAGCACTGCAAAAAGCGATAACGATTGCTGAATCACTTATGTTTGCTGTCAGAGTTAAAACGATAGAATGTCATTATGTCAGAAAGACTGCAGTTACTGCATTAGTTTTGTAGATATATCTGACCTTTCAGTTTTTCCGCCAAATCTTTTCAAAAGCTCATATATCGCTTGTCGTACGACTATTTGATCCCGCTTTGTTTGATCTATCGGTGGATCATCTTTCATATCCAGTTCTGCGTTTTCAGCTCCTGACAAAACAGCTTCCAGTCCTTTTTGAATTTTTTGCAGTTCTCGATTAGCAGCCGCGAATATCTGGGTCTGTTGGAAATCATTCCAATACTGCCGACATTTTTCAGCGTACGGATCAAATGTACTTGGGATATCAATATTTTCATTTTTAACCGTTTCAAGCTCCTGTTCTTCTACCAAATCTGCAAAGCATAAATTCGTAGCCGGAAAAAGGAAGAGGATGTATGAGCAGGCTACTCCTTAAGAAATCTTGTTGTTCTATTAAAAAATAAACGAACACAAAACATAATGTTTACCGGTAAGGTTAAGTATGTATGATGCACTTATATGAGGCCACAGTAAATATTATATGACTTATACATATCACGCAAGTAATGTGTTGATTCTAGAAAGAAACGTCTTTTACCTTCAGTAATTAAAATTAGTGCTTCTAGACCTACAGATTTTACTGTGCACCTGTCGTATTGTCTGAATCCGACGTGGTGTAGTTTTCAAGATGAACATCCAAACGAACCGGATAATCGTCTTCATAGGCTGCAAATTGTTCCCAGTCTAGCGATAAAGGCAGGTCGTTGTCGCGGATGCTTCTTTTGGTGCGGTTGTCGTCTTTGATGGCAGTGTCGTTCTGGTGAGCTGGCCGATCTTTACTGTCATCGGCGTTAGGGTACAACTTCAGAACAATACGCATGGTGGGCGTGCCGGAAGTGTTCTTAATAAATCCTAATCCCATTCCTTTCGTATTAGATTTAAACAAGCGAAGAATGCGGTCACTATCATTGGCCAAGCTGAATTCAGCAGTAAATGCTAAGACGTTTTGGCCCTGTTGGGAGTTCTCAATCCACGCCACTCCCAGATCGTTTCTGGGTACCCGGAGGCTCTAAACCACAACACCACTGAATACAAGTGAAAGTTCATCAACAGCTGCCAACAGTTAAAGGGTCATTGTTTTCTGGTTAAGAAATTATTATATACTAAAACTGTAGATTTCTTCATTTTACACCATACCAAAGCCGGTTCTATGTTTTTTTGCAGCTTGTTTTATTTTTACGAGCGGCACGTAGTTTTGTTAAGGGAACTGCCCGGTATATTAATAAGGGTATCAAATTCCTGTACATGCACGGGAACAATCGCTTTCGCGCACTTCCAATCAAACTCTTTTCTCCATTGCTTTATTGTGAAGCCGAATGATTTGCAAACATTATTGTACAACCGTTTGTGGGAGTAACAACCGGTTGTGGAGTTATGGGTAAATTTAAATCATAAAAAGTTTAAAAGAAATGCGCATATTATGCTTTGCAGGTGCTGCAGCAGATTATGATTATAATAAAACTGAAAGTACCTCCGCAAAATATGTGGATAGCGTTTGTAGCGGTATTAAATCTATGATAGCAAGGAAAATTTGTTCCGTACCACGGCGTAATTCGTACATACGCTTTTAATACGAACAGGGAGATCACTTACATAGATATGTATCGAGAACGACAACAATCCATATGCAGACGTTATAAACAGGAAGCAGAGCAGAGAGGAATGATACAGCCGGATGCCGTAATCTTTGCATGTGTCCCAAAACGTGGAATGCTCTTGAGTGTTATAGTCCACCTGACCATCCCATGTTGCAGATGTGTGCTCTTCGCAAATTTTAGTCTTGACCGGCGGAATGTCCAGCAGGAGATGATTGCCGTCAGATACTTTATACTTTACTTGAATACTTTCCTCAGCGTCAACAACCATGTCCCTTGGATCGTCTGCCGACATGACTGGGAATTTTCCTGAAAATCAAGCAACCGCTGAAAACAACCTTACGCTGTTTGTCTTCTGCAGGGATCACTATCTACGTTAAAACGCTGCATGCATTTTAATTGACATATACCTAATCAAATACGTTTACTATGTAGACGAAAGGCATATACAGTACTTTTGTGTTTACATATAGGCTTATAGCTAGCGATAAAACGTGGCAGCTACCTTTCCAGACAAAAAAAATATCTGCTGACAAAAAGCCTATAAATGGCAAGTTTACTACAATGCCACAACTAGGATCTCATCATTACGCTCTTGTGGCTACACAAATTTATCAGCACATACGAATTCTACTGAATAGAGCTTAAAACAAATGTCATATGTTTTGACGAATTACAAAAAGATAACGCGGCATTGAAATTTAAATCGCATTGCACGTACAGCAAGTCTGTGAACTACAAAACCGGAATTCGATCGGAAAGGAATTATGGAGATTTGGTTCTGGTGCTGCGTGACAATTGGCATGTGCGCAGTACTCACTTGCAAGCTAGTATTCCATCTCTAATAGGTCAACAATTTGTTGTCCCGGAAACAGCCTGTTCGATCTTCGGCTGATCGCAATTATACACCGGCAAAAACGAGGTTACTCCATTATGCACGCATCATGTTCATGGGCGTTGCGCAATGATTGTCCACGTCGGCCAAATTGCTGAGCGCGCTAATTTTTTGTGTAAAAAAGTACTGCCACTGATAGCAATCGGAATGGGATTTCTGCTACCAACAAATAAAGTTTCTATAGTTCTGCAGAATATTCTATCCGTACTTCGTCTATAACTATCATAATTAGGCGTCGCTTGCATACCACATATCACAGTATGTAGTCCTTTTGTTTTTGTAGACGTTGTTTTTACAGCATGAAAACAGCATCCTGCATGATTATAGAAATGGCTTCAGTAACACGGTAAAACAGTTGCAGCGAATATGTATCTGCTATTGTCACTGCACAGTTTGCTGACTTTCCAGAAATGTTGCAAACTAATTTTAAAGAGCGTTGTTAACCTCTGAACCCTTCATACCTGTACACGCTATTGTTGCGATATGCTGCAACCGGCTTTCCGATAAGATTACGGTTCGGAAATTTGTCTGCACAAATTACAATGTGATACCACGCTTTATGCTTACTTAATGGCAATGTATACCGTGGTACCTACTAAGCCATAACATCGTTGTGTTTGACGCAGCTAAACAATTTTATGGAGCACCGGCGCGCCCAGCAAGACTGAATACTGGAGATGCACCGCAAGGGGTTCGAAAGGCACAAAATTGTCATGTGTTTCGCATTAATATTCTGTTCTTCCTGCTTCCGCCTTGCGCGGTCTCGTGCCCGCGCGTACTGGAGAGGGAGAGCCACCTCCGTACACTAGCAGCTGATGAAATACTTCCACTTATTTTACAAAAGACAATAACTTGAACAAATTAAAGTCAAGGGTAAACGTTATTTTATAATATACAACTTTCAATTTTACAAGCACTTTTGCATGCACTGTGGACTTTAATCGTAAAGTTAATCGAAACTGAGAAGGATCAAAGCGGTAGGACCATAGCACTAATAGAATTATTAAGTGACTGTGTACACTGTATGTAAATTAGCAATATAAGTAAAAATAATAGAAATTAAAGTAGAGTTATGCATAAACGGGTTCTGGTGTTACTGAAAATTCAAAACATTATTATCGTCAACAACCCGGGCGGATAGCAAGCAGACTGCCTGCATCTTGATGACTTGTAACCGCCCCCGTGGCGGCTGCTAAGAATGTAGTCTAGCAGGCAGTTTTGAAATTATTTTGAATTTTTTACTTCGGTTCTGGTAATCTGATTTTCCTTTTTTATCTAATTTGCTTCGTAATTATTGGTTTAGGTTCGTGCGCGTTTATGGACTATGATTATTCGCACAGTTATTGAGCGTAACGTAACCGCGACGAGTAGTTTTTGACACCGTGCACAATAGAGCTGTGGAAGGTGATTACCTTGTATGTATATGCTAGCAGTAGCGGGAGCAGGATTGACATGGCCCAGCCATTATTTGGACTGATCATATCTGGAAGACCCGTAAGTTCTTTAACATTGATTTTTTAATGTAGGTATCGTTTCTGTTATGTAATGATTCTGGCATAATGATGCTGGTAAAGGAAAAAGCGTGACCGTGTATTTACTTTAAATCTGCGCAGTTCGGATTAGTAAGTAATTCAAACAGAGTTCACGCTAATTTCGATGACATGGTCGACAGATTCAAATGCTGGAGCCGGTGGGGAACGATCCCAGCCAAGGCAAATTTATCACCGCCATACCGCAAGCAGAATCAGTTAATCACATCGTTGTCTTCTTGTCTCAGCCAATCCCGGAAGGATTTGGTGCAGGAGGTAGGTTGCTACATGTCGCTCACACTAACTTGTAAGAATAATAGTTGTTGATTGTGTAGTCGTTTTTTCGCTTGCTTTTATACAAATTGAGTTTGATTGACAATAGTAGTGACAATGAAATGAATTTGGTAAGGAGCTGAAATTTGCAATGTTGTATTTTCTTACAGTTTATTTCTCGTGGCCCGATGCCGCTGCAGACGGCGGCGGGCAGCAGTGGATTTTTTTGGGATTTTTATCGAATCAGAAGCCGAGTGCTATTTACAAGATAGTCAAGCCCAAGAAAGACGACAGCACTGCAGGTGAGGTTAAAAGGAGTGCTGTAAACAGCTAACAACATGAACTTATCATAATAGCGCTTTGAGCATAGTGTGCCTGTGTGCTTATCAACAAAACTTTATGAAAGTATCTTGTGACGATACTTTAACATTCATAATCACATTTTTAAAGGTGTTCCTGGACAAACAACCGCTTTGACGCTGTTCGGAGGTGTTCCCTTTTCGAGTGTGGCTCAGCTGGGGATTTCCGTAGAAAGCCTCGCCGGTCTGTCCGCCATGGGTAATCCATCTACCGAAGCTTCCAACCGAAGTTCCAATGAAGAGTTTTGTACAAAAATGTTGGAGAATTTTTGCAATTATGCTGTTTCCTTTTCCGTGTCTAATCCTGCCAATCCCAACGAATCTTATGTTCCGCTGAAGGTTGTTACCAACTGGTACGAAACATTCAAAAGGAAATTCGCTGCCGATCCCAATTTTTGGAAATAGTGATTTCCTGTTTTATGTTCGGCTTTAATGCTTCCGAGTTGTTATGCTTTACGTGTCCGCTCGGATTCACCATGTAACGCGCGAATTTTACTCATTTTTCGATGCCGTGATTGTAACAGAATATGATAATTTTTGTTTTTCAAGTTATTTACCGCCAACGTTTTGTTCGAAATTGTACCAGGCTTGGAAGGAGATGGGGTGCAGAGCCTATCTGTACAGTGTAAAGAGTTGCTGCGGAAAATTGTTATCAAGTACTCGCAACAATAGTCACTATAAAAGAATCTGACTTTTTTACAAAATTACAAGACATTCTTAAATTAAGGTACAGTTGAGCACAATATTACAAATGTACTGTGCTGACCAGTACTGTGCAATTAAAAGCGTGACACCAAATTTGCTCGCACGGGTTTCTCCTCTTCGACTCGGTTGGACGGCAGGCGGAAGTATGTGGTGACCTCATCCTGTGTTGTCAGCTCCAGATTGCCGTCGATAAACAGATAATGCCGTCGTATCCATTCCGTGGGATTGAGAATATTGAACCGGGCATCCCACTCGAAGGTCAATGCGACTACGCTGCCGAACTGCTGTGGAGTATGGAACAAGAAACCGTATTCCTGGCCGGGTTTGAACTCAGTTTCCCTAGAGTGACACCAGTGGAAACGTTAACGTTTATAGTCAACACGAATCTCCGCTATCAAAGTGGATTAAACGAAATAAAAAAGGCAGATCTAAAGAAGAAAATCATGCAGTAGAAGTATTAAATGTTCTTGTAGTGTTGACGAAAAAGACAGTCAAATACGAAAGCTGTGACTTTATTCAGTAAATTTAAGAATGCAGGCTGCGGCGTCTAAACTGTTATGCAATAGGTATATATTCTTACTCAGCAGTTAGCTGGAAACGACTGCTGAATCCTTGCGATCCTTGAAGTGTCAGGTATACATGCCCTTCTTCCTATATATCAGGTTAAAAAGGTATTATTTGCAAGATGTGCAATACATGTAGACAGGCCTGGGATGTTCTCAAAAGTAAAGTACTTCTCTAGAGTCGCTTGCCACGTTCTTTCCTTGTAACTTGAATTTTAAGCGGTAGGCATTGGCTGCAAAAAAAGGTATAATGGATTCGTCCCAGTTTCCGAGATGCCGACAACGCCGGCTGTGTGGGAAACACTACTTTCTGAAGTACACAGTAAGAATATCGAACTCACTGCAGTAGGATGGTCGATCCGTCGTGAAAGTGTAAAATGTTTTTTGCTGGACGTTTTCAGCAAGAGATGAATTCTGATGTTCGCCTAATTTGGAGCATCCTCCGTTCTTACAAGTGAAGCATTTTCCCTGAAGGAACTGTATAAAGAACAAACAACCATTTTGTTAAAGTTATTATTTCTGTGGCACAGGAATATCTGCATACGCAGCTGCAAAACATACTTCTGCATAGCTGCTACAGTGGTAAGCGGTCAGTGGGCACTTGCGACGGTTGATGGTTTCTAAAATAAAATTCTTTTAACATGTACCCGGGCAATGATTAGCTCGAAAAGTGGCTAATTTACAAAGCTAAAATATCAGCAATAGATAGGCAAAAAAGGCACCTGTAAAAACGGCCAATGCTCGATAATGGTTGCACATGACAGCCTGGTACCCGGTCTGAGTAACTGTCGCCGCAGTGTCTGAATATAAAGTGCATATGAAACATCAACAATCAGAATAATTTGTGCTATGTTTTGATGTAACTATTATTAGTAAAATTAATAGTATATAATATTAACTAAAAAGAACGTACATAATTCTTTTTCAATTTCTTAAAAGATTGGACAAAGTATAGCGATGAAAAGAGCCGCAAATATCCTGGCTATACGTATTACGTCGTACCGAAGGAGGAAGTGTTGAATGAGGTTGGTCCACTAATTATCGTGCTAATCAAACTGTAATCAATAAAATAAACAATTTACCTATAATGACAAAATTCAACTCTGAGTGTTTCTGGTGGCAAATAATTTGAATATCACAAGCCTAGGTATTCGTTATTACGTTAAAGGTAAAGATCACCTATGAAACAAACTGTAGTACTATTTGTATTACACGCCTATTTGCAATTGTGTATACTTTGTACTGTCTGAAGCTAACAATTTACGTCTTATTCATGAAATAACTTTGTTTTGTATAAATATTTTAAGAATTATTAACGTACATACCTCTGATCACATCCAGGCTGGTCCGAGCCTCCGTTAACATGAAAGTCTGTAAACCAAAACGAAAGTGCTGCTATAAAACTAAATTGTCTAGAACTTGTTTATGACTAACTTAAATGTCCCATGTTTTGCGTGCTTCCGAAGGCCATTTGTAGAATTGACTGCAAACAAATCGAAACAGTCAGTACTCGGTACTGCATTCAAATAATCCTGCTCGAAAAGGTAATGCATTATTGCACAACACCCACTCCAGCGTCCGTAACGATTGTGTCCACCACTTCGGCATCCGACGGATCCAAACGAACAAAATTAGGCATATTTTGGAAATACATTCCTGCAACAACATCCACCGGTTTTAAGCACACTCTCTGCATAAAACCTAGCGGTTTACTGTGATTGCAATCTGTCTTCAGTTTACTACATTACCGGCTGGATCGATGCCGGTGATCCTGGCGACCTTAGTTCCGTTTTTCCCGACATCTGCCCCGATATAGCCAACGACTTGGGCTCCCAAACTATGCACAGTTAAAAAATTTAAAGCAAATAAAGCGTAAACCTGTTCAGAAACAGCGGGTAGTGTTACAGTATGCATGGTGTTCACAGTGCAATCAGGCATTACGTTTAGCCTGCATGCTAAGAAAGGGTCGTGTCAACGGATTTATAATATTTCAAAAGAAATATTTATATTTATGCAAAAAAAAAGAAGAGAAAAATTTGCAGTGCAAAAGAGTGCGGTAATTACAGTACCTGTGTCCGATCAAGTGAACTCTGGATGGACTGTAGTTGTAATCACTTCGAAGCAGCTTGACAAATTTGGCCACATATGCTCCCAATAAGCGAGCATTTGCGGCAGCCTGCACCAGTGGCGGAGTATTCGCGGTCGCTGAAAATTAACTTTTTATGAATATATATCGCTCTGAATTTATGAATATATCGCTTTTTATGAATATATATTTTATATATCGCTCTATACCTAAGGCACGCTATAGTTCCGGTATTGTTTGTGGTTTCTTTTACCTATAAGCCATAAGGCTAACGAATACAAAAAGTCCCTTGAGTAAGACTTTGGGCTAACAGTTTACTGTAAGGAGTGGGTAACATCTAGATCTGACGATAAAATATTAAATTAAACTTACACCAGTACACGCGAATAACGTTAACATCGGCATCTTCCAGATATGCTGTCTTCACGTCCTGGAGAAAAAAAAACATCAGTTCAGTATTAGGAAATAGATAGATAGCAGCTTGCTTATTAACGTTGTTATTATTTTGACAGATCTTGTATGGTTGGAAATCTTACAGCCCACCAGCTCCAAGCGTAGTTATCCGTGAAACCATGAACAATAATTTTTGTGTCCTTATCAAACTGAAATCCAGATTCGGTTATGCTGGGCTGCCGGTAAGGATCGATGATTGTTGTGGTATCAGGATTACTGCGGGTGTTGAGATGCAGTCGGAATCGGCTCAGGTGGTCACAGTTAGGTAAGGAACTTATTGGCCTACGTAGAGTAGAAAAATTCATCTGTATATCATGCATGGCCGTGGTAGTTTTTTCTTACTTTAAACCGCAGTAAACAACGTGGAATAACATGATTTACCTGTTAATTACATGAAACCATCCGTCGTTGTTGAAACAGCCTAAATCCGCACAACAGACTTCCGGCGCTGCATAACAAATACCAGCTAACATTGACCCTAATAGGGTACCAACCAAAATCGCTTCGCGTTTCATGATGAAGGAGGCTGATGCAACCGATTAGCACTGAACAACAGCTGCTGCAGTTAAAAACGAAGAACTAGAGTTGAATCCTGTGGATGCTAAACCTTTAGCGTAAATTTATATAAATTCTGGCAGATCGCCATAATATTGTCACCCTGCACTGCCATTGTTACTGCGTCTGATAAGGCTGATACGACTTTTACCACACAGTGAGCACCGCTAATACGAATGCTCATCACAATTAATTGGCTACTATACGGAAGCGGTTCAGGTGTGTGTCCATTGTTGTGGTGCACTGTAAATATGGACTGTGACTAAAAGTTCAAAGTGGAAGTAGCATCGACTTATTAATTTTTATCGGCCCATGTACAAGTGCACATACAGACTCTGTATATAATTCGGTTAATTCTCGACTGTTTGTGCAAAGGTCACCGATATCCGGTTCTGCGTCACAGCTCCAGCAAGACACAATTAAATACTAAGATCCCAAATTTTTTATGTTTTTTACGACCTTAGAAAAGTCGTCATATTAAAATTCAACGATAATTTGCTTAAGCTCTTAATTAACCGTGGTCGTTTAACGATAGCGCGTGAATATTTTTTTCCAGATCTGCCTATGCAAAATGCTTCGCGAGGGAAAGTATGGCTCAAGATATCATTAATTCAGACCATGTTTCCGAATTTGTTTATATATTAGGTTTTTAAGTAAATTCTAGCATGGTCTGTGTATGTAGTTATATACACAGACCATGATTCTAGGGTAGCCTTTTGCCGTGAGTAAATCTGTGACGTATTTCCGGTGCGCCGCCAACCGCCCGTTCCGCTGGTAAGTGTGTATTTTGAAGTGTCATGACTACAGTATGAGTCAACTCAGTCAATCGATGAATCGTTTTCGGACTATCATCGCAATGTTGTTCCGCGGCGTAAACCAGTCTAATAAAATTGGTGCGAGCAACTAGCAAGTTTTAATTGTAAAGTTTTCTTTAAAATACTATACTTACTTATTTGATGTGTCTCGCTAAAAAAGTCGTACTTACTACTGACAAACCTTATAGGCTTGTTGCTGCAGAACGTAATATTTTGCGAAGTCATTATAAATTATGGAGAAAGAGCTGTTTATTAGTTTCTGGTAACTTTGTCTTTCGTCGTACTTACTACCGTGATTGTGATACTCCAGGCATTTCGAGTGTGAATTCTTAATTCTTGTGAATGGAAGTAGATGGAGTAAACAACAATTCCCTTCTGAACTCAACGACGGGAGATCCTGACTCGGACAATCTGAACAGTACCTGCTGGCTGTGTCCGGGAATGATCGCTCTAGCTGTCATCTCTGGTTATGTATTGTCCTCAGTGTTTTTCCTCAAGTTTCCCATCCTTTATCGAAAGAAACAACAGGCTTTCCGATGTGTTCATATTAGCCATCGCGGAGGTAACTTGATCACGGTCGTAGCGATACTCGCTTTTTCTGTGTAGCGTGTGAATCTCCGCATGCAGCTTCGAGATCGTATTTGAAGGCGAAATAACTAGGTATTTAATATTAATGATGATATGCAGGGGCGGGAGAGAACCTGGAGAATACGATGACGGCATTTCGCCAGTAGGTGGACTGCGCCTGCCTACCCATGAATCAGCAAAATTACTTATTTGCGTTGTGTTTTTAGTGCATTGTCGACCGGTACCCATATGCTGGAGTTGGGTAAGACCGGATTAACAACGACAGACTTGTTTAATTCAGCTGGATTGGACACTCGTTGTGTTGTAGATTGCCATTTATCCAAGGATGGGCAAGTCGTGGTCGCACACGATGGTTTGCTGCTGCGGCCGTGCGGTCGTTCTGTGCGCATCGCCGAAACAGACTACTGTGATCTGCCGCCGTTAAAAAAAGCGCTGACTTTGGATTTCAAAAAAAGTAAGCCATTCCGGTCGATCTCTGTGAATTTAATTTAATCTGAAACTTCGAAACTCTCTTTAAATTCTTGTGATTAATTAGTATAGTCTTGGGGATTACAAAATTAACATTAGAATTGGTTGTAAGGGATTTATTAATTATTAACGTATTAATGGATTTATTGATATGGTTGAATGCACAACATTATTTTCGCAGTTTTACCCTTAACAAATGATAAGAATATGTTGCGTACGGACGGGTATAATGTCGTGCGTTTCCTGTCGGTGACGTTGGGTGTTGGATACGTAACTGTTGGGTGTTGCCGTCTTATGTATTCTGATTGTCGCTCGCGATTTATCAGCAGCATAATTTATTGGGAGAATCACATAACGTCGCTATAAATCAGTGTACGTTTTCGCCTTTTAGCATGTTTTTCTTTGTGAACAGTATAACTGCTACGTGGTCTGTAGGCTTTATAATTTCTCGTGCATTGTTTTCGGTAGATGTTGGTAAGTAGTTGTACCAGCCTGCAGAATGGCTGGCCATTACCGGTTTAGAAATCTTTGGTTCAGTGTGTCATGTGATTTGTTTGTCGCAATACTGTATTTTACGACTTTTTGCAGAATTCACTTGTATGGCCCAAAATGGCGACAGGAAGATGCCGTTACTACGAGAAGTGTTTCAAGAATTTCCTGACGTGGTAGTAAATGTTGATATTAAAGAAAACAATGACGAACTCATCAGCAAGGTATGGGTTTTTGTGGGTGAGGTTTGCCTGTTTCCTATGAAAAGAAATCTGGCTGTGCACACCACCATCAGATGAGCAGCGGTGATCGATCAAAATAGGACTAGTGATGCTTATGATTAAAAAATTCAATCCGGTCTTCGACTCTAGGCTTTACCTTGTTTGCGTTCTTTTTTATGTGTGCAATACAAAGTCTGTTATATTATTGAGTTTACGCGATGATGTTAAGAAATGTGAACTTGCAGGTATCAGATCTGGTTAAGGAATTCAAGCGGGAGCATTTGACCGTTTGGGGCAATTTCCGCGATCTCATTACGCAGAAATGTTATCATGAAGTGAGTGGATCTTTCTTTTTTAATTTGCTTGTATTCAGTTGCTTTAATATTCTCTCTCGCCAGAATCCGCACATACCTCTCCTGTTTTCCATCAAACGCGTTGTGGCAACTGTAGCTCTGTTCTACACTGGCTTACTGCCATTTCTGCCCATCAAAGAACAGTTCTTTGAAGTGTGCATGCCTTCCATTTTTTTGGAGTAAGTAATCTTGCAGAATGCCCAAATGCATATCTTGCAGGTAGTTTTCGTGAATGTACTCCTACTTATTTGCTTACTGCCCGTTGTCGTCGCGCCAGTTTGAAATACCACTGAAGCTCACTTCACATGCGTAGCGGCGCATCTTTTATTTGTATTAATGTTTATTTTGTGATTTGGTACTTTCAGTCAGGACACGAATTTCGAAATAGCAAAGCGATCGACACGATTCTATGTGTGGTTTATTGACAAGTATGTGATAGTGGATGGTATTCAGATTTCTTTATGCTGATATTCAATGCTGATGCACGATTTTACAGGATTCTAATGCGGAAATCGCTGTTCGACCATTTGAGAAAGCGGGGCATCCAGGTGAGTGCTGCGTAGATTCTGCCGACGAAGCTGTGTTCTGTTTTGGCCACGTGTAAGTGTAAGTTTTCCGTTTAAGGCCGCATTACTGGGGATATTAAAACGTGATCGTGAAATATATGAGTGTAGACCGCGGTTTAAATGGAAATATCCTAACCGGGTGGTAAACTGAAAATAGAGGCGTACGTTTGTTAACTACTGGTATATGTTTGCACTTCACAGACTTTAAGCTTTTTGAAATAATGATATTTTAGTTTATCTTACGTGCGCTACTACAAGTCCGGATGGATGGCAAAAAAATATAAGTGTTTGGTTATTCGGTGCATTTGGCAGATAATTATTATCACAAGGTCATGCGTGTCTAGATGCGCACTCAATGTTAGTTGGTTATTATGAACAGTGCATTTAAACATTTCAGTAAAATGATTTCGCTTGTAGGTGTACATTTGGGTATTGAACACTGAAGACGAATTTCGACGGGCTTTCGCTCTGGGCGCTGACGGTGTCATGACAGACTTTCCAACTCGACTGCGGGAATTCTTGGATGAAAATCCCCATTATATTACTGTGAAAGCCTAGTTAGTCAATGCTACTGTAATTTACTTAATTTATTGACCAAACGGGATGTACAGTATGTAGAAAATTTGCCTCTTTTGATGTTCCTCGGTGAGTGATAAAGTTTTATACTGGCGCTGTGACTTTAGCGGTTCACTGGAACTGCTCGAATTGTCGTAAATAGGAGTAAAAGTTGGCGGTGATGTTTTCTTGTCTGTAAGGAGACGTTGCCTAGCACTGTAGATGAGCGAAAGCAGACTTTCGAGTACACAAAACTATTCCCTATAACGTTTCTTCCATTTTTCACAACGACAGCTTTTTGTGCATCTTCTAACTGTTAGTGCAAGAATTTACAAAGTGACCAAAAACACAAATTATAACAACAATTATGGAAACCGCAACGGAAGATAATCCGAAGTATCACGATCTTGTGAATACTTTAAATGGCGACGTACAAAATTTGCGGACGATAAATCGAGGTAGGACTCCAAAGAAAAGATAACTGACAACTGAATTCACGGTACGAGAACTTATATAATGTAAATTCCTTGCTACGCGCAGTGGTTCACTGCGACCGAAACGAGTAAACCAACCCGAACGAGTAAACAGTACTACTAAACACTTAACGAGTAATGCTACCATTACCATGCTTCTTGTACATAAGGTGCAAGTTTCGAGCGATTTCGCCAGTGTTGTTAGCTAACGAACGAGATATTCAATGTTAGGGCCAAAACTGTCTCGCATCTACAGATGTGATTCTTCAGCTGATAGCTCTCGATCAGAAGGAAAAGTTGCAAAGCCCGGCCGTTCCACCCCTTGTTCCGTCAGCAAATAGACTGGAACTGGACAAACTACGCGAAGACGGACAAAAACTGGAGGAAGAACTGACCACACAGCAGAGCATAATCAGTGACCTTCTATCCCATATCTCCAAAATTCAGACCGATGAAAACAGCATAAGGGATCAGCTGGCGACAGAAAAACTACTGATCGAGCAACTGACCAAACAACGCGATGAACTACGAAGCGTTTTAGAGGAAAAAGGTCTAATTGTTCCCGGGGAAAACGCCGCACTGACGATATCGAAAAGTGCTTCCAGCAAGGGCTCAATATCCAAGCCCAAACATCCCAAACCAAAATCATTTTTCAAATTCCTCTCTAATTCGGAAAAGAGTAAAAAATCTAATGCTTCAGCACAAAACTCAGATTACTCTTTTGGGTCGCGAACCGAAAGATTCTCATAAGCAGACCGGCAATGTGCCTCTGATGACGGAGGGTTAAGTTACTGTAATTTCAGCTTGCATGGTGAGTAGAAAAATGGAAATCTGATCGAAAATAATTTTATAACAGTCATTCTTTTTAAATTTATATTTGAACATTTCATGCCCAGGGGAGATACATTCCCGGTCAGGGACGCCACGCGAGTTGCGTTATCGACAAGCGTCATAAAAACGTTCAATTAACACGTCATTATAAACAACAAAAAACTTTTCACGCGGTCGCATTCAAGGACTCGGAAGACGACGCAATCTGATCAGTTAAATGTAGCTGATTAGCATATAAAACAAAGAATTTGTTAACCACTTCCGGGTGGTAGACATCTAGCAATCGTATGGGATACCTGGGCTCCTGCTTTTTCTCTTTGTAAATTTGGTATCCCATCAATCCCTGCATCTGGTCAGCCAGCCTAAACATCGCATACGGCATCTCTTCGCGAATTACTTCATCGTCTTTCTGCTCAACACGTTCGCTGGCATCAATCCACAACTGATTCTTGATGCCATCCAGATGGTCGATGGCCAGTGTATTCAGCTGGAAAGCATAGAAAAAGTACCGTCGCCCCCGGAAGGCGTACACACACTGAACAGATAAAGGCTGCGGCAGCTCCTTGACATTTTCCTGTCACAAAACGCAAAATTTAAGACACAAATACTAATGCACTCTTTTACAACTAAAGCACTGCAAATAATGCGGTAAGAAAAATCAATCCGTTATCAAAGCACGAATATCGAATTCTGATGAGCGTATATTAACTATCAATCTGAAGCAACACTAGCTTCTTCACCGCAAACCACACTTCTGTGAATAAATAAATAGATAATTTTGAGGAGACCTACTCCATAAAGTCGTTTAGCGTAGGCAGCCAATGTGGCATAGCAGTGTCCCAACGCTTTGGCATGCATCTGAGAATGAGTCCACGCGTCAACTTCAACCAGCGTTGTGTCATTATGCAGAACAAAGATGGTATGTGGCACGCCAAATGGGCAATCATCGGTAAACGCTGCAAATTTAATACAAATTAAACTAATCGCTTGGCTAAAGGGCTTGACTAAATTCTCACAGTAGTGCCACGCATTGATTTGTTACGCTATAAACAAATTATCAGAGTATGGGACATATATTAACCGCAGCTGACTGTGTTTTACAGAAACTTGTATATCCACAGCTTAAAACTGGAAGACGTACGGTGTCTGTTTTCCCAGTCGTACACATTCACTTCATCCAGAGATATGTTGAACTTGAGGGGGAAAATCGAAGGTAGAGCGATGTTGGAGGTTTTACCCACTTCTTCCGTTGTGGCGAATGGGTGCAGTGGTTTTTCCGAAGAGATCAACAAGTCATTATTGCAATCAAAAGCAATGCGATCCTCTCCTGCAACAATCGAATAATGCAAAATCAGTCAGAAGAATCTATACGCTTATGTACCTCGTGCCCATGTAACCTGCGACAGTGCATTCCTTATGACTTGTCGCCGTCGCAGATCGTGCTTTCCACCAAATGACATCTCTGTCAAGCGAAGCATATTGTTCGCTAGCAGTCGGCTGCAATGGAAATAAATCACGTAAGTGTCTCATAAAGCATTTAACTTTCACCAGAATCTGGCTCGACGTCTACGGGTAGTGTAATTGTTACTTAATTCGCATTTCGCAAGTTTCATCCTGATATAAGGCTTTATACTTCAACACATACACGGGACACCAAAATAAATAAATATCAAATCCCTGAACCACCACACTGCAGTGCAACCCGATGCCTCAGCCGAACTGCTCACCGCACAACACACTGGAATAAACTAAATGAATACCTGCACAGAGCGATACGTTTTGCATCTCGTACAAACCTAGCTTGTAAGTTGCTACTCTTAGCAGTAAGTTGATTATGCCTTGCAAACCAACCTGGATCGTTCCAGTGTAATCCCATAATAAATCGGGCGGAAAGGAGTATATACGAGAGCACGCGTAGGCAATCTATCAATACTGGGATCCCACCGCACAGACTGCATCACATATCGCCTCATCCGCTCGTCTTCGTCGGGAAGATGATACGGACGCACCAAGGGTTCCAGCTGCTTCCATACTGACGGCACACCGCGCGTGACCACGGTTTTGGTGATAATCTGCATCTGCTCGATGCCTGCAATACGCATGCACAACGAAGCAAATTCAACATCGTGCTAAACGAATGCACCAAGGAAGCCTTATTAGCTTACTATACTTAAATTCACAAGAGACATCCGAATTAATAGCTCTAAGTCAGTCTCGCTCTAAGAACCTAAACATGAGTCAAAATGCAAATGCAAGTTTTTGCTATAGGGATTGCCTTTTTCGCCGGAAAAATTTACCTTCCAGAAGCTGATTGGACCCATCGTACAGGCGCACAGACTGGTCTTTCCAGCGCGGGTTCCTGGGTGTATTACCAGGCGGCCCGATGAAGATGGGATGGTCGGGCTCCCATTCGCAGTAGTCCTCCACGAACTTCTCGTGCTGCTTCTGTTCTGCAGCGGCGTTTATCAACGGTATACCTTGTTCGACGTAGGCTCGAGGGATTTCAGGTGGTGGCAGTTCTTGTTTCTGACCATAGCGAAACCAGTTACGTTTGAAATGATATCTAGGTCGGACAGACTCCAGCAGAATTCGCGTAAGCTGCGGCATACTGCTTCAGTGCTCATACACAAAATAACAAATTCAAACTAAGACTACTGCGACTTGCATTGCTAGAAACCTCGCAGCTAAAAAACAATAGCAAACCATATAAAAATCAAAAATATTAATTATAATACAAAGCCGAAAGCCCTGAATCTTTCGAAAGCAGACCATTACCAAATACCAACGCATGTTACATGGGTTCGGATGAATGCCACCCGTAGACGGCTAACTGAAAAAGTATGTAGATATTTTTTCCTCTTTTTTCCATTTATTTCTCGCTTCCGAAGATGCTTAGCGCACTAGTCCCTTAGTCCGGTTACGGTACGATAGAGAAAGTACGAGTATGTAGTCGTAGAATCCACTGTACAGTAATATAGTTATTGTGAAATTTTTCTGTGAACTTGACAAAACTTTGTACTGGAGTGTAAAGATAAAAAATATCATTCGAAATTGTAAAGTTGTAAACCCAAACAGGTAAACTGTTATAATTACGTACTATGATTACTTCTTTACGTACAATACTTTAAACCTTTTGCATACACTTCACAAGAAAAAGCTTTATTCAAACAGTCTTATTTTTATTGACTACATAGTTCAAAAAGTATTGTACTTATGGTTGATGACTTATCATCGTCTTGTGCTCCACTGCAGCAGCCACATCATTGGTTATTTTCGTTTCGTTCATCTGCAGACGGTAATTCGGTGTTGTTGTTGTTGGTGTTGACTTGTTACTGCCAAATGGGCCGGAAAGCAGTTACCGGCACCGATTCTCTTCTCTGTGCTACTACCGTACGGTGGTCCGTATCGGTCAACCACTACCCATTGGCCAACATCTTTGGTACACGTGTGTAAACAATGAAGGAATGTTTTCTAATCCTTAATGAATGTTGTTTCTTTCCCTCTTCCATAGTATGATCTGTGCACTCGCTTTGCAGTATTAAATATTCGATCTGAGTACCAGTTATAAGTCCTGCAGATGGCTTCCAATCCAATGAATCCATCCACAACCCAAAAATTACGAAAATCGAAAATGCATCAAATACGTGGTGCGAATGGGTGAGTAGCCAGATACGCCCGGCCATGGGCGGACACTGGGCATATACGGACAATGGGCATATACGGACACTGGGCATATACCAAACACAACACAGCGAGGCCTACGACGGCTGTAGTAAAAATTTGTGTGTCAAAAACCTTTTTATATACAATCATATTATGTATTTCTGCCTTGTTTGCAGATCAGTTAGCGTGCCCGACCGAAAGTTGTTGATTGTTAGGCTAAATTTACAGCTTTCTACATAGCACTAACCTCGTACTGACTACAGTCTGCCGACAGTATAATATCGCGGCGCCAGGACTTACTATCCATAAGATCCTGCAGCTGCACGTGTTTAATTTTTATTTTCTAGTTTTATCTTCGGATTGGGGCATGAACACATTTTGAAATGAATTTTAATGTGGCAAAGTTGGACATGACGTCTCAGACACAGGGAGTAAAGGTTTCTCAGTATTCAGCAAGCTACGCCGTACGCCAAGATGTGCCTACAGCGATGACCTCTCACAGAATCAGAGAAGAAACCGACGCTGCCATTAAATATGATCGCAGTTGGTCGCACCAGTACCTTGTAGCTCGTTCGACAGAAGTTTTACCATCAACTACTGCCAAGTACGTATTCTAAATTTTTGAAAATCTCCTCCGGAATTCGGTGTTTGGATGGCAAACGATAATATGGTTAATGGGATCGTTGTTTTACAGAGTTCCAAAAACTGAATCGGTTTCGATCACATACACCGATCCCCTTCACAACAGTTTTTTGTTAGCCGGAGTTCCGATGCCGAAGGCCGACTCCGTACGTGTTTTGTCAAAGCAAGCATCCGAAAGCGCTTTACTGGACGCCGGTAAAATTGTGTACCGCATAATAGTTCTGGTGGATTTTTGGTTGCGTAATATAATAAACCAAGTTGTATATCATGAAAAATTAATTTATTTTGCCAGCTGTTAATGATGTGCGAAAACTTGCTTGTAAACAATTTTTTATGATGACGACACTGGGCCCTAAATATAAAGGCTACAAAAATGCGAAGAGATTGTGACGCAAATGTTTGTGATACGGACCGCAACCAAAGTACCTTGCCGCAATAGAGCATTTCGGAGCAATTAATACCTCGTTCTCAAAATTAATTAGATATTAGTTGCAGGAAAATTGCTTAAAACCGTGCACAATGCATTTTTAGGCTTGAGAGACAAAAGTGTACAAGAGTTTACAAATTTAGCTCAAAGAAAAGAACGAACTGCATTCTCCAAAGTGCAACTGAATCAACTTGAACAGGAATTTCGGTGTCAAAATTACCTGACTCGGTTGCGACGATACGAAATTGCGACAACGCTCGCCCTTTCTGAGCGACAGGTAAGTAACTAAATTAGTTTACTGTATTGAAGTAAAACGTACTATCTGTACAGTGTACATGGTAATAGTTACTCCAGATTCCAGAGGGCAAAGAAAACATTTTGTCGAATGTGCGAGGGTACAAAAACCTATGTAATTTTCTGTGTAAGTGTATACAGGGCGCAAAGTACAACACGCGATAAATTATTCATACAGTTAACAGCATATACAAGTTATGGTACAGCTGTACAAAATCCTTAATTTTTACTGTACAAAATCCTCAATTTTTATTGTACAAAAAATGTCTTCTATATGCTGATGGTATAGAAGTGTAATCACCGTGGCTTGTATAAACTCTGTGACACGTGAGACCGGCAAGATGCATCCGATTGCAATACATACGCAAAAAGGTTACTGCTATAGAATTCTATTCGTTTTGCAGGTTAAAGTCTGGTTTCAGAATCGCCGAATGAAGTTAAAGCGTACCGTCATATCTGGATCGATATTCCCGTGTCGGGTTAAACAGTAACGGTTTTACATCGGTACAGCTCAGAATTAAACAGGCAGTTGTTATTGCTGACACAGCACTATGTAGTGTGTAGCTGCGTATACCAAAATAGAAGGAAGAATGAACAGAAACAAATAATGAACATTACAGAAGTAATGTTACATTACAAAAGTAACATTAAATCAGTTTTTGTGAATTCTTAAGGCACGGTGCTGGTTGACAAGCAACATTTCATAATAGCAGTGAACGTTAACTTATTTAAATTTCTTCGTTGTAATATGAAGTAAATGGCAACTGCCAAATGTACGTAGGTGGGTTATAATGTTGTTGCAGTTCCAACCTTGTGATTGCGGTCTTGTTCCACGTTTAAAGTTTAAACTGTTTTTTTTATAAGCAACTCTGTACTTCTGTGTATATCATATTGCAAAAATATACAAATATGTTCGTACCATACGTTATCATAATCACAAAACTATCTTTGCCGGTTCATTTAATCATATCGGCAATGAGTTTTTCTATAAAACATTATTTCTTCCAGTTAATCCAGTATTATAAATTACAAAAAAAAATAAAATAAATTACTTACATCCTTGCTACATGGTTACAGTATTGATATGACCGCAGCCGACATTTAGCACTGTATTGCACCTTATTGCTGTATTGCACCTTATGGCTAGGTATACTGTTATTAATTTTAGTTTTGATGTTTTACACTAGACATATGCAAATTCAGAAAGGACTTCTCGGTACTTACTATCAGAAGAAAAAATATAAATTCCAGAAAGTTTAACATTAGTACAGATTGTTATCATGCATTCACTAACGCTCACAACCCACGTACATTAGCGCAATAGAACGATATAATTTGGTGCGCTCTTCCGGAACCTGCATCCTGTAGATTACCGGGATCAGCTCATGACCAGCAATCAGTCATCATTCAAGCGATGGGCAATGTTGTCTGAATCTCAACGTACAGCGGAAAAAAGAAATATTTCTGTGTCATTTCTACATCTTCTTTCATTACGTTTGTGTTAACATTGTGCATATGAAGGCACACGGATTGTACTGCCGGTATTCAAGTATGTATACATCTCACTGTCCGATAGGAATAAAACAGTAGAACCACGGTATAAAAGAGATAAAGAGATAAAATAAAAGAGATTTATCTCTTTTATACCGTGGTAGAACTATAAGACTATTGTACAATCAAGCAGCTGTTCAAGTCCCAACAATTAACCTACCAAACGGAAGATAGCAATTTTGGTTATTTTTCAATTTTGAAATTTTTGAAATTATTTTGAAGTAGTGTCACCGCGCCTGCGCCATTTTTGTTATCTGGCTGATTCTGGTTGCCTATATATTGTCCATTAAAAACACCGGTACCGATTAACCTTAAAATATATGAATTCATCTTCTTACATGTCCTTAACTGTGCACACGTGTTCTATCAGATTAAACTGATAACGAAGAATATGCATACTTCTATATATAGCTTTCACGCCACTGTTTTCTATTTTACTGAAAAGGTCACTCCATGCCGGCCATCATCTCACATTTACAGTTCTATGTGTAGTCCTGAATACGAGTAGGATGAATGATGTGGTATACAAATGCCTGAATGCGCTGTAAGACAGTCACAGAGAACTTGCTACAGTCAAATATTTATGAACTAGCATATTTTGTCTTACATGCGTGCTACAGTTATTTACTTTCAGAACTGTAAATTCTTTCAACAAAAAGTTTGATTCATATATTTCAAAAATGGTAATGGGAGCCACAGTGCAGGGGTATGGTAATGGTAATGAGAGTTAAAGGCTGCGCAGAGCTATATATAAGCCGTAGAAATCGGTATTTACATGATAAAATTTAATTCACATTAACTAGGGGCGCTTTCTGCTGGTTGCAGAGAGTTATTAAAAACTGGTCCTAATTACACGGTATCGTAATTGCTTGATTAACACTTACAACATTTGTTGACATCGTTCCCCACAAATGTAACCTGATCCGTTATCTCGGCATGCGGTACGGCACACGGGAGCGCTTATCGACTGCAAAATCAACTGCTGTCCAACCATTGCGCCGATACGATCAATCTACTTGGTCATGGAGTGTGGATATAGCCGTGTGTAGCTATAGCGGTACATTACGATTATGACGCCGTCCTGCTGTAAAAAGAAATCGACATTTCAACTTGGGAATTTCAATGTAAACGTTTCTTGTTGTCATCAGGACTCCATGTGTAATGCTGGATGAACATACTCAATTTTTCTTTCTTTCTGCCGGCTCAACGTCTTGCGCAGATTATTGTTGCTACCGACCCGTTGAGTGCTGCGTGAAAACCTCCATTTCGTATTGTATTTGTGATTTTGGATTCACCTGACGCTCAGCCAGCGCACAACTACTGATTTTAAACTGACTTGTGAGCATGAACAAAATATTACCACGCAGAGCGAATTTTAGAACTGGCATCGCTTGAGCTTCCGCATACTGTATTGAATCATTATTTCTGGGATGCTGGAAACGATCTGCAACATATTCTTTACAGAAGGTACGCATCTTTGCCTTAATTAATCAGACATTCTGATCGAAAACAGTACTGTTAAGCGTTAAGCTAAAATTTATTAGTATTGATCTTGCTAACGATGACCGCATAAATACGTAACAAAATTTCAATCTGAAGAAGATATTCTGACGGATGTGCTCTTGCCAAGAAAGCAAATTATTTTTTTGCGCGATAAAATTAATATGCATAATCCGAATGACAGTTAGTGTCGACCAGATCGACTGATAATTATAATGATCGATAGTATACACGTGCATAATGTGGTACGAGATAATAATGTGCACTTTTGATTGGGTTAGTGTATAGTGCGCGCAGCAAGGTGGTTATGTGCAGGAAACTAAAAAAATTTAAAAAATTGTGAAATATAAGGAAGTACTTACTGTTAAAGCTGATGACAATGTGACTGCTTGATATCACTGAAATAAACATTTATGTACATAATGTAACTTTTGCGTTGTTTTTGCAGAACATTAGGAGTGCTGAAATATATTGAAGGCCTACGATCATTTTATTCGCACAACGTTCCCTTTCTGACCATCGTCCAGCGAAGAATGGACAACGGTGACATTGCGGCGAAATGTCCGCTCGTGCCCAGTGCCAGTTATCCGGCGACGTATCCGGCGGCAGCCACCGCCGGGCGCCGTGGCTCCGATGCGGCGGCCATTCGCGAGTTTCGGACATCGCGTGCCAACTCCTATTCGCGCTCCCGCTCGCATACCGCCTCAATTGATGAGACGGTTGCCGCGGTGTCCAATTTGGCGGCTTATGAGGAAGACGTGGAAGTGCAGCTTCCGGTGGGCACATCGCCGCGCGAATCTCTGCTGCCGCAGTTGAAAGATAATTACAGGTCTATACTCAAGTATTTGGGCGAGGATCCCGACCGGCATGGACTGATTAATACGCCCGAACGAGCAGCAAAGGCCATGATGTTTTTCACGAAGGGATACGACGAGACCATTCAAGGTTGGCCAATTAAATTTGTATATATCAGCAAACGGGTTGATCAGTTAATTTTAAGTTTATGAGACTGTAGCATTATGCAGTTACTCCATTAATCCAAGCCGCAGAACTTACTTTCCACATTGCGATCTAGCAATGTTACAGTGGCATTGTTATATGTATTAGTAAAATTAATTTCCGGCATGTACGAAAATCTTGCTCACATATTGTTCCATAGCTATGTACAGTAACAAAGCCGTATTAGTACAGAAGTTTGAACTTATACTTGTAATTCTATGACAAATTACAGTAATAATATTTACGTACCTCAGTTGTACGTATGGAAGAAATTACGCGTATCTGTATATTCTTGTGTTTACATTTGTCATGTTTTCCAGGAATTTTGAATGATGCAATTTTTGATGAAAATCACGATCAGATGGTGATAGTAAAGGATATCGAAATGTTTTCCATGTGTGAACACCATTTAGTTCCATTTATTGGGAAAGTATCTGTTGGATATCTGCCGAATTCGCGTGTGCTCGGCCTTAGCAAAATTGCGAGAATCGTGGAAATATACAGTCGACGGTTGCAAGGTAGGCGCTTGTGTCTTTGCGCCTTGCGGTTAATGCTGATGTGTTTCCAGGCTCTTTTATTTGTTGTGATGAGAACACTTATCGTAATGAAATAGTTATGGGTGCTTCCTGTTTTTGAATGCAGTACAGGAACGGCTGACAAAGCAAATTGCCATTGCGATTACGGAAGCTGTCCAACCGGCGGGAGTCGCCATCGTTATAGAAGCGACGTGAGTAAACAAAGTTCACTTTTAAAGTTAAACCTTGAAGTACACTGGCACATTCAATCGATACAATTATCGTGAGGTATACTAACTGCTACTTATAATTTACCACTAACTGCTAAAAATAACTTTGTAGATTTTGAATGAAAAGTGTAATACATATTTCGTGCGGCAATACTTACTTCAGTCCACCTCGGCACTGCATTTTTTCCTCATCATTCGGAATTTTTTGATAAAATCTGAATGGCACCGTTGTTTTTAAAAATAGTATGATGAAATTTGTTTCACTATTGCGGTATGCAAGAATGGCAAACCGAAACTCGAATTTGTAATGTAGAGCAAAAATTACCCTTTGGAAGGAAGAATGTTTTTAGGCTCACGCATATGATTTGAGGTCCATGTAAAATATTAGAAAAACCAATAAAACCGGACTGAAATTGTGCAGCATAACTGATAGGCTTACCGCATGAAATCTGTTAGCGATAACATCTTTGTCGCGTTACCGAAAACTCTACACCTGCTGTTCTTAGTCACCATCAATTCGTTATTTCTATATACATGTGCAAAACTTTAACTTCGTATTTATTTAAATTCGATATTACTCTGTTTTATCGTTCAGTTTTCGAATTTATTGCTGAATACTTGCAGACATATGTGCATGGTAATGCGTGGAGTGCAAAAGTTAAATGCCAAAACGATAACCAGCACCATGCTGGGGGTTTTTCGTGAGGATCCGCGGACACGGGAAGAATTCCTGGCATTGATCCATAGGCCATGAACACCGGAAGTGACGATCCCGATCAATAGAAATCGTTCGTGTGAAGGCCGCGGCCGATGCATTCCTTTCCGCGGCCAAATATATACCCGGCACCTTTATTTATTACCCATATTTTCCATTTTGACTTTGACACGAGCTGAATATCAATAATAACCGGCACAAATCAATATGGATAACAAAACGGTGGCGGCTGGATCGGCACTTTTTCCTGTCTAAACTGACATTTCCTCATTTTCTTTTCCTGGCGTCAGAATTTTCCCTGCGATCAAAGCGTACCTACTGCGAAAATCACTTTGAGATATCCGAAGCTTTAATTCATGAAAACTGGGTGATGCGGTAATTTAAAGTTCGACAAAGACGTTTTAGCAGAAACCGGGTAATTATTTTCTATTTTATTCCTTATCCATGTTGTTGTCCTTTGCAATGTAACAAGTCAGTATTTGATCATGATCGATTTCCTATTAATGTTCGTTTCGATCACAAGAAGTGGCAATTGGAGCGCATTTTCCACCGGTTTGTCATTTCAGTTCATTTTTCCTAGTGTTCGCATGATAAGACTGTGTTTTCGTGTTTTTATTCTCAAAGGTGATGTTTTTACAGTCGGAGTATGTTTTGTAAAGAAAGGATTCTGCGATGGTGTAAAATGTAGTCGTACGACTCCTTCAACGCGAAAACATTTAATGCCGAAACATTTCCACACCCATTAATTTACTTCGTCAGATAGAAGTACAGATCTGATTACACAACCTTATTACGCGCTTGAAACTGCAGTGACAGTACACAGTCGTATAAATTATTCCAAATGAGAACACCATCCGTAATATTTATATACAAGAGTCATCTTCGGCTTCGCCTCAGATGCTCTTGTGGTCTGCATTCAATTCCTTGAAAAATAATCCTTGTTCATTTATTTCTGAAGCCTGGTTTGTGTGTATATTTTTACATTTTGTATGATTAGGCGCTGTTCGTAGCTTCAGTTACCTTGCTTTAATCAGGAAACAGCATTATATAGCTGAGCGGTTCGTTTTATGTGAAACAAAATAGTTAGATAGCACGACTAATAATCGGAGAGCGGTCAGCGGTGCTAAGTTTCTAATAATTCTGCTTCGCTACTTTTTAATAACTGGTACGTGGAAACCAATTTTGATCGAGGACAATAATATCCTTTGTTCAGTAATCAGTAGGTTTGGTCGGTAGATACAGTACTCGTTCTCTAGTAGTGTGATTTTTTGATTTTTTGATAATTTTTTATTCTGGATTCAGTCGGCAGCAAGAAGTATGTAGTGATAACGAGCAACAGAGATTACGTTGTCCTACTCACTGAACATTAGTAACAGCAATAGAGGGTCCTGTAATTTCCGTTTACGCAGCAGCCCTAATTAGTGATACCTAAGCACTGATATATATGGCCTTTGGGTTGGCTCTTTCTCAATTTCGATTGTTTCCGGATAACTGTTCCCAAAAAAATTTTTTGACAGAGATTTTAAGCATCTAATGGCGATTGCATTTACACGGGATGTCGTTCTACCCGGTACTAGGTAGTTAACATTTTTTGTGTATTGGCAATAGCCACCAACAAAATAAAACCAGCCCTCGCGGTCACACTGTTTGTGGTAAGGGGAGGTAAGGCCGGTGGTAAATTGAGGATCTCGGACAATGGCGACCGTTCCCTTTATTTAGACATGGCAGCTTCTGCACAGTTCTGTCCGTTTGACAGCTGGTGCATTAATATTAGCGTTGTGCTGAACACTGATAACGGTTCTGCTCTTTTCTGGTCTACGCCACTAACACTAAGATAATATCCCTTCCCTAAAACTTTAGCTTCCGTTCACTCTACAGGCCTGATCGACGGTCAGTATATTTCCTGTAACTCAGTAGGTCTGGTTAGTGGATAGTGTAACCCTTGTGCGGTTCTGTTCATTCGAAAGCTGAAGAACTTTGTTCTCATATGCCGGTCCGGTCAGTGACTCGTGAGTTTTTCACTGCATAGGAAAACTCACGGTCAGTAAACTTTCGCTTTCTAAGTTTAGAAAGCGAAAGTTTTCGCAAACTTTAGTCTAAAACTTAACTCGCAAATTTTAGTTTTCGCAAACTATGGTTAGACATTGCCTGTTTTCTACCACCGAGTGGACGAAGTGCGATTTCGCTTTCTATACCTAATATGTAAAGGAACTATGCAGGTAAGTAGCAATACGTTCGCAAACTTTCGCTCTCGCACCCTCAAACGCTTTTTTAGTTTCATAGCTTTCATAATTTCACCCTCTAGCCAAAGGATTTGTACTTTATATGAAATTGTTTATGAGATACAAGGAGAATAAAATTTTAAAATGTTTAAAATAAATGCATCAGGTGGCATTCAAAAGTCTTATTATGATTCGATATCTTATCCCAAATTTGCATATAGACGCGTGAGCATACCGTAATATGAGTACTAAGATCGTTTTACACCGAACCCGACAACTTCTTTGGTTTTTAAGTTAATTTTTAAGTGTTTTGTAATGCACACATTGCACAGAGAACAATGTATAAGAACGCGGAAAAGCTAAACAGTTCCAGTGCAAAAGCGCTTTCCCGTTCGCTTTAGAGCATTTTGTTGAAGCGTGACAAAGCTGAAAAATTTTTCGGATTGTATTCGGAAAAATTACAGTTTTTTTTATTACACTACATGCTCTGCATTTGAATGTTAGCTGCTCCACGCAAGTGTTTTATGTAAAATGTCTTTCAAGGTCACCTTGAACTGATGCCTGTACCGGTACCGGCATCCGAGCGACGGTCCAGAGCAGATATTTTTGAAAACAAAATGCATGTGGGACCCTTTTGGGACATGCTGAGTTTAATGGTGAAATCGGTTTTTTAATTTGCTTGGCGGTTTTTTCTAGCCAAGTTCCACGGGGCGGCCGATCATAATATAGATCTATATATATATACTATTTCCTTGATATCACAGCTCCATATCAGAAAAAGCAGGAACATTATCAAACATCCCAAAAATAATGCTCTAAGCAAGACTGCATCTGCAAGAGACACGAAACAACTGCTACATATGAAACGCGTCAACCACACATTCACGGCAACAACACTGCCACAACAGTCTACCCCTTTTAATCCTACCTATCGCACAAGCTTCGACAAAAATCAGCAAAAAGTTCCCAAAAGGAATCTACTCACAAGCACAAAAGTCCTCGGCTGAACTGATTCTACGGGAATGCTAATTGTCATCCTTGGTGGCAGCACTTATACTGATCTTGTCCATCAGGCTGTCCAGACGCTCTTTCAAGGTATTCATTACATCTTTACTTATAAACAGGTGCTCCTCGTCCAAGTCCTACAGCAGAAAAGTAAGATTAAGACCCAGTCATCAGACTGCACTTGGTAGAAGATTCGCTGGTCCGCAGCGTCTTGCAGTCTTGTAGTTGCACACTGTAGTGGCACTGGCAGCACTTGCACTTCGCAGTACGAGCCACAAACCACACCTGGATAATAAAACGACTTCCAAGTTCTTTCTTCTCATCCAAGAAGAGCAGGAACTGCTTCATGGCTGGATCGCTAAAAATTTAAAATAAAGATAATAAAGCAAGATTCCATAAAAATTCACTTTCTGATTCTGTACTCGGTATTGAGTGCACTGCCAAAAAAATTTAGGGACTCGGCTTACCATTTGACAAGGATACCTTTCGATACATTCACCATTTCCACAAGGTTTTGCAGCAATCGGGAAAAAACAAGCAGATATCGACGTAGCTGAAGGTATCCTACGTTCTACGAGTACTGACCGAACATAAGGCCAAGGATTACTACTGACAGGCCGTGACAGCCAAGAAGCACAACAGTGACAAAAAAATACAAAACAAAAGAGAAATCAAACTTGTGTGAGTGTGATATAGATATGCAAGTTTGCAAGTTTAGTAAAGACGGTAAAGACGGTATGAACATGCCACCATTTGAGATTCAAACGACCACACCAGTCCGGGGGCACACTTAGCAGTTGACTAATGGCGCAACAACCACCGGGTGCCACAAGAATGTATCCCGTCGGGAAAAGCAGCAATAGTTAACAAAATTAAAAAGTATTTTTATGGCACTAAATTAGACAAGAAATTAAAGAATAATTCAATGAATGAGTTCTGATCCGGAGTTAAAAGAGCAAAATATTACAAATCTAATAAATGGGTACGCATCGTTACCAATGTTACACGCTTGCGCTTTATGGACAGGAAGTTGGAAGTATTTTATTTTTATGCAAGCAACCCAAATTAAATACAAAAATCCACACCTTTCATTCTAAACAGTTGGGATTATTTGTTGCACCTCTCAATTACGGTCGAGATTCGACGGCATCTTTGGCTGACGTTCTCAAAATTGTATAATTTGTATTCTGCATTATTAATGCAATATTGTTCTTGTGATCAGCAAACTGATCCAACTAAACCACAAACGCAATGAGCTGTAAGTGTAACTACATACAATATGCTTCGCATGATCTCAGGTTACAAATTACAGGTTACGCCGTTACGGGATCTACGGGTTGACAGTTAAATTATCAGATTTTCGTTTTGTTAATGGGTTAGTTTTAAATATTCCTGGAAGTAAACCGACTGCAGGTGCAAAAATATTTATTCTTTTCACGGGTTTCGTCTGATTGATGGTTCAGCTCTGCTTCATGGTTGCACATATCCAGTTAAACGAAACGAGCCAAAATTCTATTTTAATATAGGTGGACGATGCAAGATTGGACCAAAAATTGGTCCGAAAAAACCTTCCTGCCGTCAAAATCACAAATCAGCGTGCAGTACACCGTCTGCTACTCCGCGGAAAGTGCCACCACGACCTTTTGTTCATCATGCACGCCAAACAGTCCAGAACGACCCATCTGCAGTTTGCGCTGGTGCAGTGGGGTGATTATATGAGTTAATTTGGTTTACAATTAGCGTTGCTGTTCTCTTCATACGCCAGGTGCTCAGATTAAATATTTGAAGTACAAGAAGCCTCAACTGTCTAAGATATCATCGTCATACAAACGAAAAGCGTCCAAGAATAAATGTTGTTGAACATTGACTCGATAATCGTACAAATGATAAACTGCGCATGTACTTGATTTACAGTGTGTAAGGCCATTTCAGGTCAAAAAGTTATGAGGATGATTACGCCAAACATTTGGAAAAACAGATACGTTACCTGAAGCTGGAGAACGATTATCGGTACATACATAAAATAAGTGTTTTGGAGCTTTCTTCAGATGCATGGTATATGTATCACATAGCATATCTGCAGCCTGTAGATATTTACATTATTCATGTTGAAACGAAAGGAAATTAATTATACGTACTACGTAACAACGACAGCAATCAAAGCAGTAGGACAATTTAATTCACGCTAGCCGAAATTCAGACAAAGCGGGAATTTGTGGATCCGGCTCCTTCAAAGCTCCAGAGGATGAACTGAACGATAAACTAAAGGTCACGCTGCTATACGAATTTAAATTCGACATGTTGCGATGTGGCACATTTGTGAAATATTAACATTAATTACTTATGTTTGCGCAATCAGTTTACAAAAAGTACTGTCTTGCCAATTAGACAACCAATAAAGAAATACTGGAGCTGAAAGAAGAATTAAGTCAAAAGCAGAATGGTCTGAAAGTTGTGGCAGCGCACCGCGATGAGCTGCAGGAGAAGCTGAACAGTATCAATGGTACAATTATGAAAGTGCTAATCTGGATCTTTCTGCGGATTAAATGCATTCTGTAATGAAAAATTTAGAACCACAGTGCGCTTTCTTTTTTAGATCAGTTTACGTGCCAAAAAGCTGAACTACTGGAAAATATGCTCCATGTTAAACGCGATGTCGACCGTTTGCGATTGGAACGGAAAAAACTGGACTTCGAAGCCGAAATGAAGCGGAGTGAGATTGCGCGCTACAAAGAAGACATTGTATCCTTTAAAAGCAAGACTGAGCTGATGGAAGAGGAGATAATAGCCTTAAAGGAAAAATACGCTCAACTCAACCACTACACCAGTGAAAAAGAGGAAGAACTTGTAAAAGTCAACAAAGAACTTTTCTCGGCCAGAGAACAGCTGGAGAAATCTGATTTCTGCATGGCTTTACAAGCCAACATGGAGTTAAAGGTGGATTTGACTTGTCAGCTAAGTCCCAGGATTTAAATTCTTAAATGCTTTTTTGTGCAGAATCAGTTAGCCGACGCACTGGCAGACACTGCTCAGATGAAAGTGCGAGTGGAACAAGAGGAAGCTGCTAAGCAAAAGGTGATATTTATGGAGTCCAGTAATTTATGTATCTACCTTAATTTAATAAAAGGTAATAACAGTTAATCAAATGACTTAATGTTATTGATTATGCAGTATATGTCTAGTTTTCCTCTAGACGAAGAAAAGAGTAATTCATTTAAATTTGTAGCTAAGTGAGCAACTAAACACCGTCTTGGCCGAAACTGCGGATTTTGTGGCAAAAACCAGCCAACTGGAGGCACAAGTGACACAGATACAACAGCGCCGAACAACACTCGATAAGGTCGGAGCGGACATGGTCGACGAGTTATCCCGTCGGCAGAACAGGGAAAAAGATGCTATGACAAAGCTGGAAAGTAATGAGAAATTGTTATTGGAAAAGGAAGCGGCTGTGTCTAAACTTCAGGCGGAAGTATGTCACCCAGGCCAGGAGAGAAAAAAACTATTGGAGAATTTTTTATTACAACTCTCTCTAATGTGCAGTGTGCACCATATTTTAATTATAGCAAATTTTGTATCGGTTAAAGTGAACGTTTGCGATTGCTGCAGCTCGACGCCATGGAACAACTGACTCGAGAAATGCAAAATACTTGTGATGCGCATGCAGAAGATAACCGAAACATTTTAGAATTTACTAAACTTTTGGAAGATGAAATGCAAGAAGTGGAAAAGCAGAAAGCGGCCGCCGAAAAGGATTATGAAGTCTCCCGGAAAAAGGTCACGCAAAAGCTGCATGCCCATAAAAATAACAAGCCGTTCCTGAAAACCTTTATATTCTTTAAAATCGATGTTGCTGTGTGCACCGCATTTTACTGCAACATTTTTGAGATAATATTATGCAGTAGAATGTATATTTCTAAACACTTTCGTGTCGTACGCGCCCTAACATATTCGTGCAGTGGTCAGTCATGAGAATGCAGTTTTCTTTATTATAGATCCAGGAAAAGGACGAACTGATAGCTCAGCTACGCAACCACACAGTTGAACTTGAACGAAAACTAGAAGAATTGGAAGCGGAAAAATTTAAATACAAACAGGAGCAAGTTGCCAAATGGAACCAAATGATGCAGCTGACTAGTCAGATCCAGCACGTGTCGCAGGATGTTGTTGATGACATTCGCGGTTGTTCTCTGTAGAGCGACTCAAAATCCAAGTAATCTTATATATACCATCATGGTGAAGTTACTACACATTTTTCCCGAATGCAGTTTCGAATGGATCCTTACCATAGTTACATCACTGTGAACAGAAACCTCAGAAAGCGCCGTCTTTTGTTCGGTAATCGGTGTATAAATAACTAAAAAGCTTAATGGGCCACAGTTCATATTAATATTACTGATTTAATGTATGAGCGACAGCTTTATATACTGCATATCTGTAGTTCAGACAGTAACCTGCACCTATCGACGCTCTGGCAGGCTCAGCATCCGGCAATCAAACCAGATCTTCATAGAAAAAATCTAACATAATCGGTTTCATGCCGCCTGGACAAAGTTAAATACACTACCACGATGCAAATAATATTATTATCTTTACCACTTAAACTTACAAACATAAAAAAGTTAATACGAAGACTGGCTGTTTTAATCACATGCTTCATTTAATCATTTAAAGAATTTGTGTCTTTAGGAACATAAGTCATGGTAATTAAAAGCCATGCATCAATATCACCTCTGTACGAAGTCAGTCTGGATTTTAGCCGACTGTGGGCAGGAAGCTGAAATCGTAATTAATCTATACATTTTCTGTCATCATGCAAAAATGCAAAGGCGATGAATTTAAGTAAGTAACAATCTTTAAAAATCAACAAAATACAAATGTATGTACATAGTCATCAAACTCGAGTATGGGCTGTGTCATGGTCAGCTGAGTCGAGATGCAGGTTCTTCAGTGGCGGATAAATGTTCTCATTCACTGCCTCACTCACTTCCGGCTCAAAAGCCCAGTTATCTTCTCCGGACAAGGTAGGTACACCAGCTGGAGTTTCTCGCTCTGATTTCAGTTTCCAGATTCTGGAGGTGAGCTATACGAAGAAAAAAGACTGGCATAGACTGAATGAGTAAAGTATAAGTAATGTGCGAGCGGAAGAAAACCTTCGTAATAGCTCACCAGTAAATCCATTAAAACGGCTATACCTCTGACCGATGCAAAAAACAGATGGAATTTCCACCGCATAGCGTCTGTATTGTACAGTAAGCAATAGCCAGTTTCACCGTTATCTCGCATCTGCCATAAAGTGCACGTTGAATCGAAAAGGGCACCGGCAATAATCGGTCCCGGGAGAAATCCCAAGCCGGCCATCAACAGTGCGGTCATCCCGTTGGCCATGCTTTTCAAATCAATATCGACAATGCTGCAAGATCACACATAAAATATTTATACAACTGAATCATACAAAGACGGTCATAATTCATGCGTTTTTGTTTTGGGTGGCAAAATCAAGAACCGAAAACTAATATTCAAACCATGAAAACTGCTCTCGATATGGTCAAATGGTCAATATAATGTACACAAGCCAAAGTTTTTAACTACCACCCGGCACCAATAAAAATTATTAATAAAATTAACGCCAAATGCCCAACACTGCCATGAAAACATTACAAGGAAAGAGAGGAAGTGGAAAGAAAGTAAACTATTATCACCGGAAACAGAATTTACTATGCAAATCTTTTTACCGAAATTGTAGCATAATTCCACCGGAAAGAGGCAGTCCTCCCAGGAACATTGCTGCGGTTAATATTGCCACATAATAGTACAAAGTTTGGCAGTGCTTCTGACATTGACCATTCACAACGCTGGCTACGGGTGTCTGGTCGGAACTCTCGTCCAATTTGGTTCCATTAGTTCGGACACACATGCAATTTTCGTAAATCTTCTCCTACCAAAACACGGGTATACAACCAGCCTACTCGCGTAAAAAATTTGAGATTATATAGCTTGACTATTCGCTTAATTTTATGTTTCTAAACCATTTTGATAGTTTGTAGCTATAAAACTAACGGCAAACTAACTAAATTGTAACTGCAGCAACAGTAAATTGTAACTGTAAAATTGTAACAGTAACTGCTACACTCTTATAGTGTAACTGCATGTACATAGTAGATCGAGACGTATGTTATCCAATTGTTTACCTGATTTTTAGATAATCCTAGTTTTGTACAACCAGCATGGCACGGGGAGTAAAACGTTTCATGGTTGGAGACGTCACATACAGGAATGAAATCGTTTTTGCACTGACAAGGCTGATGACAGGTGGCATTTCCATCGGACCTACTGAAAGATTTTAAAATACAATTAGTAATAAAAACCTGAAAGACACGTTAAAACAGTTTGTCAAAACAACACACTCTACTGTAATCAAACTGCAAAAATATCAGCATTCTGTATATAATTAGTAAAGGCGCATACAGACACAAATATTTAATCCATTACAAATAGTACTAGGACGCCATAGCTAGAAATTTACAGGAAATCCAACAAACAATTAGAGAAAAATCCCATTTCAATCTATATTTTTCACAGGAAGCACACAATTTCCAGTTTCGTTTTGCAAGTCCTAACCGTTTTGTTCCACCATACCTCAAAAACGAATCGTTGACCGTAGTGGGCATACCGGTAATCTTCGCTTGTGGACATTCTAAGCCAATAAGGCCATACAACGTGGTGGCCATTATGAGTCCTCCGGCTGCAAGGAACAAGCCTATATATCGTGGCTGAGGTTTCCATCGTCTTAAAATGAAGCCGCCAACGACCACACCCGTAGCAGTGGCTAACACATTAGGAACACCTACAAAAAGTTGTACTGAATAATTATGGTTGTGCATATTTTTCGTGATCAGTTCTTGTTCAGCTTGGTTATACTGACCACCAGCAATAGCTGCAGCCGACTGCGTAATCTGGAATTGTTGCCCGAGGAACTTTGGTAAAAAACTGAAGTAACCTAAACAGAAAACAAACAGAAAATTTACAGGAAGGCGCGAGCTTTGTTCACCAAAAGATGCTTTAGTACCGGCAATGAATACTCCATCGAACATACTGCTGCATGCCCGGCAGACGTAGGCTCCATTAGTGACCAGGCGTTTAATATTCCTAGGAAGATCTGAATAATAGAAAACAAGCAATTGTTAAGAGGTTTCATACCCAACAGTCGAAAAGCGCTTGGAAAAAAAGTCCTACAACGCGCTATAAAAGGTGATACCGCACCTTTCCAAGATGCAGTGGAAACGGATGCCGGTATTTTTTGTGCAGACGCATTTGCTTCCTTCTTTGTTGATTCATCCTCGGACTTTGAGCAGTCAGAAGAAATCGATGCCGGAAAACACTACAGAGAAAACAATTATGCTCGGCACCTTGCGAAACACGCACTTTTGTGCATCAACAGTCCGTTACCCCGATAGTAATAGCGAACAAACATAGCCCCATTCCGAAGAACAAATACCCCAAATACCACGCTGAAATCCAGCGCGGATCTGTAGATTTAAATCCGGGATCTGCAAATACATACACGGACAAATCATGTAAATTGAGAAGCGGAAAAATAATAAATGCAATTCCACTAAGTACGAGGGGGAAAATATCAACAACGCTAAGAACAGTAATTTATTCAAAAACAATCCAGTATTAATTATAAATGTATGACCCATTAACATTGTTAGCAAGCTTACTTGTCCAGTCCAGGAAAATAGAATTACAAAATCCACCCAGCGCGTAACCCAGTACAGGTCCAAATATTCTGCTTGAAAACGAAATTGCTGCAAATCAAAAAATTTATACAGATACCAAACTAAACACTCGTGAATACACATATGCTTATATGCTGATAAAAAACAATTTGCGAGGATTTGCATTGAGCGTTAGCAAAATGCCGGCGCCATACATATGGCGGTTTATAGCGGATTATTGAAAATTAAGCATTAGTCGTACACACGCGCTGTATATGCACTTACAAAAATATAAAGGCGTATTTTTCTTCTGTACATTGTCGTCAATAAATGGCAATCCTAGGATGATAAGAGCAGTGGAACCAACTCCTTGCAGTAATTGTGCCACCACCAGAACCACAACCGGTCCAATATTCGACTCGCTAGCATTAACAACCGGTACCGCCGCGGTGTGATTGTCACCACCAAGACGCAGAGCGCGCTGCCTGCTGTTTGCTGCACACAAGTGCTCTTCATTCTGCATCATAGAAGCCCCCTTCCAAACATCCAGATTTCGGAAAGGAAACAAGACTTCCGGTGCCGCGTGCAGCAGCAGTGCGATGCCCAGTATAATGCAGCCACACATGATCCAGCGTGGACGATGGCCGCGCCCACCGAAATGCGCCGTTAACAATGCCGTCGACACATGCGAGACATCGTTCATCGCCATAATTATTCCCACTGTTCGACTCGAAAAACCGAAACGTTTCTCGATGGACGGAATCATTGAACTCGTATACGACGCAGCCATTCCTATTTGCACAAACAAAAGCAAATTAATAATCAGAAATCAAAAAATAGTACGGTATATAAGATTCAAATGAGCGTATACATACAGATACACTGACTCAGAAACCATTAGCTACGAGTAGTATCAGAAACCAACGGGGGACGGTAGCAAATATACAGCAGCTAATATTTACACATTTTACTTACTGACCAACCATAGCATGAAAATCTATTCCCAACTTAAGGTCTCTAATTGAAGTTTACCAAAACGAATTTAAAAGGCATTTGTAGGCAAGTAACAGTATCTGTTGTTCTGACTTACCGTAGATTAAGCACAGCAGCACGTAGCAGAATACAAATAATGTCATATTATTGCATCTCTGCAGGAAGTCCGGTTGCCAGCAAAAAAGGCCACAACGATGCACATTCGGTGCATTGGCCACTTTCGTTGTTTCAGGTTTTTTAAATAACATCTTTCGTCGATAAAATTTGTTCTAAACTAGAAATGTTATACGTCTACCACAACTAAAAGATTTATCGGCCACTGTATATAGGATGCAACAGGTCGCTGTCAACTTTTGCCGGCACAATGCTTTTCATGCACCATAACCACATATTATTCCACGGCGATATGCAACTGTACAATCACGTTTGCATAAGATTCTGTTGGCCCTTCAGCTAGGCTTCATCATCCTTGTTTGCTAACAAAGCATGAATCGTAATATCACACTAACGTTTTTTCATTGCCAACGCATATATATAGAAGTAGTGATTGGATAACAAATCGTTCGCATATAAAATCATAATAGTAAGTAGTAACATACGACAGTAACACGAAAACAGACTATCTAATGCGCCACTTCATCGAAGTGCCGCACCATGACGAAATGAATTCACTGATTGATATTCGCAGGATTCCGCTACATATATACTAATAATTGATGCATATTATTTGCAAGTGTCAGACATTTGCAAACACTTAATACGGATACGTAAACAACAGTTGCCCGCGGCCGGCGAAATGGAGAGTATGACGTCTAAGGGTTCCTACTTCCTCGCTTTCCTAAGTCTCGTATTGGTTTTCGAAGATTTGTATGACATAATGCCGAAAAGCAACCAATCACAACTTCAGTATTAAGTGACACTGAAAACTGTGCGCAGGTCAGAACTAGGAACGCTGGCAAGTAACGTACTCATAAATCATTATTTGCTGTCAGTTCTATCGCGTATGCTGAGAAAAACCAGCGCAGCCACCATTGGTCATTAACAGAAAAACATTAATGTGATTCAGCTTAAGAAGTTAATTAACAAACACTGCCTTACGGCCGTTGTACAGAGCGAGTAGAGATGCAAATGTTTAAAAAACACAGCTTTTCTATATTCCACCATTATCCGATCGTAAGGGATACGCTGCACAGATGACTAATCCAAAAAATTTGCATCGGTAGATGCACAGCACACTCGTACTGTAGGTTAAAAATTATTGGACATTTGCCTCAACTGGAAATTATTCTGCTATATCTTACCATACTGTATACAATACAGATACAGTATACCTTATTTATGTAGTCAATGTTGTAGGTACAACGTACACACTGTTGAAAAAATATTTCAATCCAGTGGATGGCATTATTTGCTGAAACGCTAAAAAAACTTGCTTAAACAGTATTCTCAGTATAGACTGATCGGTAAACCCAGACAAGCAAGGTGGTAAAAAATTCCGACATGAAACGCAATCGGCATGTAGTGCGAATTCTTGTTATCAAAGCTGTACCTACAACTCTTCACTTGAAGAACTTTAGTTTAGCAGTTATGGGAATCAGACTATTTCCTTTTGTAATTGTCTATTAAATGATATTATAAAATGGTCGGACTGAAGGCTGAAGAACAGCTTTACTGCCTGTACATGTTGCAAGGTTTCAGAGTTTTCAGTCATGTTAGTGGCAAAACCGGTATCATATTAATTTTAAATAGTATATATATATATACCATAATTACTGCTTGTTTTCTGGGCACTGGGTCACAGGCGCCAAAAATTGCTAATACAATAATTTTAACAAAGCCGAATTTTTGTTGCGCTATATTAAATCGCAATGCACGTTTGATGTCTCCAATATCAATATTCATTCATACTGTATGTATAAGTCTTGTTGCAAAACTAAACACATCCAAAACATTGTTACACTACATTCATATCTTCGTACTTTTACACGCATTCCAAGTAAACAGTAAACGTGACATGGGGCAAATAATTTAAAGTGATTAATGTGAGAAGAAAAGTATTTACCAACGAAAAGAAGCGAGCAAATATAAAAACGCGGCATTTAATCTTGACCGAACATACTCGTACAAGAACACGGGGAAAATCCAGTAATCTGTTCACAACACAGTTCAAATTTAACCTGGTGAACATCGTACGTAGCTACAAAGTTAATAAACCGCTCCAGTTCTGTTAAAAACAGCTTCTTCCATTTATCGGGCATGCGGAGAATTATCAAGTGGATGTGCTAAAATACTAAATAGTACCACTGTATTAAATATGCAGTCGAAAACACCACTGTTTACCGGGGACGAACGAAAACACGATCAAAAATACCGACAGTCTACGGATATGAACAAACAGCGACAATTTACAGCCGTCAAAGTTTGGTTTTCCTGGCAGTATCGTATAAATTAGAGGCTCAAATTGCAGCACTAGTGTGAAATGAATTTCCATAATACTGCGCAAAGTATCCTTAAGAACAAATTAAAGCGAAATCAATCATGTTGACGCACAGAAATTTATGAACAGGTTGAAGCAGGCAGGACGTAACCGTAAAATTTAAAAATCACCGAAGTCACCGGACGCGTTATATCGCTTTTTATGCCAAATATGATAATTTTAACCATTAACAGCAGCTATTTTACACGTGTCTGACCAGTTTAGGGACACACCCTTCTTGAATTCTGTGCAGTACCGACTGCTTCCCTGCCGTTATCGATCTGAAGATTTTGTACTGTGCTTGGTACACTGACAGAAGAGGCTGTTGTAGCAGAAGACACTTCCGGTGGATTTTCTTTTTTTCGTTCAAAGGTCAAGTTCCACACTCGCCATGTGACCTGTAATCAAATTGGGAAATTCTCAATTCCTTGTTAATTCGAATGGTCCATGTTCGTAACAATCAGTACAGCACCTCCGCAAAATTTACACATACTGCGATTACACTGCAACAGCCACATATTTAACTTAGTCCATAAATTCCACTTAAAACAACATGCATATGTAACCACGTCGTTCTACGCCTAGCGAACCAATGTAAATTTTTGCAACTACGCATCCAGTCTTCCGATCTGACCGCTCTTACCATTAATTCCAAAAATGCTGCAGCAATTTTCATCAACCCTATGAATAAATGGAATTTCCAACGCAGCCCGTCGATATTATATAGTCGACACGATCCGCGATTTCCATTGACATCCAACTGCCATAGCAGGCACGTCGAATCAATTACGGTGCCAACCAACACCGGCGCCGGTAAAGAGCCAAATGCAGCCGTCAGTAATGCGCTTAGACCATGAGATAACGTTTTCAGATCGGGATCCACCACTCTGCAGAGTTTACCATTTCGTTTCTGCTTGCAAGAAAACACTGCAGTCAGTGCACGCACCGAAACTGTATCATTATCCCTCCTGACACAGGCAGCCCCGCAATGAATTTCGCGATGGCCAAGATCGTGACGAAGTAATACAAATTCTGACAAGATACATAACAGTGACCTTTGGTCAATAACGGAGGCGTCGTGGAATTTGTTGCGAATTGTTTAGAGTTTTCAACACACATGCACTTTTGATAAAGTGGTTTCTGAAACATCACATCCTTTGATGGTTAATGGGATAGAATGATATTGCAGTTTGTTCCTTACCAACAACTAATACCTTTCGCAACATCACGCCAGCTTATCGTTCAAAATGGATATAAATGTATCCCGATAAAAAATCGAATACAGCAGTCAACAGTTCACTTTAATTACCGTATTGTTATGGTGGATTACTGATTGGCATCCGGCGTGACAAGGTGAATAATATGTCATCTGTCGCGCAGTATCGCATATCGGATCATAATCATCCGGCTGGCAACGACACGAATTCTCCATTGCACCACACTCTGCCTGGCTAAAACAATGGTAAAGAAAACAATTATTCAAAACTTAGTAGATGCGGGAATTTTCAAACAAACTTTTCGTATTCCACATTCGAACGTCCAGCGGGATCCATAACGACTGCGTCTGGGCAGCCGAGCGCAATCATGACAAGCAGCGCACCACCAATTATAAATGCAGATGTTGCCAACAAAGCTCCCACTTGACGTGGCTGCAGACTGCATCGGCGTATCAAGAGCCCGCCTAATACGACTCCCACACCGGTTGCCAGTATGCCCGGAACTCCTTCAAAATGAATTACTCGTACGTATATTGCCTGAGAAGCTTCGATCGGCATAGTTTAGGTCAGGTTTAGGCGAAAAGCGGTTTTGTACAAAATTGCGCAGTTTTAAAATTAATGCTTCTAAAAATTAAAGATAAGTAATAACATAATATTACTAAACCTTAAAGGTTTAGTAATATTATGGTAATAAGTATGTGACACGACTCATGAGTAAGTAAGTTACATGTAATTCCCAATAACGTTCTTCTGTATAATTAATATAACTGGATTACAGCACGCCAGTGTTAACCTTGAGCTTAATTATACGGGCATATTTACCTCCAGCGATTGAAGCCCCCGACTGAGAGATGTGAAATTGTTGACCCAAGAATTTCGGTAGAAAACTAAAATATCCTTTTTAAATAGAAAAAGTCAATCATGAACCAACTAGTTTATCACAGGCAGCACGTAATACCAACCGGATATGCAAAATCCATCCAGTATATTCGTACCAACACGCAGCATGTAAGTTCCGTTACACACCAGTCTTCTGACATTGCGAGGGAGGTCTACAAACGCGCAAGAAGTCAAAGTTCCAAGACAAATGAATTTAATCACCCTTGCAACCGAACCCCCGTATACTGTGCAACTACTGTAATTATCTCTTAAACAATCCGTTCTATTATACGCTGTAAGTACTGTATTATTATCTGACAATAATTACTGTAAGTGTAAGTGTGTATTTTCGAAAGACGTCGTTGTAACTCGCATTTCCTGCACCTTTCCAAAACGGCTGCGATGAAACAGGAGCTTTTCCGGCATCATTGGGGCCGGAATGCTTCAATCCATTGGTCTGAGCCTTGCCAGATCTCGCGGGAACGAACGCCGGGAAACACTAAAAGACACGGAGACTAGGTGAGCAGTCAAAGCAGATACACTTGTTAACGATACGGGTATGCTTAGTAAAATGCCAAGCGTACTCCAATCAGCGCCGCAACTAAACACATCGATGCTCCAGTCCAAAGAAAGCCCAAATACCACGCTGAAATCCACCGCGGGTCAGTCTGGTTGAAACCGGGATCTGTGAAAATCAAAATTAGGGTCAAGCTGTATTTACTGTTTACTGATACCTGCAAGAACACTCCCCGTACTTGACCAGTCCAGATAGATCGAATTACACAAAGCTCCCAGGAGAAAACCCAGAACCGGGCCGAAAATTCTTGCCGATAGGGAAATTGCTGTAGAAGTACATAAATTCGCCATGACTCACTGCTAACTGGAATTTAACTTAGTAAACTGAGCACACCAAAATAAACTGACGAATTCTTTTTGTCCACACTATCGTCGATGAAGGGAAGAGCCAGTATCATGACCATTGTGGATCCTACACCTTGGATCAACTGCGCAACAATAAAGACAGCCACTGGACCACCCAGGTTAATGCTTTCGCCGTCGGAATGTGCGAATTCTGCAGATCTATTAGAAACAGAATAACTGTTGTTATAAATGTTGTCAGATCCATCCCGGCATAACTTTTCTGGCACCACAGTCTCCGCAGTTTTGGAACGGCCAATTGTCCTTCTGGAGGGAAACAGCACTTCCGGTGCTGCATGCAGCATTACAGCTATTCCCAGAAGCAAGCCACCAATCATGATCAACCGCGGTCGATGACCACTTCCGCCAAAATATGCGGTTAGTAGAGCTACCACAATCTGCGAGATATCGTTGACGGAGAGGATTAACCCAATTAGTTTACTGGAAAAACCAAATCGTCTTTCCATGGACTGGATGACCGAACTGCTGTACGCATTGGCCATTCCTATACAAAAAAAGTTACAAAAAAATTAGGTTTCCCTTTTCAGCGCAGGCATTGCACATAAACATACCGTAAATTAACAATAACATTGCGTAAAATGCAACAAAACACATCATGTTGTTGCATCGCTGCAAAAAAGCCGGCTTCCAACGGCATGCACCGCATTGAGATCCGGAATTCAGCATTGTTCCGGTGAAACCAACTGGCATTACTAACGTTAACTGAATAAATCGCCAAATTTGGAAAAATAAAAACAACTGCTGCAGAAACGATGAGTAAAGTGCTTAGTCATAAGAACTTCAAATTCAAGAAGAATAAGAACTTCAAATTCAAAAGAGCGCAACATCAGAAGTGTTGCAACAACCATTAACGAAAACGTGAGCAAGATGCAGTAATATGGTAATTTCCGTATTCGATGCCGCATTATTTTTGTGTTGACACAGTAAATGCACAAAATATTTAGACAAACCTAACAGAACAATAAACCAAATACAAAAAAATGCAGCCTCACTGGCAATATTGCCGGTGTTTACAAATTACAACCACATTCCTGTAAGTCAAACACAGGTTAAAGTTACGCGGCGCATAATATCCAGCGCATTCATACATACAGATATATAGTGTGTTTTTAGGAAACAGCCTGTCAACATGTTGAAAAAACCCAGCACTATGTTTTGTACATGATTACAATACTCAAATTAAACGCTAAGTTGGCAAAATGATGAGCTTCATATTTTGATTATTTAACCCTATCAAAGTAGCATTACGTAAACTACACGCGAATTACTGCCCTCAACCCTAGTGTCTACCACACCATTCTAATGCCAAACTTGCCACTAACAAGTAAGCAAACTGGAAAAACGCTACCAGTACGATGACGATCAACCTCAATCAAAATCAGTTTCAGCATAAACTGAGCGCGTTATGCATTGATTATAAATCGTGTCCAAACTAAATAATCGGCACACCCTGTGATACACGGTATCTGCTATTAAGAGAAGTGCGAAAAATCAGTACTGTAACGCGAACTCCGTGGCTCATTTCCATTTCTTCACAGTTTAATGGCATTATCATTATAAACACGTTATACGCTTTCAGTCGTCCGTAATTTCTTACTGCTAACATCGTCACCATCAACAAACGGTTCGGCTTGCGCCTCATTAAAAAACTGTCCAAGTGAGTCAAAAAACACACTGTCTAGTCGTTTTTCGTCTCCTGCTGTCCGAATCAGTGATTTAAGCTCTTCTGTAACCCCCGTGCACTATAAATCAACGCGATTGTTTTTAATTACAGTATAGGACTGAACGAAAGAAACTTGTGTAGATTTTTCGAAGCAATAACTTACTGCTGATTTCAAATCATCACCCGATTCTTGGTTCGAAGAGATCAAAGCAAAAACATCTGGATATATCCGCAATGGTATTTCTGCATCATTGCATATTACGACCAAGATGGTTCCCACTATGCACAAACTGCGAATTGGCAGCGGATTATTTCCATGCGTTATAGGAATGTCCACTGCCTTCCGAAAAGCGACGCTGGAGGCTTCTGTGTCAATATCCACACGAATCCCAAATATCCTGTTCATGCTATATAAAAAAAAAGAAAATGTCAATACGGAACATAATTGAAAAGCCAACTCCTTCATTATTTACCAAACCAAAACATTCCAATTAATTTCAACCATAAATTATCCCAAACGTACGTAAGTTATGAAAACACACACTTCACAATTAATTAAAACTTCATACCCAAAAAAAGAAACAAAGAATACTTCATGGTCGTTAGAATATTCCAACGACGTCACATAAGTAGGAGTGGTATCAGAGTCTTCCAAAAGAGAAATATTCCCCAGATCCGCACCCGTAAGAAAGTTGAAGGCGCGCACGGATCTGTCCTACAAACAACGGCCAGTGAATTCATCGTTGATTATGGTAGATCATATACAAGATAAAAATTCGTATAATTATGAGCCATTCACCTCGCGCTGCACCAGCTTGAAAGATAAGATTGACACATAAAATGTCATCTCGATAGCAAAGCAAGCCGCAAGAAATAATGTTTCATCATATTTCGATTTTAACAATACGTTACGTACCCCAGATCCCGAAATCACAATCGGGCGATCCTGCCAAGGCACGGTTATCTTGCTGACGAACCTATTCCCGCAAAAAAATTCCAGCAAACCGCACCTTCCTATCATTTAACAAGGTTTTCGTCAGAATATAACTACTCTAAAAATTTACTCACTCCGTATGTCCTAGACAGAAAGCCTGAATATCATCAGCCAACGGAAAATGAGAAACACGAATCTTTTCGTCACGGTCCGCGGTGAGAATAAAGCGTTTATCTCTGGTAACAACCTAAATCACAGTCACAATTAAATTGTCGAAGCTTTCCAACACTAAGAAGGCTTTTTGCAGACTCAGTAAGTGTTTATCCAATTCATACGAGCAGCTCACCACATCCGTCAAAACCGATATATGTCCCAGAATGGGAGTTTGATGCTTCGCTACATCTTGATCAAAGGGATAATAGTAGGCATCGCCCAATTTATCGGCCACAACGATACCGGAATTATCGGCGACAAACGTCATCGCCATAGTTCGCTTTGCAAGATGCCTGGAACAAACAAACAGCAATGGTAAGAAGGCTCTTTTAAAAGATTGGGGACATCTGATTGCGGTTATAAAATGTTTCTGCTATGAGATGCGTCGGCATACAGTAACCAAATTATGGATCTTGAATAAATTAAATAAAACGAAGCAGCAGTGAAAAAACGAGCAGTTTGGATGTTCACTGATTACTTAAAAAATGGAAAAAATCAGCAGAGGCAAATAAAATAAACTGGGGAGAGCGTGTTCTGATTTACCATATCCTACAGCTCTTTTATCATTTTCCGGAAACTAAAATTTAATAATTATAAAAATTGTACTGTAATACTAAGTAGTGTTATTGTATTGTAATTATTGTAGTGCAATAATGTTCAGCGTTTCATCGAAATTTTAACTTCGACAAGATAAAATTCTGACAGCAAAAAGTTTCCAGACCAAAAATTCTACAAAATTTCAGTTCATTTAATGTACTTATATGACTACTTTGGGTATTTTGTTCTCAAAAAATGGCTGCGAACCGTACCACGAATGAACCATTTGTGCATCGCCATCGGTAAGCGCAGGCGCAGAAGGAAGACGGTAGACGCGTAAAACTTTGCTGTTGTCCGCAGTGGCTAAAAAGTGGCCATCTTTCGAGAGGCAAACTGCCGAAAGCCATTTTCCGTCAACCAGATCGAGGCTAAAATTATGGAAAACAAATTAATATCATTCTCATTCAGCAAGAAAACAACCCCCATGCAATGTACCGGCTGGCGAGACCGATGTTGTGAGCGGCTGGGTGAAAGGAGTCGGATTTTGGTCCCTGGGAAACTGCGTTCACCTCATCCCGATTACTTCCATTGTTTTGGATGATTAGAAACCTATAATATACAAAGTATATACCGTAAGTCCATTAAACAGCGCGCTACAAATGCGAAAATACTGGGAGAATAAAAGGAAGAATTTACTGTAAACACCTGTCAAGTTTGCTGGAAGCAAAGCAAACTAACACCTTGTCTTCTACGGAAATAGCAAACAAACCACGTGCAGAAGATAGAAACATTTCTGGAACTTCAGTTTATTCATAAAGGCGTAAAGGAATATTATCAAAACAATATTCTGGAACTTCGACACATGTTTTCCGATGATTTTGAAAACGTCCGGACAATCCAGGATGATGAATTTGAAGTTAAGTACTCGTACTTATCAGGTATTCGTATCCGTCAACATGCAACGTATTTCTTGTGATAACGTAACTGAGTCCACCAGGCGCATACCGGGTGGGAGTTCCATACAAGAAATTGCGTTCTACTGGATAAACTTTCCATTAATTTTAATAATATTAGTCGGTCTTGTTGTTTTGTTACTTACGTACTCTGTACATATCTGCAATAAGTTTCTGAAAGCTGAAATGAACACCTTGAAAATACTAATTCAGTCTCATACTTATTTTTAATTTAATTAATAAAAATACTGAGTTTCTGCAGCTTGGAATAGGTGCATGGTATTCGAAAACATTACTTTAAGCTTGCCTAAGCCACAGTGATTACACAACTTTTCTGATTAAAAAGGTCACTCTGTAGGCGGCATGCAAAACAATATTTAAATGCGCAAAATGGATATATCGCAAATCCACTTGGCAGTGGCGAAAGAAGCGTCCTGCATTAGCATAACCATGTATAAAGGTTATCGTGTATAATTTTTAAAAATCGCGATCTTAATACGCGTCGTACTGACATACGGTGAATAATTTTAGATCGGACGGTAACTTCGCTACCATTACTGCGCACTCTCAGTTTAATAGTTGTGTCGCACTTCGCCAGAAAATTCCAGATCGACACCGGGATACTTCGCAGTTCGTATAGCTATAGTATCCCGGTTCCCACCTGTACTGGATATAATTGTGCTTCTACCGCTATTCATGCAACATAAGGATACATCATCATACTCGTATAATACGAGTAATAGCAGACTTAACAACTCAATGTGTATCACTAGAGTTCTCAATCACGCAGCGCTTGCTTATAAGTTTGCCGCCTGCTTGTATTGGAGTTTGGGGTAACAGCCTTTTGCTGATTGTGAGTTACTTATGATCGTAAAATTCCAGCAGAAATTTCAGTATTTGCCTTCGATCTGCGATAGAGTACATTTACCTGTACAATAATTATAACTTCATAGGTCGACCTGCAGTGCAAAGATTACTGCCGACGATGAGACTGCAGCTATGTTTACCGGCATTTCGACTGGTCAAACATAATTAGAGATAACATGTGTTTTACAAACTAGATTACATTGTTCACGTTAAAAGGGTAAAGACCGCTAAAAACTACTGTTCTCCATAATTATATGCATTGCACACAGAATATGCTTATTTAGTATGCGAAAAGGTAAAGGGTCTTTGTGTTTGGATTGCGAATCCATCACCCTAAATTTGATCGGAACAATATACTTACGTACATGCTCTAAACGGAAATTGCCTGTACTCGTACACAAATTTAAACAATTCTGAAAATGAGTTACGATGTGATTTCGCGGAGCGATGGATCTTTGGTCGCTACGTCCACTTCGCAGCCACACCGCAATTCGTTGTATAAACAATTTAAGCGTTATTCCATTTGGTTAACACTGGCCGGACTGTATCCGTGGTCTGCCACGGGTGGCAGCCCACAGACCGCCACAACTCTGTGCTCCAAAATAAGAAGTGCTGTATCGTGGATTCCTGCCGCTACACTGTTCATCTTGATGATTTTAGCCGCATTGGATCGTCTGACGATTATGTTAATCCATCGATTCGACTGGGAAAACCCAACCGGTTTAGCCGCGGAATTACGCTTAGCCACCATGGTCTGTTTTCGGTCATCCGTGGCTGTGCTGATTCCGTTAGCGTGCCACAAAACACGAAAACTCGACAAAGTGTTTCGATTGCTGTCGCTGTTATGTAAAGACGTCTTTGTCGAACAGCCATGGAAAAATCGTCTGATGGTGGTGACATCAATGTTAGCCATATTAACGGTATTTTTTGCGGGGTACTTTCTATCGAGCGGGGTTTTTGTCCTCGTTCACGTAATCACTGATCCCCGTGGTATTTCAAATTCAACGCCGACATACTACTGGAGCACCGAAGCAGCATACTCTTTCTTTTTATTGTTTGCGCGAGTTTCGGCGATGCATATAAGACTAATATTCTTCATAATGGTCATTTTGCTGACATCCACAGCGGGACTGCAGTTTTCCATCTACTACACCCGATTGAAAAGAGCATTTCGTGCAAGAAGTTGCCTGTACGCAAGTGAACAAAGTGACCAAAAGGAAGTTGAAATACGACTGATTTTGTCCAATCATTTTACGCTCTCGACAGCGGTCGCCAAAGCCGATAAAATTTTATCGCCGTTACTTTTGGTCACCGTGCCGTTTGACTTGGCTATGACCGTTTTTATTTTTGCCCATTTGTTCAATGGCTCGGACGCTGCGGACATTCTAGCCTACAATACAATCAGATCATCACTGTTATCTAATCTTGTTTGCGGCTTTGACCTCGTGTGGATGGTTATTGTTCTCTTTGGCCCAATTGTGACTTCTGCCTATTTGAAGCAACAGGTAAACAACACAAACATTACGACATCAAGTAAAAACACCACCAACTAACAATTGTAAGAAAATCCATGTTTGCGCGCACTGGTCGAACGGAGCGAACAGAGTGCCCTGTCACCGTTGACTCATTGAACTTACCAACCTTCATAAATCGGAGTAATGAAGTACCTATCATATATCCATAATAATGTTTCCATAACTTTTACATACAGAGCTCTACGTACTACGTAGTCTACCCATACTGCGCTCATGCTGCGCTCCGGTCGACAAAAATTGACCTTTATGAACATCTGTTTCAGGCTGAAAAAGCGGTGAAAGAAATATCGTTTTTTATTGGCTGTGAAGACACCGAAAGCAAATTTAAAAGAATGCTGAAAAAGAGGGCAAACTTAATAAAAGACTTCCCGCCAGCTCTTACTTTATGGAGCATTGCTGTTTTGGACAAAAATATTTTCTTAGTGGTATGCCGTCCGCCTTCAGATACTGGCAACTGAATAAGTCTGAGACACTTTGAAATATTTTGCAGGTTCTTGGCGTTCTTGGGACTTACCTTTTCATCATTCTGGAAGTGTCTCAATGGTGACAGCAGTTCGTAATCGGTCGTCTTGGACCCTTTTTGACAGTATTGTTTGTTACGGTTTTCTGTATGCCCTGCATCATGCTGTATTCATTTTACACCCACTTGCTGGTTGATTTAGTCAGAAAAAACAAAAAAGACACAGCCGTGTGCAGTATTTGATGTTTTACCATCGTCTATTAAATTTACACGAATTTATCATTTTCATTGTACACTTGTTGTTGTTGTATTTCCATCCTGATCGATGCGAATGCTTCTGTTGGCTGTTTTGGTCTGCGTGCTGCTGATGTTGTTATCCGTTTTATTACTCGAGCGATCAGAAGCGTACTTCCACACTTTCCATGCAACCTGTTGAATGTGCAGAATTACATAACGATTTAAATTTCAAGATGTTTTAGTATTATAACTCTCTTTCACTTACCATGCTATCTAAGACCACCGTCAAGAATTTTAAACAACCAGCTGCCAAGAAGAATTTCCACCGAAATTGATCCGTGTCATACAATAGACACGCTCCTTTGTTGCCACAGGCCGTGGTCTGCCACAAGCTGCACGTGGAATCCACTATGGCGCCAACGAATATGGGAGACGGGAGTAGTCCAAAAGCCGCGACGGTTAGCGAGGTTACCCCGGCGCATAAATTCTTGAGATCCAAATCTACAACTCTGAAACAAATTGCTGCATTGTGGAGAAGAGCACGCAAAATACCATGTTTTAATCGTTCGAAACATTCGATCAGCTACTCTACAGAAAGTCAAAAGGTCACTTGTTTACTGTCAAGCGCACATTAAAGCGATGAAGTGTGATTACTGTGATGTGACTGGCATGCAGCTTTACCAGACTATGAGACTATGTATAAACGTTACGTAATCACCATGAGTATCCTGTGTATTACCGGAATTGTAGAATAACTTGTCCAGGCATGGCAATGCCGTAGCAAAATACTGATATAACCAGAAGTGCGGTAAGCCCGTTCATTTGTTTCTGGCAGTTTTTGCTGCATAGGCCATCCTTAAGTTCCGACAAAGGTGACACATTAGAATGGTTAACAACATTCTGATGCGTAGTCGAATCGGGGCCTTGTCCGTGATTGAGATTGAACGCATTCAGACACTTGCAATTTCGATACCGCATTTTCTAAAATTTTGACCACATTGAAACGGCTGCATCCACACTGAATATAGCCGTACATATAAGTAATGCTGAAGTCAAGACATTCCGAACCTTTTCTATTGGACTGAGTGTGCCGTTTTCACGACATCCAGCGAAACACGGCGAATAGAAGCTGACCCCACTGGACGGATGACACACAGGACTAAACTGTCGAATATCACAGTTGCACTCGTTATTCGCCGGGCATGTTAGCTGGAAGTCTCCGTCATATATATTTTTAGTAACGCTATCCCCAGTATAAATTTCCATTGGTGCACACTGGATTCCGATGGCAACAAATAATCCAATTGACAGAATCAAATTAGGAATGACGAGAGATAGGGCAACATGTCGCGGCAGAAAGCTGAAGCGCTTCGTTAGAGCGCTGCCAGCCAATATTCCACAGCTGACTGCTATGACAATGGGCAGACCTGCAAATTGAATCAAAACGTTCTTTGTCGCAACGTATGTTACGGAGTTCTCGAACCACTCTTTTAGAGACAGAATAAGCGCACCTCCATTTAATGCTGCCTGCGACTGTGTAGCATTAAACTGTTGAGCAAAATATTTTGGGATGTAATGCAGAAATCCTACAACAAACATGGTCGTCAAAGGTCACATACAAAAAATTAATTTGCAACTTTTTGCAATCGTATACGCTTTCGTTTCACCTCCAATGATCATTCCATCGATAAACATACTGCTTGTTCTGCACACGAAGGCCAAGTTTGAAACCAACCGCCGGAGATCCGCTAGTAACTCTTTAAGGAAACAGGTTGCACAAGTTATTCAAGTGTTACAGGAAATAAACGCTTATTTTATAATGAAATTTCAAATTTGGCGCGAAATTTTTGTACTTTTCCACGAGCTTAGAGCAAACACCGGTGTTGCGCCGTTATCAGCTTTATATAAGTTTCCATTATGCTCGACAGCTTCGACGTTGGCGATTTCCCAGAGTGTTATGTTCTCTGTCTTCGAGCGCTTCAGCGAGCGCCTTCTTCTCTTGGTGGTACTAATGGTCTTTGGGAAGATCTGGATGGGCGAATAATAATGATTTAGGTATGAATGCCGCAAGACGATCGTATCCAGTATATATCCACAATCAACATAAACAGTTTAATGATATTCGTATGGAAAAGACAAAATAATACCGCAATGAGTATTCCAGGGATAATGAGAGCAACTGCAGCAACGATAAAGCCGATATACCAAGCGGAAATCCACCGGGGATCAGCCGGACTGAAATGTGGCTCTGAAAGTTATACCCAAAAATACTGCAGGCAAAATACTGCAGGTGTTTATGACTTGACCTTTCAGTTTTTTCAAGGCGGTTACGGCAATGGTGTTTATATCTTTTTATAAACTCTTTTGATATTTTTTTGCGGCTTGAGTAATTCTTACTTGTAAAATCGTAATAAATGGTGGTACAAATGGATCCAATGCCGTAACCAGTCGCTGGTCCGATCAGTTTCCCAAACAATGCGATTCCTGCACAAGTAAATCCTTTGATAAAGCTGCACATCTTTTCGTCCAGTTTTAGCGAACACCATGCAATATATCGAGCGCTAAGCATAAGATTCTCAAACACTGTGAGCGTACCGTAATAAACAGGCAGATCTGCTGCAGGAATATTATCATCCAGGTAGGGAAAGCCCAAAATCATTGGAGTTGCACCTGACGTGTAGAAAAGGACCCGTAATCACTCTAATCAGTCTAATGTACTCTTAATCTATTATAAGACTGTTTAAAAAAACGATATCCAGGGAAGTGTATGGTAAATACTCAACCCTACTTCCGAAACCGATTAAAACATGGGAAAGGGCAAGCACTGCCACCGGTCCGATAGCTTCGTCGTTACTGGAATGACCGCATTGAGAATTCAACAGCGCTGCAACTGACGTCATTGCACTTGCGGGCTGTGCGGTTACATTGCCGGACTGGGATAAAGGATTACATAGTTTGTGCGGCTGGTTTATGGATAAATGAGGTACTCTGGGAAAAATTATTTCAACCGCGGCAAAGAGAAAAAATGACAATCCCATGGTGACCGTGCCCAGTGCGATCCAGCGCGGACGATGCCGGTTACCGAAGAAATGCGCCACAAAGACCGCAATTGCCAAATGACCAATCTCTGTAGCAGCAAGTATATATCCGATTTCCTTGGTGCTTAATCCAAAACGGCGCTCCACTGATATTATTACGGAATTCGTGTAGCTGAGTGACATGCCTGTACGCAAGACAATATTAATAATTTTATCGTGGTGCAAAAAAAAACGCCAGAGATAAACGTATAAAAAACATCAAACCATTCTACATCGTAATTTTCAGAAATTATTTAATTATAAAGCGACTTTGAGCAGTTTGAAGAAAAGTTCAGACAGGCATAGACAAAAAGTTCAGACGTGCATAAGCATTCATAGATCAGATAATCATTGAGGGCGTTGTCGTAGCTGTCGGAGCTCTGATTCTTGCACAAGCGTCATTTTTTATTTTGGTTATTTATACTTGTTGAAGAAAACTCGAAAAAACCTTTGTAAATTTATGAGTTTCTGCTTACCATACGAAAACAAGATGGCCGCAAATACAACCGTAAATCCCACTTGCGCATTTTTTCCGCTTCTTAATTTTTCCATTGTACTCGGACAGCAAGCTGAGAGAGCGATACCGTTGAATGGGAGTTGTCCAAGAGATGTTTTGCGCGTATCTACCGATACACTGGATTCTGTCAATGTTGATAGATTTCTTTCCATGATTTCCGACTTTATTATTATAACAATTGCGCCTTTGTTTTGCAACAGAAAGGTGATAGCTATGCACTATATGTGTGGCGCCGCTAATGCAAAATTGTCATTGACAAAAAGGAAAGAGGCCGACGAAATACAATGTCTGATGTACAATACACTGACACATCATACATTCTCGACAAAGTACAGGTGACTAGGGTAAAAATCTGAGTTAAAAATGAAGACAAAACAGTGCAACGAAAACGATACAAAAACCGGCCACATTTATTTCAATTGTTATTCTAATTGTAATATAACAGTTCCATCACGATCGATCCAAGTAATCTCTTTCAAAAAAATGCAAGACCCGGCGGGCGGTAATAAAGTCTGGCCAGATTGTATTATACTCGCACGCATGCCAAAACAAACCAAGAACTGGAAGGTGATCATGTTAGTCTGTTTACAGTAGCCCAAGTTGGTTAGTTCCATCATGAACCTTGACAGATTCTAGTGCCTTGTGGCGGTACTTCATGTACCGTACTTTTATGATTTCCACATCTTCGTGTTTTGATTACTCAGGTGTCGATATACAGTCGCATAAAGTTGAAAGCATTCTAGTCTTCGCTGGCGGTTCACATGTTACCCCTGGAAGCTAGGGCATAGGAACACATAATATTATTATTGTATCCTACGTACGTAGTATGTACGAACGCTGCGCACATGTGTCCCAGTGCATGACAGACTATAAGACATTGTGCATGCCGATAAATTTAAAATATAACAAGAAGACGGAAGTGCCAATTTTGTCCGATACATCTTTAATTTAGAAATAGCCCACCGGCTACTGTAAAGTCTGTGCGAAAAATCTGCGTCGGCAAGCAATGGACCTCCGGCACAATAGGGCTGTATAACCTCCGGCACGGTTCTTCATACAATGCCGGGCGGTCAGTTAACCGACATGCAGTGATAGTGGAAGTTACTGTATTCAGTTCCTTAAAGCAGATTATCATATCAATCATATGAATCATATTGGAAGCATCACAATCAGTTTCATCAACCATATTAATTACGTACACAGAATGAACTTATCAAATGTGCAGCATACTAGCTATTGCTCATCGCCCATTAGCCACAAGCATACGGTATGCTTATGGGCCATAAGTTATGGCGAATGGACAATCAGCCCTATAACGGCAAATCAAAAAAAAATGGCTAAGCGCTAATATCTGACGAATTGCATTCGTTAAGTTTATTTCAGACAGTAGCTCAGTCAACAGTAATGAAAAACGATTTTGGAATCAAAATTATTTATGAGCTGCATTTAAAGCAATGCAGACTTCTGCAAATCGCGCGATGATTTATATTACATTTATAAAATACACTCTCTAGTCTAATTTTACAACTAGCTATCCCCATATAAAATTAAGATAATATCATCTCTTTAGGTAAGAAATCGCAGAATGCATGATGCGTACCTATGTCATATTTTACAAGTTTAACCAAGAAGTGCTTATTTTAAATCTTCCTTCTCTAAGGAGCGTCGATGAACATCTTGAGTAATCCTTTCCGTTACTTTGGCAATCTCAGTGTCAGAACGTTCAAATTCTAGATCCCATACCTTCCACGCCACCTAAAAATTTTCAAAGATCACGGGTGACAATAATTTGGCGCGTAAATGGTATGTATTGGATTTGCTGTCTGTATATGTACATTTTAATAATAACTTAATTTAGGATTTTATTTGTCCGTATTCTATGAATGCAATAATTACAGATACTTCTACAGTAATTGCGCAACAGGTGTAACTTACTATGCTGTCAAGGATAACTGTAATTAATTTTAGAAATCCACCAGTCAAAAAGAACTTCCATCGAAACTGATCTGTGTCGTAAAATACGCATGCTCCTTGGCCTCCGCATTCAGTTGTCTTCCAAAGCCGACAGGTGGAATCTACTATTGCACCCACAAAGATCGGAGCGGGAAGCAGTCCGAATGCTGCTACTAATAACGATGTCACGCCGGCGCAGAGATTTTTCAAGTCCACATCCACAACTCTACATACAAAAAAGTTATCGTTGATTGTTCCGGTTGCAGTGTGACCAGTTTGCGCACCTAACTATTTACTCGCGAAAACACATATCTCAGAGTCGGCTACTTTAATATGCAAATACTCCAGGTAGTACAACTTATGCCGTACTTACCGGAACTGTATCATAATCTGCCCAGGCATGGGCATTCCTTCGAAGAACACGGCTATGAACAGGAGCACGGTGAGACCAATCAGCTGAGCATTGCAGTTTTTCATACACATCCCTGGCATGACATCGGGGATTTTCGTACTTGCAGATGGACTGATTGGTGGTAAGTTCTGCGAAGCTTTGGACAAGGCAATATAATCGATTTTGGCACAACCACAGTTCGCATAGGATTTTGTCTAAACGAAGGTCACATCTGTTAGCAAACAATTAACTGGTTTATGGTTTATAAATTATTAGAATTATTATTATTAAATTATTAGAAAAATGGTTTATAAATTATCCTAGCGTAATCTGTAACAAGACTGTGATGGACAATGCAGCCATTTTTTGTGCTATCACTGCAACACTGCTAAATGTTTGCACTTAAGTAGTGCTTTAGTCTAACATTTATTAAGAAAAGGCATGAATCATAAGCTGCCATCATAAAGAAATACGAACCTTATTGTTAGGCGGCCCCATGCATCCAGCGAAACATGGCGAGAAGAACATTGTTGCTGTTTGCGGTTCGCAAAGGACATTGAAATCCATCTTGCTGCAGCCGCAGTCCCGGCTAGCTGCACAAGCATTCACATCAAAATCTCCATGTCCGTTGCGGAATTCTTCGATTGAAGGGAGACCATACATCTCTCCGATTCCACAGCCGATGCCGATAGAAATAAATAGCCCAATGCACAAAATCATGGAAGGTACGACCAAGGACAACGCTACGGTGCGCGGACGCAGCGTAAACTTTTTGATGATGATACTTCCCAGTATAATTCCGGAAATGACAGCGATAACGAGAACTAATCCTAAATTGGTTACAAAAACATTTTACTACAGTTCCACTTAAGTAGATATTTTATTAATACGAGTAGATGTGGTTGTACGCGTAATTTCTGCAAAAAAATGCGTTAATAAATTTCTTGGTTATCGACCGGCCTTACAATTGTTAGGTAAGTTGTACTCGTATTTCTATACGATGCAAATTAAATAAACACCAGCAAGCAGATCCCAACATAAAGATTTACCTCCAAAAATGGCAGCTCTCGCTTGGGAGATTTGGAATTGTTGGGCGTAATACTTCGGGAAGTAGTTGAAAATGCCTAAATAGAACGCGCGTGAATGGTCACTAAAACCTGGGAGCAAAGTTTTAAGTACCCTGAGGTGGTCTCATTATAAGTTGTATATAGTACATACGAGTACAATGATCATCCACCGGCGGATAACAAACGCATTTATTGTAACTTGACAGTAAACAAAGTGAGTTAACATAATACCTCGGTAAAAAATGTAGCGAATTCAATGCATGTGGTGGCAGCTTATGTGTACACGGCAACTACGTGTGTGGCCAACCAGTAACTAAAAACCCGTACCAGAACCTGCCAGAGTATTACTGGTCGTAGTGTGTAAGCGCAAACATTAATTTTTATGTACAGATCTACCTGCAATGGTCATTCCGTCCACGAACATACTGCTTGTGCGACAGACGAAGGCCACATTAGTAAACAGACGCTTTAAATCAACCAGCAGAACTAAAAAGTAATGCTATTCATTTCAAAGCGTAATAAACTGCCTTGAATATGATAAAATTACCTTTCCACGAATGCAAAGATGTCAGTTGGTGCGCCGGCGGTCGGACGCTTTTCGTCTCTGTCACAGCTGCCCCCGCAACCAGATCGGCGCTGGAATGCGTTGTGGATTTAGACATATCTGAAAGCTCAGCGTTGTCCGATATTTTTTGTTGACTTTTTCTGCGTCCAGATGGGGGAATTTCAGCAGGAAATAGCTAGAAACAGACACTAGGTACAGATTTAAAACGGCATGCCGTTTACCGGGAAGAGATATGTTACAGTACACCCATACGAGAAGCATTAAGTAAAAACACATAACGTGTAAAGTAGAAACCATTCCTGCGTGACTCCTTCCAATTGTCCTTTGTATTCAGTGTCAGAAGCATAACAATTACTCACCCCCATAAGTGCCCCGAAAACGATAAGTCCAATACCGATCACAAAAAAACCGATATACCAAGCCGAAATCCATCTAGGATCATTCGGAGGGAATCTTGGTTTCTCTGTAGAAAACGGCAACTATGCTATTATTGCTACGTATACACGAAATTTGCGCGCTTAATCAACATTATATTTAAAAATTAAATAACTACAATTTCATAAGAATTTATGTGAAAGTTGTACCTGCACTTACGAGAAAAATCATAGTATACAGTTAGGCAAACCGATCCGAGACCGAAACCTATCAACGGTCCTAGAAGCCGTCCGAACAAGGCATAGCCTAATTAAAATCACTGGTGTTACCAGCAGAAATTTTCAGTAGTTTTGCAATGGCGGTACCATAATATAATGGCGTGTTTTTAGCTGCCATATTGTCATCCAAATAGGGTAATCCTAAAACTAATGGTGTTGTACCTAAAGACAAAATTACGAATTATATTTAGATACGGAATAAAATACTTGCACAATATTGTATAACAGCTTCAGCGAGACAATATTAATAAATATTACTTAGTTATTTACGTACTGCCAAACCCGAGTAGAATATGAGCCACACACAGAACCGCGATCGCGCCGGCCGAACTTCCATACGAGTGACCACTGCATGCCGATGTCTCCGTCCCGTTAGAAAATTTTATATTGCTGCTATTCGTGTTTTCTTTGGTGATACCGTTTTCGTCAATCTTTTCACACCAATCGTTTCGCGGTGGTAGCGGATGTCTGGGAAAAAACCACTCCGGGAGAGCGAACAGTATGAGCGCGAATCCCATGAGTATTGTGCCGAAACAGATCCAGCGCGGACGGTGGCGATTGCCGAAAAAGTGGGCCGTGAAAATCGCCATAGCGATATGGCCGAGTTCCGTTGCCGCCAAAATGCCACCCATTTGTTTAGTGTTGAGATCAAAACGCCGTTCAATGGATACCAGGGACGAGTTCGTATAACTCACGGACATTCCTTTAATTAAACGGATAATGTTCACCATATAAGGCAATCAAACTAAACAACACCGCGAAACATTTTCGTGAAAGTACATATTATACCGTACTTGAGCTACGCTTTTTATGGCACGCGCTAGTGCAACACATGATTATCAACTTTTGTTGATACTGATACTGCGCAGCAAAAGAAAAATAAACCTAATTCCAACAGAAGTAAGCTGATCACTGGATTTCGAAAAATACTGATGCATTTAAAATCAAACTAAGCGATGCAAACAACTTTTGTCAGTATTTATCGTTTTATGCGCTGCTTATAATATTTATCTGTACATGCTAAATTGTATTACTGGAGCATGTAAACTTTACTTATAAAATAACATATACTCACCGTAGAAAAGCAAAACGCCGGCGTACACTATGACAAACTGCACACGTAGATTCTGACATCCTTTTAAGCTCAAGTCTGGAATTCGCTGGACTTTTTCTTTCCATTTCTTTGATCGCTTCCTGTCGTGTGGCGCAGCAACGACCTGGTCATCTTCGCGCATAAATGCCGGATTATCCATACTTAAGCCAGGTTTCCGGATAAGTCAAAATGATGCAACAAAATATTCATAGCTTCAGATAATGATCACAACAAAAACTGCATCAGACAAGTACTTCGTATGACGCTTCAACATGATCGGAAACCTGTTGTAAACACCTGCACAGATTTGCCAGCAGTACTGCCAAATTTAGCGCGATGCATTGTGTCTTTTAACGCGACAAGGTGCATAATAGTGAAATTAAGCACAATATTAATATTAGCGTTTACACATAAACACATTCGCTTTCACGAAAAATATCAAGTGTGTGTGTGCACTTCTGTCTTGGTGACGTCTAGCGTGTTTCGCTAGTGCACTCAACAGTTCGTAGCGGCAACCGAAGAACTTTCCGCACAAGGCCGGCATAAGTATGGCAGTAATAAAATGGTAATCCGCTCGTTTCTTTGCATTTCCTGCAAGGTGCGCAGAAGTGACGATTCACATAAAATTTATCATTATTTGACGGACAGCTTAAACAATAAAACGGCACCGGAACAAAACTTATCAATGTTAACACAGTGGTTCTTTAATTTAGTGTACAAAATAAAATGCATCAATCAAATAAGTGGCCTTTGCAATTTGGTTTTTCATATACTGTACAACACGTTTACTTATTGTGGATGTCCAGTAAACTTACTGCCTGCGGTACAACCGGAACAAGCGCTGCAGGCGGTGTACGAATACAACAATACGTACGTGGTCGGTGTTAGCAACACACATCCTCCAGCAACAGCTCACTACCTGACACAGCCGATCGTCGCATTCCGCGAAAAAAATTGCAGTTGTGCAATTGCTAATTTTTATAGATGGAAAACATTGCTACTGTATCCAGCAGTACAAGGTGTTGCAGTTTAACGGATGCAGGTTAAGTAGAGTTTATATCGGTTTTCTTGGAAGACTTTGATACACCCGTGCGGGAATCGTCTTAGAAAACAATATTAAGTGCAAGTACAGAGCATGTGAGTTAACTAAAACGATTAACCTAACTAATAAGACCAATAATGCAAGCAGTTTCCATTACCGTTGATTATTACGTGAACTTTTCAAAAAAATGTGTAAGAAGTTCATGTTCGTATTCACATCTGTCGGGAATCGGAGAATGTCTTTACGGTTTTGTTCGATCCGTTCTCACCAAGGTAAAATTACTTCCACATACATAGCTGCATAACAAAAATAATAACAAATTTCGTTCTCCTGAAGTCAGATGGTTATGATCACGTGACGTATTTATATGTAGTACGTACTCAAAATTTATCCTAGCGAGCGTGCAGTATCATCGAAAGAAGTTCGCTGGCTGTGACAACAACCGAGCGTACGAGAGCTGTTATTGGCCTGATTTTTAAAACCTTTTATTGTACTGCTTTCTTTGTCCGAGACAGTCACGCTCTCGGGAAGAAATCAAGTTTGCTATAAGTAATATTGTGTGGAACAATATTGCCATCACAAAGGAAGCGGTGTCAATTCACTGTTTGCTTCCGGCGAGTACCTTTGGTGAAAAGATTTTACGCTACATTACCTCTTTACGCTTTCGATAAAGCACAGACATAAACTGCAAATTTTTTAATGGCCATAACGTTTTGCTTGTGTGCAGTATGTACGCAGATAAGTCAATGACGAAAGGTAATTTCAGCCCCTGCCCGACACATACTCTACTCGAACATTGCAAACTATTGTACAAAATTTACCATTCCAAAATGGTATAGGTACCATACCATTCCGGATGGTATTCGTAGTACAATTCGGATTCTACGGTATCGCAGGTATTAAAGCGCATCACATACCGCTTTTTAGGCTAAATAAAAGTTTACGTGCATGCCTGGATGGTCGGAAAACACTAAAACAAACACTGTCGTTATGTTTACACAATTGCATTAGAGCTCATTCAGAGACGGTTTGCCGGTGTGCAAGAACTACAGTAGCTGAAATTCTTTTGTTTTCTCTTTCGGATTACTTGTATCTGGTGCTGGCAGTTACTGTTAGTATTCGCATAGAGGCAAAATATCGTTTGATATTATAAAATGCTTATTATTACAATTGAATTATTAAGTTAGCAGCAGATTGGTAACAAAGCATTTTCTGCAATGCGCAATTTTACTAATAATAATAATAAACATTCCATTAAACTCTTAAATAGCTACACCGTACATACGCAGAACGCCGAACCCAGTAACATTTTCAAAATAGGTAGGTAAGATGGATACGATATGTCTCCTCCGGACTTTAAGGTTCGCCACTGTTGCCGACTGTATTTTGTGAAACGCGGCAGTGGGTACCGGTTCGCATTCGTTGCTTCTCACCGTCAGTACTCTGTACTTATCTGTACAACTGTACTGTACTTGAAGCAATACAGAAGTAACGTCATAAGATATCATTTAATTGAGTATTTACAATTTGGCTAACACTGCCATAGAAAGAACGGGTAGCACTTACAGCTAACCAAACCAGGTTTTTCGTTATCTTGATTCAACGTACAGTCTGTACTAGTTTAATACAACAAAAATGGATAACAAAGTTAGAATAACATGATATAGGTAATTAATTACCTCCTGCAAAAATTCGCAGAAAATGTCTATGCCCAAGCAGCAAACAACAATAATATAAAATGAGCAATGACGATCATTGCATCTACCTCGGTATCATTCATCTTCTAGCAATACGTATAGCACATATAAATGTATTACTTTTAGAAGACGATAAACAAATTCCATTCCAACCAATTGACAAGAAACGAAAGACAAAAATTATCACAGTGAGCTTAAAAGGACGCATAGCCTCATCAGCAGTTAGATTCTGCTTTCCACTACTTCATTTCTGTTAATCGCATATTCGAAATGGAGGGAAGGCCCCGGCGATTCCGACATACTCTGAGCAAGATCCGGCTTGGAAGGAGAACTTGTCAGCGACCCAAGGGATGACACGGACGTTGCCGGACTGGATGTTACTGATACTGTTTCTGGCCGGCTGCAGTCCAAAAACTCTACATCCCACATTTTCCAGGTGACCTTTAACGTCATACCGTTAAGTTAATCTCGAACAATCAAAAAGAATCGGCATCAGCGTGCCATTTAATTAAATTTTGGTAAATCGTGGCATTTATTCTAACGCAGATGTAAAATACTCACAATGCTGTCCAGTATTGCACCGACGGCTTTTATGCACGCAGCAGTTAGCAAAAACCGCCATCGAAATTGGTCCGTGTCGTACAGTTGACAAAATTTATGCTCGCCGCAGCTTGTTTTTTCCCACAAACGACAAGTGGAGTCTACAACCGCTCCGACGAAAATCGGAGCTGGTAAATATCCAAAAGCAGATGTAAGAAGAGATATTAAGCCGGTGGACATGGCTTTCAGGTCCGATGAGACCAGTCTGAAAGAATTATTTGCTTATGGTGTAATCTTCATAATGGCAGTGCCGTATTAACAGTTTCTGATTAATCAGTGTATATATCCAGCTGGTATTTGGAGGCACTACAAAAGTTTAAGGACTTCAAGAATGCATCGCTATTAATGTTACGAGCTCACCGATACTGAATCATAATGCTGCCGGATAAAGGAAGTCCCAGGCAGAACATGGCGATGAAAAATGTCACAACGAACACATATACCAGTGGGCAGTGTTTTTCACAAAATCCTCCAACCAAACGGCCGTTTAACATATCGTTTTCGATGTCATCGTAGAACCACATGGAGTTTTCCACACAGGTACAATTGTCGTAATAAACTTTCTGAAATAATTTCTTGTATCGTCAGATTTTACTATACGCTTTAGTGATTCTAATGATAAAAAACTAATAAAACTCTTCACATTTAAGTTTAATAAGGCATGGCAGCTTCTTTTACCTCTCCGACGATCTTTCTGGAACTACATCCGGCATGACACGGAGAGAAGAAGTTGACGCCACTTTTGGTGTCACACACGGGAATAAACTGGCTATCAAGGCAATCACACTGGCTGGATAAATCGCAATATGTGCCATTGAAGTGCACATTGTATCCTTTGTACGAAGAATAGAGTGTCTCGGAGCCGGTTAATCCCAGTACTTCCGTTCGTTCGCAGCCCAGTGCAACATTAACCAGCACCACAACACATAGCAGGAGAGCTGACAACACCAGCATTAAGCAGACATGCCGCGGCTGTAGATGAAATTTTTTTATCCACAATCCCCCCAACACTACACCAAGTGCAATTCCAAATATAGTTGGTACCCCTGTAAATTACAAAAATCTTCATCGTAAATACTATTTGCCTTATGAATCTCGGTAACCATCTGTAAACAGAGTCAGAAAGCGCAAAAGTACTTCTGCAACACAGGGAAAATTTAGAAATTTCCACGGAGTTGTTACAATACAATATCAGATCTTTTATATCGTCGCCAAAATCTACTTGCATGTATGTATTAATATAAATATACTATACTATATAACAGAGCTTTCATTCATACTACGTCAGTATGCAGTCCGTTCGCTGCAGCGTTGCACTGGATCATTATATCATGTCGAACAGCATCATTATATTGTGCACTCTCATTATCTGGTCATAGAGCTGCTCATCAGGCGGCCGCGAAAATTTAGCACAAAACCATTTGCACACATATTAAAAAAATAATATAAATCCATTTACCACCATATAGCGTTAGTCGATGAAATTCATCTCTGCTAAGAGTAATATTTTAACTTAACTTTTGCTGAAAGCCTATTAGTGTTTAAGAAGATAGTCACTAAAACAAAAAGACAAATGCCAGCGAAACCTACTTTATGATTAAAATTCAAGTATATTTTAAAAACCTGCAACCGCCAAAGCTCAGCGGTTATAAATTAACATATTCATAGTTCCCCTTTGAGTTCCTATTGCAAATACGCGTTTTCAGTACTTGATATTTTTTTCAGTAGGGAAGTAAATTTAGTATGTCGACAAATATTTTTTGTGATACGCATATTTGATAATCCTTTCGAACAAGATGAAGTTGAATACTGACAATCCAAATACTTCGTGTTCGAATTAATTTGCTTGGCAGTCACCTACCTCCTGCTAGGCTGGCAACGGAAGGTGTAAGCTGATACTGTTGCGCAATAAACTTGAAGAAAAAGCTTAGGAAACCTGACAACAATCACACAAAACGTGAGCTGATACACCTGCACATAGAAATGATCTGAATACAAAAAGTACATCGAATATGCATCTAACACATGCATGCCAGTGAATACAAATGCAATGCACTTATGCAATACAAATTAGGCTGAAACTAGTTCTGCCAATGGCTATCTTCCGGCTTCAAAGTAGACCGACCTGTTATTATCATTCCATCCAGCACGTTACTAAATGCTCGGCACATAAACGGAATATTGATAACTAGCCGGTGAAGGTCACCGAAAAAATCTAAAAATAAAAAAATTACGTAAGTTACCAATGCGTTTACCATCTGTGAGTACATCGTAAAGATATAGAATTTCATTTTCTTGCTTCCTATAGCAATCCACATCTAATATCGATAATATCAATAGTGTACAGGTACGTACGTAGGTGCTGATCGCGTTCGGCGTATCTGCATTTATACAGAATACGTTTTACAGTATGCGCAAATTATTGGTTTTTACAATATTCTCGCTACGTTTAGTGATTTCGTTGGCAAAACACTACTATCAACTCGATTGCCAAATATATAGTACGCGTTGCGTTACTGCGTATTGTAAAGGAAATCGATGAGCAGGTGAGTACAAAGTGCTGACCCCATGCAGCAATTCAATATGCGGTGCATGAAAACTGATATTACACCAACAACGTATTCATGCGCGTTACATTTCCACGAAGCGTTGGCATCGCAAGCTGTGTGGGAAATTCCTGTTGATGTTGATCCAGTTTCGGCATCCTTAACATCATCACAATCCTTTTGTGATATGCGAGGCGGAAAATACTGCACACAGAAAAAACGTCGATGCAATATTTCAAAAGCACGCAGATGTCATCAATGCAGATGTGAGAGCAGGTGGTGTTATTTCCCACAGATTTAGTTGGCGCTGGATATCTCCCTGCCCTTTCTTTAAATACGTTTACAAAAAATTCATCGGCAAATAATTTTTAAGTCAGGATTCTATGGATTTTGTACTTACAAATCCTACCGATAAAAACTAATAACTTTTTTTACCGGTTACTACTAAAAACCTAATCGGATACTTTCAGAAACCAATTTATAGCAGTCTTTACTACAGCAGAAAGTGTGCGCAAGCATAACAACACGTGCAGTTTATGCATTTTCATACTAACTGTTTGTGGCGATACACTAGCGCAAAGAAACGCAGTTAATTTATGAATTGGCACTGTATTGTAATCTTCTTAATATGGAAAACTAATTTGGTTGTTGTCCAAAACCTGTGCGTCGGCAGGCTACTTTTTCATAAAAATAAACCGGTTCTGCATGCAGCTTTAATTACAATACACCACTCATTATCAGATAGTAATTATCGGAGTTGCGGTAAGCACGAAGTAGTATTACAGCGGCCAAGGTTATGCCAAGTTGAAATTTCTCTCGCATACGATATTCAAACTTTTGCGCATTGTGCAGACAGTAAGTTGTAATAGTAACTGTTTACACACTACGTCACACCAACTTTTTTGATAGCTTCATTTTAGGTAGCCTGTCAGTACACGGGCCCACGCCCCATTCGCAAGTATGATGGTAGACTTGCATAAGCGTGTAGTAACTTTTTACAATTATACATAGGTTTTCGTGGAAGGCACGTACTGCCAAAAAATCGCCTCAGGAGAATTTATCATAAGCAATCTTCTAAGCTGACTTTTGGATTAGATGGAAGAAGCAAAACTTAACAAACACGTTTTATAATTTGCTACAGCTATAATGAGCCATGCCGGCTAATATCAAGTAAGGCTACTGTATATCACTACCTACAGTACACGCGGTACGTGAAATTATTACTAGCAATTTTGCAGACACTAATGCAGAACGATACATTACAGGACAATGCCTGCATACTTGGACTTACACCGATGAAAAAGGAGAAAATGATCATCGCACCTCCAGTGATCAAAATGCCCAAATACCACGCGGAAATCCATCTAGGATCCGTGGGAGCAAAATTCGGCTCTGTGACAAAAATGCACTTCAAATTCTAGACAATAAATGCGATGCATGCAAGTCAAACACAGAGGGAATTATGCCAAGTGCATCGAGAATACATTTTACGCACGCTGAATTCGTTTGTACAAAGAACAGCCTAGTTATAAATAAATATAATTCTTTTAAAGTAAGTAAAAGATGGAAGACATAACTTTCAAAAACAGATCATATAAAGCAGTAAGCAATGGCAATTTTTTATGACATTATTCTCTTCTACATAGGCGTACTTGATCCATCCAGAAAGATGCTGTTGCATATGGCTCCCAGTCCGAAGCCAAGCATCGGTCCAAATATCCTTCCGAAAAACGAGATAGCTACAGCAAAACCATCCATCAAGTATATTAATTATAACTTTGTCGCTCTAGTCATGTTCAATATTAAGCATCGTTCTTGTCAACGAACAAACATTATAAGTGGATGCTAGCATGAGAAATGTAAGTTTTTTACACATTGGGCTATATTACATACTAATGAATCGGAGCATCGTACTCGACACAGACAAACAGACAACAGCCTTGTCTTGAATGGAATACAAAGTACTGCACATAACCGTTACAAATGACAGGAAACAAACCGCAACAAAACGGGAATTTTAGACACTGTAAACATACTTGCTCGATTGCGTATTGTAGCCTTCAAAATTAACAAAAATATCAAGTGCAGAATAGTTGTAAGTTTGTAACCACTTGCTTTTCAATTGCATAAAATATCCCCGCTTCGCCTTGCGGAACTGTGGTGTACAATAATCAGGAAATTTTTAAAAAATCTTGATTTAAAGCACTTTCATATGTAATTCGATCTCATCTACAATTCCATGAAATTCTGATAATAATAAATGTCACTGAAATAGATTTAGAATATTTATGGGAAAGTATTCCGGCACGATTCCGGCAAAAAAACGGAAGAGTGTCGGCATACCGCATACGATGCGATTATCAAATTTTAAAAGTATACTGTCATAGTTTAAGCTGCATTTACCAAAATAAATGGGAGCATCGTCTGCTGAGACGTTGTCGTGTATAAAAGGTAAGCCAAGAATAATAAGACTTGTTGATGCAGCACCCAGAATAAACTGCGCCACTCCAAAGACCACGACAGCTCCCAGCCGTTCGGTGGCTTCTAGCCGGCACAGTGTTTCGTTATGCGTCACAGGGCTGCTTTGGCCGGGGTCGCACAAGACGTCCTTACTGGTGTCCGCTATCAGGTTGCCAAGAAAGGAATTGGGATCAACGGGGAAAAATATCTCCGGTGCGGCAAAAAGCAGCAGCGCCAACCCACAACAACACCCGCCAATAAATATCCCCCGCGGCCGGTGTCCCTTGCCTCCAAAATGCGCGGTGACCAGTGAAGTCAGGACTATTCCAATGTCGTTAATGGCCAGTATTATGCCCATTGTGGCTGATGAAAAGCCGAAGCGTTTTTCGATGGATGGCAACACGGAAGACATATAGGAATGAGCCATTCCTACAATGTCATAGCGAGCGTCACCAAACCCAATTAATGTTTTTTCCAAAGCTTTTGGACCAAAATATCTATGCTCAGAAATATACCGCTTTTGCTTCTCTACATAATACTACAGAAACGTACTAATTAACATTTGGCTCAATTAAACTTAAATTCTGAGATCGAGCAAGGAATGTTGAATATTTTCCAGTTTAAATAATAATATTCGCCGTATCGTTATTAATAAATCGTATTTTTATCACAAAATATTTTGTGTTCGATCAAATCGAAACTTAACTGCGAATTCGAGTATATTAAAATTTTAACTGCAAAATAATATTACAGGATTATATATTAAAATATGACGGGATATGGTAAATAAAAATAGCGGATAAAAATTATCGTAAATGTGATGAAAGCGGCATGAAACTTACCGTAAACTACCAACAAAGCCGTAAAAAATCCCATAAAACTGTGCATGGTATTCATGGTTCTCAGGTATGGTGCAGTATGACAGCTTGCCGATCCAACGTCGGCACTTGAAGACTGAGCAACCGACTGATCTGTTGCGTTGGCTCTCCTGTTTGTTATCCCCATGATTCCCGCTTATTGATTTTCCCCACAGGAAGTACGTTGATCCACAAACCAGCCGCCAATAATCATAACTCCGTTGGTAGAACGATAAATCTCGAGACTTCTCGCAGCTGTAATTCACGGTGCGCCGAACAAAAGAGCGGTAGCGTGTTTAGACTGAAGTGTATTGTAACAATGTTCCTTGTCTACCGTTTTTGCTCGTTGTTCATTTCCATGCAAACGTTTGTGGCTAAAACAAATGCCGTAAGCTGCATTTTACGCACTTGTCATTGTGAGTCATTCAATGGGAAAAACTGGTCGCACAGCAGCTAGCGCACAAATCGGTGACGCTCGCAGAACCCAAAATAACCGGTTCTATGTAAGATATTTCTTATGCATATTACATGATTCCTACCGGATGTACGACACTTTGCTTATACTGTTAAATTGTGCTGATGTTTGCAAAATTTTTGAGTGCCGGTAGAAACCCCGAATTTCCAGCTACCGCAAATCTTACATGCGGCCCACACACTCGATTACCAAAGTACCGTATGCACCTTTTGCCATCCAGCAAGTGTTCGACCAGTAGGAATTGAACAAAACATGTTTTATCTCATACACAATTACATTGCTTATTGTACCTGATGCACATTTTGATGCAGTCTGCGATAGTGTGTTTAATATTCCAGCTAGAGAAAAGCCGAAGGTTTGTAATGTTATACAGACTCTGTAGTTGGGTAGTTTTAAACATGCATTGCGGTTTAATAATGCAAGTACGTGAAAAAACCCGTTAAGCCATAGCAAAATTCAATTCGCATTTCCGGGACGTGATTTTGCATTATTTAAAATTCATGACACGAGAACAAATCGAAAAAAAATGAAAGTGATACCTATTTTTGCCGTTTAGCCAACGCAAATTACTAACCATAATTTTTATTCAATCGTGGATAGATGAATTTTGGGCTAGCGAATACATTTATCAAAAGATATCGATGAAGCTAGATCGCATCGCATTAAAACTTTATCGTTCGGATAACCGTGTACTATGTAAAGTCTGCCAATGCTCCTACAGCTGGTACGTACACCGCAAAATGGATAGACCCTAACTGGCAGCATCAGACTACAGCAGATACAACATTTAACAATTAATATTATAATAATTATTATACACCGCAATCCGCTTTCCGTATATTTCACATAATTTGATATTCTGGGCCAACTTCAGGCACAGCGCCAAAACTGGGAACACTGTTAAAAGTTAAAATACAGAAGTACTGATATAATAGTGATATTTATAATTTAGAATTGCAAAGTAATTGCACAGTCCGGCACGTAAGTACTACTTTACGTAGTATTCAGTTAACAATCACAAAACTATAGTTTCATCGACTAACAAAACTGAAGATGGAATTCAAAATTCTTCCACTTAACTACCAGAACAACAGCGACCCTCTTCTGGCATCGATAATCTGGGGGGCCAGGAATTCCGTATCTTCGTGATTTTCCGCGATAGCCTTGGCATTCATGGCATCTACCATCGTCATTGCCAGGCTCTTCCGTCTCATATCCGGTCTGTTTCTCTGGAACTCGTCCCGGTCAGGCGTCTCGGAACGTGCCGGCATGGTCATGGTGCGAACGCGCTTGGGCGCGGTCGGGGAGATCGGGGGCGGTTGGCTGACAGCGGATATGGTGGACACGGTTTCCAGATGGTCTTCAGACGGCGGACTCTCGTCAGAATCTTCCTCGCGAATAGTGGCAAAGCCACTCCGAGCCATTACGTCTAAGGGGAACGAAACTTTAGGGGTCAGCGGCGGCTTGCTCTCTCTTTCCTTTGCTTCATGATCACTAGAAATCTCGTCCGAGATTTCTTCTTTGGGAGGAAGAGACTCCGCTGGAGTATCGCGATTAAACTTCATATCCCACACAAACCAAAGAATCTAAATATCGATAAAAAGCACTTGCAATATGTAAAGTGTCAGGGTTAAGGCTTCATAACGAATAATAGTGAACGAAAAACCGAAAATCAAGCAGCCACGCGAGATGTCAGCTGCACTAAGGTCAACCTTAACCTTTTAGAGATTGCAGAATGACCGGGTACTAACAACTTTTACATGTTTAACAACAAAATTCGGACCACCTTACTATTAAGTCGAAAACGCAGGTGACAATCTTGAAGCATGCAACGATTAAATGGAGTTTCCAACGGAAACTTTGTGTGTTGTAGAATAAACAGGACCCAGTGTCGCCGCATGGAGATTTTTGCCAGTAGCGGCATGTAGTGTCAATGATAGCGCCGGCTATGATTGGCGCAGGTAGAAATCCGAACAACGACATTACCACAGACGACAGACCATTGGCCAAGCTCTTCAAATCATAGTCTACAAGCCTGCAAGATAGTTTTTTTAATGTTTGACTGAGCATATTATTACCCTTTGAACTGCATAAATTTATTAATGTGACACCCTAATATATTATCGGACAATCTGAATAAGTTGCGGCGGTACTCGGTAGCAATGGCAATGGCAGTCCCGTAGTGTGTCCACGAGATACTGTAGCTATTGCTACTGTCGCCTGTCACTGGAATTGCTGCGGCTTATTTAATTTGTGTTTATTACGTGACGGTCTTTACCTGAACTGCATCATGACTATCCCAGCGATGGGGACGCCTAAGAACAGTTTGGCTAGACACATGACCACGACGTAAGGCGCAAATGACGAACAGCTGGCCTGGCACAGTCCAGGAACGACGCTATCGGTAGCATTGAATTTGGAAGGGTCAGCAAAGTCCGTCATGGTATCCGACAGACACGTACAACTGTCGTAATACTTCGTCTGCAATTACAGCTTGTTCACGTTCATCCCTTCTTATAACTGACTTCAGGCCATTACTTTGTTGTTTTTAAATTTGGCTGCGCGACAGCCCGCAATGCACGCTGTGGCATAGGTTTGTCCCGTTCTTTGATCGCAGACCGGGTTGAATTGGCCGGAAATGCAGCCGCACGATTGATTATTGAAGCAGTATGGTGCATTGGTGCTGAAATCGTGAAATAATTACTAGTAACTGCTAGTCGTCTGCCCGCTTTTGAAACGTACAGATTGTAAGGGTCATCAACATCATCAATTCCCACAATAATCTGGTTTTCACAGCCAAATGCTATGACGATGAAGTAGGACGCTGCGCCAATAACGGCCGCTATAGCTGTCATAATCTGCACATGCCGCGGTTCCATTTTAAAGAACTTTATCAGCCAACTTCCCACAAATATTCCAATGGCGGCCGCAAACACTCCAGGAATCCCTACCGAATTCAGCGTATTAATTCAATTGTTTTGGTATTGTTTAGCGCTCTCGGGACTCCGGAGCACCCAAACGTCCAGAATAAAAATTTACGTACCCGTCGCCAAACTAGCAGTCGACTGAGAAACCCGATACTGCAAAAAGCGTATGTTGTAGGTTTAAGGTTTCATATATGTCAGTGAATGCGATACACACAAGAAAAACATAATATTTTTTGTTATTTACCTGTTCTTTGATGAACTTCATCAAAAAGCTCATGTAACCTACATAGGCAGAAATGTCATCAAAAGATACTCCATGCATCGAACCATCATAATACATTCTCAATATGTACACGGGAAGTAGAATTATGTAATGCAGATTACCGGAAATGACCAGTCCTTCCAAAAGCTGACTGAGCAGTTTAATCATGAACGGTAAATTCGTGAACAGTCTCTTCAGATTCGGCAGAAAATCTGAAAGGTACAAGACAATACTAAGTTTTCAGTTTTGCATAGTAACATTTTTGCGTTGCGTCACCTTTGAATGTCACACACTTGCGCATGATGCTCGCTCTTCGTTTTGCTTCGAATTCGGAAAAATCCTTGCATGCCTCGCTGGGATCTCGAACAACGGATGGAAACATCTGTCCGAACAGAAATAGGAAGATCTGTGTATTTCATTGCAGTAAGTATATCCGGAACCGACAGAATATGCCGATCGCGCTTTACAAATTTCTCGATGTACCTTGTAAATGTGCTGCATACTATTTCTGTAGTACCAGTAGAAGTAGTGCTTTAAGAGCTGGAGATGACAGTTACCGATAACTTATTCATAATTTTTCCATGCAAAACTAAAAAAACTATTCGAGAGCGTTGAAGGCAGCGTTTCAAGTCGGTGTAACTTTTGAAAACATACTTACCGTTATGAAAATTCCGGAAATTGCTATTCCGACAGCGCATACCAGCAATCCCAAATACCATGCAGCAATCCAGCGGGGATCCGTCTGGGCAAAATTTGGATCTATGAAAATTTAAAATTCCAAAGCCATTTTACAGGCAAAACTGATTTTAAATGATTCGCATATGCTTCGCTGAATTTTTGCGGTAGCTATCGCATTATCGAGTTGTTTCCTGACTTCCTCTAATTGCTCCGATATTGAGTATGCAAGGGGGTTTTCAACCACAAGGTTACTATTCCGCTGCTGTAGCAAGCCAGTACGTACGCGTGAAATCGAAAAAAATGCTGCTGCAAATGGCACCCAAGCCGAATCCAAATAAAGGACCGAATAGGCGCCCAATGAAGGACATCGCTGCAAACAAAACAATTGGCGGACAGCTAAAACTTGAGCCCATGAAATTTTTGTACCGAAATATAATGGAGAATTGCGATAGGTCACGTTATCATCGATAAAGGGTAACGCCAAGATAACAATAGTCGTCGCTCCCAAACCCATGATAAACTCCGAAACACCGAGCATGATCAGCGGGTACACATTGCTCTCCGGTTTGGCGGCGCCAACACCACATTGCGCGGGCAGCGGAGCCCTGGTAGCGTTCAGGAAAGCACTGGCCTGACAGAACTTTTCTTTTTTATCGGCAGCGCTGGATATGACAAACGACACAATGGATCGTTCCGTAACGGGAAAGGCAATCTCCGTGGCCGCCATCAGGAACATACCGGCGGCTAACAGGACCGCGCCGCCCCCGATCCATCGTGGACGGTGTCCAGCACCGGCGTAATGGGCCACGATAAGTGATACGGAAATGCGGCTGACGTCGGCCATGGCCCGGTAGATACCGGTCTGCTTGGAAGAGAACCCGAAGCGACGTTCGATGGACGGCACAACGGTGCTCATGTATGATCCATACATGCCTGCAGTAAATCAGTACTGCATAGGTCTAGGGTCTAGACTATTCAGCTGTTAATAATAAATTGATTTTTAATTACTGTCATGAGGTAGACCAAGATCAACCATTGCACAGCAGCTAGCTAAAGATTTTTGAAGATTGATGATCTACAGCTTACAGCTAAAGTTAAAACGGGTGACATATGTTGTGGGAAATTGCACCTTTAAATGCAATCGAACAATGGAAACCATGATTAAGTTTACAGGTTTGTTGTAGATACATTAATTACTGGCATTGGTGACTCGAAATTTAGGATGAACCGCGGCACACTCTGGTGGCACTTGTGATCGGCATACACACCTGCATTAAGCCACTATCAAACCATATCGTAACGTACCATGAAAAACTCCCATGACAATATAGATCAGCATGAATACCTAAAAATCAAAAGTGTGTTAATTTAAGGCATCGCACAGAGATAACAAAAATAACAAAACAACTCTAAGGATGAGATGTGCTGCAAGCTGGTAAAAATGGCGAAACTTCGCCCCCAGGTGCAACTTTACCACCTATCCTTATGCTATAACATTTTCGAAATATTTCAAATTAACTAACAGAAAAACGATAACCACACATGCGCATGTACAGTACTCGTACCTCTAACACGAACAGCCTAAACAGCGTACAGACATTATAATGATTTAGAACTCAGTTCATTAATGTGATCTATCACCAAACGCATTTTTAAATATGGGTGAATTTACTCTGATGCGCTTGCAAATTCAGCGGATTGCCCTGCAAAGCGTTCTATAAACTTCTGAGGAAAATGTGACGGATAACAAGTAGTTTACGCTTCCGTATTCAGTTTAAAAAATGGGTAAATTTTGCGCATGAGTTAATTAAGCGCCACTTTAATTCCGGGATACTTTCCCGCTAATAGATATGCGAGAAAAATCTGGAGAGGTGAATTTTGATAACAGTGTTAGAAGCATATACCCCAATATGAAAAATTATTAACTCTCAAATATCCAGATATCAGCTGGAGACGCAGTTGCAGTTTATGACAAGCATTAATCATAACTGACCTTCATGGTACGAAAACGCTGTAGCCACTGGGGAGTCCATCCGCAAATGCCACAGAAAACGTCATCTGCCAGTGAATGCTTGAAGGGATTTCGAAAGTGTAAAGCATCAGGAACATGGATCCTGTCTGTCCAGTCTTTAACCGACCATTTAGTCCCGCGGGATGATTCGGAAGACACCGCTTCCGATTTGCCCATTTTATCACGGTAAAGAGATCAATTCATTCGGAATAATAACTCACACCACGGAAATCGCAACAAAGACCGTATATAATGTGTTAATCAACATTAACTCATATCATAAAATATAAATTGTTTTAAAGATGCTTTTGATTTTGGTTTATTACCTATCGCATCCTATTCGTGTACTTGTTAAAAGGTTTTAAAGTGCATAATGGATCTTTTTGATGAATCCAGCCGAACACGAATATCAAAAGAATTCTTAATCAGCACAAGACAAGTTCACACGGCGGTATTGAAGAATTCCAATAATTATCCTTGCGTATATTACCAACAAAACTGACAAAGCAAAAAACTTTTTCAGGCTTGACTTTACGTGTCAATCATGTCGTTAACATATTCACGTTTGATAGTACATTATATACCGAGTAATATAACATAATTGTATAATTAATGCACGGCCGCTTTCATCGTTCGTTCACGTAGGATTCGCGTAAAAAAATAGCAGTTAACGTTTATCAAGGATGGAATTACAATGCTGCATAATATCGTTTGCTTCGGGGTGCAAATATGCATGAAAGGTATTGTACACCGACAGTAACTGGTCCTATTGTGCCGGAAATGTGACTGTGACGGCTAAATACTCTGCTGAACGTAAATTAGCAGACTTCGTTGTTTGTTGCTTGTACGTGTTATACAGAAATGTCTTTTGAGATGAGTACAGTACCGTACCGTATGCGGAGAAAATCATCAACAGGTTATCAGAAATGATTTGCTAAAAAAGATTTAGCTAAGAGCACGTTCGCATTTCAACACTGTGCTTACTGTACTTCTGATCTTTTAGATACCTACAATACAAAACTTGTTCCGACATAACCATAGAATTTTAACCGAAAGCACCGCTTTAATCAATTATAACGGCATTATTGTAGCGTGTTGATCGGTTTTTTATTTACGCTAGCCGCTCCCTTAATAACAGACATTTATTTTTGACAGGCGATTGAGTTGACGCGCCAAGCGTTCAACATAATGTTTTCCAATTAGAGACTAATATAATGTGCATGACTAAATTTAATTAAGTTTCGGAGAATTTATTGATCGAACAGGCTTTACCCGTTTTTTTGCGGATACTGCATAGTTAGCCTTGATGTATGATCGTTTATTAATCTGTAAAATAAAATTCTGACAACTAAATTGGTATCAAGGAGTGGACATTGCGCTGAAAGCGTTTTCGCACTACAGAACTGCCGAATTCTTAAAACAATTGAAAGTCAAAACGAGATAGTGAAAAATAAATAATTTATTGTACAGATACTCTATGTATAATGTGAAAGATGCAAATTATCACACTTAAAAAATACGAAGGTTCAACCAACAAAGCAATAGACGACGTCCTTAACTTTTCTGCTATGTTCTGGTAGTTTCAGTTTCTTTGTACGATGGTAAAGGCGAGATTCTAGGTTCTTCCAGTTCTGGACCCCCGTCTTGATCCATGCTACTGGCAACGAGTTCTAGCGTCGACTGTGTCTTTGCCGCATCTTCCGAATCTTGCAGTTCGTCCTTATCGCGGTCAAAGGTCATATTCCGAACCCGATAGGCCACCTGTGCCAAAATACGATTGTAAGTGTCATCGGTTATTCTTGCAGAAAATACTATGATATTAGGAGCGTGGATGCTTTCATTGAAGCAAACGTTTGTTCTAAAATCAGTAGTTAGATAACCAATAAAAGCTGATACAGTTCGATGCTTACAATAAGATCAAAAATCATGTTGATCAGGCGGCATGTTCCAACAGCGACATGGAGTTTCCAGCGGAATTCATCGGCTTTATATATCCAGCAGGCTCCTCGATTGCCACAAGAATCCACCTGCCACAGGCGGCACGCAGAATCGATCAGCCTTCCCACAATAATGGGAGCCGGTAGAAAACCGAACAGCGCCATCAACAGCGACGAAACAGCATTGGCTAAACTCTTCAAATCGTAGTCAACAATTCTGCAAGCACAGGCGATATATGTAGCTATATAGTGTCTACTATTCCATTTCCGAATTTTCCCTAAGTTACCCAGATAAATTCGGTTCACCGTACCAAAAAGTTGATAGGTCAACCACAAGCACAACAACTAAGTATATTCCATGGAACAACAAGCGAGTACTGATATAAAAGTTCCCTCGGTTTTTAACAACTCACAACTAGCCTCCGTTCTGCAATAGGTCATGATTCGTATTCCAAAACTATATAGTACCTGAATTGCAGTGCCAGCATTCCTGCCATCGGGATACCCATAGCCAGCTTAGCGATGCTCATAAGAACCACGTAAATAACGAAATTCGGACATTTCACCGGGCAGACTCCCGATCGGACGGGCGATAAATGATGACCTTTCCCTTGTCGGTATTTTGAATTATGCAAGTGGTTTGTTGTATTCACATAGAAATTACTAGTGTTCCCGACGCAAGAGCATTCGAAATAATACTTGGTCTGCAAAACACATCAAAGTTGATTATATATAATATCCGGAGACTGCACAACACATTCTGCAGTTCTTGAATTTTGACGCTCACCATATTTGCTTTCTGGGAAGCTTTGCACCCAGCCACACAAGAATTAACGATAGTGGTCCGAGTGGACCAATCGCACACTGGGTCGAATTTGAAAGCACCGCAGTTACATTCCTGGTCGACGGCGCAAAGGTTAGTGTTCGTTCTAACAAAAAAAAATCACGCATTGAAGCATTCTATCTGTAATGCAACCATCCAGAGCATACATCTCTCGAATTTACATGCACTTACAGGTTGTAAGGATTCGGTACATCATCGATTCCCATAATTGGCGCGCGGTCGCAGCCCAGTGCGAGAGCCGCAAAGTAACAGGAAGACCCAATAACGGCAGTGGCTGCCATCATGTAGCAGACATGGCGCGGTTGCAGGTTAAATCGCTTAACAATGAACCCGCCCAGTAATGTGCCAACAAAGCCAGCGAAAATTGGCGGCATGCCTGTGTAAATCCGAGGCGGTAATTAAAATAGCTACACGTTTTTCTAATCTTTCTTAACTGCTTTTTGGTATAAACAGTTGCTCGCAGTGTGTACAATAGTGCCATCGAAACAGCAGCAAACTGTTTGCATAAATTAATTCTAGTTTGCATTGGTATTCACGCATATCGCGCCTAATTTTCATTTTTTAAAGGTTTAACCATTCGACAGCATTTCATTAAATTTTTTCGTTTATCAAGGTTTTCAAAAGATTTTGTGGGAAGCTGTTGGTATCCACACATACCTCCTTGCAGGTTAACGGTAGCCTGTGGTAACTGATATTGTTCCTTCATAAACTTTTGAGCGAACTGCATAAATCCTGGAAATAAGTAACATGCGCTATGTTAGGTAACAAACAAAATTGGCGCACTGCTGTAATGCAGATTTCGTACCGGAAAGCACGAATCCACTAATTAACTGACTACACAGCTTGATTATGTACGTGGTGTTTTTCGCCAGTCGCAACAGGTTTTTTGGCAAATCTAAAACGACAACAACAAAGTTTGAAGAGTCATTAAAACTTTTATGTCTGCAAAAACGTGCTTGAAACGTTTCAGTGGCATTAGCTTGAAATGTGTTAACACACTGGATACCTGCAATCGTCACCGGGGTCTGCTGACGGCGCCTCGCAGAAGGCTCTTCTGACTTCACTGCTTTAAGATCTCGTCCGGGTTTAGAGTAATCACCTTTCTTCTGTTTCTCTGGGATTGCTGACGGGAAGCACTGAAAAGACGGGCAAAAACAATACATATTACATAATTTTTCACGAACAAGTCGTATCGCGCGTACCAGTTCGGAATCGGGTAATTAATTTATATGCATTGCCTTTTTACTTAAAATTTCTGAGTAATGCATTAGTAACTGAAAAAAAACAGCTTAAAAATTTTCAGTTGAAAGTTTCAGTAATGTTTTTTGCACTCGAAACGGGTTTTTGTAACCAACGCTGTAAGTCTGTGCCAAAAGATCGGTTATAGTGATGTACTCACCCCGATCATTAAAGCGAACGTGCACGTGCCAAGTCCGCTTATTATAAATCCCAAATACCAAGCAGAAATCCAACGCGGATCCGTGCTTCGAAAGTCCGGTTCTGATCAAACAAAAAAAACAACATTGTATACGAAGCGGCTAATAAAATTCTAATTAATGCAAAAAGAAGGAACTTGTCAGAAAGCTGATTAATAAGTGTGGCAAGTTGTTGATAACGTGAGACTTAATAATATCACCGCCATTGATTAGTTTTTGGTAATGTTTTCTGTATCACAGACTACGCTAAACAACTAGCTATGTCATACAGAAAACAATTACTAATTTATATATACGGAGTTCGAGTTTGATGACATAAAATGTTGACCTTTTTAGCAGAAAACAATATTACTGTGTGAGGCCGGATACGTTCAAAGCTACATATGTGTTTACCTCACATCTCACATTCTGAATTTTTCGGTATCAAATTTGTCATTAATGATCGTATAACCATGCATTACAATAATTTAATATGGACGGGTTTTTCCAAGATGTACACGAAAAGCAACGTTACTGTCTGCGGACTTCTGGCATGAAAATGTCAAGATGCAAAAGCATAATACAATATTTTTTTGCTGACTGATTTCACGAGTGCACCACATTAAATTTACTTTATGTATCCTCATGCACTGTGCATACATATATACAGCGCTGCATCAGTTTTTATAAAACCGCTAATTGTCATACTTCGCATAGGAGTAACCTTATAATTATCTGCGTCATCGCGCCTATTTTCTCGTTGTTTGTGTTTATCGTGAGATCACTTAGAATGCCACTCTAGTGACAGGCTTTGTAATGCCGTCACCCTGCAGTGCTGTGAAAGTAGTCCGCTTGTTACCTCAAATAGCCAACGAAAGGACATAGCTGGACATCCGAGAGCTTACTTGAAAAATTGAAGAAAATACTGTTGAATATGGCACCAAATCCAAGTCCCAACAAAGGGCCAAAAATGTGTCCACAAAAGGAAATGGCTGTAGATCGTAAAACAAACACTCAAACTGTTATTGCCACAAAGACGCAAATGGTTCTTTTATGTGATAGACGTAATAAACTTTCCCCTCGTTTATCGAAGAATCAAAACTTATTGCACACTACAGTCATGGAATAAATTGTTATTTAATGTTGATGTTTCCGAGACTCATTTGCCTCAGCTCATAATAATACGTCCACAGCACGAGCGTGCACTGGTACTGGAAAGTTAATATAGCGAGCGATTTTCGCCTGAAATTTCTTCCCACTTAAATCAAGCTTTGTACATTCAGTTCGCAGCACCAGTGCATCCTCGGATGTTAGGAAGCAGCGATTTATATGATATAGATTGGAACTGTTAACAGATACTTCTGTTAAAGTCCTTATTTCCTTTACCGTAATAAAGTGGGGCATTAGACGCTTTAACGTTATCGTCAACAAACGGCATCCCGAGTACCATCGTAGTTGTCGATCCCAATCCAATGAGGAACTCTGCCACGCCCAGCACAATCAAGGCTCCATTGTGGTCGCTGGTTGACTGCGAGTGCTGTTCGCCTTTTCCGCAGTTATACGTTCTATTTCGTCCACTTGATGCGTTACCGCTGTCGACGGCACAGTACTTGTCCTCATCACTCGGACGCAGGATCGTCGCAGAAACCAGAGAATGTTGTGTGACCGGGAAGAGTATCTCTGGTGCCGCCATCACGAGAAATCCCAAACCAACGACAAACGATCCCATCGCGATCCAGCGCGGGCGATGTCCAGCACCGCCGAAGTGACCGATTATGAGTGCCGTAAGGATATGGCTAAAGACAGACATACCGTCACGATCACAAATTTAATTTCAAAAAAAAGATTCACACAGTACTTTTAAGAGTACCGATTAATTTAAAGAGTAAACTGAAAACGGTGTATTGAAATTGCAAACGTTGATGCTTAATTGTCAGAAACGGTATTGCCTAATCAAAATGTGAATTTAGAGGTCAATTATCAAGCATCAAATACCGGCGCAACTTATCATGATGCCGCAATATAGGTAATTCAGTAAACGTAAACCTAAATGTTTTACAGAGCATCTATGATAACCGTTTGTTTAATAAAGTAATGATAATAAAACTGCACCCGTGAAAACCTTACCTAATATCGTTCATGGATTTTACTGTGCCGATTGATTGGGAAGAAAATCCAAATCGTTTTTCTATCGAAGGAAGGACAGCCCCGAAGTACGAGTGCATCATTCCTGTGGAGCAAATATGCTATAACCCGTTTTTGCAAGCGCATAGATTGCATTACCGAAAATGAACACGATTAAGCAAAAAAATTTGAATACAGTTAACCGAACATCCTGTGAAATCGTACAAACATGCATATCTCACCTTTAAAAATTCCCAAACACACGTAAGCTAGGAGAAATATCTGCAATACATCAAAAAGGCGAAATTTCATATTTGCATCTTTTTCGGTTTTACTGCGGTCTTTATAAAACAGCTTCTTATACCTTTATGTTGTTGCATAACTGCAACCACTGCGGCTTACATCCGAACATGCCACATTGATAATCATCGTCTTCTGGAATAGCAAGCGGATTGGGAATCCGCCATTTCTTGTACTTTTTCGCCTTTCGAACATCGTTTCCGGTACCCGTTGCTCCAAAGGCTTCCTGTGCCTTGTCGGTAGCCATCACTTCAGATCAGTTCCACAAAATAAAAAAATTAAAACTACAAAAATTAATGCCAAATATATCAATGATCCTATACAGCGATTATTGGGTGGGCTGTTCGGAAACAACGGACATCTGGCAGTGACAAATGCTCCGGAATCTCTCTTAATAAATCTGCCAAAGAGGTTACCAATCCGTAATGAAATATTATTCTCAGCTCATTCATAACACTATCTGCATAACAAGTGAGCAGCTTCGAACGATCGTTGAGAAATTTTTATAACTCCGAACATAAAGCAATCATTGTGAAGAAATCACACGCATCCAAAATTAAATACTACCGCTCAAGTTCATTTATATGCAGCGGCTATACGACGAAAACCGTGTTTGGCTAACTTGGAGAATGTTGTACGTATGTGTACATAATATGGTCGGAATAACGACTGACATTGCACCGCTGTCTACCGTAGAACCATAAGCGGAAACAGGAACTTCGCGAGAACTTTATCTAAACATTTGCCGGTATAACAAGAACGCTCAATAATTTTCTATGTGTGCCATAATGTTAAAAACCGGGGCGCGTGAGGAAGGATAAAAGTCGAACAACACTGACAAGTTTACAGTACCAAATGGCAGGTAAGCGTCTCACTTCACAGCAAACCAATGGCCAAAACGCCGCCAGCCAGGCAGGTCACATTCGAGGTGTGTAGCGTGAGAAAATTCAAATTAACTACCACGAGGTAATCGTAAAGTTTTTCAAAAAGGCTGCAACAAGTTTACCAAAGGGAATCCCCACAATACCGCTTTTGTTGTAAGTATGCAAAGCATATTATGTCCCGATGAATCGTGTTTCCCTTAAAGAAATCAGTACTCAAGGGTCTACTCGGTGGCAGTCACTGGTGGAAAAAGAGCAAAGTGTCGTCGCTCTGAATTACTTTGTAATATTACGAGTATCATTTAACTTTGTGGCATACCTTGAAATATGTAGTAACGCCGCCAGAATATATCTTCGTATTCCAGTTATGCTTCCACTGCAGAACTGTGTCAAATGTTGTACACATGTTTATTCACCCATGAAAATCTAGTTCGAAATTCTCAAAGCTGCTGAACATAATGAAAGCCAATTTTAAAGTTTTAAAGTTTAGTTTTTAAAGCCAATTTTTTCAAAAAATTGTCGTTATTTGTTTTTTGAATGTCACCTTCCTCACTTCTTTCCTAAATACACAATGGCGCACAATTTGTAAAGCGGCCTTTCACAATTTGTAAAGCGGCCGGACTATACTGACGCCTTTCAATGAATAAGAAAGTTAGCCTGACAAGTGAGACTCTAATTAGCATAAGAGTGTGTGGTACTGGTTTTCTCGTACAAATTTATCGTTTGCTTTTTGAGGCGTTCTTTCCCAATTATTCGCGATGCAAAACTGATAACATTAAGCGAAAATGTTATGTGGCCATGATCGGACTGCAAATAAGCTGTAAAACTTCCTCAATGGGAACTGGGCATAGCTTCCGCCGGCAGTATTTCGCGGTATCCGTTCAGCACTATTACGGTATTTGCGGCTTCCTTACGAGTTACGATTGTTATGGCACTTAACAAGTCGGCGATTAATTTCGTTTCACGGCTAATGGACTAAATGTTTTTCGCACTCCACATGTATGTATGTAATTGTGTGACGCGAGGATTGTTTTGTGAATGTGTAATGTAATGATTGCTGATGCGGTCCAACATGCCAGTATGCAGTTTCCGACCGGAAAATACTGTTAAAATGTGACAGTGCAAAATAAACACTATGCAACCATCAGCACCCTGCCACGCTTTTGCACATAAGGAAATGACTAAGGATATATTTTCAAAATAAACCACTGTTTACTGTTTAATTATTCTTCTTTACAGAAAATTCATTAACAGACGATAATAAATGTATAAGATGCCTGAGAAATAAACTACATTTCTGACAAGCAAAAACAGTATCACTCGGTCCCGAAAAAATGAAAACATTAGTCCCAGTTAAAACTAGCTCTGAGTGCTTCACAATTCACCTGATTTCACAGCTTCCGGAGACGGTGCTAAATGGACGGTGCCGGCACAGCACTAATGGTGAAAATCGTATCGACCAAAGACTTTTTGGACCGGATAGTCTCTTCATGGAATTCCAGTTTATCGGATCGTATTTGCAACAATCGCTGTTCCTCTTCCGTTTTGTGGTCCTCCTTTTCGCTTAATAAATACAACCATACACTTTGCAGGATAGACTCCAGCCTTTCTGCTTCGGATGCCACAAATTCCGTTCGAACGAATACGAATTCTCGTCGCAAAATCTTTTTCGCTAAGCGGAAGTTTCGTTGCTGAATTAGGCTAAGTGCAACATAAATCCGTGATCGGCAGCACAGAATCGGATCGCCAAGAAAGCAGGATAATCGGAGTTGCGCAACAGATATCTTCTGCGCTTTCTGCGCAAAGGCTCGAAACCCGATCTTGCCCAAGGCGGAGAAGGCTCCGCCCAGCGTTGACAACCACGCGAAGTGCTCTTTCAGGACCTCGTTCCACATGCATACTATCCAGACCCGTCTTTCCCTGCAAATTAACAAATCAGTCGAAAAAGATGCTACTGCACACTCATGACAGCGAGTCGCAGCCAACTGATAAGCCAACTTATTAGGTTGTATTAAAAACATCCTACATAAGGACAGTGAAGTGTGCTAGCTCCGTTTTTAAGGATTACCATAAGCGCCACTAGTATCCACATTTATAAAAGTAACGCAAACATTGTTATTCTGGCATGAGTGTAGTCAGCTTAATGCTTTCAAACCAGCAATCTGGTAACGGAATCGTGACGCTCCAGTTCCCATAAAGACCCGCACTTACCAAGCATAATCAATTTTGATCGCGCATGGCCAAACCAAATTAAGCTTAAGATGTACCACATCACTTTTCTTGTGCCCGAAAGTCCTTCGGAGGAACAGGATGAAAGAGCGGCGGAAACGTTTGTAACTGCACAAAGCAAACACAACACAGCTGATCAAATGCGGGTCCAAATTCAGGCTTCTCGTGGTCCCTTCTTTTATTGCGCGTTGCTCTTTGGAGATACCGAGGTGCTGTATTTTATGTTTGCAGGAGGAACTGCTTAATAAGCTTTTGTCGTCGCTCACAGATGGAAAAAAGCAACCAAATGCAAACTCCGAACTTTCCAGAGGAGCGGAGGCGATGCTTTCCTTGCTCTCATCAACGAGTGGTGCGCGCGTTGAAGTTTTCCACGAGGTAACCACACAAAAATCTGGTGAAAAGTATAGGGTATGGACGGTAACGCCGTTAGAATCCTTTCGCAATCCTTTTGCAATCGGATTCACAATTTCGACAACGGACAACATGATGTCTGGCGCTACTTACGATTAGAAGTACAGATGCCAGATATGAGATGACAGTACTCCCGTAGCATAGAAAAGAATCCCGTAGTATCAGTTAGAAACTTAAGGGTACAGTTATTAAAAAGTAACTTATTAGTGCACTGCCATAATTCATTATGGCATTGCAGCCATTGCTGCTTCACTCCTAGTCGCTGTGGTTTGTGTACTTTCCAAGAAAAGTCGAACTACACAGGCGATTCAGCATGGAAATCCAAAAATATTAAAGATTACACTTTCTTGCAACAAACAGCAAACTATTGATGATAACTGATAAGTTTTTGATTTTTACGATTAAAACGATATAATCCACTGTATAAATCGGCACGTCACAGCTGTTAACGTTCAATCACAACTCAACCGCCGAACGTCGGCGGAAAGCAGCTTACGTTGATAGCAACTGTTTCAACCTCCCTGCAGGCTGCAACAGTACAGAGTGTAGCAAAATGGATTATTGGATAATGGCATAATGCTCATATCCAATCTGAAAAACCATAAAATTAATAAAGAATTAATAAATTTGTCAGGTTGCTGAACGATCCATAAGGATAGAGTTTCGTTACAGTTTTCTAAAGTTTGTGTTTGGGAAAATCTTTTAATGGGATACAATGATGAGAGAAACAGGCCGCTGGGAGCAGTGAGTAGCAATTCTTACCTTTGAGTTTTTCATAGTGCCCTGTGCAACTTCCAGTACTCGGTGATCGTCTTGAAGTCTTCCTTAATTATTACCTGAAACTCCAATATGGACTGGCAAACGTGTCCGCGCTGTAAGTCAAGCAAATACCGGAATCCGAGCCTTGTCTTGATGGTCAATGTTTGTGGCCATCAACTGTGCGAATCATGCGTCGAACAACTCTTCGTGCGAGGCAGTGGAGCCTGTCCGCAGTGCCAGAAGCCATTAAAGCGCAGCGGATTTCGCGCACAATTCTTCGAGGATGCGGAGATGGACAAAGAAGTCGATGTGCGGCGTAAGGTGGCCAAAGAATTAACCCTGCGTCAAGAAGACTTTCCGAGCTTGAGAGACTTCAACGACTATCTGGAAGAAATTGAGAGTGTAGTATTCAATCTCATCAACGGAGTTGACGTGGATGGAACCCGCAAGAAGATGGATGGAATAAAAGATAGATTCAAGAAAGAATTGGGTAAAAGTAAGAATCGAAAAAGCAAAGATCAGGAATTATTGGATAAAGTCGTTGCGGAAGAAAAATCTTTGGGCGATGATGTGAACAAACGCTACATGCAGGAGCAGGTGAGTTTTTTAAACACTGTTTATCTGCGTTTTTATCGGCTGCCGCTTGCCGAGTACCTCTGGCGATTCATTTGAGCGCAATTCCTAAGCAGATAAAACGGTTAATTAAAACGTGTTATTAGTAAAATATCCCGATAATAACCGAAGTTTTGCGAATAAAGTGAAATACAAATACTAAAGCTCTCTAGCAGGTTTTAGAAGATAATTAATTGGTCATGCTTAGCGTTGCGTTCGGAAAAGGTTTTGGAATTTAATGAAGTTCCAACTTTGGAATATGTCTATATTCCATTCTAGGTGCTCTCGTATGATAGTTAGGCGTCGTTTACTGACATGTTGTGAATTCATATAATGTGCTTTCTCCCCTCTGGTTTATTTTGCGGTGAACGCTTAATTTTTATTTGTGTGTTTAGGTGATGGCAGAAAGAGAGCGTGCAAAAATTAAAGACCGTTTACTGGATGAGCTGCAGGATTCGGAGATGTCGGCTGCCGCTGTAGTGGCCATTCACAAACGCAAGCAAGGCATACCAGACACCACCGGACAGGAAGTCACTCCCTTACGGTCAATATCTGCAGTGCGACCAGTAATTCAAGAACCGCCGCCGCTGTTATCCGCTTCAGAAGTGGAATGGTTCCGGGCGCGCGATGTGGATCTGCTGAACGTGGAGGATAAACTGTCCGGACCAAGAGTGCCGCCGGCCAATGCGCTGGAAAAGGCTGGTTATCTCAACGCCGTTCGTGCTGCTCCGCCGGCCGAGGTAGCCATGGGATTTATCAGTGTCTTTCCCGCGAGGCGAGCACTCTTGTCGGCGTATGATGGATTATTTATTTTTCCTGATACGTCGCCCGTGTAAATTTTGCTTGGAATAAAATTTTTTGTTTATAGACGACCTTTCTCAGTGGTGCGCTTTCTACGTGTAATTACGCTGTCATGATAATTTATAGGGTACGATGCGAGATGAAGATTTCATTCGAACCTTTGTATCTGGATCCAAATTTGCCAGAAAGAACGACAAGTCTTTTATGTTGCCTGTCTTTGTTGTTGACGACAGGGTTGCCTTCATAAGCAACAGTTCCAAAAACATCGCGATTCAAAAATTTAAAAGCTGTATATTGTGATCTTGCGCTTGTGATTGCTTTGCGCTGTTGAGAATAATAATGACGATTAGATTCTTGGTTGTTAGTGTTAGTTGAATGGTTTTTCTTTTGATCTGACGATGACTGCACCTGTCCGAATATTTTTTGCCGGGACACATGTAAAAGGATCAAGCGCTGTGCTACACTATATCTATATTTGTTGTACACACACCGTTTCAGCGCTAGGAGTAGGCAATTTTATCACCGCATTAACGGAATGCGTTTTTCTGCTGGCATCAGGTGTATGGAACAGCTAGTGTCTCAAAATGTAAACTTAAACGTTTGCAATTTCCGGTTTTATTTGGTCGAATGTTAAACGAGGTAGAAAGCAAACTAGCGCAATTGTTGTCAAGTCCTTTATGTGGATCAAGAAATTTCTGCATGATTGATATCGGCTGTCGGTAGATAAAAATAATTCGCACGCTGTCATTTTGACCAGGTACACTGATTATTTTGGTTGCTGGTGCATCATATTCATCGCATGTATACTCGTAGTAGAAATGTACAAGTAACGGTAACGGTGCATTGTATATCTACCCTACATGTTGTAGTTGTGCCTTATGCGTGGGGGTACAGTAGGCTTTAGGATTTCTTAATAATTTCATGGGGTTCTTCAAAGTTCTCGTAGACTCACTAGAGTAGTAATTTAAAGTACACGTTCGTACATTGTACACATCAAATGCTGCGGTGAATAAGCATTTTGGGCAGGATTGCATTAAGACGTTTTATCTACAGCATACGCAGCTGTTTCGTTATCCATCATGCAGCAAGTTTGTTACGCAGTATTTGAATAGCTAAGCGTGCAAGAAGCCACGAATTTATCGTTCGCGTGATGCAATGCTATTCAAGATGATTTGTAATGACATGCCACATTACAAGCGCGATGAGAATTAATTTAAATTTTTTATTTTCCCCAAAAATTTTTGTGCAAAAATCTGGATGCCGTATTGTACGCGGGTAACGCACGTCGCACGATAGCCATCCACACTTCTGTGCTGCCCTTTCAGAACTCCTGATTTTATACAGTGCTCGCCTGCAGCCTACCGGGGAGATTTCTCAAATTTTTATACCTTTACGGTGTAGGTGGTTTATACTCTAGATACATCAGTTTTTATTGTTAGACCCCGCTCATTACTGTCAATAATTTTTATCCTTGCCCTGGCGATTTGCACTTCTTTTTTACGGTTGATAGCGCGTGCTTTACATCGTGTAATCATCCTTATCGTTGTCTTCGAATGATTACAAAATTGACCACGGCCAAAACTTGAAGAATTTTGCACTTATTGTTAATTGCAGTCTCGTCTTGTTGCTTATAAGTTAAGTATCTTTTCCATTTGCAAATGCATGCCGCAGTCGTTTTGCATCGGTCCTGGCATTTGGTTGTAACCTGCCCAGTTGTTTTTGGGTGAAACGGTCATATTTTTGGATCTCCTTTTGATCTGCGCGGGAAAATGGGATGCAGACAGTCAAAAACCGGTAAGCAAACGCAACGTTTGTCGTAACTCCGTCAACCGAGAAATCCGTATGCGTACAAAATGGTACTTAACAAAGCACAATATTTTACTGAAACCTGTTGTATATAGCGTACGACTCGGTATGAGTATGCCAATTTTTCATTAAAAATTGCCACGATCTGATGCCCATACAGATGGTGGAATTTACAGACTGCGTAATTACAGTGTTATTTCTGATGCTCACTACCATAGTGCAGTGCCATCATTCTAAGTTGTACTTATTGTTAATTTTGCCGTTTTGGTTTATAATTTTCGAAGCCCGGTGTCAATCAGAAAAAAGCCGCACAAATTATAAAATGGTTTAAGAAACTGTATTTGTGCTTAAATCAGTGGAATACTTGCATAAATTTCGCTAGCACCGAAACACCTCGACGCACCAAGATCGGTCGGTTAATTACCGTCTGTATCCAGGGCCATCCGGTGTACACCGATGACCGAGACAACAATAATTTACAGAACTAGAGAGTACGTAATGGACCAGACAAAACCACAGGTGCTACGTACTATCAGCTGATCGGTATTATGACTTCCTTGTTAAATATAATATTCCAACGCCGATATGACTTACTAATTATACCAGCTGTGTAACCGATGTCACAGACGTTCACTTTTGATACGTACTGCTTGACTGCTAATCGAACTGCATTACGATAAAATATGAATCGATAACGATAAAATTACGTACAATAAGGAATGCAGTTCGGTCGAGTCGTAATTAATAACAGACTTTAGTTGCTCTTTTATACAGCGGCATGAAGGATCTTTTGTTAAGGTCAATCAAAATTAATATCACAAGATACTGGAAGAGTAAAAGCAACACCGGAAACATTATAGGCATTCACAAAGTTGATTCTTACATTACAGCGTCTTTCTACCGTGCCTAGCATATCAAGTTTCAGTCAAAATTTTCCATATTTGAACATTTATTAATTTTTTTAATTTTCGCACAGTTGACAGACGCGACTGCAGTTTGCATGCTACGAGTAAGTAGTTTAAAATTGAAATTAATTCTCACGTAACGGTTTGTCTCTCTCTGATACGAGTATAGTCACTGCCTGCGGATGGATGTACAATTACAATTCGCGGTTGCACCTCATCGTGCTAAAAAGTGTATCGAAGCAGTAAGCCAAAGGCGGAAGCGCGCTTTTAATTTTTTGCGATTCAGCTGATTCTACAGTACATGCAGTCTACAGCGGCTCTACACCCATTTCTCTTGTTGGGTGTTCAGCTGTTCATATAAGCAAGTTTATCCGGTTTTAAAAAAATTAAGAGGTCTATTTGTTGCAGATTGCAACTGTAGGCATTTTTGTTTGTTCCGTCCTTTTGTTGTTTGTGTTTCTTCTTGCAACATTGCCTTCGAATCTTATATGCTCGAGACAAAAATGTCTGGGTTAATATTTTCCGGTGGTATGTGCATTATCGTTGCTGATCGATGATTTTGTAGTGGAAATATCTTCGGAAACAACTGGATCGCACAAAATGGGTAACGGGCACAGTCGCGATGAACAGCCTCGGACAGATGCAATTCATCGCGGTGGTCCTCCAGGTATGGTCTCCTTGCTGAACGCTTACTCCTGTGGCTGTACCGACACCGTAAATCACTGCTCGCCTTGGCATACCACCAGCTACCGTCCTGAGTTGCGGGTCGCAGTTGGCATCCATAGTAATGCATTACTGTTCCCATTGCAGAGACTGTGCGTTTTGAAACCAAAGACGAACCAAAAACTACCCCTGTTACTAAATCGGTGAACGGCGCGAAAAATGGCCAGCTCCCTACGGAATCAGAAAATTTTGAAGTGGTGGCTTGCAAAACTGACGAGATGAAGATTGGCGAGTAAGTTGGTCGTTTAAGGTGTTTTGTCGTACGGTACTATTAGCCTTTTTTGTCCGATACTTCATAATTTCGTTGCAATAATACACTGCTATATCAAAACAAAAAAAAATTAATGGCTTATGCGGTGCTGAAATTTTTTTATTTTTGGAATGCATGTACTGCCGTCAAGTACCGGCTTAATAAGATATTTAGTAGAAAATAATCGAGAAAATATCTGAAGATGATTTTTGTGGGCAGGTTCAATTTTGGCAGTTATAGCCGGTAATCGGTAATTCTCCTTAACTTAAAACGTTCAACAGGTAAAATTTTACGCAGGTAGGAAAAATTTAATTAAGATGTTTGAGAAACGTAATTATTATTTCTTAAGTTGCTTTCATAAATCCTCGAATTTATTTTCGTTTATGATAAAATAGTATTCTTTTGTCGGTTTCGTTTGCATCAATGTTTCGGTGGCGATTACCTACATGCGGATTCGAATTTACCGACCTGACGTAAAAAACGAACTAATTATTTTAGGATGCGGCATGTAGCCGTTCCCGGCGCCAAACAGCAGTTGTTAGTGGGGAAAGGATACGATGGACAACATTTTGCCATGACGTCTGCCTGCACGCATTACAATGCTTTTTTAAAAAATGGTACGATAGCCCATTTGTAGATGTGGCTGTGTACTGCTGTTATCCCTTCACAACCTGTAAATCGCGTGGTTTCTGAAGTCTAATTCCACGAATGCAGCAAAACAATGCGTTTAAATTTTAGCTGTGTTTAGGAGTGTTGTCAAATGGAAGAATTCGTTGTCCGTGGCACGGTGCATGCTTCAGCACTAAAACTGGCGATATCGAAGAATTCCCCTGCAACGATGGTGTTCATATTTTCCAGGTGAAATTTTTTTATGCCTTGTCGTTTGATCGCTTTGCGAATTCTTGCAGTTTCGGGAGTTGCTGTACTTACTGTTGACGGTTTCGTAGGTGAACACTGTTGGAAACGATGTTGTGGTTAAAGGCAGTGCGAAAAATGTTGACGATCAAAAGCGCGCCTTCCCCATGGCTAAATGGAATCGTGATCCCGATGGTAAACGAGTTGTGATAATTGGCGGAGGTATGTGAAATGTCTTGTAAATTGTAATTGCTACAATTCATTTTGGTAAGCGTTTCTGATTGACGTTTTGCCAGTCTTTATGATTTACGAGGACTGTTTGTCCGTAACGTTTTTAACTGCAAAGGTGTTCGAACAGGGCTGATGAGTAATAATATTTTCGACAGGTCCAGCTGCTTTAATATGTGCCGAAACGTTACGGAAGGAGCAATTTCAAGGCCAAATTATTATGTTGACCGAGGAACCCAGTATTCCCTACGACCGGTATGTTCTCGTTCAGTGCTGGTATTGATAAATGACGCCTTAACCAAACTATTTTTAGGCCTAAATTGTCCAAAGTAAGCGGATAACATGAGCAATACTGTTGCATCAGCGTGTTTAGTGCTAATGTTAATGCAGACGTTAGATGCCTCCATTGAAAAAATACAGTTGCGAAAGGACGACTTTTTAGCAAGATACGACATCGATGTGAGGCGGAATGCTAAGGTATTGACTTAAGGCTTGTCCTACATGGATGCGTTGATCTCACGATTTATTCCCGTTTTTCCGTAACTCGTTAAATAACGTTTTTCCATAACTCGTAAATTTGCCGTATACTTAAATCATCTGAAGTTGATACATTTCGTTGTTTTTTTCACTTTTACGATTGGAGTACAGCACTACATAACTGCCGTTGGGTAGTAGTATATATTAATGTGTTCAGTCGTTGACTGCTGTGTAGTGTATAGTTGTTACATTATGGTAAAGAATCGCAAAACTTTGAAACTGGGTTTGTATTTCAGGTCACCTCCATAGATACTGCAAACAAGTTTGTTTCTTCTACCGACGATTCTATCGAAGGAATGAAATACGATTACCTTGTGATAGCCACTGGTCAGCACGTCCGCACTTTGCCGATCACCGAAACGAAAGTTGACTGGAAGAATATTCATTATTTACGAACAATACAGGATGCCAACGCTATCGGTGAAGCGGGAAAAAAGAAGCATGTTGTTATCCTGGGATCGTCTTTTATCGGCATGGAGTGTGCCGCATACTTTTCAGACAAAGCCACCAGTGTAACAGTTATCAGCCGCACTCGAGTTCCATTTCAGCATGCTTTCGGCCCGGAAGTTGGTGAAGTTATCAAAACGGTACTGAATTAATTATGTGTTGTACCCTCCTTTGCAATCTTTTAAAAAATAATTTTCTTGTTTTTTATTCTGTTGCTCTTTCAATTTCAGGAACTTTTCGACAAGAAAGGTGTGAAGTTTTTATCAAGTATCGAAGGAATTGAGGAGTACATAGGCGATGAACATGAGCGACAACTCCAGCACTTGAAGCTTTCTGACGGAACCAAACTTGACCTTGACATTTTGATAGTTGGTATTGGTAAGTCTCGAAATGCCTTTAAATGCTTTTAACAGGTTTCGGCTGCTACAATTTGTGTTTTTGTTTCAGGTACGATACCTAATACCGATTTCTTAGCTGATTCTGGTCTGGAGTTAAACCCACGATCGCGTTCGTTAAAAGTAGATGAGGTACACATTGTGTTTGAAGAGGATTTCCTGCTGCACTACTGTTACCTGACAAGCAGTTCTTAGTTGTTGATTGGAACATCAACGCTTTGTCGGTTTAAAATACTCTGAACTGATAATTTTGTAGTTTATGGCAACCAATATTCCAGACGTTTACGGAGCCGGTGATGTTGTGGAGTTCCCATTGAAAGTGTTCAGTAGTGTGCGAGCGACTATTGGGCACTGGAATATCGCCCATTCTCTCGGTATAAGTATAATATTTGAGCATTAATCATTTTCGATCTGCGTCAGCAGCAACATCTTGACCAGCAACACCAACATGCTTCTTGTAACATTTATAAAGCGCCAAATATCTTTAGGTAGAACAGCCGCTTTGAGCATTGTGGGAAATAAAACTCCCATCCACACCGTCCCATACTTTTGGACTCAAGTTTTTGGGAAAAGCGTACGCTATGCAGGTATTCTTAATTTTAAGAAAAGTGTTTTGCCATTATTGTATACGATTCCTCAGTTTCGGCTTTTCATCATGGATTAAATTGTAGGATATGGATATCGATTCGATGATATTTTCATCCATGGAACTTTGGCTGGGATGAAGTTCGTCGCGTATTACCTAAAGTGAGCGTTTTGGGAATATTAATATACAAACGTATACTTTATTTTATTTATCTGTGCTCTGCAGAGGAGGGGAAGTGGTTGCCGCAGCCAGTTTAATGTACGATCCCGTTGTGTCACGCTTTGCGGAACTGGTTTCGCATGGGAAGAAGATAACGAAAAGCATAATAGAGTAAGATCGATTTGCGTATGGCGCGAAAATGATAAGAACTGCGAAGTGTGTGATTTTCAGGGATGATCCGGAATTAACGAAGTTAGTCGATGCCACATTTACGGCAGCCGCTTGATGTAATAACGTAGCGAAACAATTGTGAGTCACAGAAGTTAGGTTGATTTTATTGAACGAGATGGGAATGAAATTTTATTATTAACGTCTGTAATCCCTTGGATTTTCCTTATATTTACCGTCCACGAGTTGGGCGTGTTGTTTTAATGTTCGTCGGTGAGCTAAAGATTTTATTTATTCTGGAAATGGTTGTTGTATTTCTGCTTGCTGTGTTTATAGTGCCACTGTGGTTCTCTTAACAAGTGCGCAATGTATTGTTTTCCGCAAATTTATAAGAAACTCGGGCTAATGCTACGGTACAGGATGGTTTGCTCGTTTGCCGCAACAGTTTATTCGGTTGTTGTTAATATCGTATTTTAGTACAATAATAATTTCACTTTGTTATCGCGGAAAGAAAAGCGTGCCATTTGTAACCTTCGTAATTCCAGAAATTTGATCAGTTCAAACTTCAACAGATGAATTAAACTGCAAAAATACAAACTCCGCAAAATTCCGCCAAAATCTGTACCATGCAACATATGCCTTAGTTTCACACATTTCACTTTAGCCGGGATATACTACTGTTTGCAAACAAAAGGCACAGGAACCTTATTCAACTATTCCCACTTTTTCTCATTGTTTAAATGCTTAAGATGGTCATCCATCTTCACATGGTCAAATCCAAACATATCCAACTTGATGCGCTGATACTTCTCGCGATTCGCCAAGGCGGCGTCCCAGTCCGGCTGACACGCTTCTTGTGCCTATTGAATAATTACAACAGAAAATTCTTTAATCCGTCAGTCCTGCCGTCAGATCACTACTACCGTAAAATATAATAATTAAATCACTGTCAAGTTAACATTACTAAAATTCCCAAAAAAAGAAAACCCGTTTAGATTACAGATTGAAAATTTTGGTTTCTCACCTTAAGCTTACGGTACGAGCGAGCTAATACGGCAACAAGTGCCATGTAATTATGAATTGTCAGCCCGGCATAAAGAAACCTGGGCAGAATTGATGTACCTCTGTGAGATAAGGTTTGGACAGCAGTTTCATGCACTCATATTCCCACGTTAACCGCTTGAGCGCACTCGAGCGGACGCCTTCGCCCATGGGAGGAACCAAACGATATTTACTGCAAACGAAAAACCATAAGTAAACTATTCCATACTACGAAGTCCTAATGAATATACGCAATGGCTTTCTACTGCTGCTTTGGTGCGCTAGAAAGTTACGGAAGCAAAGAGAAATAAATTCCGATCAGCACTTGTACATAACAAAAAGCATACGCGTACTTAAGTTGTTCAGAAACCAGAAATGTTATTTCCTGCAATCAAAAATTCAAAACGATCACAACGCTAAAACTGCTCGAATATCGAAATTTAAGTTATAATACAAGAAGGAGTCTTATAACTCAAAACATAGGCAAGATACGGCCGAAATTTGACTTGAAAAATAACAATCCATAACTTCCAGAACCAAAAATTCGCAATCACAATCGATGCACAAACGACATGCGCTACAACGAGTGTGTCGTTCAGGATTCCATTGCTTACCCTATCCACATGTTTCCCCGTGGGAATTTCAAATTTAAAACCATTGTTAGCCTCATTCTCACGAGATCGAAGACGAAAGATGGACAGCTGACAGTTCAAAAAGCCGATGATTCGATAGCAAACTGCAAAACCTTCCAAATCTTGTAAACAGTTATTACGGGATTAAACTTTGAAGTTTCTGAAAAACACCAAACATAAGTACGAGTACTGTATGGAAAGCAGTACGCGCCTTGTGCAAACTCATACAACTGCAACGGAACAGTTTATTAAGCGTTAAGGCTAAGGCCCAAACCCTCACTAAATTACCAACTTAAACAGTCTACGCAAAAAGAAAGGGGAAGAGCTACTTTTCCAAAGACCGAAGAAAAATTGGAAATTTTAACCGGAAAACAAATAAAACTGCAAAACTGCAAAAGCAAAAAATAGACTTACAGAGTTCCAGCGCCAGGATTCATCAGCCAGCTGCCACCCGCTAGAAAAAGCGTGTCGGCACTACAAACGTTCTGGAAGAGCAAAGTGAGCAAACCCCGAAGACTGAAGCGTCGAAGTCACGAAGTGGAATAATTTTCAAAATTTTTAAAGAAAGGAGTTGCGATTTTAGTATTTACAGTTTAGTTTTTACTTGCGGACGTACTCAGTAAGTTTTCTTACTCGGCAAATTTTGATGAATTTTTGTGAATTGCCTTCCAGAAACCATTAAGATGTTTTTGCGGTATATAGTCAGGTGAGGAAACCATAATTAGCCAGCGGATCGTATTGTTAGGAATTCCCCACTTGAAAGGATGCTGCATCTGATTCGGATGTTGGCAAAATTTAGTCGATTTATTATCAATTATGTTTACGACTATTTGACTTGCTTCAAAGCTTTCCACTGGTTTGTAATTCTCGAAAGTATTGACATACATTATACATCCAGAGATGTTGCAGGTATATGATGAACCATCCAGAATTAGTGGAAAGGGTACGTGATTTTTATAATTGAAATTATTTTCACGACTACGAAGTACAGATCAGATAGTGTTGTGTGACTTGTGTCGTCGGAATATTGAAGGCCCGCCAGTGGTTTCTTATTCCGCATTCGCTGTGAAGACTTAATTGTTTCGATAATTGTGTAAATTAAACGAATTAATTATGCGAAGTTATTGTGGCGACAAGGTTTTCGCGAGGTTGTAAGTAGGAGACCCGAGTCGTTAATAGTATGCTATTAGATAATCGATGTCTTTTACTTTTAGTTGGCCCAGTCCAGAATTATAAGGAGTGCAGCGCGTATGTCAGCGGGATCGTTTTTGAAGTTCAAAGGAGCCAGTACGTCACCAGTATTTCAACATCAGTTTTAACAGCACCGTTCACGGTTTCGTGCAGTTTAGGTGATTTTTTGCATTAGGCGATGATTTTATGCATTATCTGTATCGTACGGCTAACCAGAGGTTGCCGCAGCAGTTGAAGCGTGACAATTCTACGGACAGTGCTGCCCGGAAAAGCTGGAATGAGCAGCAGGCTGCGGAATCCCGACCGATGGATTTCTCCGCAAAAGGCGACGATCTTCTGCAGGGTAATCGTTCTTCCTTCAAGGACGCTCCGCCTCCCCCTAAAGACCATGAGGTCCAGCGCGGCCTTGAAGACACCATTCGCAAAATGAGGGAGCACATGGAGCAGATGAAGAGGCAGGAAAGGGGATGATTCTGATGCGACTGGTGTGACGGGACACACGCTTCCCTTTATGCGTACAGTGCAGAGTGATCATTGTGTGTGCACGCTTTTGGATGGCTTTTGTCAGTTTTCCCGGAATTTTATCTGTACTCCTACTGTAATTATTAATTCACGGATTATCGCCGGTTTGGGTCTTGCGGCGATGGATGATCGATCTGTTGCTGACGGGGACTGGGTGAAAAAATTTATATTATCTCTTATTAATTTAAAAATACCGCTGTCGGCTGACACCGCCATAATGCCATCGTAATATGTACGGTATAATTATCGTATATTATTTTATTACTCTATTTTATTGAATTAAATGTAAGTACTGTGAAATGTTGTTTTTGACATGTTTTGAAAATGTCATCTCATGGGGACACGGCGTCAGTTTAAGTACTGTATAATTTTCTGTTCAGTCTTTCGCAGTTTTCCAGATGCGCTCGTACAATTTTACAGTACTGAGAACTTTTAATAGTACCGAGTTCTGCGAAGTTCTTGATTGTTCAAACAAGCACCCGACTATCTGGCTCCCTTTACAACCGGATACGACAACGGGCACTAGAGTAGTATACATATGGGAGTTTGATCATCGCAGGTTAAGTCTTGGATTTCATGGCATTCACATCACGAAAGAATTGCTAAGCCATTTGCAAAGAATACTCCAAATACTGTATGTCTCCAATATTCAACAATGAGTGTACGCACTACAGTTGATACAGTACTTCCGGACACGGTTTATATGTATGTATTTTGCTTTGTATCACTATTTAGGTTTGGAATATTTGTTTGCGTTACTATGCAATACACCTGTGTAGTACTGTGTTTCCTGTTTTCGATAATTCTGAAACACAAATTTTGAAGTCGCGAGTAAAAGTTATCTGCGTCCAGGATAGCAGAACGGAAAGGTCACAATATGTCCCAGCTGGAATGTGAACTGCAAGGCTGCATGCGCAAAGCCAGACAGTACGAAATGGTACAGCTTTGCATATAATTTTTTTATTTTACAAACTATTTCGTATTTACGGTCAATCTGCATCCCCATAGGAAAACCCTAACGCGCTGCGCCAGCTTACTCAGCGCAAGGTTGCACACATCCTGATCAGATGCGCCAGGAGGCATACTAAAGGTCAGACATGCAATCAGTGTGAATATGGCGCTCCCGGAAATCAGACTCAAGGTAACATCAAACAAGTTGTGTTGCCGTCACACCACTGAAAGAAATCATTCTCCACGTAATCAATACAATATGTGTGCAGGCTGCATGATGCAGATCGCACATCTTTTGCATCATACTATTGGCTTTCAGTTCAGTTGTCGTTGAAATGTAACGGATGTATTTCAGTTTTCACGAGTGGAGTATTTCGCGTAGTTCGCGCTCACACCTAAGTACATAGGGCTACATTATATTTTTATGTAAAGCTTAAATAAAGAGTATAGCAGTATACAGGTATACCATACTTTTTTTTCCTCACGGTATATCTAACAAGTTTAATAAACAGCGCTAATATTAATAGCTTATAATTCTTTTTGTGGTGAAGATATTCGTATAGAACTAACAGAAGCGTTCAACAGACCTGACCAGCTCATTAGTGGAAAATGATATTATGATTGCAACAGCGTGATAGTAATTATGAGCAGTTCCATGAAAAAGCCGTACATTATTACGCAGCTGCCCACCGGAAGTCGGGAGCCTGTCGGACATCCCCTCCTACTCCGGCAGATAATCCGCGCAGCCCTGTGACATCCGTCTGCCGGTGTTCACCAGGCAGCTGTGATGCGACACCTGACCGTTGTACACGCACATCAACATCCGGTCGCACAAGATCGCCCAGCAGATGCTCCGGATCCTGTTCGGATGATAAGCGATCCCCTTCGCCGGATCGACGATCCGTGCAGACTGTAGTTTCAACCCGATCCTCCAACAATCAATCCCAGAATAAAACAAGGAAAAAATCTCAGTGTACAGAGTCTAATTCTTTTGACAGACCTGCAAGAAGCATCAGTCTCACTTGTGAGCAGGCTATACGTAAACGCAGACCGAGTCGAACCCGAGCAACGACATCCAGGAAGCGAAAGGTCACGTAAATGAACCCCTTTCTAGACTTGAAACTATGCACTGGCATGGTGTATGTATCATATATATAATTAACTGTGTAGTCTTTCATGTTTTATCGTCTATGGAAAAAAACTAGCGTGAAATTCACAAACAGGCTTTTAAATTACTAAGCCACTTAAACGCTGTTCTCTTGTTTTTTCCGATTAGGTTTTAATTTAGCTTCGCATTGTGTTTTATGCGCGCACAATATCACGAGTAGAATACGCGCTTTCTAACCATAAACGCGCATAATAGGCGTCGTTTAACATCGATGATCGCTTAATACGATTTCAGTGAACGACTTTGTAACCCATACCAATTAAATCTATCTGCCGGTTTTAATGAAATGGCAATTATTAAAAATCTTTCTAATGATTTTTTCCAGTTAATCAGCATCTGTGCTTATCAGATATCGATTGCAAATGAAAATAAAATTGTTTTAGATGCGACAATTATATTTTATTTTTTGGGAAATTTGGTATGCATCGATGCTATGCGAGCAAATCTGATGCTCGCTACCCTTTGTCCTGCCGATTTCTAAAATGAAAAGCGAGGCAGAAATCATTCAGCGTTTCAACAGCTAGTTTTCCATCTTTTGATCAGAGTAAAGTGGTAAAGTAGATAATTATAAGCCATAAGGGTATCAAAATACTTGAACGATCCAATTGTATAAAAGTGCACTGGCATAGTTCACAATATGCAACACGATGCCTTCTCTTTTTTGGGATACTTCGGATTTCGTGTTCCTGCCAGCTGTTCCACATTTGTTTTATCTTTGGGTACAACATTAGCTGATCGCTGCGAGTCGGTTTTCTTTACGGAGGACCGCCCTCGTCTTCGGCTGTGAAACAAAACAACGAAATTAAATCCTCTGACACTACATTTTGTTGAAATTTTTAGAACGATGCAGGGCAACCATAACCTAGCAAAAGATGCAATTTTAAAAAATATAAAATTTGAATGCATCTTTATTTCGTTATTGTTCCAAAACGCAGATGTGATTATGCCGCACGAATTACTGCACAAACTCAAAGCTGTCAGGCAGACAACTTGCCGTCACTGTATATTCTTTGTTTGATAATTTCTGTCTACCTTTTTGACCTTTGCAGTCCGTTTTGCTCCGTCTTTGTCCGGACCATTACCAGGTCGGTGGCGATGGAGGGTCGTCTGACATTGAGGATGAGGGCACTGTATGCATCACTGAGACGTCGTCGCAGGGATAATCCATGCCGGCGGCGCGCGCTGCCCTTTCCGGCGTAGGTACGGCGCGGCAGGACATTACCGCCGTGTGTCAGTGAGATACGCCGTGCGGCATTAGGAATCATCTCCTCGGGAAAGTCTGCCAAGGCGAACAATGTGGAGAAAACGTCACTGATGTTGCTATTCTCCTTGGCGCTGCACTCCATACACGGCACATGGTCCTTAATGCGCTGCAGAGCGTGAGCGACCTCGCCGGCCGGCACAACGCGCTCGCGTTCACGGTCGCTTTTATTCCCTGTTCAACACACAATAAACTAATGTACGCCGTTGAATGCTAATAACTATAAATTCCAATCAGTGCATCTATTGAAGATTTGTGTAACAGAATTTTCTTGGTGGCATGTTGTCGCTGTTCTCTATGTATATAATAGGTCTGACCATAATTATATATCTTGCGCATCCTTCACACTTTTACACTTCGTTACACCGCCACAGTATGCGGATTAGTCAGATGTTGACATATACGCGTTTACGTGCAAATAGTAGATGTAGTTGCACAATTTCGCAAACCGTTCCAAGTCAACTTCTAACCCTTTTTCTGCATGATTTTGAAAACCGGAAGACTGGAGTGCAAATGATGTACATACTTTGTAGTATTTACAATCAAGCGATATCTACTTGTAAAATTTACAAGTTACAACACACAATTTACATGCTTACATTTTCATCGTTTACATTTAGCTTTATTTACATTAAATTTCCATCATTATTTAATAATGATGAAGCAATATAACCAAAAGCATTTCCGCATTATGACATATATGTAGTGTGCGATAAGTTATCGGGTAATATGACCTCCGCAGCTTGAAGAGTATAATGTTAATACGCAAGAACGCAAGTACGTTGTAGGTTAAAATTCTAATTGTATAATTTTTTAAATGTGGTGTCAACAATATTAATACGACAAATAGTTGTACAATCGAGACTGTGCGAACGAAGGGGAAATCGAGGCATGAAGGCGTGCCAGAATGGGTGCGGTGTATCAGGGTGTGGATTAACGTGATCTCTGTAGTCTGTACGTTGTTCACAACCCTCTTAGCCGGATGTGCAACAGTTAAACATGAAGATGCGACTTCAGAAACCATTACTTATCCATGGTTAGGATATGCCTGCCTCTACTTTATTCCGCTAATTCATTGTTATTCATCAGGCATACTGTGTTATATATAATTATTTAATTTATCGATCGACTCAAATTATGTGTACACACTACACAGGTTAACCTATGTACGAATATACATACAGGGCATAAATAGAGTAAAAAACTAGACACTAGCTCTCCTCTAATTGTCATTTGTCCATATAGCGGTGTAAAAAGCTGATTAGCCCTCATTAGAGTTTCACGGTTGTAAATCTGGATATGCATAAATCAGAACGCAAGATGCGATCCCTCTTGACACGAATAATTATGTATTCTTAGGGTACTCGACAACAGAAACAGTCTTGACCTTCAGACGAAATTGAAATGTATGTGAGACGACTGGAAATAATGTGTCTGAACTAGCACTTACGATCTAATAGTGTTCTCGTATGTCGGTTTCACGTATGCAATTATGTGCATCAAAACCTTAGATACGGTGTTTAGATTGCATAACGCAAAGTCAGATTTCTCTCCCGTTCCGGTGAATATCATGCTTAGCCAAGCAACAGCTACCCTAGCGATCTGCGATTGACCAAAGCTTATGTTGCACCGTAATTGCCATCGTGACTCTTACATATTCACCCGGAGAGACTTCTCCTGTAAGACCTCATCCTTATATGAGCCCGAAGGGATCCCTTAATATTATTTACACCGACTATTACACAAGCTGACGTGATTACCTATCGGCTAATTCTCAGAAAATCTTTTGGAGAACATATGCCAACGCAACATGACCTTCCGTGAATTAACGCAAATACTAATAAATCAAAAATACTGAATAAAAATTAGTGCTTTTTATTGATGTATATGTGGCAGGAAGCACTGTTCAAGGCTCTGGAAATATGAAATCTGGTTTCGCTGATGCAAACCCAAGATCGAAAACTTTATTTGCATAACTAAGGACAAAACCTGTAGAAAAATGCAATGAATGCTCATTCTTTGATAATCATATAGTGAGATTGACGAGTGAAAACACCTTTCACTTACTACTATTAATCGGAGCATTTTGTTTGCTCAAATACGACAGAATACTATACAGACATAATACGGACAGAATATCTTTACTATATTTATGTGGATACGGTAGATAGTGTTACGTGTGCCGTAATTGCACTACTATTTGTAAATTGAATGTTATTAGTACTGAGTAATTTGTAAAGGTAGACAACTGGCCATATCGGAAAAGACAAGCGTTCTCACCTGCAATAATCATGGGAATGGGCAGATGCTTGGGCTTGATTTTACTGTTAGTGCTGGCCGCGCTGCGGATCGATTCGACAATCTGCTCGCGCAATCTGAGGACCTCTTCAAATGACTCCCGGGAATCCACGCTGTATACCAAAATGAAGGCATCACCTATAAGTCCAGGAAAACCGGCGCACAATATAAAGACCGGATGTTAATTTGCGAACAAGTTGGCGCTAGGATCTACTGCTTCCTATCGCCATATCCGTACACGCACTCTGTGCGTCGTCCGTCTATTATAGACATGGACACAGCAGTGGGTTGCGTACATGTTAAAAATGCACGAAACTCTACCCTCCTCAGATGTTGTTGACAGATTGGCCTTTTTCTATTCAACCTATTATGCCCTGCCTTCTCCAGCAGGACACTTTTGATTTCCGCCCCAGCTTGCCTGATGTGAATAAATATCCGCTTGCATTATGTTGGCAATGAATAGACCTGATGACCTCTCGCTAGTGTCCGCGGGATGCACTTGACGGGATTAAAAGTGCCGCAGCCGGGCGGGAGCAGGCGTCAAAATAAGACAACATAGAGTTAAAGCAAAAACATCAACCAGACCACCCATACAGTTGTTTGCGGTTTAGTGTTCTTAGGCTCCTAACTCCCGAATGCTCATTAATCACTATGATGGATGCATAAATCTTTTTACAAAACGGCAACGTCTTAATATTTCGCAACCATGTCAAGTACCCAGTGGATCTAATGCGGTTCGAAACTTATTTTGCGTTAGGTTTGGCACGGGAATCACAAGTTATATATATTGACTATCTATGGAAGGTATAGAATCCGTTTACGGTACATGAAATTCCACAGCGTTCAGCTGAAGCACATGTGGAGTTTGGTTGTACTACTACATAATTGTTTTTTTAGCATTTGTATTCGTTCTTTTGGTATTTATCCTATAAAGTTCAAGAAGACAAGACCATGCATAAATCAACAATCGTCAAAATAAATTAGTAATTAATGTGATGGAATGCGGTCAGCGTGTAAACTGGAAGCATTATACGGCAGCACGGTGCTACCGTGCTACTACACTATCTCAAACGTAACTACGTACATTCTCCAAATATCAGAGATGCAGCACCTGTTCTGTAATAGCATTTCTATGATATTTTAAAATAGCATTTCATGTTGAGCCACTATCTTCTGCTACAAAATTTGTCAGTTGTAGCGTGTACAAATTATTTACCTTGTAAAACAGTTTACCAGTTCCATTGAGAAGCATGTTAACTACGGTACGTTTTAAACTGCACTGAACAATAAAAATGTACCTGGGTGCAGGGACTGGCAGCAATGATGCCTTTGAAAGAGAAATATGTACGCCTACCGGTTAAAAATGACAGGCGCCTCATGGCGGGAAAAGGATGGATACCGGACGTGTCCAGAATGTCCAGTTGGAACGCCTCCCCTCGAATTTTATAGATTTTCCGATGGAAATCCTCGATTGTGGGTGTATAAATGTCCGTATATTCATTATGTAGAAATCTTTTGACGATAGCGGTTTTGCCGACTTTTGCTGAGCCTGCAACAATCAGTAAGGTCACGAAAACTGGACAATGTGCAGCGGTGGTTTTACAACACAAGCTGATGTTGGTATTAATTACAGCTTACCTAAAATGATTAATCTGTAACAATTACAAGGTGGTGGCTGGGTGCACTGTAATTCTGTTAGCAAATCACTCATGTTAACCCGCTGTATACAGTGGCAGTACACGCGTTTTTACACTTGGCACGATGGCACAACAGAAATGCCGGCACTGCACATAAGCACCGCCACACCGCATCAATCTAAATTATTAACGTGGTTGACATGCTGCAATAACACATCACACACACATACACACGGCACAATCCATTTCCCCTATAATAATCCAGGTTTGGCAGCCAGCATCACGCAACAAGCGGTTTTCCGGGGATTAAAAACAGGCCCGTTAAACGCTAAAGCCCGATTGTGCTAATGGACTTACCACGACACTGATTGGCTCCATTATTCATAGCCAACCCACATGTTAAGATGTTTACCGGCTTCCAGCTTACCTTACAAGATTGTACCCAACCAGAGCGCCGGCGAGCGCGATCCCATCACGGGAAAGCTGTTACTCATTTGGGATAATCATACCCAAAATGCCCGTGGTCTTTATCGCGATTGATGACGGCACTATATTATTGCTGCAGCCCTATTCGTGCTACATGTCCAATTTCGCACTCTGGCACTAAGTGCAGCACGCGCGAGAACGAACTAATAACTTTAATTGCTGTGACATCAGCAGAAACCTTCCTAACACGGTTGTATTTTATTTTTCGATTCACACCGGAAATTTTGGGAGAGGCCGAAATACGAAACTGTTTTGGCAATAGGTTTTCTTATTATTGTTTATTCACTACGCATTTTACTACGAGTGTTCCATAATAAACGAACTTCTATAATTATAGAGATATATAAGAAGAGATTTCAAAAGCATATAAAAATGCACGCAAATCACGTCAACCATATCCCAGGTGTGTTTAGCACACAACGCATCCCATGCTGTTCCAGGTATGGCTGTCTTCGTACAAACAAAAATTCAATAACTAATGTACCAACGCTCTTTTAAACGTCAATTTATAAATTGTGAACCAGTGCTTTATCTGATAATTTTTCTAATTTGCACTGTGTTTTCGTCACTAGAAAAAGGATTTTAGCGCATGCAAACAAATCTGTCAACATCCCAAATATGTACTGTACATATCTACAAGTCTACTACAAAATTTAGAATATACAGCAAAAGGGTCACGCTCTTGTGCTCTTTTGCAAATATGTAGAACTACTTTCTGTACAACTTTATACGGAAAGTTTAGAGTCTTTCGTCGCACGCTCTAAATTTTATTTAATTCATCTTCCGGTTCACAAGCGCCTATAAAGAACTGCCACCATGCCTCCAGTTTTTTTTGCGGAACAGACAGAAGTAAAAATGTGATACATGTTAACTAGCACACAATAAAAACTTAAAACCTGTGACGGCTGACATATCGTACATCGTACGAAAAGGTTCTACACTGTGCAATAAACCAGCCAGTCTTACTGACTGCCGAAAAACACAAAAACGAATAGCCAATACATAAACATGGTTGCGGTAGCTAGTACGTAGATACTGCGAGATAGTCGTGGTACATAATGAAGCCAAGAAGCATGTTAAATAAGGTTAACCTTTAGGTGCCGTTATAGTTTCAGGCTTCGGTATTTAGAAATTTTCTTTTTGCGAATCATCCTTTCCACCTGCGCATGCATGCATTTTGGGAACTTGTTAGGGAGCCAATCCATTGTTGCTATTAGGAAGGCGTGTTCTTTGCAAAACATTCGTGCATGGTATCCAGTTCTCGCTGCAATGAAGGACGTTTACTATGGATCTGTACAGCATTAATAACTAATAATAAATAAAAATAACTATGAAGAGCTTGAGTGAAAAAAATACAGGTATTATTCAACTTGCAAATGGTTTCATCCAAAACGCCGCTACCACATTGATCGCAAAAACATGAGTAGTACATACATGAGTTTTAAAAGCGCAGTGGATTAAAGTTAGAACTATAATAGTGACCTTAGTCATAATTCATGCTGCATGCCCTGGTGGTACTAAAATTAATTATTTAATTTTTACGTTCGCTGTTTGAACTGTTGCTACGGTTTATGTAAATAAAACAAAATCTTGATGGCCTTTTAAATTAGCCGTCTTTTATAAGTTAATTAATTCATAATTTGGTTGCAACTTAGAGGACAGTTAACACAGATATATCTACAGCAATCATACCTTGCAAGCATGGTAAACCGCAACCACTCTTAGCGCCTGAGCGGCCTCGCAACTGGCGCTGTCACCACCAATAAGCGAGACGCCTGACCTTTTCCCCCAATTGGGCGAAAAGTTGAACTGGGCATCGGCAAAGTAGAAGCTGCCAACCATGGCAAAAACAAGAAACAACTGCCAAGAATCGGTTCATTTTTGCAGGAGAAAAGGTGGTCGTACAAACTGGGAGATGGATTCCGATGAGAAATGCTTATACATTCAAATACAACGAAGAGACTAAGTATTCGGCTTTATATTTGAAACTGATCTCCAGTGTCTGATTACTCTTGTGCAAGAACACCTGGTATGGTGGCACGATTCATATTATTGCATTTCCGAAATTACGGTAAGCTTATGTCGGTTTGCTTTCTGTTTCGTCAGAATTGTTTCCCTTCTAGAGACTGTCTGACGAATTTGGAGAACGTTCGTGTTCCAAATAACGTTACCACCGGCGCAAACGTGGTTAGCCTTGACGGTAGCCAGATTAAAATTGGAATCTTGTCCAGCACGTTATGTTTCCGACTACACCTCCAACTGCGACTTCAAACTTCCAATTTTTCCGACGGTATGATTACGTACGCATTGAGACATCGCCGCCCATTTCGCTTAAATATGTTATTCAAGTCATGTTAAAACAAACTCAGATATGTATGATCTGGAACCTGGATTTTTTTACCTGTGGGTGAAGATCGGTTTTGATTATCTTCGGTTTAAACGATTGTTATACCTTGGTATTTTATTAGATTTTGTATGATAGTACATATATATAACGTATTCAACGGATTTTGTATGACGATACGGTTATGCTAATCCAGACAGTCATCTATTATGATTTTGCAGACGTATAATGTGCCACAGTGCAATAATTCTACGACTAATTAATGAACAAATTCAACACACAGAAGGGCCTCTAATTGATACGACGCGATCAGCAGCTTGGTGACCGTGGTTCTTGTGGTGTAACTAAAGCCGCTTTCAGGATGACTAAATTCGGCGGAAGACCAAAGTGGATTGTTTTGTCGGGTATCTACAGACTACGTACGTAGGAGTACAAGAGGTTACAACTTTATTTTGGAAGATTAATTTGCATTTGGACTAGAAAGCGATTTGTTTATTCTGTACACCACCAACGACATCGTACACCCAATACATGTGTTATACTACAAATTTGTATCACGTACATAACTGACTAAAGGAGAAACTTTTAATTTTGTTAAACTCTTAAGTATCACATCTATTCGGACTGCACAAAAGACTTCGTCGTTATTTTATCTTAATCGATAATTATTGATTTTCTCCATTTTGGTGCCATCTTTCTTTTTCTCGCTGCGAAAATTCTTTCGGCGACTTGTACAAACCATCCACAGTGTCGAGTAACCAATAGGTCGTCATACTTCCTTTCCCCTGAAATGCCAGATCTTCTAAGGTTCGCGGTACTGATATCAAAGTTAGTCTGTACCTTAATACAAACTTGTCCTCTTGGCTCAGTGATGAAATTTCCGGTGACATCCAGCAAGCACTTTGTGACTTCCGAAATATGAACTTTGGATTCTGTAAAGGTTATCAAGCGTAAAACATTGGTATATTAGCGTTAGGTATATTAGTAGTTTCAAAATATGTGCTTTTGTGTGCAGATTCACGTCAGACAATGTCAAAATATTAAACAAAACATATTCTTAAAGCGCGTATTTTTCCTATTTCCCATTCATTAGTGTACAGATTCATGTCCAATATTGCATAACGTTATGCTGATCATATTGTTCTACACAAAGTATTTCAACAAATACCGTTATTAATGCCATGCAAGAACTCGCTTTGCGCTTGTGTACCTTCGCCATTTGTTTCGATGCGACTGGCTGTGTTGACGGTATCTCCAACTCTACAGCAACATAAAAAGTAGTAAATAATTACGAGAAACCAAATAGAATCAATTCAATAATTAGCAAGAATGATACTAATGTAGCGTGGTTAATAGATTATTATAATGTAGCGTGAAGCTAAAATACTGTACAGCGATTGTGATTCAAAGACTTTAAGATTCTGGATCTCATAGCTCCGGATAAAGAATTTACTTTCTTTCGGGATTTTTTTATACGTTAGACCATTTAGTTTAGCATTTGAAGACCTACAGAACGTAATGTGGAAGCCGTTTGCCGATGACAACCCCAACACAAGGCCCTAAATAAAAGAGCAATAAAACAGGAGCTTCCAGGTGGAATAAACATTTTGCATACACAAGATTCGTACACATAGTACTTTGTATATACAATACAACACTCGTACAAATATACACACCGCCGTATATATATCGTACAAATACACACACCAACATTCTTACACATATATCAATTTCTGACAATTCCGGTATGCGGGCATAAGTCAATACTACTATGTTTCTTCTACCGCGGGTCCTACAGGGCCGCGACCCGCAAAGTTTGTAGGGTAATCACGATGATGCAACTTCACCGCGGTGACCTTATACCCGAGTTAATTCCGATACGCAATATAAGCCGAGCGTCGCGGCCATCCGTGAGGCAAGTCAGATGATGCGTTGATCGTAACATCTGCAAACTTAATCGCCCAATTTCTTGCGCATGCATAATTCCATTTCTTGCGGGAAGCCCACTTGCGATCTGGAAAACGGTGCCTAATTAAAATATCTTGAGTACTTTATGTCATGGGAGTGTGACTGGGTGCCGGTTTATTGTCTTACAACCCCAAACTTCTCACTTTCGACCGACCATCGACAGTTACAACGCAGTCATAATTTTTTCCTGTGAGTTTGTTTAATTACTACTCGTACCATACCATGTACAAATCTGTAATCGCTTCCACCTTGTATACATCGTAGGATGGAATTAATGTATCCAAAATGGAATATAGATTATGCAGCAACTCCACAATCATTAGCGGTGAACAGCATGTCACAACCAGTTTAAAAGCCGGAATTTCGCTAAACATCACGGATACCGATTCAAAAAACTCGGGTTGGACGTACTTCTTGTCTCTCAGCTCTTTAGCTATGGATCTACGATGCAAAAATGATTTCATGCGTGTTGCACAAAATAAAGGGACGTAATAGGGAGTAGTACTTAGGAAGCATATTCCCCAGAAGCTTGTCCACTTTATCTGCTTCTTCACGCAGAGCAATAGTGCGATCAGCCACGATGCCTTCTAATTCCAGATTATATTTTTGCAAGCGTATAAGGAGACTGTCAGTAAAGGATATATTCGTATGGGGATGGACAATATTTAAGCCGTGCATAAAATCTCCGATTGAAGGGCGAGTTTCGGGGTTGAACGCCCATGATCGGTATATAAGGTCAACTATCGTCGGGTGTGTGCTTTTGATTTCATATGTAGAAGGCTTTAGGAAACCGTTCTTAACACGTTCCACCATTGCTGTAATTAACGGTCAACACAAGCACAAGTTAAAAACATCCTACTTTCAAAAATCAAACAACGGCTGCGGAAATTTTCACATAATTGCGACTATCATTTACGTACCTTCAACTGCAACTGGGTCGAACACATCGACATTGAATGGAGTTTTCCGGGTAGCAATTTCATACAGAATTACGCCCAAGCTAAATATGTCTGCGGCTGGTGTATAGGCATGATTAGCATTCCGTAATACTTCCGGCGCCATCCAGAGACGGCAAATTCGTGGAAAGGATTCAGCGGATTTTTGAGAGCTTTGTAGAGACTGTTGTAATTGGTGCATTCCGAGTCTAACAATCTTAAGACTGAAATGTTCGTCGATGATAAGGCAAGAAAAATCCAGGGCCCCATGAATACGCAGCGAAATTCGACCGATGTACTCTAATGCCTACAAATATTACGGCGGACCAATTCAGTATTCACGTAGGGATCGTTTTTAGTGTTAAAGTCATTAGAACCGAAAACTTGTTGAAATAAATAGTTTACGCGAAACAGGTCCCAGATAAGTGAGAAGCGCAGGTCCCAGCTGAAGGCAAGGTCATCTTGATCAATGTAGTTTCTCAGAAGTCCCTTCTGGCCGCATTCAACAATTGCCAGCAGTCTTTTGGACGTTGGTGTCCACTGCGACGGGAACAGCAGTCCGAAAAATTTGCCCAAATTGGGATGGTTACATTCTCGAATCTACCAAACATACGGTAAAGTAATGACTATGAGCGCAGTTGGCATGCTGTAACTGAATATGAAAAATAACTTAGTTTACTGCGGTTTATTTTTAGTTGAGTCAATTTGTGTAAAGCGGTTAGCAATTTAGGAAATCAAAATCCAATGTAAAATTTAACCAACCGGCGACCTTTCTAAACCAATAGAAAAAAGCAGTTCAAAGCAGTGCGTTAAAATAAAATTTTTTAGTAAAAACGTAGACATTGGTAAGACAGTTTTTAGGGATACCTGTTTCAGCACAGCTATCGCGGCTCGATTTTGCAGGACATCGTCAATTCTTTTAATATTTGCAACATGAGCCGCTTGTACACGAAATGTTTTGTAGAGAGCGTTTTGAAATTTAGGAGTTCCATCGTAGTTGTCCACAAAAGGTACTGCCAAGCCGGCAAACCTAAACACTGTTGGATTCGTAGTCAAATCCACAATGTCAGCATTTTCTACCATCCACCAACTGTTTTCCACTAGCTCGGTTTTTCGCCTTCAAAGAAATCATAACCAATTTCACTACAATGTAACTATTTAACCATCAGCAGTTATTGTTGAAGTTTTTGCTCTGATACCTGCAATACAAACATATGATGATGATTATGCTAATTCCCAAAATTCCAAGAAACGTATCCAAAGCATAAGTTCCCGGCGTAACTAAAATATAGATATAAGCATGTATATGTATGAATGAAAACAGGAAGAAACGCTTGTTGTCTATAACAAAATGCAAAAATCTGATAATATAACTCATCTGCGCATTCTGATGAGATACAGATTTTTAAAATGTGGCATACAAAAAGCAATAAACGTTTAAAAAAAACCTTTAAAAACGATTGGGAACACTTAACACATACACATCTGCATGTATCGTACGCTATTTACCGCTTTGCATAAATTACTTTGTACCATTACCATAAATTACCATTACCATCGTAAGCATTGTACCTGTTGATGCATCCACGCAGATGCGATCAACACATGGAGGAAAGCTGTTGGCCGGCAGAAAGCCATTAGACCCTGGCCACGAAAAATTTCCATTCACCACAAAACTTAGGCTTTCCGTTTCCGCAGAATAAACCCAGGTTAGCTGTTGCACAACAACCAATAAGTGTGACCTTTAATTAATGAAGAATTCAAAAGGTTAACGTTTTAATGCAATTCATTTCGGTTTTGAAACATAAGAGTGCGAGATATAAGGTATCTGTACTTTACTTGCACAGCGGAATGAACTCTCTGCTGTGTAAGCTTGTGTTGCGCACTTACTGTCGGAACAAAGGTCTGGTTGTCATACTGCTTGATGAACACATCGGTTAAACGCATTCCATCAGGGCCAACGGTTATTATTTGCCCTGGTGTATGAAACGTGTTGTTCAGAAATAATTTGGTCAGGTCCATCCCATCCATATCGTGTAAATCATCGTAATGGTCATTAAGAATCTATTTTTGAGAATAAGGCTACTTGTAAGCTCTGGTTGTGTTGTTCTCGTTTCACGTTATACGCATAAACATAACGTTTTCAGAGCTGCTGTCAAAGCGTAAAAGAGCGCAATAAGCAAGCAAAGTTACCTGTAAAGCCATATAAACAGAAGCGTACGCAGACATTTGCATCAGGTTCAACTGCAAAACAAAAGGTCACTAGGTTTATAGCCAGCGTCGTCATCCTGTCATCAAGCTCATGTCCCTTGCGCTTATTCTATATTTCTCAGTAAGCAAGTATTTGTAATAACGCGTTGAGCCTGTTTACTTGAGCAGTGGTTGGTATGTCCGTTCCGTAATTTGAACGAGCTTCGCTCGTCACTTTTCTCCATTCCTGGATCAGCCGAGCAGTAGGAGGGTTCATGGCAGTTATTTCAAACCAAAATGGAAGTAGTCGTCGCGACACCTGCATAGAGGAAGTTATAATTACAAATACGTATTTGTTCAAATCCAAATGTTTGTACATTCTTACATAGTTAGCGTAATAAGCACACTATATTAACCCTGGTTATTTCGTCGTCGGTATCCCAGCCAATCTGCTGTTTTTGAACGACGGACATATCCGGAAAGTGGATAGCCAGAAAGACCTGCGGGAAAAATGACAGCGATGATAACGTGTCGCAAGCACATATTTATTTGGATGCAATGTTAGTTCCAAATTAAGCAACAAAAGTTATTTTCCTTTGTTTTGAACGCTTGGATACCTGTAAGATACAATACGAATGCTGACAGTCAGTCAGACTTACAAACTTTCCTGTATCCATTTTCAGATCAACAGCCGACGCCTGCAGAAAGAACAGAGTATAATAATATTATAATAATTTTTTTCGTAGTTATACTAATTATTAACGTATTTAATAAATTAAAACGCAACCCATCATCACTAAAATAATCATAATTTTTTCAGTTACACGGTGGTGTGTTACCATGAAAAGTTTCCAGTAGTCAAGAAGCGCCAGAATCAGGATGACTACAAGCAACAACAAAACACCCACGTCAGTCTTTTACTGTAACTTTTTCCAGGTTATGGGTGTCGTATGAAAAGCTAAAAGATGAAACCTCAGTCCTGTACTTACAGAATGTATTAAAACCAAAATAATACAATTACCAGTTTCACGCATTTTTACAAAAGACTATACACTACTTACGCCATATGACTACCGTATTATGTTACCGGTAAGCGGTAAGGACAGGCTATACAGTGACTGCGCGCACCGGAACTGTAGGATTTCGCTTGTGCCAGCGCATCGCTGATCTCGGTACTTGTACTGGATACAATATTAATAATTAAAGGATTGATTGTCGACTGATATTTAGCAAGAAAACGGCTTATGAACAGGCATCGCTCAGGCAGAAGGGGATCGTCGGAATCCCGGTGACAGAGAATGCTCAAAGTTGTCCAGTTTCGCTGCTCCAGCAGCAGCTGCAACGATTGCGACACCGCCGCAACGGCTGCTGCTCCCAGTGCCATGACTGTTGGAAAACGCCGTTTGTCACTAAATATGTCCATCGAAGCCGAACTACAATCGGGGATAAGGAATCATCCACAATTTACATACGGCACAAACGACGATTAAATCCAAAAACATTAACAAGCAAGATGTTTTACCTAGCAAGAACTGGGAACTGGAATTCTGAAATAAAAGTGGGAATAACTTAATGCGTAGCTAGACTTGAAATGGTACGTACAAGATACAAGACAGACATATCCAGACAAGTATACTTTATCCAGACAGACAGACAAAATGATCAACTACAAAAAGGGACGCACTTTCACGTAAAAGAGCGCTAGCGTGAGTTGTGAGATACCGCACGCGTGGACGTACCTCGAGCAAAGTCGCCGACTGGAATGACTTCGGTGCTGCATCCTGCGGTAAAACAGTTAAATTTGCAAGTTTCTTCTATTGAATGTTCTTCGCTAGTCGTATTTGAATAGGGCATTTTAAAATCCCTTTGCGTATGCTAGATCAGCCATATAAGTGGTATACAATAATAATAACATACACGAAGACTTAAAAATAAATTGTAAGCGCAGAGTGCGAACCACATACTCTTCAGATTTTGTAAAGCTCTGAATGTTCCAAACATCCAAATTTCACAATAAATGTGATACTATAATTATTAGAAGTTGTTAATTAAAGTGTTCTGTATTAAATTAATGCACCTAATACTTATATTTGCATACCGTGACAATTCTAAAAAAAGTTACGTAAAAATCCAGTTAGCTGATTTTTTCTATTTGATGCACTCGAACAAATGCAAGCATGGCGAAAACTGTAATTAATCGTAAGTTTAACTAACGCGAGCAATACGTACAGCATTTCCTTAAAAACATCTTCCTACTGGCTTTACCTGGGGCCAACAGAATGACTGGTCCGGACGTCTGTCTGTCCACAGTCATATTCCACATTTCGCTCATCAGAACGACCATTTCCCCAGCTGCCTCCCCACAAGTGAAGTTACCTGGACGATATTTAACCACGGTTGTCAGATTCTGACTAACACGCGGATACGTTGGTAGAACTTCCCGGAAGGCCACATCATATGCCGGCTTCGTGGTGGAATAACCGTAAAGCGGATTATCTCCCACGAAAATTTCAACAATCCGGATAGGAACAACATGATCATGAACCGCCAGAATAACAACATTTTGATACGGTGAAATAATTATTATAAGTAATGCCCACCAAGCTTGGGATTTTAAAACATGTGAGGTCATTTCTATCGTAGAACATTTATGTTGTTTTATAACATCATTAAAGGAAAGAAACAATATCATTCACAATAAACCAGTTTAAAGATTGATGTTTTGGCAGTGTGCAGTTGTATACATACATACAGGCACGTGAGACTTCCCTGCTCGCAAAATCTTTTGGGAAGGCCCATGAGCTGGATTACAAATGGTAGGATCAAAAGCCCAAAAGGGACTCTCCTGTACGTACGAGGCCACCGAGCACTGCCGACCGCGCACAGGTTAATTGCACGAACTTCCGGTTACTTGCGTTTAATATCTGCTGGCAGGAGCAATACCGTACAACACACGCCGGTATAAATTCTATATTCTGCATCTTTGTTTAATCTGGACAGCACAGATGTATACTGTAACAATGCACAGATGTATACTGTAACAGATGTATACTGTAACAGCACAAATGTATACTGTAACAATGCATGCGCCTACATCCCATCCTAGCTGTATCTGTACCTGGCTTGTTTTGAGTTGTCGGCTGGTTCCTGTACTTCGTACGTGCATTAATGACTACTTCTACGCATAATGTTAAATCCAGAAAGCATCATATTTTAAGTACCTTTACGATTTGTTTCGAAAGACAAACGTTCAAGAAAATTGTATTTCGTGAGCATCCAAGAATTCCTTGAATTTGCAGGTAAACTGTGAACAGATGTATTTAATTAAATGTATTTAATTAATACCTAATTACTAACTTAATTAATGTCAGTTTGGGCGGTGCTAGGTGGCAAGTGACAACACTGGAGAACACGTGCGGTAAATTCGGGATCCTTTAAGCTTGTACAAATATTTAACGAATTATTTATCACGTCTCTTTTTTCGCAGCTGTACCGCTATGTCGCGGCTCCAAACTTTCGATTGTTAAATGGAATCTAGAGTGCGTATGTGTGACCTTTCGGAGTTTATTAAAGGAAATGCTTGTTTGATCATTTTGTCCAATATTTCTTCAAGGCAAACACATTTCTTTGACAGTAATATTCTAGATTAATTTAAATTTATTTTTCCTTAGACCGACTACTTTAGAAAATTCACTACAGCTAGATGGTAGCTAGTAATAAAATAGATACAGGAGGTCTGGACATAACATTTCGTTCACGGAAACGACTCAAAAATCCGGCATCAGTTTCAGAAACCTTTATATAAAACCAGTATAATGTAACAGAAAGAACTTTCATGGTAAAGCATCCCACACTGTAATGGTGTTTCACATGCTGTAAATAGAGGAATAACCTGGTGTACTAAACTTAATACTGCCACTATTATCTAATAATGATAAAAAATTATATGAAAACACTTGTGCCATTAAACGCCCAGAATTGCAACAATGTGTCATACAGCCACACGGCCTGATACGAACGTATGTGAATACTGAAAAGTTAATAAAATTTATTACTGCAGCTGGGTTGTGGTGAAAGGAGGGTAATAACGGGAGAACTAAAGAAGTAACTGATTAACTATGTATAAGGGCCCGTTCTGGCGTACATCTATCTATCTTAATTGCTTAGCGAGATTTGAGTTCAACCGGGGACAACCGCCTAATTGCATTAGGTCCCAAAATTGCGTTCACGCAGTACACCTATGCTAACGTTAATTACCTAGCTCTTAATTGGTAGATAGCAATGTACGGCCTGAACAGTGCTTTGCTATCAAAAGGTACCTTTTGGTCGGCTCCGTAGACACAATGGTTAAGACGTATAGGAACCACTTGAGGTTCCTATTTTGTGCTCATCTTAAGACTTTTACAATAGAAAAACTGATAGTTAGAAGTCAGCGAGAATTCGGCCTAAATTATTAAGTACTCAGTTCAACACATCCGAGTAGGGTACCGTTTGCGAATCGCTATAAGAGTTCTCCATTTCATAAATTTTTATGTGCATGCTAGTCATAATTATTTTCATTTGTCATGAAGAACCATATCGAGCAAATCGGGATATCCTCTCTCCTTCGTCCTACCCACCAACCAGTAGGTTGTGACCTCTCCCTTTCCCTGAGCAAGAAGAAAGCGATTTTTGAGCGGCATACCTATTCACTGATTTTATATCAAACTTTACAGAAATTTTTAACAAGAGCTGTCTTCGAATTAGGAACTTTCGACTTAATTCCATTAATGCTTCCCAATACCTTAATGGGTATCAATCCTCGGCATTCAATTCTGAACTTTCCATTTAGCATGATCAAGCATTTTGTAGCTTCCGTTATGTGTATTTTCGATTCTGCAATTGGGACATCGATGAAATTAAACTCTTCTACTATTATCATAATGGTGTAGCATTGTAGTTGCCCGATTCCATCACTAAACGCACCTTCTCCGTTTGTCTCCATCCTACTGGCAGTATTAACAGTGTCACCGACCCTACAAAATCGCGCAGATAATCCTTTTTACACCGGCATTAAACAGGATTTAGCGGCATTACTAACAAGCAGTAATGTGGCAGTTTTTTCCCGATAACCATTCCCACACACGACCCTACACAATACAGCGCACGTGAAAAATGTATACGCAAAGATACAATAATTACGACAGTGTACGCTTAATGATGTCAATGATACCGGAATTGATCCCGATCCGTAATTTCAGCGGCACTGTGCAGATATTTTCTGTCTCGGTCCGAAGGGAATCCGTCGCCCGGACCATAGATAAAGCCAGGTCAGCAACCTCGCTGGCGTGAACATAACCATTCCGCACCGGAAGACCGCTGGCGACCTTTTCATAATAACAGTACTACAGTAAGCCCTTTATCTTCAGTAAAAGGCGTGAAAAGCCCCAGCCCGTGAAAAGCAGATGTATCTGTTTAGAGCAATCTAGTCAAACTAACAATCCCGGTGACAATAATCCAGCGTTCAGTTCCTATATATGTACCTATGCTTAGTAAACTACGGCACAAGGTAGCCACAGAGTAGGTCAAGCGACCTATACACGATTGTGTTTACGTCAATCTTCCCCAAAATCGCAAACCCCCCGCGTAATATCTGTAATAAAATTTTAGGAGTACCATGTATGAATCAGAGATGGTTTCCACTTTGTATGCATCGTAATTAGCAATCAGTCCATCGATGGCCGAATACACCCCGTGCAGCAACAAAACAATGTCGAAGGGTGATACCAGCGTGACAATCTTGCGAAAGGCTGGAATATCGCTAAATAACACCGAAACCGATTCGAAAAATTCCGGCTGAACCGTTTCCTTGTTTCGCAGCTGATGAGCAACGGATCTACAAAAGACAATCCCAAGATCTGCAATTTTTCCAGATACATTTTGAAATTCAAAATCGGGCATTTGTAGCACAGTTCCGCTCTATTATTATTATTATTATTATTATTATTATTATCACTCTACAGTAGCCAGCTCTTTTCAATGGAGATATCTTACAAGGCTACTGGAAAATTTTTTTGGTTAGTTTAGAAAATTTTATACTTTTTTTGGTTTGATTTTATGAGATAAAAGTACCAATAAAATACCAATCCTCTACTAGCTCAGTCTGATTGCTACCACTTCTGACATGTTCAGGGTAAAAACACATGTGTCATTATGCTACAAGGTCTTAGCACTTATATACTGCGATAGCGGAATTAGTGAACTCCGAATTACATATTGTGATCACTGATCTTGTTTGTAGCTCAATATTTCTTGGCCTACTTTACATAATCTAATTGCTGTTAACAACGCAGCATGACCTTTGCTCATATACCGCTGTACTGCATTTATGCATACCAGATCTGCAAAAAATCTACGGTTTCTTACGCGGGCAAGACGTTGCACAGTAAACTCTCCACTTTATCCATTTCTTCTTTCAACGCCCTGGTTCTGGAATCCACTAAACTCTCCAACTCCACATTATACTGCTGCAGTCTCTTAATTAAGTGGTCAGTAAAGGAAGCAGATGACCGTGGATACACGGCTTTCAGCACATGAGTGATGTCGTCAAGTGTCGGTCGCTGGGCAGGGTCGTGTGACCAACATTGACGAATGGTAGCGGCCAGTCGGGGATCAACGTCGGGAATCGGATACTTTGACACGTCGATTGTTCCATCATTCAATGCAGTTACAAGCTCTGAATTGTAGAACAAAGTGCGCAAATAAAAAAGTATATCAGAGGAGTATGAGCATAACACATGAGCGTAATACCAAAACTTTGCTAGCGAAATTTAATTGCGAGTTTATTGTTTTGAATTGTAGAACAAAGTGCGCAAATAAAAAAGTATATCGGAGGAGTATGGGCGTAACACATGAGCGTAATACCAAAACTTTGCTAGCGAAATTCAATTGCGAGTTTATTGTTTTGCCTATTAGAGCATAAAAACATTTGGCGCGCCGAGAATTACCTTCTATTTTCATGGGATCCGATACGTCAGCGCAGAACGGAGGATTCCTTGTAGCCATTTCGTACAGAATGACCCCAAGGCTATAAACATCCGCCCGACAACTTGTCGGTTGACCGGGTTGCCATTCTTCTCGTAGCACTTCCGGTGCCATCCACAACCAACAGACGACTGGAATACTGTTGCGATATGTCGCCAAACCATTGAATCGACTTAAATAACGTAAAAGCTGGACTAATCCAGTTCGGGCGATTTGCAGGGTGAAGTGCTGATCCAACACCAGATTGAAGAAATTCAGACCTCCATGATATCGAATGGGCATTTTATGGACATACACTAAGCCCTTCAAATAAGAAAACAGCAATGTTCCGCATTTCTTTTGCAAGTTAAAAAAATTGCCACCCATGGATTCAAATATACATTAAGTTGTTAACCATCAAACAGATCATGCATTCTGCAGTCATCAGTACTTCTACTCTATTAATTCGGAAATAACGCACATTTATGAGATCCCACATAAGCGAAAAACGGAGTTCCCAGTTGAAATTCAAGTCATCCTGATCGATAAAATGCCGAAGAACACCTTTTTCACCCGTTCCAGAAACCACTAACACGTGTCCGTGGTCGTATGGCGATGGTAGAACAATTCCGTAAAATTTTGCTACATTGGGATGATCCAAACTGCTCATCTAAAACACCAAACAAATAAGATTTTCTGTCGACGTATAATTGCTATGTAGGCGCAGAAAGGTCAAGCTACATGTCACCGACTCAACGATACCGTCAACGCCGCAACGGCACATAAGTGATGTACAGCTTTTGTCAACTCACTAAAGTGATGCGGGCTCGAAAATCTTGGTCCCGTACCAGCTCCCACAAACCATAATTATTTAGCGATAAATGCAGTACTCTGATGGTGGCACCATGGTATGTGGCCTCTTCGGATGCCCAGTTGAGCCCGCCGGCCGTCTTAACCGACACCAACTGACCGGCAATGCGGGAATCCGGCACCGGTCTCCAGTTAAAAAAATCTTTGTAGTCCAGAAGCCATTTTAAACCTTCGCGTGCATTCTTTCGTCTAAAGGCAATCCAGTCAGCAAAATAATTACATCAAACATTACAAAACAATCTGTTACATTAGCAGTTATACTGCAAGAAGAAACCAAAAGTCTATAAAACTGATCACTCCAAAACACTGTCCCCTCATAATTACTGCACGGTTAGTTAGTCATAATTAGTTGCACTGAACTAATATTCTGTTATAACACAATTTCTTTAAATGTCCCACAGTCTCACCTAATATACTTATATGTTTTGCGAGCGGTTATCCATCCAAATACTGGCATTATGACGATTATGAAAAGATACATATAGCTCCCTGCAAGCACACAGAGAACAATAAATACAAATACTGATACAAATATTTGAGATTTTTACAAATAGAATCCTATCACCAATGCAGTTAATTAATACCGCACAACAAAAACTAAAAAACATCCGTTACTGCAACGTCACCAACGGATCTGCTGGTGCATATAAATGCATGCGATGACCCACCTTCGCTATGGATGGAACCATCAGTGTTCCTTCTGGGAGCGCTGGTACTGGGGAAACTCTTCCCATTCCACTCGATCCTTGTTGTATTTAAGTCGCTGGTAAAATTTCCGGTGCTAGCATTGTAAATCAAAAGCACCTAAAAAGTTACAGTTCGTGAATATTTCTGTTTTCACGTAGAGAACAACTACCTTCCGGGTCAAGTACAAAACGCATACATTCTTGCATTCAAGTGCACTGGCCAGTATAAAATGGGCTATGTACATGTACATATATTATTGCACTTTGGTTATACCAACCACCGGGCACTTTATCTGCTTCAGAGTCGTCTACATTAGTATGGTCAGATGCTGGCCCATGGCTGAATTTGATCAAGATTTCACCTGGAAACGATGTTTTCGAACGTTATAATGCTGGAGCAGGATATCACGCATTCGCATGCCATTGTGAGACATCCTCACGTCTTCGCCGGGAACTCGAAAGGTTCGGTCGAAAAACAACCGAGAAAACTTTTCGCCTCGAAGGTCATTCAGACGATCGTATTGTTCATGAAGGACCTGCGTGAAGAAAATATGATTGCAACTTGTATCTTATACATCATGCGTCACGATTTATGCCAATTTGATTCTAGCCTCTAGGTAATACTTGTGTCCTTTTCGTTTTGTTTCGATTCATAATGATGACAGTATTAACCAGATACTACTGCTACAAAATTAGTACTACCGAAACATCCCATACCATCATTAGCGTTATTCAACTGTTTAACACGCGGCAAAGTGGCAAAGGTAATAATTATCATTTCTAAATTAAAATAGAACACAACTGCTCTACTGCTCTACTGTTCGATTATAGACGTTCGCAGTACCTGCATCAAAATTAAAGTTGTTTCATAGGCCGTCATCGGCATTCCAGTATCCTACAATAAACACTTCTGTTCAGAAAAGCTAAGCATTCGACATATGAATGACCCGAGCACAATAACTTGCAAAAAAACGTCCGTTAAACATTAGTTAACGGCAAAAATTGGGACACGTCAGTTCACGTAGCGGCAGTTACAGGTACAGCTAACGTTTTTCTTACAAGCTGTATTATAATCAGGGATGGATAAATGTACCCAGCAAGAAGTGTTCATTCATTGAAGTTATTATCTACTCCAGAATATCATATGTTGCCGAGAACTAAATATACACATTCCTTTCATATTATGCATATCAAGTTCTCGGCATTTTAATAAATCGCAAAAATAAATTTCCGATTTCTATTTTGACATCGGTATTTGGTCGAAATTGTACCTCCAGAGCCAAAGGAATCGACTGTCCGAATTCCATTAAAGCTCTCGACACAATGGATTTCCACTTGTTGTGAAGTTCGGAGCCATTCGGGGGAATAATCGAAATTTCAAATGTGTATGGAAGCACTTGGGGTAGTCTCTGCAAACGAGAACATATTTAATCAATTACGAGTAGCAAATAAAGTGATATGTTTACAGATATACATCAGTTAATTTCACACCTGATTAATAATCGGATTGGAGTCCACCCAGTCAGCAGTAACTGCATCTCCAAAGATTAGTCTCGGTGTAATGAATACCTGAAAACAGAAAACACACTTCCAGACACCACAATATGCTTTTGGCCTTTCATATAAGTACTCAAAACAGTCGGTACAAATGTTTGCACTAGCGGAAATACTTTATCTGTACATATGTAAATCAGGATACTTTTGACAAAACATACTTACATGGTTTCCATCCGCTAGACCCTGGTCAACCGCCACAGCCTAGAAAAACTGATGCACTTCGAGACGCTGCCAGTACTGCCAAAGAAAGGTATGCAGCATTCAGCAAAGCCGAGAATTTACGCACCAAGAGCTTGTTGCGAAAGTCACTCAAACAGATAAGCAGAATCACTACAAAAAAATCTTGCAACCAATACAACCGGCATTTCCAGTGTGGTCAAAAATAGTATAACCTGTACTGTGCTCTTTTGCCACCTCCATTTCTTTAGTGCCGGCCTTATTAGCACTGGAATCAGTATAGATTACTTCCAGGTCAACCTGGGAACGAAACTGGCCGAAATATTCCGCAATAATTTTACACAGGAGGACAACGGATACGGTGGCCTCTCCCACGGGATTGGTATCACAAATTGCACTGGCACTCTTCCAAGTTGTTTGCTGGAAGAATTTATGTAGTGCCTGGGAGATGGCAGAGTAACCGGCGGAGCCGAACACAGCAACAGTGGGGAATCGCATCTTATCCGACAACATCTGATCCGTCGCTGTACTGCAGCAGCACAAATTCGCACGCATGTAACTGATCATGAAGTATTCACCGAGAAAAACCAACACTGTGAATATTTGGTATAATATATTATAGTATTTCAAGTGATATAATATATTATAGTATCAAGTATAATCTGATATAATATATTATTTCAAGTTTTTTGGAAACAAAACAAATTATTGCTATTAATCAGAAAGCGTTTGCTGCATCACTTGCCTACAGTACTCACTTTATTAAACTCCACGCGCAATTACATAATTACTAAAGGTTCACCGGTGCCAAGTCAAAAACTTTTTAACAATCGTACATTACCATGTAAACTTGGTGTTTTTCCGAAGTTGTAAAATCACAGCCTGATATGTATATACTACACGAACATCGGAGACCCATAAATATCAAAAGCTTACTCGTGCTTTGCACTAACCTCTACCACCCGACCTTTCTGCCGCACATGCATAGAAGTATACTTAATGAGGCAATTGTAAACTCGTATTCTGTGTTGCACAATGCATCTTGACAAGTTACCTTGCTAGTAATGGGTAACCGATTTCTGAAATCCAGGAAAACAGGACAGTAATGGTGAATCGTGATCATCACGGGGATAGAGAGTGTTACCCAAGAGCCAGTACTAGTAGAGCATAGCTCGCAGAGCAACTTGTTAACTAAGTGATATTATAAATTCTTACCACGAGCAAAATCTCCCAGAGAGAGGATCTCCAAACTGCATCCTGTACATGACGACAATTAAGACTGTATATATTCTCATCAGCACCAACACATAAAAACTCACCATTACACTGCTCATGATCGATTTCACATTAAATTTTCAAAGCAGAATTACCTAATTAGCCGTAAGTAATTTCCCCAACACTTTTATATGGCCAAAGTACTGGGAACATCATTAAATTTTAGAAACTACAGAATTATGTGTTGCATTCACTGCACACTATATAGTATAAAATATTCAGCAGCGCTTTTGTACATACGAGTACCGCTTCTACTGTATACGGTGAATACCGTAATAATGCTCTGACCTGGAGCCATAAGTATGCGAGGACCACTAGGTGGGAATTGTACGCTCTCATTATACACTTCGCTGATTTTCACAATAATTTCTTCTGATGCTTCCACACATGAATAGTTTCCGGTATGATTGAAGTAAATCCAGGAAAAGTTGGCGAAAACTCGAGGATAATCACCGCGGACATCCTCTACAGCCGTCTCATGCGCTGCGCGGGAGATAGCGTAGCCATACACAGGATTATCGCCAATAATCACGCTGACCACCTGTATGGGGACAACATCTACGTCCCGGCAGTGAGTCCACTGTAGGAGACCAACTAGCAGACCAACTAGCAGCACCACCAAGAGTGATGTGCAACTGCTCACTACATCACCTGCCGACATCGTATTGAGCTACCGAACAAAGGAAGAAAAATTAAATAATTGTGGCTCCATAGTCCATACAGATAAGTAATAAATGCTTATATCTGTGCGCTACAACGGAATGCGTATGCTAATAACTTGACACAGATATACAGTACATGTGGAATCTAAAGTACATATACGTAATGTAATACAAAAACTACAGATATATCATTATGGTATAACAGAAAACTAGACCATAAAAAGTGGGATACGAGTATGATTAGTGATACACAATTTATAGATTAACCTGGATGTTCACATCACAACGTCACAGGCTTGTTTCGGCAGAATTGTCAGTAGTGTGGTATTGTGAGCAAAACTGTAGTATTACTCTCATGGTATTGTACTGGTACATCGTAACTACCGGCACTGGGAGTGCGTAATTTAAACTTGCACTGACTTCTCGTGCTGTGCTTCAGTATACTGCTCAACATAGCGCAACAGATATTGCATGGGAATATTCAGAGTCCCGTGAGTCGGCATAGCACATACAGGATAGTGAGGATACAGGGCCCACTGCCATTGTTTTCGAAGGAAATTACGCACGTCAACCTCGCTAACATTGCAACTGCCGGAAGTTGGGAGCCGATGTATCCTGTGGGGAGGTATAAAAGATATACTGTACAGAACAGCGCAATAAACAACAAATGCTTATTTGCAGTTAACGTTAACCAGTAACTTAATAAGCCCTATCAGGCTTTTGTGAGTGGGACTGTGGGAGCTGAATACGTTTCGTAGCAGTATGATGTAATAGAACTTATAACAGTACGTATTCCATTTCTGACTGACTACCGGTTAATAAACATAAGACTACGAGGGAAACGGGCACTTCCTAATGTGTATTACTGCCCATGACGAAAGGCACAGTTTATTTCTCAAGTTCATCGCCACACCGCTTGCGCCGCGACTGATCCACGAGAAAAACATGAAAGGAGATTATAATTGATGCAACATTAATATAATGGCACTTCCAAAAAATAATCGAAATCCATTTATCGTGAAAATTCTAATTCTCCCTTATTCGTATCATAATCTTTCCAAACCTTAACATCAGCGAAAATTTCATCAGTGGTGGTCTTCTTTATTTTTCAAAAAGTTTACGATGACTTCCGTAAGCTCATGAGGCTTTTCCGAGTGTACCCAGTGTCCTGCATCAGGAATCGTTTCTACTTGGGCTTTCGGAAACAAACGCTTGATTTCCGGCATTTCAACTTCAGTTATGTAGTTAGAATTCCCCCCGCCAATGAATAATACCGGACCTCCGTAAAAATTATGGAACACGGGAAATTCCATGATATTTTCCGTGTTATCGCTTAGTGCCTTCAAATTTATCCGCCAACCAATCTTTCCATTGTGATCAGCGAGGTTGGTCACAATAAATTGTCGAGTAATCAAGTCCTGCAATATATCAAATCGGTCAAACGAAAGAAATTATGTGACACACTAGAATAGTATAAACAGGTACTGTAATATAATAATTATCGATATCAGTACAAGCAATATTAAATCGGTGTTAGCCAACCAGAAGCGAATTTTCGTATACCAAAGTCGTTGCACACTTATCTAGTATAACAAATAAAGCTGCAGTAACATCAGACTTTCACAAAAACTACTGCAAAACATACAAAACAACAATCGTAATTTCTTACGGGAATTGCCGGTTCAAGTTCAGCCAATGCCCGTTTCCTCAGAGTTGGTAAGTTCTCGCCCGGCTTAGAATGGATTTTCTTCATAGCAGCAAAGAATCTCTCAAATGTCGATCGTCCAGGACTGGTCGCGGGAGCTGAGTCCACGACAATCAGGCTATCAACCAAATCCGGCTGGAAAAAAGTGAAAAGGATTTCTCAATGGTCTTACAATTTCGAGGAGTTTGCAAGGAGACGGCTGGGTCGAACGGAAGCCAACTGACTTGTAAGTAGAGATTTAAACAGAGATTTACACAGCCGCAAAATAAATGTAACAAGTCCTATAACCGCAAAAAAGTGTTGTAGTTAGCATAACAACTGATGAAAGTCCTAAAATTTTCAGATATTCCAAAGCAAACGCACGAAGTAACCACAACGAAGCATTCTCAATTACAGCCGACAGGTAACTGTAATCCACTAGTAATTCAATACAACCACATAGGTACTTACATACCTTCCGTAGAGAGAAGCACATTGCGATTTTTCCACCCTACAACAAAATCATGAAACGACATTTTTTGAACATCACCAACAGAGTGCTCTAAAAAAGATACAAGTTGAACCATTGAAAACCTTCAGCAATGCAATTAGATTTCGTTGGATAAAAATCAATAAATAAAAAGAAACACAAAATTTTGTTCGATTAACGGACAGAAAATCGGAAAGTTTTGAACACTGTTACACGGCAAGGTGAGTATCGCGCTCTGAATCACTTTAATAAATGCTTAGCGTATTCTTCTGCAAGATTCCGGGCTCGCATGATGTTGTTATCTAGACTTCGATGTGACAAGTTAAATTTAAAGTGCCGCAGAGTGTCGTAATACGCGAATCGCCATAAAATAGAATATCACCATTCAGAAACAGCAGCTTGCAATTTCGGTCTTCATTAAGTACGCACGGCTCGTGGCCAATTCTGAACTCCACAGAATACAAGAAAATCGGCCCATCTTACCATGCTGTGTCCGATGAATATTCCCTTAGATATCTGCAGTTCTTGCATGAGTTCTTCCACATCTTCACACATTGCCTCGTACGAATGGTCGCTGTCGTGCCCGCTTTCCCCATGGTTCCGTGCGTCGACGGTAATGATGGTCTGATTCAGTTTGCTGCTGAAGGATTTGGCAAGGCTATGCCAATTCTGCTTGCTTCCGAATAAGCCATGTAGAACAAAAACAGGATGATCCGCACTTGCAGCGCGCTGCGGTTTGTATTTCGCGTAGGAAAGTCGAACTGCACTAGCAAGCACAGAACCAGTAAGCAACTTGTGCGTGTGAGCTCAGTGCTCACTAAAATAACTCATAATAACTGTTCGTACTTCGTAATAAAACATTTCTCAAACCTTAGCGAAGAAGATGTCGAAAACTGGCATCGCAACGGTGGATTGATTCGCACGCACTTCAGCTTTTTCCCGGAATTTATCAAAACAGGACGAAAGACCATCAAGGCAGACACTGACTGCATGTTTACGCTTTTCCTCCTTTCCAGAATCAGTAGTGTAGTCGCTAGTGACTAGTCTTTTTCTGCGAAAGAAGTGTCAGAAAAAAATTTATCAATTCTGAAATAGTGAGTAATTAAGACTCTTAATTTAAGAGTATTCCGGCATCCTGAAAATAATTAACACACCGTCAACCTTATTATGTTTGTGAATTTACAGATTGTGAATTTACAGTGACTGAAATTAGCGTTTAGTACGTACGTACTTCTATCGCACCGCGAAACCAGGGTCATCAGAACTGCTTCCATATTGGCGAGCCATATTAAAGTCATAACTCATAAGTCATAAGACTCATAACCAATGGTCCAACGTATTGAGGGCCAGATTTTCGTTAAGTCGGCTGAGTTACCTATTATTAGCTGCAATTCTGCATTATAATTTTTTTTATAAATGATCAGTCTAGTTACAATGTATCCGTTAGAATTTAGAACCAACAAAGAAAGAACAAGAGAAACAAATGCAGCAAACAATAACGATTAGTCAGATTTTTTAGTTGTCAGGTCATGGAGTGAGCCGAACTCTGAGCCGAGGTCAGCACTGTCGCCGTGAACAGGACGACAGCGTGACGTATTGTTCCATGTTTAAGTTTAAGCCGCAACGCCGCTAGTCTTGAGAAAGAAAGTTTACGGACGAGTAGCGGCTGCAAACCTATATATTGCGCCAAATCGGCTAAATGCCATATTTTTGAATCTTGCTCGTAAACGTGTTCATTTGATATTTTTTGTAGGACTAAACTTTTTTAAAGTGTACCCTAATAACTCTGGTTTCCCGTTCGATGTTCAGATGCGCGAAATATGGACTGTATGTATTGTTACAGTACTTGTGGAATGCGAAGTTGTTGTTAGCTTCTTCGGCACATTCTTGTTTCAGCTAGAAAATCGTACGATCTGATTGCTCCAGTTTGGTTAGTTTCGATAACATCGAAGTCCACATCTGCACGGTGTTGATAGTATCGACTTAAATAATAATGCAGTAAATTCCTAATTACAGACGGCACTCCTCGTATTATTATCATAACGTTCTTACAAGCATCTAGAGACTTCTAGAGACTAATCACTGTATCACTGCTGTATATTTCAGTACCTACTGTCGCCGTGGTTTGTGACTTTGTGCAGATAGGGAACCTCGACGCCAAACTGAACCTTTGTCGTGGTCTGATGGTAATCGCGGATTCCGGAGCGATTACTGTGCGATTTCGGCTTGTTTAATACGCTCTGCTGTCTTAGTATCTTACCCACATTAAAACTTCGACCTTGTGAAGTCTTTCGATGCATTTGACGATTTGTGTGAAACAAAGTGCGCTGCTTATTCCATATTCCGTAGCCCGCGTACTGATGCCGCAGTCTGCATTTCGAGAGCTGACAGCCCTGCCGTTAAGATATGTCGAAGCATGTATTTTTACGCGAGCGGACCGGAGCGGTCATCCACTTCTGCCTTTGTCACCAGCGGCAGTTGAAAACGGAAATATCTCCGGGTAGGCGACATGCATTAAAATTGTTTGTTCTGTATCGCTGCTTATTATGTATGGCCTGTGGATGGAGATTTATGAAAAGACAATGCTTCGAATGTACGTGCTTGCATGGAACCGGGAGTGTCGTGAAGGACTTGTGGCTCAAGTAATCCTTTAGATCCTGTTTTCAATGTCTTCTGTTGGCATCCTTCGGAGGGGCTGCCTAAGCCAGCAATGAGTGCTAGCTGCCCTTTCTGAAGGGGTGCTGACGGTTGACTGTTCGGTGGAAGCCTGTTCTCGCTGTTTGCGCGATCCTTTGGGCTGTGCTGAATTATGTCATGGACTCGTGGTAAGATTTCGTTCATGAGGCATACCGCAGCGTCGCATACGGTACCTGTATTGATTGTGAGATTTGGGACACTGATCATCAGACACAGTATTGTTACAATAGACCCAGTCGGTTGACTTCAATGACTTGACGTCTTAACCCACTGTGCAATAGAGGTACCGTATGCGACCTTACGTTACGAGGAGACTCGCTCAGAGGACTCAGTTTGAGTGTTCTCGTCGCAAGTCGTAATGATGTTCAAGACCAAGTGAACCACTGCATTTGAAATTCAGGAGCCATATTATTTATTATACGAGAAGGTAATTAATGTTACTGTGTGTACTCGTATATACACAGTCACATTAATTACCTTCCAGTGGGCAAGCCTCCCTTGGACTGCGTACTGTAGATTTGTGTTTATTTAAGTAAGTCACAGTTATTTGATTCTAATTTACACAATTCGAAATTGATTGTAGGAAACATTTTAATGGTGTTCTTTAACTGCACGGTAAAAAAATAGTTATCATGACGAAACATTTCGGTGTAAGCTTCTGGAATGGAGCCGAAAAGGTAACTGAAACATAGTTGGTTATTTTTTAATAGTTACTTGTTTTTCCTGCAGTGACGCGGCGCATATATTGCCAGTGAAAGAAAGGGCAACATCAAGAGTCTTTTTTCCAGGTTCATGCATGGTCTCATGGATGTTATGCAGGTTTTGCAAGAGCTACAGTACTCGTAGCCATAAGACAAAGAATAAGAACACACCCTGGCCTTAGTCGTACCGGTTTCGATATGCCGGCAATCGATATTTCCCAGTCCGACCAGTTTCTGTGTGTGGTGGCAACCTTTACGTGATTAAATTGTAATCAGTAACGGAACAGTAATATGGATTGGTTATCGGTCTCATCCATAGGTTAGCCGATCGCGATGTGTTAATCAGATCGATAGAATTTATGAAGATATCCCGAAGACAATTAACCGCACTGTCCAATACACTTTGACCTGCCTCGCAACTGACGCCAGAACGCTGGCCGATACCATCACCACTGCTTGACAAAAGACCGGTAAAGAGTACTGAAGACTGGTTGTATGAAGTTCTTTGAATTATATTTAATTCATTCTATTTTTTCGTTATTTCCAGCTTGTTTACTCGTTTAGCAAAAGATTTTTGTAACGCAATTGTGGCTGTATTAGACTTCGATTTGAAATCGTACAGTAATATGGTGGACCGTGGACGTATGCTGGTACAATACATTAAAGACAAAATTTTCGGTTTGTATATATCTATGAAATGCTGCAGACTGGAAATGCTTTGAAGATACATTTATTTAAACTATTAATTCTTAACCATTGAATCTCTGGTTCGACCTTTATCAAAGCTTAAATATAATAGTCGGCGATGTTGTGCTGCCAGATCTCGGACATATACTAATAATACTACCTAGTTTAACAGCATATCTACGGCTCTACTAGTACTGTAGTTCTTGTCCAACTTTTCTGTTTTCAAATAAGTTATTTGTACTTGGGTGGAAGCATGCGAGCAGAAGCAGAATTATCCCCGAAAAAAACATGTATCTTATAATCGGAGGTGGATACGGTATCATAAAAAACGCTTGGGGGATGTTGGATTGACCTTATTTTTGCCGGGTGATAAGCAATGGAGTTAAAAGGAGACACTATTATATACATGTACAGTACATTGTATGATTACTTACAATATGTGTTTTTTTATTTCTCAATAGGTACAATTGTTAATACAACTTACAATTGTTAATACAATTATTAATTGTTAATACAACTTACAATTGTTAATACAACTTACAATTGTTAATACGGTATCTCAGATTATTCCACGGGCTGACTGACTTACGCTCTCGCGAATGTTGGCAACGTGAATGTGATGATCCGCCATGGCCAGATACTCAGCCAAAGTATCGTACTGGCTACTGGGCCCAGGCGGAAATCGATTAGCTTTATTGATAAAATAACAAGAAGAAAAAATTGTTTAGAACGCTTATTATCGTTCCACCAATCGAAATGTTTTTGCCGCTAGTTGCCTTAACTCGCTCAGTTCGGATGTGCGCATGGGGAAAACACTAATCCGGCCCATTGTGCAAGCCGGCGGGCTACAGAAATTGTACTGTCAACTGGGGAATCAGGAATCACAAATTCGCAATACATTCGCAATACAATACAACACTCCAGCATTTTGTTCAGGTTGCTGCTCGTTGGTTTTTACAGTGAGTACGAGTACTCGTATAGATAATTCGCGCAGGGCATACATTTGCGAATATATGTATTAGTGGTCTCGCACATTTGCCGGCCGTTTTGCATCCCGACGCTGCCTTATGAAAGTTTGAATTTGCATATATTGTACAATAGTGATAGTATTTACGATTAGTCACTATTTACTAGTTACTATTACTTAATCAGAATCATATAATTCATAAATCAGAATAATAGTACTTCGGTTATAGTACCGCAAATCATTAAAAATAATAATAATTTGTTAACGTAACCGGAAACTGCAGATCACTTAACAAGCACAGCATAATTATGTACAAATGTATATGTTCTTATAATTGTGTGTCCGACAACGATCTCCCCACAACGGTAGCGTTCATGCTCTAACAACAACACATCTGTTTATCCCGAATATCCCGACTAGTATATCCCGAATAAGCAACGTACGTAATTTTATATTGCATACGGCGGGAACGTTAAGATATCCATAAACCCTGAGAAGTGAATCGAAAAAGGAGAAACGGGAAAAGGAAGTTCACACTCAAATTTCGTATCAGATACTGATGACAGAAAAAACAGTTCTTATAAGACGCGGTATATCAATTCTTATATACTAAGTATAAGCCGTAACCGTAACATTTTATGTTGTTGTTACAGTCTTCTTTTGAACAGCAATGTAATGGCGTAATGTCTGTCCAAGCTGTACCAGTTGTAAAAACCTTATTGAATGTTCTCTTCGCGCGTACATACATAGGCATGTAAATTCTATCGACTTTGTTTCCGTACAAATTACATGACGCGCAGCCGGTGTTATAGAACAGGAACTGCAGCTGAACCACATCCTTTTCTTCCCTTTGATCGATTTTCCGTTAGCAATCTATTCCACAGAGACATCCCTCTGCCGTACGTGTACGCGGCCAATACTGGGACCGGGATATGTGAGTAATGGGGCTTGCGTGGTCTGTTTAATTTCACAAACTTTGCTCAACATCGCTGTGTGCAGCTATCCAGCGCTGCTGCCGCCGCATCAGCAGCCGATTGTGACAGTTAGGACTCCCGACTGTTGTGTTGCTGGCCTGTTTGTTGTCAAGAACAGTCACGCCAATCCCGATAATCTACCAGAAGGGGAAACCCACCGTTTTTACTCTAACAATACATGTGTGAATTGTACGCACCAGGTTTTGCTTTTTGTTACTAATTGCGTTCTGTTTGCGATTATGCTTATGCTCAATTGTCTGTAATTCAGAGAAAGGTGACGGAAACTGGTTATAATCATCCAAATAGAAGGAAAAAAGATCAGCGTGGTACTGTGCATTGGGATGAAATTGTAATAACATGATTTTTGCCAGATTATTGGCCAGAAGCGATTAGGCAGCCTTCGGTAAGTACGAGTACAAATGTACCGTATACGAACAGGGCACAATTATCTGCACAAAATTGTGCATCCATCTACGAAATTGCGCATATGCAGTCTGTGGGCAGTTGTTCCGGTTTGGGCGTTGAAAACATATAAATTATTCACTGGTTTTCCAGTGTCATCATTCTACAGTAATGCGGATTAAGTCAACACATTTTGTCAGCATCTTTAATCATGAAATATTGCTGGAAAGGGTCGGCTACCGTTAACGAATTAACCTTTTATATCCTATAACCGTACATGTTCCATCGTCTGCACGTGCGCTTCGTATGGTTGCAGATAAAATTTGTGCATTCATACATTTGTACCGATTTTGGATAATCTGAATACTTTCAAATCGTAATTTAATTTTGTTCTTCCAGTCACCCGTAAGTAAGCGCGCATAAGATATTGCTTTCAGAAAGGGTATCAATAATCACCAGTTATACAATATGCTGTTGATGCCTTTATTCACGTAAACCGTTTTCTGTTTTGGAACTGAAAGAAGCAGTCAAATTTATTAGAAGGTGAGAAAATCCGTAATTTATGAGCTAGTAACAGGACTGCACTAGTTGTGTTAAGACTAGGAGTACGTATGTTTTCGAAAATATTTTAATGTTGAAACATTTATTTCGATAGGTTGGTTATAAAGCGACTCTAGAATTATATATAGTTGGAGAAGTAAATTATTTTCGTATGGGTTTTTGTTATGAAATTAATTAATTAATTAAGTGCTGTGATACTATAAATGTCGTCTCGTTTTCCCTAACCTTTCGCACTAGTAAAAAAGCTTGTAAAAATATGTGCATATTAGCCTACTTATTTAATCGTTGATTGAAACCGATTACATCGCAAAAGAGAAATGATGTGTAATCATTTTCAGAGTAAATAGTTTGTCTCTGTTTTGCGAGAACTGCTGCGCTCAGCTACGATATTCTATTTTCGTATCTTCTAACTTGTAAGTCTGGTATTTTAACCGAATTGTCTGCAGTTACGGTATCAACGCCTTATACGATATAATATTTCATACCTCCTCATTTATATGTACACAACGTAGCAGGGGTAAATTGTTATTATGTTGTGAAGTGCGTCATATATACCACAATTACCTCGTAGTTTTTATTATTTCCGTAATTTTAACCCGGCAGGTTAATGCAGTCAGAGTCGGCGACTCGGCATAATTCTTGGCTGTGAATCGGCAACCGGCAGCTAATATAACAAGTGTCGGAAAGGTGCAAATTACTCTACATATTCAACTGAAAAACCCCATTACTAGGCTGACTTTCCAGTACGTAGTTTCCGGTCAGACGAGTTCAGATTACAAAGTCAGCACTACACGATGATCACATGATTGTATTCTATTTTTTACGATTACAAATAACCAGCCGGCAGCAAAACAGAACGTCAGCAGTGCGAAACTGCTGACATATTGTCAACGGAAGCTGACGATCGTAAAAGTAGCCCAGGAAGCAAACAATAGCCTACATTTACGGGTGCATGGTACGCTGCATTGCGAAATATGTCGCGGCATTTACACACTGGAATCACCAGACACGTTTCGGCATGAACGACACTTTTCATCCCGAAGAATTCGGTCTAGCTGCTTTAGCATATTGCACATTAAGTTATTCATACTGATTTGGGTTAAATGGTTATGAGACATTCTTACTTGCTGTGCAGTATGAATCTCCTTCGATAAATCTGTGACTAACTAAATTGTCAGATTCTCTACATGTAAAACTGCAAACCGGGATCAATTCAGTCTACCGCTGTTTTTCGATGTTAATGAATTCGTGTATTTATATTTAGTTTTCTCTGATCGCTGCCACAGTAATTTACATACTCGACGTATCAACTGAACAAATAAAATGGTGGCCAGTTTTTACATCGATCATGGATTTGTAGAAGTGGCCGAAGAAAAAAGCGGGATTTCGTGCATGAGCGAGGGTGGTATGAATGTGGATGTAGCGGCGGATGAAGCTGAAGCCTTTACCGCCACAAAGCGCACTGGCCGCCGCAATGCAGTGCCCTCTCAGGAGCTGAGCCATGCCCTTACACAGATCTCCCAGGATCTCCTACCTGATCTAGCGAAGCAATTGTCGCTGACAGGTATGTTGCGAAGTTATTTCTCGACAACTATGATATTAATTTTTTGCTGCATCTGCTTTTTCACAACCGTGATCACTACTCGTACAATATTGAATACAAGAAACAGCCTCGGCTTCGCCTCCGCGTTTCTTGTGGTCCACAGCCATTTTATTTGAATTTAAATGAATATTAAATGTTTATTAGAATAACATCTATATTTCGTCGAAACATGATCGGTACATGCAATAGGGCAAACACGAATTTTCTATGAAAATCAGTTCATGATTCTCTCAAGCTTGAAAGCATTCCCTTTGGCTGTACATACAGATAATTTTACGATATCCCCTACCCAAAAAGAAAGCCGAAATATCAATCTGTAAGATATGAAATTTGAAACAGTGATAGTGCACTGGATCACTAGTTCGGTGACTCGTCACTTCGCTGGCTCCTCTTTTCACTGGAAAGTGGTGTGTGCCCGGTGGTATATGTCCGGTCAGTAGTGGTTGCTCGATTACTTGCTTTTCTAACCGGTTCAATTCGCCGGACAGTAGTGGTAGCTCGGTCGCCTGCTCACCTAACGGACTCTGTGCACTCGACAGTAGCATGGTAGCTCGGTCACTCGTAAACCTAAAGGGCGACAGTAGCATGGTAGTTCGGTCACTCATTTACACCGTACAATAATGACAGCTTGGTCACTCGCTCACCTACCCGGCTCTCTGCACCGGACAATAGCGGTAGCTCAGTCACTCGCTCCCTAACGGGCTTTGTGCACTGGACAGTAGTGACAGCTTGGTCACACGCTCACCTACCGGGCTCTGCGCACGCACAGTAGTGGTAACTCAGTCACTCGTTCCCTAACGGGCTTTCTACACTGGCAGTAGTGACAGCTCGGTCACCCGCTCACCTACCGGGCTCTGTGCACGGACGGTGGTGGTTGCTCAGACACTCGTTCCTTAACGGGCTTTCTGCGCCGGATAGTAGTGAAAGCCCGGTCACTCGTGTCACCTAACGGGCTTTCTGCGCCGGACAGCAGTGGTAGCGCGGTCACCCGCTCACCTCCCCGGTTCCGTGCACGGACTGTAGAGGTAGCTCAGTCGCTTGTTCACCGAACAGGCTTTTTACACTGAAAAGTAGTGACAGCTCGGTCATTCGCTCATCTACCGGGCTCTCTGCACCGGACAGTAGTGGTAGCTCAGTTACTCGCTCCCTAACGGGCTTTGTACATTAGACAATAGTACAGCTCGGTCACCCGCTCACTCACCGGGCTCTGTGCACGGACAGTAGTGGTAGCTCGGTAACTTGTTCCCTAACGGGCTTTGTAGACTGGACAGTAGTGACAGCTCGGTCACTCGCTCGCCTAACGGGCTTTCTGCGCCGGACAGCAGTGGTAGCTCGGTCACCCGACACCTAACGGGCTTTCTGCGCCGGACAGCAGTGGTAGCTCGGTCACCCGCTCACCTAACGGACTTTCTGCGCCGGACAGTAGTGACAGCTCGGTCACCCGCTCACCTACCGGGCTCTGTTCATCGGACAGTGATGACAGCTCGGTCAACCGCTCACATAACTATCCGTAGTGGTAGTTCGGTCACTCACTGACTTTGCTGGCTATTTTAACTAGAATATAGTGGTATTTTGGTCACTCGCTGAACTAATAACGGGTTTGTGCACTGAACAGTGGCGGGAGTCGGGTCTATCACTGATTGAACAGACAACCACAAGTAGTGATAGTGTAGCGATTGCTGCTCGGCCGGCACTTGTTTAGAAATTGTCCTCGATGACAACGTTAGATATATACATATGTCTAACGATAGACAACTTTAGATATATACATATGTAGGCGTTCTTGTCGTAAGTAATAACGGTCTGCTATTCATTCTGATATTTTAATTAGTGGAAAATACTTTCATTTTTAACTATATTTTATTTGGTTTACGTGGCAACATTGACTGGTTAAAAATACCACGATGATAATTATTATTATAATAATTTATTTACATTTTGGTGAGGGTAATCAACCCTTCCGCTTTGGCGCTCGAAGCGGGAGAGGTTTTGAACGAAATGAATACTATCTGGCCGGGTTTTCGACTACGGGCTTTCAGAATATAATATTGGTTTTGGTCAGTCTTTTCTAGTTTGCCGGCTCTGGTGTATCCCATTCGTGGCAATATAGATCTGAATCTTGATACTCGTGTAGGGTGTATACAGCTATTGTCCTATTGCCCGAAACTTTTCAGTCATAATAATACGATACGATACAACAGATTAATTATCGTTCCCAGCCGTTGTATAGCCGAGTAAACCGACAGTGAGATATCAGTAATATTTGAAGAATAATTTGCTGTGCTTCTGATCAGGTATTTAAATATTCCCGCCAAATTGCAAGGAATTTTTTACGTTGTAAATATTTAAATATTACCTATTTGATAAGTAATGTGTTTATTGTGTAAAGCTGTTTATTAATTCGAAAATGGAATACTTATATTTATCCAGATTTCCTATCGACATAATTCAGACTTTCTCTAATCTTCGTCGTGTTCTAGGTGTTAGAGAACTATCCAAGCACGGTTTCATGCATGACCGTAATTATTGAAGTTTTCGATAGGTGATTTAATGAGAAGACTCCCGGTAACTGCATTCTGCATACGCTGTGCATACCTTTCAAGGGCGCAGTTAAACAACGAAGGTGTACAGCGTCGCGCAAATTAATCATTAAACACTACCAGATTCTTTGTCATATACACATTCGCACGTTAAGTACGGTACGTCTATCAAGAAAAACTGCCGCAGTCAGACTGTGTTGGTTTCCTTCAAACGTGCCTGACTGGCTGACGATGTGTCGTAAACAAGATGCTTGAGAATATTCCATCGTTATCGCATTAATTGAGCTCAAATCGAAAACGATATAACGATTGTGCGCCAAGCTCCAACTTTTAACTGCATTTCAAATCAGAAATAACACTAATTTTAAATCATCATGAACGGTGTGGTTTCCGTATTAGTTTATTGGCTTTTGTCGGAAATCGTGTGGAATATCCCCGTCAAATTTGTTCACTGGGATACTGATCTTCGGCAAACAAATGTAATCCCGCCGAGACGGCAACAGATCCAGAGAAATCTGACCAGCTTGATTCCCACTGTGCTGCTACTTGGTCGAACAATAGCAACCACTGACAAGGCCGGCTCAGATCCAGCCTTGTAATCTCTCGAGAGATTGATTTTCGATTTCGTGTCTCTATTATGAAAATGTTCATTTTCGAAGCATCCAAGCATAACAAAAATTTAAAATTACTTGATTTCGCCAAAATTCAAAAAGGTGTTTCAGATATAAAAATATTTACCCTGTGTATGTCAAAAAAAGTATCATGACACCTTGCCCAGCAATCGCTTTTACCACATAAATTAAAGGAATTAAAATTACTGAGCAGAAATGCAGTGCGTAACAATTAAACAATTGTCAGAAGGTTGAACTTGAAGTGTTGCGTGCTTTTCAGACGATCCCATGGATGCCGGAAAGCCATGCGATTCTTCACAGCCTTCCACTTCTGGCTCGCAGACATCCCAGCAGCCACCCAATGGGTGATCCTCAGCCAGATCTCTGTATATGTATTTCGCCTTTTTGATGCTCGCAATTTTCTACCAAAAACAATAACACTTGATTCTGACTATGGAGACCATGTCGAATGAGCTATTCAGTGCGTTTAACTTATAACCACCAAAGAAAATGCGCTTTAATACATCTGCATGCAGCCAAATGCAACTTTAAAATGCTTATATGCCTGTGTTTTGCTACAAATTTTGAAGCTCGTTATAATTTGAATTTTCACGGCAATACTCTGGTGATTTAACAGAAGCCTGTGAACCATTCGAGTCTAAAATGAAACGCAATTACGAACATCATGGCTAATGTCGCCAGTAGATTGAATCTGCATCTCAGTAGCACTGTATTGCGTAGTAGAATGCAGTAAGCAGTGTGCGTCGAAACTAACCTTGAATTATAGACATGTGCTTTGCAATAACATCTCGCAATTCCTTTAATCCAATAATGAAAGCCTGTGGCAAACCAATCTACAAAGAGCAGCCAGAGTTCAGGTCTTACTTCAGTGTATGATTTCCGGTTCGTATGGATGCTCTTCTCCTTGTAAGATATCCGGCGTCGCTTTCTTTGAGGGATCATCTCATTCACAAGACTTCCGCATCCACTATCGCCTAACACAAACCCATTCCTGCATACACTAGTAAAATTTTCAGCGCAGGAAGTATTTGTTGTAAAATCAATATGTGTACATCGTTACAAAAAGCACAATCACAAGCCGGCAGAGACCAAAGATGATCGGTGAACTGCCATGTCTGCAACAAAGATCAAAACACTAATGTACCCGGTTGCTTTTGAACACTGTCAGGCCTTGATCGAGCTTTTTCGTCCGCTGCCCAGCAGCCTGCACGAATATTCCTCAACGTTCTTTCTTCTTCCGCCGTTGCCACAACATAGTCATATATTTTGGACCGTTCATCAGCCGTCAGATCAGAATTCCAGCGGCTTGGTGTTAAAGGCAAAGATTTACCTGCTCCTGCGTAAGGAAGCTTCAACATCTCAGATGACCGCAAATAATATTTACGCTAGCAAATTCGTAATAATTATGAGCCCATAGTCAGAAATACCTAGTACCGTTGTCTGATAGAATACCTATAAATATTTAACTAACACAAAAATTAATAAACTCTGTATTATAACTATCCATTTCCGCTCAGTCCTAAGCTCAGTATCCTAAACGATATTCTGAATTGGCTGACTGGCACATGCACAAACAATGTGTACAAACATCATCACGCAAAGATTACGAGACCTGCTGAAACTATTGCTAGTCTACAGATCTATATGGGTGCGAATTTGCAACGAAAAAGGATATGATTTTCCAGCGGAATAGCTCATACAGGCAATATGATAAGCAACGCTGCCAATGCTTACCACATGCAGAAATTAGCTGAAATCAGACCAACATAATGTGAATGCCGGTATAAACACTACAAGTGTGCCAAATGTAGAACACCAGAACAAATTCTAAATGCAAAAACATTAGCTAACTGAAACGTATTACACTCCGGCTTGCACTCACCAAAATATTCGCAGTGTCGACCAAGGATTTTGTTCAACAACTTCTCATCTACAGAAAATAAGCCGCTCGCATAAAAGTTTAAAAGATATACTGTATTTTAAAAGCCCATATCCGCATGTACAGATTCTACAAGCAGAAAAAATTGATAAATAAAAGCCAAGCTGGCTAGCATTGCAATTACTCCACGCACCTATCGTCACTGTAACGACATTGGTAGCATGATCGTAAAAAAATTGGGAAGAGTTGTTTCGATTCTGGATTTCAAGGATTTCTTCGTCACTGTAGCCCAGATGACGAACTTCGCACATCTTTAGATGCAGTCGATAATGCACTGTCGGTATTCTGTGGTTAGGGTCAATGGAGCAGGTTCTGTACTCCGCACGTTCCTAGGAAGTCAACAGAATTTGAGACCCAGCTACTCCAAACAAACATTGTTTGCGGAATTATTATACGGTAGAAAAAAACAACGTAAAAGTAAAGTAACAATATCAAAAACATACGTACATGCCGCATGCGTAAAAGAATTACATTACTCGTACTATACTCAATGCTCTGCGCTTTACAAAAAAAAATTACTGACTGCCAACAATGCATCATGTATTGTACCGTACTAACCAAACCGCTGCAAGCAAAAGAGGCACGTATTAGCATAATTCTGAGGATGAAGTCTGATAACCGATGCATCCGAAATTACTGTATCAAATGTTTTCGTCCGGTCTGATAACAGCTGGCTAATTGATATCCGATGGACGACTGCATGCCAACGTTCCACTTACGGTAACTGATTTTTCGCTCCATTTCAAAACACTCAACACATTCTGCAGGGTTGTAATCTGATGCCGAACCCGCTTAAGCAGCTGCGCGGTTCCATCACTGTCTATGGTCGACATTTTCCGGTTGCAGACACAGGAATTGCATAAAACGACAGATAGAAACGGATCGCCACGTCAAGGTATGTAAATCCAAACGGCAGCGGCGCAGCTGTCAACAAAAACACCGCTTAGTTAGCCTGTAAAAGTGTAAAAAATTGCGCTCGCCGCTCGGCTTCTGCACTGCCCTGCTCTGCAAAGCCGAGCTCGAGGCGCTGCACAGGAATTATAAACGCAATTTACAATTGCAATATTATTGTTATTAATTGCTACTTGCTAGCCATTGCGAGAATTAACACGAAGAATATCTCCCATGAACCGTAATATTCACCTTGTAAGGAAAGATCGTCAACGGTAGCGACGATTAACGGTAAACTTACCACATCGTTCACAAAGTTTCAAGGCTTCTAAAAATAAACAAGGTTGCTGGAGGCCAAGGAGTATTGCCGATGAAACTGCTTTTAATATGAATCGAAATATCCAAAACTGTCGCAGCAAAAATATAAAATGATAAAAGCGCAATCAGCAAGGCTTTCTGGATTCTTGAATCTCGTAATCATCAATCGCCGTTTTCGAAGTTTTTGCAACTATGCAAACTGGCGTGCACTCAGGCTGACCTTCCAAAAGTGGCAGCGACGTGAACTTGTAATACGTCATCGCGGAAAGGCAGGCTTACGGTCGCTGTAATCCAATGAACATATTTTTAAACATAACAGGTCGGCCAATTAGATTTAGCGTTTTATTATTCGTCGCAGCACCTTTCGCACGCATTTCGCGTCCGTACACCAAACGGTGTCATTACATCATCACACTGCATTTCGGCGACCAAAAAGCCGTGTCAAGCTCTCACAGTTCAAATTGACAGTCATTTCCAAAATTTCGTTTACGAACGAAGTACGAAACCTGTGATCCACAGATTTGTGATGTTTATCAGACCACGAAAATGGCGAATAAAGTCGAAATTGAATTTGGTATGTGAATTTGTTATCGAAAAATGTTTATCAGGATGGCCTTCTGATTGTGCAATTGTATTTGTGGCCCGTACTTCTGACGCTTTTACGAAATATTGGATTTAAGGACGCTGCATTTTTAACGGCTTTTCTTCGACTTCTTGTGCTCATGGTAATGTGTGTACTTTTGCAGATGATACAGAAAATTTAGATCTGCGAAATCGAAACGACGAAGACGATGATGATAATGTTAAGGACAACTGGGATGATGAGTCCGAAGACGAAGAAGCCAAGAAACCTCCCCAAGCGCTTGTTGCTCAAGACGGTAATATATAAACCAAGATCGGAGTGCTGAAATTTTATATGATTGTGGTAGATTTACACCCGTGACCCTTAAAAATAATTCATATTTCACTAGTTAGCTACTTGTACATCAGAACACATATAAACCATAATTTAATGATCAGATTCGAAAGAAAATTATATTCGTCTTGAATAAATGTTTACGCTTATAATGACTTGTTTTAAAATTTAACACTGATGGTGCTAAAACTAAAATTTAACGCTGGTGTGTGCTAAATTTCAGAAAGATAGTGCGGTTAATATCATTCACGAGTTATGTACTTATGGCCACTGTTACTGGTGTAACGGTGTCGAGCAGCGCTTTCGAACAACTCATCAGTTTAAACAATTTAAAATTATCTTATTTTTCTAGAAGCTTCAAAACCTTCCATCAAGAAGAAATCACTTAAAGAAAAAATTGCTGAGAAGGATGCAGATAAACAGCGGCAGGCGGAAATGGCGCGACTCAAATTGGAAGAAGTTATGAACCGTACTCCTCAAGAAATTGCTGCCGAAAAAGCTAGAATTCGGAAAGAGCAAGAAGATTCAGATTTTGATTTGGCCAAGGATACTTTTGGTTAGTGATATGGTGTAGTAAGTTAATATTATTCTTTTAAACATTAAATTTTTCTTAATGAAAGCTAGCAGTTGCATTACCATTCTTTCATTTGTGGGGTTTTAGTTGATTCCGGACCTCTGCCGTCCATTGGAGCTGGAGTTATTGATGCATTTGACCCCAGCACAGCGGAAACGTTCGAGCAATTTCGTAAACTTCTCGTTGACAAAATTCAGAAATACCAGGTACGTTAGAGATTATTTCTAGAATGTAGAATTCTTTATAGTTATCTAATTTAGAATGTAAAATTCTGTAAAATTGTGTTATTTGTCAGTGACTGCTGAAAATTCCAACTTTTATGTCTACAGAAATCCCAATTTTACCCTTTATTCCTCCAAGGACTGTTCCAAGACTTGTCTCTTAATTGTAAGTAAAACTTACAAAATGAACATTGAACTGTGGGCCAAAATGAGCTCCATATGGCTCTGGGGTTCGCGCATTAACATTTTCCATTTCTGTTATGTTGTCTAAATGTATCAGACTCAAACTTCCATATTATAGTATACCAAAATAATTACTTATTAACAGTGGTTAATAGTCGTTTTCTGTTTTTTTTATATACAACCCCAAAAAAATTATTTTTTTATAAGACCGATATGATGAGCCTCAAATGTTTTGAAAAGTGCTGTGAGTACCTTTTGACTTTTGTTACCACTCTCGGCAAACTTTGCAGTTGTGTGTTTTAAACCTTTGAATTTCTTCGGCTAAAGGTTTTAAACGGAGCCGATAGCAACAGTGCGTTTTATTTTCTACGTTTGAGAATTAAAGTTGCCTGCTTGGTAGTGAATTCTGAGGATGTTCGGAAGTGCGGATCGTTGTTGACGACTTTGGCCGGCGAAAAAGCGAAGAAAGAAAAGGAAACGGTAAATATTTGGCTTGTTAGTTTTATTGTTATTCCTGACCCATTTTTAACCCGATAAACGTCTCAGGCTGGAAAAGGAAAAGCCAAAACGAAAGGCAAAACAGGAAAATCTTTGATCGCTGGCAAAAAGGATGACATGCTGGATGATTACGGGAATGATTACGATCCAATTGACGATTTGCTCTGATCTTATTTATTCCAGTCCGTTTTGGCCTGCGAAGTTCATCAGTCTGAAAACTGTTAGTTTTATACGGCCGAGTTGTCTGGACATGTTTTTAAGTTAACACTTGAAGCTAGCTTTCGGCCAGTAAAAGTTTCGAATGAATCTATTTATTTCGATGTCGAAGCAATGCGAAAATTACGTAGACCAGGAAAATGAATATGTCGAATGCGTTATGTTATGTAAGATCTGTGTGGGTGTTTATGCAACTAACCGGTAAGTACATATTTTGATCGTAACTAAAGTGACAGTAATTTTCTTGAAAATGAGAATAGTCACTTTTTTTCAAAGCCGCCCAGTTTGCCTCAGTTTTCGTCTAGTAATAGATGTGACCCTTCTCAACACAACTGCAGAATTTCGAAAATTTTTTCTTGATCTTGCTACCGCGGTATAAACTCTTTTTAAACGTTTGCAATTTGCATGTTTTAAGGTATGTTTTCACTCACTTTTAATTTTTTTTAAATTTCAATTTGGCGATACAGTACAGTCACAAGTTTTCTATAAAAGTAAAAGATTTGTACTGAATACACAGCCTCAGCCGACTCACTTGTCAGAAGACACACGTAAGTACCAGTATAGCATACATACGGACAGCATAAGCCAGGGGCGTCACAGGTTCGGCAAAAGGGGGTGTCAAATTTTGACAGGGGGGTGGGGCAAAATTTGACGGGGGGCAATCGTTTTCGAAAACTACTACTCTGTCTGCTCCCTTCCAAATTTTGACAGGGGGCAACCGGTTTTCAAAAAATAGGGGGAGGTAAATGACCGTAAAATCCCTAAAATTTGCCGGTTGACACCCCCCTATGACGTCCCTGGCATAACCAATATGGACAGAACAGTTTGATGGTGCAAAGTGTAAAATGTAAATTATTATGAAACGAGAGCAAAAAACGGTTATTGGCTAAAACTTTAAATTGCTGGCAAATATCAAAACGTTACTAATTTTATTCGAGTGAAATTATGTATCTGGGTCTCTGTAGCAGTAGCAGGAAGGGATTTGTGCCCTCTCCGTACTCGCACCTACCGCCCGACGCGCCCGTATATTAAACATTAAAATGATACTGTATGCATTGAGTTACTAGTTAATCAATCCTTTCATTTTTAAATAATTTTTTTAAATCTTATCTACTCGTACTTATTTTGTGGAGTCAGTAATAAACTAATAATTAATGATAATGATATTATTACACACATTTTGCAGTGATATCGTAAAACCTTAAATCTTCGTATTGATTTTTCTTTTGGTAATATCTTTTCTTGATACATGTCTTTGTATTGCATCTGTCGAAGATTAGCTACACTGCTACAGCACACAAGCAATAACAAGCAGTTTACATTCTTTCGGCCTTATGCAGAGTAAACTGTGTCAGTCGGACTCAGTACAATCCGTGTTGCAATTTGGTAAGTAATTAAACACGTGCGTCTAGAATCTAGACGGTAAAACCTGCTTTGTTATTATTGTCATCGGAACCAGCGACACTGGTGGCCTGCGCGCCGATGTGTACCGCCGTGAAACCAGTTGCTGCATCGACGTCGTGCTCATCAAGGCCAATTTGTGGCCATGCAGATATCGTTCTCCTTTCGGAGGAACTCGGGTTCGCAGTCTGATCATGACAGTATGCAGGGACGATATTTGTGGCATTTGGGCTCGTTGCTCTTCGTGATACTTTTATCGTGGCTGGGATTGTACTGTTTTACACGCGGTTTCCTTCTGAAGCGCGTCGAGCTGCCATTTCGCAGTTGCTCAGGTTCGTCTCCGCACGGTACGCAGCTCTTTGCTAGTCACTCATATGTCGCTGCTATTACTGTATACCGTATGGTTACAGGTTATTAAACGATTGTGTACCTTTTAGATGGACCGCCGTGTTCTGTTGATTATCAGCCGCGATTTCGGCGGGCCATTATTCTGATTGTTGACGCACTGAAGCACGAGTTTTTGGCTTACAACGGCAATTTGACACCGGAAACCACGCGCGCCTACCAGAATAAGGTGCCAATTATCGATCGATTAATTAGGAACCATCCACAAAATGCGGCGCTCTTCAAATTCATCGCCGATCCCCCGACAACCACGATGCAGCGTATCAAAGGGCTGACAACTGGTAAAAACACTAATTTCAAGTTTGCATTAAATTTAATTTCTCAAAATTAACACTAAGAGCTGCATCGTTTCGTGCATTTACAAATACTCGCAGAGCGATTAGGCAATGTTTTTAATCAATAATAACACCTACAATACATTACAGAGGCTGTAAATATTCCACGAAGTTCCATTTCATGCTAGAAAAGAAATTGCTTAAAATTTTAATAGAAATTATGTCCTTTAGGTCGTCGATTATGTCCTTCACGCACATCTTGTTTCCTCTCTAGAGGAAACCATTATTCATATCCAAATTTTCTTCAATAAGCTTTTCGAATTTCCAATTTTTTCCGCAGCTGCCAGCCCGGAAAGCCGTAAAACTTCGGGCTTTCAAATGACAGCCCTAACTTGCAGCGTGAGATCGTTTTTTAGATCAAATTTGAAATTTCTGATATTCATTTTGCAGGTTCTTTACCGACTTTTGTGGATGTCAGTCTGAATTTCGCTGCGTCGTCCGTTGGAGAAGACAACATCGTCGATCAGACCCGTCGCGCGGGGAAGAATGTCTCCTTTATCGGTGATGATACGTGGATTAATCTGTATCCCAACAGCTTCACCAAAACAATACCCTTTCCGTCGTTTGATGTCAAAGACCTGGATGTTGTGGACGCAGGAGTATGGCAGCATCTATTGCCGGAAATTCGCGCTCATCAGGCCGCCTTGATTATCGCTCACACACTGGGCGTCGACCACTGCGGACACCGTTACGGCCGGGATCATCCAGAAATGGCACGCAAATTATCCGAATTAAATGGTCACATTAAGAACATAATCAGGGAGATGGATGAGCATACCGTATTGTTTGTTATGGGAGATCACGGTATGACCAAGACGGGTGATCATGGAGGCGACAGTGTCGATGAAGTGGAAGCGGGCTTGTTTGTTTACAGCTCACAATCCTTTATGCGTAAGTTGTTGTTTGTGGGGTTCTTTAGAGCACTCTTAAATACCATCTCCTGATCGGAGTTCGCAGAATTTTGCATTTGTAGCTTTAGTTTTAAAAAATCATAATCCTTCACCATATTTTTTTAGCATCTGTTACGTTTTTTAGCTACAGATGCTTGTTTGATTTAACATTTAATATCTATACTATTTAAACGTACCACCCAGCAGCTGTCGTTTTTACTTTTTCTCGTAGATCTCTTTTTTATGATTTGTCTAATGTCATTCATCCTTCTGTTTGTAGACGCGGTTGCAGACATGGGTGACACAATCTCTCAAGTGGATTTCGTGCCAACGATTTCCTTGTTGCTCGGTCATCCGATCCCCTTTTCGAATTTGGGAAGCGTTATTCCATCCTTTTTTCCAGCCTCACCGACTGCCGCTCCGAAACCACACCTCTCACAAAGCCAAGCCTTAAAAATGAACGCCGACCAGGTGGTGAATTTTTTACGGAATTATTCCCACATCAGCCCGGAGTTGTCGCCTGCCGTGATTACCGAACTGGAAGAAGCCCTTCAAGCTGCAACAGCTAACAAATCTGTGACTGACTGGAAGCGGTTTTTTCATCTGTCTTTATCGTACTGCCGTTCTGTATGGGCGCGATTCGACGATCGAAATATCTGGTTCGGCATTATGTTTGTCGGGGTAGCGGCTTTCGGTACCGTCCTGATTTTGCTGCTGACAGCACGTTTGTTGTGGTTGAAAAATGGTTTCGGATTGTTTGCCATTACCGTAGCCCTGTTCCATATGCTGTCCATGTTTTCCAACAGTTTTCAAGTTCGGGAAGATTTCTCCGTTGTGACCATTCTGCAGGCCTTGATTCTGGTGCATTTTGTACGCTCAAATCCGAGAGCAAAATCATGGCTTTCTTGGTTGCGTTGGATATCTTTAGTCGTTTTGGTTAGAAGCGTTGAGTTTGTACGAAGATGCCGAGAGGAGCAGGCAGACTGTTCCGTTAAAGTTTTGGCTCTAAATTTCGACTCGTTGGAGAAGACTTCTCAGGTTAGTCGGTGAATTTTGTTTGACTTTTGTTTTTACGTATGTTTTCTTGTAGTTGAAAATTGAGATAAGCATGTTCCGTAATTTGATAAACGGAACGATTTAGGACTGAATGCCATTATAATAATCCGGCATGATCTGAATGCTTGTACATTGTAAATAATCCTTAGTTCTCGTTCCAGATCCATACCATAAGACTGTGCCTGGTTATAACACTGATTATTGCCACAATAATCTGGTGTACACGCAGCTTGTGGCATCGTGGATTGGTGAAGAACAAAAGAGTGTCCATTGCCATCCTCCTTTTAGCAGTGATGGTGTTCCTGCTGGTCGCGTCGCAGTTTTTGGAGCATGATCAGTATGTTCGACTGATTTTGGGACCACGTATGGTTTACACTATGGCAGCAGTGCTCGTGATGTTTTTGTTCCTGTTTCCCGTTTTCTTACCGGGTAAATACTCCGCCTACGATATTACATTTCATCATTGCAAATCAGTATTGATCCCCGTAATGTTTCAAACAGGACTCGAAAATGCCTCCCCTGGGGATGATGATCATTTAGAGGTGGATGTCTCGGAAAGTGACACATTCTTTCAGAACGCCTGTTTGTTGCTTCTGGTGCCATTCATCTGCGTTTTCACGGTTCTGCTGAATGCCTCCTGGGCATTTCAATTGGTTTTTCTGTTATTTTTATCCCGTGATCATTTCCTAAGTTGCCGAAGCAGCAGCAAGGTGGGCACGCTGGTGGCCTGGAGTTTCCTCTCTTGGCAAACATTTTTTGCAACTGGCCATCAGACAGCGTTCCCGACATTGCATTGGGAAGCGGCTTTTATGGGTGTCAAGGCAGGTGCGGGCAGTCCTATTTTGCCGGCTGTACTAGTCACTATGGAGACTTATGCTGGACAGATACTCGTAGCCCTAGCCGTGCCCAGTTTATTGACGGCAGAGGGCACCGATGCATTTTGGTTAGCTAACAAGATGGAGTATTATCTGGAATTGTGGAAAGCTTTCTTGGGATATTTTCTTTTCCATACTACAAAGGTAAGTTGTTTGTTACGAAGCATATTAGTATTTGGCGCAGTGTTTATCGGTATTTTTGTTTCTAAAGAATTTGGTTTTATTTGTTTGGCAAATTTGATAAAATCTGAAAAGCCCGTGCTTTTTCCGGTTATATGAAGCTTACCCTTTTAATGACCAATGATGATTCGCGAAATTTTTTCTTCTGAGTGCTTCTTTTTTGTTATCTTCGTGATAGCCCTTCTTGAAACGAAGGCAGCTCTGATCGTAAATATTAAATTAGTGGAAAGGTACCATATTTCACAAAGTCTGATTTTGCAGCTTTTAATTTTAAGCTATTTTTAATTATTGTACCGAGATGACAGTTTATTCGTTCTAGGCGTTCATTCTGGTTCTGGTTATTTTTGCAGTTATTTTTCGTGATGTTGAATGCGTCCATTAATCGCCGGCATTTAATGGTGTGGAAGATTTTTGCACCGCGATTCATTTTCGAAGGCGGATCCTTCGTTGTTACGTGCCTTGCCCTTACCCTCGCCTATTTATATGCTCTAAGGATGTTTTCTCTTATTCAAAGCCATAACGTGCCTTTAACCTCCCTTCAGAATAATGTTAAGCGCCTAAGTAAAACGGAATCTGAACGGGGCTCAAGGAAACGCCGTTAGAGATCTGAGCGCGATGTGAAATTGCTCTAATTTAAAGCGTACTCAACTCGAGATTGGTTACTGGTTTTGTACGGAGTTTATTTTTATTTGTACTAGTCCTGTGTTTAGCAGTTTTTTTCGATTGTTGTTTATGCCTTTTATTTTGTTAATCACGGTATATCTCAAAGCTTGTAGATTTTGTGAAGATTTGGAGAATTTTTTCTTTTTCGGGTGCGAATTTCGGTTACAATTACAGAGGGATGTGTTCCCGGTTGTTGTTTCATTATTTTTGGAGCTGTTTTTGCTTGGGCACGCTTGTTCCCCCTGTTGAAGTTTCGATAAAATTGCAAATGCTTAGGTCGATCACTTGCTTTCAATGATATACGATATACAGTTATTGTTTCACTTCGAATTATTATCTCGGGGAATACTTATGGCTACTAGTCTCCGTAACAGCTTTGTTCACGGATTCGCCCAACACATCCCTCGCTTCTGGCACAAACCCAGCAAACCCGCTCATTGCATGCTGCGATTTAAAATGATCCAGTTTATACTGTAACGTTGGATGCCAGCGCGGTGCCGGCACCATGATATCCATTGTTTTCGGTTGTTCGATCTGCACCAGCTGAGGGACGAGATGAGGATGCTTGACAGGTGGAAGAATTACCGGCTCGTACTGCAGTATAGTATGGTGGCTGTTAGGAGTAAGGGCTCCTTCCATATAACTGATAGCGGTGGGTGCGGAAAATGGAAGCCCGCCATAGTCACTATGTGCGCTGGGGCGCACTCTTATTTCTTTCTGAACTTGCTTAGCTTTATCGAACTGGGAGAATGTTTTTTCCAGCAATCCCAGTCCATACTGCGCGATTATCTGCTCATGATTATGCCCCAAGAAGCGCGGAGTGAATTCCGGTGTGGTGGCATCGATGGGAACCAGGTCACGATTGATGACCTCGGTGTACTGGTGGTCACGGCCACCGATCAGCTGCATGCCGGTAGCGTTGGGATCATGCAAGCGGAGACGGTAGCGGGGAATTCCGGCACGGATCCGCTCAAACTCCAACGTCCCATCCAGACAACGCTGCGCAAACCTCCGACCAACTTTGTCCACGATACATGGGTTGTGACCTTTACAGAGACGCGTATAATCGCTGTTGTGCCTTCTTGTACCGTTTGAACGTATATTGGTTTTTAAAACGCTCGAAAAATTAATTATATTTTTGCAGTACCCGTGTAACCAGGTATCATTTGATCGCGATACACCGGCTGTCCTCCTTGTAGGTGGTCTTTCAGGTCGAAATGCTCCTTCCGGTCGACCGCCTCCACATTAGCCAGGTGTACCAGGCGCGGATCTCGCTGGTTAGGTTCGATAAGACTATGTGCACCGCCATGACTGAAATAGCCTCCACGTTCCAGAGCGGCCTGCGTTGCCCGCCCTCGGGACACACCGAGATATGTGTTCTTCCCGGGAAAATATCCCGTGTACCTAATTAGAAAGGATGCAAGCCTGGTAGCTCTCATTTTGTGCACGACACGCCAAAGCAGTTTTTGTCCGGGTCCAATATACTTACACGCATTCTGAATATTTTTGCTTACCGTTAGAACATACCCCGGCATCTGGTAGCGGTTCATGTTGAGATCCGCGTTGTTCCGAAAAAGTTCCGGTTGATTTCCTGCAGCCATTTCTCAGAAGCCCTCCAATAATTTTCTCACTTAAGGAGTACGTGAAGTTTTGTAAAACAAAATCTGCAACTGTAACTACATTGCTGGCCTAAACCACTATCGGCCTTGCGGTCGCGAAATGCCGGCTGCTTATCTTCTAGCGTCCATGCAGATGACCTTTAACCTTTATTCTAAATAATTTTGCAACAGCTTGGTAACTACATTTAATTAACTCAAATTTCAATTACTTGTTGCGGTAATTAAACAGCAACAAGCACTTGTTGCTGGTTAAAAAGGTCATGCGGAACCTTGCATGATTCGTATCTGTTCATTTTTAGTTTGAAATCCTATCAATTTTAATCTGGCTGCTTTTGCCATCGCCGGAGAACAGAAATCATCCACGTACCACGGTTCTTCAACGTATAAAAATTATCCCATTACTGGTTACAACAAGCAATTTCGCAAGTGGACTATACACATACATCAAATCCCTGATTGTAATATTTTCACGTCAACTACAACAACGTGCGAGATAATTATAAATTTCCATCCTATAATAGAAAATATTCACCAGGAGTGCAAATAAAACTCATTTCTACATAACGCACCTAGTACATTAAATTCACAACAATTAAACAAAAACGTCAAGATTTTGCCATGTCTATTAAAGCGTCCACTAATTCATTGGTACTTGGTTTATGGTCCAACAGATCTGCAAAACAACCACAAAAAAGTAAAGAATGCCGCAAACAGCCAGAGGCAGCCAGTGGCCTTACCGGAAATGAGTGTTAAGGGAGGCTGACCGCCACCATGACACAACAATTTATCGCGCAAACGATGACCAGCAGTTCTACGAGTAAAATATTCGCATTCAATGTGTCCGTGCAACAGATAATTACACTACTGCCTTAACAAAATCTTACCGACTATATGGATCGTTTTGAATACTTTCTGCCAGATATCAGAGGCCACAGAACGAGCCAGAAGATATGAATAATAACGAGCTCCATACCCAAACAAATGGCCAAACCGTAACTGCCAAGCCTACGAAAAAAGCTGGTAAATAACTGTAAACGCCACGGTTGTCCAACCCAAAAAGGTATTTCTTGAATTTTCTTCGTCACAGATTTACGCAATTTTAAACACAAGGTATGCAAGTTACCGTATTAGGAACATATTTAACCGCCACGTGGTCATCGTGGAGACGTGCATAAACTTCAGTTGTGTCCAGGTTCCCACTCGATCCGTGGTATTTCTGATCTAGTATGGCGTAAAAGGTTTGCAGTTGATGCTCCGTAGCTGAGCAGACTCGGCGGGAGGCACTTAGCTTATTCAAAGCCGATTCTGACAGGGAAGCGCCGGTCTGATAATGACGACTTATCCGAGACAAAACCTGTTTCAAAATTGTTGCTGTTTATGAAGCACACCTCTCAAAACAACTGCTTTACCCTCCCATCAGCCGCAAATTGCTCCATTAATGAGGAAGGAATCTCGGCGAAGTCAGTGGAACAACGTGTACCTACATGAGGACAAAATCAGGTTCAATGGAAAATTATATTCAACTTTCAAGATATCGTGAGACACGCACCTGTTACATGTTGATAGCGTGTCCTCCCAAGCATCGAATGCATAGCATGACCCATTTCGTGAAATAAATTGTCGATCTGCCAGAACTGTAATAGACACGGTCCACTTGCTGTCGGGGGAGTGAAGTTCAAAGACAGCACCACAACAGGAAGCTACAAGAATTCCAAATTTCACAATCAATTACGCATCATAATTAATATTTTTAGATCGATATGATGCCCGACTCGATCCTTCAACAAACAAAGGTAACGCGCACCCGTTTTCGATTTACAATCAGCTCCGTCAAGTTAGACAGTAATAAGTTATCTTCTTGTTCCTACCTGATAAGACCCATCAGGCAGTTGTCGCCCACAACGAATAGTGAAATGGCAGTCTTGGTGGGGTTTCTCTGGTCTTTCATAAAAATCACAGTATATAAATCCGAGAACTTCCTCTTCGCGATTTCGCACAGACTATAAAGCAGCATACTGTAAACTAGAGCGGCAAAATACTTACTTAAATTTTTATCTCTATTTATGAACAAAATTAGCAAGCGCAACCCATAATGAAGACGTATTTTCACGTGTACCAGTTTGTAAACATCACTAGACCACAGATCTTCAGATGCTGGATCTTCGATGACAAAATGTACATCGAATATCGAATCAAACAGCTGATTCAGTCCTTCCACGCAAGCACCAAGGGGGAAGTAAGGCGATAATTCACTGAGATTGATTTCAGCTCTATAAAATAAAAAAATCAATATCACTGCATAAAATGAAATAATAAATCAAAGAGTAAAATCAAGGAATTTGTTTTAGCAATTCTGGTGATATTAATAAGCATCCACCTTCTTTGCCTGGCTTGCGACATTAAATAAGCCGTATCCCAGGCATACACCGAAGTTGCTCCAGGCTCTTCGATCCGTTTAATGTCTAGCATTAAACTGAGATCATCCTTAGCCAAGGGCGCTAGTTTTTTCGATAAGTCCTCAAGAAATGTTGATATTTTCGCTGAAACAAAGCGTCATGGGAAACTGTAAGATTAACTACAATTCCTTATCAAAATCTAAACGTTACGAAGAATTACAGCCAATGCCACCGAGGACGTAAAACTTTAAATAACGACTGAAAACCCAGAAATTGTTTGAGTAAGCTCATTTTAAGCAATACCGGTATTTTCGAAAATGGAACCGCGGTTTGCGCGAGCAGAATAGGAATCGAATCCTACAAGCCGGGCTAGCTGGTAGCGACGATAGATCATTTCTTGCAAAGGCTCACTTTGATATTTATCCGGTGCGAGATACACTTTATAAGCCGCTTCTCGAACCTAATAACAATCCGAACCATGAAATATGCGGAGCGGTATGATGTCCAGCGGTTTTACCATGTCATTAGAAGAGTCCGACATCAAATTGTGTACAATCAAACTGTCATGATCTTTGTGGAAACTGCAAGATTAACAACCCATAAGTCATAAACCTACCCACAACATAGTACAACTGGCCATCGTCGGTACTGGGCCACTTACTAGTTGTGTATTGATTCCGGTACCAAATTCGACTTAATATAACGTGGTTCTTGACATCTCTTCATAAAAGTTGTCCCTGCCGCGAGAATTCTCGCATTAAGCTCAACAACTTTCCGCCTCTGCGAAACTCAGAAAACTTGAAAATTTGTTACTATTTCGACGCTATAGAAAACTGCATACTTTGTCTTCCTCCAGATGTATTCCGCATTGTTCGAAATCGAGTAAAAACAGTTTCGCAACGTGAAGATCAACGGCATCCATTGGTTTAATATCGCCCTTTTCGACGGCATTCTTGAGTGCATCGAAAATCGGCCGATTAGTGTTCAATCTGAAATTCATAACACACAAGCTAACAATAAGTACAAAATCAAATTTTAAGTCAGCATTTGCACGATCCTGAGTCAGATAGATAAAAAACTTAAATTATAACAAACCTCCAAGCAAGAAATGTGCCAATAAGTTGTACAAAAAGCTGCCAATTTTTTAAAATACCTTTTAAACTTTCTCTAAGCAAATTCGTACGAATTTTGTTTAATTACTCGGTACAAAATTTTTTCGGTCAATTCGTATGTATTTTTCTTACTCTTCAACGAGACCGTTCATATCGGAATTCGCTGACTCCGCTGCACTTGTAAATTCGGAATCTGTATGCAGTACTCGCACGCATTCAGCCTGCGAGATAAAGACACACCCAAAAAATCATCAATTTGTTCTGGAATCAGGAATCCAAAATAATTTAATGTCGCACCATATCGGCAACCCGGCACAGCACATCCGACAATTCATCAAATATTTCCACAACATTCCTGCTGCGCTTCGTATCCGTAACTTCGCGCACTAATCGTTCTGTATCGATTTCCGCCTGCTCTTTAAGGAGATAAAAACCTTGCGCATGTGACAATTGTGGATATCCAAAAATACCCTGAAAATATATACTTTCCTCTTATAAAAAGCATCAGCAAAATCGATTAAATTAGCAAGACCGCTGCTGAAATTAACACAGCCACCATTTGTGGCTGTATAAAACTGTGGAAAATTGTAATAGACCTCGCTATTCGCACCTTCCGTTCTTTATTAAACGCAAACGAAAGCTTCTTCTGGGGTTTTCTGTTGAAAGTGGCGGCTAGTGGTGTCCATGTTGCAACACAACGACGCGAAAAATGGTAGGTGCTTCTGTAAACCAAACTCGCAGGAGCAACTCTCCGCAGCATGGTACTGTATATAACGCAGTTGTGCGTCAAGGATCCGAGGGACGCTCACGAAGATGAACACCGCCAGGAAATTATGAAATAAAATTTAACTACAAAGTGGAACTCAACTGGGGGGAAAAAGATATTCAACGCAAAATGTTTTGCTAGTTGCAGGTCGCACTCTAATTGCCTACTCATAGCATCCCGCTGACATAAAAAAAACGCTAAAAGTTTTGAACAACAAATATAAAATCCAACTCCAGGAAACAATAATGCCTTTGCAAAAAAACTTCAAAAACTACTCGTTCAATATATCAGGTATCTACAAATAATAGATAGATCGGAGTCAAATCACAAAACTACATTTTTATAAAGTTTCTGCCCAAAAAATACTTATCAAAATCCGAAAAATGCGGCAGTCATTTATCATTGGCCCAACAGATAGGACGTGATGAGGCGTGCCATGCAGCAGGGGGAAAGTCTACACAAGCCACCCTAACAGCTCTGTGGTACGAAACTACTGTAATGAGGGGTCAAACTGTTGAACACGTCTCGGCGCATTCAGCTTATGGATGTTGATTTTGATCGTGAGTTATCACTTTTCTTTTCAGTTGAGCATTTCCAAACTTGTCAGCTGATCGCATCCTGTCTCTTTGCGGCAGACTTCACGTGTTGTCTTTTTCGGTGGTGGATTTATTTTGATATCTTTCGTTATTTTTGAAGTTTTGTGGACGATAAAGCCAAGGGAGGATGAAAGGAAAGGAAGTCTTTGCTTCATTGACACTTTTCTTAATCGTTCCTGGTGTTTTGGGGGTGTTGCTCCCAACGTCTGGCATAAAGAACAAGATCCACCATCACAGTTTACACCAAAATGCTGACATGTTTAGTTTTCTAGCCCTTGGAGACTGGGGAGGACTTCCAATAATTCCATACCAGTAAGTTGTAGCAGATATTTCGCTGTTACAAACCGCAGTAATTGGTTTTCGCCGTCTGATAGCATAGACATTAGACAGCAGAATTAAAAATCACAGTACCCATTACCCAACGCCATACAGAATATGTACGTAGTCGTCGTAGTGGTTAAAGTTTAAAAACACAACAAAGTTAAACATACGATATCAATACCATATCATCAGATTTTATAGTTGATCGTGAATAATTCTAACATCTGAAAGTAAATGCACTTGGCAATTGACATGAGAAGTAATCCGAGATCAACAATTCAGATGCAGTTTTTTTCATAAATAATAAATTTAATTTCTTGTCAGGAAGTTCAGTGTTAATTTTCCTCTTTGGTTTCCAGCACTGCTATCGAAAGCACTGTGGCTAATCAAATGGGATCTACGTCGGATGCTGTCCGTTCTCGTTTCACTATCGGTTTGGGCGATAATTTTTACTTCGACGGAGTTAAGGATGTGAACGATAAACGATTTGAGGAGACATATGAAACCGTATTTCAAGCAACATCCCTCGATACACCGTGGTATTTTATCGCCGGAAATCACGACCACAACGGTAATGTTTCAGCCCAGATCCATTATACGGATGTGAAAAAGAGATGGTAAGTCTCATGTGATAGTTTTAATTTTCTTCGATTAAATCGTACTGTCGTACATACAAAATTTGTATGTAATAGTTTGTAGCTGTGTACAGATAATTTTTTATTTATCAAATCGCTGCTTTCAGTGTTACCTGATGCCTGTTGGCATTGATACTCGTAACTCGTGAACGATAAGTTGGTATTCCGTTGCTTTGAAATTGTCACTTTTTTAGCGAAGTGTTAGAAGTATTGGGCAGATGTATGAGATTTTTAATCAGCAACCTATCCGATGCGCTCTATTCATTCCGATGAATATCGATGTCGTTTGAAAGAAGGAATATTATGCTTATTTTATTTGCCTGAATTCACAGGAATTTCCCCGATTACTATTACAATCTGAAATTTGATGCTGGAGAAGGAGCGAGCCTCGAGATTGTTCTTATCGATACGGTATTGCTCTGTGGAAACAGCGACAGCGATTTTCTTCACAAGCAGCCGGAAATGCAGATGAATCCGAAAGCGAGAAAAATTGCTGATGACCAGTGGGCTTGGATTGAAGAAACGCTTGCGAAATCTACGTAAGTGTGGCTGTGTAGTTAGGTAAAAGTACAACAGCTGATTTATTTCGTGCTTTTGAACTTTTAAATACTTTTTGTTAGTGAGCCTTAACTTTTTCATTGTGTGCAGTTATGCTACTTCAACAGTTATAGCTGTGCCCGTTACTCTGTTTGCAACCTTGCATGCACATTTCTTTCTGCATCGCCGGTTCAACCTACCCTCCATCTGTCGCGTTAGGAGATAGTGCAGTTTTTTTTATTATGGGACGTTGAGGTTTCGATGGAACTTTTTAGCAGTAATATTATTTAATGTGCTTTATTCTTCCAGCGCAAACTATCTTATCGTTGGAGGACACTTTCCAGTGTACAGTGTTGCTGAACACGGATCAACCAAGTGTTTAGTGGATAAGTTATATCCTTTGCTCCACAAATACCGAGTTCAGGCGTACATCTGTGGGCATGACCACAATCTGCAACATATCGAAGTGAATGCTAAGAACTGGACGACGGAGTATTTCGTCATTGGTGCTGCAAACTTCATCGAAGACAGCCATCAGCATGAGAGCACTATTCCTGGTGAGTTGTACACTTTGCCATAAAAAATTATATACAGAATAGATTCGATTAGATAATGGCTGAATACCGATTATTGTAGAGGGATCGCTAAAGTACTACTGGGCTGACTTGCTGAAACTTGGAGGCTTCGGAGTATTTCAGTTGAACAGTGACGCCATGACTTTTCGTTTTATTGATGCCCAGAATGGCCAGACCCTTCACGGCACCACCATGTATCCTGTAAAAAACCGTGGAACGCTTTGACTTCTAAATCGAAACTGATAAGAAGACAGCTGACAGTTCCTTTCGTTTTGTATTATCCGATCTGTGATTTTCTGTTCTGGGTACTCCTTATGGTATTGCTTCAAACAAATTATTGATTTCGTGATACTGTATTTTCTTAGCTTTGCCTTCCTCATGTTGAATAGTACTCAACGCTTGCAGGTATTACCCTCACTGATTTCGAGTTTTTATTTTTGCTGATAATTCGCCATCTGTGTTGCCTTTGCGCTGATGCTTCCTTTTTTTGTATTTTTTCAGTACCGATATATTCGTATCACGTATGTACAAGCCCATCCAACAATTCTTTGACCGCTGTAAGCGGGAATTTAAAGAAACGTGGGCTTGAGCCATTTAATGTGCTTCGACACGTCACGCCACATGGGTCCGCGTATTCAGCGTAAATAAGCAACAAATCTGCATGTGTTGCAGTTACTGTCTCTGTGATATACAATGTAATATGTTAAGCATTATTTATTGCCATCATAATTTATATTAATTTTATGCTTTTGTAACAGTATCATCTTTGCTTTGCAATACAATATCGCGGTGGTACTTAATATCCATATTACTTTCAAATTACTGATTGCAACATGCCCAATTTAAATTGTTGAATCCACGTTGGTATAATAATGGTCTATTAATTGTGATCTATTATATTATTATTGGTTGAATATTTATAAATATATCTGCCACTACACTACGATGCGTATTTGCATTACTGTGCGTGATTTATATGCGCTGCGCTTACAGCGGTCAAAGAATTGTTGGATGGGCTTGTACGAGTAGTGGATAAATGAATCAGTGCGGTCGAATTGCTTCCGCCTTGCAGCCGGTATTCACGATTGCTCTACTTTAAGGTTACTATCCTTTTCGTTCGATGGTTTTGTTTGTACTGTTGAATTTCATTCACTTCGCACTTATACAGATGCACCTTTGAATAGAAAATAAGTTTTTATTACAGTTATTTCCTATTTTTCAGTAGCGATCAGGGGATAGTGTGGCCTTCATTTTTTTGTTTGAGCGACAAAAAAATAATTACGGTGAATAGGCTATAAAACGCATAATACTAGTGTAATCACTATAATGTACTGTACACACTCGCAAGTGCGTACGTAATTCAGTGGATCACTGTACTGTGTACAAGTTTGATTAAAAAATAATAATTATCTATAAACTTTCGTTTCGTAATAATTGTCACACTGCGCTAAATACGCAAGAGTAATTCAGGTAAACTATACATACTTAAAAAATGAAATACTTATGACTGACTGGGTTTCACAACTAATCATTCTACGCATCGAAATCCATCTTTCCATTTCCATATCGAGTCAGATTATGTACAGTAGCTTCTTTTATTTTTACGCTGGTCAAAACTCGCAGCAAGGTTGCTGGCTTTGCTCTCGGCTGGATGCGTTTATCCCTTTAATAATTATTATGGAAGTAACTGTACATCTGACACAAAAGGATGCCGTCAACTTTCGATTTGGCTGGCTGAACTGCGCGGCGCAGTGCGCGCATCGAAAACACGTACGACTAACCACTGACGTCATTAATTTTGACCACATTTATTGGCTAACAGGCACGGATCAGCCAATCCAACAACTACTGTATTGGTTTTATCACGACGTCATGTACCGTACATATGCATGTACGGTCTGTACTCCATATTATATCAAGATTTCAAGTGGTGAAACGAATCGACGGACGAAGTTGTAGATCGCACTGCACATTTGTTTCGACTGCGTCCCAAAACTTTTGTTGTCGTTTTTGTGACTTCGTCATATTGTACTTTTGTAGTTTCAGATATCTGCTACAGTATAATCTGAAGTTTGGTTGCTTCAACAGTTTTCCAATCAATGATTTGTTAATGTGGAATTCTACCATTTGCATAGTGAGCAACTGCCGTGGGATTTTATCTTCTCCAGCTGATTGTGAGATAAAGGTAAGCCGTAAGTACTTACAACTTACTGTGCTGCCTGTGCATATACTTAATTATAGATATATTGTAACAAATATTGTAACAAACTGACAAACAATCATATTTAGATTTTTCTTGTCGTTTATTTCCTGTCTAAGCCAGTGGTTCCGCTTGAACCAGGGATTTTAAATTAATTTTCGGAATGGCAGCGGACAAACAAGATTACAGTGCAGAATTTCTCGTGGCCAGTGAAATATGTATCTGGGCTGTTGAAATTTTCAGCAAGTTTAAATACTTATTATTTTCATAATGAGGTTGAGCACTTACTATTTTTTATCTTTAATAAACTCGACAATAAGTCATTCTAAGTGTCACAGCGTGCAATGATATTAACGGCCAATTTAGCATAATGTTTATAGCTTTTTTCGTTTTCATCTCATCCAGTTTAACGGGCTTTTTGGTTGCAGAAAAGTGAGAAAACAGACAAAGTTACTTTAGTCTCTTTGCGAAACCTGCGAATTCGTTGGTTTTACACGAAAAATTGCCCTGCAAGGAGGATTTCCGGTGAGAGCATCTTCGATCGTTTCACTTCGCGATCTGGATTGCTTTGGAACTGGCAACGGCACAATGAAGACATTTCAAGCATATTTGCCCAAATGCAATCGCATGTACGCCTGTATACACTGCCGCGCACACCTGGCCGCGCATGATGATCTCATTTCCAAGGTAAAAGATAGTACGAATACGGCATCGTTTATTCGATTCCATCACAGGTCGACAACATGCAGAATTAGTATTTCGTATTGCTATAACTTCTTTTTTTTTATTGAAACCTCTTGTGGGCTTATTTCGCAGGTAATTTTTGTATTCTACGCAGTAAGGGTACTCTGTAGTTTTTTCCATGGTATATTTTGGAAGAAACCGATATTTACTGGCAAAGTTGACAGTCGTATGTTTTGGTGATAAGCCGTGCGTTGATTCATTCGTTTGGCCTGGAGTTGTAAAGTCACTTGGCCTCAAATGCATTAGATATATTTCACATACGCAGCCATCGCGATAAAGCAGGTGATTTTATTGTTAACGATTCAATCGGGCGGCTTTTTACGTTGCAGTGTGTGTGTACATGCCCTAAAAAGTTCATTAGAACCTCCGCAGTCACGTGAAGCTCCAATACCGGCACAAGGCTGCTGTGCTTGCTACGAATGAACCAAGAACGTCCGCTAGTCACGCGCTGTATTACATGTTTTCCGTAACTTTGTCAGAAGTGTTTTGCGAGATCGCACACATCGGCTTGGGTTTATCGATTTTTTTCTGTGTGCCAGTGTGCGATGATAAAACCAAATTAGCTTCATCTTTCCATGGGGCTAAACGCCGCTGCATGTGTGTGGATACTCGCAGGACGTTCGCGCGGCTTTTTTCTCATGACCTACAATTTGCGATTACTTACTGCTGCCGTTCGTCATTTTAAACAAATGAGATGGATTCTGGCCCATCAGTACTGAGTTTTATTAACACTGACGATAACATAAACGACGGCCTTTAAAGTTTAGTCCAGTGACGGTTTGGAAAATCTTTGAAAGAAGCAAGAATAAAATAAGTTTATTGTAAAAAAATACAGCTGTTGTATTATTGTATACCAGTGTGGTCATAAAAATTGTATTGCAAGTTTAATGGTATTAAGTGGTTTGCCTATTTGGTGGGTGCAAAGAAAAAAGCGAAAGGAAAAAATCGAAGTACAGAATTGAATGTTCCGTACAGGCGTAACGAGCCTGCCAGAAATCATATTATTGTTTATCTTTTAGACTGCAGAGACCCTGCAGAAGGCATCGTTAGCAGGCTTGCCTGTGTTAACAATACTGTAACAAAATTGCTCTTCCTGGCTGATTTTGGTTTTAAATCACTTTCCAGCGATTTGATAATGTTGACCATAATACTGCAGTGGCGATAGTAATTTCATAAAATTTAAAAAACTGTTTATAGGTTGGTAAAAGTGTTTAAACAATCACGTTTCAGTGCCTTCTTCATAACTGTTAGACCAGTCCTACCTGAATCGGGTGTCCTCACACTGTTTATGCTCTGGCTTCTCCACATATCGTGATTTTCTTTCGCCTTTTACTAAAGAAAACCGTGTGGAGGAGCCGCTATGAGCCGTATTAAATTTTTGGAGCTCCTTCGGGAGCACATTTAATCAAAGAAAGGGGTTTGGTTGGCCTACATGGGATTCGGGAGGGTTTGCAGCTGTGTGGTAAACGTTGCCGAGTTATGTAAAAGGTGCGGGCCCTGAAAGAATCAGTTCTTACTGGTTAGTGACAGCGCGCTCACTTCCTAGTTCCTACTACGGGCAGTGGCGACTGCCGAGCAAACTGGTTTTGTGTAAATGAAAGTTGTATATATAACAATAAAATTGAATAAACATGTTATATTTACAAGTCTGATCGGCATGGGGCAATATGCGGTCGCGGATTTGACTTGTGAGATGCGGGACCGCGTTCGTGTCTTTTGTCTACATTCTGTAGTTTAGCCGCGCGGTGTGAACTGTGAGCTAGGATAGTGACTGCTTTCGGTTTTGCAATTTTTTTATTTTTTTTCAAAACAAGTTTAAAATTAGTAAAAAAATTGAATGTTTTCATGTAAAAAAATTGAATGTATTCATTCGGCGTGAGCAGAATCATTTTACAGCGTTTATAAACGGCAAAATGGGTAAAATGTGCAGTGCCATTTCTGCTTTTTTTTTCGGGGTGCTTCCTAATTTAAACCTGGGAGTCAATTTTGGAGCGGCTAGATCCGTCGCCAAGGCTATGGCAGTCAATCGCCCATGAGCACATGTTATCGATAATTATGTCTCGTAGAACATCGTTTGTTAGAAAACGTTCCACCACCAGTATGCGGGCACTGTTAATGTGTTGTGCTAATTTATAATTCAAGGCTGTTTTTCTTCTTGCAGTCCTTTCAAGGCAGTCAAGGACGGGCCTACTTGTTCAATAACGTGTAAGTATAGCACCGCTTTTACGGAATTATGCAATCAGTTTGTGAGAAAGCCGATGACAGTTGATTTGCTGTAGCGCGCGGTTAGTTGAAAGTTGAAACCGTAAACGCATGTTATTAGACGTACTTACCAAATACCAGGTTACTTCTACTCTATATTTTGTGAAAAACATGTGATCTTAAATTCTTGACCATTGAGTCTCCTGACAGCATGTCGCACACGTTATCATTATGTGTATTTAAGTCACCACATGTATACACAAATTAGCGACACTGAAATTGTATAAAGCAAGCACCTGTCATCAGCATTTCGGAGCAGTATCAACTATTCTGGTGTAGATAAACGGGCGGATGATTATCAACTTGTTGTGATTATGTTGCTGCTAGCTACGGAAACATTTGAGTTTTTTTGGCTTTTTGGCCATTTTAAAATTTTTCCTATCATTACAGTTAAAATGCAAAGTTTTGCGCTATGGTATAGGCCTGCAGCGAAGGATCACTGATGCCAACTTTTTCTAGGCTTCCCAGTGCTTAGCATTGGGAAATTCAGGAAGCCGGCAAAAAGTTGGTACTTGTACGCAATTTACATTTTACAATGCTATGGACAGCAATGTAATGTGTAGTCTGTAGGTGTTTTTGAACGGTAACTCATCACTTTGAATCAGTTGGTTTTATTTTGTTCGGCTTTTCTAATGTATAAATAATTGTTCCGTACTTCTACGAGACATCTTGATATGCAAGCAAAAACGCTGTTCCTTGATTACCGACAAGGATTATGTTTAGGCTGTTTAGTTTAGGCTTGCAACATTTCTGGATTTTAAATTTGTTACAGTGTTAACGTGGCATGCGGTCCTGCGGAAGAGCGTGTTCTCCTAACTGGCCTTCATGCTGTAGCAGATATTTACTGTGGCTGCTGTAAAAAAACCTTGGGATGGAAATACGTAAGTCATCCTTTTTTGACTAAGGAAACCGAACTTACGTTTACGAAGGTATTCTTTTCCGGTAATGCCTTAGCCTTATCGGTAGAATTAGCCGTGAAATAAACAGCATGCTGGATGTTTCTTTTTGGCATAGAAGTATACGTTCGATAGTTGTGTTTCCAGCGTGTTTGTTTGTAGCGCTTCAAAAATTCCCGCCCACGGCATAGTTGTTTCGGCTGCTGAGGTTATGTCTTTTTTTACACAGGAGCATGCCTATGAATCGAGCCAAAAATACAAGGAAGGCAAATACGTGATCGAGTTAACGCATATGATCAAGGATAATGGATGGGACGTAATTGGCGCGTAAAACCGTGCCGGAGTTATGAGCAGCCACTTCGCACACATCCATCCATGTGGTGCACTCGTAATTGACCACGAAACCATCATCTTCAACGTATTTTCGGTTTTTTTATTATCATTTGGCCGATGTTTCGAATTCACGGAGATCTCTTTCTTGTGTTTCTGACCTTTTCTTCGCTGCCGCCCAGCTGCCGGAATTGGACATGTATAAACGGCTGCAACATGTATATATAGAGGAATTGCACCATTGGATTTCATTGCTGCTGCTTTGGCGCTGCATATTTGTTATATGAGTTGCAATGGCGTTTTGTGATAATTATTTTGCCTGGCGTTGTGTTGTTTGGACGAAAATTGAAGGAGTGGAATTTCTAACCCGGTGGGGACAAGTTGTTAAGATATTCTCGCTTTCGTCCATATTTGTCCATTTTGTTCCAGTTTTAAGTTTCGGTGATTTTTTCAGTCTGTGTACAGTACATATATGATATACCTATAATAGCATTGTCAGTGCGCAATTTGATGCTGCTGTCGTGCTTGTGCGATGACATGGTGAAGGAATGTATTAGCTGATTGCTTGGACTGTACAGCCTACTTTGTCTTAAATTTGCCAATGTTTGTATAGTAGCTTGAGTTTTGTTTCTTTTGATTTTTACCTAGTCATTACGTGCTGGCGCAGCGACTGAATGTTTACAATTTACAGAATACATTCGGAATTTTGTTGCATGTGTACCTACCGTTATTCAACCGCTTATCAAGAAAGCTAGTAAAATTCGATGTACAAAGCAGCCGATTTTTCGGCACATGTTTCCCGTAATCTCTTTCACAGATACAGTATGTTGCCGGAAGTAAGATCAACTGATAGCGTTCGTGCCGAAAATGTGCTTGTATATTATTACCAAACAAATCTTACATAAACGGAACCACCCGGGTTAGGATTTATATCAACACATACATCACAACACTTGTCACACGGGAAAGTGGAACACAGGCAGGCAACGCGAGAAAAGACTTGATATTTTGATTTCAAACTACGCTCGTAGCGCACATGTGATGCGCTTATTCAATCATGCCTGAATCAGGCAACACACAGCTCATCAGCGGCCAATCGGGTCCTTGGCCTAGTTCGTCGCCCAACGGGAACAGTGTGAGTTTGTTAAAAGAGAAGTAAACGCCAGCATCGATACGGAGCTTCATGCTTAAACGATCATAGTCGAAATGCAAAACCGCGGGAAAAGCGAACACAGCTCTGTATCCAAATTGATTTGAACACATCGCTCAGCGCCAGTAGTTAACCCCGTGCGTTGATAATTTCCACAAACTCCGGCTTGAGACTAGCACCACCTTTAAAACGACACGAGGTTTAATCTGCTAGCTTTTCACCCAATCACTGAAAGATGAGTATTACCAACTAGGAAGCCATCGACGTCTTTTTGTCCGGCCAAATCTTTACAGTTTTTGCCGGTCACTGATCCTGCATCAAACACAATTCTTGCAAAAGCCGCTTATTTCATAATTGTTAGCACCGGTTATTTTCATAATTGTTAGCACTAGCCACTATGTGCTTGTGCTCATTGTATTGTTTGATGTACGTACATATATTTACGTAAGAATGAAAAATTGGAACAAGACAAAGCAAGAAAATTTGACAGCGCCTCCTTCTAGATGAAGCTTTCGTCGGAAGTTCAACTGAGGACGATCTGCATCTTTTAACCGTCATGTCAATCACCTTTGCCTTGTGGCGTGAACTGACGAGTTGAGTGAATCGTAAGTGTCTGCACTTTTGGTTGGATGTGGACATTTAATTGCAGAAATATGATTCGACATCGTAAGACTGGTTCCGGGAAATATTATACGCTATACAAAACTCGTTTACAAAACGAACGGCACGCGCCAGAAATCCAAAAACATTATATTTCAAACATATATAAAAATGCAGCAAAGTTCCATACACTACACTGGCCAATTCTGATTACAGCTGTTAATTATACCGTAAATACAATACCATGCTTAAGTGCTGATATGAGAAATCTGAAGCCGGAAAGAACACAACTGTTAAGCACAAATAAAACTATTTACTATTAAACTATTTACCGAACATAAGGCTTCAATTAAAGGGCAAATTTTGCAAAAGGTCTTGTCATTATCATTTTAATAATGCAGATTATGCGTTGTAACGGATAATAATAAACAGATTAAAGTAAATATAGCCCTCAACAGAAGGATCTTGGCAAGCAGAAGTAGAGCATCTCGCCTATATGGACAATCAATAATTATTATTGTGAATCGTTTCGATCCCTGACGTCAATAACGCATCCCTAATCCCTGGCTACAGTCCGTACCTGGATCCGCGAACACTCGAGAACCTATGATGTGTTTGTATCTCCATTATCGGATAAATTTCGCCTACCCACCCACTCGTAAAGGAGAATACAAAACCAGCTCCGATGACACTTTAGAATTACAGATACAACGCATTATATTACCAGGTACCCAGGTCATCTATTCAGATGACCTGGGTACCTATGCTATGGTCATCTATGCAGATGACCATGTTCTGTGTGTTTCTACTGTATACTGCCAACATTGGAATATCACCAAATGCATAATAAAGCGATGGATCAATCATCAATCACAGTGCCGCTTGAGCAAAATTTTAAAAAAAATGCCTTTATAATCTTCTCACCCTAACTGGAAGCTTACGTTTTTCCCCAATAGATTTTAAAAAGGAAAACTAATGCAAGCACTTTACCTCCATAGATGATTCGAAGGTTTTGCTTGAAATTGCTCTTCAGCCATTCTCGCAGTTTGGCGTGGACTTCCTGAGCCTTGAATAAAACAATTTGGCGTAAAATCAGGCAAAGTGTTCAACAGAGAAAAGAATGCTCGTTATCAGGGCAGGCCTTTCCTGTATACCTGTTCCGGTGTGGCAGTTTTCCCTGTGCCGATCGCCCACACCGGCTCGTAGGCTAGGACGACATTGTTCCAGTCCGTGATATTTTCTGAAAAACATCAATGGAAGCTATCATTTCTTAATGTCTTGTTATGAAGCTGAAATAACTCATTGTAAATTTGAACAAAGGTATGGCCATGCATGTAAATCACTGCGCAGAGTGCGCACATTAAGAATATTATGCTGTTCTGCATAGCGAGTTGTCAGTTAAAATACAGTTGTCGTAACGTACGAGTATGTAAGGGCCATATACAATTATAAATGTGCAGCAAGCGTTTCATGTCTTGTAGATTAGTTGCCAAATTTTGACAACAGTTCTTGCAGAACTCAGGTATTTTAAGTAAGTTTAAGTACCACAAATAGCCTTGGTCTGACGAAAGACGACTTCTTCGGTTTTGTTGGCTTCCCGCTCTTCCAGAGTTTCGCCGACGCAGGCGATCACCTTGATTCCAGCCGACAGAGCATGCTTAACTTTTTGGCCAATTAACTGCCCAGAAAAAGAAAATTCAACATAACAAAACAACAAAAACACGATTCCAGCTAACGCCAGAAACAGCCAGAACTTACAGAGTCGTCCTCTTTGAATATCTGCCGACGCTCCGAATGACCAATGATCACCCATTCAATTCCGAGATCCTTTATCATCGCCGGACTGTAGAAACAGGGTTATAACCTTAAATCAGTGGTGGATGCATAAAATTATTCTAAGAACTATTGTTCTGAAATGGATCGGTCCTACAATAAAATTATTCTAATTTTAACAACCATTCTTCTGAAAACAAATCGATCAGTCCCGCAATAATTGTTCACATTCTATTAAAACGGAAAAACATTATAAAGGAAACCAACTTTTAAATCGTACAAGCAAACGCACAGTGACAGGACCAAGCCAAAATTGTCCAACATTACAAAAATAACATGTTAAGTTACTGAAGTGAAGACGTCAACACTTTGTCCCAGAACAGTGGGAAGATGCGGCTCACCTAATCTCTCCGGTGAATGCTCCACTGGCCTCCTTGTAACAGTTCTGCGCCGCCACCAGAACATTGGCGGGAAGACGAGATTTGACATAATCCAGGTACAGTGCTGGAGGGGCGACGACCACTTCTGCAGAGACCAAGCATTGTGTATCAAGCGTTCAACGCTGTCAGCCCACAAAGCACGTGCACATACCGGTATTCCCGGAGAGATTTCCACTCTTAAGAAACCCGACAATCTCTTCTGCCTGCTTCTTCGAACAGTTCATCTTCCAGTTGCCTCCAACGAAGAATTTTCCGGCGGTCGCCATACTGCGTGTTTTATTAATACGCGTCTGTCGTTCAATGTGAGCAAGATACACGTTCGAAGCTGTCAAAAAGCCGTATTTATTTGCAATTCACATTTCCCGGGCATCAGCTATGAGGCTTACCTGCGGAAGACGGGCGAGATGTGGAAGTGGTCCTCAAGCACCGCTTTAAATGGTTAAAAACGGATGTTACGGACGATGCCAAATGAGGCTTCCGATTTTCTAGATACCACTGCTGCTGTTCTTGCCAAAGAGATGTATCGGATAAACCCGGCGGGACGGTATCAAGGCCTGTAGCGTTGTAAAACGTCATGACTTTAGCGCATCCCTAAATAGCGATCACGTGCGCAAAGGACTTAGCGTCCCATGTACAGCAATCACGTGGTACGATCGATATTCGGTTAGTGGGAAAATCAGCTGTTGACCTTGAATTTGCGCCGAACAGGGAAACGACGTTGAAACTTTAGATTCGTTTTAGGTTACTATCAGCAGCAACTGAGCAACGAAAAAAACTTTTTACGATTTTCTGAATACTGTTTTTTTTAAATAATTTTTTAAAGAACTCCTTGCAAAATTTTTTCTGAAAATTTTCATTTATTAGTTGTGATGTTCCCCGCATCGGTTACACTTTATCCGTCGCATTAAGTCATAAATTGCAGCGCGTGGGGTTGGACCACTGTTCCTTCCAATCAGCTGTTGGTGTACAACTTATGATTTCCGTTTGGTGCTTTTCGATTATTTCTCGTCATCATTTATTTTGATGCAACTGCAAATGCGTAAGGGGTTGTGCAGCTGAAAGCTTGAGAACGAAATGTCCGTACCTGTTCGAGTTATTTACATTTTGCAGTGCGGAGGCACCATCGACAAGGATTATCCTCGCAAAGCGCGAGGTTACGCTTTCGAGATCTGCGAACCCGCTGCCAAACGGATTCTGACGAAAGCATTCCTGGATTTTCAAGATGGAACACCCGAGTCGCCTGTCTCGGCAGCCACTGCACCTTTTGTTATTGAAGAAGTTCTACGAGAGGACAGCCTCGATATTACCGATGCACATCGTGATAAGATTCTAATGCGTATAATGGATTTATGCTCGCACTCACAAGATTCCGCGGCTAGTACCCGTATTTTAGTAACGCATGGAACTGACACGATGATTGAGACTGGACGGTATATTTCCGAGCGGATACTGCGTATGCCATCACCACCAGTAATTGTGCTTACGGGTGCTCTTCTGCCAGGTAAGCATTCTGCATAAACCAGTCCTGGTTCGCTTTGCGTTCTTTGGTTTTGTACGAATGACATGCATTCTTTCGACAATTAAAATTTCTCAGTATTCAGTATTGGTACAATACGAATCCATGTCTGTAAAATCGGATTGAATTCTAACAGAAAATACGAAAAGCGAATAATACCTGTTACATAATATTGCGATCCGTCAAAATTTCTGACTTGCATTGCGCATTTGCAAAACTGCTTGCTTTCTAGAACGTTTCAAAGATACGGATGCAGACTTCAATGTGGGAATGGCTATTGGAGCTCTGCAGTGTTTGACGCGTCCTGGCGTTTATATTGCCTGCACTGGTCAGGTGATTCCTGTTGAACATGCAGAAAGGATAATTGCAACCGGAAAATTTTTTAATCTTCTCAGTTCGGAATCCAAACCGTAAACTCTGTTGTCTGCGGTATTGTGGCATTTAACAAGTGATTTGGCGTTCCTGGTGGGTCAGTCGGTGGTAAAAGTGAATACTATTTTGTCTTGTCAGTAAATGCAAGTGCAAACCGCAGCAAGCGGCAGATAATATTTACGTTGTTTATGTGAAGAGATAATTTTGTGCAGTTTGTTATTTCAACCGTTCTGCTTGAACAGCAATGTGCAGGTGTTTCGAAGCCATGAAATGAAAGCTAATAGTGTTTTATGTTAATTTTGTTCTGCTATTTGCGCAGCTTATACGAAATCTTTGCCCACCATACACATTAAATTTGCATGTGATTGTGCAGACTTTGATTCTGAGAACGTTGGCAAAAGTTGCATTCCAATTTGACTCACGTAAAAAAACAGTGGTAAAAAATAATCCATAAATAAAAGCGGAAGCCCGGGAACAGATCACATAGAACTATCAGGAAGCGGCAATAACCTAGACTCCCATCATTTGCGCTAATCTCTACTTAACACAAAACTAATGACTATATCGGTTAACAATGCAAAATATAAAGACAAAACAATCCTGAGCGCTGGAACGTATAAGAGTCCTTTACTACACAGGGAGTATTTCACGGGAAATCACCATAATTACGTAGGAACAACAAATCCTACTGAGCAAATCAGACAAGCAGAATTCTGGTCCTAGTCCTTGTATCCAATCCTTCCTTCTTTCACTTTGATGCAGTTTTTGTTACGCGTTCGAATGCGACACAACAAGTACTTCCGGCAAGCATCATTGCAGCCTTTAGCTACCGACGTGTCTTGGGATTTCCAATAATACCTAAAAAGTAATTTTCAGTAATACCTAGAGTACGGTGCAACTTTGGGGTGTGGAAAGAAAACTGATGTACGATGTACGTCATGTAGCCCTTACTGCCAAAATTTTTGGAATTTTGCATCATCGACAAGAAACTCATCCATGAGATCATTCCAGTCGCCAGGCAAAAGCTGATTCAGGCCATATGCTTCCTTAGCAGAGTACTCCTTTACCCATTTAGGAGTTCCATTCGGCAAGTTGGCTTCCGTTAAATTAACAATGTATGTCTCATGGTCCAGCACGATCTATTAAAGACAGCCACAGTTTTGACCGAAAAGCGTACTGCGCTCTGACATTAAACGCGTAGTGCTAATAATTTTAAATAAATTATTACAAACATAAACAGCAAAACATAAAAAACCAGTGAACATAATCATTCGGTCGTAGCAGATGAAATTCTAAAATAACTTAAACCGACATCACGACGGACCAGCGTTACCACTTAACGAGAATAATGTCAGGAAAACTGTTATCAAAATTATTACGAATGTCAGTTTTGTTACATACCCATGAACTGTTGGCATAATTTCCATCGATAGTGTAGATTCGATAACTGGGGTTAAAGCCAACATACGGAGTAACACTCGGGCCCAGATAACCCAAACCAGTAACATGTGATTCGTCAGCCGGATCGTAATAGATATGCATGGAATCCGAATGTTCATGACCGTAAAACTGTGCAGCAATCGTGCTTTCGTATCTAAAACGCAAATTTGATATTTCTTACCGTAATAGCGTGGTATAACAAAAATAATGTCAATATTATGGCAACAGATATCCTATCCTATACGATGCGTTGTTGCGTACATTGTCAGTATCTTCGCGCTTTTATGAAAAATTCAGAACAAATTATACCTCTCGATTATACGATAAAAATTGTAGCTCCACATCTTCATACAGTCACCACTTCCGGGGGGTATGTGGCCGATGAGGTGCACTTTGTCGCCAGCATTTTCCGCTTCTTGCAACTCATTAATCAGCCACTGCAACTCGTTATCGGGATCGGTCATATTGAGGAGCAGCCACCAGTTCATAGTGTTGCAGGCGTTGGTGTTTAATGAAATAATGCGCAATCCAGGGAAGGGCTTCACGCGATAATAGCCTCCTCTAAAAACGAAAAAATACGTATATGTAACTGGAACCGAAAGACATTAACGTGCTTCCAAACGAGGCTTTCGAATCATACCCAGAAACCGTACTAATTGCATCGGGAGGCAGCCACTGATTCCAGGTTGTAGCCAGTGCATCATACAACCACTTTATCGAGTTAGAATCATTAATGAATCTGGGTGGAAAGCTGTCGACGGGAGAACTCTCATGGTTGCCTAATGCTGGGAAAACCGGTGTATTGGGGAAAAAACTCCGGAGATATTTCGTCGTCAATTTCAAAATAATCAACTGCATTTGCTTTGTCTGGTTCCAGATATCGTGGGCTGGCAGATCTCCCGTCCATAAAATGTAGTCAATCTAAACAAAAGGATCCTTTGACGGATCAACCGCTGAGAATTTCCTTGCATAACAAGTAGCAATATTACTTTTCGAAATCTTGACGCTCGTTAAATCCGTAGGTACTCAGTATTTGCTGTGACAAGACCATAAAAACGTAAACCGTAATTGGACTTAAATAATTTACACTTTACAGGCTGTCAAAATAAACGAGCAGTAACAACCGCCCACCGTATTCTTTCAGATTTCGTAAATACTTTTTTTACAAAACTTAACACCGGCAGCCACATAAATAATCGACTAATGACATAATTCTAGCGTAGAAAATATCAAGGGCAGCAAATTAACAGCATACAATTACGGTTATGAAATCAGTGGTAAAGTGTCTCGATTGTGCAGTCAAACGAACATGCACCCACAGAAAAAATAACCCAGTTCGGCTTCACACAATGCAGATGCACGGAAGCATTTGCCTTAACAACGTTTTCTGCGCATGAAATCCATGCACCTCTATGAACCTTAATCCGAAATCACAACTCACTCGCCACACCAACCTTCTCATTTTTGGAAATCCAGGTCAACATGTTTTCGATCAACCGAATTGGGGAATCACAGTTGCGAGGGTCTCCCCATCGTCCAGCAGGAGGACCGACTACAACAAGCAACCCGTACAAAAAAAATACGACAACCACGAATGCTAGTCCAGGTCATGTGAACAGGGCAAGCCACACTGGCTGTAATTTCACCAGTTGCATGTGCGGCAGTAAAAAATTTTCCAAAGCAACTCCTAAAACTTTCTCAAGTAAAAATTAAATCAGGATCACGATCCGGAATTTGAGAAGGTTAATGAAAACGATTAAACGGAAGAAAACTATGGAGATCAAAATTAACAAGCAAGCGTAAGCAAAAACTTTCACTTTAGGCTCACTTTACAAAGAAGCGATATTTGTTATCACAAATGAACAGAGAAAGTGTGGAAATAAAAATACTGACCATGAACAGAGAAAGTGTGGAAATAAAAATTAAACCGAATATGTTAATTCTGTTTTATGACTGAATTAATTGTGAGCAAGATAAAAAGCTTCAGACGCCAAGCCTACAAAGCAGTGGCAAATCTGTCAGGTATGTCTCACTACTTCGAACGTCGAAGGCTACCTCAGAGTTTTGATTACTGCATAAATGCTTCTTTCAAATCCGTGACAAACTATCCAAACTAAAAAAAACTATACCTGGTTTCCCGCCTTCCTTCCTGCAGCACAGCGGATCTTCGCACTCCGCGTTGGTTCCTTCCTGATAGTACATATCAAAATGCAGATCACTCAGCTGCAGCACACGCAGTGTTTTCGCGCCTGGACTGGGTGGCGAAATAACTTGGACGGGCGGTTTGGGAATATCGGGCAGCGGTACACTCCACGCCGTGCCCGGTGGATCAGGTGCACAGTCCACATTCGTCACAAAATTACAGATCTCCGCTGGTGAATACGGTACTTTCGTCAGCACGTAGAACGTCTCGGGACGGAATTCCTCCAGCAGACCGCGACACACGATGCGCGGCTCAATCTTCAACTGCACACACAGATCCTCAATCACCGCAGCAATGCGATCCGGAGGCAGATGGAGTTTCAGCAGAGTCTGCAGTGTGGAGAAGCCAAACTTACAGGATGTACATGTTAGCTGCTGATTGATGTTCCACTTGGCAAAGCCGTAGTTGGTCTTTAGACGGCCCAGTGATTCGAACACCTGATATGTATCCAAACTCAGAGGGATCAGATTGCCCAGAATGTTACCAGAAATTTGAGGGACTGGTGTACAAATCAGGAGTGCAACGAGCACAATACCCCCACGCAGAATCATGATGATGGAGATCAGAGTTCGCAGATTCCCAGCTTGATGATGGTACCCAATAATTACTGTGCAGCAGCACACTGGCAGTTAGTCCACGGAAACAATGCCAATGTGACTAAAATCTCTATATATCTGACGGCGCTCTACCATCGCAAAGGACGATGGCATTTTGTATAATTTTCTAGAGTAATCAGCAGTGTACACAGCAAACCAAGCGGAGACAAATGCAACGAGTAGTATGTATGGATCTGGTGTCACGATATCACCGAGACTTTGTACTCGTTTAATCACCCACGGACTAACTGCTAAACGAAAACATGCAAAACTGCCAAAGCGAAAATCAGCTGACCATATCTGGCAAGCGGTACGGTACAGCGAAAGGGAAAACGAAAGCAACATTGTGATTATCGAGTTTTACAAACTTACAGCACAAAATTCTTCCACTATAAATTTACTAATTAATTCTGATTTCCCGTTTTTTTGTTGTCCTAATGTGCTCACTGCTCCTTGTTAGGTGAATTTGGTAAGTACGAAATTTTAAAGAATTTTAAACGACAACGTGACCATCACTGGCCATAATTAATTTCCTATTTGATTACTTTCTTTTGTCTTCCATTTTGCACTCATACAGAAAGTTGTGGTGTATTGTTATGTGTGTATTACACACGTATGTACTATGTACCAACTTCATCACTAAAAATCGCAGGTATCAGAACCGGCCTCACAGTCAGTAACACTTTCATTTACTTGGTTGTATGCCACTGGGTTTTGAAAGTTGATTTCGACGTTGTTTGGCATAGGCTTGACAGCCCAGCGCGATAAAAACTAAAGAGACTCCAAAAATTCCTAATGCCGACAAGGAATGGCCGTAAATTAGACAGGACAACAGGACAGCGATAGCCTGTCGCACCGTCATAATAACAGCAAATATCACAGCACCAAACTGTTGTATAGTCATATAAATAAATATATTTCCCAAAGCTGCCGAGAAGGAGAGCATTAAAATGTCTACAAAAAAATCCGGATGGCGAACAGCAAAGCCAAACCCGGTGACAAAACCGCCCTGTTCAATGAGGCTGACGATGGTCAAGATCATCGAGCAGGTTGAGATTCCAAACATCATTTGCATTTTGGTCATGCGATATTCCTGGAAGAGTTTGTCCTGCCAGTTGGATGTGAAACTGTCCAGAATCATATAACCTAGGAGAACTGATGCACCAGCCGCACTCGAAATCAGAGTCACTGAATTTTCCGGAGCTTTCCAGCGCGAATATAAAAAGATGGACATTCCAAAGGAGATCATACCGGCGGTGATGTATTCGTACATCGGATATGTCTTGTTATTCACGAGTTTTCCCATGAGCATAACTAAAAACAATATTTTGAAATAAAATTTAAAATCACACATAATATAACAAAATAAAATTAAAATAAATAATAATATCAGACATTTTGCAGAGGATCAATACTGGGAAAAGCCGAGATAAAAATTCCTAATTACATTAATACTTTTAAAAAAGCAACAACAAGCCAGGGGAAAGAATAAGAGAAAAGGGTGCAAAAGAATAAAAAAGGAGTCAAATAACTGTATCTCGTATACTGAAAACGTATCAAATTACCATAATACGCATACCTGGTATAATTTTTGAAGCTTTTGCCAAGATCTGAGTGGGGAAACTGACATACTTGAGCGCCTCGTACTGAAACCACGAGCTCATGGTGTTAGAAAAGGACGCAAACGAGTACTTATAAAACGGTGCTCGATGTGGCGGCTGACGGTGGTGCATGATCAACAAGTAGGTTCCACTCAACAGAAACGCAATTATCCGATTTGTGAACACTAAAAACTGCGCGTCCGTAAAGTGCTCGCCATTGTACGAGCGGGTAAGGATTTTCTCCTGGAGAACGCCCCATGTTAGAAATGTTAACTGCAATCCCACAAAGCATAACAACAAAATCATCCAGCGCGGCAGTTTGGCCAAAGGATCTTGCATTTTGCGAGCAGACACTTGACGCTCCGGGTCCTGCAGTACTTCACTGATATCCGGTTGGCCAATAAAACACAACCGCTGCAGGGCACTCCATTGACCTACAATAACGGACGCTCCTATTAATATGCACAAAATAACACATTGTATTTTGGTGTACTTGACATGATAATTGTAAACAGCATACTCATTCTTGTTGAAATAACATAAAAAAATTAATTGTCAGAAACGGCCAACAGGAAAATAACGAGAAATAAAAACATTTTCAAATCCATGCTAACTTACGCAGAACAATAGAAAGTCGATTTTATTTGAAGGCAATACGTCTTAAATTTGTTATTAATTACGGTAGTCGTAAGTGTTCATGCTTACACTAAAAATTATCAAAACTGTACTTGGTATAGAAGGAACTAATGCGTAAGCACCGCAAACTAAAAGGCTCTCAAAGAATGTAAATCAAAAGGGAACAGCAATGTAAATATGGAATGTAAACCAAGGAAATCTATAAATTCTGTAATTAAAGGAAAGGAAAACCAAGGAAAACTAACGGAAAAGATTATAAGATAAGAATATTAATAATCAGCAAATTGTGTAGTGCGTTTACAGAACAGAAACGTTCTGCAACGATAATATTCCTCAGCGGAGCTAATAATTAGTGTCAAGGACATTACTAACGATAAAAAGGCCGAAAGCGCTGAAAATGCAAACAAAATTTATTTCCAGTTAGATTATCTGCGAACAAGAAAATACTAACTGCGATCCTCTTGTCCAGGTCCACCACGAGCTAGATAGCGCTGTCTCAAATAATACCCGGGAATAAATATCGTAGCATAACAAGCAAGGTTGAGCAATAGCTCGTACATCCACGAAGTTGGAAGTTCTGTCTTCGGTAATGGCTTCTTTCTCACATCGTGACTCCTTGGTTCTTTAGTAATAGTCAGTTCAGCTTCCTCCGCATATGTTGCTGCATGCAGGGACGCAGATGCCAAATTAATACATAAAACTGATAAAAGTATAAAAACATAAAAGGACCGCCGTGCCGTGCTGTGCACGGAGGAGTTTTCCAACTTCATCTTTCGCTATCCAGAGTGCTGTTGTCAAAAGTTTTGTTTATGAACGGAGCAAATTGAGTTCTGATGAAACCAAGTATCTAGTTGACTTCTTTCTGGAATTACAGGAATGAATAGCATCCATTCTAAATAACACTCTACATGCGCTCACTGCTCACATCCGCTTTCGCTAAAGAGGTGCCCAGGATTCAAGGAATATAAACTCGAATTCAGACCCAAGGACAATATGACAAAAGCCTTCTGTATACCGTAGGGCGGCAGGAACTGACACTTTCAATTTTCGACCACTTTCAACAAATGGTTAGCCTTACTACGGGTCCAGGCACTAGTATATAAAGTTTCGATACACTTTCATCGTGGAAGAAACGAACCGCAACTATCAAGATTAGTATATCAAAAGAGGAGGGATTCTTCAGAATAATAAAAATACACAGTTTAATAAACAGTTAAATACAGTAACTCTCTTGGAGATACTCTGCAGCAGAAACTTTTTACAGTATTAGGACTTTTGCTATAGCTACTTGTATTGTAATAATTGTATAACGTGCAAAAATACTGATGAGTGTGCAGCACTATAAAACGAGTGAACGCAACACCACAGATGTACAAGTACAATACACATACCTGTACTTCCACATAATATTATGTGGAAAACCATTATCGTAATATGTGGAAATCCATTATCGGATTATCCCAAAATATATCAACGTCACAGTTATATTATGTTTTTGATAAATCAATTAAATCATTCCAGAAATAATTCCATTCTGAATGTCAAAAGCCAGTTTTGCTGTTAATTAACTGTAACTACTAGTTAACATACGTACTTACGAATTATTATGATTGTACAAAATTTAATATTATTAAATTTTGTACAATCATAATAATTCATAAGTACGTATGTTAACTAGTACTTAGAGTTAACAGCAGAACTTGCTTTTGACATTCAGAATGGAATTATTTCTGGAATGATTTAATTGATTTATCAAAAACATAATATAGTATAACTGTGACGTTGATATATATTTTTGGGATAATCCGATAATGGCAAAGAAGTCTTACAAGCTGTACGCGCACTATTAGCAGAAAACAAAGGTACTCGTATTATGAACAAGATTAACAGCTAGTAACGGGGGTGTTCTGTGACTTCTGTCCATTGTCTATATTGCAAAAATACCTAATTATACGTGGCAATAAAGGAAAACGTTTATCAGGAAGACTTTTGAAAATATAAACTATATACATTCGTTATACAGTGAGTACTATATGACAAACTGTGGTCTTTGCCGGCAACACAGTGTCGGTCTATGCTGCTAATTATGTATTTTGTGAATGTACGTTACAAGCTGCACCAAAACATTTATTCTTGCTGCAAGTATTGCGTTATTCTTAAACGATTACTGTTGGATCGAGGGTTCCATTAATTCTTACATAGTCGACGGCTATTAATAGTCGTATTTACTACAAATATTAAAATTTTAAGTTATTTTAACTTAATCATTGGTTGCTTTGATTTGAAACTGGAGCGCGGAAGGGGTAACGATTATAGTACCGTTAGTAAAAACATTTGTGGTTTGAAGGTCATTGACTAACGTGTAAATTTAGGCAAATTGTGAAAATTTAGGCAAGTAATAACGTCAATAATTATGCCTCAAGCACAAAACTGTAGTGCGTATCTACAAAGACTACAATAGATCCACATCCTTGGAGCCTGCAGGGGAAATGCCGACTGGCTCCATTAAAAGTTAAAACATCGTGAAAGCAATAACGTTTATTGTATGAGCATAAAAGAAGCCAGATCACAATTACGATACAGCTAAAACGATTAATTTCTAAAAAAATTATTTTTATATCATCGCAGTTCGCACTTATGTACAAATTGTACAATAAATTTATATCTTTCCGAAGCTGCTCTTACTGTAAGTAATAGAAGGTGAAACTTTTTACAGCGCAGTAGCTTTGTTCCTGAACACTGCTCTTTCGTATCCATCGAGAATGAGGATTTTTGAGTGGTCAATCGAGAGTATTCGCCGCACTGCCTTGACTGGAGTGATGTTGATTGTTATTCCCTTTAGACCAGGATTGTCGTTTGATACCGGTGCAGTACAAATATCCGTATACTCATTATGACTATTAGTTTCTAAATTGTAAAAGCTACACAGCGGCAATTATGGGATTCTCTGCATACAATCGAGTCAGTCGAGTGCATACGAGTACACATTTCTTTATTTTTTACGCCCTTTTGGTAGAATATTAAGTTTACAATATTTACGTTTAAGCGCGGTACGCAACTTATCAAGCACATACCGTGCTCCGAACGCGCAGTTTGGAAAACACCTATTAATTCGGTTGGGATTAAAACATCAGCACTTATAATTGTGTTACGGCTTTAAATTCCATGTTCCATACAGCGGGAGTATACAAACGCCGTATATTCTTTACCATAAGTCACGAATAATTTTTCATCGTACAAAAAATGTACTAAAGTTTTATGTAGTAAGTAAAATCATTCACAGTAAGTCTACAATCATTCACAAATGCAGGATCTCTCCAAAGCCTGCTGGCATCAAACATATACACCGCCAGCAACCCCGATATGAGTGCCCCGGCGGCTGTGGTAAATTCAGACGCAACGAGAGCACAGTCTTGGTCACTAAACAACGGCGTCCCATCCTCCCTGGCTAGCATGTTGTCAGCTATTCCAGAATTTGCGAAACCTGGCCACCGAGCACCATCCAGCGGCGCGAATGAACGCCACGAGACCTACGAGACGTTATCTGTGGACATAAACGGACCGCGAGAGGCGACTCACCAGATTAAAATAGTCGAATCCATCATTGACACGCCACACTATCAGCGACTAAACCAAATGCACATCAGTAAGCCAATACCTTCTTCCAAATATCGCCAGCAACTGAGAAGGGCCGACCCTACGGCTGCGCCGAATGTGGTGCCTCAACGCCATGGTATCACCGCGTTCAACCAGACCAAACAACGCATACATGCCGAGAATCAGATTGCAGTGACCACTACCACGCCGCAGCCTCAACGTGTTCAGAACCTCAATGGAAATGGAGTGGAAAGGAGCCCTGGCTCGGTCGATGTCGTCGCGACCACTGCGCATACGCCACAGTTGGAACTTGGGACGAATCTAAACACTAAAGATGCCGGAAAGAAACCTCAATCGGGGACCACCGTACTTAATAACGTGACCAGCTCGCCGGCCTTTACATCAACAGTGCCGAACGCAACAGGGCACGATCCACAGCACCATGATCGTGATGCTCAAGCAGTGCTGAGCGGATTACAAAAGTTGATATCCCTAGCAAATAGCTCCCAGCCACTGGATATGATTAATTTTAACTTGACCAGTGTACAAAATGATCATACTGTGATTATGGAGGAAACCAAGGTCCGCCAGATATTTCGCGATCTTCTCGGTATAACAATTTAATTATTAATTGCACAGCGCCTGAAATTTGCACCGGCTTTAAATAAAACTCTTGATACTGCAAGCACTGTAGCTGACAAAAGGAGCATTTACTAGGGTAAGCGATGTACGTGCACTGGAGGAAATCGTCTTCATTTTGTTTGGTATGCTGTAAACGAACGGCTCGCTTAAAGCAGATCGTTGTAATTTTTTATCCATAATAAATGTGAAACCTTATGGTTTTACAACTTTTGAGTACATCTAACTCATAATGAAAGCATGTGTAATAATTACATGCCTATATGTGCGCGTACAGTTTGGCACGCTTTGCAAACCTTCAAATTAAAGAAACAAAAGTACTGCACAAGCTGAACAACAAAAAACAACATCTTGGTGGTCAAGCGCTGCCCCGTAAAAGTTCTACTACTTAAATTTAGTGAACAAAAGAGGCACGTACAGTGTATGATATGGATGTTGACGAGTACACTACCGAGTTGCAGAGCACGCAAAACAAACATTTACGCCGATTGCACGGCAGTCAGATGATTACGCGGACTGCTGGTCGACGCAACACCGATGAAAGGTCAAACATTTTTTCTCCTGGTCCGATCCCAGACAGCGAGTCCGAACATCATCGGTATACACACAAACGCCTCTTCTTGACCCTATCGGCATTTGGCCTTCCGTTGCAAAACAGGACTTGCCATCAGGATTGTTTCCCACTTGTATGGAGACAACGCGTTGCTCCTTACATTCTTCTTCGACAATGCAGAACGGCCAGCAAGAGCATTGCTTAGAACTGGAAATATCGTCTCCGGCATTCTCAGTTTCACTGTCCTATTAACAGACAGATTACAGGAAAGGAAAATAAAATACACTCCACGTAGCGTAACTAGTTGCAGTGTGTATTAAAATGTTCGCTACTGTGGAAATGAAATTATGCATGTTCATGTGCAAAGCTAGCTTAAAGCACTAGAACTGACTGTTAAACTTACAGAGCTGGTGTTTGACATGGAAGTCGCGAAAATGTTCGGGTTTTCTTTTGAAGAACCGGCACCCAGAGAGTTATATGGCGGATTTGGTACGCCTGTGCTGGCTCTTGTTGTTGTTCTAATCGTACTTGTAAATGGTGGCGGGGATGGAGGTGAAGGTGGAGAGGGAGTTGCGGGAGCCCGTGCATTACTGGGTCTTCTGCGCCCGAAGAGATTGTGTGCCGTTTCTGGAGCAGAAGAGAGCGGCACCGAGCCACTTAATGCTGGAGCCGGAAATATGTCCAATGAGTCGAAAGCTTCGCGCCGGTTGGGCGGTGTAGAATAACTGTACGGAGCTGGTGTTGTCGAGTAATTGTAAAAACGTTCCCATCTGTAGTCATCATAGTTCAGAATGCCTATTAAACTGGGATTGGATGCGTACACGGGAGGGTTAGGCAAATCTGAACAATTAAAGGAAAACACATTGCGTTAATGATGCGTTTAGTTGCACAAGTACGATGAATTCTGCAGTTTTTCATATTTTTAATATTATGTAAACTGAGGGAATTTTAAAATAATTATACAGTTTTAGCGCTTTCTTGAGGCTTTTTAAATTGATTTCGACTTGTTAACTTATTCAGTTTGGCTGTAAAGAGCCTGAAAACACTGACTCTATGGACAAAAGTCTGCAAGTGCTTACATTACTTCAGTATTGTACTCTGTAGTATATGAATACTTGCAAATTTTATTAGTTTAGCATAATAAGTTTATGCATAATTTTTTGCTATACTTACGGAAGCCAAATATGGAGTAGTAGACTAGTAGCTATGGTGTACTTAGTTAGCCGCCTTTTTAATAAAATCCCCCAAAAAATGACACGTACATTGCGGTCTGTTGAAAAAAGACATTGGCCAAGTTAAATAAGGATTTGCTGGCGCCGGAGGGATGCTGTAATAGTTTCCCGGCAGTGGGCCCGGTGCGAAGAAAGACTGGACGTGGTTAACCGCGATGGACAGGCTCCAACAAAACCAGTACCTCAACAGAAGACGTTCACCTCCTTGCATTATGATGCAAACCAATTACAAAATTTAGGTTAGTGTACGCGTTCAGTTATTGATTTTATTGGATTGTAATGATTACTTGTACTTGCAGATATAAGCAAAAACACAATGTCCATTCATGCAACCGTCTATAGTCGCCGCGTCGAAAACTTTTTGTATAGGTCGACACAGTTGCCAGCTTACGCGCTGCGCGCATGCTTTTCATTCAATGTTATTTTTTGGCCCGTAGGTACCCATTATACGATACATACTCGTACATATTTCCGAAGCCGCGCGGCATTTAAGAAAGCGCAGATTCGAGAAGAGCACCGTCCTAGCTTTTTTTCCGCAGAATCCAGCCAAAATGGCCAAATCATGAACAGCATGATGTTGAAGAGACAGATGGATCAAAGTCTTGTAAAACTGTTCTATACCTAGTGCATAGCACACGGAGCCGTGCAGCCGAACAGTGCAATATTACAGGTTGCACAAGTACATAATTATAATAATAACTACAACCAGTAATAAAAATTGCTGCTGACCGATGTGCATTTTCTGTGGACAATGTTTCTGCACTGTACTTCAAGAAGCACAATACTCTAAACTACGTATTCTTTGGCATACAGGACCTATATTTTAATAATGATTTGCAGTAAGATAAATATGCACAGAAAAGTGAGTCTGTACTAGTGCCATTGCTACCTAACAATAAGTAATGTTTTAATGCAGCAAGCTTGCTAATTTCAGTATCTCCCTAATGGAATTTGTTAATCGCTGAGATGATAGTAAAATATGCACGGTTTATGGAAGTTTTCACCGCGGATATGCAAATTGGAAACCTGCAGTTGTTGCTAGTACTCGTAATATTCTTTCGCAACATAACTCCCACAAGGAATGGCCGGTCACGTATGCCGCACAACGTAGCTTACTATCCCAGTATGTACTACAGTATATGCGACAAAATCGAATGCTCATAAGCTGGAGCCTGGAACGGATGCTGCATCTTTCGGTCTCTATAAACTAAGCTATTCTCCACATGTATTTTAATGTACGTATAGTGGTATTTCAAAAACTGTAAGTCTGTAAGATTTAATTTTGCAGGAAGCTTCTATCGGACACTTGTTGACAATGCAGGTAAGCCTCTAACAATAACCACTCGATCATCGATCCATACCGTTATTTTGAAAGAAGTTATTAGTACTAATATGCACATATTGCATCGGAAGATAGCATCAGCATCATGTAGGTATGCACCAGGTTGATATGGATGTTCTAAGCAACTTTGAAGTACACTTATTAGAATTAAACCAATGAAACAAAATTTTATCGTTTCGTTGAAGTGTATTATTATGATATTTGTCACGGTCGACACACACTGCAGGTCCAAAAGTTTACGGGGATAAGCGAAAAGGAGCACCGTATATTCGAACCGCACCTGCACCGGCATCCTCACTGAAAGGTAAAGCTTATATTAGCTGTTGTCTGTTGAAAATTTATGGTCTTAGTCAAAATGGTTAAACTCACATATAATGAGAACGGGCTCATTGTAAGTTTAATTTAGCTTGGGTCTAGCTGTCTTTTTGATTTGAGTGTCTCTAATTTGATCTAATAGTACGACTGTACGAGTATAATTAGTTCACTGTTATGAGTAAGTTTATGACTGATAATGAGTTGCAGTCAGCTATGTGCATGTGCTGTTGCTTGCTTGTTTTTAGCAACTACTTTTGTGTTCGTATTTAAAGTCATTAATCAGAAATACATATTTATGGATAAAACCGGTAAATAAAAGTCTTTGTAATTGCGGTCGCAGTGAATACCAACGGAGACTCCACCGGTTCCCCAGTTACACAGCCACCTGGCACGCGATCACCAACAAACGTTGTCAATCCGCGTTTTGAACAGTTTTCGCCCTCGGATCGGCAGGGTGCAGTAAGAGTTATTTCTCTAACCATATCCAAGAAGATCCCGATGCTGCCAAACCATGACCAGAGGTCACCCCAGCCGTTCATTAATGCGTCAGCTGGTAACTCGGCGCAGCGTGACCATGCAGCACCAACATCCGCCTTGAGTCTTCCTGCAGATAACGACAATCACAGTTTAGTACCTGCAAACTTTGCGTCCGTAAACTTGACCCAGAGTGATCTACGAAATCTTTTTGGATGGTGAATGTTAACTGACCACTCCACTTTCCAGTAATAAGTTATTATTTAGATTCGTGCTGCTGTAAAAAATAAAGTTGACAAATTATACAGACGGTCATTGTATTCAATAAAAAGGACCGATTCTAGAATTCAGAATACAGTTCTGTGGTGACAGTTGCAAGTTACAACATAAGTATAATTAACACCGATCTGCCTATCACAACAAAATAATCGCAGCATTTTTCTTCGAAAATGGGAAGTAACAGCATTTTAAAGTAGAACACCGACTGAAAAAAATGTAATTAAGTACAGATACTGTATAGCCAGTCTGAATATTGTAAGCGTACATGGTAACACTTACAGTAAAGCTTGTTGAAGTCCCGCGGTGCCAGCAGCAGGATATAGGTATGAGGCTTATTAGGTAGTACTTGTAAATTGTAATCACCAAGGTTGGAGCATATACCTCGAAGCAAAACAATCCATTAACTTCCGGTAAACCACACGCCACCAGACTGAAAATGAGTAAAACGTCACATAGTGTGACGAATAAGTCTATATGTCTTCCGGTTCAAAACATTTTACGATTAACACAATGGGTATTTTTTGTAAGCGAGTCTTTAAATATTGCGAAAATATCCAGAGCAGGAGTGGCGCATCTACGGATAGTTTTTGCAGCAAAAAGTTTAGTTTTAGTTTAGTACAGTACGTCGCTGCGGCTCACGGCTTGTTAGTTGTTTGCAGTATTGACATGCTTCTACGATTTCAGTTAACGTTACTGTTGTTTGCAAGAGCAACTGCGGCAGTTCGCGCCAAGACATCACCAAGTCCTTACTATCCTAGTAGGTACATGGTTGATCGAATACGTCATTATGCAGTTTTGTATAATAAATAGTACAATATCTATGTGATATCTATACAATCGTTGTAATGGATTTCGAAATCTTCGATTGGCTGCAGAGAATTATTACCGGAGAACAATCAAGGAGCCAACAGGTAAAATCTTCGACTGTTTACTGGCTCGATAAGCAAAAAATTTCACAGCGAAAAATTTCACAACAATTAAGCATCATATCGGTATGAAGGCAGGTGGAAAGGTCGAAAACAGGTGGAAACTGTAACAGGTGGAAAACAAAAATCCATGACATTTATACGTAGAGAGTTACCGGTATTTGTGTTTTGCGCGCTGCAATAGTAGAGTAATACTTTGTCCAATACGCGGATTTTTCCTACAAAGTGTTTAAATGAATTGTTTTATTTACAATGCGGATCGCGTTAACTTTTTGTTTATTTTTCCGCTTCCTGAACTTTGATCAGTGGTCGTCATGGTCGTAAAAATGTTCGCAGGCGACTTAATTTGTAAATTAATTTCGCGCACAGCTAGATATCCGACGAATGTGCTTAGACGTTCAATATGTGCGATTTATAATCTTTGTCGGTGGGCATAATAAACATAACGGCAAAACTTGATACCGTAGTGGTAATTATAAGATTTATTACCCTATAACACTGAACAGAATATATTGTGTTATTGACATCATCGCTAATTCCACTACCCGCTAGGTTAATTTTTTGCATGCACAAATCTAAAAGAATGTACAGGTAGTGAATATTGCAGATTTTAACCTAGCGTCCGTACTAATTCAGTTAGTTCAACAGCTTGTTCGCCACTCGTGGCACAATTAGTGCTACACTGCAGTAGTTTTTGATATATACAGTTTTGATTTTAGTTGAGCAGCGCCCGAGAAATGATGATCAAAATGTTTACCAAACCCACGCACAACGTCTTCCCCATCTTTACAGCGTGCCAGCTCCAGCATCTGGATCTTCTAGCAGACTTGATCGATTATCAATCAACAAAATGCTAAAAATGGAAGGTATCGTAGATGCACATTAGCAAACTTTCGATTCATGCACAGATTTTGGCTTGTTAATTATTGGAAAATTACGCCGCAATAGGCGGTTTTTCAAGGATAAGAAATTGTTTATGTCAGCTACGGTATATGTACGTGCATGTAAGTTCTGTAACGACAGCAACCAGATTAACCATGCATGTAAAAATTTCGTGTATCATGGTTTACCGAATATTATTCTTATAACTTATTTTGCAAAAGCGACAACCCAGGGCCCTGCGCCAGGCACAAGAGCTCCTCCGAATACGAACCCTAGATTCCAGCAATACTCGTTGTCCATGCGGCGCCCTTTATATACTGTGGTGGTTGAGAGGCAGAACAACAGAATCCCACTCTTACCGAATCTGGCACTTCCTTCCACCACCACAACTACTGCTGCTCCTCTGGCTTCCGGTTCACCAAAAGCCGGCGGTCTTACTGCTCCAAATGTTGCTAGTATTGGTCAATCTAATGTCGGCATTTCCATGAATGCCGACGAGATTCGCAAATTGTTTGGGTGGTAGGCATTTAAAACACTCATGTTTCGTAGTTTGACCTGTGTGCAAATGTCTGATTAATTATTGCCGGAAACGTGAATAATGGTGGCAATTAACATCCGCTTGATAATATTAATCGTATGCATATGACCAATACCCTACCGGTCGAGTAATAATTATGAATAAGTACGTTGCACATACTATAGTTGTACACCGAACCCTAGGTGTTGAATACGCAATACTTTGTACAACATAAGGTTTATATTTCTCCATGTCCGCTTAACAAACTTCTACGTTTGTTAGCTGCCGACCATGATATGTGTATCAACTGATCTGGTTAGCTGCTGAGCATTGCATAAAATACAGCCTAAGTTTATAAAAATTTGTGAAATGTAGAATCAAGATCGAAATTGCAACTTGTACAGTACATATAATAATATTGTCCACAGCGGAATACTTCCAGTACTACTACCATCTCACTTTTTTGACACCCAGATCAAGAAGATTTAGCAGGTAGCTCGGCCAGTACGAGTATAATATTCATAAAACATGGATTATTACAGTGCAATGTAGGTACGTCTTACCATTTGCTTACATATCGCAGTTCTGAAGCATCTATTTGTCTTGCACGAACGTAATAGCTTTTCCGCCAGAAGTTGTATATATAGTTTTGCCAGAAGTAAACATAGTGCGCGCAAGCTTCAAGCCATTTCTTGAACTTGACCGCGTTAACTTATGTAACCGTAAGCCGGCAAGCAATACGCATCAGATTTTGTTGTGGATGGTGCTGAAATGGTAAAATCGTCATTATAAGTTCTCGAAACAAAATAGTAGGCTGTACTGTTAATCTTACCATTAATGTAGCATAGGCCCCAGTAAGCAAAGCAGCCGAATAGGTGCATCTATACCAATGCGAACGGTATAACAATGCGAACCTTGACAAGTGAGATGGAAGTCGCTTATACGGATTTACAATCGTTTTTGCTGTCATGACATAATCATATTATCAGCAAACGTTTAATTAATAGCGCAATTCCGCGCTCTATTACCGGTACAAATGCTTTTCCACTAGCAGACAAACTTAGACTAATTAAAAAGTTTTAAGAATTACATATTCATTTGTCATCCTTAAATCGGTAATCTTGATCGTACACATTCGCGAATCGGAGCTGGCCATTACGGTACCCGCAACTACCACCACAAGACCGGTTTACGCCAAATTTTTCCTCCGTCGGCAAGGGCCCCGCACCGACCGCCAAACCAGCTGGGATTTGACTAAGTGCGTATACTGGACGGCGTTCTGCAACGGTAATTCTAATGTGGAAATCTATCAGGAACAAGTGGATAACGTGGGCACTTATCTGTGTGTACCCGGTGACCCGCCGTACGCATTCGGACTAAACACATATGGGCAGTGTAATCCCTATACATTCACGGGCGTTGCGGAGGTTCCCACGCTGGTTGACGTGTCGGGAATCGATGAGGTCACCGTCTTGTGCAGCAATGCAGCCAATGCGCCGATCAGTGGACCGTTGTTAGCGGTGAGAACAAATACCAACTACATATTCTGTAATTGTGAACGAGTTAATATATTCGCGAAATATCCTAAAAACAGTTAAATGGGTTTAATCTAGTACGGATTTCAAACACGGTCAAACCGTTTTGTGTAACCGCATTTCAATTTCACACTATCCTATCAATCCTTGCGCGCTGCTACAGGCGGAACCAAGCTTCTCCAGTATTTTACAACTGACACAGTATCAGTACCAGCTGGTGGTGGGAGCGAGCAGCAATGGCGATTTCAGTCCATATTATATAGCACCCGACAACGAAGGCGGCTTCTTAACGACGAGTACTCGACCGTCGCTGGACACGGTGCAGATAATCACCGTCATGGTCCAGGACCAGTACACGGCTTTCGTCTCTAACCCAATCAATATAACAGTGAGCAAATTTGCAGAAAATCACTTATACTTTACCCATAATTTCAAGTGCGCATAGATAATCAGTTTAGTTAAAACCACCGGCCGTGTACGGTTTGACAATGCGTTTAATGTCATGCATTTCCTGTCGCTTCGACGAACCGCCTATAAATTTGTATCACTACTTTAAGGCGAGTGTTAAATAATCAAAGCACGGATCCAGAAATTCTAATCCATAAAGATTATTTCGTAGTTTGTCCTTAAAACATGCCAGCTGCGGATCGTTGGACCGTCTTCCTTTCAAGTTTGCAATAGTCTGAATCAGCTGACAACAATACCCAACGCACAGTATTCGGTAAGCTCATGGCCAATCTGAGACAATGACGCCGGATGATTTTGTAAGAGTAGTCTGGAAGATTCTGGGCGAGCACTAACACAATTTTTCCAGATAACACCTGCTCCACCTGGACCGGCAACAAGCACAACCGGTACAACAATCGTATGGAACGACCCGGTTTTAGTTAGCAGCTCCAACGGAGACACGTTTTCCTATCTCATGGCGGCACAAGGTGGCACTTATCAGTTGGTAGCCACAGCTCCAGCAGTGCCGGCAACGGAAGTTCAAGTGTACAATTTCACCGCCATCGATAGCACAAGTGGGACCAATTACGCGGAGGCCAGTCGATTAATTACCGTACGTAAAAAATTCCTTGCTGAAATTGGTTGCAGTTTTGAGCAGGTTTGTGACTTTGATTCCGAATCCTGTTCACGATTAATTTAATTTTGTAGGTCGTGCTGAATGCGGGCTGCTAACAGCAAAATAGCACCAAATACAGAGTGGTAAGCCACTATGCAGACACACCACATTGAATAAAATATACGAGTACATATAATTACAGAGCTACAGACTGTCACAGACAGCAGGATTTATAAATTAATTTACTTGTCATGTAGGAATGTTTTCGTCAAAATCTGAATGTATAGACAGGCTTTGCTTTAAAAAAGAAGTATGCACCAAAAGTAAAAGTCATCAGAACAGCGAAAACCAGAACAAATCACCATAAATAAATTACTTTTTCTGACTGGATTGTCCCATTTCGATCGATCGTTTCGTTGCCGCTTCCACGGCAGTGATCAAGGCATTCCGGATTCCACCTTGTTCCAAAGCATGCAGACCGTGTATTGTCGTGCCTCCGGCGCTGGCTACATTGTCACGCAGAACTGCTGGATGCTGACCGGATTCCACCACCATTTTTGCAGCACCCTAAAGTAGATGTGGATCAAATGCAAAAAACTATTAGTTTGTGTAACAAAACTAAACCGCAGCCGTTTACCAATACTGTCTGAGCGGCTAATTTTGTTGATAAATCCCGAGGTAAACCCATCTTGACACCACCATCCGACAACGCTTCAATTACTGTGAAAACCTAAAAATAAAGCAGCAGTTGTGGCTAACAACAATTAGAGAAACATATCTGTAAATTTTCGCAGCGATTTTTCTGTAGTCGAGTCTTTTATTACGACCAAAATATCCAATTTCGCGAGGCTAAAGTCGTCTTGAACTACACGCAGGCAGACACGAGAACTAACAGTAAGCTCCGAACCCCCGCTTCTAAACTGCATTTGCAGACATCCTGTAAAGAGACTATAATGGTAGGTCAGACATCAGACAATTTTGTTTAAAGTCTAACATGTTAACATCCTTTCTGTATTATGGATTATCGCAACTTGTGGCAAAGCGTTTTACTCTGCATGCTTTTTGACCGGCACAGATAAGGAGAACACCTTAATGTTCGGCTATTGTTTTTGTTTTTGCAATCACCATACTGTGAAGTTCTCCCGAAAAGATATTAAAAATTGTGAACATCGGACCTTAAGTAGCACATCCCAATAACTGACTTAATAAATCTTTAAAAACGTCGGGTGCAGCTATTGCAGCATTTCAGAATGAATGCCTTGTTACCGTAGCGACATCAGCGAAATTATTAACGACCTACAATAGTTGCTATTTGAGTCTGGAAAGTGCACAGACCACGACCACTGAAGGTGACTGAACCCTTCTCTGGCTAAAACGACTCAATAAAATAAAAACTGAACGATAAGGAGCACGCGCAATCAAAGTGTTAAATCAGTGTGCAGTACAAGATGGTCAACACGATATGCTTCAATGTGTTCTAACGGAATCATAAAACCTTTCAGCACAAAAACTTACGTAGGCCGGTCCACTTCCACTTAAACCGGTAACGGCATCCATCAAATATTCAGGAATTGGCGAACAAAATCCCAAACAGGAAAACATCCTCTCCACAAGTTTAGCGTCGTCCGGGGAACATTTAAAATCCGGACAAAATACGGACGCCCCGTAACCTGGATTCACGGCCGGTGTATTGGGCATAACACGAACATATCGACCAGAATGAGCCTGAAAAACAAAATTCAAAAACTGTATTTCCTGTGATTCTATGTAATTACTTTTAAAAGAACTATGACAAACGCATTAATTTAATTAAATTTCCAACCAAAAAATAAAATTACCGAATTGTAAATAACTTAATAATTTACCCAGTACAAAGCAAACGCCTAAAGTACTTAACTTTAAACAATAAAAACAGGCGAGGAAATTTAAAAGTGTTCACTGCTGCTATGTTTGCTACTCACAAGTCAGTGCATCCTCTCTCGAGCGGATACACTGAACAGCAAGCACAGAAAAACATTTTACAAACTTTATAACGCAGCATGTAAGTAGTACGGTAATTCACCTTCTCCAGTGCGGCAATTGTGATGCCGGCGGCGATGGAAATTATCAGTGGTTGTTTCTTGGAGAGAGACTGAGAAACTTCTCTCAAGACTGGTGCGACAGTATCGGGTTTGACTGCTAAAATAATGACATCGCTACGCTCAGTCACGTCCAAATTGGCCTCAAATACCTGCACTCCCATATTCTACAACGTAAATGCACCAAACTCAAGCAAACCACAACATTCGCTGCAGGAAGCGAAGGCATAACAATCATGCTGACAACACAATCAATTAAAAATTCACTCTTAGTACCTGTAATTCACTCGAGTCCCATTCGGATGGACAGCTAGCAAACATCCGTGAAGGTTTAAACAAACCTGGAAGATGAAACCGATACCATATCCGAACTGATCCGAAAACGAAATCCATTTACAGAGAGATCATGAGGCCCTGGGACACTTTTACCTGCATTAAAGAAGCCCGTTGCCATTGCTGTTGCCATCTTGCCAGCACCTATGAATCCGACCGTAAGATTACTATAATCTGCCATTCTGATGCTGTATCTGTTTGTTTCCCTTTCCAGAGCTGTAAAACCTAAGATAGCGCCCTGTTCCGCGAAATGCAGGCTGCGGTAGCGAAACAAAGGATGAACGTATGGCCAAGTATGGTACTAAACCACTAAACAAACTCGAATAAAACAGTAGCATCAACCCTCAACCGGGTAAAAGAAGATCAATTGACTTATTAGGAAAAGACAAGTAAACAATTCTTCTTCAAACTGGAAGGCGAGCAATTAGCAAAGGAAACTCCGATGCAGAATGCAGATCTTGCTTCCGAAAGACCGAAGCAAAAAAATGAAAAAAATTTTGTCAGGAAAGTGTCGTTTCGTGCCACGCCTTTGGGGTCGGATACTCTGGACCTGTGCGCACGCCGCAACCGCCCTCGAGTTTGAACAAACTGCGCTGACGCCGTGAGTACAGCGTGATGCCTGCTTCGGAGTGATACGGGTACTAGTATTCGAAAAACTTGGTGTTTTTGGCTTTAGTCAAGTCTTTCATCTTTCTGAAGCTTTGTGTTCTGAGAGCTAGACTTTAAGAGGTACTTCACTCTTATCCTTGATATGTGGATCCTATACTGGCTTCGGAGTTTTCAGTTTGTTACGTTGTACTAAATACATAATTCCTTATCACCGCCAGAGGCCAGTTCGGTGGACGGCAAACCTTTGTAGCTGTTTATTTATTGCTCTGATAATCTGATTGCGACATTGTCGTCTACTTGTTGACTTGCAGCAATAATCATCGCGTCTGCGGAGAATGGGTAAACGTCACGGCAAAAATGCCACTGCAAACCCTGTCTACAGTTATGCCGAACTGAAAAAAGACAATAGACATTCGGGATACGGACTGGTCCAGGCTAGACTGGGTAAAGACTCTATCAAAGATTTTGACTGCTGCTCCTTGACACTGCAGCCTTGCCGAAATCCTGTTGTAACACCAGACGGGTATCTGTTCGATAAAGAAGCTATTTTAGAATACATTGTCCAGAAAAAGTTGGAGATTGCCAAAAAACAAAAGGCTTACGAAAAGTGGAGACAAAAAAAGGATGAAGAAAAGAAAGCAACTCTGGATGTCTGCAACAAGGCGAATGTGGACAGGTTTCGCAAGGCAACTTCCACAGTCACGACTCCTGGTTAGTTTAACCCTTTAACCGTTTAACGAGTTTAATCTCTGCAGTGATCGCAGTGTTACCGGTGGCGAAAAGCAATCTTCAGCTTTTTTCTTTCGCTACTTTTTTAGCGTTTCTCTGCAAAGCAGGATGTTTTGCACTTCAGTTGGCACGTAATTGTTTCTTATTGTAAACACTGGGAGGTAAAATTTACGTTAAGTTTAATCGGAAACTGCTAATGCGTCTAGTTGAGTTTTTGAAATTTAAATGTTTGCGACAGAAACTGATGCTGCAAGAGATGTTGACGTTTTGAATTACTGGGGAGCGAGCGGGGACAAATACTTCTTAAATCGAGCCACAAAACGGGAGCACTAGCATAAAAATGTTATCAATCTTGAGACAGAATCGATAGTGCAGGCTCATATGTGTGTCTAGAATCTAGATGTTTTCATTGCTGCTGTCTTTTACTGAATTGAATTAGAATATTGAATAAATAAATACGTAAATGAGTTTGAGCGGGATAGTAGTGGGAGGTGATGGGTATGACACTAACTTGTGGCATTTATTATATTTATGACGTAAGTATGTAATTTATGCAACAATATTGAATTACAGTTGATTTTCAGGATCCAGTACAGCCACCGATCCAACGAAACCTAATAATTTTTGGGGCTCAGCTGCCGCTGATCAGTCATTAGAAGTACCCCTCGAGAAGCCAGACACCACCATCAGCAATCCCCTTAGCGGCAAGCCAATTAAAGCCTCAGATCTGATTCCCATCAATTTCACTCCGATGGTGGATGATGACAAAACACCATTGGCTTCCAAGAAAGTGCGCTATATGTGTGCGGTAACGCGTGATGCCCTGACCAATTCCGTTCCATGTGTCGTGTTGCGAACGTCGGGGCAATGTCGTCACAGTAGAGTGTTTGGAGAATTTAATCAAAAAAGATATGATCGATCCTATTAACGGCAAGAAATTAACGGAAAGGGATATCATTTATCTCCAGCGTGGCGGTTCAAGTTATGCCGGCAGCGGAGTACAGCTGGAATCCAAAGTTAGCAAACCATCCATGTCGTTCGGATGAATATCGTTCGCTTCTTCTGTCTGGCAGTTCCGCAGTGCTTCCTTTGTGTTTCTGTTTCTGAAGTTTAATTTTGATTTTGCGGACTTGGTTTTATTGTCTTATTTGTTCCGAAGAAGTGGGTAATAAGAAAGCATTAAGATATGCATTAATGGTACAATATTTGAGTCTCGGGATGTTTTGAACTTTGAATACCAGAAAAAGCTGTAACGCTAGCTTTGTTTGTGTTTTTGAAAAAATTATGTATCTGGCCCCTGGGAACAGGAAATCCGCTATTGCGAATTGAACTGGTGAAGCAAGTAACATGAGATTTTATTTTTATCCTGATTTTGTGATGGGCGCAGATAAAAACAGTAGGAGTATAGAAGGACTGTCGGCGATGAGGACACCGCATAGTATATATATTTCTGACACTATGTGTAATAATTAAAATTTAATATCCGCAGTTATCTGCTGTGTGCCATGTACTCGAACACATACAGTATAAAATTTTATGAGCCTACTCGTAGTAGCCTACTGCAGTACGTCTTATTATTTAGTGACATTTACTACTGTTGACAAAACGTTTCCTGGGATATCTTAATTTTTTTATCTTTACGTTAGCCGTAAAAAAAGGCTTCTTCTCAACTTCAAGTACGAATTCAACATGTGTGCTAAGTGCTAACGTTATCGGTTATAATAGTGACGTTACGTCGTATCCAGTCTGCGCTCTGATAGACAGAGCACAGACTGGATAAAGCGACGAAGCTCGAGCTAAGCTCAACTAACATACTCGTTACAGTAGATAATCCATTTCCGCCAAATGAGCTGACTGGATCAGAATCCTGTTCGTGGTATGTAAGGTGCGCGCATTGCTTTGTGAAGTAGTAGAACTGCATTTCACTGACATATTTTCAGAACTGCATTTCACTGTAAAAACTAAAAAGATTAGAAAGCTACGCTAGTTATTAATTTGCTTTCGGTTGTTTTCAGAAGTATGTGGATCCCACTGGTGATATCGGAGATATTGTTTTCTATTATGTCAGAATAACACCTCAGCAAATCTCCTACAAAGTACAAACGTTCATCGTGGTTTCCTTACGGATGGGATGGCTGACTTCGACGCAACTTTGGAAGATGTGCTTGCAGGCGCAGCCCAAGGTGGAGTAAATGATTCGACGGCTGTGAGTATGTCGGATTTAGTGAACTCGTTCAAAGACATTTGGCGAAATGAACGATATGCCCCAGAGTTGCTGCCAGAAAAAATGTATGTTGTTGACTGCCTTTTGGATCAGATCAAACAGAAGGAAGCGGACGCCTCTGCTCTGCAGCAAGGAGCTGCTGGAACGGTGGACCGTGATGCATGTACATTGATCAGACTGGAATGCAGTCGCATTCGGTTTATGATCTCCAATTATCTCCGCTGTCGATTAGCGAAAATTGAAGATTTTTGCATGTACCTCAAACAGTTACCTGCAAACGAGCAAAGTGTACGACTCAGTCGCCCTGAAATGGTGTACTTGTACGGTCTGGTGGAAAAAATCGAGGAGCACTTGAAGTCGTCGATAGGCCTATTTCTGCCTCCGGGTATCGGTGTACTGGACGACAGATCGGGATGGTATAAAACTCCGACACGGCCGAAAATGGATATGTTTATCATTGCTAAGCCCAGGGAAGAGTTGGCACAGGTGCGCCTGGATGATCGCGTGCTGCCCGGAAGAGTTGAACACGAAGATTTGCAAGCTGGAGGACAGTACTTACTCCGCTACACATCTATTAGGGACTATATTTTTACGGATGATGAGCATATCTTGAAAGCAAAAGCGATCCTGATGTAAAATTTTCCTGCGGTTTTCCGTTTCCCTCAACCTTTCATATTCTATTTCTACGTGTTTTTTTTACAAATTTTTTAAGTTTTATTCTACGCGGTGTTATTCATTTTCGGCTCCTACTTTTAACGTCCTCATTAATTTATGTAAATTCTACATTGGTCTGTTTGTATGCTTATCAGCTTTGCTACTTCATAAAAAATAAGAACATAGCTTTTAACAAGCCTGTGCCAACAATAATAAGAACAACCATGTGGTCTGTTTTGTTAATTTCTTCTGATTGGCGTTCCGTAAAATATGTCACAAAATGAAGGCAAACAAGGAGTAATCGTCACGATGATCACAAACACTGAAAACCGTAAAAATACACAAGAATGACTAGATCACGCTAATGCCACTTTTATCAGTGAATTCCACAGCGGCTTTAACATTCTCGTCAAATAATTCAAAGCGTACTGGCATCTCCAAAATATAAAATGGATTTTTCAGTGCATAATCCGCATAAATTTGATACAGCTTCCGCAGTAATGCATCGGCCCCTTCCTGCTTCAAATCCGTCAGAATCAGGAATTTGGTTCCCGTGATGGTCTGGAAACAGTGCAATCGGAATGCATCAGTATCCAGGGTTCGCATTCCCGACGAATTAGGTTCGGGAGAGAGCTGCGCGCTGATGGCATACAATGAATGGAATGTGCTGGTTAGCATGAGTCGCTCGTTGGTCTTCAGAGGGGCTCGACCGAATTTAATACTAACAGGATAATTGGCCGGGTTGTTCAGGAATTCCAGCACTTCTTGCTCGGCTCGTTTCTGTGCTGGATCGCCTTGGATGTTTCGGCCGACAACTGGGATACCATTTACGGAGAGAACGCTGTAACCTACGCGGATATTATCAGCTTCTCCGAAACGGACCACCAAACGTTCGTCCATGAACTCCAGCGAGAATTCCAAGGGATAACTGAAGGTTTTCTCCACTTCATTCCGTTGAACATTGTGGTCGTAGTGATAGATCAGCCCTCCGGCCTTATTGACAATGTACAGAGAATAAACAACCATGGTGCAGCAGAATCAGGACAAATTACGAATTGGTAATGGTTGTCCAGATTCCACATAAAGTTACATGTAATGTCGGATTGTGTTTAGTTCAGCAGCTTCAGCTCAAAGGCAAAAACGCAGAATTAACTTCACCAGACAGCCTAAAAACTAGCAAAACTGAAAACTTTAACAGAATTTAGTAGACGTGCATGCAGTGGCTGCACGGCACACCAGTACGAGTAAGTACAGTAAGTAAATTTGGAATTGACAAAGTGTAGCAAAGGAATTGAAAGTCGGCAAAGCTGTACCAAAGCTGCATACTGCTCGTGCTGTTGATGTTTCCGACGGAAACATCACTACAAATACTAATCTCGAGCAAAATTATCCTAAAATCTTGGATTGTTCTTAGAACAAAAACGGAAAACACATACTCTGTCACATAGGTATTGTTATGATTAACGGTAGTGCATTGGAATTTCAAGTTAGCTAAAGCAAAATGTTTTCTAAAAACGCTCCCTTGCCCACACAAAATGTCAATGAGTATCTTTTCAGTCAGAACTTCACAAGTCCATGTTAAAATTTCTTATTATTTCAAGACTACCATGCTTCTCGTAAATTTCCAACAGCATGATGTTAATTTCGATCCTTTATTTGCTGCAGTATGATTACGCATATATCGAAAACACTTGTTGAAATATGTAAAATCAAATTTAGAAGCCATAAATTTTGCTGCTAACAAGCAATCACCAGAACAAGAGCATATGAAAATGAAAGACAATCACTTCCACACTTTGATAATACCATCCCGAGATCCAGAAACAATAAACAGCTGATTTGCAGTTGAACAAATAACCAAATCTGTGATAATGTCGGAATGACCGGTAAACGGAGAATCCACAAGAGAACGTGAGGTGGTATCCGCTTCCTTCATCATCGAAGCAGAGATACTCGCAGAAGTGGACATTGATCGTATAGATGACTGGTATTCATGAATGATATCTGTCCCATCCACATGATAATTTCTAAAATATAGCAGCCATATGAAGCGATATTTATGTTAAATGCGACCTCAAGTTTCTAACCATCATACCTGCAGAACAGTTTCCGATCAGGAAGTGTTTCACCGGCTGCCGATGAGATCATGTATGACATTTCTGGAGCCACGCCATCCCAATATCGAATTCGCCGATCCGTACCACCGGTTATGCAGCTAAATGATCGTGCATCCGACATCACCACTTGTAAGCCGCGAATACTATCCTGATTCACCTGTGATAAAAAAACTATCTCAGTTTACAAACCCAAAGAAACAAACAACCAGAAGATACATTCGATGAAATTCTGTCAAACACTATCCGACGCCCATTTGGAAGACTACGGCAAGTGCTTACCGATAAAGGTTGTGTCATAGAGGTTGCGAAAGGCCACTCCAAAGACCAGTTAACCGTAATCCGGTTTCTGTATCCCATACTGAGACTTCATTATTCCCTTTAACGCAGGCAATAACTGCATTATCCAGCTTGGGATGCGTGTATAAACGGCCGATCGCACTTCCCATGGGGTGGTGGAGAGACGAAATGGCCAGGCGAAACCTTAGGTCCCATGTTATCATGTAGCCATCCATACTTCCAGTTGTAATCCAGCTCTGTTCCGAGCTGACGCAGAATGTCTTCAGCATGCCTGAATGTTTGTCAGTAATGTTTAAGAACACAGTCAAACTAGAAATACGACCAATCTACGTAGAACACACAGCAATTGCAAAAATCAAAGAAACATTTACGACGAAGTAGTGAATAATGAAAAACAGAATCTCATATGAAAATGCTTTTGGGAAAGAAAGCTTACCGTGGCGCAAATCACTGTCCAGTTTCCATACGAAGTTAGGAGTACGCAGATCCCATCCGCAAACTGCACCCATTGATGTACAAAACGTTATGATGTTCTGCGATCCTAAATCGAAAGAATTTACGGCTGTGATATATCAGTCATTATATTCAACACCATATGATAAGAATTTCGGTACATCTGCCACATGCATGATGTAGTCAACAAAATTGTGTGGTGTTATTTTGCAATTCAAGTTTATTTTAACCAAGAAAACGCTACATAACGCACCACTTTACTTCCAACCAACTATCTGTACCTGGGTCGCAATATCCCATTTCAACGACAATTCCATCCCGTTTAGGATCAATAAATTTTTCCAGCTTGACTTGACCTTTAGAGTGATCGGCATCCATCCTAAGAAACACAAAACCACATCACTTTTATGGTATTTGAGACCACAGCTGCAAAATGCAAATATTGAACCAGATGGCAGAAATTACCGAACTACATGAATCGCTCCATTTTCCCCTGCGCAGGCAAACGATTTCCACTCCTCGCAATATGTCATAGCCCGAACAGGGCTGCCAAGGCTCTTATACGTATATTTGGCACGATTAGACAGACCGCGTCCCTCCATTTTCGCACAGTCCCATAGCTTGACCGCTCCATCCAACGAACAGCTTAAAATATCCCCATTGTTTTTATTCGAACGCAACCTGTAAGCATTCAGCAGATGTATTTCATTTTCCTAATCAAGCAACAAATGGAGGCTCCAAAAAGTATTTTTTACCTAACAATTCCATGAGGATGTTCATGCAGATGTGCTACGAGAGTGCCGCTAGGCCGCCATTCTTTCAGCAAATCTGCATACATCGGCGGTGGTTCGAGATCACTCAGTGACACTTCGTTACTAAGCACTACCCCTCGTTCTTGCTGGCGATTCTGAATGAAACTCTGCAGTTCGCGTTCACAGGTTGGAATTCTCACTGCGTACAAAACAGATTTCACGGAAGAAAAAACAAACAGTGAGGACTATCTAACGACAGATCAATTTTACGTACCAACTACGAGAAAAATGAAACCGTACCTCGAATGGCGGAAGCGCCGCCTACGAGGCTAGCATCACGACTTTCTCCCACAGTTTCGCCAACAGATTCGTGCGCCACAGGCACTGGTGTCAACGACACGTTCGACGGCTTGAAAACAGTGTCCCATTCTTCGTTCTATCAAGTTCCAGCAGTTAAACTTAAAGTGGCTGTATTACATGCGTGGTTGCGAGTAGTGCTTACCATAGCCGTTCGTAATGCCACATCATTCACTAATTGTTTACTTCCTTTCGTCAAAGTTGCCGACGAGCTCATGGAATCAACAGCTTCGAGACCAGGTGGTTCTGGAATGCTCCGAATCGGCACGGACGGTCCGATTTTCACTGTGTTCTTAGTTCTTTCCGCCTGATCTTCAGCTTGTATAGCCAGTTCTTGCTCCATCGTCGGTGAAGGAAGTCGCAGTCGCATTATGAAGTCTTTCATCAGCTGCACAATAAACCGTTAGTTAAAACTTACAACTGGGAACATTACCACGGTCTGTAAACAGCGAAGTGAATAATCAATATCTTCTGATCGCCCGCTTAATTAAACTTGGATAATGAACTAACCAGCACTTTGGCTTTATCTGTCGGTACTATTTCATGGGCATGGAGTTTCTGATACAGCTGATTTTCGGCAATAGTGGAGGCACGCATGCTTCGAAAGCCGTCATTATCGTTTACTATCCTCAACCGCTCATCACTGTTTCCTTCCAGAAACTCCAAAAGCTTCCGACCAGCTCGATCTCCAGAAAATATACTATAAATCCGACGATTGAGTGGTGGCATTAACGCTCCGGATAACGATTCCTATGCCACCAAAGAATAAGAACGGAAGTAAATGCAAAATGAAATATTTATGGACTACACACTTTTCTGCTGAAATACAAAGCAGTTCTTTTCTGCCTAGTGAATCAACCCAGTTTCAAATCCTTACCTCATTGTCTATGAAGACGATCTGATGATCCAAAAATGGCAGAACCATTGGACGTATTCGTATTTGTTGATCCGCATAATCAGTTTTCTTAGCGGCAACGGCAAATAACGCGACAGCTGTACGGCGAATCCAACTGTTCTAGAACGACATAACAAAAACGTTCAATCTGCACAAGTTAAAAAGCTTAATCACTCTACTCCGGCTAACCGGGTGAACCAGAAGCGCAGAACAAAACGCCAGCAATTCCATGATGGATTTCTTTGGTATCAACTGAAGTTTGACAAGATCCAAAAACGAAGTCAGGGCGTGAAACACCACGAACTCCTCCGGATCGGTAAGCCCCTGTGAAGATAAATACAGATTCCTATCCGGATCGGAATAGTTGCATATGAATACCATGTTTTACAAATCAGCGCCATACCTGCTCCAGGAGTGCCCGAAAAACACCAGCACCTTCTAATCCAACAAACGATGCCAGCCCAACAATGGATCGAAAGAACGCTGCACGCAACTGCCAGTCAGGCTGCGATAAAATAAAAGGCATTACTATCTGGTCACCACATCGGTAACAAATATATCTATTCCGCTGCATATTATCGATCTTGTATAAGTATCTACATAATTCCTCACATATAAAAGTACTCTATAAATAGTAGTTATACATATAATTAATCCGATGAACAGTAATATTAACAATTAACATATGGGTTTACTAGGCTAACCTTTTCGTTAAGAAAGGTGACCAAATGAGGCAGAATACTTTCCCGAGTAAGTTTCCGCCCGAAAACTTGACATAACTTCCCCATGCCATATTCCAGCAGCGCTCGTTTGACCGCATTGCTCTGCTTCAATATGAGTTTCTCCAATAGAGACTGCAGATATTTTAGTAAAAGGATACGTTCCACATCAAAAGGATACCGATCTTCATCGTGTAATGAATACAGGGAATCTTGGTTAGCCGTTGAGCCATTGGTCTGGCACAGATAAGACCGCTCCAGAAACGTCATGGCGATCTCCGCAATTTGGGCGATATGCATGGCGAAAGTAATTCGTACGTGCTGATTATTGTCATCCACTAATTTTTCCATGTCCGGCAAGATGTATGCGCGGAAGATGTGACCTTCGTTACGGCGAACACAGGGAACCGCTTGCAAAACCTTTACAAAGGTTTTTATAAAACTCGCCCGCACTATGGCTAGGCGATCCTCCACACACGTAAGCTAGAGCGGAAATCATAATTAGAAAAAAGCCATGAATTTTCGTACGGTTAACTGAAAACCTTAAAGCGCATTGAAATTAACACATGTCAGATAAATACAATGCTACACAAAACTGACCATCCAAAAAACTTTTCAATAACTTTTCGTCAGTGCGAGAGTACACACGATTTCCTTATGCTGGTTTACCAAGTAAGGCAGAAGTCGATCCAAGACGATCTCTACGGGTAACAAGGGTGCCAGTATTTCGGCAATTTCTAAAGCGGCTAACTTGGCATCGCTGTGGCTTAAATTTCTCCAGTGCGATAACAGCAGTGGTAAAATCAGTACAATACATTCTGAGGATCCTCCCAGCTTTTCAATCACTCCAGAAAGATCGTTCCGCAATCTAAAAAGTGGTTCTTAAAACGCATAACCGAGCAGCTACACCCCGGACAGTACCATACCTCATTATCTTATTATCTGGAATATCAGGAGTGCAATATGAAAAGATGTAACTGTTCAGAAACAAGTAGAAACATTCCGGGAAAACTGTTTCACGCAAAGCATTCAGGTAGTAGATAGCCCGATGCCGCACCGAGGGATCTTTCTCAATCATATTCTGAATAAGAACCTGAAAAAGAAAGTAAAGGTTTCAAGAATTCCCCTACTAGCGTTTGCCGCTGTAAAAAGTTTAATGGTATGGAAAAAAACGCTACTATAAAAAAAGTCACATATTCTAACACATCATTTCATAAATAATGGAGCCAAAAATTACCCTCAAATCTTCCGATTCAACCTTTTTTATGGCATCAGAAGGATAAAACTCCCCGTTGCGATACGCCAGCAACTTCGACAAATCAAATGGTGCCTCTCCATCTCCAAAAAATTCCAAAAACACACATCTGTAAGTAAAACAAAATTTTAACATCAACTGTATATGAAACGAAGATAACTGAGCCACTCATAACCCTACAGATTTTCAAACAAAATTTTAAGTACCTAGATTCAAAGATGCTGCACAAAACTTACCCCACAGAAAAAATGTCCATGGACCAGTCTAGCGCGCCCATGCGTACTTCTTGTTGCTGGTCAGGAAGATTGATCTTAGAGCTTATAACATCTACGGATTCAGCAACGCCTCGCAAAAACCGTTCAGGAGCAATGTAACACGTCCGTCTCCGACTTGTATCAAAGAAGTAATTGAAATCCGCTGGGTCTCCCTATAAAAGAATCAACGTTTGCAGCTCTTCAGCGCAAACGAACGCAGAAATGATATCCAATCATGGAAAAATGCATAAGAAAAAATTAGGTAACCTCCTCAAAAATTGCATTTCGTATTAATAATCAGCGGCAGTATGCAGAGAATTATGGATGATAGGGCAATCCCAATCATCGTGTACAAAATGTATTCAATACACATTGTCAAAATTGTAGCGGCAAATTCATGCACAAATCAACATAAACTGAATTTTAGTATAATATTAATATCATTTAATACTTCACACAATGACACCAAAGCAAATACTTACATCGGGGAGATAAGTCGGTTTATAACTTGCGAAATCCACCAAATACACCCAGTTCCAGCTCGTTATTGCTATATTGGCCGATTTAATGTCGCCGTGATAAATCTGCAAAAACAAAGGATTATTTGATTTATCACGATAACAGACAACTTAAAGAAGCGGCAATAAATTAATAACTAACATTTTTTGCGTGACACTCTTGTAATCCATTCAAAATCTGGAACGCAATCCACCGCTTTTCGATATCCACTAGGTAGGGTCGCGCACTCATTCGATCGTATAGGGTATCCTTAATGTAAGTGCGACAAAGTGCTGCAAACTTATCCGATTTCTGAAAACAAGAGCATATTTAGTAACGATTACTCAAGTTGCGAACAAAATTTAAAACAGTTTAAAAAACAAATAATTCATTCGCTACACACCACACCCAAATGTCGCTTCTTGCATGGAAAGCATGCAGTATTGTCTAACAGAAAACCAAAACTTTTTTTACCGTGAAAAAGGAGAACGGCAAACAATGCAAAAAGCTTTGCATATTTTCCCGTTGAACTGCAAACGAACAAGATGTAATTCCGAGCTGACTGCCAAATCAAAATACAAATTTTATCATACACTGTAGTGCTTTGTCATACGGTTCCAAACTGAGACTTCTATCGTGAATCACAAAGACTTTAACAACACAGGATCCTTCCTGAAACCACAACAAACATCACAGATTTCGTGATCAGCAAGCGGAATACGCACGACGCGAATGAACAGCTGAACACACTTGTGATTTGTCCGTGCCACTTTCATGAATCGAGTACTCCCCAGCCTAAAAACCCCGAAGACGGTGAGGAGAGATGCACAAAAATAACAAGCAAGGCTCTTACTTTGCAGACAACTGGAATCCAGGAAGGTCCATAAGGTAATGCTCGATCGGATAGATCTGATCCGCACCCGAAACGGAATACTGATTCCCCATGATGAAAGCAGTTTTGTCGAAAGACGAGACAAAAACTGCTTATGATCAGACCTAGTTATCCTATGGGTCTCCTTCTACATCATACGGTCAGTGTGTCAAAGTGTCAAACTAACCATGATCCAACGGATAGAAAAATTCTAAAAGAGAAGATTTAACAAACTTTACAGAGTTTGAGAGAAAATAAAAGGAAATCGATAAGATAGCCAAACTCAGCTGGTAAGCCTGGTATAAATAGGGCTAACAAATGCGTTTGGCTAACAGCTGACTACCGTACGAAGCCATATGCATAGTGCTGTGGCTGTTGTCGGACAGATGGCTTGATTAAACGGAACCGTTGTCACGGCGTTGTATTTTTATTTTTTAGTTCTAATAACTTTTGCGAGAGAATCTGGGAGGTATTAATCGTTTTTTAACTGATTTACTGAAAACCTGGAATCGTAGGAATTTGGAAATTTATGTTCGTTATCGTGGTGGTGGGTCCTAACTACTGATTGGGAAACGGGATTCTGAGATTTGCGCGTAAGAACGAAGTTGGAGCTGATTTTGGCTTTGACTGTCGTTGTGGCTTCTCGAAATTCCGAAGTGACCGTTATCGTTGTTCTGTTTTGCTCCACTTTATGTTTGCCATCCCTCCTGTAAAATCCGCGATTCGTTAGGAATAAATTGACTTTAACATGGACAATGACCATAACTATCAGCTGGACGCCGACGAGGATCCCTTAATATATCCGTTCAATCCCGAACAGAACGGCGAACCTGGCTTCCCGGTCGACATCGATTTCGGCGTCCAGGACCAGGAACTGCAAGATCTGGAAATTAATTATTTCGATGATCACCCCAACGGTTACAAGGAGACGAGAGCTTCCAAGAGAACCCGAGCGCAGGTTCCAGAAAACTTCCGGAATGGCGCTACCGCTTGCATGGAGCAGTTTGTTGAGAACGTGCGGCAGAAAGTTCGCAGTCCACTGGTTACGGAAAATATGAAAAAGTAGGTAGATGATTTCGAATAATATCTTCCTGCGTCGGTAATCGGCGCAACGTGATGATGATGTTTGCCAGCCAACTTTGATTCAATTCAACCAGTTTCATATTTTTGCTTCGATTATGTTTACAAGTGGACCAATTATTGTTAAACGGTAACTGTTACAGACTTAGTACAGTGTTACTATAACATTTTGAATTAGCCGTGTCAGTTTAAAAGTTTACCTTTTTTCTGTTGCTTGACTGAGTGGAATATAGTTGTGCACGGATACTGATAACTTATTAATTTCCGTAATATGTATGATTTCCTGGCCAATAGTACTTAATGTGTTATCAACAGGTTGCTGCTCTAGTCATTTTCAACGACTGAACCACCGGTGTGAAACTTCTGTTTATGGATTAGCACTTGCTGTACATTTTTTTCTTACAGGCTCTGCGAGCTTATTCAGGAATCTTTTGAAGAATATCTGGGACTGCATCGAGACCCAACAGAAGATATTAATTCGGTGTCGGTCGTGGAGTGTCCAAAGCTGCATTTCCTGTTGGAAAAATTTGGTACAATCCACGGTGACCACGATAGCGATGAGGAGATTAGCGAATTTTACAAAACGGTATTCAGATTTTTGCTGAATATATTATTCTGTTATACGTTAATTCGATTTTTTGTTTGATAGCTTGCCAAGCACTTTGTCGTCGTCGCTGACGATGCCGATATGCAGTATTATGGCTGCGTTATATTGTACTCTGTGATGCAAGGTTTTTGGGCCAGTTCACCCGAATACGCAAAGATATTTTTTGAAAATGAAATATTTTTCCCATTTATGCACTTCATGCATACCAATCCACCAGGTGATCCCGTGCTCCGCTTACCTGCTCGACATCAAACGGAAATTCGAGCCATATTATGCGGATTATACGGAACGCTGTTTGAGCGAGCTACCCTGGAAGATTTCACTGTGAATTTTGGCGTCATTCGAAAATTGGTATGTCTAACTTGCGCATAAATGTTGTGGGCGTTTCGGCTTCCTTTTAGCGCGGATTTTATTTAATTTTTCTTGGGACATAAGTTACTCGTACACTAAATATATCTATCAACTTAATAGTTTTCTGTTTATCCATAGTAAATGCTGTAATAAATCATTGTTTGGTCTGTCGTTCGTGTTTCATTATGATTTTTGTAATGTAGTTACCGGGACACCTTTCACAACTCCGCAGTTATATAGCGACTTTGAAACCTTCTGAACCATCCGATGCGCGCCCGGAACCGCCGCCAGTTTTCAGTACGCCTAATGTTCCGACAACGTCCCAGCGATCCGGTACTAAGCGGCGATTAGACCGGACAAAGAGTGTTTTGGATTCTGGCAGTTCGACACCCTCGTCAAGTCGCCGGAAAAAGGCCAAGCTCACGACTTCGACTGATGTTGTTAGATTAAATATTGATGAAACGTCTTCTTCTTCTTCCTGGGCTGAATATGAAAGGCATCAGATCGGTGAACTATCCCAAAACTTCCGAATCTTACCCACCATGGACGAAAAACTTGAAATTCGATTGACTTTGGATTTGCTGGTCGGTCTGGCGTCTGTTCGTGATTTTGATACCACTTTCCAGGAAGTGGATGTTTTGGGATTATGCTTTGATTTCTTGGACGCCCGAAAAAAATTAACTATTCGAGTTATGGGCCAGGCGATACATGTGAGTCGCTTGAAATGAACAGTCGCTTAGTAGAATAAGCAATACCAGTTATGGAGCACTCCCTTCTGCCTGAGCGCGTTTAATGATACTTCTTCTGTTTAGTTGCTCGCCAATCTTGTACGGAATTCTCGCTTTGGTACCAGGCTGTTGGAAACACCATTACGCTTTATTCAGATGATGAAAATCCCCAAGCCATCCATTCCTTCCGTCTTTGTTGTGAAGTTGTTCGCTCACGTTGTCTCTTCTTCTGAATACGCGCTGGAAACAGTATGTTTGCATTTTTTCATCGTAAAAATTAATGATCTTCCGAATATTTATTTTAGCGTTTTCCACGCCTTAGCGTGTATGATTTTTGTCCGGTTACTTTTCACAGCTACCAGTTGTCCTAATTTCTTTTCCGTTTGTGATAGATGGTAAAATATCCTGACCTTGTCCAGAATACGACAGCTTTCATGGTCGAATATGGACTGCAATCTGGACATGAGTCAGCTCGAAAATGGGCAGCAAAATTTTTTATTTATGCCCTGAAGTTTCGTGCTTTTATCGATACCTTCGACGAGCCGAAAGTGGACGGTCTCCGCACTTTGTTAAACATGGTAGGCCATGGACTGCTCTCTGACTTTTGTTAATAGTCAACTGTTTACGCTATTTTAGAAGCCAAATACTTTTATATTTGCAAAAAAGGGCCGTAGCCTTTTATTATGTATTCTAAAACATGTCCGTTATTTAATTTTTGCAGATTGGTCGCTATGATTATTTATGGCAAAATGAATTAGAACGGCAGTTATCGGACGAGGAACAGCTGATGTCCGCATCGGATGCGTTGCATCTGCTCTATCAAGTGTTAAACTGCTATTTTACAACTGATATGATTATCAAGGCTGAATGGTTTCGCCAAGATCTTCTGCGTCGGGCTCGTGAGAATAAAAAGGAAATAGCTCTGGAAAGCAAATTTCCCCGCATTGCACCAAATAAGGTACTTAATTCATTTGTGCTGCACATGAAAGAAATTTGTGTAACCAAAGCGTTCCTAATCAGATGCTGATATGACGATGACACTTTAAAATACAGTCGAACGGATAGCGAGCATCAGCGGTGAAATGGTCTGATTTATTTTTGTAGGTTTTCTTTTTGGAAAAAGAGGAAATGGATGATCTTCGAGATTTCCTCTTGGCTCACGTCCCTTTGTGCCGAATTCGAACACGGCGGGATCGTATACTGCGCTTTGTACAGTTTGATGGTGTTACGCGTCTTCTGAGGCTGCTGGAACTCGACAAGTTTACGATGATAACCAACAGAGAGTTCACTGTTGTTCCGTTTCACAAGATTGGATTAGAGATTCTGGAAAAATGCGTCCTGTCAAAATGTGCTCAGGATGCGATCATCAGCTACACGACTTCGGATCAGTCGTTTCCGTATACTGGATTTGGGTAATCTTCCGTTGATTTCGGTATGAATACGCCTGACATTTGGTTATTCTTGGTTTGGCAGGATGTTGATCGACATGTCGGTGAAGTATTCGTCCAGTGATACGAGCGATGTGAAAAAAAGTGCCGATACCGCAGTTAAAAAGTCTGCGTTGGATGTTTTATGCAATTGTATCTTCGGAATGCGAACTGGGGTGAATCTTAGGCTTTGCATCCAAAAGGCAGTGTTTTGCTGCCCTTTATCATGGACACTACGTACTGTATATAGATATTATTTTATTAACTGCAGTTTGCAATGGAAAAGTATATTGTGACCGGCGTCCGTTCTGCTTCATAATCGGGCTTCGATAACGCTCAGCTCTGCAAAGTTAATGTTCAGGGCTATTTTTTTCAGAAAGATCCAGAGGAGAGTGAGCTGACGGAGAGTCAAGGGAAAAGTCGACCGTTCTATAACGATCCGGAACATTTTAAGCAGATGGTGAACATATTTCGACGACATAAATGTGTGGAAATGATGCGGCGAGTCATCCATGAAGCCGAAGATCCTGAAGAGGAACTGCTTCGTACATTAGCTTGTAAAATTCTTACCGGTATGGCAGCATCGCCTTCATGTCGACAGGTTATGAGAGAGTTGTCGTTTTTCCGATCTGGAGAAATACAAGGTATGTTCCGCATTTTATGCCGGCATTTTTCCTTAAACATGTGATCTGATGTGGCTTGAACTTTTGTTATAGTTCTCATGCGCGAGCCTTTAACCATTGATGGGAGCAAGGAATTCGCCAACTTTGAAAAAGCCGCGAAAGAAATGCTGGAAGCGGTTTTCGAGACAAAACTGAGGACGCCAATTCCACCCAGCCTCCCGGAAGCGGTTTTAAGACAAGACATTCTTAGACGAACTCGCATTACGTTTAGCTCTCAAGAAATCGATTTGTTATTGTTGGATCATTTGGAAAATCGTGGCTTGAACACGACGGCAAACTGTTTAAAAAGCGAAGCGGGTTTGAATGAGCCAAGTTCGGTGGTTGCACAGCCGACTAAAGCGAAGTCTCGCCGGTCCATTTATCCGAGTTTGATTCGAGTGGGAACTCGGTCCATCAACGTTACCGGGGAAGATTCGAACGGTGGAAATATACTGGGACAGCGAAATTTTATATTAGATGCGACGGATGCCTCGACCATGGTTGTGCCAGGATATCCTGATTTAGTTGGAATTGTAGCGAATAATTTCCGCAGTGAGCATGCCCAATGTGAATATCCCATCGCTGTATGTCCGCCTTTTTCTCTGAAAAAACGGCACCGGTGTCCAAATCCGGTAGGAATTCTGAACGCTCCGTATAACATTAGTCAGAGGTTAAGCATGCGAGGCGGTCGTGGAGATGAAACTCAGTGGGGACGATCGCTGGATCGTCGATATATATTTGGAAAGTTGAGACCGGTTTGCAACTTTGGGTTGCCAGCGGATGCAGGCGTTTTTGACCCGGAAGGCGGACTTCTATCGGCGGCGTTCATGGGTGTACAGCAGAATAAAATTGTTACGGGAACGATGGATGGATACGTGGTTGGATATAACATTTCTGAACCATCTAAGGTGCGAATAGTCTTTGAACGATTTTGAGTTCGATGACTGGTTTATTTATGTGAGCTTGAATGTTCACGGTTTTCTACAAACTTTTCTTGATGTGCAGATGGTGCAGTTTGTGAAGCCAGACACAACAAACATTGCTCTGATTTCTTAAGTTTCTCATACAGAGTTTTTGAATAACCGAAGCGTTTTTTTACCACAGCCCACGTTCTATCGAGCTTGCCACGAGTTCGAATGCGAAACTCATCATCTCGCAATGGTTCCCACGTTTCCTGCTTGTGATGTTTTTGTCAGCTGCTGTTCGTCTATATCGTCGACATTGTGGAAATTGCGACCGGGTGGATGTGACGTTATTAAGCAGTATCCTTCCGTGGAATATATGACGTTTCCTCATTTCCATGATAATATTGCTTTGGGCTGCGAAATGGAGCAGTTGTCACCGGCTTATGTGAGACAAGAAATCCTGCTGGTTTTTTTGGGGTGATATTCATTCTGATTTATTTTTATAGACAATAGATCTGGAAACCGGCAATAAAATTTTGACGTTTTCCGAACCGAAGTTACAAGGCCGATACGTCAAGAATCGCCCGAGTTTTCATCCTAGTGATGATATGGTGACGCATGATGGACTGCTCTTTGATGCCCGTTCAGGCAAACTTATCCACCAGTTTGATCAGTTCGAGCGGCACACATCGAACGGGGTTTTTCATCCAGATGGGAACGTCATTATAATTGATGAACAAGTCGTAAGTCCGGGCTTGGCTAGCAATAAAATTATTGCGTTAATCAAATGTCTTTTTGTTGCTGTGAATGTTAGTAGCGATAAGATGTATAAATCAGAACGACGCTGATGTTCTAATGGTTGAATGTTTGAACTTTATAGTGGGATTTAAGGACTTTTAAACTGCGCAAAAGTGTGATGCAGTTGCGGCAGAGCCTGTTAAAATTCAACGCAACGGGTGACGTATTGTACGCCGTCCATTACGAGAAACAAGTTGATGATTTGGAGCCAACAGTTTACGAATTCCCTGGTGGTTTCACAACGGTTGACTCAAAGGATTATTCAACTATTGGTAAGAGCTTTCTGTCAATATTTAACTACTGTTTAAAGGGCCTGTTCATATCTTCGTATATATCTTTCAAACCCGAAAAATCTGTTTTAAATTAATTTTGTTGCATTGAAATTTGCTCAGGTCAGAAGAAGCATCATTTCATGCGTGATATGCCTTTGTTTGAAGAAGTACAGTAACTTAGCATGATTTCTTGTTATCTTTACTGTGAATTGGTTGTTTGCAGCTGGTATTGATCTCAAACGAAAGTTCCAGTGTTTAACTCTGGATACACTGGACAACCATATCTTCTTGGGTGAATCTTACAGCGAAAGCCTCGGTGCGTATGGAAGATTATTTCAGATCGGTGTGGACAAAGGGGATGAGGAGGAAGATCTGGAGAAAACCGACGATGAAGATGACGATCATTTCGGCGATGACGATGACGATGATGATGATGAGGAAGATATGACGGCCATCTTCGATGATGACTATGGAGGTAAACACAACGATAGTTTTTATAATTATGGTAGTGAAATGGCCATTTTGATTATTAACTATATATTTATTGTTTCCGTTTTTAATCGTTATAATTCACATATAATGCAGACGAAATGGACTGGGAAGAGGTGGAGGACGATGATGCTGCGCCATCACCTGAGAACGAAGAGGATGAATGGACAACTGATGAGGAGGCGGGTAACAATGACGATGACAACGATGATGACGATGTGGTATATGAAGTTGGTAATCATGTCGATTACGAACCTGACTGAAGTTCGCATTAATTGTGTTTAATGGCTTAATGGGGATAACGCTGGGAGCACAAGTTTTGCTGTCAGTAGTTTCGTACATTCTCAAATGCTGTATTTTGAAATGTGTAAATTACGTACCAGACTGTGATGGTTCCGCCTTGGGCTTGCTCCACTTTGATTCTTTTATGGTTATACGTTTTCGAAGCTTTTTGCTATGCATTTTGCGGATTGTTTGTGTTACGTGTGTACTAATAAAAGTTGTAATTTGCTGGTAGTTTCATATTTCATTTCTTGATGAATGATGATTAGAAAGGAAGGTCGCTCAGTAATTTTGCGGACAAGAAAATGAATACCGATTACGACAAAATATGTGCGAAGTGATGGCGATTGGTTGGATTTCAACACATAGGTGGTTCAGTTCATTCGATTCAGTGACTCGTCTGATCTCATCGTCCTTCTGCACTTGCGTGCACTGCGCTGCCGTCTGCTGTGACGATTATCATTTCGTACGAACGAACTGTTTTCTAGATTTATACGTTACGATAGTCTTTCAGGTTGGGTACTTCCTTGTCATGTGGAGATCTTGGTAATTGGAAGATCATCTGTAATTAATTTGTTATATCGGGAAGTTTTGTTATATTCCGCTCTCATGTTAATATCGCAAAGAATGGTACCTACGGACGCGGTCATACACTTTAAGTTTAAAAATGCGCTGGAAACCGAGAAATTCCCTTTTTCTGGAGCATCGACCAGTGTCAGGGAACTGAAGCAGTTTATCAGCCAGAAACACAAGCTGGATCAGAAGAGTTCAAGGCCCGATAAAAGTCAGACTCCGTCGGAACTCTCGCTGGAGAACGCTGCTACAGGGGAAGGTACGACAAGCAATATTGAACTGTGTTGCTGCTGGGTTCGCCGTGTTACATAATATGATAATAAAGCATGTTTCGAATTTTACGGTTTTTTCACCGTTTCGGCCATTTGTAGTGTATGTATCGGACGATGCAGAGATTCCCAAAGATACTGTGATAACTGTGGCCAGGAAACTGGCTGGTGCAGAAGCGGAAGGACCTGAGGAACCCAAACAGCCCGCTGCGGCCGCGCCAGCAGAAGCAGCGCCTGTGGAGAAGCAAGTGGCCGAGAAACCAGTCACTGCTCCTGGTGATGTACCATATTATCATAGTAAGTTGACAAGGATGTTCAGTGAATTTTCGGTAATAATTTTTCTGTGGTTTATTACAGGTAATAGTGCATATAATCAGTATCAAGGTCAACAGGACCCTACATTTGAAAAAATGGGTTTTCCTGGTGTGATTACTGAGGTGGGTGATGTGACGCAGCATGTTTGTGCCGTGCCTCGTTCATTCCCTCCAGCCATACAGTTGACACGGCATTGCTTCTTGTAGAGTACGGATATTTCGGAAATGGATGAATATACAGAGGAGCAGAAGATATTCGCGATGATGTATCAGTGTTTATTATTTTATGATCACACTGCGTAAGTGCATGACGGAGTGCTGTCGCTGTTTATTTTATGGCTCATGAAACGCTTGCTATATAAGTTTGTAAATATGAATCATCAGCACCCAGTCATTTACGAGTATATTTTTTGTTTTTGGGATATAGTGTACCGTTTTCTTTTATAGCTTGATTCGTGGTACTAGCGCAGGTTTACTCAAGGTCCCACGATGTTTTTGATGAGAACTTGAGATCACTAATATTTCATAGGGCTAATATTTTAAAATATACGTCACATCCTGCATTTGAATGGAATAGCGCAGATTTTGGTATTTTTTATGAAATGTTTGCCTTTCCAGATATGTTTCCAAACCTCGACAGAGTGTTTATTGTTCGCACTGCAAGATCGCTGGCAGTCACAATACGAAGTTTTGTCCGAATACTCAGGATGTGGGAATTATAGCTGGTGGACGCCGGAATGCTCAGAGAGCCCCTACCGTGGCGCCCACGACTGTCACTACGAATCCGACGGCGTATGCTAGTGTGCCGGACGACAGGTAAAACAAGTGGACGGTTATCATTCGCGAAAATTATTACCGCTTTAAGCGTTTGAGCAAACGTTGCGATACATGTTTCAACTATTGGTGTTTGAATTTCTGTAGTTACGAAAGGGAAGACATAGATCCGGATCTGTGTTGCAATATTTGTAAAAACCTTCTCCGGGATGCCGTGATTGCGCCCTGTTGCGGTGTCAACTATTGCGATGCATGTAAGTTTCGAAAGTTTCACCATTAGGTAGCTATCGTTAATATTTCCTCAGCTGTCGGGATTTTGTTCGGCGTTTAACATTGTTTGAAATATCTTCTGAGAATGTGTCCGGTTTGGGTTGATTAGATAGGAAACTGTTGCGGTCCAGCTCCTACATGATCGGAATTGATTCTGTAGGCGTTTTAAACTGCATATAACAAATTTTCGAAAATGTTTGATGTCCGTTTGATGAATGAATGTCATGCGGATGAAACGGTTTCGACAAAATCGGTTTAATATGTAAATTTCGGAAAGTGTCGTGTAGCATCATCGTGTGATGTTTCAGGCATCCGAACTACGTTGATGGACGAAGGAGGAGAAAGTGTCTGCCCGAGTTGTGGAGCTCAGTTAGCGCCCGATGCGTGTTCACCTAATGGTTATCTGCGCAGTCGTGTCGAAAAATGGGAACGGGAAATGCAGATTAAGCGACAACAGAAGAAAAAGGAGGGCTCACCACAGTCAGTTGGAAATAAAATGTATGTGCATTGTGCAAAACCTTGCATTGGTCATGGTTACTTTGCATTTTTTCGTTTAGGATTACGATTAAAGAAGTACGGAAGAGATTTAAAAATTGACTTTGTGTTTTGTTTTGTGTAGAAATACCACCAAGGAAGAAAAGCCTGTACCGACTCCAAAAGAGTCTCCTTTGACAAATTCCGTTAGTACCGCACCGCCGCCTGTTCGAACAAATCAGCCGGGACGAACGGTCAACGTGAAACCGGAAATGCATAGTGCTGCCTCGAGGGTATGTTGTTGACTGCATTTTTGTTAGGGTAGGAGGTATTTTGTAAGATGAAACTTGGTTACGACATCTTTGACTAACCGAAATGATGATGATACCGAAGTTCTGGATAGAGGCATGACAGCAAAACTCTTCGCATAGACAGTATCTGACGTTTACGCAAACCTTTTCTTTCTGTTTGGACGTTTCAGCAATGCCGTACTTGCAGCCGTTTTAATATTTGATTAATTTCAGAATGCTGCGTCGGATAATCATTCAGAAGCCAAACCCATTGGGTCATTGATCTCTACAACTACCCATAAAATCCCTCCACACATTCCTACGAACGTGTTCCACCAGCAGCAGCAGTCGCAACAGACAACGGCGCAGCCTCAGAATCAGCAGGCGATGGCATCGACGGAAGCCAGAAGAGGCAGTTTCCCGGCTAACCCTCAGGCTGCTGCCAGTCTCGCACCTTATTTAGCGGCTAATGCTCGTATGGCTGGTAGGCAGCCGCCGATGAACTTCTTCCCGGGGATGAATCAGTAAGTCACGTTCCGGATGCGATCTTCTGATGATGGTATTTAAAGCAGGCACAACGCTATTTTTAAATTATTGGCTATTATGGTTACTGATTGAATGTACAGCATAAAAATTTCGGCATTGGTTTCAAAATACTTTTAACATGTCTGTTTGAATGTATTAAGCATTTGAATAATTTTTAGGTTTGTCGATGGGGCAGGTTTCGGTTACCTAAACCCTGCGTTTCGTAACCCAATGTCTGCAGCTGCTTCAGCGGCCTTTGGAATGCGTGGAGGAATGGGTAATCGGATGCCATATGGATTAACACCGGATATGAATCGTTTTCCTATGTTTCCGGGTCAACAGACTGGTACGTTGTGGCAACCATATTGTGGTGGTTCTCTGCCGTTTCTTTAGTAACTTTCTATAAGAAACTTAAGGATCACGATCGGAAATGCATTGCTGTCGTTATACAACGATGTGTTGACGTGAATTTGTTCACTTCTGAGTGTGCCGGTTAGGACGACATATTTTGACTGTGGTATGGTTTTTGCAGCGGAGATGTATGAACGATCGCTACGATTTGGAAATACTGCGCCTTCGAATATTCTTCCCTCTGGGCAGACACTGCGTATTACGAGGTTAGTGGATTTGTTTACGGAATGTTAGCGCTGGCTCAACTCAGTTGCAGGTGGCTTTGTCATCTGATTGTTAGTCTTTTTGCATCATGCTCGTGTTTAGTAACGAATAATGAGAAACGTGACGTAAAAAAATGGTTTTGTTTTGTATCGAATTACTATAAATTTACGTTATGAAAAAGCGTAATAATAATAATTTCTGGCACAAAGGGTTTTCTGACGACCGAAATTTTGTTGTATTAGAATCATGAACCAGAAAGCTCCGGTGCAGTCGCCGTACGATTCCGACTCACCTACTCGCACCGATAAACTGCGTGACAAAGACAAGGATGATTATCGCAGGGATAAAGAAGAAGATCGTCGCCGTGACATTAAGCCGTATGATTCTAAGTACGACGACCGGAAAGATCGCCGAGATGATAGAAAGAAGCGGGAGGGTAGTTATAAGTCCGATGCCGAGGATCGGCGAAGTTCCGAACGCCGTCATTCTAGAGAAAAACGTTTCCGCAACGATTCACGGTCACCGGATCGGAAGGATTTGCGCATGCGAAAGGATATTCGAATAAAAAGGTGGGGATTCATTATGGAAAGATCAACGGTTTTGCAAAGACACTGCTGTTTAACCGAAGTTTTCTTTCTCACATAGATCGGATGACGTCAAGTATGATCGCTTGGCCGAAAAGGAAGCACGTCGGGATAAGCGCAACACCGAGACGCCGAAGTCAGAAAAAACTGTCAGCCCGCCATCGAAACCAAGGTATGAACGGATAGAGCCGTCACCTGTTGTATCCGAGCCGAAGGAGAAGGACATAGAAATAGTCCCTGTCAAGAGCGAGAAGCTGCCAACCATGGAGGAACCAAAAATACCCGACGTTATAAAAACTGTGGAAAAGGTTCCAGATGAGGAGGCTATTCGCAAAGATCGCGAAGAACGCGAGAAAAAGGAAAAAGAGGTTCGCGAGCAGGAGAAACGGCTTAAAAAAGAGGAACAACGTCGTCGTCGGGAAAAACGGGAGGAAGAGGAAAAACGACGCGCACAGGATAAGCGGGAACGCGATCTGGAGCAGAGAGCAAAACAGTTGGAGCAGTTGGCCAAGGAGCTGGAACGACAACAACAGGAAATGCAGAATATGAAAGGGCAGATGACTACAGCTGCCACACCTGTGGTTGTCAAAGAAGCAGTCGATATGGCAGAGCTCCAGAAGAAGGCCTTCGGGAAATGGGAGAACGATCCGGAAGATGAGAGAACAGGTGGTCCCATCAGACCTGCAGGAGAGGGTATAAGTCATGGGGAAAGCGTTGAAGAATCATCGAAAGGCTACCCCGAAGACAGGAGATCGCATAAATCTCGTTCGAAAAAGGAGAAAAAGGCTGCCAAGGCATCGAAGGAAAGAATTGAGGGGCCGAGTGGTGAAGTTGGAGAAAAGAAAGCTCGGCGGAAGCACCGGGAAGGCGATGGTGTGGAGAGAGAGCGGGTGAAACGGGAAAGAAATCGCCAGGATGAAGATGGTTTACAAGAGTCGCGCGACGGTGATGAGCGGAAAGATAAAGCCGGTGATTATCGAAAGCAGAAGACTTCGCGGTCCAGACGCGACGAATCAATGCGGTCTTCGCGCGAAAAGAGACTACGCAGTCCATCGATGGATCACAAAGAGGAGAGAGCTTTTAAACGGCTGGATTCGAAGACTTCGGAATTTGACGAGGGGAAAAGCAGGGAACGGCGTTCCCATCGACGGGAGGGGGATGAAGAAAAATCGCGGAAGCCCTCAAGGTCCAAGAAGGATAAAAGCAGATCCTCCCGACGAGCGGACGAAAGGGGAAAAGTGAAAGATCGTGATTCAGATATACCCGTGTCTTCGTACTCGCGACTGGACGACGAGGAAACGGAGATCAAGAGTGCAAGTGGCGATTTTTCTGGGCGGAAGTTGGACCGCATTAGTGGTGAAAGCGAAAAGAAAGAGCGATCCAGTGAGAAACGGGAGCGACATAAATCCTCAAAGAAAAGGGAGAAGTCCTCCAGAGAAAAGCGCCCCCGTGATGGCGAAAATATAGAGGAAAGGGATCCACGAAAGAAGCATAAGAAGCGCAGGAAAAGAGACAAAAAGGATGCGATTGAAGTGGAGAGCGCATCGGCTGAAGCAGGTGATCTGGGAAATGTATCACCTGCTTCGATTGATTGATCACTGTTTACTGTTTGTGTACAGAACCTTCTTGGTAAGTAATTCGCGTGCTGTGGGTGACGGGGCATGTTTTTCTCGTTACAGAGTGTAAGAATCAAGTTGCTGATCAAAGTTTCTTCTCCAGACTGTTTGTTCGCTTGAATCCACGTACATTGTATAAAATGTCTCAACGACGTCTTCGAGCCAAAGGACAATTAGTTAATCAGGAAAAACAACCGGGTAAAAAAATTGCTGGGTCAACTGACGATTGGTGGGAGGCCTTTCGCGGTATAAGTGAACTTATGCAGGTGGGTTGGGTGCATGGCATTTGGGCAAATTTGTTGTAACAAGTACCTTGGCGAGCAAATTACTAAATGTTAGCATTTTATTTCATTTTATTTGCAGATGTTGTATTCCATACTGCCAAAACAAGGAAAACGGCTGAAAAAACTCAATCTGTCGTGATTGGTTGTGGCTTTTGTTGGAATGTTTACGTTATATTCGTCTTAGCTAAGACTTGTCTTTGTACTCTTGAACCTAGATTCGGTTATTTACTTTTTTGCTTGCGCTTTAGTGTTTAATTCCTCGTTTTTTCTGTTAGATTACTTGTGCTCGCTTTTGTTATGGTATGTCGGTACGTGTGTGAGTTTTATCTGGTCTTAGAAATTTTGGAAATAAAAAACAGCACCCGGAATGAGTGTATGTATCTGTACGCTTTACGACCATATTTACGTGAATACGGTACCTGGCAAAAAAAGACTAGCTGAAGTATGAACAACTACGTGATTATCTTATCATATAAACATTTCACTACGTTACAAAGGAAAATATGTAGGAGTATTTATTTTTACTAAATCTCCGGTTTTTTATTCAGATTTTGTAAACATAGTAACCACCACAAGCGTAATGTGCCAATGTCCTGCATCGTTTCTGAATAGCCACTAATTAGCCAGCTTCAGAACAAAACATGGTTACGCAAATTTTTCTTACAGACTGAGAAATGTAAAATTCCGGCACTTGTAAAATGCCCACACCCAAGACCATTTAAAGCAGTTTCGCCGCAGTAAGATTTTTGACTGACAAGTGAAATCCGAGTCTCCGACTACTGAACAAGTATTAGTATTACTGTGCACGTGGCGAGAGGACAGTCGTTAATTCCACCTTTATACTGCAGAATGCGTAAGCTGTTTCAAAATCGAAAATCGGCGATAGCCCAAAAAATCGCTGACATGAAGCGCTGGCTGATCATAATTTTATTCTACTGTATTTAAAATTAAACTCCGCACTGCAAGTCCCCAACCACACAAATCTGACTCAAATAGTGACATACAACCTTTAGCACCGTACTTAACTGTGCACATTAGCACACGCACTTACGAGTATATCCTTAGATTTGATTTTAACATAAACGACTTTCCCAGCTGATATATGAGATACATATAAGGGGCATTTTAGCTGAAATACCGGAAATACGTATTCCTGCTGGCCAGACAGAAGTTTATCTGGACTAACCGGCTGTCATACAAAAATTTTGCCGCTAATGAGCCGCGCCTAAAAGCTTAGGTTTGATACTGGTTGCCGTGCGGTCTGAAAGGGTATTTTGGACAGCCAGGGAAATTCCACTTACATAATTGAGGATGGAACTCTCATTAAATATTTTGATCCCAGCTGTAATAATCTTCCTGTTAAATTTCCTGAAATTCTGTTGTAGTGCAGGTATGGATCCACGTATTTTCACATGCTGCAGACGAATTAAATTTATTTACCATATCGATTTCTGCCAAAAGTTATTCATGGGTTGGTGCTTAAAATCTCACCAAGAGAATTCTTCTAGAATACTTAATTGCGTTTTTGCTGAGTTTTCTTAAATAGTTTCTGTTTTGTTAAGAACCAGTGCCTGTTAGTACAGTGCCTGTTTTATTTTCGGATTAAGAAACGTTATTTCTGATAAACGGTCTTGTAGGCTTACCTCCCATGGCAAGCCGATCTGTGAATGTCAACCCACAACTGGTGAAATGGCCGGGGAAAAGAGTGCCTTATTACATCGATGCGAGCTATCGTAAGACGAAAACAGATATTCAAATTTCGAACGAGCGTAACATAAAACTCGCAAATGCGAAGGTTGTTACTCTAGCAAAAGCCTAGTCTTACATAACAAACAAATTCATTACGTAAGCATTCGGATTACACATCAGCATATGCCCCATTACACCGGTCAATGCATTCTGATTTTTAAACGGCGCAATCGCAGCTTCTCGTTTAATTTAAATAGCATCCAGTTCTGGAATTAATATAAGGTGCGCCAGGAGTACTGTGCCTGTTTTACGTACCATGAGTTTTTACTAAACTTATGTCTTTTGGAACTGTCTGTGGCATATTTCTGTTTGAACAGCTGCCAGTGTAAAGCAACTGATTCGGGATTCAGCCAAACAAGTTAGCGCGGATGTTAAAGGATGTGTGACCTTTGTGGAAGTACCATCAACGGTCAAAGAATACAAAGTCTTTATAACGAACAGAAAACCAGATGGGTACATAAAAATTCAGTTGATATGTACTGCCATTAAAACAGATCATAGATGTACATTATAAAAACAGTCAGAAAAGCATATTTAAAACTGCTGCTCTGGGTTCTTAATAGATTACTAAAGATTAGAAGGGAAAAGGGTTTGTTGTAATTGCATGTTGTACTACACCGTATAATATATAATCTCACTATCCAGATAATATTTCATCATACTCCGCATATGTACAAAAGACAGCAGACAAGTAAATTGCAGCCCTAGATTATATTAGCGATGATTCAGAGCATCTTGCATATTGCGCTGAATCGGGGAATTCTGACCATTGTAGAACTCGTGCTACGCGGTGTTCCGCGTGGCCTGGTCTTTACGCCGACGCTCGGAAGCGAGGCCTTAAGGAACAGCGAGTCTTCGTCACAGATGGCCCCACCGGTTGCCAGGACGGTTCAAAACATTCCATCATGAAGTTTTTCGCGATCACCTTGGGCAAATTGAATGAACACCAACGGGCCGATCGGGATGAATATATTAAAGTGAATCACGCTAATATGCTTCAAGGTACGTTAAGACTGAGAATACCTATCTATGTAATTTATATAACTCTTATCTTTATATTCACACAATCTTACCGTCCAAAACGTAATTAATTTTGGTTTTTATGGATTCGTCAACGCGTGGTCAGTTTTAGTCAAGCTTAGTCTGAAAAAAATCCATATTTTCCTGACCAACTTATCCTGAATTTTAATTTTTTTTAAAACGTTCTGGTCAGAAAATTTTAGGAGTTGGTCTTAAGTATGGCGAAACGCTAGTGTAGTACGCTAGTGTAATATTTTAGTATTCTGAAGCACAGTATGTAAAAAGTACATACGGTACTGTAACCATGGATATGGACCTGTAATTAAGTACACTTTGGTCAGTACAGTAATTAGGTAAGGGTTGATTTTTTAGTAATTCAATTTTTGAACTGCCGGACGAATGCAATAATAGTCCATAAATCAAACCTGACCTTTCCAAAATCAAACCTGACCTTTCCAATACACACGTGCCGAGCGCGAATGCGCGAGGCTTTCCTTGTAAGACTAAACTCTTCGAACATACTTCGTACTGCATTACGCGCGCTGTTGTGCGCCTCATCAGCACTCAAACAGTAACGTTACATCATATCTTCACTGAATCAGAACCTCTTAAAATCGACATTTAGTTACAAGCTCCTAATTTTATAAAAGATTTTTAAATTTTTGTATAAATCATCATTCGATACTGCATGGTCAACGTCAATGATTTGCAGATCCCGAAGAAGCGTACCGCATTCACGAAAGCACAAGTGAAGTTAATTTTTATCCATATGATTACTGCTCCATTACGCACAACCAACCGGAAGAGTTCGCTAAACCCAAAACCGAGGCGTTTATCGTGAAGCACGAGCCAAAGTACATTCCCAAATTAAACCATTTGAGCGAAATCGACTGTAAAGAAATTAGCGAAATGTATGACTGCGATCCCAACAAATGCGAAGCGAGTAAGAACCAACTGCCGGCTTAGTTTGCCTATATATTGAGGGCAAAATAACAGAAAGGCTAAAAGTGGTAGTTTTCAGTGAATTGCGAAGATCTGGATGGAGTTAGCCGAATTCCCAGCGAAGAAACGGAAGCAACGGAAGCAACGACAGCAGAAGTTGCGACGGAAGCCCCAACCACGGCCAAACCGACGGTGCCAACCACAACAGAGGAGGCGTTTCCTACAGAGCCCGAACCGGATATTCCGGCTGGCCCGACTGAAGATTATCCCGACACACCGGATGTCACACAGAAGCCGCCGTCGGCTAATGAGCCGCCACTGGAGATTTCTGGATTCAAAAAGAAACTTCCAAAAAAATCAACATGACGAATCATAAAAGAGTGAGATAACGGTTATTCAGGAACTAATAATTTACGACCATCCATCATAAGTACCATCAACGCAACAGAAGTCGATGATGACCTTTATTTTCGTTTGCGTTTGACTAGAAACGGCGGTTGCCGAACCTGGTGTGGGACTTAACGTAATGAGATGCAGTTGACTAATTTGGCTTTGCAACTACAAAAGTGTCCCTGCATTAAAAGCTTCGTTATACGTGAATGGATGCAATATTTATTTATATTTATTGTTACGAGTAGGATTGAAAATTAGTTCCCACTGAATGTCGTTCGAAGTGTAGTATTAAAGTAGTGCGTAGTCAAGCTCACAGATGTAAATAACCGACGCCCTCAAAACTTTCCAAATTTTATAATGCGCTTCTAAAAGACTATGACCTTTCCAAAGTACTACTTACAAGAATTTTTTCTTTTAAGGCCGTGTATAAGTAGAAAGTGACAGAACAGGTTTAGGTACATGTGATATCTGTACTCGTACCCAAGAGTTAACATTAGTCATCTTGCCTCCTTATTCACTATCGGAAAAAAATTTTGATCAGAATCGGCAAGTTATATTACGTTACAGCATGTATTTATAGTACGGTGCTGATTTCTTAACAGTACGGAGGCGGATAATTCATGTCAAAGGAAATCGGTCCAGTTGGAGCGCCAGTGGCAGAATTAACGCACCATGTCCCGCCATAACCAGTCTGCTTTGACTGCCATGAGCCGTCGTCTTTGCACTGTGGCACGTAGTTATCGTTTCGCACAGGAACAGCTGTATTGAATATAAAAAAGTACAACGCATTTTAATTATATTACACCCTGTTAGTAAAATTACACATTGGTAAATCATCATCAAACTCACAGTTCGAATCCAATACAACGACCTGTTTTCTGGCCACTTCACACGAACACTGGCCGATATTCTGAAACTGCTTGGTGTCTTTGGAATAGCGAATGCAAGCTGGACCGCAAAATCCGTAAATACAAGGCGGCTGTTCTGGTAACGAAAAGTTGAAGGGACCGGAGATTCCTTCGCTATTTAAGCATATACGACCACCGGGCACCCAAACAGACTGGTTACATCTATACGTTCCATCGGCATTGCATGCCCGCTGGAAAACATCTTGTGCTATAAAAAATTACCAGTTGCAAAGCGCAATAAAGACAGGTAACAGTTTTCTGTTATCACAGAATTAGGTAACGTTCATATCAGGTAACGTTCATATCAGGGAATGAACGTTACCTCCTGAGCAAATCAGTTGCAGCAAGGCAGTATTATCCAGCGCACACTGGCAGAATCTCCGGAACTGATCCACAAAACGTCCGTTAGGAAGCGTGTAACTGTTTGTCCGGTTGCAGTTTTCTTGATCAGCCGGTGATTGTGTGGTGAAATCGCAAAAGGGAAACAATAAAGGTCTCCCAGTTGTTAATGGTGGTGTTGATGGAGTTTGAGATGCAACACCGACGATAATTAAGCAAATCATGAGTGGCAATTTTAACTGAAAATTGTATTTCAACATCCGTGCAAATATTACGCTAACACCCGTTGAAGATATCATTTTTCGCAGATGACAGACTGCGCTATAGTGCTCCTACTGGCAGAGTTGCAGTTAATGGCAGTTTCGTTATTAAAGGGCACTAGTTGCATACAAAAGTGCAGTACTGGTACTCGTGATTACAAAATTAATAACAATTATTCACACTAACGCTGCTTAACTTGTTATTGATGGTAAAAAAAACGAACAAGATGCCGGTACGGTGTGAAAGGTCAATGAGCCTGATAAACGGCCGACAGGTATCCCTGTTCCGGGTTGAATTTAAAGTTGAAAAAAATGAATGTTTTTTTGGTAGATCTAGAATGCGTTTTTTGCCGCTTGAATGTAATCAGTGCACAAATAACCGCGAACAGCAGCAATAAGTACCAGCTATGTAATAAAGTGTTGACTTCTTTGTCGGGTGCAGCACAATATACTCTGTATACGTGTATGCAGGCTACGGCATTTATTGAATTATTGTTAAGTTCCAACCGGAAGCATGGCGTGCAAAAGAATTAAAACTTTTCGGCAAATACAGTAAGTCTTCAGCATCACCGATGACTATTTCCACCTGCCGAATCAGCAGCAGCTCGCTTCTATAGCAGTTGTACGAGAAATGAGATTTCATTTCGTAATTTATATTCATTTCGTATTTTAAAATCTCTACCATAATGTATTCGATATTTAACTAAAAGAATCAACGAGCCCTGAAAATTCATCAAAGTCAATATATCCATCGGCATTCTTGTCGGCAACTTTGATCATCTCTGTAATTTGCTCCTCGGTGAAATGCTGCTCCAGGCTTTTGAAAACACCTCGCAGTTCAGCTCGACTTATCCGACCATCGTCATTGTAGTCGAACACCTTGAATGCCCTCTCCAGTTCCGTCATGTGCAACATTTCTCCCATCTTGCTCCTCATGACGCCCAAAAATTCGCCAAAGTCAATTTTGCCGTTCTCTGTATAACCGAATTATGAAGATTACAATGGATTTAATGCATGTAGAAAGCAAATTGAATAATCAAAGAATTATCATTTCCAAAATTTTGTCATTTAATTTGTAGCCATACTGTCTGCATCGGCTTCGGCCATAAATATTTTTAGTTGTTCTATTGTTGGTCGGAATCCAAGTTTTTCCACGACTTCTTTCAACTCCCGAATGGTGATGTAGCGATCTCCTAATAATCGTACCCAAACGATTGCATACAGCGATGATACAGGTAAAGATTTGGCGATCTCGTACAAAACGACCCCATCTATATAATCAGTTAATCACTACAAACGCTAATCCACATATCCATATTCGTATGATAAATTTAGGTATACCGAAAAGCAAAAGAATTAGTAAGCCATCGTATTTTCAAAAATGAAGTCCTTAACAGGCAGTATGCAGTATTGCCTGAATACGAATACAGAAATAAAATTCTTGCAATTATGTACAATATATCGTATACAATACAGGTATATTTGTACATAAATATGGTGGTTCAGCATGTAAATGCAATAGTACTTATTGCCCAGTTTAAATTAAACAATTTTTAAAGTACCAAGCTTTAGTATCAGGCTTCAAGTTTTATTATCAGGTATCAAGAATTGTATCCAGTGTTTTCTATAAAATTCAAAGAACGTCATTAATATTTTAGTCTACAGAGTAAAATCCAAAGTCATCGATCATGCCGGTACCAGTACCAGCATTGCGAGTAGTGTACTGTACCAACAGTATAACACATTTGTTCGTCAGCTGTTGTTCACCGCCGAAATGTTTTGTGTTATGATTTTAGTAGTTACCATTGCGATCGAAGTGATCAAACGATTCTCTGAATTCGGCAATCTGTTTTTCTGATAGATCCACACATGCCGCAGCTTTCGTTTGTTTCATCCGGTTCGTCATTTTAAAACACCCAGCGAGCTTGTAGCTATCCAAAGATCCTTTCGAAGCAAAACAAGATCCAACCTGTCCCATCCACGTCGGTAAATCGTAACAGAGCAGAATGCGACACCGTTGTATAAAAATTAATGTACTCGTATGATCTTAAAGCAGTGCAATACGGTATGATATACTTGTGTCCTCTCACGCGCGTCTGACGTGGATTACCGCTTATTAACACATACTCTAGGATCGATAGAAGACAGGAAAACAACTGAGCAGCCGCGTATTTTGCCGCTTAAGCGCGCGTTTTACGCAGATTATTTACCATAGGGTAAACCTATTTATTATCCACAATTCTGCACCATAGAATAAGTATGAAAATCTCACTTTCTGTCCTGCAGATACTAGTTTATTTTAAAACAGAAGTGGTTTGAAATTTTAAATCGTTTAACGGTAGAACTTCATAATGCGGTTCCAATGGTTCTAATGTAAAATGTAGGCACGGGAAGGTCGTTTATATCCTTATGCATCCAGTTTCGTTTTCGTAATAATCACGCTTACATAGAAGAAAGTGTCAACTCAAAGGCGCACTCTTCTTATATAAACAATTGCTCGTGAATGGATAAATTGTTTCAAGTTTTTAAAATAAGAATGTTTATTATCTTGCGACAGCATGGTTCCATGAAACTCACCGATCTCGAGTTGACGCCGGCGCGCATGTTTACGAATTAAAAACATACGATTCCGATTCATAAGCAGACAGGTTCACGTGTCGATCTTCTTCGTTTGCAACGACTAGCGAACAAATGGTTTAAAAAGCCTGTCCCAGAAACATTCCATATAAAAATTTAACGTTTTTAATTGGCTGTTGTGAAATGTTTCCATTAATGTCGATTTTAATGTTTTTGACAAGAATATTTGCGACATTTCCACACTTTCAGTCGATTCGGGTTATAAACGATGAAGTAAATACATATATTACTGTGCATATTACACGCACCCGCATCACTCGCTGGATGAGACCATATACAGAGTATATGGCTCATCCATGTGCCAAGCTTTTGGTGCTGCAATTTACAAGCGCCATTAAATACAAGATTAAAGATCAAGAAACAAATACAATAAGTACACTGTCAGATGTATAATTGTACATATAGTTTTTAATTTCAGTCACGACATAACGGCCAAAACAGGTATTGTAGTTAAGCGTGACCAGGATGGCAATTCGTATAAGAACTGCACCTCCAGGTAATTAAACCAACCGGCCATTATTTTATCACGCGTAAGCATATCAGAAATTAACCGCAGTGTTTCCAGCTAATCAAAGCGCAGATTAATGAATAGCGCATAGTTAAACAGACCTGCATGCATGTTTGTAGCTTTTTTTATAAAATCGAGAGTGCTAAAAACTTAATTAGTTGCGTTTGTTTGTCAAATCCCGGGCAAGCCAGTCCAGGCCTTCATAAAGCCCATCTCCACTAGTTGCACAGCAAGACTGTATATGCCACTGCAATAAAAAGCGAAGAATGCTTCATGTTGCAGTATATGTGAAAATGGATTTCCATATTATCAAAGCTAGAAGTATGAAAAGTTTTAGACATACCCGGTGGCTTCGAAGGTCACTCAGTCCAAGACCTTTTGCGATTTCCCCAGCCGATAATGCATGAGGAAGATCTTGTTTGTTTGCCAAAATCAGAAACGGAGCATCCCGAAGTTCGTCTGCAGTGACCTAAAAGTGTTTTGATTGATCCGACTACCGCTGAACAAAATGCTTCCACATTCGCATAAATTCGCTTACATATGCTTACATGTGTTGAAATGTGCGTGATTACGTGGTGCAGATGTGCTAAGTACGAGTATATAAAAATGATTTATAACTATCTGATAAGTAAATTTTTCATTGTGATGTTGTAATAACAGTTAATGCATGTATTACGCATACCAGTCTGTATAGTTCTTCCTGCGCTTCGGCCATACGCTGCGGATCATTTGAATCCACAACGTAAATTACTGCTTTCGCACTGTGGAAGTAGTGATGCCATAACGGACGCAACCTAAAAACCCCGACGTGATGATTCCACCAGTCCGTTTGTAAACTTGCCATAAAGGTCAGCGAGTCAAAATGGATAGTATACTATACAGTACTCGATTGACTAATAAGCATAATTAGATAGTCGCTCGCGGCCACTGCATATGTTTATATTATTTTTGGTTTATTGACGTATTCTTCTGTTTTGGTAGATAAAAAGCGGAATACAACTACGAAGATTTTTGTGATTATCTGCCACATAGCTGCTGCCCCCGATTTACCTCTCCTGGCCACCGACATCCCACACGGTGAAATTGAGATTCTTGTAAGAAACAGTTTCCACATTGAATCCTACAAAATAATTGCAACCTTGAACATGTACAGCCATATTCACCAGTATTACAATATTTCCGAAAGGTGTCAGCACTTCAAGAATATGTTTGCGCTGTGAGAAAAAATGACACCAGAGGTTTCAGACATTATAATCCTCTAAGACTCTTTAATATGTAATTACCGATTGTGGGAATCGTGCAAACTACTTCTCCCAAGCGAAGTTTGAAAAGAACAGTGGTTTTGCCGGCATTGTCCAGACCAACTATGAAAAAAATTAGAGGTTACTGATTAGTAATGTCAACGAAATGACCTCTCTTCTTTACCCATTAGTATGCTGACTGGATCCATCCTGAACAGCGAATTCCAAACACGAGAAAAGAGCATACCCATTTTGGCAATTTCTTATATATCAGTTACAAAGTAAATAGAAATGTTAGTGGCAGCAAGAGCCAAACTTGGATTAAGGAATATAAAAACTATGAATTTTGCCGGCGTCTACAGCGTACAAGATTTCAAGAACGGGGCAGAAGTGATAATTCCTTATGCATTACGTATTATTAGCTAGTAAGTATACCATCTACTTAAATAAATCGCCCACAGTGTACAACCTGATCTAGAAATAATAGCGTAATAAAACTTGATAACTATGGTATAGATAACTTATGTTGTTGCTGACTTATATATGCGCAGCCTGACAGCAGTCGAGCAATGTGGCTCTTCCACATCACAGTTGACATCACTGGTCGTGCTCTAAAATACACGTGGAGATGGTGATTTGGAAGTTTCTGTGATGAAGGGACTTTAAGGACAAAGAAATACATAGCAAAATGACAGTCACAGACTCACAACATAGTCATAACTATAAGCAATCTCATCTACAATTTATCAACTTTAGTGCAACTTTACGTACGAGTACGAAATATAAATATCTATAATTATTGTGTTCATGTATTGTATGTTATCGATATCAGCTTATCACCTGTACTTCTTCACCACCTTAAAATAATCTGGCTTCGATACTGCACATGTACACGCAATAAGTACTGCACTGTACTATCGATACTGCAAATAGGTAACAGGTAGTTTTTGTTTGTCTAAAATAATTTTGTCGTTTACGTGCTTCAAGAACCTTCTTCATTATTGTAAGTAACTTGTTAGCGCTGTTGTGTCTCTGATCCCGGACTTCCGGTGATCGCTCATGTCAGTTTATTTGGTCATTCGGTTTGGTAGATCTTATGTTAGTCGACGTTGCAACCCCCTTGCATGGCACTGTGAAGACTGATCATCGCAGGACGACAAACTCAAAAAAATCAATTGGAATGATCTCTTTTGCCTAGAGACTCAACGACAGCGTAGGTATATACACCACACTGTGCACTATTTCGGCTCGAATCCCGTGCTTCGTACCGAGAAAATGCATGCCTCGGCTTGTCGTAGCCCTGCCCCAGGCCTTTCTCATTGGTCTCATTTTAAAATGCACCAATCAGAAAGAGAATTTAATTCTCTATCGAATGGTGTATGGCTTATCCAGAGTACCACTACATTGAGCCACTATAAACGTTGTAGACCCAGTCGCACTATACAGAAGTTGCTGTTCTGTTGCATTTATCTTTTGAACTAGGACGATTTACCACAACTTTACCAAATCCACAAATTTGTAAACTCTATCATCTTTCGATTTCATTCAGTTTTGGGATGAAAATCTCCCCGGGAAACTCCGGGTGTTGGAATAAGTGCGAACTGTGAAATCTGGTGTTTTGTACGTTAGGTTCCCTGGCAAACGGCATACTGATAAACTTGCATTCAGCATGTCTGCTTTGCTGAAACTGATAAAACTTGATACATACATTCAAAAATTTTGAGTTGTCTAGCTTGTTACATCTTTTAGAATTTTGGGAAGCCACAGAACATGAGCTAAAATCGTCTCTCACGATGATTAAGACATTAGGGCTACCGCACACGAGTTTCTGTGGCTGGCCCCATGCTTTAAGTATGCAGTGGAGATCGGCTCATATTCGGGCTGGCACGGCTAAAAATGCGGTTCCTCGTAGACGCTATTGTGGGACGTATATTCCCATCATTCCTGCTTTTTGGAAAAGAAATCTTTTTCTTTCAGTTTATTCAAAAACACTAAAAAGTTTTAGATTTTTTTCTCTACAAAACAAGCCTATGTGAAATACGACTGAGGCCATACAGAAAAAGTGGTTTTTCGCTGATAGAGTCTCTACTTTTGCCATTCCTTTATCGGTTTAGGTGGAGAGTGGATTCTAAACCACTTAAAACCTTAAAACTTTTCAGATTTCTCATTGCTGTAGTAGCAACTAGGAAGTACGTATGATCTGATTCTTTATTGTTTTCGGCCATCGAAATATGGAGTGATGATTGCTACCTCTCCTGGATTTAGATCTTGAGTGTGGACGCAAATGCTGTTTATGTTTGAATTGACTTCGAATTCTTTGGTTTTATTGCCATAATCAGAATCTGAAATGGGAAAACGTCAACATCAAAAAGATAAACTGTATTTAACCACAACGGAATGGAGTGGCATTTACGGAGGAAAAGCCGCAGCTTTGGCAGCGCGTCCTGGTTCGAGCTTCGTTGGCAGGTTTCGGAGGTTGCCGTTTTACGCGTGTGCCATATCTCTTCAGCCCTTCGAAAACCCTTACGTGTCTCCCGATGGATTCGTATTCGACCTTGTGTGAGTGGTCTTTGAAGTATTACAAAATTTGAAGAAGGCATCCTTACTGGAACAGTCAGGAAATAAAGTGTTTGTTATTCTTTGATAGAAATATTTTGCCATATTTGAAGAAATACGGAACGCACCCTTGCACTGGTGAGCCTCTGCAAGCCAAGGCTTTGATCAAAGCGAATTATTTCAAAAATTCCGAAGGTAACGAACCATTTCAAACTACACAGCAGCTGCTTGTCGCAATGTGCATGGGCAAATTACTGCTTGTATTATTTGTTCTTCGAGATCAAACGTTGTTAGACTGTTGTTTGTCAAATAAATCAAATAATTTATAATTGTTGTTAGAAATTAAGTTTTGAGGTTGCACTTCTGCAAATAGAGATTTGATACACATGGACAGAATAAAACTATGAATAATGAATGTGAATTTTTGTAATTGAATTAATTATTGTGATTTTTAAACAGGAAAGTATTATTGTCCGGCTACTTATAAACCGTTCAACGAAAATACCCATATTGTCTGCATCAAGCCGACCGGAAATGTATTTTCTTACGAGGTAATTAGCGCTGCACCGCTGCCCACTGCCTAGATATATTTTACTTTACTATTGCAACACATTACTTAATTTTCGCGTGATGAAATATGCTTTTGCAGGCCGTGGAGAATCTCAATATCAAAGCCAAGAATTTCCGCGATCTGATCACAGACGCAGCCTTTCAGAAAAGCGATATTATTTCGCTTCAGGATCCCAGCAACTTGGAAAGGTTGAACATGGAAAGCTTTCACCATATAAAGAACAGTTTGAAGGCCAAACCATTAGGTAATCTTGGCTACATCACTGTGTGTGTGCTTGTGCAGTGATAAACTGTAATGATAATGTGGCCGCGATGGATGTGGTATTTGGTGGAAATCACGACTATGAGTTGTCGACAGAAGAGTCACATTGCGTTGTAATGTTTCACGATGAGATTATGAATTTTATTTTTGTATTGTGTTTTGCATTTTTTGTCAGAGGCCGGTCAAGGGTCCGGAGCAAATCTTAAATCCATCAGTGTCGAAGCAAAAGCCGCTCTGGCCGAGCTGGAGAAAGACTACAAGAAGCCGCAAGACCTTTCTGTAACTGATAGTATGGAATTTTATACTTGGTCGTTTTTATCTAACTGGTGGCTTTTTGTTACAGCTTTTTAGTGACAGTAAAACACCTTTCCGGCCAGCTGCCACCGACAGTGTGAACGCCGCCCATTATTCTACTGGACTGGTAGCGGCTGGATTTACGTCGACTGTTATGGAACCGGTGACGGTACAAACTGCTGGTAAGGGAATTTAAATTCCAAAACATTCTGCTCACGTGTAGGCCGTGTACAGTAGGTAAACGATAAAAAAATGACTCTAGCCAAAATATAGACTGAAACGAACGGTCTTTTAGCAGTTACCGGTCGGGGGAATTTTACTAGTTGTAAAACGCATAAAATGGGCTTTGGAACTTCCATTCCTTGACCTCTGTAAAATTTCAGCCATGCTCGATGAAGACGCCATTCGTTATGATCGCGTGAAAAAGAGGCAGAAGAAGGCGTATGTCCGTTTGATAACCAATTTTGGAGCGCTGAACCTCGAAATTCATGCTGATATGGTACAAAACTTTGTCCGCAGAATATTTTATCGGAATGAATAAGATGTATAATTGTGAATTGCAGGCCACTAAGACCAGCGATAATTTCCTTCGGCATTGCAGAGCGGGTTACTATACAGAAACCATCTTCCATCGTCTGATAAAAAATTTCATGATACAAGGTGGGGATCCCACTGGTACGGGAAAGGGTGGTGCGTCTGCTTTTGAAGGGGGAAAGGAGTTCGAGGATGAATTGAAAACAGGGCTCAAGCACGACGTCAGGGGCATTGTCAGTATGGCTAATTCTGGACCGAATACGAATAAATCACAGTTTTTCATCATCTTCAGGTTGGGCATTGTATTATTCATAGATTTAAACATTTTTTATGGTCTTACTTCCTCTCATGAGCATATATTTACAGGCCGCAGAAACATTTAGATGGCAAGCATTCGGTATTTGGTCGTGTCGTTGGCGGTTTGGACGTTTTGGCCAAATTGGAGCAGATTCCAGTTGATGATACTGACAAGCCTACTCATGTGAGTGCCGAACCTGTTGCACCTCGATTTTCAGATTTCTTTTTTATGCGTAACTATCTGAAAATTGCAGCCTATAAAAATCATCAACATCGAAGTCTTTCAAGATCCTTTTGCGGATGTAGAAAAAGAGATTGCCGAAGAACGAAAACGCAAAGCGGATGCTGTCGCTGCTGAGACTTCGTTTCTTAAAGAAAACCCAGGCAGAAAACTGAGGCTCTTGACGAAAGCGCTTTGCCCAGGTCAAGCGGGCAAGTTGGGAAGTATTTGGCTAATGCAAGAAAAAGGTAAAGCTAACTTTGCTGAACAATCTTTGGGCGGTGTTTTCTGCCGTAGGACGTGGTCTTACACTTGCAGCCAGCATGTGCCGTGTACAAATTTTTGCTGTGTTGATGAGAGCAAAAACTTATAAAAAAATTTTTGTCATGAAGTTCTTTTGATGTGATTATCTCGTTTTATTGCATGTTGTTCATTCTGCCAATTTGCATCACAGGTTACCTCAGGATGATGACACTCCATCTACCAGTACGGAAACGCTTAATAAAAAATCGAAACTTCCCGCAGAAGGTATCAAGTTTAAAGATTTTAGCGCATGGTGACGTGTTGTGAGTTATGAAGAGGATCATGTTTTTGTTCTACGAAATTTGTTTTGAAACTGTTATGCACTACGTAGAATGAATATTATTAGTTTTGAGTCTTGACTGTTGGTGCGCGGAGTATTGGGTGCTTTACTTTGATACAATGAACGATACAAAGGAATAACACTTTCTGGTAAATAGCGCAGCGAAGCAGTCAACAAATATACTAAAAGCTGTTAATTGCTATCGAAATCTGTAAATCCGCAGTAAATAAATGAATTCAGCAACTAGATGAACCGAGAAGTTCACGACCATGGCTCGATGCCAACATTACTACAATACACTTCTGCAATGCTACTGCATCATCAAATCAAGCAAGCAACGTATTAAACTACCGCATAGCTGCATCAGAATGTATTCGAGTTGATGACAATTAATGACGGAATATTGCTGAACCAAAAGACTGGCGTGTAAAATCATGCAAAAAGGAAAGGCAAACATCCAGTGCTAAGAGGAAACTTTATCCTAGCACTTTCATAGGACTTCTCCAGTTTGCGCTGATTTTATTTACCTACAACGAACCAATTTTCAAAGATGGAAAACTCCCCGTCAAGGTGAAGCTTCAAATGTTTTCTCTTTACCAGTCAATCGAGACAGCAACCTCCAAAATTTCAAACGCAGGATTAGCGAGGCGGAATTCGACGGTCGCCGGACTGCTTGGTGTCCACTTCATTATCGGCATCTTCCAGTGCTTCTTCTATGGCCTTCATGACCTTGTGAAGTTTGTCGGTGGAGTCGCAAAACCCATCGCCGTTCTGTAATTTGGAAAAAATGATGTGCGAAACAGATAAACCACTCCCCACAAAATGCAGCCTCATCGTTCATTCAGCAAGCAAGTGTTAGTCAGCAACTATTTATGCATGTCATTTGTGTTATTCTTCCGATGCATCGAGGCTGACTGAGCGAATGTCGTTTCACATGTCCTAGTTGCTGCTTCCCCTTTATAAGCAACGGCAAGAAGAAAAATACGTATCGCTTACAATTTTGGAATGGCATAAGCGTCCGTTCACTTCGACTTCGAATTTGCCGGTCCGGGTTGGCGTCGCGGAGCCTCTCTACGTATACCAAAACACAAAAAGAAAGAAGGATTTCGCGGGTAGTTGTGTGCATTTCCAGAATAACAATTCTGACAAATCGTCATCATAATCAACAGAGGATGTAAAATTTTAAACGTGCCATGTCCGTTGTACACGATTAACATATCCACAATTTATTTAAAAGTTAATGCAATTACTGTATAATGCTCCTAATTTACGGCTTACCACTTCAATTTCATCCTTGTACCGTTTCCGAAGTTCCGCTTCGAATGCACGGAACTGTAATACACATCAGAAAAAGGGAGAGGTATAGTTATCCAATTACATGCTTCTACAGTTTTCTTAAATTATACAATGCATATGATGATATGATCCATCACAAGTCACAAGTCATCACAGGCGATGCTCGGTATGAAAGTTAATCAGCAGTAGTTATCGCTACGCTGCTACAGCACTGAAGTAATAAGGCTCCACAAATAACGGAAATACGTACCCTGGATCCATACCCTCACGCACCGCTGAAAAAAACCAATAATCATGGTCACTGTTTCTCAGAATCAAAACAATACAGCTGTAAGTCGGACCGGGCAATCCCCATGTGGCCATGTTTAGCACAAATGAAGAAATAATAACTTATTCTCTCCAGTTTCCAACTTAAGAAGAAATCATCAACTCCAAATAATGTGACAGTTCTACAGCCGTATCATTTGGATTGGCAACACTTACTCCATAATTATGTCAAGTTATCAAATATGCTTATAATTTGAAAAATTCTGCTCATACCACTTACCAGTAAACCACGCTAACCAAAACTTTTCCGCTTTTAGCAGACATGATGTATGCGAGCACTCTGAGCAGGGGGCGAAAACGTAAAAACAGTCAGCTCAACTTTCTAGGTTCTTAAAACGTTCAATGTATTTCAGAAGCACGTAAAAATTAATAAAAACTAAATTGTTTGGATACTCGTATAGCCGTAAAAGCTGATGAAAATTAAAACTGTGAGTAAATGAGTTTAATAGGAAAGGAAAAGCTTTTGAAGTCTTGGATCTTGATCACAGTACCAGGACCTACTGTATACAGTAGGTCCTGACAGTGCTTTAATACTGTACAGTGTACGCAGAGTCACGGACGCACCTTTGGGGCTTTCCAGTAGCGGGCCCATGATGCTAGGGTTGCACGAGTAGAAGAATATGCCTCGCCACTCCACGAAAGGAACATTTGCCAACAAATTCTTTGCTTGCATCATTCTGTTGTTAAGTTGTAATGGACAGTTGTTTTTCTTGGTTATTAGCTTTATTGTTTAAATGTTTCGTTTAAGTGTGTACGGGTGATTTTACAATTCGTCTAACAGTAGTACCGCATATTGCGTTCGTACGTAAAGGTTGATCTGTCACTGTTAGTGGGAACCGAACATTCCTGTGGGATATCTTTGGAAATATTGGCTACGGTGCAGGCTGCATCATGCCGGTACTTCGCCAAAACCTTGTAAGACTGTGTTTTTTCTGTACATCGCGCTCACTCAGGACATCAACTGTCTTGTCCGCTCGAGGAATGCGCCCACGAAATACGAATCAGTTCGACGAAGGTGACTTCGTCCCAGAATTCTCGCAACCGTCCCGAAGCAGTTTCGCCGAAACCCGTCCCCAGCGAGCCTTTGATATGGGCAGATTCACCGATGCAGTGCGTGGGGACTTGCGTACGGACGAGGAGCAAAGACATTTTAAGGAACAGAAGCCGATCTGGTTAAAAGCGCAGCAAACGAATGATCGGCGCAGACAAGAACCAGTGGATATGGAGGACGAACCCGAAATTGATTGGCCAGAGGATCCCAGAAAGGGAAAACTAGTTGACAAGCCACTTAAAGAAGAGCGCAAGAAAAAGATCCATAAAGCTGTTTATCGACCCCGCGAAGATGTTGAAGAAGAAGAAGAAGACGGAACAACAGCGAGAATGCAAAGTGGTTTTTCAGGCGGTTCCATGAGACAAGTAACCAGGCCGTTCAAAACTTCGGAATGGAATGACAACGTGAAACCGCCTCCGGAATTGGACAGAAATTTCAACAGGAAGCAGATGAGTAGAGGCAGGGCAGAGGAAAATGATGCGTTTGATGAGAATGATAATCTGCACTATAAAGGCAAATCAGCGAATCACAGGAAGTTTAATAATCGGGTGGAGTATGGTGAAGTTACGCAGCGCAGTTCTCCACGTGAGCGCTCCGATACCATAGGCATGACCAAGGAAGAATATCTCTTCACTAAGCGCAATAAACAGTTCAACGATTATCAGCCAAGTAGGGATGAACACATGGAAAATGAATTGGAGTATGACAAATCTCAGCAGAAAAAGAAACGCCATGGATCATCTGGACCAAGAACGCCTGCAGCTGAGCGGGAAGATGGAACAGATGATGGTGCGCGTTTCAGTCAAGATCCCAATGCGGAGAAGGCTGCAGGTTCTGATCGACCGATGCCTGCACTGCGGGGGGTGAAGGACAACGATAAAGTGTTTAAAAACGCAGTTATTCAAACGAGAAATCGCAAGAACAGGATGAAGAATCGCAAAATCCTCTTGGAAGGCGTGCGTCTCATTAACGACGCTCTGGACGCGGGTCTGAAGGTGCACACGGTCTTTGCGTGCAGCCCGGAACTGGTGCGCCGACTCTCGAAGGATGCACTGAAGATGTCACAGCCAGAGCAGCTGCAGGTCAGTCAGAAACAGATGTCGTTGTGGTCGGAAATGGTCACACCGCCGGGTATCATGGCCATTGCTGACATGCCGGATACCGACAATATGGAGCGCATCGATTCAATGCCCTTGACAGTTGTGCTGGATAACATTCGCGATCCCGGGAATATGGGAGCGGTTATCCGTGTATTGGCAGGTATATTAAGATTAACGAAAAACAGTTCATGGTTCGGAGCAGTAAGAACAACGTTTTTCGTACTACGAATTTGTGTTTTTGAATTACTGTAGAGACTTAGTAGGGTGAGTGATTATTTTGTTTAAGCAGAAGTGTTGTTTGTCTTCTTAAGTGTTCTGTAATAATTATGCAATACACAGTTAGCTGTGCAGCTGTACTGTAGGTATGGCCTATAATAACGCGAAAGGTCAATTAATACTTAATTTGTGGATTCATCGTTAGCAGCTTCCAGATTAAGAAAATGTGAGAACAATATATAAGTAACTCGTCTTTCCACAGGCGCCGGTTGTGAACAGCTGATCGCGACGGAAAACTGTACGGATCCATGGGATTCAAAAGTTCTAAGAGCCGGCAGCGGTGGACATTTTCATATGCCTATCCAGTATAATGTACCATGGAACATGGTTGCCAATTACCTGGAAGATAACGCAACAGTCTTCCTCGCCGACAACGTGGAAAGCGCTTCTTCGGATTCATTTGGTGCGACTGACGGCTCACGAACATCCCGGCGTAAGGATGTTGAGGTTGATTTGGACACAGCAGCGTACCATCAGGTGGATATGGCCGGTGGCAGTGTCGTATTAATAATCGGAGGAGAAACGCACGGAATAAGCCAAGAAGCTCGTGCCCTGATGCAAGCACGAGAGGGTGTCCGGTTAGTTATTCCGATGGGGAACAAGATAGAGAGTCTCAATGCCGCGTCAGCCGTCGCAGTGTTGGCGTTTGAAATGAAGCGACAGCGTCTGTTAAGAGGCGTGGACGATGACGAAGTTTCGCAGTCGGAAGGCCATCGAACAGCTTAAATTTCGTTGCGAATAATAATATTACCGGGCAGTTAATGAAATATTGCGTTAATGTAAATTGTAGCATTTTTGCATTTACATGTTTACTAAAATATGCAGTGGTTGTTATGTAGCAAAACCCAGCTGGTATGCCATGCAGTTGCCGTGAAATACAGTGATGTTTGTAAACTTGACTAAATCAGTATCGAATTCTTTGATTCGTGAAGAAGACAGAATAATTGCTGATCAGTTACTTTCTCTTAGTTTGTGGATTCCATCTTCCACCATCCAAAAAATGAGACACCGCATGCGAAAAAAAATCTTGTGTGAGATAATACAGGTGAATTCGATTCGTTTTTCAGTGTCTTATCTCCAATGATCTATTCCGACGGTAGTTTAGCCTGTCTTGATACAGGATGCAAAACGTGAAGAACTTGTTGTGCATCAAAGAATACTGTACAGCAATGGAAATGCCACAGTGCACATGCTGTAAGATCGATGTCCATTATGAGCCATGATGACTGACCAAAGCAAACTAATAAACTTACGTAATATGCATTTTGCCTTTGTTGCCAACATTTATTGTTGAAGTTCTTCAAAGCTTTTCACTTTAAAGTCAGACAACGCACGCGATTACCCTATTCCGAAGAAAACAAAAGTTAAAAAATCTTGCGAAATGCATGGGCGTATCCTATCCCAAATGGCAGACGGATCTGGAAGCCAATAAGAGATTAGACGCAGGTGCAGTTCAATACCGCAAACTTGTTGCCGGCAACTTGCCGGTAGTACTGTAGGCCGTAGCTTAATCTCCGTCGTCGAAGTCAGTATTCTTTTGCGATGCCTAGCCAGTGCTTATCGAAGTGTCTGAACATTAAATTTGCCAGACACGGAATTAACCTTCATTTGCAGTACCAAACGAAACCGCTTGCAGTTTTTAATTTTCAATTGAAATGTTTCCTGGTTCAGTGTTGTATTAGTTTCACACCATTCAATATGCTAGTGCGCCGATGTGCATGAAATTGTACTGAAATTAACGTAAGTACATCTGTCCGGTGCAATGGCGCCGATTCCCGTTACGACAGATGCCTCTTCCATCTCGGTGTTCAACAATCCTGGACACCTGACGCTAGTTTCCGCCACGGCAAAGGATGCAGAGACTGGGACCGTTACGTTTTCCTACAGCAATCAAGGAGTTCCAGGTTGGTACTTATACTTCCTTAAAGCGATAGATCGTTATAGTTAACAGTTAACCCTATTTTAGTGTTCGCTTTATGATCGAGCGACATCCATATATCTGTACATATATAAATGATACATTATTTAAAAATGGCTGAACGCAAACCGTTGCTACAGTTTTACGGGGCGTATCTCTACACTGACAATTTGCGAAATTTTCTAGACAACCTTTGCACCTTAATTATTTCGTTGCGTCCGACATCCAGTGGGCAGCGGTCCGGTTCAGTGCAATATTCCGTTGAACTTCACGATGTCGCGGTTGTAAGTACAGCGCGAATACTATACTGTATAATGATATGAACGTAATAGAGCAGACTTCAGATCAGATGAGGATACAGACGGCTACTGCAGACAGTCGATGCCAACCGGAAGTGTCCTTCCGCATATTTACTGTAGATTTAAGGAGTAGTATAATTATAACAATAAATTCTGCAGTATTTCATTGTCATGCCACGAACGGTAAGCACTAAAAATGTTTCTCATATTCATCTTTTTAAACCGAAACATCGGCTAAAAAATGTTGCGGCTGATTGTCAGACGTGAATTTTTCCTAATATGAATTCTTGTAATTATTCTTTAATATTTGTGGCCATTTGTAGCGTCAGCTTCTTCTCGAACAATCCGATCCCATAAAATCGTTTTTACAAAAACTTTTATTGTTAGTTTTCGTGAATTGATTAAGTATGGTGTGGTGTGGATAAGAGCGCGCGATGGTGAGCACAACTCATTTTAATGCATGCAGAGTGCAAAAATCTATCAAGCAGAGTGTTACGAGTACATTAGTATTTATTCGAGTAGTTCCGCAGTACCGGTTTTTTTACTGTAGTATTTGAAATTTTGCATTTGTAAGAAAAACGCAGCATGTAACGCGCAATGCCAGGCTGCATAATTTATGCGATATCTGTGTGGCTTCGACGGATTATTGGATTCTTTTTGTTGGCAGGAAACGAACACCATTAAGAAACCCATGGTGATAACGTTCAGTAAATCGGAATTACTATTGGGTGAAACCTACGAAGTAGCTGTGGAAGGTCAGGACTGTAATTTCAACTGGGAGCGGATCCCTCTCGGCAGCAGCTATCTGATCACCATCCCCACCTGCTTGCAGACCACGAACAATAACTTGATGCTTTGCGGTATGAGCCGGATTTGGACAAGTTCCAACTTTGCAGTTTGCACTTGCTGCCCTCGATCTTGTCTTTCTTCCTTCCTTGCGTTAGTTTTGGCTTATTTTTGGTCATACATATTACAATTCTGTTACTGGTTAGGTGCTTGATTGATTGTTATAGGTAACTCATTTAAATATTAGGAATATTTTGCAATATGATAAAACTTCTCCGACATGCCGGCACTCTTGCGTCAATGAAACTGTCTGTTGTCCACTTGAGTATCTTTGCACCGGTGTATGATACGGTTTCGGGTTCTAGTTCCGCCGGCTCCAACAAATATCAGATGGAATTTAACTTTACTGGATGATGTCCGCTGTTTATCTTCTGCGGCTATTCAGTGGGATCGACCGGCAGTCTTGAATAATACTGAGCACGACAATTCGCCGCATTTGCCCAACTTCCGTTATGACGTCACTTGGAGCAAGAAGTTTATGTTCGATATGTCGCTCAGTGATTACTCTCCACTGGAGGGCAGCTTGTTGAATGTCACCCAAGTACTGTAGCTTGAAATCATCCTTTTAATATTCGTTTACGGATTTTGTGGAATTTCGTTTTAGGAGCAGACTGATGTGGATGCTTTGACAAGTGGCACTTATGACATCAAAATCTGTGCACGCGGTCCAGCTGGATGCAGCCGATCCGCAGAGAGTTGGATTACAGTTTCCGGTTAGTGCTCGATGTACCGATCAGTAAATTAAGAATACCGGCACGGATACGATAACTCTGTTTTGTTGATAGGCTGTCATAATGCGACGCATCATTCGGACAACAATAATTTCGTTCTCCCATCTGTGAACACTACTATGCTGTCCACAACAAGTGCAGCTCTTCCACAGTCTGTCTCGACATACAGCGGTTTTTATGGGATATTTGGGGGACTCGTGGGAGCACTGCTGATTGCGTTTGTTGTGCTTTATATGGTTATCTATCGACGTAAACCGTTTGTGTGCGCCAAGAAGCACCTTGCCAAATGCCGCACCAACAAGGTAAAATTCTGCTAGCATGAAAATATTGTAAAAAGGCGGTATTTATCTTCAGCATATTCTGCAAAAATGAGCTGTGAACTATCGTTTGACAGGCCGCTGGTCAACTGCTACCACTGTGTCGGGGATTCGATAATTTGCTGTATCTGGAGAACGCACAGAATACGTTCGGCGTGCAGAATGACATCTATCTCCATACTTCCAAAGAAGACATTCCCCTTGAAAGCCTTCAGCCCAGAATGATTCGCGAAATTGGAACTGGAGAATTTGGCGTTGTCCAAGAAATCTCCATTCGACTGCCGTCATCCGACAAGGAAACGCATGTGGCTCTTAAAACCATGAGAAGTAAGCACCGCTGGCGTTTTGCCAATTCCGTTTGCTTGATATCGGCTTTTTAAAAAGAAATAATTAATAAACAGAAATAAATCATATTATGTTTGTATTAACAAACTAAGCAACATTGGCAAATCCTGTCACGAATGTAAGAATGCACGGGTACACGATGGTAGGCCTGCAAAGGTCACGCATTTCTTTTAGGAAACATTTGGTTAACAACCTGAGTATTTCTTTTGGTATGGTTGGTATGTGCTGTGAATTTTAGCCTTTGTTGAAAGGTTAAAAATTTGTCATTTTAAAACTTCTTTAAATACGGATATGCTGTAATAACTATGCCCAAAAAGCACAAAATTGTTAAAGCGGAGTTGTATACAGAAGTATTTACTTTGCGAGAACAAAAGCCATAGTAGATGACAGCTTCTTGTATAAGTTGTACATGATCAACTCCTATCTTAATTCTTATCGAGTACTTGTATTTGATAATTTTTAGATTCAATGGTGGAATCTGAACGAAACTCCCTCGTCCAGGAAATTCAGACCTTGAGATCCGTTCCCACCCACAAGAACGTCGTGGCAGTGGTTGCCAGCTTGATAAACAATCAGCAGGTGTATCTATTGATGGAATTGTGTTGTTACGATCTGCGCACGCTAGCTAAAAGGCGCCGATTCACTTACGACAATGAATTTGCTGTGCATCGCGAATTTCTTGGCTATGCGATTGGTGCGGCGGAAGGCATGGACCATTTGTACCGCTACAAAATAATTCACCGGGATTTGGCTGCGCGTAATATTCTGGTGACGGCGGATGGTGTGGCCAAGATATCGGACTTTGGTCTGTCACGGACGATGCAGAACCGGGATTATTACCGCCAAATTTCCCATGGTAAAGTTCCTTGGAAATGGTTGGCTCCAGAATCACTGGAAAGCTGGTGTTACTCGACGTGGTCTGATGTGTGGGCGTTTGGTATAACCATGTGGGAACTGTTTTCTTTCGGAGACGCTCCGTATCGTGACATCAGTAGCATCGATATCCTGTTTCATCGTTTGAAGAACGAGCGTTACGTTATGGCGAAACCGCAGATTTGTCCGGAAAATGTGTAAGTTAAAGTACTTAAACTCAGTAACTCACTTGATGTTTCTCTAAACGCTTCGCGCTGGCTTGTACTATGTTCTACATAAATATCCGCCGTTGTTATTATATGTACTGCCTGATTCACATTTAAGCCTTTTAAATTCTGATGTTAGGTACTGACTTCTGGGGCGTACACTGTACAGCTGTATAACTTCCAAATTTGGACCTAACAATAACCACTTGTATTTTAAGATTACTTAATCATTGGTAGGAAAACCACGGCACGTAGGCATCACAACATTTCACGTAATACAGCTGCATTTTAGCGGAGTTTGTTTTGCAGGTACGAGATCATGCTCGCCTGCTGGAATGTTGACCCGAAATGCCGTCCAGGTTTTGCTGCACTCCTGCAGCGTTTGTCAGCTGTTGTGGAATGTTTGCCGTTTTAACTCTAGCTACTTTCCGACTTCGCATTTTGCATGGTTTTATTTTGTCGTCTTGCAGTTTGGATGTAATCACTTTTCCATTGTCCACCACCACTGCCGATTTTTACGTTTTATTGTGTAATGGCCAGCTCATTGGTTTTGCCTATCATATCGCATATACAGTACTTTTTGGGTTCATTTTACCGTATCTCTTTGTCTTTATTTAACAGTATTTGAAAAGCGACTTGTTGCTGCATAATGATTGTTGCTTCTAATGGCCGCGATACATATACACGATATACTCAGTAAGTATTCGTATAATAAATCATTAATTTAACGACTGATGGTGCGGATACTTAGTGAAGGGAGCATTCGACCGTCGACGTATGAGTACTTTTAACAACGAAAAATTTCACTCAAGGTTTCTGAAATTCCGTGACTTGAATAAAAAATTAGACAACCAGAGGAGGCAAGCGATTGTACTCGTACTTAAAACGACAGCGTACACCAACAGCGAGGAAGAGCAATGATTGTATTCAGACAAAAACACTACCGACACCCCTTTTGTGTAAAAACATTTTTTTACCAAAGAACAACGAAGGTACTTAAGCGTACTAAGAATCAATCTATGTTTAGGAAAAGCTGCCTGCTGGTTAGCAGTGCTGACTGGATTTGAGGAATTCTTTTGTCCTTCCCGCTTTCCGCAGTGACGTAATATGATACATATCGCAGGCTTCATGCTCACTGTTGTCGGTAGTGTGGTGAAATGAGTCAAATGACACAAGTCACACAACCAATTGTTTCGCAGATTGAGTCCTGTAACCAGTTCGTAGATCCACTTTCCTTTTCGTATTTGCTTTTTTTTCGAAAAGTTTTCCGATTTGAATTTAACAGAATTGATATCACTTTTGGGTTGGCAACTTGGCAGTGACTTGTTCGTTTTTCACGGCCGCCACCAGGAAAATCAGCAGCACGCGGCAACACGGAAGGAAGCTTTGGCATGAACAGCAAAGAGCTGTTTGAATGTTCCAATTGCCATCTTCAGGAGAAATTTGAAACTTTTGGCAAAGATCCTAACCCAAAGTGGGGCACTCTTGAATACAAAGAAGACCTGTATTTCTTGAGAAATCCTTTCCTTCCGCCCAACTTACGGCTCCAGGATGCTAGCCAGCCTTTTTTGATTTTGGGTGGTGTTTGCAGTTTTTGTGGACGCGACATCTGCCTCGATCCTGATTGCAGCATTTATTACGGCAAACGTTTCTGCTTTCCCTGCGCCAAATTACACCAAACAGAACTTCCAGCCCAGCTGCTTGCTGAGATTGATAAGCGGCTAGAACGATCAAAAGCGGAGAACTAACTCGACGACACCAAGACAGTTGAAGTGATTATTATTATTTTAAAGTATTATTATTATTCATTGTTGGTACGAGTATCTCCGGCCTGTTTGGATATCTCTCGGAGTGAAATTTGCAATCAGCAATGGATAAACTAACGACGGATGAACTGCTGAAGAGTTTGTTTGATGTGGAAAAGCTAGGAGATGAAATCATCGCAGATCGCCACCGCATCGTGGACATGGACCGTATTCGGAATAAGAACCGAGAAGCTCTTGGGTGAGTGATGCCGATGCGTCGTGGCCCCGCTTTAAACGCGTGTCACTGCACTGACTGCAGTTGCTGGATTCAGTTATTTGAATCTGTGTAGTGATCGTGTGGCTGATTATTGAAGGCAGTTAAAGCGCCCCAGTGAACTGACATCTAGAGAGCAACATGTGTGGATGAATATTGGAGATATGTTCATCAGGACCAGCAAAACAAACCTGGTGACAATCCTCGAAGAAGGTACTTACTGAAAGCCTAAAGAAAGCAGAGCTTGTTTTTAAAGATCCCATAATAACAATCATGCGTTTTTCATTCCGTTCGTCTACGGTTTACTAATCGATGCAGAAGTTGATAGTATTTATTACATAAAGTAGTTACTGTTAAGTACTTAACTTTATTAATAGAAGTATTTGTAATTTTATTAGCAACAATATTTTGTAAGCGCTTAATAACAGCAAGAGAATTATACTGCATGGATACGAGCACAAATTTTCAATTGGAGACTGATAAGTTAACATATATTGGGTCTTTGTAGATCAGAAATATCTGGACTCTGAAATTAGTACGATTCGAACGAAACTGAAGCCGAAAGTATTTGAAATAAGCAGGTCACTTGGTAAACCCGAGATGAAGGGATTTGATTTGCAACCCCTCACGAAGGAAGAAATGGATGGCGTTCGACAAATCGCAGGCCTACCGCCTACTTGATAATTGCCTTCTTAAAATGTGAACAGCGAAACTGCTGTAGCATTGTGCCTGTGTCTTTGTTTTCCAGAAATTAAATATATTTTCTTTATGATGTTTTATGGCTTAAATGTACTAAAGCACAACCATGAAATGTTGTACCGGGTCCGGGTGATTTTTAAAGAGCCAAGCGAAACAAAATTACAAAAGCTATCTCTTGAATCCTTGATATTTGTCGTTTGCAAAACAGCCGTGGTTGAAGTGGTGACAACAACAAGAAGCAAGCGGATGTTTCAACGTGCTGCCGTGCACCCAGCTGGCTTTTACAAGTCATGTAAATTTACAAGTGGATCATCGCAATAATAGCGATCGGTTCTTTTAATTTTCAGTACTGTAGTCAATACATTAGTGGACCGCTGGACAATCAGTCGTAAGTATGTCCGCACAACAGTTCATTCTTCCATTGGGATAGCTTGCTCAATATCTCGACTTTTTGCGTTAATCAATTCGCGGCGAATTTCCGGTGAGAGCTGATAATGGTACTGATGGCTGGTCAATTCTATTAGTCCTTCCTTCTGCTCACTGGCCAAATCTTCTTTATAGCGCTGCACAAAAGTCAGAAGGCTTTGGTGCCAAAGGACAGGCAACTTTCGTTTCTCACTCATGAATCTGGAAGTGAAATAAGCTCGATGAAACGATTAAATTCGTTTGCAAGACAATTTGTGCTTTTGAAAGCATGTATGCAATTGCCTGATAAAGTGGTACACCGTAGCATCAATAACTGGGCAAGGAAGTGCATATTTTTTATCCAGTAAAGTCCGGAGGAAAACGCTGTTGGCACCGGTATAATTCATTTCGGCGATTTTCATTATTGCAGCAGCAGAGTGTAACATGGGAATGGAATTTTTCGCCATCACGCTGCTAACAATCACGGCTTCTCGAAGAGTGCAGGTCCCACTCTGGACAACAAACGTTTGTCACCCAGATAACCAAAAAGTATCAAGCAAGCAATTTAGGTACTGTAATCGCTACCTCACAGAGTGGTAACAAAAATCCTTTGAAAAATGCTCCCGGTTTGAATAAAGACTTTCGAAGTGCTTGATACAGATGGAAATTTAAGCGTTTGTACTCAGCGATATCATCCCGTATCCGAGGAAGCAAAACCAAAAAATAAAACCTAAAAACAATTATAAACAGTGCAAATACAGCAAATGCAAAACACTATAATTATGATCACTAAAGGTAGTGCTAATTATTTCCCCATTTTCGCTGTGCGTAACTTTTTCACCTACCTCTGGGCGAGTCGATCTTTCAAATTCGAAGCGAATAATCGAGTGGCTTGAAACATAGCAGCAGCTGACCAATTTTCAGGTTCTGTCACGTATAGAACCTAAAAACAAGCGCGTCAGTATTCAGTTGTCAGCAGAAAGCAATGCGTGACTTCCCAACCGAAGCAGTCACTTCGATATTTAACATCTCATGATGCTTAATCGCAAAATTTAATATTTAATGTTGCTTAATCAGAAGATCTTCCTTAATAACAAAACACAAAGTTGCATTATCCTTTTAGTCTATATTAACTTGAACTCGCTGCTCCTGAAATGAGATGTTGTGCAACCGTAAGTAACAAACCTGTTCCCAATTCGGCATTTTCGGAATAACTTTAAATGCTTTAGGCAATTTTCCGCTGCGATACTTCTTGAGAACATCTCGCACTCCTTGGTACAGTTCGATCAGTTCCGGATGCAGTTTCTGCACAATCAAGCTGGCTGGTTCTGATACGGCTGTTTCCAGTTCAGTTTTTTTCTCGGATAGCCTCCCGCGCAAGATCTCCTGGAGGGATTTCCGCGCAGGCGCATCTTTGGTCATGAACATCTCCAAAGCCTGCTCATCCTCCTCTGAGATATTCTATCAAATACGAGTAACTCAGGGTAACGCGCAGTGTCGCACGAAAGAAGCAGAATCCGTACAATGGGCTCGTAGAATTCATTGGCATCCTCGCCGGGTTCCTCCTGGTCCTCGTATATATCTCCCTCAGCATCAGAGCCAGCTTTGCCCGCTGTTGACGGCTTAAAACTACAATCATCCTGCAGGTTACATCGGAACCCACTCTCCCTAAATCGATCAATGTTTCAAAGCCAACAGCGTTTTTCTTACATGGCTGAAGAGGTTTTCGGGGCAGGTTCCAGTCCGACAGTCTCTTCCAGCTCTTCCTGTTGCTCACGAGCCTGACGAAGGATCTTTTCCGACAGATTACTTTCAACATACTACGAAGAAAGATGCCATGGGTATAATGAAACAAAATGATGCAAGATGAATCAACCTTCTCGTGAACATCATGGCGCTTGCGTTCTTTGGTGCGAGTTGTTGGTTTCGCAGTTTCATCTTGGATAATCTGATGGGTCAGGGACTGATCCTTCGTGCGCTGCTGCTTAGACAACTTCAGCCTCTTAATTTTACCCATTTTCACGCAAAACGTTTTTGTTAAATTCGAGTAAAAGAAACGAAATATAATGAACAGCGTTCCCTTCGAAGTGAAGCTTCGTTTACTGAAAATCACAAAACTATTCCGAAAAACGGAAAAAGTTTCATCTGACTTGTGCTAAGGCTGTGTGTCGCAGACTCACAGGCCTCCTAGTCAAAATGCAACTGACTGTCTCCTCATGGGTGTTCAGTAGGTGCCTAGATTTTTTATCGTTAAATTCGTATTTTTCTGATTTTCCTGCTTCCAGGCTGTTTTCTCGCAGTTCGCATTGGGCGCAAAGTAATTTTTTGTAAAGGAATTTTTTTTAAATATTTTATTTGTGTTAGATTTTAGAAGAACCTTTCTTTTCCGATGTTCAGACCTGCTGCATGCTGGACCATCTGTCAGTCCGCACAGCAGGAAGGCGATGTGTTTACAATTTACTTACTGCATATTCAGCAGGTTTTATTTTACGACTTTGCTGAGCCATCAGCAGCTGCCATAAGACAAGCTGCTGTCATTTTCGTTTTCTCGAAAACCCATTGATTCAAAGATGGATGTCAGCTCGCTGGACCCGATAGGGATTTTTTTGGCCATTTCAGGAGCCAAAGGAGAAAAACTACTTTTTCGCTACCCGTTTGAGCTTACGGAGAAGCGGAAGGTGCCTCGTGGAACTAATCCGTACTCGCTGATAATAACCGAAGATGCTCAAAATCGTCCCTCGCAAGCCGAGGCGGATGATGCTAACAGGAAATCACACCGATCCTCCTCGCTGATTGATGAGCTGAGCATTGGTGCTTCAGGCACCTCTAGTGGAAGACAGCGCTTGAAACTGTTCGAGGACAAGATCTTAGGCAATGTCTTCAGTGTCCGCAATACGATGTGCAACCGGAAGTTCGAATGCAAAATCGATGATGTAACTTTTGTCGGACATCCTCAACTTGTCCAGACTGCTCATGTGGTGAAAAAGGTAGGGAGCTTATTTTCAGATACAACCCGAATTGCAAAGCATTTCACGTAATATTACTGGAAGTACGCCGGAAGCAAGTACAATCATTATGTTGACTCTTGTTTTGGGCTTTTTATTACAGTAATGAGTGAGTAATCATGCAGAAATTTACGCTGCAGTCTGTACAGATATAGTGCATGATTTGGTCGAGCTGTGGTCAAGAGCTGCTTCTGTCATTTGTTAAGTAAAATTTTTTTAAATTTGAACTCTGTGTTGAATTATTAAGCCTCTTTTTGCCGCTATACAGTGCCCAGTTCAAAATAACTTCAAATTATAAAACAAGGTGATGTTTTGCCGTATTGTTGTAGTTGACTGCAAATTGTCTCGTTAGCACCAATTAGCTGATGTTCTGTAAAAATTAAAGTTAAGATTATTTGCAGACACCTTCCTCCGACAAATGCCAGAATGAATACGCGCCGCCCCGCACTGCTCTTTCAGCGGTTCCTTCGTCTTCCCTCCATATGTTCCACATTTTGTTTGCCCTCTCTGGTGAACAAATTACCCAGTTCGTGGTCGACAGCTATCATCGTTTAGCGCAGAAATTAGCCATTGCCATCAATCATGAAGAGAGCCGCGAAGGATACCTCAACAAGATGGTGAAACAGATGATCGCGCTGCTGGACATGCACCAGAGCATCGACTCCGATTCGCAGAAAACGGATAAGACCAATCCTTTTGTGATCGTCCTGGAGAAAAATCTTCTGGCCAAGACATTGAAGCAGGTATTTGACGAGATTGTGCGAAGAGGGACTATTAATGTGCGAATAAATGACTGGGTCCAAGTCAGCTTTTGTTTGCTGCCAAAAATCCATCGCAATTTGGAATTGACGGATGAGGCTATCCGAGAACAGGTGGGAATTTTTTGCTTGCCTGGCAGATGAGATACTTTTGGAATTAACTGTACTGTGGTACACAATACACATGAATCTTTTATCACAAATTGGTTAAAGTAAAGCACTTTTCAAGATAAAAAATTTCGAGCAGAGATTTAGCATTCTTGCTTGAAATCGGTATTGATTTCTGCAGTTGCGTTCGGGCATCATTCTGATTTCTGAAATTTGGTGTTCCCTGCTAACACCTTGCTGAACATTACAGATTACAAAAATGCGTCCATATCATGGATTGTTGCTTTTGGAATCGGAACAGGATATTTTTGCTGACCTGCCCATTGATGCATCTCCGAGCCTTGTGCGTTTTATCCGGATTATTTCACCTTTAAGCAATTTCCAGTTGCTTGCAATGGAAGCCGGTGTCACATTGTCGCAGGTGTATGCCATGGCCGGTCACTTGATTTACTGGGCGAAAGCGCGTTTGATTTTTCCGGTGTGCGAGAATAATGTCTATGCGCTCGCTCCCGACGCATCAACTAAAGTCATCTCGGACACTTGTGATGAATTCGCACAGAAATTTCCCGGTATGAATTTGATTGAAATACTTTCGGATTTTTCTTTGCCATTGCCGTTAAGGGATATGATCAATCCTTTCACGGAGAATATGGATACTGGAAAGCTGACGCAGATTGTCATCTGGTGCTTGAAGCGAAATCTGTTGATACAGCTGCACACATACGTTTATTTGATCCCCAACTCGGTAGACAATTTGCGACATCTTCAGATGGAAGGGCTGAATTGGTTAACTATGCCCCATGATGTAAAGAAAAAGGTCACGGCTATCCCGGTGGCGGGAAATGAGAACCATCACAACCAGGATCTGGCAGTTTTTATAAAGCTGTTGCCGTATTTTCGCGGAAATGCCCACTTAGAGGAAATGATGTTCAATGCCAACATTAAACGATCTCAGCTTATGACCATTTTGGATAAATTTCGCGATGTCCTGATTACCGTTGTACACGAGGATCCCAGTCTTCCTCCCGCTCTGGCATGTACAGTGGGAAGTCACTCTCTTAATGCGCGTCGTCATTTTTCGGTGTCGGTTAGTGCACACAGTATCGCGCAGTCGTGATTTTTGGTATATTTGTTTGCAACGGCGCGACTGGCTTTGCCATATCGGTGATTTACTGAGAGCAGCTGTTCAGGTCCTAACAAGGAGAATACTGCTGCCGACAGTGACAAATGTTTTTATAATTTTATGGAACGTTTTATTAGCATGTTCTTATAGTAGAAGATGTTTAATTTGGGATGGGCTTTGATTAGTTCTGTTTGACTTAAACTGGAAATGGTTTTATTTTTGAATTTTTATTGATTTTAATGTTTACTTGAGTACAGTAATTATGCTATATCTTCTTCGGAGCTGTTCTTGCTTGTATGAACAAAATTCAGTATTCCGTTTATTTTTCAGTCAGTGCATCTTTTGTATGGGCACATAGTGCGCCGTCAGATAAACGAATACTATAGTTACTCGTTATAGATCTGCGAATTCGCGGGCTCTACTGTAGCCTCGAGACAACACATCCAGTTTTTGCGCTACTGTTTGTTTTTATATGAGTATAGTACACAAACTGTAACTGCGATGCAATGACGTTCTGATCTGTGGATATTATTGTGTACTATCTTTCAAGTTTCGACAATATCTCCGTACAAGTAACGCCGTCTTGAACTGGTGCCTTGTCTTGGGATAGCTCGCTTTCAGGATTAATTACCGCAGTTTTGCCGGGACAATGCAAAACAGCGGTGATATGATTGTACTAGTCTGATGATAAGATTTTGCCCAAGCCTACATCAAGCGCTTCGCAAAACTTGACATTCTTATCTACGCAGCATAAGTTATGCTATCTGTGCATACGCACCTCCTACATGATTACCGTGTTTGATTACAGGCAAAAAGAGTAATTACAAGGGAAAACATCTATCCTGTCAGTATTATTTTTAAATCGAGATATCGCAGCTCTCGATTTTAAAAGTGGCCTTGTCTGCAGAACCATGGAGGCTCCCTTATTCTTTGCGTCAGCGTTAATAATATCGTTGTCAAGTGTGGCTTTCGGACAGTATGATCCTCATCTCGCCAGTGGCCGCTCGGTCTATGTCCATTTGGTATGTTTTGCAAGCTCGCTGTGTTGGGAACGATCTTTTAGAAGCAGTTAAGAGGAAAAGAAATATTATCCACAACAAAAGAAATATTTACTTTAACGTTCGCCTGCACAACTATGTTCGTTGTTGAGTTGACTTCATGTTGAAATAAATTTGTAGTGTATCTGTACAGTAGTTTGTACAGGGTTAATCATATCCAGCAATGTGCCTGTTCCTTTATAAGCTTAACTAAGGTAAGGATAAATGATACAAGCTGTGCAGTTGGATTTGTTTTGTGTAGTTCGAATGGAAATGGACCGATATAGCAGCAGAATGCGAACGGTTTTTGGGGCCGAAGGGTTTTGGAGGAATTCAAGTAAGTCCGCCTAATGAACACCGAACAATTACCGAGCCATTCCGTCCATGGTATGAACGGTATCAACCTGTCAGCTACAAGCTGCAATCCCGATCTGGAAATGAAGTCCAGTTCGCCGACATGGTCAAACGCTGCAATAACGCCGGTGTTCGGTATGTGACGGATCTGCTCAACACACTTCTCAAGATTAATTAATTCTTTGAGAAATCCGGCTATTATGTAGATGCGGCTGCTTGTAATGTCGTGATGTAGGGTTAGTTTAATGAAATGAGCTGAAAATTGCGGATAATAACCTTTCCTGCCTTTATTGGCGATAAAATAACCTGTAACAAAAATGATCAGGATATACGTGGATGCGGTGATTAATCACATGGCCGGAGGAAGTGGAACGGGAGTTGCGGGAAGTTCGTATAATGCTGGCTCACAACAGTATCCCGGCGTGCCGTATGCACAGGATGACTTCACGGGAAGGTGAGCACTACAACCTTCATTTCGTCATTTGGGGATGACCTTTGGAATGGCACTTCCAATAAGTATTTTCTACATGAAATTGTAAAATGCACATTTTTCGTTCACGTAGATCCGAATGTTCTTCCGGGAACGGGGATATCAATAATTATCAAAACGCAAATGAAGGTACTACAGATACACTGTCTGCTTGATTTTTGAAATGGATTTAAGCATAAACAGAGAACCACCATTAAGCATGTTAATGCAATTCATGATTGTTTTATATCACTGAAACTGGAATCTGAAGAGTTATGCGCCCGCGCGAAATGATTTCTGGTTTGCTTTTGCAGTTCGTAATTGTCGATTACTCGGTATGCCTGATCTGGGAATCTACAAAGCCTCTACCAAAAGCAAGCTGCAAGGGTATTTGAACAACTTGATCAGGATTGGAGTCGCTGGATTTCGTGTGGACGCTGTACGTGATTCGTTATTTTTAACAGACTATTTTGCACTAATAAAGCTGAAAACACATAAATAACTGGGTTTATGTGAAATAGCTGTTTATTGTATCGACTGATAAATTGGTGCTCCTTTGATTGTTACTTTGCATCGTTTTATTGTTCCCAGTCCAAACACATGTGGCCAGCACATCTAGAGGCTCTTTTTGGTGGACTGAACAATCTGAACACTACATACTTTCCTGCCGGAAGTCGACCGTATGGTGTGTACATTTCTTACTTCGTTACACAGGAATGTAAAAAATTGTTTTTTGGTCGCTTTTCTTCGAAAATGAGCTTTAAAAATCCACTGATGTTTGAACTTCAGTATTCCATGAAGTTATTGATCTTGGTGGTGAACCAATTACGGGACGAGAGTATTTGGGATCGGGTCGTGTGACGGAGTTCAAATATGGCAAATACCTCAGCGACGGCATTCGTAAAGAAAATGGTAAGAATTACGAAGATAATTTCTTGCATTTTTATTGTTGACAGTAGCGTGAAAAATAGGCCAGATGTTGAAATACTACCGCAATTTCGGTGAAGAATGGGGCTTCCTACCGGGCATGCAAGCGGTGACCTTTATCGATAACCACGACAATCAGAGAGGGTAACTACGTACTTAACACGTAACGCTATGCTCCATTGCATTTGGCATATAATAATAGCACAGGCGGTTTTATCTTGATGTTTTCCTACTCGATTTATACTGTCTCTACCCTATTGTTTCATTAATTTATTGCGTGTTAGGCATGGAGCAGGGGGAAGTATTTTGAACTTCCGGCAACCTCGGGCTTATAAGCTGGCTAACGCTTTCATGTTGGCGCATCCGTATGGTTTTCCTCAAGTCATGAGTAGCTATGACTGGCCGCAAAACATTCAAAACGGAAAAGATCAAAACGATTGGGTAAGATTGCTTATTATATTTCGATTTAATTGCTCAAATTTAACATCTTAATGTGCCAGTACAAATAGTTAAACGTCGCTGATTTAAATAATGATTGCGTGCACTTGTAACAACACCGTAAAATGAACACTGGATGCGGATGAAATTATTAAAATTTAAGAAACCGCAATGGAAAATGATTTTTTGGTGCGTGTAACCATGAAAGCTTGTTCGATGTTCATAACGATGAGAGGAGTTTAACAATTTCTAGATTGGGCCACCAAGCGATTCGTCTGGGAATACCAATACCGTCCCGCTCGCTGCCAACGGAGCCTGTGATGGCGGCTGGAAATGTGAACATCGATGGAGGTATGTCATATTTATTAAATAGCAAACTGATTTTCTTATCGCTATAGAGTTATAAGTGGCAGGGTTTTATTTTTAGACAAATCACAAACATGGTTGGCTTCCGAAACGCAGCGGGTAGCAGTGGATTAGTGCACTGGTATGTATGAGTACTCGTAGATGAAGTCTGAACAAGTATTACCTTGAAACTTTAAGATGTGCCTCTTTTTAACCGTAGTGGTAGGCTTGCACGATAAAATTGTTGTGCAGTTATTGTTGATTAACACTCGCCCTCGTCCATGTGCCTGAGAGGCACATTTAATCATTTAGAAATTCATGGAACGTTACACTGGCAGTTGACTTCTTCCTCCTTAGCCTGAATTCCTCAGAAAATTAGTTTGTTTTTTACTTATTCAAACATTTACTAAAAAATAAATTAACTGAAAACTTAAAAACTGCAAATTCCAACCGCTTCCGGTTGGTGAACAAATGGCAGCCTCCCAGTGTGGCAGCGTGATTTGGCTTTGCTGCGAAGTCCTCACTTCTTTCAAATTCAGTTTACCGAATTGAAAGTAACTCTTTCTGCTTGCGTGCTTAATAAAAACGAAGAACAAAGTGTGGAAAACATTTTGGATGAATATCAGACCGTTCTACACCAGATCAGGACAAATCCATGGGCTGCGCCTGCGCGGCACACAACAAAACTCCGTGTAATTAAACCATAGACGAGTGCGAGTGTTAAGGTTTGGCCTGTCGGCACTGACCACGTCTTGCAACTCTTGCTTTGTAAAGCAATGATGGCTTATCAGTTCACTTATGATGACTTATTAGTATATCTGTTAGTAATGAAATTAATAATTGAATTAATTATGAATTAATTGTAAACTTTTTTTTTTCAAAACAAATATTTCAGGTACGACAACTCTGCCAACCAAATCGCTTTCGGCCGTGGAACAGAAGGCAACACTAAGGCCTTTATTGCAATCAACAATGACGGTTATCATTTCGGCCGCGATTTGATGACGGGATTACCGCCTGGAACGTACTGCGATGTGATTTCCGGCAATCTGGAAAACGGCAGATGTTCCGGCAAGTCCATTGTAGTTGGTCCCACGCGATCGGCTCGCTTTGAAATCAGCAATCGAGACGAAGATCCCATGATCGCTATCCATATAAATGCGAAGCTGAATTAGCGTGCCGGTAACTCAACGAGTCTGCATCACTCAACGTGAAGCGCGGTTCCTTAGTATGTCATGATTTTTGTTACGATTTTTATGAAGTTCACTGCCAGCGCTTTGTGAGTTTTACATTTTTTGTATCGTGATGCCAGAGCAGCCTTTCTGAGTACATGAGGTTTTGGTTAGGGATGAAAAATCGGCTGCAATAAAAAAAACATTTGGGTTTTAAGCAGTTAGTACTTGCGCTAACAGTTTTTATTGCATGTAATGTAATATTGAATACACTGCTGCATCGTCACATCGTGCAGCAATGGTTTAATCGTTATTGTGAAGAGGAATATTACTTACCTTAGTAAGCGGCGTAATTATGTTACCATTCCCTCTTTATGTTGCAAGCAGCAGTGAAATCATTTTGCTCATTCACATTCAAATCAGTGAGATTGTTCACAGGTTACTTGAGATAGATGGGTGAAAAACAACAATTTTATACGAGTTCAACATCCTAAAATAACCCAAATGACAAAACGCAAGCAGATCACATTAAGTATCTGAAAGGTCGGAAATTTAAACACTGCAAACAGAGAAATGGTGGTATGCAATTAACACGATATATACAATCACATCCGGCAATTTAAAAGACTGATCGCCAAGTTTTGCGTTTACAATCTGGCGTAAATGTGCAGTGCAACAATCGGGTCTTCATCGTAATTACTGATAGAAAAATGTGCAGTTCGATCGGCATTCACTGCGACAGATTTCCCGGTGCACTGGCCATTTTCGAGACCGCCCGAGATGATATCGCAGTAGGTTCCCGGCGGTAGACCAGTTTGCAACGTCAAGGCGAAGTGGTAAGCATCGTTGTTGATCACAATGAAAGCGGTTGTGTTCCCCTCCACACCACGTCCAAAGGCGATCTGGTTTGCCCAGTTATCATACCAGTGCACTAATCCACCCATCCCGGCGGCATTACGGAAGCCCACCATATTCGTAATTTGTCTGTAATCATATCACGCGGCTTGCATAAACATATAGTCATACCAAAAAAAGCTTAGTTTTACCGCTTAAGTAGCTCTAATCATTTAAGGTGATTAACTCGTGCAGTTTTTGTAAACGACCTTTTTGCATAAGGACAGATACAGATTTACGGGCGATTCTGCTCAAGCGCGCGTAAGTTGCTTCGTACCTCCAGCGATGTTCGCAAATCCAACCACTAGCGATATCACATGCTCCGCTAGCAGCTATCGATACGCTCTGAGTATTGCCGTCCGCATCACTGGGAGGCCCAATCTGAGAAAAATTTTAGCTGAATTCCTTAAAACTTGCAATGGGACTCGTAACAATGTTTCCACAAGCTGTCACACATCTGTAATTATCGCGGTGAACTGAAAAAGCCCTAAGAGGAGCCATTTTTTGCTTAAACTACCGAAAACGTGAACTAATAATTATTAATTGCATTAAATTTACCCAATCGTTTTCGTCTTTGCCGGTTTGTGGGTTAATACTCTGTGTCCAGAGATAGCTGCTCATCACTTGCGGGAATCCGTAGGGATGCGCTAACATGAATGCATTGGCTATTTTGTACATTCTTGATTCCCGGAATGTCAGAATTCTGCCGCCGGCTCCGTGTCTATGAAAATGTAAACCGGCAACTAAATAATCGTGCGACTTGTAATTACCTATAATTTTACTGTTTACTTGATGGTAAGCATTGACCAGCGCAAAATGGTGATGCGCGTATGGCGCACATATTGTCGTTATATGACCATTTAGTGAACCTACCCGCGTTGATTGTCGTGGTTGTCTAGAAAGGTCACAGCCTGCATTCCTGGCAAAAAACCCGGCCAGCTGGGTCCAATGTCTCGAAGGTTTTTTAGCATCTGGCCTGCGATAACAGACGCAAATTTTTTTCAGAGAGAATCTTTCTAGAAAGTAAGCGCGGTACGAACCGTTTTCCTTTCGAACGGCTTCACTGAGGAATTTGCCGTACTTAAACTCCGTTACGCGGCCCGTAGTGAGATATGCGAATTGGCCGAGCGGTTCGCCACCCAAATCAATAACTTCTTGATATACTGCAACAAAATCAGTACTGGTTATAGCAGATGAAATAAGCATAAAATCTTTGGTTCTAAAATTTTGAAACATTGTTCTGGCATACTGTAGGGTCTAGTTCCGGCGGGGAAATAAGTGGTGTTCAGGTTGTTCAGTTCCCCTAACAGTATTTCTATATGAGCCGGCCACATGTGTTTTGCCTGCAACAAAATACAGAACTGAAACCGAACTTCAAAACAGGATTAATTATGGGACTACTGTATGATTACATCACCGGGTTCAAGTTACAATGCTACAATTGACGACGTGGAGATGGGGTTTAAAAAAAATAAAAATTGGTGTGGAGATGGTGTTTTAATTAGTGAGTTTTTGCAGTGCAAAAGATTATTTAAAGTAATGTTTAAATTATGCAACATTCGAAGTACACTGTTTGTACAATGCAGTACAATATCACATTATTTAAACAAAAAATAGATACTAGAAAGATCACAGATGATTAAACCACAGTGTTTAGTTGCTTGATGAACTTACCGCATCCACTCGAAATCCAGCGACTCCAATATTAATCAGCTTATTCATATACTCTTGAATTTTCCCTTTGGTATACGCCTTATAAACACCAAGATCAGGCAAGTTTTCCAGGCGACAATTACGCACTGCAGAGTAAATAGACAGCATGTATCATAATGCGACCGCTGCTGTACCGAAAACTTGAATTGTTTTCTGCTCGAAAGGTAAAAAGCGCAGCGGTTGACAAGAATCGAACATACTCGTATATCAAACTTTCTGCTTGACGTGTGTTTACCTATTTCGGCATCCGCGTAATCACCGTCTTGAGGATTGATAAGTCCGTTCCAGGTTTTGCACTCTTCTCTAATCAACATGAAGTGTCAGCAGGAATTTAAAACTTTTTGGTGTGGGTTTATTGATGCGATGTTTTAGCGCATTATCCGAAACAGGTAAAGATTGGTCATACCTTCCAGTAAAATCGCCTGGGCCGTACGGAACACCAGGAAACTGCAGAGTATTGCCATCGAAAGTGTTCCCTGCTGTACCAAGGCCGCTATCTCGTGCCATATGATTGATCACGGCATCCACGTAAATTCTATTACACAAATGTATATTTAAGCAGAATACAGAGCATCCAAAATAATTTATAAAACGATTTTAGTGATAAAGAAAGTTGACTGTATCTGCATTCTGTAGTACTATAGACTAATACAGAGATGAGTAGCGCCGGTACCGGCGCTCGAAAAACTTGCATTTACTTAACAAAATTTGTTAAATGCAAGTTTTTCGAGCAATGGGCAAATTTGCCATATTCGAATTTCGAATTCTAGTTAAAAGAATATATTTTGAAGACGTAATGACATACCGGACTCCAGCATTGTTGCACCGTTTGACCATATCGATGAATTCCGCTTCGTTTCCCGAGCGAGAAATCAGCTGATAACTGACTGGCTGATACCGTTCCCACCATGGGCGATGCGGACTGGTGACGACGCGGTGTTCGTTGGGTGGACTGATCTGGACGCCACCGAAACCTTTGGGACCAAGAAAGCGTTCGCATTCCGCCGCGATGTCGGTCCATTTCCATTCGAACTATAAACAAAAATTAATGCTTTTAGCTTAACCTTTAGCTTATCGTCAGTTACTGTAAACTTATGCGCAAGCGTTGTATAATATTACTCTACTTACCAAATGGACATAGGCCGATCGGCCACCGATGACATGAGGCTCGAACTGCCCGTATGTTAAACCCAGCAAAGCCAGGAAAACGGTACCGACCAATGGCCGGAACATTTTCATGCTGACTGGTGTACCGTTGTGGGTAGTTTACGGTTTGAGTTTCGGTAGCCTTCTTCGATCACAAAATATTTTGTACATTTACTCGTACAATATTTGACTCCAAACTTTGCTATCACAACTACCGGGAGCTTTTTATATCCGATTAAACATTACGGTGTTAATTTTGCCCTTGTTGTATGCATCGATATGAAGATCTGTATTATCGCAATGCATTTTAGTGCTGGCATTGTCTTGTCTCTTTTACAAAGTTATGCTGATAGGACTGCTTAAACAATCACTTTTGGTTAAAAATGATAATGTGGTTATCAACCGTTTTCACTTAGCACCTTGAAAAATTCCGTTAATTTACAGCGATGGACTGCGTGATCTATTCCTGGTCAAGCAGTGACTTCTTGCTCGTATGCAATCGCCGATTGTACGCAATGTGTTGTCGTAATCAGTGCCAGGCGACACTGTGTCACCGGCATATCAAAGCGCACAATAAAAATGCTAAAGTTTATTCTGTAAAGCTGTGATTAGGTGACCTCAACGTGACGTAGCTTCGTCCAGTCGGCGGTGCGCAGTAACTGAAAATCGTTGCTTAAGTCTGCATTAAATACATTCACGGAATTATCATGACGTATTAAGCGTAGCACCATAAGCGTAGCGTAGCATCAAAACCAAATACCGCGTTATATTAATCGAAGCTTCCTAGTAAGGCCATTAAATAATTTTGAAAATTAAGCCCGTTGCAACGATACAAGATAAAGTACTGCCTTTATAAACGTATTATAATTTATAGGTAGCGGCAAAGCCGATCACGATCTTGGTTAGGTCAAAATCACACCTATATATATGATCGTCATAATCGATTCGATTCATTCGAAAATACGTAATCACTGTCGACTATTACATTAACAAACAGACTGCGGCCGACAGCCCGACGCGGGGCCTCGTAAGGGCAGGCCTCGTTATGCACCTCCGGTGCATACGATTGTCTGTAATACTGTAGACCGTCAGCTAACGGCGAAAAAGTTTTCTGGTTGTGATAATGTGAAGGATGAGGCCTAAGCCAGCATATTAAGGAATTATTCTGGTAGATCTGCATTTTCCTGTACGGGTATCACTGTAGTAACGATTGGCGGAAGTACAGATATTACAGCAATATTTTCAGCAGCAATATTTTTTATATACTACAGGAGCAGTGTTTGGTGCATCTGCTGAGGAATAAAATGTGGCATTATAATAGCGACCACTAAATGAAACGTACGTACAAAGTAGGTATGAGTTAGCGCATTATAAAAACATACATTATTTTCACAATCATGTCATTTGTACTCCATCGGTCAAATAAGCACCACCAGTGATGGACTCGAAGGTATCGAATCCGCAGACCAAGTTCAAGCAACTTTTTATAAAGTGTTTTGTAAATTGTTGGAATTACTTCTTCCGCATCTCGGCAGATCGTTGAATTTCTTATCACATCAATGAACAAAATTTGGCTCTGATGTGACGTGTATTTTGAGTTTAAATCCACAGTAGCATTTTCTGATAACACCAAACGAATCTGCTTTATTTTTGAATTCAGCCAACTCGCCGTAAACTGCGCTGTATCGTTGCATCATTTCGCCGGGTTTCGCATTTTATACTCTGATACTGGTCGGCAACATGACCTTTCCTTAATAGCAAACACATGTGGAATAGCGGTTTGAATATGGAGCTTTTCAAAAACAGTTTTTCTTATTGCTTATTTCTTGGAACGTGTATACTTTCTGTAGCCGGAAATACTGGGCATGACGACAATGGATCCACAGAAAACAAGCAGGTACTTGCAAATCGCACATATCTGTATGCGGCAAAATTTTGTGATTATCGCAGCTACATGTCCGCACGTAAAGACTCAGCGGTTGTAAATTTCTGAGTGGATACACAGTAACCTGGATAATCAAAATAATCCCACAAAATGTTGATTCGTTGTCGAACAAACTCTGTCGCCGGGAATTGCAGGGATGTTATTAACTGTAAAGGTGATCCGCTCGACCGTACGTGGGTACTAATGTCCAGACGTATTAAAAGGCAGCATTCGTTGCCGGTTTCAACTTCAGAGTGTTAAAATACCGTGCTACTGTCGTAACTGCGGCAATACTAATTCGTAATACGTGTATTCATTTCGTGCAGAGAATGAAGCGGCAAAGCAGCACAGCGATTTCCATGCAGTCGTCTACGTATACTTTCAGCGTAACCAGCTGCATACCTGGAACATCAGTTGGACAGGCAAGTCAAGATTAAATTTGCTTCGATCTTCTAATTTTTTTAAACTTTTGCAATAAAAGAAGATGATCAGTAGGCAATTTAGGTGCAATTTGTCTACGACTTAATTCGATGTTACTACGGCGGTCACTGTACAGTAAAACCTCGGTATTACGTAAAAGAGAGGTTTCATTGTATCATATTATTGTACTGGTATATAGAAAACCTTACATTCAACATTTCAACTATATTCAACTTTCTATGCGCATTGGACTCTTATTGTTTGTTTATTGTGTAGGTAATCGCTCGTGATACACTGTCACGCCCAATTTATTACTTGATAGACCAGCCTAACAACGACATCGCCACCAACATGCGAACCGGACAACTCTATCTGATAGACTATCTCCGTTCCTGCAATCTCAAAACAGTGGTCATCCGTGCAACCAGTTTCTCGGGTAAGCTTCCAGAACTTTTAACAAAATAAGAATCAGGAAATGCAACTCATATTCCCTTTAACGGTTAAAATGGCGAGTTCAATGTCACTGGAAGAGCAAATTAAACTTCGCTCTGTAAACTTAAAATATCTATATATCACTTTCGTATACATACCGGTGCTGCATAATATGATTTGCAATTATCATGCGTAAAGAGAGAGATTCAAATTTAAAGTCACAGTGTCCCAAATGTTGTATTGAGTCTGAAGTTCTAAAGATAATCATCGACCATCGTTTGCTAGGAAGTAAGTAGTAGTGATTTCTGCGTGATCTGGTTGAAAATTTCGATTAGAAAACTGGATGTGTTGTTTTAATTTTAAGGGAGCTCAAATGCAACGGTGTACTACAGCTGCGGAAGTGGCTGCACCACGGGTGGCGTCTTCAGCCAGTCTACCTACACTTTCACCGTGGTCAATTGCACCATTGGCTCATCAATCGGCGCAGTTACGGCCGTCAGTTCGTCAGCCTGCACGTACAACTCCAGCGGAAGTTCTGCCGTATACGTTGTACCGTCCACCGGTCAGTTGTACCTTATCGGGGAATTTACGGGTGTACAAACGATCGCCATCACCGCCACGTGCGGCACCAATACAGGCCGCGCCAATGCAACGGTCAGCAGCTCGTGTTCGGCGGCACCGGTCTTCACTCAACAAACGGGGTACACTTTTACCACCGCCAGCACAGCTGCCAACACAATTATAGGTAAAACTCAGAAGACAACATGCTAGCTATATAGGGTGGTATAAAATTAAATGGGATGCTGTTGTTTAATGTTAATACCATATCAACGCGAACCTTTTCCTTTTTGCATTTAGGAATAACGCCCGCTGTTGGCGGGACATTATATACCATTGATGGAGGCAGTACGACGTTTGCGATTGACCCCAACACCGGTCAGCTGCGTTCCATCAGCACGTTAACATGCGGTTCTACCACAATATACGTGCGCGCATATTCCGCTTCCGGAGCGTCGTCCAGGGTGCCGGTGACTGTCCGAACGCCGACATGCACTATACAATTCTATGCCAGTTTGTATTCTTTTGTTCCGACAAACTGCTCGGCTGGCGCTTTCATTGGACAGGTCAGCGCTAATTCGACGGGGGCCATCACGTATTCCATTGACAATCCAACGGGCGCATACAGAATTGATGCCAATACCGGTGCTATTTTTACGGTAAGACATACCGTGAACTTTTCTAAAATCAATGGTGAAACCATTAAAGATGACGAACTAAAAGCGATTCATCAATGTACCCGCCAAACGATTTTTAATTGTTAGTACATTCAATAAAATGAATTTGTTTTTACGTTCTTTTACCACATTTATCTAGGTGGGCACAGTCGTAGCCGGCACCCTCACGGTGCGCGCCCGCTCCGGTACCGTGACCACCACCGTTCCAGTGACCATCAGCCGGGGCAGCTGCGTGGCAAGCGGTACGGCCCCTGTATTCGGTGCGCAAAGCTGCACTTTCACAACCGCCACCTGTGTTACCGGCTCGCAAGTGGCCCAGATCTTCGCCACCAGTCCCAGCGGCAGTGATCCCATTCAATACTCCATCCAAGGCGGCAGTGCCATCTTCGCCATGAACACAGTCACCGGCGCCCTCACCGCCCAAGTGGCCCTCAACACCGTCACACCCACCACACAGACCGTAGTGGTGGCCGCCACCGACTCCGCCTCCCGCACCTCCACCACCACTGTCACCGTCGTCCTGAACTGCGCCGCGGGACTGGCCTTCAGCAGCAGTTCGTACTCGTTTACGGCCACGGGCACGCAGTGCACCAGCAGCGCTACCATCGGGACGGTGACGGCGACGAGTAACACGGGGTCACCCATTACGTACCAGATTCAGACCGGCATTCCGGCCTTCGCCGTCGACCCGACCACCGGGGCCGTCACAGCGCAGGTGGATATTACCACCGTGGTCACGACTCCTCAGACCATGATCATACGAGCAACGGACACTAATGGGGCCAGAACAGCGACGACTACCGTGACCATTACTCCTTCGTGTGGAGGCACGGGTGGCACGCCGACCGGTGGCGGCGGGGCTCCACCGGGAGCAGATATTGGGTAGAATCTGCAACAACAACAATAGGAAGGTTGCAATTGTTGCAATTGTGTAACTAACTGTATAATTTAAATGGTGTACATTCCTAGATTATTTTAACGTGCAACGGAAACCGTTCACGTACTGTTCTGTACATACTCGTATGATGTCTTTACAATCTACCTCATCGTGATACCCATGCAGCCATAAATTTATTGCTGACCTTTCACTGCAATTAGATCAATTGTACACAATGTTCAGCAACAGCAATTTGATTACTGTTCGTGATTCTAGATGATTCGTGATTCTAGACTTTCTAGATATGTGAAAAAGCGAACACTCTTGTGTCGCGTTGAGGTACTCGTAAGTTCAATATTATTCGGGCGATGATTCGGTCCACTGTACATGATATATATGTACAGGTTTACGGATTCGTTTTCATCGTACGGGTACAAGTATACCATAAAGCCGCATTATTTTAATATCGAAGCTTTGCATTAGAAGTAATTATTAGTCAATATACTCTTTATGTACAATCTGACCTCAGAATATATAGGTTGTGTTACATAAAACCACATTGCAGATTTTAATTGTTACAGACATTTTGCTGATTAGATAGGAATTGTTATCTAGAAGTAAGAAGATAAATCTTCAGTGGAAATTGTATGGTCTATGGCCGGAATCACTCGATCTGACTTGGCGAATTGTGCTCCATCCGAAAGCGAATGGATGATCACAGGACTGAACACCTCGCTGGCAGGTCGAGTTATCACTTCAATCTGGCGCGAGCTGTTGGAGCGATGCAGATTAATAGCCGAAGGAGATCCGCTGTAGAAAACAATGTTTTCCATAATCTGCGATTGTCTGAGATTTTTCCATGTTACGTAAATGGCAGTGATGTGCACAGGCAGGCTGATAATTCCTGCTGCCAACAGGACAAACGCAAGCGACGCGATTAAAACCGGTAGTTTGGATGATGGCAGTTGCCAGCCTAACCGGAACAGGGATGACTGAAAATAGGAAACAAGGAAAGCCATTAAAAACGCAAAATTAATCATATTTGCTTTTGTTTATCGAAGTTAACGGTTAATTGTTGTTTTTGCCGAAACATAAATGATATCTTTAGGTTGTATTTCTGTAGAATTTTTGTCACTGCGCGGTGATACTACATAATGTTGTCCAGTGTCGACTGACGATAATCATGTTACTACTTTGTACAATCTTATGCAAAAACCGCCTGCTCTTAACAGGTCTATATAAATACTGGGTAAAGAAATGTAATTTATTATTTTAAATTTCTTACCGGTGCTGCAACTGTTAGCCAGTCTGCTGCAACAGCGGAAGACAGACCAATTAGCGCGACACTAAGGATGCAGGAAATGATACTGGTCATAAGAAATGCGGTGTTCAGTCCCCAGTATGACTTCCTGGCCGGAATACTGCCGACCGGCGGACGCTTTCTTCTGGTCTCTCCGGTGAGCCCGATGCATCCCGTAATTATAAAAACCGCACCAATCCAGATACCACTTGAAACAGAGCATAAAACCTGTTCTTCTGCAAAACCCTCGAAATGATCCTTAAAACGGGCACAGAGAACTGTAACTGCAGTCAGAAACGGAGATTGTTACAAATCACGAACTTGTTACTTGTAATCTGATAACACCATCTAAATTTTCCCAAAATGCTGCGTACACGCCGAGTACAACATAATTTATGCAATGCAAATTCATGGCTGAAAACAATATTACAGTGTTAAGTGCAGATCAGTGAAACGCAAATCTAAAACCAGTGTAATATTTAATCTAAATTTCTTACTGGCAGTCTCGAGGCAGATACAAGTTATCCCGCTAAGAATGCCGCTGATGCTCAGAATTATAGTTGTATTAAATTTTTTTTCAGATTTCTTAGTTGCCATTTCGGAAATATGGAATCCATGAATTATGACAGAAACACGAATGCCAAATATGCACGATCATAAGCGCGTGTGGAAGCACATGATATAGATATATTTGCTGCTGTCGCGCAAAACCAGTAAATTACTCGTATAATCTTGTTTAAGAATTAAAGCCATGTAAAATAAACCCGATAATACGTAGTTGCAAGTTTCGGTGTACGACGATCTGTGAGCGAGTGAAATTGATACTAGAAAACGCTTGTTTTTGTATTTCTATGTAGATTCAGCATCACTGCCTACAATGCTATATTACTACTTCTTACCATTAAAAGGCTAACCATTCACGTACAGTCGAACACCACACTTTATCTTGGTGGAATAGTAGCACCAAAACGATACCGGAACAGCACAGAAATGTTAAACTGATAAATTTCACACGCCGGCCATACGTAATAGCTGAAACTAGCATTTATTTCGATCATGTATGAATTGCAAGTATTCGTCACAACGGTTTTATCGCAGTTCCCCTGGTTTAACGATAGGGTGACCTCATCGCTATAATAATATGCTTGTGCAATATACATAAAGATAAGCAAATAACCGAAATTCTATAAATATAGCGCTCTTCCTTCTGACTGGCAGATGAATCGAAGCAGGACATGAACAACAGTACAGTACCACTAATATAGATAGACATTTTTAAAGCGCGTTCCAGTTGTGCGCAAGCAGTTTCCGAAGATTTTTCTCATGCTATGCATCCTCTTCCCGACTCCATAAACATTGTTACAAATATTTTTTTATTCCTCAAAACTCACAGTGACAACGGTGGAGAAAAACCTCCAAAACATTCGGAACTACTTAAAATGAGAAAAACAAGCAGCAAAAATCTCATAAACCTCAGTATATATGTATTACATTGCCTGTCCATTACAGTAACTATCATTTGAAAACAATAGAATGCATTTGCAAACATTTTCAGCAAACCACCGGAAACGATCACGGGTAATATGGTAGAAAACCACAAAAAAATCATATTGCTTTAAAACATGAAAAAGCTTACCAAAACATTGTGCATTCACCATAAAAAATCACCTCACAGGTACCACATTTTGTGACGAAGATTCTGGTTAGGCTGCTTCTTAGTTACTTCAGCACACATGGTTGCCATTTTCATAGCATACTGGCACACAGCCGGCACCTTGATTGTTCCCTGTAATAAAAGAAAATGAGTAGACTTGTTACCAGCTTAGTAGCGCAGTATTATAAATAAACATCTTGGCCATAAAGCAAAGAACATTATCATGGAGTTTGACAAAGTCCAAAAGTTCAAAAGCGTACACTCGTACACTTCGTATGATATTTTACAAAATTTTGTTTCAGGCTAAAAAAAAGGAGAAGAAAAAAGGGCAAAAGCCTTTTGACTTTTTTTAGCAGCGAAATTTGTAGTGAAAGCAAGCAAGCGGTTAGTATTGCTTACACTCCAGTTGTAGTACATATGTGCCATCTGAAACGTGAAATTCTGAAATTCATCGGCAGTAATCTTCGTTTGATCCGACACGACGAAATAGTAGGTCGGCATAACGGTGCCTTTGCGTCCCGAATGAGATATCAAGAAGAAATCATATCTGCAAAACAGAAGGTGGCCCCTTAAAATTAATATCTGGGATATGATAATATGACAGTCGTTATAAAATTTAGTCCGCTTACCGGCCAGGGATAGTAACTGTAGTGTCGATGACGGTGCCGGGTTCTGGATTACCGCAACCCGATCCTTTTTCCGAGAAAAACCGAGTCTTGCAGCGCTTAAAAGCAACACAATACAGCAGCTTCCTGTAAGCACAAACAATTAAAAAACATAATCGAAATGAAGAATAAATTACATTCTTATGGATTATGGAGCGATATTTTTATTTAAAAGGTCAACGATTTTGACATCTCGTCCGTGAAGGAAATCACAAAGCACCCAGAAAAAATGCCTTACGCTTCAATTCGAAGGTCCTGCAGGATAGCTTCCACACATTTGATTTCCGGATCTTTGCCTGCAGTGATTTTGTGCAACTCATCGTCACCATCCAAAAGGCGGTAAAGAATAATGACCGCAGGATTCACATTGTTGACATCACGATATTCGGAAACAGCCGCTACACACAATTTCCGCTATTAGTCAACGCAGAACAGTACAAGGAAAAGCTTCCGTGTTTTTTGTATTCACTAACTGCTAAAAATTTCGCTTAACGTTCCACGCATTCCGCCTTTGATCAAGTTGGTAGCATCTCCCGCGAACTGACTATAACCGCGATCCACTGTAGCTACAAATCCCATAAAACCGCGAATCTCTGCGATTCCAATTATCATGGCATCACGAATCTGGGGAAAGGAAATACAATTCTTTTCGTTTCCCAGAAAATTCCAAAGTCTGTCTGGATTTAGGGTGTCACGTTCATTCAAACGATTAAATTACCTTAACGGATGGATTCTGAATATGCCACAATGGGTTTCCGGTTTTGGCATTCATCTGCAGTACCACTTTAGTAGCAATGCTCATATTCGTCTTCTGCGCAGTTTTCATGAGAATACACTGAGAAGCAACTAAAATGGAAAATTCGCTATGAAGCAACTTTAAACAACTCAAATGGAATAAAAAAAGGAAAATAAACAATGGTGCTAAATAGTGTGTAAACTCTCAGCAAAAATTGGCTTTCCTAACCTCCTTTATCGCAGACCAAAAAATTTTTAATTTCATCATAGCGCTGTTTGTTGTTGTCCGGCAGAAAAATCAAAACCATGGCACAAGTTGATGTAATTTTCGCGAGTTCAGTTTTATGACCAGCTGGATTTGGGTTTTGCAGCACAAACCTACAGTGTTTCACATTACTCATGATTACTCTATCTGAAGTCATCCCAGAAGTAATTGAAAAACTGATATTTCTGTCTTACTCAGCCGGATTCTGGAAAACTATTCCGAATGGCTTCGAAACTTGATTCACCATTTTCAGAAAGTCCCAGACTTCTTTTGCGTTAGTTTTCTGATAAACTAAGGCCCATTCTTTGAAGTCACAAGGCTTATCCAAGCGGCTATTGCGGATATTTTTCATCCAGTCAGCTTCTTCACGCGAATATGTAACCTGCGGAAAATGTGTTTCGATAAAACACACTGTGTTCAGTTACAGTACCGTTAACCCACCTTTCTCCCGTTTGTTTCGAGAACAGCCAGTGGCAACTGACGCCCTGGCACTTCCTTAAGATCCCTACCCATTTCCATGCCCCAACCTTCAAGTGGTTTATCCACCTCAGCACTGGCGCTAGCGCTACCAAGAATATAACAATTCATTAGAACATATTTTTCTTGATTTTGTTATTGATTATTCCCAGACAATCGCTTACAAAGTATTTGCGAACTCCTTGACCATGGCCACACGTTTACCCGGCTCCCTTCGCACAGCATCCAAACACTTGCTCATGTAAGAAAAATTTGACCGAATATCATCCGTCAAACCAGACAAAAGGCAAAGTTCCGGCACTAAAAAAGTCAATCAAAAAATTCAAGACTACCACATATGTTTTTAACTTTGTATTTACCTAATGGAGTCAACACTTCCTTGCCATCCTCAGTGCGACGCGGTTTATGATCAGGTTCAAGTGGCACACACATCAACAGAGGCTGATTTTCGTTCTTAATCGTTTTATTGTACACCTAACACACATTAGCATACCGTGGTAGTAAGTACACTGTTTCCAGATATGATTCGTTAAGTCACAAAATAATGCTGTACAGTGTACATGCGCATAACCTAACATTTCATTTGTGCTTACCATTTTAAAGTATTCTTGAATAGAACACTGAGATTCCAGCACGGAGGCCTTACTGTTGGCGCCAATATTGGTAGCGCGTCGGCTGAATACGTCACGAACCGATTTTTCATATGAAATTTCTTTGATTTTGTATGCTCGACGATTATAATCTGTCACGACAACCTTTCCCTTCAGCATGGACATCACCTTTTCCGCCATCTCTTTCGTTCCGTACTGGGATGATCCAGCATACATATTAATGTAATCCAGTGCTACAAAAGTGAACAAAATGTACATCCACGAATAATCCTACACAAATTTGCACAGTCTATTTCACAATCTCGGCTGAAGAACCACGCAACATGGATTTTGTACTTACAGAAACCTTATCGTACAATCACAATCGAGTTGAAAACAAAATTTAATTACAACATTTCACCTGTTTTGTCGCGAACAAATTTGGTCCCCAAATCCACATTCACCATCAAACCACCATCATAGCGCATTACCAGAGGGACATATCCTGGCCAAACACTCAATCTACAAAAATATCATATAAATGCCGGCAAACGTTAATCACAGTCAATGCAGTTGCGATAAATCTGGGAGTTGACTTAAATCATGAGTACTACAAACTCGATCACCATGTTAAATATCCCTGAATATGTATTTTGCTGATTTTATAATTTTGTTAGCTTAACGTACTTGTAACTCAATCTGTCCAGTCCTTCAATCGTTACCGCTTCCTTTGCGTCATAAAATCCGTCGCCAATCCGAGTTTTACCTCGTTGTGTGAGAATGCTGGAACATTTGTTGTAATAAATTTACGGCAAAAAAACAATGTATATCATAATCGTTATAAGTACATAGTAACTACAACGGATAAAATAATCACCTTTATTATTAACTAAATTACAGAGAAAAGCCGGCGCTCCGTCGTGCGGAACTTGATGCGACTTACTTGGTCATTATGTGATTCAGAACACCATTCACCAAGTCAACACTCTCGAAGTCCACGTCCTTTTCTTCTTTGCCACCGATTTCAGCAAGAGGATAGAAAGTGAGTTCCCGTTTGTCGTTCTCAGCGTAATCCAGTGTGATTTTCGCAAGCTGAATCAAAGTTAAAGAGTTAAGTCAGCTGCGCATGCAAAAGTACACTGATGTTCAAGTCACGTCGAGGAAATCCAGGTAAAAATTAGCCAAAAACAAGTGAATACTCATTATTCACTGTTTTGTTACTACCATTATTAACTATGTAGTACTTATTATATGGTATTAATAACGTATCTACTATATGTATATGGTAGTACAACCACAAAAATCCAAATCATTTATGTTTTGGTAATATTGACCGGCGTGGAAATACGTAAGTAGTTGCAGCGTCAGTACCTTTTTAGCAGGAAGTCTGGTCGAGGCAACGAAAAGGTTAGCTTGACCATCAAAGAAGTATCCGAGACGTCGCAGTGCAGGAACGCGTGCAACCAAATCGCTGCGCTCCGCTCTGCTGTGGACGAATGGCTCAAAGTTGACGTGGAACAGCAGCAGTGTGTAGTCATCATCGTTCTGAACAGCCGGGAGCATGGAGAAATAGTTGGCCAACAGCTTCACCGAAGTTCCAGAAGATCCTAGAAGACAAACGCCTTAATGTTAATATTAGTATGAATGATTAATAACATTCAGGTGGCGCGCTTATCAGCAGAAAGTAATTTTTGTTTATTCCTAATTATAGGATTAACCTGAAGCTGTCGATTGACCTTTCACGACATGATCGCAGATTTTATAGTGATAAAATCAATTCATTCAAAGTTTCAAACCATCAACCTAACCACGTCATTTTTTTGCAAGGTAAACGAACAAGAAAAGTACTGCAGCCGCTGCGTTTATAATGTATAAAATCATTTAACTAAAAAATAGAATCTGTATGATATTATCGGGTCATTCCTAAATTAAGGACTACGTATTAAATGCTGTCGAACTGCGCAATGTAATGGACAACTGCTTTTGATTTTCTACCTGGATACCATGTTTACAAAACTCAAAAAAGTTACCGTGCTTGGCAGCGACTTTTGGATGCGACTCCGGCAGAGTTCGCGAGAAATCAAGAAATCGTTGCGGGACGCGATATGTGGGCCGATTCATGTCAAAATTTCCGCGTTCCCTGCGCACGGCGCCATACGCCGATGACGTGGTTGTGGGAACCACAATCGGGCGCACTCCAATCAGCCCGCGTCCCATTCCGGTCGGTGCACGTTGTTCTGGGACGTTTACGGCCAGCTTGGACATCTCGCTGGTAAGCACTGGTAATCCACGCCCAACACCAGGAGGTATGCCTCGTCCTGCGTTGCGACTAGCCATGGTGTATAATAAGGAACCACAATAAGAATTTCAAGCGCAAGACTAGACGCTGTCAGCTTCAAATTAAGCCTGGAGACTAGGGCGGCACCACACTGCACAGCTGAGCATGTCACAACAGTTGAAAAAGGTCAAAACACAGTAGCTTTCACGCTGGAAATGTGGTGGTAACCATGAAGTCGCAATTATTCTGCTGCTTTCTGGAAAAGTGAGAATGAATTTTATGTTTATTTTGCGCCGCTGAAATGGCGCCCGAAAACGGAAAAACGAGCCAGCGGTCAATGGACCTAGCAGGGCGGTACAAGTACAGATGCGGCCAATCAAACATACGACAGCCTACCGCCCAGGAAATGCTAAGAAATAGACTAATAATAATAGTGGTTTTGCTTATAAGCAACATCTTGACGGGCTGAACTCACGCTGGAAGTAAGTGCAGGGTTTTCTGTTTCTTTTGCAAGGAATTTTGCCATGGGCACTAGTAAGTACTACAGGTAATCTTTTTTCACGGTGTACAGCTTCAGTACTACAGCCGGAAATCCAGAATAGAAATACAACTTCGAACAGAAGGAAGGATACCTCTACTGACAGTGAGATCTTCCCTGTCGCACCTGTTCCAGGGATTATCTTCGTTTTGTTATTTAAATGGAATAATGGTAAACAAGCATTTATGATTTACAAGCTGATATCTTGAAGTTTTTAGTTTTAGTGAATAACAGACAATTAACTTTCCGTTCCCTAACGATTTGTGCTTTTATCACTTGTGTACAGCGTTTGTTTCTTCTAATGATTGTACGAATAACTAATAAGCAAGATAGCAGGGTTCTGTATTTTCCATTAATTATTTGATAGCTACGGTAGCTGTAAGTCTACATGTTCGATTAGGGCCGGTCCGTTCATTTGTCTTCTTGATTTTTGTTTTAGTCCGTGACCATTCACACCGATTTGGGTGATTTAAAATTGGAGGTATTCTGCGAAGAGTGCCCGAAAACCGCACAGGCAAGTATACGATTAATTTCGGAATTGAATTTACATGAAGCTGTTGAAGGTGTTGTTTTGCTTTTGCTTACTGCTTACAGCTTACAGTATTCACTTTCCTGACTTAGTCCTGTTGCAGAATTTCTTGGCTTTATGTGCCAGTGGCTATTACGATGAGTGCATATTTCACCGCGTTATCAAAGGCTTTATGGTGCAAACGGGCGATCCGACCGGAACAGGCAAAGGAGGCAACAGTATCTGGGGGAAGAAATTCGAAGATGAAATTCGCGAAGATCTGCGCCACAACCGGCGCGGCACACTAGCCATGGCAAATAATGGACCTAACACTAACGGCTCGCAGTTTTACATTGCTTGTGCTCCCCAGCCACATCTCGATCTCAAGTACACCGTTTTTGGAAGGTAAAATGGTTGTTCTGTTTTCAGTTATCTGTTGGGAAATTTTGCTTTCAGTTTCAACCCAACAAAAACAGTGTGCGCGATCCTCTGCACTTTAGGCATGAGGCTTCATTTCAATAAGACTAATTTGTATGGAATGATCATTACAGTACAGTAAGTTGGTTACAGTCTTACCGTACGTACTCCAGAATCGTACGTACTCCGTACGTACTCCACAGTAATAAAAAGTACTTGTAGTTATGGTTTAAGGCTGATTTATAGCGTGCACTCGTACGTTTTGTTAGCTTAAAAGCGGGTAAATATCGTATTTACTAATTTGGAGCCGGCTTCGTTGTGCTTTAATTCTGATATGTTTTCACAGAATGCTGGATGGTGAAGATACTTTATCAGCCATTGAAAAATTGCAAGTGGATACCAAATACCACCCGCACAAACAGTGTAAAATTACGGGAGTGACGATTCACGCAAACCCTTTAGCAGGATGAGATACGAGTACGTACAACATGCGCATTCCCGAGGCGGCAGTACTTCACTGATCCGGCAATTTAAAACGATGATTCGGAAAGACAAGCGATACTTTTTTTACAGCTTATTGTGGAATAATGCAACGGTGTTTGATGTTTCTGCGATAGATTCAAAGAATTTTGCCGTACTTCGGAACGCCACCTTGTAGTTGTACAATCTTATTGTTAGCAACGGCGTTGTGATTGCGATCAACGATTGTGGAGTTTCCAGATTTGTTGCTTATCACTCTGTAAAAGTTAGACGCTTTGAGCATATGTGTTACGGTTAGTTCGTAATTTGTATTGCCGCTCCGGATTGCAGTTGCTCGTAAATATTCCTGTACGAGTATTTCACTCATTTCGGTACTATTTCGTTGTTAGCTTATTTTGTACTTGTATTCTGTATTGCTCGAATGTTGACAGATCCAGTACGAGTAATAAAGACATGGGAAAATGGAAAACATAAAAAATTAATGTGACCAGAAGCTCACTGTGAGTACTTGACATTAGTATACATGAACTTAAAAGTCAAAAACACATCATCCTTTGCGAATTGCTTAACTAGTGATAACAAGGTTGATTAAGCCATATTCGGCCCGTAGGGATAGAAAATTTCTATCGTTTACGTTTACGAAGAACTATTAAACCGAGCAGACCTGGGCAGTTATGGAAAATGCACCCACCGTTAGAGTTACGAGTTACAGGTAGCGTGCGAGTTACGCTACGAGTTACGCTATTTATGCAAGTAAAACTGACTTTCGAGTTATACCGCGAGTTACGCTACCATAGACAATATATACAGACTTTGGGCGAGTTACGTTAGAGTTAAGTTTTTGGGGAGCGAGTTACGCTACAGAGTTACGTTAAAACTCGATAACTCGCAAATAACTCGCGTTAAGTTATAGAGTTAAGTTATAAGAGTGCACAATAATATTGTGCAGAAGTGGCGTCTTATTTGATTTTATTCGTGATTTTACAGCCATTGCACCATCTGTGGACCCTCCAGTTGTTAAGTGACAACGTAACAGAAGCACGCGTGCGGGGGCCCATGCCACAGGCTGTTTTAACGTAAATCTTTGAAAATTCATAACTTTGTTCATTAAATTTTTGTATAGTCTTGAAAAATGCAGAATAATACACAGCATTAGACAAAATAAATGCTTCTCTGTTTCCTCTTCAGGGTAACGCACTAGGAGCCCCTGCGGTTAACATAGCCGCCTATGACAAATCCCCCATAGGCGGCTATGGTAGCCGTACAGGCTAACAGGGCATAACCCTGAAAGAAAAACAAGAAAAAATTTATTTTGCCTAATACTGTGTATTATTCTGCATTTTTCAAGACTATACATAAAAATTTAATGCAGAAATGAACAAAGTTATGAATTTTCAAAGATTTACGTTAAAACAGCCTGTGGCATGGGCCCCCGCACGCATGCTTCTGTTACGTTGTCACTTAACAACTGGAGGGTCCACAGATGGTGCAATGGCTGTAAAATCACGAATAAAATCAAATAAAACGCCACTTCTGCACAATATTATTGTGCACTCGTTATAACTGCCCAGGTCTGAAACCGAGTATGGCTATGGCGCAATCACCCTCTTCAAAGTTCAACGTGCATGTTACTGCGCACTGCGTACGGTCGGCTAGTAGACTAGTAATTTAATTGTAAGATAGCGAGCAGAAATCTATTATACTCGTAGTTCTTTTTCCGGCAGGCGGTGGGGTTGCCACTGCGACAGAGGGTGTTTAGCACCCGAGACCATATGGCTCTGTTGTGTAGAATTTGTAAGGGTAGTCTTTTTTGTAGAAGCAGTAGTTTAGCCATATGTGTCCTGTCAAGGACGATTTTCGGGTTGGGTGTTTCGATATAAATGAGGCCGCTTTTAAAGTTCTCTGACGAAATGATTTTGGATTGGAAGTTATCGGATGGGGGAGGTAGGTATTTGCTGGTGATTGGTGGTTTTGTGAAGTATAGTGTGCTGTGGGTATATAAAAGGAAATCGGAGTGCGGTGGAAATTTAGTTGGTTATGGGAAGTTGTGAGAAGTTTGTTGTCTGGATTGCGTTGTAAGATCTTATTTGATAGTTTGATAGTAAAGGTTGTTGTAGTAAGGTGGAGAGTGATTTGGAGTGCCTGGGAAGAGGTGTTTGAAGGGATTTTGGCAGATTTGTGACAAGTAAGGAATATTTGTTTATAGTGAAATTTTTTTTAATTATTGTTAATTTTTTAATGTATTTGGTTTCTTAAGTTAAATAGATTAAGAGATATTAAGGAATAAATAGAGTATTGGTTGGCTTTTGACTTTATGGCAGTGTGGTTTAAAAGGAGAGTTTTAAGGAGGTTAGTTAATTTTTTCTTGCAATTTTATACAGTATATCTGTATATTCGGATGTTTGGTGTGTAGATGCTGTTGAGAGTACGTTTATAAAGTAGGAAAACTAGATGTGCATTGGCAGACCGGAGCGCAGCAGCTTTTCGCTTGTGTGAAAGATAAATAATTTTCAACGTGCTACCAGTAGCACTTTTAGTACTTAACATTATCAATAATTTAACCTACAAATATAACGAGCTAGGAACATTTTCGTAATGACCTTTGGTAACAAACTTTCGTAACAAACACAGATACATTTTTGCATTGGCGCTGAACTTAGAGGACCTTCGGTACGATTTAAGAAAGGAAATTGATTTGATTCTACGAAAGATTTATTTAAATGTTATTTCATCATTTAGTTTTAGACTGTCAAAAAAAGTTGGAAATGAGTGATTTGGATAGGCGGAAGTTAAAATGAAAATTATCTTAAGGTATAGTGAGTTGATTAATAGGGTGGTAGAAATAATATTTATGTTAATAAATGATGAAAGATATTATGTAAGAAAAGGAAAATATGGAATATATGAAGGAAAATAGAAAATATATTACGGAAAATATGGAAAAGGATATTGTGGTAAAATATAGAAAGAATAAGTGGCATTATAGGAAATTTATTTGGCATAATGGAGTTATGTTGTGCAGATATTGTAGTTGATAAAATCAAATTGAAGAAACAGGTGGATGTAGTGTTCCGTATGGTTTATTGTATAGTATATGGTGCGTATAATGTACTGTAAAGTTGACTGGTTTTATGGTTTGAATCTGGGTATATTATGGAGTAAATATAAATATGGATGAATGATTATTTGTGTGGGAATAAGATATTTTGAAGAAACAGGTGGGTGTAACGATCCGTATGATGTGAAGTCTGTTGTATTTAGGGATTTTTATTTTACTAAAGCTGGTAAATATTTTGAAGAAACAGGTGGGTGTAATGTTTCGTATCATTCAGTGTTTTAGGGTATTTTGATCCGTTTTGAGATTGGCAAGTGAAGTTGGAGTTATGAGAGACAGGTGGGTGCAATATTCCGTTTAGAGGTTTACAAATGTTTTTTATTGTAGATCAAAATCGGAAAAATTTGGAGAACATGATTTTCATTCCGATTTTTGTTCCGGTTGTTTGGTTGTATGTTGGAGTTGTTTTTGTATACATGCCATTTCAGGTGTATGGTTATTATTGGTAAGTGTTTTAATTTAATTTGATTGTGCAAAAATTTTTATTTGCTGGTTTTTTTAAGTATTGAAACGAAAATGGGAGACAAGAATTTGGGTAAATTATACAAAGATGGAAAAAAGAGGTGTTAAGCGAAAGTGTGAAAAGAGTAAGAAACCTAAAAAACCTAAGAAACAGATAAAAGAACAAATATTTGGCAGTTCATATCTTAATAAAACTATGGTTAATTATTATCCTTGACTGAGCCGAAACCATCGGAAGTTACATTTGTCTACAAGCCAATAACTGTAATTACGATAGTCATGTAGCATAAGGTCATAATTTATATTATAAATTCTTTTGTTATTATAGTTGCAAATCGTTGACGACAGTGGTGTTGTGGATGTTGTGGGATATAATCAAATTCAACAGCAATTATTTGGACATTCAGCTGCTGCGCATCAAAGCGGATTGATTGGGATTCACGATTTCTCAGCTATGAATAAGCAATATCGCGTCATACTGAAACAGGCTTATACTAATATTGAAGTTAGCAATAAAAACGTTTCATAAATATAACAAGATAATAACACAAGTTATAATTTTTAATTTTTGTAAAATATTCATATAGGGTCGGAGCAAAGAAATAATCAGCATAACGTATATGGAAGAAAAAAAGCCAGGTATAACCTTTTTTACGAGAATAAATTAATTATTAATATTCAAAATTAATAATGAATTTTTATTTTGATAGACGAAATTCCAGGAAGTGCTATGGATATTGTTGTCACTGACGACAATACAACCGTACTGCAGCCTGAATTCAGCAAACGATCTGTTGGTAAGAATTTAAATATAATTATTAATTTAAAGTTTATTTTTTCTAAATTTATTTATTTATCATTTATTTGTTTATACAGGAACTCCGAAGAAACGAAACAAATGAATGGAATAGCATGAACCGTTGTTTTACTTTGAGATGGACCAATCGTTTTCATTTTTATTGTTGTTATTTGAGCGATTCATCAATTTATTACCGCCATTACACCATTTTTCCTAATTGCATTATTGTTATCTGTGGTATTATTATCTGACAGTGGTGGTGCGGTATTATTATCTATGTGATGTAGTTATGTTGAATTACTCGTTTAATACTTGTAAAGTTTGTATCTTAGTATTTTTCTTATACTGAAATACACTATTATTTTGTTATTTTGTATTGGTTTTGTAGTAATTAACTTTTAAAGCTACCAATGACTAAAGGACGAAATAAATAAGGCAATTTCTTTGTTTTTAAGTTTGAGTAGATCATAATATTTTATAAATATGCGACCTACTGAGTCCAAGTAACAACTTACTGGTAGCTGAGAACCTTTAATAATTATCATGGTACGAGTACAAAATATGCATTAGAACAAAACGGCCTTAACAAAAAGAACAGTTGTATTATGCTATCCTGATCGGGAATCATACCGATTACACAAACCGAAAGTCAGCTGATCTGTGGTAACACTAAGTGAAAATAAAATTAAAAAAAAATTAAGATGTGTAAATTTTAAAATATGCGTCCAACTGCGTCCAACCAGCATTTACTGCCAGCTCGTAGGAGGTAGTATTTAGAGTCAGGTGTGTGTTATAAATATGCGCCCAACTGCGCCCAACCAACAGTTACTGCCAGCTCGTAAGAGGTAGCAGTTAGAGTCAGGTGTGTGTTATAAGTATGCGCCCAACTGCGCCCAACCAACACTTACTGCCAGCTCGTAGGAGGTAGCACTTAGAGTCAGGTGTGTGTTATAAATATGCGCCCAACTGCGCCCAACCAACAGTTACTGCCAGCTCGTAGGAGGTAGCAGTTAGAGTCAGGTGTGTGTTATAAGTATGCGCCCAACTGCGCCCAACCAACAGTTACTGCCAGCCGTAGGAGGTAGCATTTAGAGTCAGGTGTGTGTTATAAGTATGCGCCCAACTGCGCCCAACCAACACTTACTGCCAGCTCGTAGGAGGTGGGATTTAGAGTCAGGTGTATGTTATAAATATGCTCAGTTAGTTTATGTATGTTATAAACTAACTGAGCTGCGTCTCTATCAGAGTCCTACGCACAACCATACTTCCAACTTCATTAACCATTCTTCTTCAATAACCAACATTCAATCAATTATACAAACACCAGGTGGCGCTTCTAACTCTTAAACCGCCTGCCACTTGGCCGCCTCCCCCGAGGTGGCCGCCCGTTAGGTGTTCACTTTCCAGTCTTCCGAAATTTTTTAGTTACTTGTTGTAGTAATTACTGGTGGCCTATTTGTCAGGGCTCGCCACTTAGAATTTGCATCACCGATCTCCGCTAGCACTATGGACGACACAGTGGAACTGGATGATGATATAGTTGAGACTGGTTCGTTCGCGAACAGCGATAGCGTGGAGCCCGAATTCATGGACGCGGACTTTTCTGAATCAGGCGGTATGGAAGATAGCGATGCAGCCCTATCGGAACAGGAGGAAAATCCTGCTTCTCTCCTCAGCAGAGAGGAACTTAAAGAATCCGCCAGACAACTGGAGAGAAAAGTGCGTAGAAGCGGCGTCATTTATTTGAGTACGATTCCCCCTGGGATGAATGTGGCTAAACTCCGTGAAATCCTGAGTCAGTATGGAGACATTGGACGCATATACCTTGAAGTTGATTCGAAAGGTAGGCTTTTTTCCATCCAATACTCCACTGCTCAGATTGTGACAGTTAACTTCCTGTGAAACGTTCCCACGCTTTATGTCTGTGATTTTCAGGTACTTCCCAAAAAAAGAAGAGAAAGCTTCCCGAGAAGTATGGGCAGAAGTACGTCGAGGGTTGGGTAGAGTTTAGCAGCAAACGCATCGCCAGAACAATTGCGGAATCTTTGAATAATCAGCCTGTTGGTGGAAAGCGACGCGCACCGTACTATGAATCTCTCTGGAATATGAAATATTTGCACAGGTTTGTCGTGCTAAAATTTAAGCGGCTTCAATTTCCTGCTTTGCAACTTCGCCAGCTTGTAAACATGAAATGTAGAGATCTAAGAAACTGATGCACGGTGCATCATCCAACAATTTCAAATGTTTCAGAGGGTTTTTAAGTCACGAAATCATGTTCGGCACTTGTTTGAGTGGATTATGGTTTATGGGATAAGTAATAATAGAATAATAACTTTGAAATTCAACTATATATTTATTCATTTTGCTCATGTTGAAAGTGGGTTAGTGAGTTAGCAGTCATTGTACGACTGCGATCGAAATTCACTACGTGAAATATAATTTGAATGGACTTACGCACTTTTCGCTGAGTGTGGATACTGCAGTTGGGAGATGTTTACTGTTTCTTGTGACTGACTATCTGTGAAATTTCGCAGATTTAAATGGAATCATTTGACCGAGCGTTTAGCCCACGAGAGAGTAGTACGGAAACATCGACTCCGCCAGGAAATGGCTCAAGCGAAACGCCAGACCAATTTCTATGCCAAAAATATCGAACAGAGTAAAATGTTGCAGAGACTGAAAGCCCAGAAAGCCAAGGAAGGACAAGAGTTTGCCCCTTTAAAAACCTTTACAATACCCCAAGTATTGACGGATCAAGAGATCCGCGATCGGAATCGAAAATCCAAGTCAAAGCCGTCGAAAACCCAGCCATCTGGCCTAGATAATGTGATCTTACAAAAGCTATTTCCGGCAAAGTAACGCTTTCTTTGCTCAGTTCTGGCAGTTTACTCTAGTGTTTATCATTTGTTATCCCGTATGATTTACTGAGAAAATGCAGGAACGATTTATTCCACGTCAGATACTGAATTTTTTCTAGTGTTACGATATTTTTGGTAAAAAATGTCACAAACAAAAAAAACAACCAACTGGTTCGAATAAATGAAAAAACAAGAAACCGTACATCACTATGCAGTACACAAAAGTGCTGTTTTAAATTTAATAATACTCAACAGCGTAATTTATTCGATCAGTTAGGTGGCTAATAAAGGGTACAGTTGAAGAGGAAAAATAACCACGAATTAACTAAAACGCACAAAAGCACCATGATTACATGATCTCCATAGATTCTGGGGTTTTTGGTGTGGGCAAGGATGTCGAAGACACTCCCTCGACGTCTGTGGGGCTGGATTCGGTTTTCAATTTTTTCTTATTAGGTCTAGGTTTTTTTGGTGCATTTGGATCTTTCGGTTTTCTGCTCTTGCCGCTTGCTGATTTTCCTTTCTGTTTGGCCGGCGACGAAGCCAAGGACGGATACGGCGGGATAGGCAGGGGTCCAGGCATCTGTCGATGTTGCGGTACACGCTCTTGCGTTTCAATGTCAATAACATACGCCAAGCGCTCCATGTTGCGCAGATCACCTTGCTGCCTAATCAGCTTCTGTTTGTACTCTTCCGCTTCTTTCTCCGCTAGATGGGGGGTATTGGCAAAATTTGTACCATAACGAGCGTCGCACTCTTTTTCCAATTCTGAAACGTTTACGAAAAATAAAGTAATGGAAATACATCAGTAAAATTCATTATAGCTGAATCAGATCGATTTGCTTTGATAACTGATATACGAACTCTTTATAAACGAACAAACTATGCACTTGGGCTCCAGTGCCAAATTGGGTATGAGTGGAATAAATACATTCACGAACCTACGGATAAAAACAAAATACAATAACATCAACGATAACTGTACAGACCTAAAATGGAACTCGCGATTTTTTCCATCAATTTTCCCGTCGCCTCCCCTCGACTTAGCACTCCCTTAATCAATGTGCCAAATTCACCGAACTGGCTGCAAAGTGCCAGTACTTCCGGATCCAGTTCCGGTGCTAACACCATTAGATCATCCATGGCACTGCCATCAGAGGAGGCCCCAACACTCGGCAATCCCTCACCATCCGACACACCATCGGATCGTTCAGGGCGGTCCGGTCGATCCTCCATGAATGCTCGTGCGGAGAACGATGAGGGAGACTGTGATGCGTCACCAGGCATATGCAGTCCATTCCGTCCATCAGGAACGGACAAGCGTCTCCCATCTTCGCCCGATCTCAAAACTCGAGGAGGAATGGCAGGAATTTCCGGACTGCGCGATGCGCGCAAATCCGGAGAATGTAAGAACAGGGGCGAAGCAGGTCCGTTCAACTGCATTAACGTATTATCCTTGTCGTCAATATCTGCTTCGAGGTCTTCAGCAGTAAGCGCATTCTGCGAGTCTAAAGCCAAACAATCGTGCAAACGGACAATCAAATGAAAACCATCGTGTAACCTGCTTTACTGGGAAAGTCTATTTTGGCACATTTTCCGACTTACCAGAATCATTCTCCAAGCTGTTCTGCGTTGTATTCACCGATGTCATGATTTATACCCCCTCGTCTAACGCTAGTCCCATCGTCGATGCATTCATGCACCCCATTGATTTTCACCATGGGAAATAATTCCGGAATATTTTCCAAATTCATCTTGTCATCTTTTTCTATTTTGGTGTCGTCTGTATCGCTAATGTCCTGACCAAATTTATCCAAAATATCCTTGAAATTCATCCCTTTTACCAGATCTTCAGGAATATTCAACAACGAATTGTTGAGTTTAGAGAGTTCGGTCCGGTTCTTGCACAAGCCGTCGACTAAAATATCGGTTTTCACTTGTGCTTCTTCTACGGCAAAGATGGCCCTTTCAATTCTCTTCACAGCTTTCAGCTGCTCACTACAATGCACCGTGTCGGCTACCAACTTTCGATACAAATACCGATTAGAACTTTGTCCCGCTCCCGACGAATGCGCTCCACTCAGTGGGATCATCGTCATCCGGTAACGGCGTGAAGATGGGCAATCGTCCCGATCGCAAGTACTGCAGATCGTGACAGACTTTTCGCTGGCTAAATCGAATCTTCTTCGGTGTCTGACAGAAATCGCATACGTAATGTTTCGGTACATCTTCCAAGCTTTCCATGTCGTAACACTGACCATGCTGCCATGTAGCACATAATTCACATTGCACCATAAACCCATTCTCCAGCTCATAATTACAACGGCAGTGCACTAATTCATGATCCTGCTGGATATATTGCAAGACATCTTCGGAATCACTGCTTTCCTCTTTCTTTTTGCGACGGGTTTTGCGACCACTGTCATCGTTTTCCTCCGATGCATTTACACTAAACTCGTCCCATGAATCACGTCTCCGGCTTTTCCGTTCAACTGCATACGTGGAATTAGCAAAATATCCATCAAATACGGGTACATCTCCAGAAATATCCGATAAACCCAAATTCGATGCAAAAATCGGATCGTCCAATGGGATCTCCGGGAGCGGTCCAGGAATGTTGATGGGATCAAAATCACTGAAAGCAGCATTACCTGAAGAATCCGCTCCGGTGCCTTCGGCTTTACGTTTCCTGGGCGGTGATTTGAGATTCAGCTGATCACCGGTCATGTTGTGGTAATGTTTCATATGATCTTTCAGAAGCTTCTGCTTTCGGAATGATTTATTGCAGTCTTCCACGGTGCACTTAAATTCATTATGATCCATCTGGATAACTAATTCCTTTGGTGCCACGGTCTTCTGTTTCGGTCGAGCAGATTTGGAGCAACCACCTTTTGGAGAAGTCGCATCGAAACCGGACATGGCACTCAGCATTTGATTTTCCAGATGCGCATCATTCAACATAGACTGCAGCACCGAAGTGTTAGGTGGACCGCCTACTGCCTGTGTTAACGGGAAGTTCGGTTGGAACTGATCGAAATTCGGAATAGCCGGCGTTTTTGCGGTTGATGTAAACAATGAAGGCACCAGTGAGCTGGCACCAACCGGTAAAGACTGTTGAGTGTTCGTCCAACCAGATCGAGAACTCGCTACCACCGTATCATTTTCGAACACCGTATCCATACTAATTGGCCGAAATGCTCCGGATGGTTCAAGTGATTTCGATTCACCCGAAATATCCAGTCTCGGAGAGTGCTTTTTGGGAATCGGAAGAACGGGCTGCGCAGGCGCTACTACAAAAATTTTATTAAGTAATAAATCCGAATTCAAATAACCGATAAGAGAAAGTGTGCCAGTAGCACGACGTGTTATCACTTATCAATAGTCGTGCGTAAACAATCGTAAGCATTAAAATAATTCATCTAGGCTGTTAACCAATTTGGTTTGCTATTTGTTTGTTTAAAGATTACCCTAATTTATAATAAAAACAAAACAAAGCAACAAAAACAAAAAAAGGAATGTAAAGAAATCAACACCTAGGAAAATCCTATGGCCGCACACTCACCACTGATGGAAACATTAGCGCATGGTTCCGGTACCACAGCACCTGTATGATCGGTTTGTAAACCTTCTGTTTGCGCCACCATGCTCTCCAATCGCGTATTATCCACACCTTCTTCTTCGCTCTTCTTCTTTTTCTTCTTCTTCGCGCCCATTTCCACAACAGAATCCTTGAACTTTAGCGGTTTCTTAGGTTCCCGTTTGGGTTTCACATACTGCGATTCCACCATATCGGCGGTTGTGGCTGCCTCAGCACCGACGACAAATCCAGCCGCTGGTGAAGAGTGAATAACTGGAACCGGATAAACGGACTGCGATGGCGAAAGCGGCAACGATGGTTGCGATGGTGCAGACTGAGACAACGCAGCTGCACCGTTGTTGGCTGCCGGCGGAAAGTGGTGCGAACGAGATGGAAGCTCACTTGGCTGCTGATAATATGTCGTCGTACAACTCTCGGAGTCAATGTCTCGTCGATGGTGAAGTAATGGTTCGTTAGCTGACACAGCGTTTAATTGCTATAAATAAACACCAGACATAACTGAGAGCTGAGAGAATAAAAATGATAACGACTAACGAGGCCTCCAGTACTAGACTACAGCTGGCTTAAACACCCGCTACTATTACCAGCACACATTCCGTACTGCTGCATAATGAAGAATACTCTGCATAATGAAGAATTTTGTTCCGAATACCGGGAGAAAAGTTGCAGTGTTTGAACAAACTTCTCACGGAGTCATCAGCAGAGAAAATATCCTAGTTTTCGCCGTACTGAGAATTTGTCACAACGCTTAGGCATTTCAACCGGTTAACTTGTATGAAACAAATTTACTAAAATTTATGTCGTAGCTCGAATTAGTGCGAGCAGAATTATCTGAAAACCCAAAACGGTACTGCTAATAAACACTTCAACAAAGTTAAAATGTATGTATACAAATATTAATAAAATAAATAAATACCGTACCTTCAACTCCTCCTGAAACCGGTCACGAAGAACAGGTGACATACGCCGGAGTGCTTTGCTTGTCAGGAGCCGTTTAGAACCATCAAATGCCAGTACAACATACTCTGCAAGCAGAACTACAAGTGAGCGAAATCGGTAAAGCTACCACCAGTGAAGCGATGCACAGCGGCATATAACAATACAAAGCGAGACGCTCCAAAGATTCCGAACGAGCTCCACACGCGTACATGAGGCATGCATATATTCGTATTGTAAGTACTTATTAAGCACCGATACAGCCACACAACACGCTCACTGCTACTTGATGCGGATTCTGTGCGCGGTAGGCACGCAAAAAAAGCCAACATGAGTAAGTCGTCGATTATCGTAAATACTAGTTTTGAATCAGCAAAGTCACTAAAGTGTAAACCAAAACACTTCAACATTGCATACATGAGTCACTCTGCAACGGTTACCCAATGTTTCCACTTGCAAGTAAACAATAACGCTATTTACTCACAATTAGCAAAACCTTCTAATGCGCCCGAACAGGAATCTCAGTGTATGATAAGCTTAGCATTAAAAGCATACAGAGCATTTTCCCGAATGAGAACGCAAATTACACACTAATGACAGTGAAACAACTACCATCAATTCAGTTACGCATTTCTCACTCCCCACTTGAATGATGCACACCTTACCATAAACTACACAAAGCATGCAGGGATCTGTATGTGACGCAAGCGGATTTTTATGTAGGCTTTAGTAAAACATTCGCACAGAATAGAAGTACTAAGTTTGTATGGACTGGCAAATTACTCCGCATCACATTCTAACGGCACTAGTAGTACAACAGCATTAGATCGGAATGTGATTAACTGAAGTACAAATTCTTGGAACTTCATTATATTAACCAAAATCCGGATAAAAAGGCTAAATTTGCACCGAAGCAGTCTATCTTAAAATAAAACTTTTAAAACGATCCGACGAAGGCTACTAGTAACTGTAACAGTGCAACAACAAGCAGCCCACAACAAATTTAACGTTTTGACTTGTAGGAAATATGGAAGTATCTGTGCACATTTTTTCAAATGTTAAACAAATTATCTGCAAAAGTTGTACGCCTTCACCGTTGTACCCAGAAAGAGTTATACTTCTCGCTTACCAGTCAATAAATATAGACTTACTGTCTGATTCTTGTTCCGACGGACCTTCAATTATCACACTAGGCTTATTCTCCTGGCCCTTCCATCGTGCGACGACAATGTCACCAATTTTGTACCGGTCCTGATGCTCGGTGAACTTCTCATCAGTAACTTGTCGGATCCGTTTGCCGTAAATGGGAATCCATTCATCATAGCGCGCATTCCATCCTTCGAAATGGACATACACCTGCCCGACGTCTTTCCGAACGGAGACGATTCTTGCCTTGTACCTGCGAAGAAATAAGAGTACTTACTACAACATCATAAAGGTATCTCAATAACATATAAAAACAAGGCGGAAACGACCTCCTCAAGTAGCTTTTACCACGTACAATAAAGGACATGCTGTACGGTGTTTGTTATAACTTAATAGTATCCGAAAGTTGAAACCACCGTTTACACAAAATGTAAGCCCTCGTGTGTCTAATGTAAGTAAAACGTACCATAAATATAATAAAACAGAATAAGAATAAATAAAATAAGTAAAATTAAAATAAGTAAACGTACCATGTATTTGTACTGTCACTCGCTTCCACCCGTTCCCCTTCTTCAAAAAGAATTCCAGCTGGCAATTTGTTTCTTAGCCCATAACCTGCTCCTAGATCAGGAGGAGGCGGTATGGCTTTCGCCGGTGTTTTCGCGGAATATTTTTTCTTTTTCTTTTCACCATCCGCAACTGGAATGCTCTCCTGTGAACCACTGGTCTCGCCTTCTCCAGCTCGCTCCACAGTGTCGCTTTTCTGCTCTTTTTTCTTTCTTGCCTTCTTAGCCGTCGCAGTTTCATCTTGCGGAGCCGTGACAGCCCCCGCCGTATCGAGATCCTGCAGCAAAACCGATTTGCTCTTCCGCCGTGTGCTAGGAGGCCGAGATCGTGCGGGTGTCGTCGCAGGAGGCTGCACCGTAACCACCACTGGCTCTGCCACAGGAAGGGGCCCTGGCGTTGCTCCGGCGGCGGATTTTTTGGGACGACCCACAGGACGCGGCGTTTTCGGAGCAACAATTACGGAGGTCGGCGTCCCAGGATTCGGTGGTCGAATCGCTATACCGTCCTGTTGAGGGGCAGCGAAATACGGTCGAAACGCATCCGCACTCTGCGGATTGAGAGCGCGCGGCCGCACAATCTGTGGCGTAGCCCATCCTTCTGCGCCTTCCAAGGGGTGCTCCATCGAGTACTGCGCCTGTGATTCGTAAGATGGAGCAGAAGCGTACGCTGTGGGAGCGTTCCATGCGCTCAGTGGATCGCTACTCGGTCGCATAATCTGCTGCGATATCATGGGCGCACCCGCACGGAAATGTGTGGTGGGCGCGAAAGCTCGGTTTGTCGGGGCAAAGCTGCGCGCGGGCCACGCCGAATTGGGCGCATAATACAGGGGCGCATTGGGCATCGCCAGGGAGGTGACTTGGGGCAGTTGTCCGGATTCTGGACTGCCCGGGTTCCACGCACGTGGATAGGATAAATGCGATGCAGGGGGCAATATGCCCGACGGAGAGGATGAAGCGGGTCGCGCCAAACTACTGGCCATGGAGTAGGGGCTGTGGGACCTATTTGGCTGGCAAAAGACTGCGGCAGAGAATAATGGGCGACGGATGATGGTATGGGTGAACCGATCGAGGGGAAGGGACGCGGTAGAGAGCCCGAAGGATTGGGGCTGGGAATCTGCTCGCGAGAACCCGCATTGGGTGACAACCACTGCGGCCAGTCCTTGGCAGCACTCTCAGGCTGCGATCGGGCATCCGCTCGCTGAGCGTCGGGATTGGACGGTAAGGGAAGTGTTCCAAACGGATCAGCTGGATAATCGGGATTTGTCTTTGTCGGGTTCATTCTGCGTCTAATGAGACATTCATCGCAACTCCGTCCATGAGGAGAGTGCTACGACTTTATCTTGTTGGTCACCTACAGAAGACAACCATACTGATACGGTTTCCTTCTACCGCGAATGCCAGATGTCTCAGTGTTCCCATTAAGTAAGTAATTAAACGTAGCTTGAGAACCGATTCTGACACTTGAAAATGAAGTATGACGTCTTCACCTAATCGTCAACAGCACCCGTACTTACCATGACTTCCAACTAACAATCAGATGGCTGATTCCGCATCGGCTGAGATCATGGTATCAACCATAAACTAATAATAATTTTATCATGCTTCGCATCAGGGGAAACAAAATAAGAACCTCGTGCAATTTTTGCGCGATCAGTACTGTAGTAATATTATAATTTATTATAAAGATATGAATATGAAATAGCGTTTCGAGCTGATTTTTTCTCCCTTTCCGAATCTCCCTTCTTAACAGAATCCGTCCTTTAGTACTTTCAGAGTAAGTAGTTATAATATTATTATTTTGTCATAATACTCTTTGAAATTTTTACCCTGATATGGGGAAAACAAGTGAAGTAAGTTAACAAAACAAAAAAATTTAATTTTACTGTTTTACGGTACTTGCTGCTTGCAGCTTGCTTCGTAGAGTAGCATAGTTATACGATACGATGACATACCGTATTTACGTAACAATGACACGGTTGGAGGCCTAGGCCTGGTATAAAGCTAATGGTAAGTAATGGCGACTGTGGCAAGCCGTTATGGCCATTTGATTTGCAAATGGTATTATCAACTTTTTCTTTGTAATTCTCTTACAACCTTCTCTTTCTTTCTTTGTAAATTGTAATTGTCATTTTCTTTGCAGTTCTCTTAAGTACTTTCTTAATCGAACTGGGAAAATGCAATTCTGTCTGTTGTTGTACGCTAAATTTTTAAGGCTAAACCACGGTGCAAAGGGTAGAAAGGGTGTAAACTGTAAAGGGTGTAAACCCTATACACCTTGTCTAAATTAACAATAAGCAGACAATTTATACAAAACATTCGTTTTTCTCTCCCGGGTGTTATTCTTAAGGGAGGATGGAAGGAAGGAAGGGGTTCACTTAAGGAAGAAAGATTAGCAGTTACTTAATAAGTCCTAAACAAACAAAATTAGAAAACGTGAACACTATACTGTTTCTGGAAAAGAACTGATATGTAACGGCATCGCTATGCATTAAAAAATGTGAAAGTTTTATCTTTTGAATGCTCTTTCATAATTTATTGGCTATTGTTGTATTGAACGTCTACTCGTCAGAATTCTTTACATTTAACCGACCACATTTCACGGTCATAATTGTATCAGAATTACAAGTAATTCCGTATTTCTTTGCTCGGGCTCCGAAACTTCTTGCTTTTTTGTGCTTTTGCTTCTTGTAGTATGTATTTAATTTACTAATGATCGCTTGCGAAGGCCTTTCGCTATCTTGTTTAACTGAAATGGGATGAACGTGCAGTGCCGACCGTGCATAACAATTCGCAAACGTTCTCACTGTCGGTGCCACCGCCGTAAACGGTAGCAACTTCCGGTCAGCATAGTTGCAGCTGCGGACCGTGTCCGCCTTTTCCTTGCTTATGAGTTAACTATACAGTATTAAATTACGAGGATAAATTATCAGTGTAAAGCCATAATAAGGAGAATTACCCACTCGTTAGCAGTCGAAACAGTTGCTGTTGTTTATTTAATACAATTTTGTTTTATATATTTTAGTAATTAATACAGAGTTCTTACCAATCTGGCTATAGCTATTCTTCTATGCATACGCCGATACTCGTATAATTCACTTAAAGAAGTGCATAGATGACCTTTAGAATAGCATTAATATGCCGCTTGAATTTCGAAAATCGTCAGCCCTACTCAAGTCAAAAGCGTGAGCTGCCGTAACTTTTTTTGGTTTTGTGTTATGTATGCTTATGCTTACGCGGAGTGTATAAGAGTAGGACTATTTGTTTTACACATTCACAAAATAATAAATTATGCGCGCGTAAATGTTAACGCGTCCACATTAATTTTCAACTGTCCCAGACATCGTGATGCAACATGCTGTACTAGTGCAAATACAGGCACAGGTACTGTACATGCTGTAGATTGCCTTTACTTAATTAATTTAGGAAGCTTCCGGGCTTCAGCCCATCGATCTGACTGTGATCACAGTTTACATATGCATATATCTTGCTGCCGCAGTCAAACAGGCACAAATGTCGAAGTTGACCCATCCATAAATATTTACAAAAATAACTCGAAACATTAGAACATCAGACAACATCTATAACAAATCCGTCAAATCGCCGAACGGGAGCAATAGTAAAAGATTCTGTATAACGATAAAAACTTTGTCATGCATCAGAAGCATCAATCGTTCCACGGCGGAAGTGAATGCGATCGTCACTGTCGAATTCGGGTTCCGCTGAAAGCACAGATTCACGTGAGCCGGTTTCCGGCCTGCCAATATCAATTCCCTCATCGGGACTCTCTCTTCTCTTATCATCAGTTTCCTCCTGATTTTTTGCGTTTTTCAGAATACTCTTTATGGGCACTGGAGGCTGTACCAGATTATTACTGGAGGAACTGGACAATTCGCTCATTTCCACGGATTGACTCGTATCGGAATTCTCCGCTGAGATCATCCGTTGCATGAGGTGTTTCGGTAGTTGTCCCTGCTTGAAATGTTCCACCCGCCCTAAACGCCGCTGTTTTAACCGCGACGCACTACTGCCGTTGGGGTCCATTTTCACTATCACAGTATTATCAGGAAGCGGGGTGCTGGGTAGAAACTGTAGCGAATCCCGCTTAACCGGCAACTGTTGTATGGATGTGGGCGGCTTCGTGGCCGAGATTTTACGCTTCTCCAGACGGACTTCGCGGGCACGTTCCTGCCAATTCTGCAGACGGTCCTCTATTTCTACTTCCATGGCCGTGGGACTGACGGGAACCGGTGTACCGGGTAGTGAATTATATCCTGGACTGGTGGCGGAATCAGATGGTTGTATGGAATCAACAGCATCGACAACGCGGCCGTATATTACCACTGGTGAATTGCTTCCATCCGGTGAGGCTAATATTATTTCGATGCGCGGTGATGCGGGCACCACGGGCGTATCGGGGACAAAGGTCACGTTGTCCACTCCGGCTCGGTTATCCCTGTTTGCTGTCTGCTCCAGTGGACGCACTGAGATGGTCGATGAGCGCTGGGAAGTTCCATCCACGCGTTTGGTTGTCATCCGCCTGAAAATTATAGTACGGTGTGATAAAAAAAATAAATACGAAACTTTCTTTGAAAATTTTCTATTGAGTCTTTATATACTGTAGTAGGTAATATCAGATGGCTGCTAGCAAAGACTGCAAAGCACGTAATTTAGTGCCTTAAAGCGCAAAAATTACAACTGTCACAAACCGTTTGACTGTTTTTGCCCATTTGGTAATTTGGTTTTTCCTCCAGACCCAAGAACTAAATATGATACCGGCGACAAACTGAAGCGCTAGATGTACACCCAGTTCCACGGTTTCGAAGTCCAAACTTTGTGCCTGTGTACATACGGTAGCGGCATCGTTGTTTCCGGCTATTAGATTATGAAGATGACAACTGCAAATGGCCCTCATTAGAATTGAAGTCCATATCGACAGTGCAACAGTACTTCTACGTATTTTACCGCAATGAATCAAAATAACCAACATATGTATCATTAAAATAATACATTTGCAACGTTGTTCATCAGAGTACGCTACAAAAACGGTACAAAGTTCCTTACTTGATGAAGTTTGCGCGCAATGAGGTATAATAAGCCGCATTTATGTAATAATGTGCGTGAATGAAGATAGATATAAGGATACATATACACACAAGCACGGCAATCGCTCCTGTAAAACAAAAATTCCATGTAGCGCTTGTGTTTTGCAAGTCAGGATTTTAACTATCAGACTCATATCTCCAGTTCCATCATTCTTACCAATATGTAGCATAGTGGACCGAATATTTTTCTTGTCATCGGCACTGAGTGTTTCATTTTTTGACTTTTTTATCCGGTAAAGAACCATTAACCCTGCAAAAACGAAACTGAAAAGTTTGAAAACATGAAAAATACTAAGCGATGCAGAATAGGGTATATACTCGTGCAGTTCCATTACTTCGTTGGTGTCACTCGATTTACGTCTATGAAATGTGTACTAAAAAAAACTATCATTCTGACAAGCAAATAAAAGTCGCGTACCATGGACCGGGCTTTTAAAAAATTTGAGTACAGTAGTCCAATAATCTGAAGACCTGAAGTATAGATATCTATATATTGCTATTGGCAATTAATGTATGTACACTGTACAGGTCAGAGTTGGTATGACAATTTCGAACTGCACAGCTTATATGGGCGGAAATGAATAACAATGTTGTATTGTACTTTAGAGTTTTAATCGTAAGTACTTAATTTATTTAATATAAAAACATGCATAACAATATTATTTAGAGGTGTCCAGTGGCAAGTTTGCTTCATTTCTGCCATTATACACCGGTTTATAAATTAATGTCTTCAACACCACGCCTTAGCATTTTCAGTTTTCCGAGGTGCATTCTTATTTACCAATTACTTACCCCGAATCATGAAAAATCCGGAGGTGATGGCAACCAACATCAGCGGTAACACCAACAGGAAACCTCTAACGAAGCCCCATTCTAACCCAATAAAACAAATTCCACTAATATGATTGCCGTCTATCTGCAAAAAAAATTGAGGATGAAGATGGTTAAAGTTTACTTGTACCGACACACACATAATAATCTGTATATCGGACCCTCTTAATACGATTGTGTGAAAACGGAAAAACAGCTGACTCCGGTTTTTTATTCCTTGTTTGTATAACAATAGTAAGTATGCTATTATAAAATTTTATTTCCCGAATTTCTGTTACAAATCTAAAACATAATATGAATGGTCATAGGTAAATATTTATTATGGCTTTGTATTCGTAAAAATAGAACTGGTACAATTTTATGAGCCAGCCTATCCAGTATTGTACACCTGGCGCTGGCTTACACTAAGTAATTATGCGAATTGTGCAAAAATAGCACTAGTTATACGAGTACAATACAGATACTATTGTACTCGTACATAGCTGCGGCAACCATACAGAAACAAAACTGTTTTAATGATTTCTGTAAATAGTCAGCAACAGCAAGTTTCATCTGGCCCAATGAAAAGGAAATATTGTTCGAACAGAATTATTTACATGAGTTCCGTGGAGCATCCTTGATCTTTGTCATTGACATTGCTTAGGTTGACACTAACAAATCGAGCCCCATTCACGGGTTTTTATGTTGGCTATGTTTGCACTAGACGCATTTTATAGGTGTAATTAACAGTTTAGTCATCAGTTACATTCAAATAAACCAGTTATATTTTCTTAAAGCGGTACAAGTGACAGTACACGGTTGAGAAAGTCTGTCTGAGAACTTTCAGATGGCCGGATCTTAGCAGCCTGCAGGTTTATTCGCAATTCTAATACTTCCAAACAATTACAGGAAATAAATAATTCCGCCATGTTGTTTTTGAATTAAACGTGATAAAATATGGGTTAACGTTACCGAGAGACAATTAGAAATGTTTATTCTGACTTCCAAATTACCAGTTTTCTTGAGAAACGTTCTGCTGTCATGCATGTGCACATACACGATAAGTCATCAAGGTGCATTATATACAGTTCAGCAAATATGAGAATATCGATGACGAGATTTTCACTGTACATCCTGCCTACCGGTTGTAATTCTGATACGAAGCGTCGGAAGCAGTTACAGCAAATTATGAAAAAAATGCTTTACTTACCCCGCTTGTAGCTATTACGATCAGGCAGAGCAGCAAGGGCGTTACCCACGCCGCTACATGAAATCGTAACGAATAGTTTCGCAAAATTCCGCTGGCTTTCATCTCATTAGTATATACGGTTCGAAATGATATATGTCCGATTGAAATTAAATCTTAAGCATAATTTTAAAATTTTGCAACTGTAAACCACGCAGCTGCCACATCCATGTAGGTAAAATTAATACAGTACTTATCATAAATAATACCGAGAAAATTTTTTTAAAGCTTTACAAATTTAATTTACAGCTTAAGTTTTTAATCATACATGCAGTGCAAGGAAAATTATTTTATGTATAAAGGGGACAAAAATTAATTGATGTGCAAAAGAAAATTCTACCCTAGGTTCTTTTCCGTATAGAGATAGTTTCCTTGTGGTGTATACTGTATATACACTGCATGAAATTACTATACCGTGATCAGAATACTAAATTACAGTTCTATTATGTACAGTATTATGACACTGACTTAATTCAGTGATAAAACTATACGGTGATCAATGCATTCCACAGTATACATGAGAAAAACGATTTTTACACGGCAGCCGGCATCATCACACGTAATCATAGGGTCACCTCACCATGCACATTATATAAAGTACAAAGCAATTGTTTATTAGGCAACTATGCAATAAAAAAGAGCGTTATTATTCTTATTTAAATCAGTCTGAACAAAAGATGTCTTGTTATTATGTACTACAAGTTGCTGAGTTAAAACGATTAAAAAACAGCATGACGCGAGAAGCAGATTGCACCTAACATAAGTCTTACTTGGGTTCATGGCTTCGTTCAGTTTGATCTTCTGAACAAGTAATTTTGTCACGTGCTCCTGGTATAAACTGAATAGCCCATCCAATTCCCGCCATGATGAAACAAATATTGATAAACAACAAACATGTATCCGGATATTTCGTTAGTTTGCGCCACCGTAAAGCCAGGGATATCTGACCAAGCAAAACCTCTCATTAATCTTCTAATCCAAATAAATGTATTATGCCAACCTATACTTACGGCTAGTGCCCGACTTATTTGGCGAAAAACTACGAACGTCAGTATAAACAAAGGAACGCAGACCACATCGAACTGAAAGTACTGTAGCTATAGGTTTCAATATTGGTTATGCCCAATATATTTAACGCACAGCAAAATAAAGTCGTGCGCCACACGGACACTACTAATAAATGCTGCAACCGCAGCGGGTCATCTCATCATCAGCAGTAATTCTTGAAAGAAGCAGGTGCCTGGGTTTCACCACAGCAATGCAAATATATGCGTTTTTAAAGATTGACAGATTACAAAAATAGGTACAAACTACAAAGTACAATTCAAAAAAGGGTTTCAGTTTAATTGCATTTCGTTTTCTTAGTGGCTGACCGAAGGATACTTACGAATGCCGTGCCGTTGAAAATAAAACCCATGACGACTAATACGGCAATATAAACATGCAGGGATTGTTGCATGGATTCCGACAAAAATGGATTGTGACACCGGACAGCACAATTGCCATTAGTGTTCCAATCGTCTTGGGTAATTTTAATTGTGTCGTTGGTGGCTGTCATAGGATGTGGACAGGTAAAGGTTATGTTGCTCTCCAGCATTTCAAACCATTCTACTTGTTCCTGTAAAATGTCGATAGTATAAAGATCTATTTTAACTTTTGCGAGCTTAATTATGCATAAAGCATTATTATGATATGAATTACACGTTTTTCCGTTAGAATTTGAGGTTTTGGTCAGCCATTGCGGTTCTCTAGGGGCTGTATTGTATTACATACAATAAAGTGTGATAAGTGTAACCATGCAATGGCCACATCACTACAATTGTTCCCTTTCGTCACCCGTCTCTTTAATAACTAAGTAAGCTGGTATAGTACTTACGACGTTAATTAATTGACTGACTTTGTATGAGAATACTCAACATGCTACATATTTATATACATTTCTTTCCTGATATCTAAATTTAACTCCGGTCTGTATGACTTTTTAATATTATCACCATCAGTTTTCATTTGGCTTTTTTTGTTACTGATTGTACTGTACGATGGACAAAAAATAATTGCTATTACTTAACAGTTTGCTTTTCTTAAAATATGTGATTATTAGGGTTCACCTTGGCCGCAGTAGCAGATTAAATGACATGACCTGGGATTTCAAAACTCAGCTATAGCCGGGAAAAATATAACACTACAGGCTATACATACAGTCCAGTGCAAAACACCTCTCTTATGTCACAGACTCCGCAGTAATCAGCTTACTTCCGTACTCGCACTATATTTAGAAATGATTTAATATTAGCATAAGCGCACTCAGGCTGCGGCCAAAATAAATTATCAGCATTAAATTCACACACCTTCCTAAGCAGCTAACAAACAGTGTATCGCATTTGAGGCTGTGATATGCATAGAAGTATGTACAAACGTTTTCCATGTATGCCAAAAAGAATTGCATAATACCGTTTATTATGATACCGATAAAACGTGCATACCTCGCAGTTAATGTTATTAGTGAATACATTATCATCCTGGCAGGTCTTTAGTGGACTCAGGGATTCCGGAAGTGCACGCATAACTTTATCTCCGCACATTTGATGTATTTCCTGACACTCCTTCCTGGGAATTAATCGCTTTTGGCGCTGTATACATTTGGGTATAGCCACAGCAAAAATTAGCGGTTGAACGTAATCCCAACAGCGGGAATGATATTTCAGCCTTTGCGCTTTTTCAATGAATTCCAGCACTTCCCAGTCATTGCTTTCTGTAGTACTATCGTAACGTAATCGCACATTTATGGAACTCAGGTATTCCGTAACATTCCGCGGAATCGGCACACACATCTGCACAAATTTCGTACATTCCCGTGGCCGATCCAGTACCAGATATGTCTGAAGGCGGTTGGGAATTTTTGGGATTTTTGTCTCATTAATCCGCTGCCACTGCGGCACATCGTCATCGCGAAGATCATTATTATTAAACACAAAGGATGATGAAGTATTCTGTAAATACAGGCTGCATAACGTAATCCATAAACATATTTTCTTCATTTTCATCACAATTACAAGTAATGTCTCTCGATTTCAAGTGTTTTTCTCTCGTAATGCCAAATCTTGACCGTCGACAGCTTATTAGATAGGTGTGAGACATATGTATACGTAACCCCGGTCAACACTTTGCGGTAAACGAGGTTATGCGAATTCTCAAGGATATAATAGTGGAGCGGCACACATTTTTGTTGCAATTAACAATCGGACGATTTCATTATTTCAGTTGGAATGTGCAAGTCAAAATTGTGGATAATAACGTTTCCAGTCAAGTAATCAGTAGCAGATGAATTACGACTGATATGCGTTAATAGCGGAACAGATTGATCCTGATTATATTGCAAGCTAGAAAGTAATAATCACTAATAAGAAAATTACTGATAAACTGGTGAGCGAATTATACCGGCATATACTAGTAAGCAACGCTTGCACAGAGTATACGTGCAGGTAGCCAGTGAAGCTATAATCGTAAAAGTGCGCGATCTGTGCTAACCATAAGGTGGAAATCTCTCTAGTTCTAGAACACTGATAATAGCAGCGATTATGCAGGCGGTAGTTTTATATTTAGCTCACACCTTTCTTTTTTCTCGTACTCATACGCTTGCCGGCTGGTACATCGGTTCATTACAAAAAAATCTGTGGCACCAAGCTAATGATAAGTACCGTACGTACTGACCTGCACTGCTGCAAGGCAGCAGATCTTGTCGTATAGAAAGCAAATACATATTGTACAAACGGTACCGCAACTCACCTGATGGTGAGTTCCGAATATCTATACATAGTCCATTTTAATTTTGCTCGTAACATCGCTACAGCTCGGTAGCTGTTTAAGGCCAATGCACGATATGCTGTTTATACGTACAGTTCTACAATGAAATGATTACGGGCTTTTCGAGAACGGCATACGTAGTACAAAGCGGCATTGTACCAAAATAATGAGCGTTATTCGGAACGTTAGGCAGTCTTTTAAACTTTGGCATATAAATATACTGGAGACGTTCAGCTTTGAATAAGAGGCAGGAGTCTACAGCTGACCTGGTGAAGTGAGAACCAAAAAATCAAATTACTAATTTTATAAGACTGGTAACAACCTACGATGTACCTCGTACACTGGTAAAAAGGTAGCCGGAGCAGAGGATTCGGCTTTAATTACAGTATCAGGCGCAAATGTTTGCAATCCAAGCTCACTTCGGCACGCAAGTTGATTAAATTAAGTAATTACAGTTTAGCAACACTTTTTATAGTTTGGAAAAATTATCTCATTGTAACCAGGAACAAAAAAGTCGCCCACCGGGGGGCTCGAACCCCCGACATTGAGATTAAGAGTCTCACGCTCTACCGACTGAGCTAGGCGGGCTGCTGTTGTTGCTCTAATCTTACTATTTTACGTAGGAAAAGTTTGGATTAAGCTGCTTTTAGATGGCTGCTTGCAATGAGTCTTAACACCTTCTGATACAGCAACGATAGTACCAAAATTCCAATACCATGATAAAAAATCTGGAGTAATAAGCGTTCATGGTTAGGTCAACTGCTGATCAAATCTTCCTTTGTACACTCGGCATTCTTAATTGTGTGTGAATTACAAGAAGTTCTGCAGATAATATTTGACAGTTGTATCCGACAAACACCTACGGGTACGATTAGCTTGTTTTATATAATTATGAATAAATGCGTGTTTAATCCTGCATAAATTTTATTCATTAGAGTAGTTTGCGTCAACAGAAGGGTCTTACGTAAAAGTTTAATATATTTGGCGATAGTTGTTACCTTTGCTCTTTCCCGTTTGCTTATCAAACTTTTCTCTCCGCGTCCAGTTCCGTTTGCAAATGCAAACTTTAACATTAATGGGATAACACAAAATATGAACCTTCGTCGAATATTCCAGTACAACAACATTTTGGCCGAATATCGTAAGGGTAAAACGCAAAAACAACTTCAGTCTGCATGTATGAGGAATCTTAGGAGGATGAACTATTCCCCAATAGTCAGGTTTCAAATACCTGGTGGTATTTATAAATTATCAGCTGTTTCGAATTCACCATCGACGCGATGTCCGTTATGCCGATCTCGACTTAAACTTATAAACCAAAATGAAGGTCTACTGTTTACAAATATTCTTGGCGGTGCACTTGCTTACAGAGCTTACTCGGAGCCGGACAAATTTTTGGCCAAAAACAAAGAGCCCCCCGGCGTATACAACAGATTTTTATTAAAATGCTTGTTTCTGCCCATTATTTCAAAGTTTTAACGTCCATATACGATCACACAAAGTGCTTGAAATCTGTCAGTTTCCTCTTTCCTTCCCGTTGCACGATGCACATCCTCACTTGAGCTGTAATAATTGTGAACAATTATGTTAATACAAACAGCAACCGCTGTTGTGTGACCATTAATTTCCGTCATACAGATATGCTGACTTGGTGAGTCTTCACAAATATTTACGCTCACCGGCAAATCTCCGCGGCGTCACGCGTCTCTTTTAATAATTTAAACACCAAAAGCATCGCCAGAAAATGTCCATAGGCAGAAATAACGATGTTCAAGTTGGACTGCAGGATAATTTTCTTAACATCCACCTACACGCATTCGATAATCCTGCACCAGTTGCGTACACAAAAAGCAGCAGTAATATAATGGCACGAAAATTGTTTTTATGCCGAAGCTTCTTAACCGCCCGGCGTTGGTGGCATTTAGGTTTTGGTTGGCAAGACTAATTTCCGCTAGCGACTAAAATGACCCCGATTCGGGGTCTTTCATACCTTAACATGTATATAGCGAAACAGACACATAAAGACCATCTGGTTATCAAGTTATACATGTACCATGTGGATAGATATGCATATTTTAAGATGCACAACAATACAGTAATGCAAAAAATCTGTGAATAGAATGATGTGTTACTTCATAACGTGTTTAGCCCTACGCAGTGCTTGTGTTTTAATTTCGGTAACTGCTCGCTTTGCAGCCAATGCCAGCCATCATGAATTCGAATAAACACATTTTTTAACGGCAGTTACCAGGTATTTCCTACCGGGTAGGGGCATGCAGCCATATGTAAAAACTGGTGATAAGAAGGTGTTTTAAGTTATTAGCAAGTTAACTTTGCTCCTATAATATTAATTCAGAAACCACGGGTTCCAGATATGCGCAGAGATGTTTTGCCTATCTTACGCCCATAGTGTTTGCGAAGAACAATTGAGCCATAGTGATTAAGCTGTCTTAATTCGTTACTCTGTCCCAGTAACTTTATACTCGTACGTATCTCCATGAAAGGTCACGAATAACAGGCGACGCGTGTTGAGCCGACGCTAAATTAAACTTTTCGCTGTTTCAGTACGACGACAAGTGCCAATAACCTATGGTCCTATGACGTACCGCACTATTAATGGTGCGGTACGTCACACTATTAATATTAATTGCAGAAACTATAATTTCAAAAACTAATGTTAATAAAAATACCATATTAATATATTAATATTGTATCACTACTAACATTAGTTTCTGCAATTGATACTCGTACCGTAACTTTAACCGACCGAAATATTTAGCGTTTGCTTTCATTACTGGATTAGCGCGGTTTACACGTGCATTTCAAAATAAACTTGCTTTGTGAAAAATAAAAATATACCGGATGGCGGATGCTGTGATAACGGGACAACCAAAGTGTGTAGCAGCGTTAACGTCATTTCGATCAAGTCATTCAAGTGGAAGCTGAAATGTTTGCACGAATGTTGTATATCACTTATACGATCCGGCAGCAATTAAATGATCAGCAGGATGTCGATTGGGCTTGCGACTGTTAAGTTCCAATCACAGGAAGGTCAGCAACAGGTATGCAAGTATAAATTATACAGTAGTAAGTATCGTTTACAACAACATCAACATCATGTTCATTAAACTTAAATGAATACGCCTGTGCGAGCATGATTGTACCAAGATGGTTTTATACCTCCATCTGAAAACTTGAGTTGTTACACCCCACATCGTGCAATTGTTATCACGTCCTGTAGTTGTTATATTCAAATTACATCTTACGTTAGTAGCTTAAGGACAATATTGTAAAATGTAACATTAATCAAATGATTGTAACAAGCTACCAAGTCTTTTTATCACTTCTAGATGCTCACGACATTAAATAAAAAGTGAAACTCTTTAATAAAAACTTCAAACAGCAAAGAAAACAATGTATTACTTACTCTCGCATTTTGTGACCTGTACGAGTACAATATTTACCCGGTCGTACATAGGTATTAATATATCTATATAGATATAATTAATACCATTAAATAATAATATTATGCTAGTATGTGCACAGTAATGTACATTAATTACTTAATAAGCTTATGTTTTTTACTTACAAGTTAGGTATGTTTTTTTACTTAAAATTTACATGTTGTTTTTCTGAAAGTTCACCTTCTGATCGCGGCCTTTTCTCTGATTAAATTTGTTTACATACGGTACGAGTTCTTCTGTTTAAAATTCGCTCCCAACCCTTATAGTTATTAGTATAACTGATCTGATTTACCTACGGCTTCCAATGGCATTCGTATTGTAAAACTGGAAATGGTACAATCATTGGTGCCTACAATTGGTGCTCGTAGTGGTACAGTCGTTCTCTCACTCCGACTCTCGTTCTGCATTAATTTTACAGTTTGCTGCTGTTTGCATTTCGAAGTTTGCAAAGTGACTAATATTTAAAGTGTCGAGGGAAAATCGAATTTACTGAAAATCAAGCGTAACTGGCATTCGACTCGGTGATCGGGGAGCACAAAAATAGATAATATACACTCTGCGGTATTGTAAGTTTGTATACATGCTCTGGTGTGTGACGCAGTGCCCCATGACGTTTTCCGAATTGATTGCGTCTTTTCGATCGGTAGATCTTATCTTTCTTGAAGATCTGACTTTTTTCGAAATTAACGTAGCGGATGTTGGAAAACGCAATATTAAAGAAATAAATAAAGCCGTGTCAATAGACGTGTTGTCCTTGGATTGTGTCTTCGCGTATCTATTCTGTTTTGCCACATTGACATCGTACTCATCTCTTCTCTTCGTCATACGGCAAGTACGTGACTGCGCAACAGGTACTCCAGAGGTTCTTGAACTTGTATCCGTTCTTTTCCGTCCTTTCACTTCGTGCATGCACGCATAACCGCACTGTACACCAGTGTCAGTATGTAAAAACACAAAGTGCATGCATTTTGTGTTTTTATAATATGAGTACACTGAGAGGAAAGTGGCATTTTCAATTTTTTTTAAAAAACACGTGACCAAAAAACCACGAGACCAAAATTACGTCATCCGCACCAATACACAATGCACAGTGAAGCGATAAGGTGCAACTTTTGTGATGGCCGATACTTTCCGATAGGCGTCCAGTAAATCTTGCCCGGGGCAGATTCCTACTGCGGAGAAAATTTCGGACTGCCGGCTCCCCTGACATCCTACCGTTACTATGGGCGGTAGCAACGTGGCCACCAATACAATTATTTTTTATGCGCTTTAAACACTCAGTTTTTTTGATTTGTGTTTATTTTGGTACTTCGCTTTTCCTCATATTCCGGTCACTTTTAGCGTATGGTTTCATATCCGATCACCAAGTAGTTAAATTTTCTGACAAAATGAAGTTCACAGTGATTATTAATTTTTATAAAAACGATTTTTTTCATGAAATCTAACCGTAAACATCAATGAATTTCTATGGAAAACATAATAGATACCAGAAACTCTGAATCGGGTGAGACGCAAAACACCGGGCCTTTTCGTTTATTATCTTATGCAAATGAAATTTAATTGACCCCTGAGAATGTGAAGTTGGAGTGGACCTGCTCAACGAACTGCACATTTGACGGGTAGCTAAAGGCAATCCGATTAGCACTTGTTCATGTAGTGCGCCACATGTGCGGTCGCACCAGTGACCGGTGACCGGAATATGAAACAATACACTTAAAGTGAGCAGTACATAAGAAAAAGCAAATGAGTAGTGTGCTAATTTCAAATACAGTGGACATCAAAATTTTGTTATGTTTAGTCCGCGACCGACATTGCCTAGGACACGGTATTAATGGTCTTAATTTCTGTAATTCTGTAGAATGTCTTACCGAATCCCGAGAATCCCTGAAAAGACGAAAGATGAGATGGAAGCGGAAATTATTACGCTGAAAAAAGACCAACAGCGAGATGCGGCTAAGATCGCCGAAATTTCGAAGCATAACAGAGATTTGACCCATCAGAACATCTTGTATCAACATCAGTTGACCAAAAGCAAAGTTACTCCCGATGAAGTTCTGGCAACAATTGCAAATCAGGCTACGTGTGATGGCTGGATTGAATATTGGTCTGAACGTTTTATTGTTCTATTCGAAAAGCGCATCAGACTTACGCCAATCGCAAAGGCTCACGTGTGCTGGCGAAAGCAAGTGGCCACCGGCACCATTCCGGAAAATCTGCCATCAGATTTTCGTTCCCAGGTGAACGCCCCAGGGGTGCTTTTCCCGGAATATGTGAGTCAGGAAGAGTTGCAGCGCCAGCAAGACGTGCGCTGGGGATTTTTGTTGAGCGTACTCGATGATCGCTGCACAAACATTGATGTTGCACGTAAAAAGTTTGACGAAGAAGAGGAAAGCAACACTGATTTTGCCATTAAGAATATGGGTTTTGAGAACGTGGTGAAGCTGAAAGTTCGCTGTCTTGAATTAGCCGATGCGCGAGCGCATGATAAGCCGGCGCTTGCAAAATTTCAGCAGCTGCAGTAAAACTGTTATCTTGAGTTGTCGTTGCTTGTTGGCCTGAATTTTTGCTTCTTGCTTGAAATAAAGTTTCTTGTTTTCTAGTAAGTTATGGTTGCGTTCAGTAAACATATGCTACAATCAGATTTGATGCATTAAAAGACATAGGCCTTACAGAAATATTGTGCCCTATCCCCAATAAACCACAAATTCCAAAGATCATGTTCTGCAAGCAGTATTGGGGTAATTCGATATGCTCATAAATAAACGCATCTGGGCACTCGAAAGAAAAAATATTTTGCATGATTGCAGAGATAATGGGCGGACGCAAATGTATTGCCTGCCCGAATTTCAAGTCAGCAAGTCTGGCAGCGGCTGAATGCTTGCAAACATTCCACAAATTTCCTGATGCGAGCGCTGACGGTGTGCGGTCTGCCCTTTGGATAGCTTTTGCACGACAGGGCCCATCATGGAAGCCTACACGTCATTCTTATCTGTGCTCAGATCATTTCCACAATGATTGCTACGAAACTACGGCGAAAGGAGGTGTCCGACTAAGATCAACAGCAGTACCGTCGATCCTTCTTGGGCATATCCCGGCGGAAGAAAATCAGAGCTTCCCCCTTGAAATTTGTCAGCGGAAAGCAGCTGAATCACCAAAATTGGGCGCTCCGGAACCGCTGCTTGTAGGGCGCGGCAAGCGGCAAATGAATTCATCTGGTGAGCTCTCACGTGTAGATAAGAAGAAGAATTTGAACGACAGCATAAGTGAACTTAACGCTAGCTTTGGAGGATTGTCCACGTGTGAGCCAGTTGAAATCGACCTTGAAAATGTCGTGTTCAGCTTTAAAATGCTGGAAAATAATCTGGACTTACTGCGCCTTCCTCCGTTTTGGGTCGCATTTGTAGTGGAAAGCGAGAATGCTGTTGTCGTTCTTCGTGTTAATCCGGTGACCTTTGAGAACATTTTCACGATTGGAATCCAAAGCACGCTGCATATCACACTGCGCATTCGCAACAAGTTGTATACCGCTAACGAGATCACTGTGACTCAGATTTCCAGCTTTCAAACAGTCGTGGATCTGGCATCAACTCTGGAATCCAGCAATTTATGTCCGTCGTACGAAGCGAATGCTGGTTGCGAACTAGCTTACCTGGGAAAAAGGTCATGTTGTTTATCATGCAAGGAATACCGGAAGCAGTACCTGTCAACTGCGAATTACGTGAAAACCCTGCGAAGTCGCTCCGAGTCCGCATCTAAAACCCAGAACGCGCTGAGAGCACGCGTCAGTCGACGGGAATCAAAAATACGCAAGCAAGACGACGAACTGGAACGATTGCGGGTAATGGCTAAAGAGTTGGAAGAATCCAAGCTAGTGCCTGCAGAGTCGCGTAACCTTTTGACCGAATTTATGGACATTTCTCGCAAAAATAAATTCGACAGAACCAAGTATAAATCTGATTATATGGATTTCGCTGTGCGCTTGCACTTTTATAGCCCGAGAGCTTACGCATTTCTGCGCGATCGTGGAATTCCGTTGCCGCATCCGGAAACAATACGATTGCGTGTAGCCCGTTTCTCCAAAGACACCGGTTTCGATAAGCTAGTGCTCCATTGTGTAGAAAAATGGGCTGAAAAGCGACCTAAAGGCGAGCGGGATTTCATGATGACCCTCGATGAACTGCAGCTCAGCAGGAAAAACTATCGATACGTGCATTCTGAAGATCGTGTTTTGGGTACGGTGGACTTTGGTAAACATAACGCAGAACTCACGGAAGAACAACTCATGAAGCCTGCCGATCACGCCCTGGTTGTTGGTGTGCGAAGTATAAAGCGAAAGCTATTTCAACCGATTGGCATTTTTCTGTCTAATTCTCAGACTCCTGGCTTCATTCTGAAAAAGATTATAGAGGAAGGAATTGAACTTTTGGATCAGACTGGAATACAAACGCGCGGGTTTATCGTGGATGCCGGTACAAGCAACATTCAAGCCATTACAAAATTCGGATTTGATTTCGAAAAATATGATACTCCAACTGTCACAGTTAACGGAAAGCCGAGATACATCATTATTGACCCACCACACGACTGGAAAAACGTCCGGAATGGAATGTTTAAACGCAACAGTGAAATGGGTGGAATTTGTAGCCGACAGCTTAAGGTAATAACGCAGGTTACACCTCTCGATATTTTCCAACCATTTAATGTTGTTATTAATTATTAATAGTTCATCGATGAGAGCGGAAACTTCTATACTGACGAAGACGGAAATGTTCTCCATGTCGATTTCGGTCATTTTCGGCAAATGTACGACATCGATACTCACACTGATCGCAAAGGAATTAGAATGCATCCCAAACTGAAAAAGCCCATGGTTTATCCCGATGGCTTCAATCAACAGAGGGTAAACTATGCGGCTGTACTGCTGTCAGCATCAAGCGCACGCACACTGGAAATGCTTGAGGATGCCGGGCGTATGAGTAAAACCCTTTGCACGCGGCGGTATTGTGAGTTTTTTAACGGCTGCATCGATCACATGAACTCATCTTTGGCCGATCCTCATCCTGGGCGCACTCCCATTCGCTTCGAGAATGATGTACTTGACAAGATCCAAGCGGATATTGATCGATTGGTGCGTTGGAAGAAAACTGTTCACCAGAAAGACAGGCTTTGCAACCGTACAATTAACCACCTCGTTGTGACCCTGGATAGCATAAAGAGGCTTTCTACCGAACTTCTCGCTGAAGGCATGCTTTACGTTCAAACGAAGAATTTAAACAACGATATGCACGAGGTAATACTCTACCATACTAGGCAAACTCTTTATAGCTTTTCCATGATTCTTTGTTTTCTAGAGATACTTCGCACGGTGTCGACAACTGGGAGGATCCTGTATCAATCCAACAGTTGAGAACATGCTGGTTATTTTTCGAATTCTGTCGTTCCATAATATCCAGAAAGCTTGCGAGCAATTGAAAACGAATATCGAGCAAATCGACGATGAGAATGTTATTGGTTCAATGAACATTTTCGACTTGTCCGAAGAGTACTCGAAAAAGCTCGATGCGGCTAAGACCCTGGCGCTGCTGTCACAATCAGATCCAGTTATTCCAGAACTAGAACCTTTACCGGAAGGGTTCCAGCTAGATAACATTGTCAAAAATGTCGTTTATTATTTGAGCGGATTCACAAATAAAAGAAAAGAGCTGGAGGCCGAAGTGTGTGATTCTTGTCGGTTGGAGCTATTTTGGTTAGATTCTTCGAAAGGGACTCCTGATTTTGCCCAACTGACAGAAATGAAAGACGACGGAGGTTTGAACTTTGTTGGGGGTGTCTTTTATGACATGATGTGCAGTCTTGAGCGGATATTCCAGAAACAGATTGACGAAGTCCTTTACCTTTCTCCGCGCCAATTACTTCTTGCTTTCGCTGAAAAATACGCCATGGAGGATTTCGTTACCAGAAAATGTAATTTACGGTCCCCATGCCTTGCTGATTGCTCTTGGACCGAAATTTTTCGTAAAAGTGCAACTTATTATTTCCAAATACGGATTCATTTTTATGTCAAGTTGATGAACGATAAGGTTGGTAAAAAATGGTCAAAAAGTGACGATTCTAAGAAGCGAAAGTTGAAAATTCTCAAGGGTGAATGAATAATATTATGCAAGCGTTTACAATGTTTTGGATTGCTATTTTTTGGTTTAAATTTTAATCGAAACTGCTAATAAAATTGTCAGACATGATACGGAAAGTTGCGTGTGTGAAGTGCGTTCCGTAAAGTGTACGCAACGTAGCGTATGCAGCAGCGTATCGTCTCCCCGATCACCCAGTCGAATGCCAGTTACGCTTGATTTTTAGTAAATTCGATTTTCCCTCGACACTTTAAATATTATTCACTTTGAAGTTTGTGTTCTCACACGGTGTACAGTACATGCTCATTTTTTAAAAATCTGCGTGAAGAATTGATAAACTTATAACGTTTTTGGTTAATTTAAGGAAGCTACAGTTCCAGCCCTCAGTTTCTGATTTCCGACCAGGACAAGATCGTTTCCTGATACATAGCCTAATCAAATCGTCCATCAATATGGCAGGCGCTGAACAAGACTTGCCTACAACTCTGTCGAGTTACAAACTCCAGCTGCGTCAGGTAAGTTGAAATCCCGAAAAAATGAGAAAGAAGCAGAGATCCTAGCGCTGTACGACGGCTTAAAATTGAATAGCAATCCATTTTCCCGAACATGTGGTTTCTCTGCAGGTGGAAGCAGCGCTCACGCAGCAACCAGACAATCCCGAGTTCCTGGCTCTTCAGCAAAATCTACGCGAAGTCATTGATCTGACGCTGGAATTGATAGCTCAGGTTCGCACTAATGCTCCCGCTAATGCTGATGATAGTAAAGAAACTCTTTCTGATTGGAACGAAGGCGATGCCTGCGTGGCTTTATGGTCGGAGGATGGCGAGTAAGTCAGCTGAAAACAGTTTCAGCAGATGAGTTTCGCTGTTGTGCAAAGCACGGTTACTGTTTTCCCCAGGTTCTACGATGCAGTTATCAAACAGATTTCGGATGATGGACACTGTGTGGTGGAGTTTAGGGATCTCAATACGACAGATAACACTCCGGTATGATTGCCAGTAAAAATATCCCCAATTTTTCCGCGTGATAGTGTTAAAAATTAAAAATAAATCATTTTTGTCTGTGTATGTTTGCGTACTATCTGATTTTTTTATTAATTGTGCAGTTTGTGATAAAAATTTAACTGAGTGGAATAACTTCAGTTGTATATTCACGTGACATGGTTTGGTGTAACGAAAAGAGAGCTGTTATGAGAAACTTGGGTTTTGGGCACAGATATCGACGCTCCAGAAGCCCGGAGCTGTACAGACTAAAAAGCCAAGTCGTCCCACAGAATTTCAGTATGAAGATGTTCCTTCCACTAGTGTCGCCATGGAACAGCGGTTGGCCTCCAAAAACAAGTGGGTGGATCTGTAATTTGTTACGCTTGTGCTGATGGGAGGAATCTGCTTTATTGTTTTTATTTATTTTTTTATCCTAGACGCGATCAGCTGAAAGCGCAGATTGAAGCCAAAAAGAAAAAGCGTCAAAAGTATAACGACAAAATGAAAGAGATCGAAGAAGTTAGAGAAAAAGAAGCCAGCAAATGGAAAAACTTTCAGACTAAGGTAACGCACAAGAACGCATTACTAATCGTACGAGTATCCAGTACTATCCATGTATGTACTGTACGTAACATGCTTATTGGTAAATGTATAACCAAACCAAACCAATCCTTTACGTGTGTAGCAATGACTAGTTAATTTCTTGATCATAAATCCAGTTTTGTATGTTGGTCTGCATACAGTTAATATTAATAACTAATGATAAAGACCATATTCTTGCTGAGAAGCGGTGACAAATTGTTTTCGTTTTTAACATAGCGATTTTTAGCAAAAGTTTCGTAGATACTGTAGGAGTATCGAAGAAAAATGTAGTGGCCTGCCAGTATTAATTATTTGTGTTACTTCGTACGAATGGCCAAGGTTTGCGGCAATGTACGCATTTTTTTGTAAAAAAGGCCTCCACGTACAGTTTTTAATGTTAATTAAGTTAATTTGTAGGATAATTTCTGTATATATATATGCTGAATCAAAACGTAACTGTTTTTGTAGACTACCAGAAAGCAGTACGCCGGTGTGACAAAGAAGAGCATTTTCGCCACCTCTGAGCAGGCGCAAGGACGCGTTGGAGTGGGTACATGTGGAATTAGTGGGAAACCAATGACGAAGGATGCTGCACCAGCTATAGGGAAAACGTTGGTAACGAAAAAATCCACCCTTTACAATCCACGAACAAACTAAGTCTTAATGGTTGTGTTTATTGTTCCGGCTGTTGCAAGCAGCTATGTATACAGTTTCGCTGTTGGAAATTCGTTATTAGTTGGGACTTCGGGAGGTAATACGAAAATGTTTAGTCGATGACACTTATTTCATTCGGATTTTCTTTGAATCGTCCAGATTTGTTTCGTACTTACGATAAGTACAGATCTTGCATGGTTTGAGTTTGGATATCGTCTGAACTCGGAAGTAGTGTTGAAATCAAAAGAGAATACTTGTTTGACAAAACAGTGCAGTTCTGAAGAAGAATTAATCTAACAGCAGGATTTCTTTTGATGAGGCGGTGGGGTAACGGTCGTTGTTGTCTCCAGTTTAAACCGCTCCGCATCGTGCTCCAGCACCATTGGCCGGTCATTTTCAATTATCTGGAAAAAGACATAATGATCGCTTGGAGAAATCTGATAGACACAAGCATATTTTTAGCTGGTCTTTCATGGCGGCAGTTTCCTTACCTTTGTAAGGAGAAAGCGCACGGCTTCATCGATCCCGACGTTTTCCTTTGCTGACGTTTCAAAATACCCACTGAAATTAGATTCGCGTAGAAAATGATCCATTTTAGCTCCCTCGGGAATCTGGCTGTCTTTCGCTTGGTCGCACTGTTTCGGAGAAATTTTGGAAAACATTGATATATGTATTTACGAAAATAGTTTTATATTAATTTGTAAAACGAACGTTTACTATAATGATTCTGATTAATTACGATTAATTCCGTCCTATTTCCACATTGTTCAGATAGAAGCTGCACTGCTTATTTCCATTTCATTGAGTTGACAAGTAGTGGAAATCACGTAGCCATGTAATGCATACTGCACAGTGCACACATTTACCGCTGTAGGCATTATTATTAGTTAGCGACTAAACGACGACGCATTATTGATTATGGTACCTTGTTTCCTAAAAGAACACATGGGACTGGATTTCCGTCAGGTGTTTCTACCTGAAAATTGATACAAATTAGCAGTTGTTGTAATATGGCGCGTGAACATCGCGTTTTCTTGGAATCTGTGGGTACCTTTATGTCGAGATCCTTCTTCCATTTGGAAACCGCATCGAAGGACGCTAAGCGACTCATGTCATAGACAATAAAGGCTCCAACTGCGTCCTTATAATACACTCTGGTCATATGCCCGAATCGCTCCTGACCGGCTGCAGGGAAGGAAAACGGGAATTAACAGTCATGTCAATTGTCACTTGCAATCTGACGGTCATAAATCATAATTATATGTAACTCGCTTTTGATCAATAGGCCACCATTCAGGAAAGACATTCGGGTAATTGCTTTGTGTGCTATTGATACATTAACGTCACACTTGCACAACGCACGCAATCTGTCAGAGCAATACAACCATAGGATTTTCTTTGCATTACTAATTTACCAATATCCCACAGCTGCAGACGAATAATCGTATTCTGATCCCAGTTTATAATCTTTAACGCAAAATCCACTCCAATCTGAAAATGACATATGCATGAAACGATTAATGACAAAATTGCTTGTGTACTGGTGTAACTGTGTAACCACAAAGGTCACAAGCCCAATAAAAATGGATGCCGTTGTAAACGCATATTTTCGCTGCTGACGGTCAATGCACAGGAACTTACAGTATCGTTAGGAAGTGACACCTTACATGTATCATGTATGCATTAATGCATATTTTGTATATATAAACTGACCCACTGCAAAATGCAAATACTGTGTACAAGACAGACATCCTCATTAACTTTCACATCCTCATTAATTAAATTACTGTACTTCGACGGACACCGTGCATGGTAGGATTTATCCGTAATAATCATTGAAAAACCGTTATGGTTGCTTTTGTTTACCGTGGCCCGGTATTGCTGCGAAAAGAAACGATGAACATAACGTTTGACGATGCTGGTTTTTCCCACTCCCACGTCTCCAATGATGAGAACTTTGTACAGCTTTTCTTTCCGTTTGGCATCGTTCCGCGCAGCGGATGAGGAATGTGCAGGTATTTCGATGTTCGGCAGGAAACCATTTGTTAGGCCTCTGGATGTCGACGGAATGGCAGGGGGTAGAGCAGACTGAGTTTGCGGAGCGATTCCTGGATCTTTAATTGTTTTACTGACATTCGCGTTAACTGTTGGTGCGACTGCCGGTACAGAATGGATAGCTGGAATAACTGGCTCGACTGTGGATATCGTGACTTTTTGCTCCGAAATTCCTGGTTCAGTGACAAGCACCGGACTTTTTATCTCCTAAACATAAGCAGGCTTAGAACTCTAGTTTTAACTTTAAATGGAAGGATCATAAGAAAACAAAACCCATTTAGAATTTTTAGAAAGCAGCAAAAATTTTTAGAAATCTGTAAAGCACAATTACAGATTTCTATATATGATATATTCCATCCGAGAGATGTGTCCAAATTTTAAAATGGTAATCTGTGCAAAAACTTTTGATCATAAGTGCATGGGCTAATTAAAAGACTAACATGGACAGGTAAATCGATTATCGATATAATATTAATCTGAGGTGCATTTGTTCAAGCTTAATTTAATTATAATTTCGACAATTAACCGCATTATGAAATAAAGTGCTAAAGTATCTTAATTAATGGATCCAAGTGACAGAGTTCAGCATAGACTTAGCTCATTTTTGTAAGAATTATTGATGAGATACTGTCTTCTGCAGAAGCTACAGCACTTGCTGCTTTCGTGTTTTCGTCGAAACGAAACGAAGCATTTTCTCAGCTGTGGGACTGGGACAGCATGCAGTAACATCACTGCCTCGAATTACCTCTAGCCGTGACCGGAATTCTTCCAAGACTTCCGACATGATGTGCAGCAGGCTTTATATTTCTTCCGATTCCTCGCTCGTATAATCACAGATTTTATTACGTCGTAGTCGTAAACGTAATTTGTAAGTCCAAAATGTTTAACAACGGCAGTTATGGCTTTTCCGCGTACGAATGTACCGATTCAAAAAAGATGTTAGATCCCACTGAACGTTTAATGTTGTATTGATAGTGTTTTCCACTTTAATTTTCGAAGTTGTATATTAATTATCAGAAATAGAAACTTGAAGGTTTTCCTTTGGATTTGCTCATCTTCAACGGTTTCTCTGTCGTGTGATATGCACCTGTCGCCTGCGCTGTCTGAAACGAGCACATTTGTTATCTGTGGTAAACAGTTGCTTAACTGATAACAAGACTCTGTACGCGTTATCTCGAATGCGAAAATTAATGATAATTAAGATGAGCAAAGGGCGTTTATAAGTTGTTTCTCAGAACTGAAACAGTACGGCTATACTGAGCAAAACATCGCTAAACGCAGTTATTACGTTTTTAGGTTCTCACGCAAAGTTTGGGCAATACATAAGTATCTGTACTTACATACAGCTAGTTACTGCATAAGTATAACAGTATGTCGACTGCTGCTTTGGGTATAAGAGTATGTATGCCAGTATACAAAATCAGTGTTTTTTGCAGATTTTAACAGTTCGACCAAATGTGCGCTCACTTTATCTGCAAAATATTGTGAAGTTTTTTTTAGAAATAAAAACTCTGGCTAATTTAGGAAACGAAATACCACCAATACTTTAATACATTAGTACGGAAAGGGTGTATAGTTTATGCAACATAGCTGATATCGATATCATGGTATTATGCGCCGTTTGGAGTGCACTTGAAATTCCTTGCTGGTCGTTGCATTATCCCGCGCATGAAGAACGTTTCTTCGAATTCGTTCAAGAACACGGATACATCGACCTTCGAAGGGAGAGAAAAAATGCTAAAGCAAACGTTATGCTGTAACAAAGTAAATCTTCCTTTTCCTTCTAGTGTCAATAAACACACGGAAACTGACTGCCGGCTCTCGGGCCGACTCAAGTGTCTTTTGGGTTTGACCGGAAATGTGAATTTAACAGTCGTTGTGGTTGGGTTACGGTTTATATTGCCAATATGCAATAAACATCTTGAGCGGGACTACACTGTGTATAAACACTCTCGCTACTGTGATATAGAGTATTGAACGTATTTCCGCTACTAACCGGCATTTGCACGAATCACTGCGCCTCATTAACATTTTTACGAATTCGAATTGAGATCAACTAACACGTTTTGAACGCGTTTCCCAAATTTTGCATATTTCTTCTAATTCGTTACTCCATAATCAGTGCATTGTGGTCAGGGTGTAAACCCAACCAGTCTGATAAGAATTATCGAAAAACGATTGTTGTTTTTACTGATGCCAGATCTAATGCACACCCGACAAAACAAAATGGCAATTGTGTGCGTTCGGCAGATACAGTAAAGTGACATCGATTTAATCTCTTATGCAGTGATACACGTTTTCCATTGTGTGGAACCCGAACTATTGTTTGGAACATGAATAAATTACATTTTTCCCCTTTAATCATTTTTAAATGTATATATAAAGAGGTTACATATGCTGGCCAAAAGATGTGTGTGTTATACATATGCTGGCCATAAATTAGCTTCAAACTTTGGAAATGCCTCCTTGTAACAAAATTTTGAGATCTTATGTTGGAGCTTGCGGGAATCAAAACACTTTGTCTGTAGTTTGTCAAAACAGAAGACAGTTTTTTTTATTATGCGCGTGCAGCAGTTTTTTTAAACGCAATTCTCATCAGCCGCAGCTACCTAAATACGATATATATGACTGATCTAGAGTAGAATTTTAACGGGATACACATAACCGTACGAATATTGCAAAGCATTAATTGTTTGTCTGTTAACTCCACAAATATTTCTACACATTGCCCGGACCGCGAAGAGTACAGCTTGACGATGAGTGGGTAAATATCGTGGGCTCATATTTTCTGACTAGCACAATGTATTCTATGACCCTGCGTACGGCCACACAAGTGGCAGCCGGCGCTTGGCAATGATCGCCTGTGAAACCGGCCCAGGAAAGAAATGTGGTTGTCACTTCCGGTACATTCGCTGCTTGGTCGTATTGGCCGGGGAATGAACTTAATGGAATCGTCTCATCACTATGACAGACAAGTTATGTGGAAACCAGCATCCAGTTTGTTGCATTGACATTACCTGCCAACGCCGATTAAGATTATCGCTGTACAATACAAATTTTGTACAAGTAATTTTTTACAGTGACCCGCAGTACGAAATATATTGTAACCGCATAATTGTAACTGACGCTGACGTGTTGCTGCATCATGAAGGAACGGATTGTACGTGTTTAACTAGCGTTGCTGGCATATAAGAAAACTCCTGTTGTTCCCATCTGTTGTGGCCACACAGCAACATAATGGCCATTAATGGACGACGATACTAACGTTGCGGCATATATCCAGGCATTTTATCCTGCGCAATTTATTCGCGGGACATCTGCATTGTAAAACAGTCGGCACAACGGGTGGTTGAGAAAATATATTCCTAACGCGCGCGCCGGTCGCAGCGTTTTCTTTTCCGTCATCATTATCCATCCTCCTTGAAATAACAGACCCATTTGCTCTCCCTAGCCGAAATCTCTCCCAGTATAATTCAGCCGGACACTGCTGAAAGTTTTGTCAGCTATAAACGCGCTATATTATATGTACGGCAGTTGACAATGTTGGCCATGCTATCGACGTCAAGCAAATGAAATCTTTTGATCCCAGCAGATTTGGACGTTACCAGTCGGGGTTGTTTTACGCTCTCATCAGATTTAGTCCAGTCAGTTGAGATCCCGCATTTTCCGATATCCCTAACGAATCAAAAACCGGCTCATGCAGCTGGCAGATTAAACACGGATATTATTTTTTCCATATCAACGCAGTTATCGGCGACCAAATACTTTTCCATTATTTTTATTGTCGTTTAGCACTTTTGGAAGAAATACGGTGTGTCTGGAATATTTGTAACTTCACGCATTTATTACTATACCTACGTGCATTAAAATGGGGCCAAATCGAGAATTTTGACAAAAGGTCAGTCTTGTGTTCAATTTGTCGATCATTTATTTTCTTACATTTCATATTTATGAGATGGACATATATAGGTAATTGCATTATATCTGGCTGCCTCTAAGGTCACTGGGTGTTTCTTTATGAACTGGTTCAGGGTTTCAAGTATAACCATATGGTCGTAGGATTTACGCGACTACAAGTCATCACCTGCTTCCCTCGGGTAATCTTTTGAAAGTGAGACACATACTAAAACTCCAGTTTTACCGTTACCGGCGAAAATATAGTCTCCATACGGCAGATTCGTAAAACTCTGAATCCAAAAGAAGTGCTTTTGCTTGTTTTACTGAACAAAGATTTTGAAACATCAGTCTTAAATGGTTTTCTACAAATATTCATGAGATACAATGTAATTAAAAATTAATTTTCCTATTTAGAAAATCTGCCGAGGGATTAAAAAATAGGTAAAATATCTAAATAAGCAGCTGAACATTTTATTTTTGTCCAGTCAAAAACGTTACAAGGTATTCGCCTAACGAAATTGACTGAAACTGGATAAAGCAAATTTGCAGACGTATAAAGCATTAAAAATGAACAGTTCTGTCTACTTTATCAGGCGTACGCCAAATTAATTTCCGCTGAATGTTCGTGCTGTGTTAACGGCAACACTCCCCTTAATTTGTGGTGACGCATACTTAATGGTTTGAATCGTTAGCCTCGTTATTCACAGTCTGTCGCACAACAAATTTTCTCCAACACATTTTCTGCAAAGCGTGTCGTTGTGGTAAACCATATCAACATTTGAAATTCGCTTCCTGTGACGGAAGAAACCTCTTAAGAAAACTTATGCTCCCTTATTACTGAGAAAATAATCATAATTAATTACGGCGGGGAACAACAGCGTAAAGTGGTTGATAATTAAAAAGTGCGTTTACATCATGTCATTCTACAGAGTAGCTTGGTGCTCAATGCTGTGTAAGTTGACCGCCGGCATGGCAAAATGTGTACCCCGCAAATTTCAATTCACGAATAATTCTAAAAATATTTGAAGCCATTACTGCAAGTGCAGGTTTCTTTCCTAATAAGGTGCATATAGAGAGAAAAAATTTGGACCCAAAATAATAATGTTGCACTTAATGTACAATATGGGCAAGTTTTTTTGCCCAAATTGTACGTGAAGTGAAAAATGATTATTTTGTGTACTGCAGAAAATACTGCAGATAGGACTGGTCGTACTATAGAAAATATTGTACACGATGCTACACTTTTTTGGTTACGGAATGATAACGCGTAAGACTGTAATATTATGATTGTATAATTTTAGTTGAGAACTTCAGAGCAGTACAAGTACGGTACATTAAATGAAATTTTGCTGTAATCTATATATACGCAGTTTGTTATAACCTGTTAGGTTGTCTATCAATGATTTTATTAATAGACTGTATTAGACATAATTATGGTATATTTCGAGCTATATGTACTGTAGTAGGTTTGTCATTTACTCACCCAGTTTAATAAAGAGCTTCTAACTGTATCATATCAATATATGTCATTTTACAATTACAGCCGGAATTACAGACATAACCTTTCTTACGTGGAGCGACATTAGGCTGCCTATTCCTCGTGCTGTATTTATGTGTCTTTCGTTAATGCGCATAATTGTCTGAAGTGTGGTCTGCTGAATAATTAATGCGCGCGATTATCTCAATCTGATCTTCTTTCTCCGACGAAACAAATGCCGGCGATAGCCCTGTAACCACGGTTCGATTCTCCCACTGATCATCTTGATTTCCAGATTGCTGCGTCTGTATAATAAATTACAATTCATCCGATTCGTCACAATGTGGTTTTTTATGCGCCAACGCAGAAGAAGAAGCGATCGGGAGCACAACGCCACCACAACGGGCACCCATTCCCATTCCCATCAACAACATGCAACTGCCGCACAGCAGCATCATCTGCATTCAGCGCGAAGCGTCAGCGTTGTGCTTGAACGACGCGAAAAAAGTCCCCGTCAACTTCCGGCCATAGATCGCAGCGCTAGCCTAGATCTACTCGATATATCCCGTGATAACAAAAAACCCAGCTGCTGGTACTGGTGCTTTCCCTGTTGCTTTGCCTCGCCGAAAGTAACGGAAATATAAAGCGCGTTGTGCCAGACAGAATTAATCCTAATTACGCCATGACTATTGTCCATGCTAAGTGGTATTGTTATTAATTATTTGGATTTAATTTGAACAATAAATTTGCAAGTGTGTCGCCGATTTTACCTACGTGTTTGGACGCGGGATGCTACGATACGTTGGCAGCCGCTGCCGCAAACCTTGACCTTTAAGCCGATCTTGACCCTTCCGGCCAGCCACGCGGATGGTCTTGGCAAATACTGAAAAAGTCAGTTTGCGCATCCGACTGCAATAAAACAAAAATGGACTGCCAAAATGTTATTACAGAAAAGTTGCCATGAATGCAAAGGTTCCAGCAAATATTATGGGTCATGGATATAGTTGATGTGTCACCTATTACGCAGTCAGATGACATTGATTGACTACTGCAAGTGCACCACATTTGTTATTTTCGCTTTTTGCTATGTTTTCCTTGATTATTAATCCAAATAATTTGCTTAATTTCGATGGAAAATCATATTAATTTAAATGAATGCACGCTTTATACGAAAAGGAAAACTAATAAACAACAGCCATTGTATAAAAATATTGTGCGACAGGTATATGATCATAACTGATATATGTATAAGCAAATATAGCAGCTACTAATTTGTAAAATGACCCAGGCTCACGAACAGACAGTAACAACGGGGAAAAAGTCCCCTCAAATCGTTAGCCAACTTTCTAGAGCAACAACGTGCCATTACCAAGCTCCAATCATGTACAGATAGATTTGTTAACGCCTGCTTGAATCTTTGTAATTATTTTACGAGTATATTGCGCATACTCTATACATAACTTAATACACCAATATAATGAAAGGTTTATAAATTCTGAGCATGTACAGTACAGTGAGTACACACCTAGATGATGGCAGTATTAATATTATTATTGGCTTGATGATTGGTTAATTGCCATGTTTGTTGAGAGAGAATTAAATTGTAATCCGGTGTTCCTCCAGACCGGATAAATACTGCCTGGATAGTCATTAACGCGACAATCCGTTATGACGATAGGCCACAAGGCAATCGCCTATAGAAGACAGTATTGTCAACGCAATATGGCAGCTCAAATCCGAATGTTCGAAGTCGTGTTTTTGGTCAGCAGCGATTGTGGTTCCTGCTTTTGCTGTTCTACATTCTGTATTTGTTTTGAACCACACCATATCAAATTTTAGCACACGAGAAAACGTACACACAGAAAATTATGCTGTACAGGAAGAGGCGCTGTATACGACTTATGAAGAATAACGGAACTCATTTTCATTAAGATAAACTCGAGTGTATATTGCTTAAGCTTAATCGGTCCGTTTTTTTGTGGATCACGAAAGGGCGCGCTTGAAAAAACCAACAAAAGCAACCGTCCTTTATCCGTCTAAAACTTAAACTAAATTGCACGAAATCGAATAAGCCGCAGAAGTTCAGAATTTCCGAGCAGTTAATATTGATTGTGACCTTTCTCATTCCGACATAGCTGACAATGTACCGACACTGGATTTTCAGGAGCTGTGTGGGTTCAACCGGTGTAAAATCCACCTTGAACGCGCTTTGCTTGGCTTCTGTATTTCGTACGATCTACGATGCAATTGTAAGTATTCTGTATAGTAGTGTAACTGTATACCTAATTATTACAACACACGTACAAATAGCAATGATCGCTAGGGTAGTAAGCTATTGTATTTTGATCATTAACTCATGTGGTTTTGACTACATATCTACGGTATGTGTTTCGACATAAGATAACTGCGTCAGATAAAAGTGCAAAGACCGACCGTAGTATACCTGCTTGCGCAACAAGCCAATCAGAAAACATAGAAAACAACAGAAACAGAAACAGAAAGAGTATACAGAAAACATAGAAAACAAGGCATAAAGGCAAACAAGGCAACAAGCCGGTGTATAAATTACTGTATAAGCAACAGAAGCCAAATAAATAAAAATACGTATAATTACATCTAATACGAGCACATATTAGACGGTTCCAAAGCCGGTATGCATACATAGATACAAAACACGCGTAACTATAGAACGCAGTGAAAAGGATCGTCTCAGTAGCTGATAATGCACAGAAAATTGCCGATAAGCAAAGGTTGCTACAGCACGCTGCAAACACACTTTTCATGTGGGCTTCTGCCAATTTGCAAGTCCTTTAATTTAAATGTACATACTTTTTATCACCCACTTGAGAACCGCTTTTAAAGTGCCATGTTTTATCTGGCTATGTTTGTGACCGCAGTGCGCTACATGTACAGCTGTAATTACTGTCCGAACGCTTGAGTTTACCAGGTAATGTACAATACCAGTACCATGCAGTGCCATGCCAGTACCTTCATCGGCATTATGTTCTGTGGTACAGTACATACAACAAAATGCTAACACACGCGCAAACGTTAACGTTAACGTTAACGTGCCCTGTTAACTTGCATACGTATATGCCCCGCAGCCACATTACTGCAGGCATAATATATTTTAGCAATTTTTTGGCAAAACTGATAATTTCAGCTGCAACTCCAGTGCATATTACTTGTGAAATTTCGCGCAAATTACTCTTGCTTTCCGGGAAATGACAGCATTTACCACTGGGCATATTTGCACCATTTGCGGCAGCATGCGTACAGTAGCGTAAGCGCCGACAACTGTTGTATTCTAAATGTTTTATCAAAATTTAATTACCATCCATAAATTGCTGAACCACAGAAGATGCCATTGCCCATCTTATCAGCAAATAGTGCTTTCCGTTGCCGCATCCCCGTATAGTCTGATAATATCCGGATGGAATCCATAAAATTCCGGCCATGCTCATAAATGTTTTCCAGTAAATTTCGAAATTTCCTCCAACCCTGATGCGCCGCACGCGTGCTATCACTACCGTGTTATGTTACCACTACACCATGTCGTCAATGCGCAATTCGTATCGTTTGCAGCCTTGATACAGCTTCCTTCTGGTCCGAATTTATCTACGGCGACGTGCGGTCCATGCGTGCATGTGTAGGACAATGGCGGCGACGTTATTTAGTTTCTTGGTTGTTGGATTGTTTGTCAATAATCTGCTTAACTTTTCGGTCATCGCTCAGACAAGGACACAGTGTGCAGCGGTGGAGGATGGCTCTTGTCTGAATGTGACACTTCCTTACACGAGCCGAGTAGCCGGTACCGGTGCGACCGGTGTTCCGTTACCGCTCACGGACAGTGTAGTGAACAGTTTGCGATATCTTCCTGAATGCTGGAGACTGTTTCAACCGATCTATTGTGGATTAACAACCCCAAAATGTCATGCAAGCCGCAGATATTATTTATTACGCCATGTATGCCAGCAAATGCGAGCGGCTTGTGCACCGTTTGTGGATAGACTGCCGAATTTCTTTGGGAACTGCTCGGATCCCTATCTGTATGCGCAGGATAACAACACCTTGGACATGGTAGGGGCCTAGGATGAAAATGCAATACAGTAATACTGTAAGCTAAAATAGTCAATAGTTAAATTGTGTAAACATTTCAAATGGTTATTTGCAGCGCGGTTTTGGATATAATTTGGATCAATAGTCTGAATATAGTCTATGCATATATCTATATGTAGAGCTAATAAAAAAGTCATCCATCATATCATTATGCCCTTTAAACAGTACTTAATTTGACAAAAAACTGTGTAAGTGCTTAATGTAAATACCTGTATTGGCTTACCAAATGCGCGTATTTTTAATATTTAGGAATACACGCTGGAGATGACCAGTCTACAGAATTTTTCAATTGGAATATGCCCCGATTCTCTTGTTCGTACGGACGATGCTCACAGATTCTACACTGACATTAACGAATGCGGAATCCGATGTGAGGATCCATTTTTAAGTTACAACGAGCAGAATTCTTTTAGAATGGTGATGCTGTTCTTTGTGATGTTGTGCCTGACGCTGAATACGTTTGGAATGGTAAGTAAAATTTTTATGATTCCACAAAATAGAAATATATAGGGTCGTTGAGATGCTCCTTTTTCCTAATTTGCCGTTGCAATGTTGCTTCGCTTTAATTTCAACAGGTTTCTCTCATACTTAAACTTCGTGTGGCCAAAGCAATCGGTTTCAATCCGGATACGTGTGCCTTAATGATGAACATCTCATTTGTACTGTCCTCTCTGGGATACTTACTCCAGTTTTTCCCCGGTATACGGAATATCACTACGTGCTCTAATGATGGGCTACGACTGGTGCTTGACCGTTATGCCGAGTAAGCGGGAATATAGTTTTTATGCGTTTTTAACTGTCTTTTGCTGTACGGACGGAGCATGAAAGACAAATCAAAATCCAAAAAATTAACAAATCCAGGGAATAAGCAGTACGGTAACTAAAAGGGTTTTAATAAATTTAACTAGTCTAAACGTTATCAGAACTACAGATACATACGTGTTTAACAAAACCAATGAATTTTTCAGCGGAACGGATCGCGTTGGGTTATGCTTACTGACCTTTTTCCTGACATACGTATTTACACTGTCCAGTTTTGTGTGGTTCGGCCACTTGATGTTTGCTTGTTACCTGGATTTCCAAAAAATTATCAACTCCTACAGAAAAAGCAAAGCTGTGCTATTCACTCTAAGCCAGTCCAGCTGGGTTTTCTTCCATGGAACCGGTTTTGTCCTTCCAATCATCGTGGCCATTGCTGTTGTTTTCTTACACGCGGTATGGTATGAATGACAATTTGAAGTGTAAATGCGGCAGCATTACATGGAGTTTTCCATTTAAAAAGGTGGAAGGCAATTCTATGTTGGGCGTATGCTGGATTTCGCCGCTGAAACACAAGATCAAGGCGCTATTTGTTTTGGCACCCTTCGCTGTGGTCCTCATCGTAGCCTGTGTTTTTATTGTACTATGTAAGAATAATTTTATTTCATGATCCCTTATGCCACACGTTTTCGTTATGGTATCACCGACAACAATTGTTTGCTTAGATTGGCTAAATCTTCGACAATCGCAGCTGAGTCAGTTCGGCACACTAAAAACGCAGCGTAATGTCCTGCGTCGGCTACGACTAGTCGGTAAGAATTTCGTACTGCAATTCATTTCAATGTTATAAATTATGGATTACTTAACATAAACTGTTATACAGATATGTTTATTTTGTCATTGTCATTAATTTGCTTGTAAGTACTAATAGTTTAAGTAAAAAAAAGTACAAAAGTCCGCAACGGATAAATTAATACTGATACCGGAAACAATAAATATTTCTGTAAGCTTCTTAGCTTTAACATTATTTTATTCTAATCGGCATAGGTGTAAACGTATATGTATGTATTTGTTCAAAAACTGACTTTACGGACTTGACATCACAAATTCACGTTGGCAGGTAGCTTGTGTGTGCTTATAACGGCGTTCCACGTATTCCAATTTGGAGGATTCTGGGGCGTCGTACATAACGAGCCATTCTGGAGAGCAAAACAGAAAGAATATATCGAGTAAGGATTACCCATGCAGCTATCACTAGCAATGTTAGCATTTTCAGTAAAAAAATTTTCGCCATCTCAACACAGCAAAAAGTGTGGAAACGCATAATTTTTTTGCCAGGTGTCAGCTCTGGCCAGCAAACCTTACGGATCCTAAACAATGCTTGTCCATAGTGGAATCCGTGAAGAATTCCTATTTGGCTGTTTACTATTGTTTGATCCTGTCGTATTTCGCTAATGGGATAACGATTAGCACGTGGACCTGGAATATTGCTAACATAAATCGCTGGAAGAAAATGCTAACCGGCAAAGAAATACCGTATGTAATTTGATTGCAAGAATTATTTGCAGTATTTTAATGTCTTGAAGTACAGATAGATGCAGCTGTGTTACACAGCACTGACAGCAGTATAAACTTTCATTTGGGATATGGCATACTCGTGATTATCTTTTTAAAATATCTAAGTATTTCGTATGAGTTAATAAAATATTTAGCTAAAAACGTTATCTATGGGTTAATTATATACGTCTGTCGAAAATTAAGTATAGCAGGATATTTTTAATCTAAATAGATGACACTACTTTATACATAATATTACTATCCATTTGTAGCGAAGAGCCTTATTCCGACTATCGGACTCGATCAGAATCACAACGATCACAAAAGGATAGTCTGATAAGCAAACCAAAATTATTTGATCGTCCCCGATCTCAGTCCAAAAAAAGTAACCCCGATCACGATGTGGGATCTCCGGCACTAATCGTCGATGATCATGAAGTTCCTATGCACACACCATCTGATCCGGTACAGAACGTACCTTTTGAAATGACTCCACTGGCGCAGCGATTTCGGCGCACTTCTATTGTTCCTGGTAAGAAATCATTCAAATCCCAAAAGACCAAGCGTTTTTCTATGCTCCTGAAAACCGCTCTCGTGCTAGCATACTAACCGCGTTACAGTAAGTAATTAATCGCTGCTTCACAGTTAATCAGTGCAACGACACGAAATTTACTACATGGAACTTTGGAAGCCAGTTCGCAATCTTAACAGTAATTTTCATACGTCGTTAAACGTTTCGAGATAATATTTACGGCAGTATTTATAAATGACTAGAACATGAGAAACAGGAGCTACGAGTACGTATACGTATCTGTATTGAAATGATTGATGACATTTTCTATAATTACGGGAAGCAGTGTCGACTTGCTATTACATTCACAAGCAAGATGTCTAACCATAAAGGGATACAACCTGGGTTATTAAATGCAATTAATTGCGCGAAAACACAAAAATCGGAAATGGAGTGAGTACTGTCAGTTAGCATTTGTTGCTATGTCGGTTTTCCTGGTGATAGAAAAAGTGCAAGCAACTGGTTAAGAACATTGTAAAAAAATTAGGAACGTTTAAAATTTTGCATCTGCATAAGTATATGAGAACTGCTCGAAAAGTTTGTTATATCTTGTTTTAGAAAATCAAAACTGGCGTTTTGTTCATGCTAAAATTTAACTCGCTGAGAAACGCTGCTTCCAGTTCAAGTGCACTCATGCTTTGGCCCAAATTGACATTCGGTATTCGTGATCTGACGTCTTTGTGTAAATTGTCAAGACTGTTTTGGTCAACTGTTTTCAGGATGCATGAGTCCATTTATGTATCGCTTTGTGGTAAAGGTCACCGAAAACACACCCGGTAATACCTTCGTAATAAAACTCCATAAGCTGGCAGTTGTGTTCCCCCATTTGGCTGATACGGTTATCAACAACTCACTTGCACTAAAAAATCTGAAATTCCGATAATATTATAAAATTGTGCAAGTATTTTGAAGCTATAAGAAATCGTGTTGAATCGAAATGTGCAGCTGTGCACAACAACACCAGAGGACGTACTACAGAAGCGTAGGTACATCCATACATGTAAGCATAACACTATATTTTATAAACTGTCCACAGCTGTTAAAAAGATGTCTGAAAGTGAATATCTGTGACATGTATTGTTTAATTGTACTTGTACTGGATGTTCGGCCAGTTTTTGTGTTTCGTCAATTTTAATATAGATTCATAATAGTGCATTTTCATGTTGGAATAATTAATTCGGTGTTATTCTTACAATGACTGTTTGCGTTAATATTGGTTGTAACTGTAGGAAGAAAAATCTCATCCGTTGCTGACTTCACTCAAATTACGAGGTTGCAAAACTGGCAAGAAGAGGCCAAACGCGCTCGGCTGAACCGGACGCGTTCCAAAGGATCAGGACGCGATGTCTCGGTAAGCTGTTTTTTATTTAAAAAAAAGTATCATCCGTTGCTGACTTCATTGATATTTATGTATTTAAATATTTTATATTTATGTATTAAAAACTAGTGAAATATGATATATCCATTTCAATAATTCTTAACTGTTGTAGTTTACCATCGCAGAAGTTTGATGACTGCGAAATTCAACAGTCCAGCTCATTGCATTCTGCGATCTTGGTGCTTCCAAGATGCCGTGTCAATAACAGTTCTGCTTTTTGTTCCTGTTGCTGTGATATATAATCGGGAAAAACGGATCAGTGGCGTGGTTTTTATCGGCTAGTCTAACCAGCGTTCATTTTATTGTTAGTTGCCTAAGTATTTTCAACATTTCATCATTTATAGCAGTAGACTGAACACTGAATGTTGCCATAATTATATAAAACGGTAAAACGACCCAGACTGCAAGATAATCCCGTTAAGGGCCAGAAAAGAGAAAATTACAATTAAAAGCAAATAGTCCACAAGATGCGAAAACGGTTTAATATCACTGGTATAAACTCCCAATTTTAATATTCTCCATTTTCTTCTTCCCCGCCTTCAGTGGAATCGGCACCAGCCTCTTCGTAATCCTTCTCCAGTGCTGCCAAATCTTCGCGTGCTTCACTAAATTCACCCTCCTCCATGCCCTCACCCACGTACCAGTGAACGAAAGCGCGTTTTGCAAACATCAAATCGAACTTATGATTAAGCCGGGCCCATGCTTCCACGATAGCGGTGGTGTTGCTCAACATGCAAACTGCGCGTGGCACCGCAGCCTGGTCGCCACCGGGAACAACGGCTGGAGGTTGGAAATTCAGGCCAACCTAAGGAGTACAGCATAACGAACTGCACCTTGTCATATAATTTAAGCATAGTCTACGCCGTCGCGAGAAATATAACCTAAAACTGCTAAAAGGATATTTACTCTCGCAACCGAAAATGAATGATAATAAATACACTAATTAAAAAAGTTGAAATCTTGATATTTCCTATTTAACCTCAGCATGTTTGGAAAATATTTAAAGCGAAATAAACACCAAACATATCCCGCAAAGTCATCCGATTCAATTTGCAGATCTTATTCAAATTATCTAATCAGCCGCTGCCACAATTTTTGTAAACTGGTATACTGCGGCTTACCTTAAATCCAGTTGGACACCAGTCAACAAATCGGATACTGGATTTGCTTTTAATGGCAGCGATAGCCTCTGCAAAGTTCAAGAATTTACACATGATTGTAACACAACATCCAGCGTCTAATCACTCACCACTGCATAAGTTACTGTAGGGTATATTTGGTAAAAAGTACCTGTAACATCTTTAGGGACCACATCGCCGCGATAAAGCATACAGCAAGCCATGTATTTCCCGTTGCGCGGATCACATTTGACCATTTGATTAGCTGGTTCAAAGCAGGCGTTAGTGATTTCCTTTACCTAGATATCACACAGACACACACGCAGCGTTAAGTGCCAAATTTCACCAATGGGAGCAAAAATTACGAAAGCACAAGCCGAAAATTTACCGAAAGCTGCTCGTGGTACGCTTTTTCCGCGGAAATAACCGGAGAGTACGACACTAATGGGAAGTGAATGCGTGGGTAAGGCACCTACAACGTTCAAAAACTAATAGTTAATTTGAAAAACGTACATACTAGAACTTACTATTATTAGTATCAGAAACAACCAGCAATGATGTACGACGGTGGAAGTGAAATATATTTCGAAAACCGGTAAGTTTACGAGTTTACCGCCCTTTAATCCAATTTGTGCTAGAAACTTACCGCTTCATTATAAAAACGATGCGGTGGAAAGTCCAGCAAAGACCAGACACTGATGCATCAATACAGTGCGCAACCATTCAGCACAAGCTGACTACCATGTCGCTCTACCTTTACCATTAACTAAATGCACGCAGCTGCATTCTGCGTACGAAAAACAAACTTACCAAGTTAGTTTGAAATTCAGTCAGATCGACATTGAGAGCGCCATCAAAACGAAGGGATGCGGTGATGGAAGAAACAATCTGGCTGATCAGTCGGTTAAGATTGGTGTACGTCGGTCGCTCAACGTCCAATTTTTTTCGGCAAATATCAAAGATTGCTTCGTTATCAACCATGAAGGCACAGTCTGAATGTTCCAGGGTGGTGTGCGTGGTCAGAATGGAATTGTAGGGTTCAACCACGGCGGTAGACACCTAATCGAGAAAAAACACAAAATTTTCATTGACCTTCAGAAAAAAACTTTTAAAGCCAGTATTCAATTTTTTATAAATACTGCAAACCACAATTACGCCTCCCAACCAAACTATTACCTTATTAACATAGTTTTATCAAGTCGCCAACTACGTCGCCGCTAGCGCAGTTCATAGCTGAACTGTATTGGCAACTTTACTAATTATGATACTGCAAAAGATGTGGTGGCATCTTTTTTCATTTCCTGTAAATATGGGTCTCTCTTCATTGGAAAAACAAACACTATTAGTGATACTACAGCTCTGAATCGACCAAACATACTTCCGGTGCCGGGTAGACGCAGAATTCCAGTTTAGATTTCTTGCCGAATTCCACCGACAGGCGTTCCATCAACAGCGAAGTGAAGCCGGATCCTGTGCCGCCGCCGAAGCTGTGGAAGACGAGGAAGCCCTGCAGTCCCGTGCACTGATCGGCCAATTTGCGTATGCGATCAATGGTCACGTCCACAATTTCCTTTCCCACAGTGTAATGGCCGCGAGCGTAGTTGTTAGCCGCATCCTCCTTGCCGGTGATGAGCTGTTCGGGATGGAAGAGCTGCTTGTATGCGCCCGTACGCACTTCATCTAATCGAAGACACTCAGCATGTAATTTGAACCCTGTGATACAGTGAATGTTGTGCGTCAGCAAATGAATCACGACCAAGCAAAACAGTTATATACTGTAGATATACGCACGCAATAAGTCGTTAAACGATTGCAAACTCGTTACTCTTTAGCGAGTCTTTACAGTAAGTCACAACAGAACCGAAAAAATTACAGCAGTTGTGTACGCAGCTTAATGTATGTATTTTTAAATGTAATGGCTCACAAGTTTTCCCTTCTACAAAAAATTTACAATTGTGTGACGGTGCACAAAGTTGTCCTTTAAAACATATAGAAGTATAGGTATTTCAACATTTAATCGTCATTTAGTAAAACTGCGAAAGCAATCAGTACGTTAGTAACACTACACATTATTTCACTTCCTTGTTGCGTAACTTATGTTACAGGTTACCAGATTAATACCCGATTGCAAAGGTTGAGCTTCGTATCTTCGTTATTAACAGTGAATAATTAAAGAGATACAAAAAGTGCATTTGCTGCAGTTTTGGTCAGATTTTCAAAGAACAGACTGTGAGTCAGATACCATGAGTAATATTCGTCACACTCACCAACTACGGTAGGTTCCAAGTCGACGAAAACAGCACGCGGAACATACTTTCCTGCCCCAGTTTCACTGAAGAACGTCGTAAACGAATCACTTCCGTCTCCGGCCTCTTTCTTGTTCATCCGCCCGTCTGGACTGATACCGTGCTCCAAACAGTATAATTCCCAACAAGCATTCCCGATCTGTACTCCGGCTTGGCCGACATGGATGGAGATACATTCACGCTGCGCGACAACCACAGAAAAAACCCCACTTCATTCACGCACGCCACGTCATTGATGAACCTAACCAGGTTTCTCAGCATAATTTCCGCAACTTGATAAAACTTGCTTACCATGTTTGATGATGGAGTTTACTATCCAGTGCCAGACAACTCGAATAATATAAAAATTCCTTGAACTATAAAATAGTCCGTTGGTGCCAGAAAGAACGTACGACGATTTACAGCTATTATTAAAGGCGGTTTTACGAATGGAAACTCGATTAACCCGCTGAACGGATGTCTAGATCAACAAATACGCGCAAGTTTGCGAATTTTCGTCGCGAGCGTGATTTACTCAACGCCTTCCAGCAGGTTCCAAGATAAGATTATTTTTAACTCGCCGAAGTCAAGCGCAGTTGTTGCAGACCCGCGTTTCGTACACTTGTACTTGTTTGATGTTGCGGCCAGCGCAGAGAAATTTGTCGTCACATCAGCGCAAATGTTACTGTACCAGTACACTGCCGTGCTGTGAGCGAGTGCCGTACTAGTTGGAGCAATAACTCTTTGCACTTAGTTCGCTGCGGGAGGTCATGGTCCTTTACCGGCTGCTATCATTCTGCTATGTACATGATTGTATGATCAACAGGCTACAGCTACTTCGTGCACTTACATGATTAGCATAAATTACATAAAAAATTGCAAATGCCGTTAATAAAGGTTTAAAAGTTAATTGTTTCTCTACAAGTAATCAGTAATTTCCTGTCTATTTCGTATAGCTTTAATTTCATTTGTTTTATATATAATTCGACATTTTTAAAGGTCATCGAGCTGATAATTAGCGCCTAATAAACTACAGATATTACCCTAATCAATATTAACGACTGAAGTTAGCTTAGATGTAAAACAGAACTAAGCAAATGTTTGATAAAATGGATGCAAACATACTGCAGCTTGCCCGGAATGCTGCCACTCGTACTACTACTAAATTCAAATACTACGTCAGTTTTCACGGAACAGAAGCAAGATCCAAGGTTTTTTTGTCAGGTTTGTCTAATGTGCATTCATTCAGCATACTAATTCTCCGCGTAAAAATTAAGGACACACAAATGAGAAAGGGCAATCGAAATTCTATAAAGGTGGACGTACGTCTCCAATAATGACACAGATGAAATTCCGTTTTAAATGAGATTACAACCGCGAAAAAGCGCAACAGGAAACGCATAATATGGTATTAACATAAATATAAAAGAGGCCAACAGCGTCCATTATGGTCTCAGATTACGGTTACATTCAGTATTCCTCACCTTCCTCTCCTGCATTGTCAACCGAATCAATGCCAACCTCTTCGTAATCCTTTTCCAGCGCCGCCAGATCCTCCCGTGCCTCGCTGAATTCTCCTTCCTCCATACCTTCACCAACGTACCAGTGGACAAAAGCCCTCTTGGCGTACATCAGATCGAATTTGTGGTCCAAGCGCGCCCATGCTTCAGCGATGGCAGTGGTGTTGCTCAGCATACAGACGGCTCGCTGGACCTTTGCCAAATCACCACCGGGAACCACCGTTGGTGGCTGATAATTGATACCGACCTATTGATTAAAAATAACTTTAATCGTACGGATAGAATGTGAAGGCATTCTGGAATAAGGTATTGGAAAGCATTTTAGCTAGCATTAATTACGAAACCGCCGAAACGAAACCAGCCTAATAAATTTAATTATTAAGCTTGATCAACTGACCTTAAAACCAGTAGGGCACCAGTCAACAAATTGGATGGAGCGCTTGGTTTTAATAGCAGCGATGGCGGCATTGACATCTTTTGGGACCACATCACCGCGGTAAAGCATACAGCAAGCCATATACTTTCCATGTCGGGGATCGCATTTCACCATTTGGTTGGCCGGCTCGAAACAGGCGTTGGTAATTTCAGACACCTGGAGAACCATGTCATTCCACATATGAAACGTATTAAAAATCGATATGCACTCAAGCAACCAATTTTACCGTCAGTTGTTCGTGATAAGCCTTTTCAGCGGAGATGATGGGCGCGTAAGTGACTAGAGGGAAATGAATGCGCGGATATGGAACCTGTAAACAGAATTATCCATTGAGTGCTCGTCAAATCTGGATTATCTAGGACAACGAAAGACTACGATCAGCACAAGAAAGTGTCGCAATGACAATTTTCGGAATATAAAAAAGATATATACACGCAAAAGGTCCGCGACTCCGCAAAAACAAAGGAGCAACATTAACACAAAAAGACAGATTAGAGGCGAAATGAAGCTGACATAACTTCCATAACAGCGGGCAAGTGCCAGCAGTGACCAGGAAGTTGAGTTCTCATTGATTGTCACAGTGACCTACCAAATTTGTTTGGAATTCAGTCAGATCGACATTCAGTGCCCCATCGAAACGTAGGGACGCAGTGATGGACGAAACAATCTGACCGATGAGACGATTCAAGTTTGTGTAGGTCGGGCGTTCAATATCCAGATTGCGACGACAAATGTCATAAATGGCCTCATTATCCACCATGAACGCACAGTCCGAGTGCTCCAGTGTTGTGTGTGTGGTCAGAATAGAATTGTACGGCTCAACCACGGCGGTGGACACCTGCCAAGAAACACCGCTATAAAGGTGTAGATTATAAGCACTTCTAAACACAAAGAAACAGATGAGGAATAAGCAGGTACACTAAACAACTAATAAATTACTGTAACTGTCGGTATGTTCTTTGCCGGTTTATCTTAATAAAAAACACAGATTTTCGCTCAAGTACCCACCTGCGGTGCTGGATAGATGGAAAATTCCAGTTTGGACTTTTTGCCGTAATCCACTGACAGGCGCTCCATTAGAAGAGACGTAAATCCCGATCCAGTACCACCTCCAAAGCTGTGAAATATGAGAAATCCCTGCAGACCGGTACACTGATCAGCCAGTTTGCGCACGCGGTCCAAGACCAGATCCACAATTTCCTTTCCGACGGTGTAATGACCACGGGCGTAGTTATTTGCAGCATCTTCTTTGCCGGTAATAAGTTGCTCCGGGTGGAATAACTGGCGATAAGTTCCTGTGCGCACCTCGTCTACAAAACGAATAAAGCATTGTCATAAAATGTGTTCAAACTATAAACTATTTCAAGTTATGATACATTACATTACTGCAGCTTCTTTCTACTCTTATTATTACTGCAATGCTCGACAAGGTTTTGTAATAACACCAGGAACCCGGTACTCCGTGTTCAAGATCTTCCTGCTTTACATATGGCAATAATAATAATGTTTCACAAGTTCTCAAAATCGTTTAATTACCGCTAAACACAAAGATGCTTTAGCCGCTTGTTTTGCTTTAATGCGCAGATTATATGCTGAAATCGCAACGGATGATACGGTTAACATACCCTATTTACCAAAACACAGATATTATGGTAATATTTCCATGTTTATTTACAATGCGGCAGTGTGCAACTCGTAGACTGCAAGCAGACCCGCTGCTTCACTCATTAAAAAGGCAATGATTCAACGACCCAACCAAGCAACAGAAAAACGTGAATATAATAGCGCTTACAGCACTGCAGCCTGTCTCACACCTTGGTGCTTCACTGCTCGGCTATCGACCCGCGCGATCTGTACACTGGAGGTGCGACGCGATAAATAAGAGATCTCAAAGCTTGCGAGTGCTCATATCGCTAACGCCTCACAGAAAAGCACAACCTTGAAACGGAGAAAACTCAGCCGTGTTGATTTGTGAATACTTAATAGTTAAATAATATACAGGTCAACGGGCCAAAATATTCTTATTTAGTATTTTTCAATCATCCTGAATTATTCAAAGATGTACTATGTAATATAACTAAATTCCAACTACTTAAGACATTAAAACTCATTTGGAGAAAATCGCTACTGGAAATATCAACACATAGAAGCAATTTTGAACGCGTCGACAAAAACAATTTCATATTATTGTTAAATGTTGACAGAACCTTCACTGCATGTTTCTTACCGACTACAGTGGGTTCCAGATCGACAAAGACCGCGCGTGGAACGTGTTTTCCCGAGCCGGTTTCGCTGAAAAAGGTGTTGAAGGAATCATCACCGCCTCCGATAGTCTTATCCGACGGCATCTGGCCATCAGGCTGAATCCCGTGTTCTAAGCAGTACAGCTCCCAGCAAGCATTTCCGATCTGAACACCAGCCTGTCCGACGTGTACTGAGATACATTCGCGCTATAAAAAAACAGTCTTGCACTTGCAGTTCCAGAAAATCGAACCAATGAAAACGATATAAACAGTAACTTTCAGAAGAAGATTACTCGGATTAGACCGAAGTTCGCAGTTTGGCATCCGCTCCTGACGAGCATAAAACATAATCCCTGCACGTTTTAGCATTTTACTCACCATTTTCCGAGTCTGAAAAAGGATCTGCGTAAAGAATAAATTTCACAACCTCGAAGCAAATTTTTGGAATTCGTGACCGTTGAGATTTGAAGTTTTGAACCACCTTTGTAATGCCAACAAGCAAACGCTCCAACGTTCGTCTCACTGAAATGAATCAATCGTCTGACTTGGCAAGCGCTGACTTAACGCGAAGAAGCGCTGCCATCAATGAAACAGGCGGTTCAATGACGGCAGCTTCCATTCAACGCCGCGTGATTGGTTCGGCAGCTATAGAAGGCCGCCTCTGCCCATTCAATAATTGTCATGAACGTAACCGTCTCCACGTGGTAGATACTTGCAACATATAAAAATATTTTTGGTTTGTTCGCCAAGCTTGGATTAAATTTAAATTTACTGTAGTCGGAAACAGAACTTTCAAGCGTCAAGCCGGTAGTTAACTTTCAGCAGCTTTAATGATTTTAATCAGAAGTCAGCGAATAGCTTATATGTAGCATAAATGTGCCAAATCAAGCCATTTATCCTGCAAAGCACACTAAATTTTAAATGAATCAAGAACGCCAATATATAACTTGCAAAAAACTTTTCGGGCTATGATGTGTCCTTAGTATTCCTTCCGGCTTGCGCAACTATCATAACGCGCGGCTGTTTTGCTTGCGGACAACAGCATTAAAATAAAGCCGACACAACATTAAAATTTAAGAGGGACAACCAAATCGCAGATTCGGAGCTCCCACGCTGACCATGCCCGTTTTTAAAAAAATCCAAAACACCGTTAATTAACGGCATTCTGAAGTTCACAAATTTCCAGGAGTGATGAATTGCAGATCACTGGACAGCACGATTCGGCCTAGTTGACGAAGGACCTGTATAATACGACAAAACGATGATGGTTTTTAAATCATAAAAGCTTCACATCGTTTTCGAAAGTCATGTTTTCTTCTGAACTTAAGACCTTCAACTTCGCCATTTCCGTTCTGCCAGACACACCAATGCCGCGCTTCGCTAGCTCCGACAATTTAATTTGAGGGCTGTAAAAAGCAACATCTTGTAAGGGAATAACTCTTCCAAATCTTCATAACTTAAATATGCACGATGAAACTGGTGGTAAATAAGCAATGTACTAACAGTTCTTCGTCGCAGAAAGCCTGGTACAGCACTTGATAGGCCTAAAAACGATAAAACATGAATACGTTCATTGTGGTTCCGCAGACACTGGAGCTACGGGAAGTGCTAACAGGCCAGCTAACCAAGTCATTCAAGTGTATAAAATCTTCTTACCATATTTACGTCACTCAGCTTAACCTTCCCACGAACCATCTCGGAAACATTTTGGAACTCCGCCTCCTCAATTGGACGATACTCTGGTTTCAAAGGAACTGCAAAACGTGGTCTTTAATTTTAGAAGTAGTTCCGAGAGATCACATTGGTGTTACCCTTCGGTTTCATGGTTTTGCGTTTGCCAGTTGGCGGTTGTCCCTTGTAAAATGACACAGGTCTGGCAGAGGTAGCCTGTGATGACAGAAGGCCATTCTTTCCTGTATTGATGTTCAGCGATCGCGGGGCGCTTGGCGGTGCGGAAATCAACTTGGATCGGGGGCTCCTGTTGTGTAAATCAGTACTTTTTCTATCAGGTATAAATCATCCAACCACATAAGTCACTATTATCATTGCAATAAAATGTACGACCTAATACAAATAAACTCTTCCTGAGTGCACAAACGAGATTCTTACCGAGACATTCTCCGCAATTTCCATAAGTACATCGAACATTTTCCGGTACAGCTGGATTGAACGTAAAAGGCCCTCAGCTTTCTGTAAGCAGTCTTACAATCAGGTTGTGGCAGTTTTTCTATTTGGAAATGACCACGAATGACTACGACCAAGGGGTACAGAAATCATAGTAACACCTAACATCCAAGTTAATATCGTACTTTGTATATCTGTATTATCACTTCATTAATTCGATGCAAAAAAGTAACGATATTCGCTGACATTGTTACCACAATGACTTTAATATCTATACATACATACAGTATATCTATACTTACTTACTTTACGTTTTTCAAGGGTACGAGTATAATATCAATACTGTTGCAATAGATTAAATTGCAGTCTTGCAGCATAATATTTATAACTTATGACTAGAAGTACAAATACAAAAAATGGTACAAGTTGAAGTGGTACCTCCACTTGTTGCACTGCGGTTTCTTCGGCCAAACGAGCGGCCTCCTTTGTAGCCTGCCATCGTTGGTATGCCTTCTCAAAACGTTCAGTCGCAGAAACCTGCTGTAGAACTATTTTTTAGGGATTCACCTAATAATTTGTACATAGGCACTGGCACAGAGTAATAACATATAACCATCAGGAAAAACTGATTTTTCTGTGATGCAGTAAAAGCATATTCAACAAATCCTCCCAACTATATAAGAACGTCGCTAATGGTAGTTATCTTGAAGAACCTCGCATCAGTGGGTACTTATCAGCAAAACCGATGAGCAATAGAAAGCACATTACACTAAAGCGCTCACCGAAGGTTTCCTCACAATGAATTTTGTATAACGTTCGTGTCCAGGAAGCATTTTTTTTACAAGATTTTCCAATGTCGAAGAGATCTGCAACGCAACATCCGTTGTCAAAGCTGAACGCAGCACAGTGGCAGATAAGTGCTGCCGTGTCGCATTTTGAACATTCAAACGGTAAACCGTAAAAATTAAACAAAAATAGTTCACAGGGATCGATTTAAATTTTTTACCGTAAACGGTAAAATGGTACTACATAATTTATTTCTTACCGTAAATCACAAAAATGAGTAAACTTCAGCAAGCAGTGCCAGCCCGAGCCCAGATGCAGAAGCATATTCATTACTCACCTGCTGTTCCATAACGAGGTACTGATAACTCAGTTGTCCCGATTTCTGGAGTTGATTATCCATAATACTGTCGTTCCAGTTTGAGTAACCGTTGATCTGAACTGCGCCTGATGGTACTGCGCTCTCACATTTATCCAGAACAGACCATTCATCAGTTCCAGAAGCTGTCGCCATAGCTGTCTAATCGTATTCCTTAAGAAAGCTACTCACGAAAGCGAAAACCTTAACAACGAAAAAGTATCAAAATAAATGCGACATCAAAGGAAGTCCAGTTAGGCAGGATCTTATGGACTGTCACGGTCTGTTAGGTGTCAGGAGCCCATCAGGAGCCCAGGACTTCTGTAGACTGTAAGTACAGTACACTGCCCGCAGAATGCATCCAGACTAACCGCCTACGGGCGGCGGCCTCCAGATATGTAAAACATTAGTAAGTGGTAAGTGCAGTATGTACTCTAGTGTAGTGCCTTAGATCCGCAAAAACCAATCTGTCTGCAGATGCCTCCAAATTCAAAATTCATTTTTCCCGGCTTCTGCCTAGTGGTCACTGGAAACTATTCATGTTGTTTCATCTCCTGATTGTTGTACAGACACGCTTTGCATGTGTTAAAGGATGATGACACTCACAGATCCTACAAACTGTTTCCACTCCGCATAATTAATCAATTCGGCATCCGAGCACAGACAATTATAACGGTGCTGGCGAAGTTCTTCTGTGCGTTTTCCTGATTCCTGTAAGTTGCGTAACTTGTTGCGGATTTAGCACCGCCGAACCGGCACCCCTTAACAATTGAAATTTTTTAATCCGGTGATCTGTACAGTACTTCATTTGGAATCGATCCGTACATGTCGGTCTAACACGCATAGTGTGGAACGGGTTAATGCGACGACGAAACATATTGTTAGTAACTACTAACTAGTAACCGGAATGTTCCTGTTGTGTCTGTTTAAATTTCGCGTAGAACGGTGATCCGCTGGAAGTTTGTGCTGATTTCATCTCGAGGGCACTCGTAGTCCATAATGTCCAGAATCTAATCTATCATCTCCACATTTAGCACGCTTTAATATAGTCTGCAGATGACTTACGGGTATAATTAAGGAAAAGCCTTACAACGAAAACAACAACTGAAAAGCAGATTTTCGTTCGGTTTTTCATATATCAATATTTCACTGCTATAAAACATTTCACAACTGCACTCGTATTGCATCGTTACAAATTGATATTCAGGAACTAGTAAACAATCAGCACGGCTGCCACTGCGCATAGCTTTCTGTCAATTTAACAGAAAACGAGTAACAGCTAGGATTTCCGCTAGGATACAAAATTAGCGTCAACTATATGGGCCGGCTTTCGAAAGGAAATTTTATTAAAGCAGAATTATATGGCTACTATGTTCATGTCGAAAGATTAATGGGTTTTGCTCTTGGAAAGTGAGGATCACATATGGAAAAAATCCGTAGTCAGCCAATACTTTTCACAGCTACCGCCACAAGGCAAATTTTTTCGCCTTGGTTTTTTGTTCGGCCAGTTCTTCTCTGTATTTTCTTCTTTTTTGCTCTTCCTGGTGCAGTTGTTCTTTTAGCTGGTCGTTCAGAATCGACTGCATATCAACTTGCCAGGCTTCCAGCTGTTGTGATAATTCGATTTTCTGTGCAATGGCCTCCATGAGCTGATTATTGAGACTGCGAATGTCCATCTTTGACTTGGTTAGTTCCAGCTCCAGCGTATTTTGCCTGCATGCGATTTCCAGTTATTAGCATTGTAACAAAGTTATCTAGCTTTTCTCAAAGAAAAAATGTAAACCGGCAACATCCGTTTACCTGGAAATTGCTTGGTCGCGGTCTTCGCGCGCTCGTTTGACAATTTCATCCTGATTAATTTCCTGTTGCGCTTGTTCTTGTTTGAGCAGAGCATTTTCCGATCGCAGTGCCGTTAATTCCGTATCACGCAAAGTAAGCTGCAAGAGGAAAAGTTGCTGGTGTAAATACATATTTAAGTATGTGAAGATAAATATATAGTGAGTGAAATCCTTGTGCTAACGCCTAATTTCATGTAGGCTTCGTACAGAGTACAAGAAATATATAGATATACATGCATAATAACTTTCCACACTCATTATTACCTCGGACACCAGGCGTTCGATCTCATCTTCTCGTGTCTTTGCTTTATTGTTTTGGGCATCCAGCTGTTCTTGCAACAGCCGAGATTTTTCTTGCTCAATGTCCAACTCTCTAGACAAGGCTTTTAGTTCGCTTTTTGCGGCAAACTCGCTTTCCTGCAAAGAAAAACAATAAGTAGTCAATAAATAAAGGTCATACGCACCACCGCTCTTACAACTGCTTCAACTGCACCAGTGTCAAGCAGATTAGAAGTACTAGTGCGAGTACTAATGTCATGTAACAAACAGATTCCCGTTACTTCACCGCTGCAATCCACGATACATTGGATAAAAAAGATATTTTCTGCTCGTTCGCATATGTAGCTACGTTAAGTTCGTTCATCCGCTTCCTCCTTACGGAAATATAACATTCTCACAGTTAGGTAGTTATTCCAATATTACACCTTATTATGCCGTTAGTCGTTATTACTGCAGCAGTACACTGCTGCGGTTTGATTACGTACATTTTGTCGCCGACTAATATCCTGGATGAATCCTTTGAGCTCTTCAATCATCGGTCGCACTGTAGCGGACTCCGATGTCTCGTCTGTCGATTCATCATTCTGGCGATTAATTAGTTCCGTGCAGACACGCTGTAACTTCTCGTACGTGCTCATCAAATCTTGCTGAAGCTGTAAAATCCAATAATAACCGTATTGAACTCTGGCAATTTCCTCGAGGAAAGCGAAAGCGCAGCAGTAGACACAATTTATGTCGATCAACGAAAGGAATCCAGCCAAGCATGTACAGGTGTCAAATAAATTAGTGTAACCTTTAGCGTTTTATTTCACTTTCATAAAGAAGTAAAAGTTGCAAATGTAACCGCTCACCTTGTAATCGTGCGCAATTTCGTGCGTGATGGATGCCGGTGAATCGTCGTCGTCCATCGTGGAGCCATTGCCGGCTGATTTCGAGCCCAGCTGATCACCGAGATACTCACTACCGCTGCCCACCGACTGGGCAGCTTCCAATTCATTTAAGAGGGATGTCGCATGCGATGGTGAACTGCCGTTGACTGAGCGCAGCTCTTCAATTTGATCCTCTAATCGGGAATTGGAGTGGCGAAGTTCGATGAGATCACGATCTTGAAGGACAATCTATGCAAGAGTCATCGTTCACCAATTATGCGTACTGTTAACCGTGTGTAGTTTTTGGAGGATGTCAATATACGGTGAAACAGTTACTGTTACAGTCTTCACGTAAATTAAAGTTTTCGTGATCTGCATACAAATTTCGAAATCGAGTTTGTACAACATTTAGCGGCCTCCACGTGCTTTCAAAATAATGACGAAAGATTTTAACGCATCCGAGCGTAAGCGAAGAGCCATATGCGTTGTGAATCACTGTGTTACCCCATTAATTACGGACATTTGCATGCGATGGTCTTAATCTCACTTTGTATTCGAGGTCGCGATTGCGTCGTTCCAGCGCGCCAATTTGCTCGTTTGCCTCCTCGAGATTGTGCAGTAGGGCGTCACGTTCAGCTAGTGAGATTTTGTAATCGGCGTTCGAGTTCGGCTTTTTTGTCGCTAAGTACCTTGATCTGCCGAACGAAAAAAGTCAAGTGCGATTTCTATTTTGCACAACAGCAGCCCCTTGAAAACTGAGCCGACAAAACAATATGACCCCTTTATCTAGTGCGAAATCGTTTTTGTTATGCATACCTCTTCTTTTAAGAGCTCAAGTTGTTTGGCGTGATCGCCCGCACTTCCTTTCCGCGCGTTAAATTGCTCCTGTAACTTCTGAACTTCCGACGACAAGTAGCTCTCCGTGGTCTGAGCCTGAAAAAAATAACAAACACCGTAACAACCTTTGTGATCTGCAGTATCTAGAGTAATGCTGCATCAAAGTTTTTCTTTTGAATTCTATTTTACAAGATAGAAAGATGCCCAATGCCCATCGACCAGTTGGCAATTCAGCAAGTACGAGTACCGCCACGGTTATGATATCGGCTCTTGTCACACCTTGCTCTAGTACATAAAAATATAACAGAGGGTATACGCGCCTATGTCATACCTAATAACTTCTACTTCTGAGGTGTTACTGCCTCGGACTCGTCTATGATTGCCATTTTTAATACTGTTCGAAAATAATATAAGTTTTGTTTGGTAGTTATGTTTGTAGCCATTTTGCAAAAGATGTTAACCATAACTGCAGCGTATACGTTCAGCGTCTCTTGTGTAACGGACCTTTCCGGGTGTTTCCTATAGTAGCAAGTGAGTCATCACTAATTCCATTAAGATGGGTTGGCATAACAAGTCGACAATGCAGTCCCTTTAATGGGCCATGTCACATCAGCATAATTTAAAACCAGTGACAATTTTCCATGAAAAACCAGCTAGTTTTTTCGTGCAGTACGAAATGCACTGAACTATATCCAAAATTAATACCTGCCCCAATCTTGCTCGGCCAACCAGCTTCGCAGTTAATGGTCCGAAGGTAATTTCCGTTCTCAGCGCTACACACTTTGAGGTTTTTGAAAGATTCTTACTTTTCTCACGACCATAAATTACGTATCGGTAGAATGACCGAAGTGCGTAAAAATCTCAGTAAAAATTTAACAAACTAAATCATGCGGTGGGCTTCTCTTCCGGTTTCTAGCAAAAGTTGATTTGCTCGAACATTCAAAACGCTAACTTTGCTAAGCCGTTCGCTTTCTTAAGCACCTTTTCGTTTCTGGGCACATACAAGTACGTGTACAACCCATTTCACGAAATAACCCAACTCCAGTTTCCAAAAAACAGTTTCCAAACTACGTAGAATAATTATCGTTATCGCAGATCTGAATCGGGAGCTAGTATCTGAGTTCCGAACTGCGCAAAAAAACAAATTACGTCATATGTGGAACAGTGGAAGTATCAAACATGAAATTCAAAAACGATGCTTGTAATGCAATTCGCGAAATGCACTCCACAATTATGGCATTTAATAATACCGCGTTGCTCTTGTAAATTGGTCACCGCGTCAAACACAGTTACTTTATACGCCCGCGTTCATCATTCAGGAGCTGGTAAGTTGGTAACCAAATAACAAACCGGAAACGATCCAATTTCTAATAACGTCAGTCGTCGGTATTGTGCGGTGAACATGAATCTGTGGAGGTCGCGCAAGGCCTTGCGTAACTAACCTACTGTATACCGGCGCAACATATGTACATACTGTACCGTCTGTACGTGCTGGTGTTATAGTGCATGCGACATAATTAAGTACTATTAATACTCGTTTTCCACACAGTGCTAGAGTTTGACAAGTTTATTGTTTATTTCACTTTTTTGAAATGCAACAGAAACAGTCTATTTAAAATAGAAAAACCTCTCTTGCATTTTTAAGTATCTACAGATCAGCGCAAGTAAACTTGTGCAAGTTTAAATATTTTCCTATTGCGCTCTCTCTTTTTATAGTGCAGGTGTTTTAATTTGAATAATTTAATACCGTGGCTTTCGGTATCAGCTCAGTTTAAGTTATGCAATACGGAGGGATGCAGAGAGAAAAACGAAAGTCATAGAATTTAGTAAAGCAGTAAACTAGTTTTCTTAAGTGGCCGCGCTGTCAAGCATAATATTTAGACGATGCGGACAGCGAAGAGTACTAAGAAAAAAGGTAGTCAATCGTCTCACGTTCCTTCCCTAATTACACACTAAACTGCTGACTGCAATCATCTTTTCATGTTTTTCGCTGATACAAAACAGAACCACCTGATTTTAACCACATCCTAGCGACGCAGCCACACCAAACAACAATACTCACTTTACGACACCACTTCCCCGTTGATAATACGTATGTTGCCTCGAAATAACTATCTTTCAGCTATCATTAATTTTATCACAATCTTCACCTCTTTGAGCTGCACAGTAAGGCGCTGATTCTGCTCGGATAATTCCGCAACGAGCCGTGTGCGGTCCTCATCAACTTCGCGAAATAAATGCTCTTTTTGTTGTAGTTCCTTCTGTACATAGGTGAGATCATTCTGGAGTTCCGCAATCCTTCCGTCATATTCCACTTCAATAGCATCTAAACGGCGCTTTAGTGCATGCCGCTCATGCTCCAGTTCCTATAAACAATAATTGATAACTGGCTGAACATTGTTGCATTATAATGCGGGCGTCATCTGTACAACTTTTAAGAGCTGTTAGTATAGCATGGGCGAAAATCTAAGGTCATAACCGAAACCGCCACGAAAAGGCAAATTGCCATATAAGACTACTGAAATGTATGGACTTAGAAATTTTTAAACCTACTTTAATACTCGTAAATTTTTATTGTTAGTTGGACACAAAAGCGCCGAATGGCAAGACTCAGATCACTAATGCCAATATAAACTATAAAGTACTGTAGCTGGTCAATTAGGTTTAATATTTGAACACTGTAATTCCTTCTGCAAGACAGGTGGAGCGCGGTATTTTTAAATTACTATTATATGTAGATTAACCATTAACTTTATTCACTTATTGTTTTATCAATGTTATCAACTACTTCTTCTGAAAATATTATTATAAAGTATCTGTTATGTTTTTAAATTACTGTTATATGTGTTTTACCAGTCCTGATTAGAAGATCAACAGTTCTCGATCAAAATGATCTATGAACTTGGTAATTCTTTTACTTGGATATAATTTGACTATCATGACTTATATATGCAATGCTGCGCAAACAGAAATATATTTTCTGCAGCTGATCTATCGACTAAATTTAGAACGACCTCTGAAAACGGCGTCGTATGCTCAATGATCTCGTATATAGGTGTAGCCCTGCAACGTCAGATGCAGACAGCAGCAACGATGCAAATGCATTTGGTAAGAATTTTTTACTCAAAGAATACGTAGCTGAAAACTTGAAAAATGATTATTTGAACTATCTTTGCTCTCTTTTCTCGCTAGCAAATTTTCCCGAGATCCCGGTATTAACAAGCTAAAACAAAGACGAATTTTCATGACCGTGACTACGGGATGCAGTTCCGATTAACCTGGAAATAATAAAAATAAAAAATTAAAGACAATTAAGGAAAGTAAGTGCAAATAAAGGAACTATTATTCTATTTAAATACTAAAAGTGAGTTTTACAGAATCTAACGAGCAAAGCCATAATAATACAGAAAACACTATTACCGAGACCAGTTATGTAGTTTTTTGCCCGGTGTCTGCTTATGCCGCGGCTATCTAATATTTCGCACTTTATTTGTGCACACATGCTTCTATAAAAAGTACTCATGCACTGCGGTGCAGTTGGCGAAATAGGTTTGCGCATATGCAGACAAGTAATGAAAGTTTGTCACCAGCCAAAAATGGAAATAAACAAAATGCCGTGGTATATGTTTGAAAATGCACGCAAGTGTCAAGGTGCACGAAAATCTAAGGAACAAGCAATCCATTAGATGGACAGTGAAAACAACCGAAACGATTCGTTGAATACCTTATCTTTGTTGACATAGTTTAACAATACAGCCGTAAAACATGTTTTGCCCCAGGTACGAATATGTTAGAGGATTATTGAATGGGCATTAAACATTTAGCTTCCTAGCACTTAAGGTTCGTGATGATGCACTAGCCGGACAATGTGTTATTGCTCATGACCACACACGAGCACACCCGAAAAACGTACGCAAGTCCGTATTATAATATTCGTATTTTGTAAGCAGCTGCAACAAGAAAAGTGGTAATAAACCTTGAAAATAACTGTATGAGAAAATAAAGAAATTGCTGGTTTTACAAAATTCAATCTAAAAATTCACTCCACAGCTAAATAAAAATGACAAGTCAATTATGAGTGCCGTATACTGTAAATGAATGCGATTAAAAGTCCAAAATGACACTTACAATGGTTCAATATTTTACCTATTCGGATGTTCATCTAAAATATAATAATCCATAATTTCATAGCCTCACAGTTCGCACTAGCATTGTAGTAAAGAGCGAGTCTTCGCTCACTTTTTAAGAATAACTAGACGTTCGTACTTTACTACGAGAAACGAAACGATACGAGTACTGAATAATACAGTAGCTATTATTCAGCATCGAGAATAATATTCTGAATAATAATATTATTCAGTCTCTCAATATGTATACAACGAGAAGCTCGTTGTATACATATTGAGAGATTAAAATTAATACAGTAGTTATGAAATTTTCATATACTGTTAAACTAGTATACTATACTGACTATACTATACTGTTAAACTATATACTGTAGTAACTATACTATACTATTATACTGTTAGACTACACTGTTAAAATCATGGCTCCCAAAATTTTAGAGCATTTGCAGGTGCTATGTCGCGAAATTGCTTTTAGAGCATCAAGTTAATTTACGAAGAGCAAATTGATAAGTGCGTATACAATATATATTGTTATAAGTTATATCATCTCTATTTTAAATCGAAATTTACTTTTAAATCTTACTTCTACTACGCGCATGCACTAATCAATGTTTGTCATCACCAACGGGCAACGGTGGTTTCAGTTTTGTCAATATAAAAGTATGAAATCGCCGACTGCCAAGAATCTCAAATTGGATGTATTTGGCAGACCCAAAGAAAAGCAAAATTCAGAGAGCTAGTGCTATATGCCATGCTCCTGCCAGTTGAAGTTGTCATAACAATGTAAACTGCCTTTTGTGGAGACGGAAGGAATTCAGCAGCTTTGTGTTTGAATGCTATGTCTATGTTTGTTTCAGCACTTTTTGTTTGAAAGCTATGTGATTGACAATAAGTAGATAAATTTAAATGCCATAAAAATTAGTGTCAGCTTCAGCGTTAACGTTAATGATTATTCGCTTACTTAAAAATACCTACTGTGGATAGCAAATTTCATAGGAAACAAATCCCATACAGCACTATTTAATTATTGAATTCGATCGTCTGAAACTCAGGAACCGTATAATTAAACATTTTGCTGTCGACATATGCGGCGGAAGTAAAAATTATTGAAATTCAACAAACACCACACCTCGCCGGGCATTGTTATCAGATTCTCAAGAACAAACACCCACAATATTATCTCAGCTTTCCATACGGAAACGCACTTGTTTTGCAAAGTCCACGTCTGAATAGTGCATGTCAATATTGGTCTTACCTCAATACGTGCCGCATAGTCTTTGGATAATACATCCTGTCGCTTGGTTAATTCCTCATTGCGCTCCAGCAGGGCCTTGCCTAATTCGGCGGCCAGGAGAAGGTCACGTTCCTTCTGCTGAAGCTGTGTATAGAGATCGCTACCGGCAGCCGATCCATCATCGCCTTCTTGGGACATTCGCTTCTCCAGTTCCACCAAATACGAATCCAAATCAAAACCGCTAGACAAGTCTGACAAAGAATATTGTGAAGTTGTCGAGAACTCTACTTCGCCGCTTTGAGCGTCCACCGACATACTGGAAACAGCGCTGCTGATGTTTTTTTGGACCGGTTTTGTTACTCTTTTACAGTGCGTCAGTCGGGTGACTTGTACGGATGTGTTGCGCCAATATTACGAAATATTACTTTGGTCAAGAGCGCATAGGTGGATTATGCCGTGAAACCGGTCGGTAGCAACATGCTAAACAAACTATCCAGTGCCCAGAATGTTAGCCATCCAAGATCATGACACGTTACCGTTGGAACGTGCAATTGCATAAGTGTCGCAGTATTATTTTCACGTCGCGAAGAGAAAAGTCGGAAAAATGCAGAAACGAACGCGAAGTAAATTAAGTATCTGACAAAATAGCTGCAAGCGTGATTACAGGTAAACGCGAACGATATTAATCGTTGACCTCAGCCGGCAAAAAAAGTGATTAACAATAAGTAGGATATTTACGCATAATTATAGCCCAAATGACAAGCTCTGCTTTTCAGCTGAGTGAGTATAGCAGGTGTGTTTCCAGCAAAGAAAAATTCTGCAGGTTCGCGGCAGGTATTGTATGACTCAGGTAGAATGAAATACGCGGATCAATAATAAACGAGAAATGGATGCGGCGCGACACTGCATGTCTGTGGCCTAGGTGTTCATCATGAGGATATACGATCGGAATATTTTCCGAAGAATAGAATGGATGCAGAAGGGCTTTCCCACCGGCACCGATCAATGAAATGCTCACAAATAGAGATGCTGCACAGATCGATTCAACAAGCGGCGCAGGATCACGCTGCGCACAAAATTATATTGCTGAAATACGAACCGCGTAGGAAGCTGATGGTTGTGCAATATACACGGCTACAGGCAGGAACAGTACTCTTGCATAGGTGTGCGAGCTGGCACAGCGCTCGCAATTTGCAAGCGCGTTTGATAATTTGCCAAAATAACGACAACAACACTCACAATGCTAAACTGATGTTGTGAAAAACGACAGAGCGAAACTGTTCTAATTTCATCGTGAAAAACTTAATTACGTGAAATCAATGGAGCAGTAATACCGTACCGGTAAAGCAACTGCATAATGGTCTATCGTGTTATAGTCTCGCCATTGGCTGCAGCATGCAGGCACAATAATTTAGTCACAGCCTAAACAAGCAAGTACGTACCGTACGTTTTGGATCTGGAGCCGCATGACAGGTGTTGTCGTACGGTGTACGGATATGTACTTCAAATGTTTAAATCGATTTTACCTTGCGTATTCGCAATGGCCGCTTCGTTGGTGACTCATTAGAATAATATCCGGCATAGACTATACGGTGCGGTGCTGATTATGAGTACAGTACTTCTATATGTGCTGTGCAATAATAATATAATACATTCTACTCTTATTGTATATCTATATTAGATATTAGACAGATACAATATGCAATAATTTACGCTATATTTATGTTCACTTGTTAAACCGTACTATAAACAATTATAGTACGGTTAACGGTTGATCTCAACCGGACTATGGTACCGTTCATACTTGTAGCTGCTCAACCTGATTATTGTTACAGAACAATAAATGGCCGGTCCGCTCCGGTATCCGGTTCGTGTTATCAAGAATTTTACTGTATTATACGAGTATAAATATTTACGGTTAATATGCTGTTTCCAGTGAGCCTGAATGAGTTATACGCAGCACTACACTCCAATAAATACGCTAGTCTGTAGTCGTACATATGTCTAAATTAAAACAGTCAGCGCAGGTCACTGAATGCAAATCAATTTAATGTTTGAAAACGAAAAAAAGAATACTTTATGCTCAGTAATCACCATCTCGACACCGGTCTGCACAATTGCAGTACGAAGTACGCATATTGCAGAAAAAACACTGCTGCTAATGCGTTCATATGTATTACGAAAAGGTTTTTTTAGATCTACACGTGCAAGTGTTTAATTTCGATTCTGCACCACAAATAATTCACTCGACAAAAGCCCATAAATTTCAAATTAGATATAAAGAAAACTGTAAACTGTTCAGTAGTTGTTCTGCACTTCTACTACAAATGTTAAATTTTATTGCGTGTAAGCCGAAAGATAAGGGTACCAAGCGAAAGTATTACGAGAGTAAGTGGCAAAGGTCACTTCTATTCGCGTCTTTAATTAAACTATCATTCTGTAATTCATTCATCTTAAGTCCCAAATTGTATCAGCTGCCCGGATCAAGAAAAACGGTCGCTTGAGATAACTTGCGATATATGAATGGATCTCTGAAAATAAAATCGGTTCGGCTCTGTAATGGTAACAAGGCTACTCGTATAATTTTTTATGAAAATAAATAAGCATGCAAATGTTTTTAAAAATTTATGTGTCAGTACTATCTTTCGAATCCCCTAATAACGCAGCCCTATAGAGGCATTAAAATGCTATACAAATGCGGCATAAAATAAAACTACAGTACTTTTTTAGATGCAAGTTTGAAGAAAAGGAAATTTCTGTGGTATTGTACTGTGGTTGTAGGTTAAGACGTCAAACTTCCACTTGACATCTCGGAGCTATCATAAAATTGCTTATATATTCATTATAATCTGCTTGTCCGCCTCACAGTTTTGCCATCATCAAAATTTTCGATTTTGTACCCAGTAAGCAGTGCACTCAAAATTAAAAATTGTCGACACTTTTCTGCACTCGAAAACTTCGCAAATTAATGCGGTATAAAACAAAAAGGCAACCAGGAGGACACTACAAGATGTACTCTGTACATTTGCGAAAATGCCCATTATGAGCATTTGTATACCATATAAAGACTTTTATAGAAGTAGAATCTACTGTAACACCATGCCGTTTCTAAACATACGTAAAACACATTTCAACTGAGTACCATTCATAAAAAAAATCAAAAGGTCAATAAGCTTAGGAATCTCTACTTTTGTTAGTTGGAGACAGCACAAACTATTCAAAGTGAATTAAAATTAACGCTTCGTGCCTCATAATTATTATGATAATGGTCATATATTACATATATAACAACTCAGTGCGGCATTACTATTGTTTGTGAGAAACCAATAATCACTGTAATCAGCCGTATAGTACTTTGTACAATACATAATATAGCGGTATAACAATAACCTAAATACTTGTACCCGAGGTGTTTAAAAAATTGCACTGGCATAATGTTGCGCAGCTTGTAATAAATTATAAGTCTTAGACCAATGAGAGGAAATTGATTAAAAAATTAGTTAACTTCAATGATAGTACATCGATACTTGTACAATACTCGATATATCTAAGATATATGACTATAATATGTATCACGCTATGTACTGTATTCGAATAATAATATTATTAGCAGAAGTATCGTTTGGCACCGATCCTTCCACTTTCATTTGCTTTTTTTTAATACTGCTCTCCACATACTGTATAGCAATCTGCTGCATTTCAGTATTTGCTTAACCTGCATTCTACTTTAGTTGAGATGAACGAAAACAAATTCATTATCCAAGGAAAGAAATATTTTATTGTTTAATTTTATACTTTTGCCTCTTGCATGCAGCTGGTTAAAAATTTACAACGACAAGGGGTTATGCTCGTATGGTATGTAATAAATACGAATCTGTTCTCGTTGAGGTGGAACTTTCACAAATTTGTATTATGCCAAAGTTTTAATCCTTCAAAAATTTAAACCTGCAGAGTTGCAGAATTTTCGGTTTTCTTTCTCTATTTCTGTTTTCTGTTTGTGTCCACCTTTCGGCCGCCGGGCTCACATTATAGTAAATTTCCTCGGCCCTTACTCCTTTGTATGGTGCAGAATGCCGATCCTCTCACACAGCTGAGACAGAGTGGTGTTAGCGGTGTACACTCACTGTGCCCACATTGCACGCAGCTGAAACATAAAAGCGGACGTTGGATGCCTCGGTTCTTGGATCGCCATCGACCACAGTATTCGCATTTCTCAAAGATATGAAAAATTCATCAGATTCGATAGTTATTTACCTACTTACTCGGTATTCCCAAGTAAACAAATACGAGAAGAGCACGATCGCGGAAACTCTACGTTTTCTTGTTAACTTTGGAAATTTTATTTATTTAGAACTGTTAGCATCTGGGAATTCATCAATTTTGGTCCTCCGCTCGTGGATGATAATTATTATGTTGCTTTGCCTTTTGAATCATTGTTGATTGAATCCTGTTCTCTGGCACACTGCCTTCTGATTTCGATGGACTTTACTTTCCTTTCGTTTTTCTGGGAGTCCTCTGTTTAGTTCCTTTCGTAAATTTGGTGGTAAGGATTCAGACTGTAATCAGATTTTGTCTAATTTTTTCTGCCATATCGGCGGGTGTCTCGCAGTTTTTAAGTCTTCGTGAATAAATTGAAGACGATCTGTAATTGTTTTTTAGTTGTATTAACTGGGTTAGCTTCATTCTATGTAAAGTACGAGATGTAAAAATCATAAGCAGGTTGTTTCACTAGAAGTATTGGGACGGCATTTACAGTGTTTTACTAGTAAGTCTGTAAGTAGTTACACGTCTAAACCGATCTGACTCATGTGAGGATACATTTTACATCCTGAACAGTGCGACGCTAATACGGTCTGTAACTTGTGTGCTTATTGCCATCTGGCTTACTGGAAGTTGGTATTTTAATTTAGATCAAACATAATTACGTGGATTGTTTTAGGTTTTGGTGTCCCTTTCACTAATTTACCTGGATCTCTGCATGATAAACGCGATGGCCGACACTCCAAGCTCTCGCGGAAGCGGTGCATGCGTGCGAAAACCGAGTACAAAAATGTCTAAAATGGACGAATTTGATGTGTTGAAGCGTCGTCTAGTCGACAAGGAGCGGGAAGTCGAATCACTGAAAAAGACTGTCGATTCATACGAAACCAAAGCTGTGCAACATGTACAAGAGAGCGACAGCTTGAAAACTCAACTGAACGAACTGCGGAAAGAGCTCAGCGAATCCCGTTTGATAACGGAAAGCGTCTCGCACGTCACGACGAAAAATGTAAAGGTGGACATTGTCCGCAATTCTCCAGTTGCTTTGTATCGTGATCTAGCGTCAGATAACAGCGGTGAAGAGTCGTCTGACTGCGGGTTGATGGTCCAGAAACATGTAGCCGAAAAGGATCTGGATAGCATTCGTCATAAACAACTGGAATGGAGTTTTTCTGACAATGAGGTTTGTGGGTCACTCAAAGAAGATTTATTGACTCAGCGTAGTATAATTGCAAACTTACACTATTGTACTTTAACTTAGTACCACACTTTAAAATGGAAATAATTCGCCATTGGGAATACAACATTGTTAGTAGGCAAGCTTTCTTATGGTCAGATATACAGTATATCTGTTTTGCTCTCTATCCCCATTCGTGCGGCAGCTACTCTAGTTCAAAAGAAGAAAGCCTAAAATTAAGAAATTTTTAAATCGTGGCAGGAATGTTGGCTTAAGATTAATTGTGTCTTATTGATATCTTTTCTTTGGTAGCAAATGGAAATGTCGGATGCCGATCTGCGAACGAGCCTCTTGGAAAGAATACTGGATATGGCCCAAAACTCTGAGTCGTTCCGGATACAGTTGATAGAAAATATGGAGATCTTGTTGCGTGCAAAAGAGCTTTCAGTTAGTGATCCAGAGGATAAGAAAGCGCTGCAGAATTCAATAGCGAAGGCAAGAGACAAGCGGCATTCCCTGAAAAAGAGCTTGGAGTCGGGATTTGATGACCTTGACGAACGTGTGAATACTTGTTTTGCTGGCCTTGCTGAGTTCGAAGCCTTTCGAAAATTCTTTAACGATGAATTGGAGGAAATTAAACGAGTCTATGATGTTGCAAATCCACAGACCCCTGCACAGTTGACACCTTTGGCTGCCTCGTCGCCAGTGAAAAATATTTCACGGAGCGCTTTACGGTGAGTTTTTTTTACCGAGACATTGTATTCTTAATTTCTGTAAGATGTGGTTGTGAAGAAGTATCCATAAAGTATAATGTGTAGTAACCTAAGTTTGGTTAGATCTTGGAACTGTGAGGCGGGATGGATGTGAACACCCCAAAACTGTTCTGTTTAATTGTAATTAGTGTAGACAATGTGAACACTAACAAGTAAGCAGTATCATTTGTTGACGATGAGTGTTTCTAGACTGTAGCAGGACAGTGTTTTTACATCACATAATGGTCCTGCATTAGCGAAAGTGGTTGTTTTTACTAGCTTTGTGGAAATCATAATATGCCGTACGGTATACCGGGTTGCAGTAGAAATTGTTTTTTCTACTGATTACTTTCGCTTCGCACACTGACGCCCAGTTTCTCTTTGACCATCGTGCTGGTACTGCTGGACTGGGAACCGGCAAATCGTAACTGGCTATGGGCGCCCTCACTTCCGGAATTTAAAGTGGTTATTACTTGTTAGCATCATTGGCCGACAAAACCGTCGGGTCGGGCGTTGTTAGCGGTACGTAGGTCGTACATTATTAAAACTGTGCAGTAGGAGCCTGGGCGGTGGCATGTGCAAGTTATGGTTAAGTTTTATATGCTCTGACTTCCTCTATCAGCTGTTTTCCGAAAAACCTACTGTATAATTCTGAAATTTTAACTGGATGCAGCGTTATGAATGCGTTTTTTCTTCCTGGGTGACATTGGCCAGTACCGGCCACTGTGCGGCATTTACTTGAGTTTTCCAGTTTTAAAATGTGGTGCCGCCCTTCGTAGCCGGTGATAGGCTCACTTCGCTGCGCAAGTAATTATCATGGATGACGTAACGGTCTGTCGCCGTTGCGGATTCGATTTAATTATTTTGGCAGACATCATAATCGTGGCAGAAAAAAGATTCTTGAAAATCGAATTATACAATTTTTAAGTTTTTAGTTGAAATTTTAATTTTAGAAAGTATAGTACCATTGTTATGATTTCTGTAAGGATGAAAATTATCATGAAACACGCTCTGCGATTTGAAACCTCAGCGTGCTGGTTGCGAGACTAACTTGGACTTTGCACTGTCCATTCTTACAGCGCTTCTGCAATGGTACGACTATCGAACTTGTTTGGGTTTCCCGATACTGCTGATTAAATGCTTTTGCTGGAGGTACGCGTCACTGATCTGGGATAAAAAACTGTTATCTCATTTCGTCTCGCTGTGAATGACCGTTAACTTTTTTTGAGTGCCTTCTGTCTTTTGCGGTGGCGAAAAGAGCAGTTTCTACTTGATTCTGAATGTTAACGTACGGGTATCTGGCATTTTTTAAGTATGCTGCCCAAAATCCATCGATTGTGAGCTTGGATCTGTTGAAAACTTATTAGGGTTCTCGGTTTTGAATTGAAAGTTGGGACTTTCTCTGCATTTGTGAAAGGCATCAACGGTGTATTTGTGCTCGGCGATCTGGGTTCGCTAAACGGGCTTTGTTTGCAGTTTGTCTCATGGTTTCTCACGTAACCGCGACTCGGCTCGTGCCACTGTCAGATTTGACGATAAAGCTGGGTTAAATCATTCTCGATTTTCATCCGGCTCTGCTCTTGGAGAAAGTCCTCAAGTTGATTGCAAAGATTGTGCACGATATCGCGCACTCCTTCGGTCCTTTCGCACGACTCAAGAAGCCGATAAGCAGAAGCAGCAAGAACAACTTCGAACTATCGAAAAGGTAAGTTCGTGGCGCTTTGGGCAGTCTTTTAGCTTTCCTAAAATTTTAAAAGAGTTACGATTTATTGGAATCTTGACTTTAGTATTTGGCCTGTATGCGAGCTTCTTTACGCACTGGGTGCACTACGAAATTATGCTTACTTAGTTACAGTACTTATACTTACGTACTTCGATAGTCGTTGATTTTTGTGGGAAACCATTTGGGTAACATCGTGTATCTGTATGGTAAAATTGGAATTGTCTGGTGCTAGAGAAGATGTGTATTTTTCCAGTTATCCTGCGTCATAACTAACGCTAAGCGCATTCCACGACGCCAGTCCCAGACACTGTCCAGTTTATCGAAGTCTGTCTTCAAACCGCACGCAAAGATGGACGAACCTGACCGGTGTGAAGTGGACTTGGCAACTCGACGACTTAATTTTGATGGAAGTCCTGCGTTTACCGCCGATCTGGAAATTCCTGTTGCGGATCGAAGCGATTGCGGTGATTTTTCTAAAGGGAATAAGTTGTTTTTGGGCGTGCCAGATCTGATCGACGAATTCCGAGCGTCTGAAACAGTTTCATTTATTCTGGACAAATCAAAAGAGTTCGGCGAGCAAACGGATTTAGAAACTGCCATAGAAAAGGACTTGAAAGTAGAAAATACTATGCTGAAGAACAAGATTTCTGCGTTGGAATATTCCCTTGAGGTAAGCTTTTTGTTTGATATACAGTGACCAAAAACAGTACTAAAATCGAAGCTGCCAAAGATGACAATTTATATAGTTACTGCGTTGGTCGTATAGATGCTGCCAAAGATGACACTTTATATAGTTACTGCGTTACTGTTCAGTTTAATGTGAAACCAGTTGCTTTTGGTGGTCAGTTTGCTTATGCATGACGATGAAGATTGATCGCTTTTTCAGAAAGCTCAAAAGTCGGGCGTTTCGGAAAATGCGAGTCCATACCACGGGAAAATTACGGAGACTGCAAAATTGGAGAGATCTCTGGATGAGGCTAACAGGGAATTGAAAAAACTCCGTGAAGAAAACAAAAAACTCCTTTGTGCCGGTGAAGAGATGAACAGCACATGCGAGGTACTTGTTACGTTCTTTTAATGACTTGTGTAAACTACTCTGATGCTTATAGTTTCCGATTAATTTTTACAGCAGCTGCAGGAGGAAATCGAAAAACTGAAATCTCTGGAGTCCGTCAACACAACGACGGACATGTCGTATGTCCAGTCGTCCATGGTTTTACCTCCGGACTATCAAACCGGCATACCGTATCCTGTGCTTTTGGAAGAATTCCGCAAGCTTGAGAGCGATTTCAACGAAACAGCTAGAATTGCCGAAAGCTTGCTGAGTGAGAAAAAGACATTGGAGTTTCAACATGAAGCTTCAGAGAGCGCGAAGAATGCTTTGCAACAAGAAAATGCTACTTTACACAAGGAACGTTATCGATTGACGCAAGAAATCACACAGTTGAAAGCATTTCCTCGGCAAAACCCGGACGTCGTGGAACAGCATAATGACAAAGTGCTCAAGTTGGAACGGCAACTGGAAATTGCGGAACGTGTTCGCCGCCAGTTGCAGGAGGAAGTTGAGAAGTTAACAGCCGAACGCAACGAGGCTCATAGGTTAATTAAAGAGCATCTACAGTTACGAGAGCAGGCGCTGAAAGATATCGCCACAACCGCTGCACTGCGCACCCGGTTCGATGAAGAACGACAGGATCTGCTCAACGAAATCGAAAGTGAGCATTCGATTGTTGTGCATCTCCGGAGTGAGTTGGAGCGGCTGGGTACTGCGCTGCAGATCGCAGAGAAAGAAAAAGAGTTCGTTCAGACTTCACTGCGAAAACAGCAAGAAGAAAAGCAAGAAAGCTACCACGTGCCAGTTGTGGATGTGCGCAATTCCGAGTGGGAACGAGACCTTTTTGATCTCGAGAAGAAAAACAGCGATCTAAAACGGGATTGCAAAGCGCTAAAAGAAGCCGGAATCCAGCTTACGCGGGAAAACCTGTATCTTCAAAAAGAGTTGGAAAGACACAAGGTTACAGAACAACAGCATGGCATTGCCCTGGAAGAATGTGCAGCATTACGGCTAGCGCTGGTGAGTTTTTGCTTTCGTTTATTGGACTGATTGGTGACTGGATAATGTTTTTGTAACTGCAGAATGCGAAGGACAAAGAGTTAAATAATTATATGGCTGAAATCCAAGACCAGAAGTTCTTGCTTCAGGAAGCCCAGACGTCATTTGATAAGGAAAATAAGGTATATAAACGGTTTTTTATTGTGTAATTCGGACTTCCTTTCTTTAAAGCGTCTCAGAACCTTTCCTTACAGGGTGTGTTTTCTAAATTCCTGGCTCCATTCAAAAAACCGCATGCTACACAATCTAAAAGGCTTCCTCGACGCAGTCAAACCCTTACGATTTCCGATGATTTTGGTGGGAAAGCGCCGCTACGCGAGCAAGCTCAAGCGCAGCAAAAAATGCTAGCAATGCGCACAACCTCAAAAATTCAAAAATCCTCGGTTGTCAGTAGTAAGTGATCTGCGGTATTTCAGTCTACTGACCACTGAGTAATGGTGCTGTCTCTTTGGAAAACTGCTAGCTGTCATTTCTTTAGCATTGGATTGGTTGGGCAGTATGACTAACTTTCTCAGCGAACATGCTTTTGTAACTTCTCCGTGGATTAGAAGTTTAGCACTACTCTTCTCTCAAGTCTTTTTTTGCTTTCTCGACATAAACCAATAACTTTTCAGGTGTTAAAGCTGGCACCCTTCCGGTTAAAAGTAGTTCGATTGTGAAGACTGAGGTGGCTCATCACCATACGAAGCCGAATGTCACCCTACCATCAACGAGTGTGATTAAGCTCCAGACTCCCTCTCCCAGACTGAACTCAGCGAATAAAGGTCCATCAAAGGCGGCACTTAGCAAACCAGCCAGTGCTGTATCTATTCGCGAGCCTTTTGTTGCTCCGGGACACCCACATACTATGAAGATCTTCATGAATTTCCGCGCGCAGAAGTGCAACATTTGCCTAGGAAATATACCCTACTTCAGTCACGCGGAAAAATGCACTGGTACCCACTTCGTTCATGCTGCTTTTTTTTAATTTGTTTAATGGCTTTTCTTCTAGAATGCAAACATGTTTACCATATCCGTTGCGCTAAGGAAATCAAAGGACCCGCATGTGCGGCAGCCGAAATTTTGGCCGAAGAAGAACGGAAAGGGCGTCCTAGCTTGCAAAGTGCTGGTTTGGATGAAACGGACCTTGTGCCGGACGTGGAGGGTTATTTGCTGTTAAAAAGGTACTTATAAGAAGTGGAAGCCCCCATTTAATAGTTACTTTAAGGAAACGTAGAAGTATAACGTCGATTGTTGGGTTCTAGAAGGGGCGAGAGCGATTTTTCGAAGATCTATGCCGAATTGGTGAAGGACACGCTTTGCATATACGAGCGGAAACCGGCAGATACGGGAGATTATACGCCGGTCTTGGAAAGAATTGATCTTAATGAAAACCGGCGACAAGCGGAGATAACATGCCATCGAACAGTACCCGAAACAGAAGTTGGTTTACCGCAGTATGATGCAGTGCATTGCTTTGCCATCGAAGTTAAATTTGCCAAGTCAGCCGTGGAGCCATTGTACGTTTACTTACCTGTATAATAATGTTTACAACATGTATATGAATATATCACGACAATAAAATGGTTGCAGGAAATATTATTTCCAAACACGGGGTATTGTTGAGAAACACAATTGGACAGCCACTGTCCAGGCAGTCTTGACAGAAAACGAAGTGGAAACAGTGGAAGCGACGTCCAAACATTTTCGCGTCAAGAATTTGCTGTCTTATCAAATGGATATGGTGGTGGTGTCTTCCTGCTTATTTTACGACCAAGGAGTAAGAAATTTGATGATCTTTTTACAAATGTACTTCAGTGAAAGGCAACCGCGTGATTTGGAAGAATGCTCGTTTACAGAGTTTTATTACTTTTAGCGAATGCTTGTCGGAACGGATAAGGGGTTGTTTGTCATGGCTTCTGAAGGCGGGGTCATGGGTGGTCTTGTGCCGGTTGAGGGATATGATGGATTGCCGATTTACCAACTTTCCATCCACGAAGCGACCAAGGAGATACTGGTCTTGGCCGGAGAAAATCAGACGCTTTATCGAGGGGATTTATATTCATTGTTGAAATGGACTTGCTCAGAAGTACCACTTCTGTCAAGGCAGCTCTTCTCCGCTGAAACCCACGGATGTCATCTCATGGAGTCGTTCGAACAGTATCTGGCTGTAGCGCATAATGGGCGGGTTACTGTCTACGAATATAAAAATCGCAACACATGCCGGTCGCTGATCGTAAGCGAAAGGTTTACTAGGAGGCAATTTCGGCTGTATATTTTATGCTTATGTTTTGTTTCTAGACTGTTCGAGGAGCGGATATTTTAGAGGAAGGAGTATCAGCAATGGATAACGAGCATCCTGCGCGATCTTTGAATTTTATCAAATCGCGTAACAAGCTGCAGCTTATAATTGGGTTAACCGATTTTTGGTGCTGTGATGTTGTGGATTTCAAGCGCGACGTTCCAGGACTTACCGCTCGCAAAGGTTGCTCGACTGAGTCTGTCTGCAGTACCCGTAAAGGTTTAGCAAAAATGTGTTACGGAAGATTTGAAATCTTGCAGGACAAAGCAGCGTTGTAGTGAAACCATTCTTGCGGCCGCTGGTTCGCAACTCCACTACGCAGTATTGCTATTTTATGGACAAAGGGCGCGTGCAGGATGATCTGTTGGAAGGATTCAACTCGTGCTACACTATGGGCTTCTTCCCGATACCCAGTGCTGCTGAGCACAAGAAAAATTCGCCAGCAGAGCGTGTTTATCTATTGTGCTTTTATGGTTCGTGAAGTTGTACGACTTTGTACTTAACTTGATGGCCTATACGCAGATCGTTTGTTTGTAGATGGATGGTTGTTTGTTAATGGAAACGGTGTTCCCACCGGATCAGAGCATATTGGCTGGAAGGGACAAACACCCCGCCTCATACGTAAGTCAGTAGACAGCAAATGCAGTTGCACGGAATCAGAAACTGAATTTTTCATAGATTATGAATATCCATATGTGTATGTCCTGCACACTTATTCCATCCAAGTGCGGCGCATTGTGGATGGTGGCACCGGTTACAGGTGAGACTTTTTGCATTAACGATGGTTTTGCATGCCATGATGGCTACCCTACATTACTGCGTTTACATCTCGTTGACAGTAGGAGAATTTCATGTAATTAAGCTACCGCTTTTTAGTCTTTCTCCGCCTTTCTTCTATAAACTGGACGATCCGTGGGTCGTTGGAGATTCGTTGTCACACTGCGTAGTTATGGTTTCTAAGTCAAAAGATGCTCGCAGTGAGCGAATGAATATTCAGCAACTGGATGTTGATATTACCGAGGATGATGTGGAACAGCGTCGCCGTATGCCGACGGTTGATAAGTACGCTTGTAACTTTTTTTAAAGTTTTTTATTTAATATGCCGCGAATGATCTTGCGCTGGTTTCGTTAAACACTGACGGTTAGATGCATTTAAGCACGGTCGCACTGAAATAATTTACAGTGTGCTGTGTTCTTTTTCTCTTTCGGTTTTCACCGTGATCTCACTGATCTTCTATTGTTTTAGCGATACGGAGAGTACGTTTTCTGCCGCCTTTACGGACCCTTTGTGAAGCTTCGTTTACGGTGTGGCCTTACCTGACCCGTTTTTTGTAATTTTTCTCATTTATGCTAGCTCACGGAAATCTTGTGGTTCTGTAAATTATCGTAATTGCTATCTTGCTGTATGCATCGTTCCTTACTTCCTGAGTACGTACAATTTTCACTTTTCTCAAGTTTCCACCTTTTAGACCACAGCGCTGTTTTGATAGTTTGTTGGATGCTTAGTGAATTTGTTATCAAAAATTTCAGCACTACTGCACTTCTGATTATGATCTGCTGAAACTTGTACGTCATTCGTTCTTCTCGAATAAACCGAAATAAATTTTATCGTAGTTGCTTCGAATCTGACCGCCTTAAAATGTATCAACACCATCTGGTATAACCTAAAGCTGTCAAAAAAAGGGAATAAATGTCGAATTAGGACTGCATAAAAGAGCAAACAGATCTGTATCAAAAAATGCCACGCTAGGACGCTACTTCAAGTGATGCTTACAAGTTACAATTTCATTTTTATTATCAACACGCACGAAGTTAAGCGGACTGCACTGGATCAATAAAGCCATTCTCTTCGGCGCTCTGTAAAGCAGTGAGATCTTGTCGAATACTTCGGACTTCTCGTTGTACGTCATCCAGTGATTTCTGCGTCGATTCGGTCTTGTCAAACACCAAAGATTCACCATTTTCAGATGGTCCATTGGTCGCAGCATCACTGTCCACATTCAAAACTGTAAGCACTTCATCCATTTTGTCCAGAAGAACAGAAGCTTGCTTCAAATTTCGATCCTTCTGGAAAGTCAGCAGTTCAACAAAGCTTTCTTCAGCCTGTGGCTGTCGGTACTGGTTCACCGTGTGATGAAAATTGATGAAAACCGTTTGAAGTTCTTCGAAAGCTTCGGTTCTCACGGGCGAATACGGGTTCTTTACAACGCAGTCTAACAGTTCGATAAATTTCGCAACCGCCGACCATAGGAGACGTCTGAGCAGAATCTTGCGGTTAGTTATCCCGATTCCTAATTGTTGAATATTCTGCTGCTCCAGATCCCGTAGTACATGATCGGTGCGAGTAACGGGTATGCCAAAAATATCGAAAGACTCGTCACCAGGAACCGGAGGAGGAGAGGGAAATCGCGTGGAATTTGCAGATTTATTCGGCTGATCGGTTCCTGTATCCGTCACGGGATAGTTCAATGCTAATACGTCGTCACTGAAATGGGTGGAAAAGTAATCGAGCGAAGGAACGGGAAAAATGCTCACTTGATCACAAAGCAAGTCTTCACGAACGCCACTCTCCGTGTCACCCGTCTGCGTCATGTCAAACTGAGCTTGGAGTGTTAAATGACCAATCGGAGCTTTGTTCAAAAGTTTCGATTTGGGAAACACTAAGCAAGGCGAGCAAACGACGACTTCACGCTACAAAAGTACTAAAAAAACACGGAAAAACAGACAAAATAAAAATACCCTCGTATCATTACAAAGGCAAAGCGGAAGGTATCGATTCTGCTATCGCACTCTGCCGGTTTAAAACATTTTTACCAGCCGCCCAGTGGTACCGGATACCACGACGGCAGTATGTGGCAAAGCCGCCAAAGCGCACTTAAGGTTAGGGGTACAGATCCCGCAAAATGTAGCTTCGTCACCCTGTTCTCGCCGGAGTCACAGTACCTACTAAAGTACTAATTTTTGGTTTTTGGATACGTGACAGTTTCCGTCTACTTTTGATTATCATATTTTGTAACAAAATCAGTTCGGCGTTGTTGTTTTGGAATCGAAGTATTTAGTTTTTACTAGTTCCTACTCTAGCGACTTCAGAGTACGACTAACAAGTGGATGCCTGTTCTGCAACCACAGGGTTGTAGCTGTGTGGCTGTGCCAGCTGATTGGTGATCAGATCCCATCGTTCTCGAACTTCGGCAGATGCTGGCAAGAAACACATCTAAACGATTTTGAAAGATGTCGGCATCGCAGGAGGATGATTCTAGGCCTGGAACACCAAGAGATAAGGCTGTTATTAGTAGTGAAGTATGCGAGTTTCGTGTGATCTTGGATCTGTTCGTGCCACCAATTCCTCTTAAAATTAATAGTAAGAGTAGTTCATTAAAATCGTTTTGCCTTTTGGTTTATTAGTTCCAGGAAGCTTTGAAGCGGTTTATGAAACATGGAACCACCGCTAGCTGGAAGGAGCGACGTAACAGTCTGAATCAAGCGGCGTTCTGACTGGCTAGTATTTACTAGTAAGTAGTACGTAATTACTACCATGGTACCTACTATAGTGTCACTTCATGCAGACACAGTTGCAAACTGTATTTTCGGCAGTATACGATTAAGTACTGATCTCTACTGGCATAAAATCCGAAGCAAATCGTTGTGATCGCCGTTGTAATTGGTACTATGTTGTAAATAATGAGCGCCGTGATTCAGTTAATTTAGTTAATATTTGTTATAAATATAGAGTTGTATTAATTTTTACAATACATACGTGCACACAGTACATGGTTTTGCATTGCGTTATTAGCTTTGCTTATCACTTAATTCAGATCTCATTTAGGTTACGGAAAGTTACATTCGCGTTTACAAGAAAGCGTCTTTGATAAATAAAAGCATGCTTAGGTATTGCCAATGATCCGCTGCAATCACTGCTGCAAAATATCGCACTATGCATGCCGCGCTACATCGGTGACCGGAAATCGGTGATATTGCTGGATGATTTTGCCAATCGAATTTTGGAAAAGGCATCGCCGGAGAATTATGGACATTTTGTCGCTATCGTGTCTGGAATAGCAAATTGTGTGGCTTTTTCTGCATCGACGTAAGATGTTCAACTGAGAGCTGCCGATAATAATTTCGACAGTTGTACCGATATTATTTACACACACTGATATGATGAAGCTAGTTTACGTTGAATCTAATCTTACGTATTGAGTTTTTGCTGATCTTGATGTCATGTGAGGAAGACTCGTATGATTAATGAATTTAAATTGCTTGATGCTTTTCTAGGGCTTATTCCCGGAAACTTGCTAGGCAAGCGTTGCGACTTAGTGTTGCCTTGTATTCGAAGATATCCCCGAAAAGTGAGGAAGGAAAGACCTTGGTACGTGCACTTTTGATTTTGCGAATGCGCCAATTATTTCAGCATCGGTTTTTCTGAAACTGGGATTTACTGCATTAGTTGATGCTTGATCTGATGCCATTAAACCAGTAAATAAATTTATCAGTGTCTTTGTTGGACTAATGTGTTCTTTTTTCAGATGCATGTCCTGGCGAAGCTGTTATTTTGCATCCTCGCTTCTGGTCGACGTGCGGACGAAAGGCAGATTGGCAGAATTCTTGATCCGATTTTCAAACAGGTACGATGATAGAATAATGCGTGAGACGTAAACTTGTGAACAGTTTACAATAAACTTGTCACAGTGCAGAATTTTTACTGTTCCAATTTTCGAGTAAGTATTTAGTCCGGAATTTAGGGTGATGCATTTTTTGCCTGTGTTGCCGAACTGCTTGCCAAGGAAGATGCTTCAGTTTACATGATCGGTTTGGTTAACGCAATGGTTTTATACACCGAAACCAGGAGATCGGATTACTTAGCGGACGATTCTGTTTTTGTAAGTATGACCATTTAACTGATGGTGAGCTTTCTGTAAGACAATTCACACTACATTACACCTTTCCGTTTTCTGTTGCATGGTTTTAGACGCCGGTTATAAAATATATTGTCAGAATGCTATTTAACATGAAAGTGCCCAATATGCCACAGTTTGTGGTAAGTTCCTTCGAATTTTGTGAATGAGTTGCTGGGTTCATGATCTTTAGCTACCGGTATGTATTTCGCATACCTTTGTAGGATCTGTGCGAACGACCTTTGCGATACATTACGACCGAACAATTCAAAGAAAGCATTTTACCTGCATTGACAAAAGCATTGCTTCGCAATCCCGAAAGTGCACTCCCTGGTATGAATCTGACGTTTTACCGAAATTCTTAGTGAGAAATATTGTTATTATTTATATTTGTAGCTGTTGTGAAGATTTTAAGAAGCTTGAAAATTGATTTGAGCCCGTTTTGTTTGGAAATTGGGAAACATTTAACAGGTAAGTTTTTGTACTACTTAGTGATCTGAGTCCAGCACGGATTGTGCCGTTTGTTTCCAGTTCAGCTGCATTCTAAAGTGGATGAATCGCGTCGGCTTAGCGCAGAAGCTTGTAAATGTCTAGCTCAGAAATGCCAGAATTCCGGACATGCAGTGGAACTCCTTCGTCACGTTTTTGCTGTGTTGAATGGTAAGGAAAATGTGCATTTGAATTTCTGTTGTATTCGCGTCGAAGTACATGTTTTGTAATTAGCAAATAACGTCCATATAACTCGACCTGTATCAACCGCGTATAACGCGACCTGTATCGTCTTTTTTTGTATAAGTTAATTATGATTCATCGGTAGATTAATAAGTTAACTGTGATTGATTAATCGGTAGACTTCATGTAGAAAGCCATTTTACTTAGGTTCGGAAGGAAAAATTACTGTGGCAAATGAGCGGATTGATTTATTGACTGGCATTGGAAATTTAAGCTACCAACCTGAAAAAGATCTCTCGAGTCAGGCGGAGCCGATCACGACTCTTTTTTTATCTTTTGTGGGCAGCGAAGGTGAGGTTTCGTTTTCTTTTCTTACCGGTGTTTCGCTTATTGGTGTTTTCTATTTATTCCCTAAATTTGTAGCTCAAGAAGCAATTAGCTTACATGCTCTTTCCGCCTTTCGTTTGTGGATACGGAAATTCAATTCCGTCCCTGCAAATCTCGTTAGCGCGGTTAAGGTGAAGTAGTTCGAAGATTGCAAGTCGTGGCACAAGTGTATTATGTGCACACACATGTATTGATTAGCCCGCTTTGTATATTTTAGTGTTTCTTTGACAGAATTTGCAAGCTCAAAAGGCCACGACAATCCGATCTGCGTTATTAACATGCTTGTCCCTTTTTCCAGATTTATGTATGATTGATTGAACTTGGTTCTGCATGCGCACCATTCTTTACAGTGTTCACGAAACCTTGCTGGTATTTTTCAGCGCAATCGGAACGTCAGTTGTCGGAAATTATTCCAGTTCTTACGAAGACCGTGGATGCAGCAGTAGCAAAACCTTCCGACATAGCGATGTGTTTAGAAGCGTTGCCGGCGCTGAGTTGCCTTCTTTCCATTTATCAAAGTGGCAGTTTCACCGATCAGAAACGACAGAATATTTGGAACGCAATAACTGATGCGAAAAAGGAAATTTTAATTTCCGATAGATTTTTGAATGCTTTATCGGAAGCAAGTGAGTATGACATCGTTCTTTTCATTGATATATCGTGGATCAGTGTTGTGTTGTGTATTAACAACTAACCGATATTATTTTCAGCATCTACCTCTTATATCCAGTTAGTCGAGAAGCTGTTATTGCTTAACTACGATAAACTGAAACCGGAAACAATCAGGTGAGCTTGTTGCAGGTGTAAAGGGTGATAATGTGACTGTTTATCGTAGTTTATCATTGTGAGTATTTTTAATTTGTTACTCGACCGTTCCAGTTAATTTTTAGCCGTGTTTTGTCTTGCGTTGGGCAGTTCGGGCTAGGGATGTTTGCTTCTAGTCTTAGTTCAACTACTGTCCATTTGATACATCATACATGTTTGCTATCGGTTTTTGACGGGTACTTGCTTTTGTGGTCACAGAACACTGAAAAGCTACCGAATTTTTTCATTTCAGCTTATGATTTCGTTATTAGCGACTAAATTGAATGTGTTATGTGTAAAGTTAAACCTGTAAATTTATGTAAAGTATGGAAATTGCCTTTTTGACATTTCAGGGCCTATCTCTATGCATACGCCTATGTTCTTGTAAGAAATCACCATGAAATACGCAAACAAGGCTTAGATAGCTGGAAACGAATTATGCAGCTGCATAGTGACAAACAGCTTTCCGAAGAATTAGTGCGTGGTGTGGGAACTGCGTTATCGAAACTGCGATTATCTCAGAATCCAGCGGACGGCGATGGTGCAGAAGAAAGTCATTTCGCAAAACACGCCGTACACATCTTAACTTCCATCACCGAATTGTTTGTCGAGCTCAAATGCACGCCAGCCGCGAAAGGACGACTGATTCTGGAAATGCTGTTGGTTACTCAAGAACCTGGTATCCGATCCCTGAATCCTAACCTATGGATTGATCTGTTACGCCGATTTCATGATGACAATATCTTTCCGGATAAATTGTTTGCTGATAACATTGCCCAAATTTTTCAACTGCTACTAACGGAACATGGCCTTCCGGATGAAGCAGTGGAAAATGCTGTAAAAACGCTGGTTGGTTTTCCCACATCGGTGACCGTTGAGAAAATATTGTCAGGAATTAGAGCGTCACTACAAAATTCAGAGTTTGCCGCAGTATCCGTTGATGATTTTATGGTATTCAAGACCCCAGCAGGAGTTCTCTACGATAAATCAGTGCTTGAGACGTAAGTATTATTTTGTCAGTTTACAAAGCGAAATTTGTTATACACGGTTTTTGGTGACATTGCGTTAGTGGTACTGCTGTTTTTTGCGCAGTTGTTTAGTGACTCGTGGCTATCATTTAATTCATAAAAATGCCGGTTTAGTGTAAAAATTTCTGTGGTTCTGTATAGGGCTGCAGGTAGTGATGGTGGAAAAGGAAACGTAAAACGGGAAAGCAAGGCGTATTCATTCAAAGAGCAAATGGCAGAAATGGAGCTGCGCAAGGAACTAGAAGCCAAAAGAAAGGCTGAATCGGGCGGCAAAGAGGCTCCACTAAACGCTAAACAAAAAGAGGCCATGACGAAGCAACTCGCTAAGGAAAATACAATTCGGCTGACCGTCCAAGCCGTTTATGCTAAAGTTCAGCGTATTTTTCTCATTTTGGATTCAATGATTAAGGGGAATCCTGAATATATGCGAGTTTTCAAGAGTCAGTTGATTGATGTGGTTAGCCCGTTACTTCACATCCCGCTTCTGGCACAGTCGGCTTGCAATACCTGGATGTTACTGAGCAAGTGTGCCGATGATCCACTGCGGAGGAATGGACTTTGTATGTAGAAATCACCCTAAGGAATCTTTTGTAATTTGATTCAGATTATATTATTTGGTAATTTGGCTTACGATACATTTACCGTTTGTGCTCTTTGCGTGGTTTAATATCGTGTGAGACAACCTTACAATTTCTGCTTTGCAGCCATTGCCTTAGCCATTACCAGTCTTCGTGTTTTGGAGCCGGTATGCCCGTTGCCGCCCCAGTTAACACAGGAAAATTTGACAGCAGCCATTTCTCGCATCGTCCATGGTTTGTTCTTGTTGTGCAGCGAAGAAGCGGAAAATGGTGCACACAATGAAACCAGCGAACTGAATTCACAGCCACGGATCACTGTGCCGGACGGATGCTTTGCTTTCCCTTTGTTGCGGATTGTTCTCAACGAGGATCATGCGAAAAAGCTCGGATTGAAGGAACCAGTGCTTTTGGAAGCATTTAAAATTATCAGCAAAGTCCTGGAAGTTTCGTCCTCCAAGGCGGATGAATCAATCACCAACAACTACAGCAACGACGACATGGCCGGATTGGAAATGAACGAGGTATAGCACCGCTGTGAAATACCGTCACTTACTACAGTAAATGGTTTCTTTATCTTCGTTCGATATCTTTTTACATGAAGGACAATCCCGCGTTTCTACCACTGTCGGATATTCTGCGGACTGTAGCTGCAGCCGGCGAAAGTACTACTGGTTTGTTCGATGTGAGTTTCTCGTTTCTCGCCATTGCATTGACCGGTGTAGGGTCAGTCTTTTTATGCGTATGTTTTTCTAGCACGATATTGGTACAGCGGTGCAGAATTTTGCAAAAGCCGTGAAGAAAGCGGTGGATTCCGGTGAGCAGTTACAGCCAGACATCGTCCAACAGCTATTGCACATCTTGCTGATACCGAAACCGTTTTTTCGCATTGCCTCACTGCAGGTTAGTGCTTTTACTTTCTCGAGCAGGTGGCGGTAAAATGTGCTGAACCTTGAGCCATTTTGACTTTTAGGCATTGATGGTGCTGGGCGATCATTTGGAGCCCTTTGTAAAAGATTCCGCTGTGCGTCAGTTGACGATGAGGAGATTGTTTGTGGCGGCACATGACTGTGAAGACCCGAAAGTTGTGGAATTTGCACGAGAGTAATTTATAATGGCGGAGTGCTTGTGCGAATGCCCGCTGATGCAACATTTCTTAATATTCTGATGCCCTTTGTAGGCTGTTCCAAGATCTGCGTCTGACCCCTAACGAACAGTTGGTGGAAGATTGTTTGGACGATGTGACATTTGGCCAAGAGTTTGTGCGTAACTCAAGTTCTGCTGCTCTGGGTGTTTTGTTGTCCCAGTTCCCCGACAAAGCGGAATACGTCTTGGATCAACTCATTCAGCGCTATAACAAAAATGCAGAAGTAAGACTTTCTTTTTATACGCGTGCTGTATTGTCTAAACATGGTTTGCACTTATTAAACGTGTGTAACAGCTCGGGTATTCCAGATCAGTTTTTATCAGCGTCAATAATAACATAGGATGCCTTGTTGATTGTCTGAAGTGGCCTGTTTTGTTTTAGATCTGCAAAGTGAAGTTAGACAAATTCGGTCGTGCGTTACTAGACAGTCAGCCTGATCAGTGGCCGGCGAGGCGTGGCATTGCATCAGCTTTAACGGCCGTGGCTCCTTATTTGAACAAGCAGGAAATGCTCGAGCGACTAATGGACTTCATGCTCCAGAATCCTTGTGCACTAAAAGACGAAAAAGCCCCAGTGCGAAGTGATATGCTGGAACTGGGCGTTACAGTGGTGGAACTTCACGGAGAGCAGTATGTTGGTTTGCTACTAGAAAAGTTCGAAGAATGTTTGGCCAAAGCTCCCAAAACCGGCGAATATGACATCGTTCGGCAAAATGCTATTGTTATCATGGGAAGCTTAGCCAAGCACTTAGATAAAACACACCCGAAAATACGACCCATTGTGCATCAGCTGGTCGCGGCATTGTCCACACCCAGCGAAGAGGTAAATTCGAATGTTTAGTTTGAGCGATGGAGGTTTTTTCATCAGTCGATGGTTGAGTAATTGCGTTGTAACTAGTGCGAAGTTGTTTTCTCTGCGTGCAGCAATGCCAGTTCTGGTATAAAGTTATATGTGTTCTAAAATTTTAATTTCTGATCATATCGCAGGTCCAGAAAGCTGTAGGGCGCTGCATTGCACCACTCGTTCATGTTATTGAAGATGATATCCGATCGGTGATCCCGAACTTACTTCATGTCCTGTACGAATCGGAGAGTTATGCTCATCGACGCGGGGCAGCCTACGGATTAGCCGGCGTCTTCCAGGGCTTGGGAATTATGTCGCTGAAGGATTTCGATATTATGCTAACAATCATGAATGGCTTGCAAGAAAAGAAAAATGCTCAGCGACGCGAAAGTTAGTCATTTCGCCGCCGAAATTTTCTTATTATTAAACTGTTGATTTCTAGGTTCCCTGCTTGCTGTGGCTATGCTGTCACTGGGGCTTGGAAGAGTATTTGAACCCTTCGTTCTGCAAGTAGTGCCATACATTCTCCAGTCTATTGGCGATCCGAACATTCATGTTAGACAGGTACTGCGATTGATGTAGAACAATTCTACGGCACAAGATAATTTGAACTTTTAGTTAGTCTACTTTTCAGCATGAGAAAAATGATTTGTTTCCGTTTTGAAATTAACTCTGAAATATTCCTATAAGAATTTAAAGTTTAGTCGCTTCATGGTTGTGACTTTTCTCGTCAGTTACACAAAGTTTTTAATTTTCTAGGCTGCGGACGAAGCGTCTAAAGTGGTGATGAGCCAGCTGACTGGACCAGGTGTCAAGTTAATTCTTCCTGCCCTCCTAAAAGGCTTGGAAGAAGAGGCTTGGCGAGCAAAAGCGGCCTCAATAGAAATGTTAGGCGATATGGCTTTCTGTGCTCCCCGTCAGCTGTCCACGAGCTTGCCCATGGTTGTGCCGAAGTTAATCGAAGCATTTGGTGATTCCCACACCAAGGTCCAAGAAAGTGCTGTTAACGCTTTAAAGAAAATAGCTTCCGTTATTAAGAACCCTGAAGTCATCGGTAAGGGAGTTGTAATTTATGTGGTTCGCATTTGCTATTGGAGCGCTGGTATAGCAATACTTAGCGTTGGAGCATTACTTATATGGAGCTCCGTAAATCTTTGGTGTTTTGTTTTAGGTTTGGTGCCAGGTATTCTGATCGCCTTACAAGATCCCGCCAAGAAAACCACATCCTGCTTAAAGACCATTCTGCAGACCCAGTTTATCCATGTAGTAGATGCTGCGTCGCTGGCGCTGCTGATGCCGGTCGTTCGTCGCGCTATATACGACCGGGGTAGTGAAAACCGAAAATTATCCGCTCAAATAATGGCGAGTCTGTACAGTTTGGCTGACCAGAAAGATTTGCTACCGTATTTGGATGGAATCCTACCAGGGTTAAAGAACTGCCTGCTGGATCCAGCTCCAGAAGTGAGGTTATGTGCTGCCAAAGCGTTGGCGGCCTTGGTGAAAGGCACTGGAGAGACTGGATTTGATCAACTAAAGGAATGGCTGTTTATGAAGCTGGTTTCGGAAAACAATTCCGTGGATCGGTCGGGCGCAGCTCAAGGTAAACTCCTGCTTTTTTTCTTCGACACATGTTATTAGCCGTTTACAAAGTAGCTTTTTCTGAATTCAAATACGTGGATTTCTTTAATAGTTACAAACGAACTCTAAATTCTAGCAATACAGTGTCTATGACATCGATTCTATGACTTTCCTCAACTGCGCTGAAATGAATTGTGCCGTTTCTTACAGGTTTGGCTGAATCGCTGGGTGTCCTTGGTCTGCATAAACTCCAGGAAGTCCTTCCGCAGTTTCTTAAGTACGTGCTGGACGAACGGACCCCGTCGCACGTTCGTGATGGTTATTTATTGGTGTTTGTGTACTTACCGGTGGTGTTCGGACAAGACTTTTCGCCATTTATCAGTGATGTTATTCCGGCTATTCTTTTGGGGCTGGCTGATGATACCGAATATGTGCGTGAAACAGCTTTATTATGTGGCCAGCGCATTGTGAATTATTTTGCCGATTCGGCAATCGAGCTGTTGCTTCCGCAACTGGAAGAGGGTATGTTCGATGAAAACTGGCGGATCCGTTACGCATCAGTTCAGTTACTGGGAGATTTATTGTACAAAATCGCCGGAGCCAGTGGCAAGCACACTACGACTGGATTGGAGGAGGATGAGAACTTTGGCACAGAACAGTCACATTCGGTAAAGTTGTTTTATTTTGTTTACGTTTAGGTTTGATTGTCTTGGCTTACGACTGCTTCGCGAACCGCTTGTTTTTGAAATCGCCTGAATCATTCATAATTATTTTCAGCTTATTTTACAAAGACTTGGAGAGACGCATCGCAATCGCGTGTTGGCCGGTCTCTATATTTGTCGTTCAGACAACGCCTTGGTTGTTCGTCAGGCCGCTCTTCATGTGTGGAAAGTTATTGTTACCAATACTCCCAAAACGTTGCGGGAAATTTTATCAGAATTGTTTGAAATCCTTCTTGATGCCCTGGCTAGCGATAATGAAGAGCGCCGTCAGGTATGGCTGCCGCATATTATGAACAAATTTTGATATATTATAATGTATTAATGGTGTTAATGTTAATTTATTGCTATTTCGGTTAATTTTGTATTCTTTTTCCGGTAATTTGAAATGTGTAAGCCGAGAATATTTCTAGATTAAAACGTTTTGCTCGACAGGTTGCTGCAAAAACTCTAGGAGAGCTGGTGCGGAAGCTGGGTGAGCGTATTTTGCCCGAAGTTATTCCCATTCTTCAAGCGGGATTGGATTCGGAAGCAGACGAGCACCGTGAAGGCGTTTGTGTTGGCTTGATGGAGATTATTTCTTCCTCGAACAAAGAAACCGTTATTATGTACTGTGATATCCTGGAGCCGACACTGAGTAAGGCACTTTTGGATCCTAGCGGTGGTGTTCGACGAGCCGCAGCCGACGCTTTTTGCATGCTGGACAACGTCGTCGGACACAAGATTCTGGACGATATCCTCCCTGTGTTGTTTGATAAAGTGGTATGTACGAACGCTATGCACCAGCATGATGGTTAATTAATATTGTGTTTTTTAAGTTCAGTGCGGTTTTAGTAAACGGAGCCAGAAAAATAATACAGATGAATAAATCAAATCAACTACGATTCCTTGTAGACGGATCCTGTAGAAGGAGACCGTGCGCTGGATGGTCTGCAGCAGATTATGCAACGGCGCAGTAGAGTGGTATTGCCTTACCTGATTCCCCGTCTGACTACTCCGCCCATAAACACCAAAACTTTGGCCTTGCTAACAGCAGTAGCCGGAGAAGCGTTGAGTAAACATTTGGGCAAAGTGCTGCCGTCGCTGCTCAACAGTTTGGAGAATAAAATGGGAACGCCTGAACAAGAGGAGGAGCTAGGCTACTGCCGTAGTGTGGTTCTGTCCGGTACGAATCACTTTGCTATAATGTTTTTCGTTATATGACGGTAGAAGATCATCAGCAACAACTGGTCGTCTGGATTTTTCAGTGGAAGACGAAACGGGTGTTGCCACTCTCGTTGAGTCGCTGATGCATGGAGCGCAAAATGAGAAGACAAGAATGGCGGCGGTTACTTTGCTGGATGTGTTCTTCGCTAACACAAAAGTGGATGTGCGGGCTTTCTTCGGGACGTCCATTCGGCCCTTGATGCGCCTGTATATGTTCGATGACCCGATTTTGGTAAAGAAGGTCGCGTCCGTTATTGGAACGTTGATAAAGGCAAGCATTGTGATGAATCAGTCTTTAATTGCCCATGTTCTAGTTGGACTGTGGAAACTGTGTGATGTTAATAAACATTACTTCTATTTCATATTGCGTTATAGAAAACTCCTACCGATGTCATCTACGAAAACGTTTCGTCGCTTCGCACTGCCATACGAGCGGTGCACATGGAGTTGAGAGTGCCATCTATTCCAGGTTTATGCCTCCCGGAGGTAAGATTTTGTTAATCGTCCCATTTTGATAAGCTTTATCATGCGGATAACCTCCAAGTTTATTTATTGTCGCGAACAAAACTGAACTGCTGTGTATTTCATATAGGGAGCCGCCGTTTTTATACCCTTATTGCGGGATGCTTTGCTGAGCGCCAGCGCTGACGAGAAGGAAGTGGTTGGCCAGACTATTGGTGATTTGGTGCGACTTTCTAGTCAGAATGGTCTGAAATCATCCGTCGTGACAATCACTGGGCCCATTATCCGTATTCTCGGTGACCGTTATTCGTCTAGTGTGAGAACAGTTTTGCTGGATAGCTTGAACGCGTTGATTGAAAAGGTACAATAATTTCCGGAGAAGCTGTTTTTGAATTATTTTGAATCATTGTGCTGTTGATTAAACAGTGTTCCCTCTTGATCAAACCTTTTGTACCTCAAATCCAAACCACAGTGTCCAGAGCCCTGTCCGATCCGATACGTTCGGTGAGAGTAAAAGCCGGCATTGTGGCGTCTAATATTGCTCCGATGCACCCGCGGCTGGATACACTAGCGAACGATCTCCTGGAAGTGGCCAGAAATAATGCTGATCTTGGAACAAAGTACGTTATCCTATCGTTCCAATGCATAACGAAAGGTTTTCCTTTTTAATAAATCGTTTCGTCGAAAGTTGCTTGGTTAGTATCTGATTATTTTGGGTTTGTTTCAAATCTACGTAATTGATCATCTTTTTGTTTGAGGATTTTGTGTGCATAGCATGTTCTAATTGCGCTTGTAATCTCGTAATTGCAGAGAAACCACTCTTCGGTCACTTCGCATGATCTTAGCGAATGCCGGTAGCAAACTTTCTCCACAGTACCGGTCAGACGTTGTGGCAGTTGTGACGCGTTATTTGGATGCCGACGACAACGATTTAAAAAATGCTGCGTCTGGTGTTTTGGGTGCATTGTGCCGGTTTGCCGTGGATGACGAACTTGCTTCGCTGCTGAAGAATAATATTTTTGGTGAGTTGGTTGGTGAGGGTATGCTTCGTAAGAAAAGGATGTAGCGGCGTCTGATATTTTTCGCACCGTCGGTTCCTGTGAAGAAGTTCTGTAAGCGCTGATTAGATAATGCAATTCTCTTCCTGCTGCAGATGTTTCGAGCAGTGAATGGACCCTTCAGCACGGTCACTGCCTGGCTTTGGGTGCCGCCTTGAGAGAAGCGGGAGAAAAACTGCTGTCTCCGCAGTATGCTGACACAACTATGGATATCATTCTAAAACACCAAACCAGCGATAGAGTATGTGAAGATGTTTTTGCGTGTATTGATGTTATTAATTTATTATGGTGATTGCTCTGCTGTCGCAGGTCCCAATAGCAATTACCAGTATGCGATGCATGGGTCTTTATTTGCTGCACCAGCGAAAAAATAATCAACCGCTGAATAAAAAGTTACTGATTACTTTGGCCAAAAGTTTGAATCATCCGGCTATTGAAGTTAAGCAGCTCGTCGCTCACATCTGCAGCCATTTAGCGCTGGTTTGCGAACAACCTCTGGACATCTCAGAACTGAAAATTCTCGTTCCTCAGTTGGTTAATGGAACCAAGGAGAAAAATACTGCTGTACGTTACGATAGTGAGATGGCTTTGGCGGATGTTCTGGCGCTGCGCAAAGATGAAACCTTGTTTGAGGTTGGTAAAGAAGTTAATTTTAAACATTTTTGAAGTTGGTAATACATATTTGTATTCTAATAATAAGTTTTCTTTCATTTCGAGTACGAGGACCTTCATTATGCGAAGTTGTATTTTTGTAGAATGTCAAGGCTGCAATGGATGTTGGCGCTCGCGATTCACTTCAGAATGCTAGAAAAAGTCTTAGTAAATCCGTTATGCAGAGTGCAACCAAACTGGAAGAGTTGGATGAGACCTTTTAATTGTGGGGTTTTGAGTGATTAGAAATTTTATAAATTTTTGTGCTTTTTGAAAGTTCAGTGATGCTGCGCAGGAGTTGTACTTTCGGTAACCAACACTTCAGAGTAACTTTTTGTGTTTTTCACCCATTGACCCCTGTTTTCGAAGTAAAATTGCAAGAAAATTAAAAGTTAGGAAACCAATAACCATTATCCGTCAAATTGAAAGAAATCGGATACTGCAAATCCTGGCTTACGCAGAATCATGTACATGTACTGAAGTTGTATCATGAACATCCCGAAACGAAAACTGCGATAAAAATGTCAATAAAACACTCAGCATAAGAGGCACAAAAATCATAAAAAGCGAAGAATACTTCTAATAATCCCTACACCGATGGCTGAAATCTGAATTCGCCCCTTTAGCTGCACACATTTCTGGAACGGCACCGAAGTTGCATTTAGAATTTGTTTTTCGGTCCTTTGGCGGCATCTTCCGCTGCCGTTTCTCCGGTCGGCTGCGGCCCAAACTGATCTGCCTGACCCGGGAAATAGCGATATCCAGCGCCGTATCCCCGAGTGTCGCCACGCCAGGACTCCCACGGGTTGCGAGCCCATGGATGCGTTTCGGCCCCGGCCACGATCATATACGGCGGCAGACGAACACCGGCCTCGTTCAGCTTCCGAGCGGTCTCACCGATCGGAGTGTTCAACTTGGCCAATTTTTCCTGGCAGCCACCGAAACGCGTATACAGATACCGACCCAAAACATTGCCCAACAAGGCGGCCGCGGTCACCTTGAAGAAGGATCCAAAGCGCGGGTTGGAGCGCAAGTAACCACCCTTGACGGCCAAATGGGTTGCCAGACCAGCTACAGCAGCCGACGGCATAGCGTACTTCCAGTTGGCATCAGTGCGGCACTCCTGGATGGTCTTGATCTCCTCCACAGTCAGTCCGTACAGTCCGGGGCCGTGGTCGTGATATCGAAAATGATCACACGGACGTTGATTGTTAGCGTACGCGTATGGATTTTGCCCGTACTGTTGCTGCTGCGAATCACTGCGCCCCAACGGCGGGGCAGGTTCCTTTAGGGACGCCATTGAAAAATAGAAAATGCTCAGAAAAATGCGAAAATGCTGAATTCGGTAAAGTAATCAGAACTCTGTTCACAGATTTAATTTATACTTATCAGAAGAACGATTTGCAACAGTTAGAATTTTACGAAAATGACGTTAGGCGGAGTAGACGCTGCATCATCTCGTTGCATCAGACACAGGGGCGGTATCCGTTTCGGAGACAGACTCAGCTGTAAAAATCAAAACAAACATCGCTCGCCAATCATCGTTCATTTATTAATTTCATTATCATTTATCATCGAGACAGCTTTTTAGTGCAGCAGCTGATTATCATTTATGCTTTGTTACTGTAAGTCAACACATTTCCAATTGTCGATTGAAATTTATCTTAGATATGGTTGGACTAAGTGATTCCATTCTCATATCTTGATTGTTTTGGACTTGTTGACTCGGGATATTGTACAAATGCGAAACGAAGATTCACTACGATATGCGGGTACTTCGTACTCATTTTGATGATCGACAGGTTTGAAGGAGCTCCGAAGGAACTGCCAGCTGTCTTTCAGTTTTACCTTGTCTCATTTCCTTCTTCTGACACAGGATTATTGTGTTTGAAAGCCTTCCTCTGAAGTGAAGCAACGTAGCGCATGGCATAGATCCGGCATCGCATCGCGTAGAGGAACATTTCCCGATCACTCGGAATGGCCGGAATGGGAGCGCGCGCTCTGTACACCTGGTTTACCGTGCTGATCTTCGTCATAATGATCACTCTCCGGCTAAACCACAGCATGTTAGTCAGCTGGTTCGTGGTGTTCATCCCGTTATGGCTCTACGAACTAATCATGATTGTGTCGATCTCAATCAAAGCCTGCAAAAAAGCCGTGGGAAGCGGTTCACGGATTTTTGGCGATCGCCACTGTGCCATCTTTCTATGGGATATGTTCGGGATTGTCTGCTTGTTCACGTTTGAAATGTTCCTGTGCTTGAAGTTGGACAACACGTGGAACGTTAAGCCGCACATTCTCTTTACACCCTTGTGGATTTTGTGCGCACAGTGTTTGTTGAAACTGGGTTGGCATGTATACAATTTTGAGCGGTCGCATGCGAGCATGTCAACAACAGGGTCGCTTTGATTTTTTTAATTTTATTTGTTAAATTTTGTGAATTCGGAAGACTTTTTATTTAAGGAATCTCATGCTGGCTTTCTTTACAAACAGGCAATATAAAAAATTACCAGTGGCTTTAATAAAATCGTCCAGAAAGATTGAGAGTGCGAGTTTAGTTTAGTTTTATCGCTGTATATTTATTTATACAATATTACTTTCATGAGATTTACACTGTACATACAATTTTGCACAGTATTGTATCAATATGTCACAGTTATGTGCAGGCTTTTCAGAACTTCCGGAGATTACGTTATTAATGGAGTGGAGCTGAATTATTTGCGACCAGCACACTTCAGCAAAATCGGGTTTACAGATTCGGAATCAGGATTCACCAAGTTTGAACACTTTGTGTGGAACAATCCTGTCATTGTATCGTTCATAGTGGTTTCGTACCGCCGTAAACTTGCAGCTTCGGTACGAAACTCCGCCATTGTACAGTTTCGATTATTTCGCCCGTCAACAAGCTCGGAATTTTCCGGATAAGCATCGTCCCCTGAAAAAATTTCTATTATAGAGGAAATACGAAACATAACGTAGGTTTGTACAGAGTGCTTTGTGATCATTCTGGAGCTTGCCATTTACGCTCTTTAACCAAAATTTGACATTTCTTATCTATTCAAAAATTTCGTTTCTAAAATCCGCTAACGGTAAGTCTGCACTCTACACAGATCTGATAATTATGACAGTCGTTCGGTACCGACAAAGGTGCCTAAATCAGCAATTAAATTTATTTAAAAACAATTTAACACATACAGTACATACCGGCAAAAATGACAACAATGCCATCAGTGCAGTAAACAAGTGCAGGCGCCAGCAATTCAGTTCCCTCTTTTTGGTGCTTTTCAGCAAAATCAATCAGATCTTTGGCATTCGCAAAGGGCAAAATTCTGACGCACTCATAAATCTGAGGCGACGGAATAAATAAATCATCTGAAGACATTCGCGAAATGCCTTCCGCTGGAGATAACCAAAGTGCGCTGCTTGTTTCGGTTTTGTCCACGACGATCTCCAGTCCTTCGTCACATTCCGCAACAAAGAATGCAGTGTCATAACGTTTGCTGGACGTCCTGTCGTTGGCCGGCGTGCGCCAGTTGGACCACAGTTTTAATGCGGGCACATCCGGACATACATCCAGTTCGTTGCACATTTGTAAAAAATTTCCTGTGCTATCAATCAAACGCTGTCTCCAAGTGGCCAGCAGATCCACAGGCTGGGATTTGTTCAAAGATAAAAGGAAACCAGTTTCTTCAAATGTTTCGCGAATCGCGGTGATTCTGAGCGATATTTCCCGAGCGAGCTCGTGGGATTTGGTTTGAAAGATTGCTGGCCGCTGGGCAGTCGACGGCAACAGTTGGCCATCCAGATTCACAGAATACCGCTTGAAATGGTCATTCCAGTCTAAAGAAAAATCACCATCCTCAACCACTCCACCTGGAAATACCGCGCGTTTGGCCCAGTTGCCAACTGATCCAGAACGACGTAACAGCAGAATCTTTAACGACGATTTCCCGTTGCCAAAATCAGAGAAGCCGATTCTCTCCATGGTAGTAGCATCAGGAAAGTCTGATTCTCAAACAAAATCAGCCACAGATCTTATCGTTCGGCAGCTGTGCGCGAAGGCAAATATCAGAGATAACAATAAACTGCAGACGGAACTGCTACGGTTTGGAGACTGCTACCATACTGTCCATAATCATGGTGGAAGAGTGCACGAATACTACTTCTACTAAAACACAATACTTACTCGTTCTCACAAATGTGTCCAGTTCGAAACACTCAGAACCTCACAATCAGTACGGCTTATAAGACAAATACATACATGAATAACATGATACAGATAATATTTCTGTACTTCCAATTGTTTTGGCGCATCAGCATTAATGTTAAGAATTACTAATAATTTAGAAGTTAGTGATAAAATCATAAATATCGTACCACCAAAAAACACCACCTACCAAGCGGCTTCTAGTCTACTTGGAAGTTGGTAGGCGCCATCACACGTCAACAGAAATTCCATTGTTGCCTGTGGTGAATGATTGATTATGGCTGTCAATCCATCTTTCCTTGTACTGTCGCGTAGTGGTCACAATCGCAATTTAATTTTTATTATGAAAATAACATTACTGTATGGTCAACCATTACAAAAGTTTCATCGAATATAGTTCCGCGAACCTTTGTTAATTACTTGAAATTACTTGCACTTGTAATTATTTATGTTATGTCTCCAGACTCTGTCGATTTAATACAATACGGGTACTGTACGTACCGCAAGTATTTGAGTATCGTACCCAGTCATCTTATGAGCATTGCAAAACATCCAAAAAACCCGTATTTTTGGCTACGAACACTTTTTTCGGGAAATCCCTCACACAGCAGCAGAATTTTGTAACTTTTCAAAGTTTTCTTGCTGGTAAGCCAATGGCAGAAATGGCTTCAAAGTGCCACATAGATTCGCACTTTCCAGGAAATCTTTTAATACTGCGACATTTAAAATAAATTAGTGTACTACAATTATTAGCATAGAAGTATGCCATTCGATTAAACTGGTTTGAGCGCAACAATAAGTATTGTCGGTCAATTAAAACTGGCTTCGTTAAGACGTTTGGGGCTTAAGCCTTGGGGTTCCGGAAAAACCATGGACACCCAAGCTTTCCAATTTTCTGAACAAATTCACCGGGGCGCAATGTTCCGGATCTAAAGATATATTCATGTGGAAATCGACAACGGTGTCTTTATGGTCACTTTCTAGTCGATGCAGATTCTTCACATCTTTCCTTAGTTCGGTCACTGTGCGATCATCAGGCGGTAAAGGTTTGTACAAATCTGGATTAGATGGATATGCATCGTCACCTACCGAAAGCAATGTGAATTCATAAGCATAAACAGCGGAAAATGGAAAATAAATAAACAACGGATTTACTGTCACTTACAGTAGACTTAAATTGAAATCCCTCAGAATTCTTATCGAATAAGTTAAAGTTCTGATGGAATAACTGTTCTCGTATGGTTTTCTGCTCATAACGTGCTTCACACGTTTACAATTACAGAACTTCAAACGTTCCATTTAAATCATTCAAGATTAATTTTTTACTTCTAAATGTACTGGCTAAAATTACCGACAACAAGGTGATTGGTTTGCTGTTTTTGTTCACATCTACGTTTAGCGAAATCTCGTACCACTGTTCCTACCTGGGAAAAGGGTCACAATACCGTCCGCACAACGAATTCTCACCGGCAGATACAGAATCGCTCCAAAGTGTTGCCGTCTCTCTGCGAATTCCACCAGCTCTTTGGCCGACTTGAACCGCATCAGCCGCGTACATTCGTACATTTGTGGCGGAGGCAGAGTGATTTCCCCGCTGGCCATGGCCACCAGCGCCTCGCCAGGAGACATCCAGCGCGAATTGAGCATTTCCTTTTCGTTAACATCGATATCCACCCCTTCATCGCCTTCTGCTACGAAGAAAACTGTATCAAAGCGTTTGATCGGCAGATCGGTGGGTGTTAGCCAATCGGACCACAATTTCAGCGCTTCCACATCAGGATAAATGTGCAGCTGCTCACACATGTCCAGGAATTTTGTCGAGTCATTTGTCACACTCTTCCGCCACTCGGCCAGTTCGCTGGTCAACTGTTGGATTTTGCTTTTGGGTTCGGCAATTAATATTCCGCTTTCTTCGAAAGTTTCTCGGAGGGCTGTGATGCGCAGAGCAATTTCGCGTGGCAGTTCCCCGGGGCGACTCTGGAGAATTGGTGGTCGATTTGCATTAGAAGGAAGGATAAGGCTGTCAAATGATGCTGCATTCTTTGCGAAACAATCTTCCCATCGGGGAGAGAAGTCGCACGCATCAACAACACCTCCAGCGAATACGCGACTCTTGGCCCACAGTCCACCGGAGCGCTGTAGCCATAACAGCTTTAACGCGCTGGTTCCGGACGCCAAAATCAAGGACGCAGACTCGCGCCACGGTAAAGCTTGCATGACATCCCCAAAACACAAAAGAATCAAATACCGCTGTGTTAGTCTCAAATTAAAAACACAATCGAAAACTGTAAATTAAAAACATTGTCAAAATTATTGTTTAAAAAAATCTTCAACTGTGGGCAACAAAATGTGACAAGATTTATGTAATCGCGCTCCTGATGTGGTAGGGTTTATGTAAACAAAGGCGGTGCCGTCAACAACCAATGAAAACCGAAAGAGCGCTTCGATCAGCTGGTGGCACTGCGGTGCTTCGGAAATCGATTGCATACGGCAGCGTCGACGTCTTTCCTACGTAGGAAAGACGTTATCAGGTACCAGGTACTCCCGTCCGCACATGTCGGAGCGTGTGGAGCATTTGTCGAACCTGGATCCGTAGTTTCCTGTGATTCCGCTATAACGTCTCCGCCTTATCGCAAAATTCTGCGTGCACTAGCCAGTGCACTGCCCCCGCCAGAGCGTTGGAGTCATTGCGGAAATCACTTGATTAAACGGAGCCTGTTCAAAATGCCCGTGTTATCATCACACGATCCAGAGAAGAAGTTCCTCTACTTCGCTTTTGGAAGTAATCTGTTGCGGGAGCGTCTGCATTTGAGTTGCCCTAGCGCCACAAGACTTAGTCCTGGCCGACTGTTTGGTTATCGTTTGACGTTTAACTACAACAGTCTCCGATGGCGAGGACATGTCGCCACTATTCGCGAAGGCGATCATGATTCGCTGTGGGGTTGTATCTGGATCATTGATAACGAAGAACTAGAAGCACTTCACAGGTATTTGAAACCTTTGATTACTTAATTAAGTATTAATTCCTATATGCGCGAGAGATGGAAAAGTTAGCCGACGTACGATCGTGGCTGTAAATGTAACCTGCGCGTTAATGTAGTGCAATGGCGGCACAGCTGATCGCTTAACTACTGCAGCCATAAGTTACTTAACTTCAATCGTAAAGTGTACGTAATGCGCGCAAGCGTGACGCTGGTGTTAAAATCACTATTCACAAATACTGTTAATTTTATTTTACATCGAAATATAAATTTTACGATGCAATAATAATAATATTTTTATTATTATGTATAATGTATCAGATTCATAATCATCAGTACGAGTAGATTCGGAATATGAAGTAAAGTCTAATTTGGATTTTATCGGTATTAGACAAGAGGGAGTACATCAAGGACTGTACCGACCACTCAGTGTGGATGTTACGACACCGGAAGGGATGACACTTCCAGTCCTGACGTACCAGATGACTTTGCCGTATGAAGACAATCCTCTGCCATCGTGCGTGTATAAAAAGGTTATGTTGCATGGAGCGCGGGAAAGCAGTCTTCCTGCTGAATACATCGAAAATATGAAAGCTCTGCCAGATAACGGTTACGATGGACCGGTGGAAGTGCAGTGCAGTTTGCTGTACCGGCAAGACACTGCGGAACCGCAGTCGCATATGAAAGTAAACCACGTTCAAATGGCAGAAGGTGCTTTAGGACCTCAGAATGAACCGGTTAATGCGGTTGAACTGACAGTCAGTGTAAGCTAATTCTCCGGTTCACTATACGATTTCCGAAAGGTCTCCAGTGTCCTACGTGGCGATACCTCCTAGTGCGGTTTGGCATCATGACTCCATTTGGCTGCTTACTTGCTTAGGCCGAAACTTCCGGTTTGGAATTTTTGGTTGCTTCTGCTGAGTGCATGGTGACTGTCGCCTAACTCCTCATTCAGGGTGCTACCGGTGCGAAGTTAAAACGGTTTAATAATTATCTAGAAATAGAATTTTAATTTTATAGAGCCTATGTGGCGCGATTTAAAATTCGGAATTGAAGAGTTGTGAACGGCTTGTTGGAATCTTTCATGTCTTTTCTCTGATTTGGTGAAAGATTGTCTTCTCTGTTTTTGATCTTTTCCAATACATATTTGTGTTGTATGAGTACTCTCCTCGTTTGTAGTGCGGTCTTTGGTTTGTTTTTTCATTCTTTTCTTCATGACATAACCGACATTAAGTTCAGTACTGCATATGGAAGAAGTAAACAAATGACATGAATCGGTTCCCAGCAGATGCTAAATTCAAAAGCACGCAATCTCCAGGCACAAACAAACACCAACAAATTGTTGAACAAACATCTTTTAACGGGTTGTGATAAAATACTATTAAACGAGATGCATTCCAAGGAAAATCCTGAGAAAATGTCTGCAGCCGCTCGGCTACAGTAGCGCTAAAAGTGCTTCTGAAAAATTACAAGAACCCAAGCGTAGCTTGTACTGCGGAATTAAAACAACACATCGAGTTGTTACAACAGTCTCACTCGTCGTCAGCCGATCCAGCCTTTGCTTTCTTTGGAGGCCGCCCGCGCCCACGACCGGTGCCAGAAACAGCTTTAGTAGCTGCAGCCGCTTTGGGTTTGGCCGCCACAGCTTCCTCATCTTCCGCCTCGTCAGATCCCTCCTTCTCCGCATAACTGGTCTTTTTACTGGTGGCAGCCCGCGTTGGGCGCTTGGAAGGCGTCCGTCGCTGCGGCCGTCTGCCAGTGTCTTCTTCGTCATCCTCATCGAAATCTTCCTCCTCTTCGCTCTCGCTTTGATTCTTACGTTTACCGCGAGCTGGACTTTTTTTCGCTACAAACGCATCCACATGATATCTCATCTCACTACACCGTTGCAATGGTCAACTAACCTGCTCCAGCCTTGTTTCCAGATCCCGGTGGACGCCCACGTCCCCTTTTGCCCGCAGCCGGACTTTTTGTTTTCGTTGTCTTCTTTTCCGTGCTGTCAACGCTGACATCAGAAAAATCCTCGCTAGCTACCGACGGCTCCGTTACTTCGGAACCCTCCTTCATCTCCGCATCCTTTTCGTCCTTTTCCTCATCCATTTCCGGTTCGGGTGCGGCGGTTTTCTTCGGTGGCCGGCCACGACGGCCCGTAGTCGCTTTAGGCGCTTCTTTCGGCTCGGTATGTGTTTTCACAGAGCCATTCTTAGGTGGGCGTCCAGGACGGCGTTTGGCCGGCACACCGTTGTCGGAACATTCTCTTCGGGTGCTCGCTCTTCCTTCGCCGGTTTATCATCATCGGCTTCCACCGTTATCACGTTCCTCGCTGGGCTTCTTTTCCTGATTGTCCTCGCTTGGCTACATCCGCACACCGTTACCACAATTTCCAAAAGCACAGACATAAAATACCGCATAAACTTTTCTTTTACCTCATGTGGTGAATTTCGGTCTCCGTTGGTACGTTCAACACTATTCTTTTTCTCGCTTCCGCTGGTCTCGTCGGCGCCGTTCTTTTCGTCGCTCTTGCGGCTTTCGTCCACAATGTTCTTTTCTTCGCTTTTGCTGGTTCTGTCCGGCGTTTCGTGAGTAGTTTCTTTCGCATCCGTAGCCGTTTCGCTTACTTCTACGTTATCTGTCATGCTGGCTGCAAACAGAAAATGGTGAATTAACTAACCACCGAAGTCCGTTAACTACAATTACAAGCTTGCAAGAGCCAACTGAAGTCCTCGCAAAGTTATGCTAACTAAAATTACATATGAACTGCAGGTTACTGACGAGTTTTTCAGGCGAAATAAATTTAATTCAAATTCAAATTCAAGAACGTTTCAACTGAAGAGCTGCAAACCTAAATCAAACGAATTTTCGTTCCTACTCTGGAGGCGACTATTATGGAAATCTCAAGTTGGGGCTGTCCTTAACTCTTTAACAAAACAGAAAAGGTATTCTTGCACCTCAACGATGCTGCGCACAAGTTATTTCCATATATCGAAGAGACGAAGACCCATCACGTCACACCAACGATTTGAAAATTTCACATTAATTCAGCCACTGCGAAATTTTAACAGGCTTGCTTCCACAAACTAGATAATTTTGCATCTGTTACGAACAGTAACGAACTTATGACTGCAGAATTATACTGGGTACACAAGCATAAAAACGAATATTTTACATATATATTAGTGTAGTCGCAACTTAGGAGTTATGCCGCACAGCAAAAGCAAAGAAAGAAGATTATAATTTGGTGATTTACAGTACAATTAGAACATCAACGATTCTGATTGTTGATAAGTATCGCCGATACTATTAAAATTTTAATAAGACTTAAGAAAGGATATTGCTATAATTACTATACTAAAAGGATATTACTTAATACTCATTAAGTACAAACAGCGACTTACCTTGTCTCCCAACAAATAATGCCGCAGAACACTTTCCCCAAAAGAGAAAAAATGGAAAACTCCGCTCCACTTTCGTGAAAATTCGGAACCCAAATGAGGCTGTATTTTCTGATTCTTCGCAAGATCGTTCGCCAACAAAACTACTGGTGCTGAGACTACTGACGCTGTTTTATAGGAGCGTCCATCCACTACTTCACATAATAATATTAAAAGTATAGTCTACGCCCCTTTTATGAATTGCTCATTCTGATTGGTGTACACTTCATTACTTTTATTATTGGCCTTTTTTTAACTGTATTAAATTCAAATATGTATGATTTAGTCAGATTTACTGCTTATCTTCCAAAAAAAAGCTTAGCACAAATAGAAAAGTTTAAAGCCAAATTTTAAAATACTGCACTACAGCATAAGCAGCAACGGTGACAGCACAGAAACAAGAAAATTTTAGTATACGAATGTTATTATGGAGAAACGGCCAACGGAAAATGGGAAAGCTCCGTATATTTCGAAGTGTTTAGCTTCTTTGGGACCGAGCATCCAGAACCAGCCACTAGCCTCCTATCTGTTTTAGTGGCCGCAGTTTAGTAGTCTCGAGTCTTTGTGGTCAAGGTTTTAACGGTCAAAGTCCGAGTTTGAGCGCGGGACGTGAATTATCTGCGGAACTAGAGGATTCCCTTCCATTAAAACCTTTAAGGGTCAAAAACAGAACTACCCGGAAACACGAGGCCTATTTTGATCCCATATTACTGCGTTTTTATATTCCGTAACGATGTATTAAGTTCTTACGCAATAACAAACCACTGTCCACATCCAAATAAATCAATAAAAAGTTTAACAAAATAAAATCGAGCATCTCATTTGGAATCACCGATATCGCTGCTCATTCAAGATAGAATATATAGTATTAATAAGTAATCAGACAACAAATACTCAGAAACACATTTTTAATTTTTCTAATTGAACAAACAAAAACGACTGACTGAGCTATCCGGAAATTCTGCACACATGCCAGCGAAATCGTAGGTGCAGTCACTGCTGTGCATTTCGTTTTCCACGTCGTCCTTATTTACAGCACTTCGTCTTTTTATCATGGCCGGATTTATTATTTCCTGTTAACGTCAGTGCACCAGCATCAGAAGGATTCTGCATGAGACTCCGCTTCTTATTGTCCAGCACCAGCTTGGTTATTCCACGGAACATCTGGAAAGACGGTACAGTTGCAAGAAAGTGTGCGGGAAACCGGCATTAATAGATAAATGCGTATCTCTGGTTATGCAACAGTTCACATGCAAAAACTTGACGGTCCATATGCCAGAAATTTAAAACGGTCTGGGAGGATATAGGAGCAGCAAAGTATTTAAAGGAAAAAAGGGAATCAGGGCTTTTTTACGGAAAAGAAAGACCAGGAAAATTTGCCGTACAAGAAAAATTCATTCCAAGATTAAAAGCGCCAGCGTACTCTAGATTTCCCACCGTTGGGTAAACAGCGCTAATATTTCGCCCATAGTTATCGATTTCTTTTACTACAGTAAACTATTTTTTATTAAATTTTTACCTCTTCAACATTTCGGTTTTCTTTGGCACTAGTTTCAAATAACGGTATTCCGGAAGCCACCGCAACGCGTTGAGCATCACTAGTAGTCACCACTTTCCTTTCTGGATCATCGTCTTTATTTCCCACTAATTTTGTAAAAAAATAGTCAGCGATAAATTATAATAGCATTAGCAAATACTACGGTGAGTCACAATCAACTATTCTCTGCATTCCCACATACCAAGAATACTACTGACGTTTTCACAATTATTCTCGATTTCCTCCAACCAGCGTTTAATATTGCCGAACGATTCGCCATTCGTCACATCGTAGACCACAATTACACCATGCGTTCCCCTGTAGTAGGTGGATGTGATAGTGCGAAATCGTTCCTGTCCCGCGGTATCCCATATTTGCAGCTTCACTGCACAAATTCAAAAATGTTAGCAATCAGCTTGACGAGCACCAGTTTCACGAGTAACAATAACTCGCAACATCGGCTGCTTTACCTCGCTCTCCATTGATTTCTGCAAATAAAGTCGTAAGTCATCGGAGAACCCATAACAGCAAAAATATTATTTGGATATAAAACACTAGTATGTACTTGCACAATTATAAAGCCACATTTCATTCTGATACTACTACAAGACTTACCAAGAGTTCGTATCTTGAAATCCACCCCAATAGTTGTTATATACGATCCTAATAAAACGGGTTGGTTATGAACAAGTAACAAGTACGGAAAGTAAATAATAACCTTACTAAAAACACAGTGATCAAGCTATTAGTAACTAAGATAGCTAATTAATGAATAAATTACTATGGTCTCGTTTACATCTTCAAGTTTAGTCATCATGTAATTCAGAAATCTATTTTTCGTATCACCGTTATTAAATTTTCGAAGGGATTAACTACCGCTATTCTCGTAAGACACATGCAGCCTTTATCGAAAACTGAAGTAATGAGAAACATCTGGTTTCGCGCACAATTAACAAACGTCATCACACACATACCTGTGAATGTATTGTCGGAAAACCGCAACAGCAGACTACTTTTGCCAACACCTACAAAAATACGCTAACAATATGATTAACATTCACCGGTTGCGTCGTAATGTCAAGGTAGCGCATGTATCAGCGTGGGACACACCCAGATTAGTAACTGCAAATAAATCAAAACGCTTTTCGGTCCATCTACATATCGGTACTACAAAAATTGCTGACCATGAATCCATTTTATTGTTCAGTGTAGCTTATGTTCATTAAAATACCTACCCCACTTAATTAAATAGAAGTATCGAAAATTAAGGAGTAATAAACCGCAAACTTTAAAATTCAAACCACTGATTACGCTGCGGTTTCTTAAATTTTCCCGTTTTTCATCTGTTAGCCGCAAATTTAAGTTCAGCTGCCGAGCAAAAACTAACAGAGAGAGATGCTATTATTACCCAAATTAAACAAGTCATAATGCGTAACGTAGTACTTACGCAAGTAATTTTTTCAGTGTTATACTTACCGCTGTCTCCAATAATCAGAAGTTTGAATAAGTGGTCATAATCCTTTTTTGCCATTTCTTCCAATGATATAAATTAATCTAAACAAAATTACAAAACACATTTCTTTTGAGTTCCATTACGGCATTACACCAAATTTTTCAGCCAGGCTTGTTGCCAGACGGGACATAGTTTAAAACTACAAATAACTGAGATACAATAATTTCCGGTTCCAAAGCAAAACCGGAAGAAAATTAATAACGATCATAATTACTTTTTAAAATAACACCAACGTTTTATCCGCACGAACGCGCGCAAAAAGGCAACAATTATGACGTAGGTATCCGCAAGCTTCTAACTACGTACTATCTTTTCAAATTACAGTTCTCCAAAGTTGTGAAGCACTGTACCTTACTCAGAATTTCAGACACTGGAATCATAAAATAGCGCACGAACACGATTCACAATTTGCAGGAAGTTTGTGCCATTTAATGCTGGAGCGCCAATAAGCCCAAAAAAGAACAGGCAAATAACTATTATCTCGACAATTGGAAACTGGAGCAGGAAACGATCAGTTCACACACTAATCTTAAGTATCCAGCTTCCTTGAAAATTTTCCAAATATCAAAGAGATGATAACATCATAACAAGTGAAATGAATGCAGAATAGGAGACGAACAAATGCTGGAAACAAAAACGTAAAAACCGTTCTAATCCGTACGTAATAAACAGTAGTAACATTACGCCTTCAACGTTTTCGCTGCTTGGAAAAATCTGGAGCCGTACTACGGGAAAAGCACTTGTATCGTGTACGGGAATGTTTTTTAATCCTTGCCTCTGGGCGGTTCAATGAAGAGCAACCACTAGCAGCGACGTGTAGCTCTGTAGCAGCAACTTTTGCCAGGCCTTTTGCTGTTTTCAGTGTTTTGCAGTTTTTGCAGTTTGCTTCGCTGCATTCTAGATTGATTTTCAGTTCCCTGCTGACAAAATACACTGAATCGTAAGTTTTTTATCATTTTATGCCTGTTTTCTTTGAACTTATGCCATCAGCTGTGCAAAAGTACAAATTCCTTTAAGCCGTTGTTTCGAAATCCGGGTACGGCGCTCTTCTGTTTGTCTTAGTCACAATCGTTCCTGCTTCAGAGTATTCTGGGTTTGTCTACTGTCAGGGAACCGTGAAAAGGTACGCAAACGGAAAGCTAAAAGGGTTAAGCCTGTAGATTATTGGTTTTATATAAAATCCAAAGGAACTCATTCGTTCAAAGAATTCCTTTGGCAGAAGCGGAAGCTGTATTGGCCAAGAGACCTCGCTGTGCTCTTTATCGGTGGGCAAATATTGCGCAGGCTCCTGACCTAACCGTAGATGGAAACTCTGAGTACTGAAGTAGACAATTTTGTTAAATCCCATTGGAAACAGAATCCTTACATAGAGAAAAATTCGATTTGAAAAATTTTTCTTGACGATTGCGACAGAACGTTGGTACTTGCCGTAGTGATTGCCAGTTAGTGCTAAGAGTTACGCTGCTTAAATTATGGTGTGCCAGGTGTGGTGTTATTTACTATCAGCTGTTTCTATATGCAGCGTACTTATTAAAAATTGTAAGCATATAATATGCTTACAATTTTTAATAAGTACGCTTATTTCTGCTGTAATGTTGAATTTGAAATGTTAAAAAACAGGCTTTTTTCGGCCTTTTGTCAGCTTGTTGCGCTGATGCTTTCATAAGGGAAGACTGTAACAGCTCCTGGGAGCTTTAAGGTTTATGTCTAGTATAATAAAATATACGCGTCGTATCATAATATCACAGCGACCGTCTAATCATGTTTGTAACGTACTACATCGCCCATTGCTTTCCAAATGATACCAAGTTTTTTGAGAGGTTAGGTATTTCCCATTGTATCCATCGTTTGTTTGAGCCAGGAATCGAGAAGCATGTCGGAAATGGATACCGGCTCGACGGCGGCTGGCAGTGGAGCGACATCGGGGACGTCGCGGCGAAGTGATGCCTCGTCTATGAAGAGGGACGACGCCGCCGTCAACGATGAACGACGGCCTGTTTTGTACATTTGCGGGGAGTGCCACCACGAGAGCCCCATTCAGGGACGCGATCCGATTCGTTGTCAGGACTGTGGTTATCGCATTATGTACAAGAAACGGACCAAACGATTGATTGTGTTCGACGCCCGCTAACTGTTTGCATTGTTGTTATCTTTCCAATTTAAGAGTGTAGGTAATCTTCAATTTTATATTGGCGTTTTCGGATCTCGTGCATTCCCTCATGCGTAATTAAAATGGACATTTTGTGTCTCCATATGATTGCGAATGCATATTTTCGACTGTTGGATTTATTTTTCAGCTGATAACTGTGCAGCATGAATGTATTTGTGACCTATGTTTTCAAGGAAGACGCTGCAGATGTATTGCGATATAGTCGACAAATCGACATTGTCTGACCATCAGAATAATATGCAGGTGTGTGATCTTGATGTGCAAAATCCCAGAAAGTGAGCATAACAAATGCAAAACCAGTAGAGGTGTTTTGGTTTCGGGGTTTTTCTTCATGGAGACTAAAGCATGCGACAGCCGACAGTTTCTGCGGTGTCCAGTGTCCGTAAGGATTTCTACTAGGATCAAGGTAGTACTTTACGTGTTGACATTTCTAATCTGAATTGTGTATGAAAATCATAAAATAATACCACAATCTCGCTCCTACCTAGCATGGTAAAAATTCAGCTGCGCTAATGTAAGAGATTTGTAAACTTGTTGTTTCTCAGTGAGGAATGAGGTAGTGCCTGCGTTGCTCAAAACGATTTTTCCTCGGTGATGTAGTTTTATTCAAATTTAAAACCAGGACCAATCTGACACAGCTTTAGAAAACAGTATAATTGTTCGCAGTACAGCGTAGCTAAGAAATCGGCTTACGCACTTATGACGAAAGCTGGGAAGCAACAGGTGTCCAGTACTGCAAAAAGGAAACGATTGGATTAATTAACAGAAAAGGTAGGAGATATTAATTTTAAATGCGAGGCTGTGCATATGCCATATTCCTAGCATCCAGATTTGACTTGTGATAAAGAAGTTATCACATAATAATTATTTCTTGCACACATCGCAGTAAAATTACGGGGACGTATTGTTCTTGGTCAGCTCATACCTGATTAGCGGCTTTCACGATTGTTGCACTGCAATTAAAGAACATGCTAAATTCGTAGAGTGCTGTAAATGCGATTGCCGTAACACATTGATCTATCATGTGCACGTGTTTGCACCCGACGTTGATCGTTTGCCGTAAAAGTTGAAACAGATGGTACAATTCTGTGTATGGTTTGCTTAACGGAAAACTTACTAAACACGAACTTGGACGACACCGTCCACCTCTCCCGCGGGATCCCATGTGAACTGCAGCGAGGACACCACCTTCTTCCGATTGTCCATATGGGTCACTGCCGCGCGCGCATTGCACGCGTATTTCGATACATTAGCCACGTTGGACAGCTTGCCAATGAACCGACCGGAATTCTCATCGCGTACTTGAATTAAGAATCCCGCGATCGATCCCGGACTACTCGCCGTGTCGTTAACAGATATTTTTACTAGCGGCAAACAATTGCATGCATGTTAAGGTTTATCATTTTTACAAAGTCTTTACAAATAGGCGATGCGTTTATGAACACTTACTTACCTAATACTTATGTACACCGTGCAGTTATGCAAATAACAATTAGTATAAAAAATTATGCGAGTATATAGGTTATGTTGTGCAAAAACGGACATTGGTCGTTTGATATGGTGTAAAAACTTACAACCAGTGTTTTTTCCTTGATTTGTGATAGGTGTGACTGTCAATGCAAAAGGCGATACAGTACGCTGCGCCGGAAACGGATGTCGTGGAATTAAATCTGCAACATCAGTTGGTCGAATCTTTTAACCTGATTACTTTAAATTACTTTTTTTTTACCCTGGATTACTTTAAATTTACGGCCTAGTCCGTTTTTCTAGAGTAAAAAGTAGTATAATAACATTAGCTAATGGTCACCAGTTAACTATACAATTTATGCATGATTGATCCAATGCCAACCCTTTACAAAATTTACAGTTATGAATGTCGGTATAGCATTAAGCAACTGACCTCTACATGCTTGCAACGGTGCTCCATTGGGAAATGCCTGGCTTCCGGCAAAAAGCAGAACGAATAACCACTTAACGAATGCCATTTCCAACTTCCAAACTCGACGATGCACGAATGCAAACACAAACGATAGAAATAGATCTGCCGTCAAGTCGATCTGAGCATTGTGCTAGAGCGGTTTTTGTTGTCTGGGTGTTATTTATGCAACCTCAACATCGCTTTCACGGCCGTTATTATTATGACTTTGTCCGTTAGTTTTTTCACAAGCTGGGCCACCTTGCACAATCTATATTGCATAAACGCTAGTTCGTACAATTTTGTACGAACATTTCATCGGTAATATTTGCTTAATTAGCCATTGGCACAGAGTTAGGGCATTACGTGTGCGTATTTACTACGGCCAATAAACAATCAGTTCGCAAAAAAACAAGTTTAAATTATCAATAAGTGGAAGGGTTTTTTGGTGCCTTTTTTCTGGTGTATCGGTACGTTATCCTTCGTGATTGCACGAATCCGCATTGTCTGACTCTTCCAGACAGCGAACGACAAAACCTTCTAACGTGATCATTCCAGACTGATTTGAAATGATGTCGACAATCCAATCACAAAGACCAAAATTTTTGATTTAGAAAGATGTGAGTGGTTAAGTAACACGAAACCGACTTCTGCCAATGCAATACGGTCGAGAAGAGATTTCGCCGAAGTTATCCCACAAAAGCTAAATCTAAAGGCGATAACCAAACTACTGTAGCAGTACCATAAGTACTGAAATACGGTAACAACGAAATTTTATTCAATTTGAGCTTAAACAACCTAAATTTACAACAAAAAAGTTCTCATGGTGAGCAAAGAAACAATTCCCTACAAAATTACAAGGCAGTTTAAGCTTGAGCATTGAACACATCGTCGCAAAAATCGTAAACCGCGAACTGTCATTTTCAGTACTGTACAAAAAAGATCAATTTATCAACAAAACTGCCTGAAAAAATGGCTAATCGCAATAATGCTGCAAAATTATGAAACAACAAAGGTGGGTTATGTGAGACCATCTTAAGAACCCTTTCTGAAATCATACCGGTTTTGTGGCGTTTGGTCCAAAACGAAAAACATAACGGGTTCCGCTGATGCACACCATATGCTTATTGCGGCAAGCGTTCCTTCAGAAAACATGGTTTATGCAATGGTGATGAAGTTAAAGGCACAAAAGCTGACAGTTTATCAAAAACTTACTTAAAACACCGATTAAGAACGCCTAAGGACACGGTATCCGAACTATGACCCCGCTCCACCGCCCACACCCTGGCCAACATCTCCTTATCTACGATTTGAAACTCTTTGTTCTTCTTATTAACCCATCGGACCGCACGTGGACAAAACATCGGACTATCCAGCAGGCGCCAAATCAGTCTCCACAGATACGAAGCACGGTTGGCTGAAAATAATACCAATGTGAATCTAAATCTGTATTATTATGGAAATAATACAAGATATCTCAAAGTCAACGCAATCAAGGTGTCAACTTTTACAAAAATATCCATAACCTATTAAAACTAAAAATTACAGCTGGAAGGCTTTTCATGCTTCTCCTTCTTCGTACGCTTCGCCTTCTTCGTCTGCGCCGGTTGAGGAACTTCAGCTTCGGAGTCAGAACTCGACTGCCAATCATCTTCAGTGACTGCTAAATGTTAGTCGAACAATTACAACCTGGACAATATTTTAGCATAAGTGCTATCTTTTACGGTTTTACCATGTTTCTCGTCCATCTGCAGGAGCATTTTGTTTCTGGCACTGAAATCTTTACCATGCTGCTTCCACGAAAAGTTCTGATTGCCTAAAAACAAATCGTCAACAACCGTATTTCCCAAAGTGACACACACCTACCATGGGCATTCGAATCATGGGAAAACTGCAGAGCAGCCGCCATGGACACCCTGCCCACCGTTTTTCGAAGATCGTAAGAAACGTTGTCATCGTTGGAACAACTATCAAGCGCATGGGTCGCTCCAGTATCATAAGCTTTCGTTTTCTTATTATAGGTGCCTGAAACAAGATAAAATTAAGCATTATTATCACAACCGTGGGTCGCAACAACCCTATGAAAACTGCTGCTTAAATTGATTATTTATCAAAATTTATTTATCGAAATACTTTGAACTTTAGAAAACAACTTTGCAAACAAACAAAGCTTTCCAAAAACCTTTGCGATGAAGCACCAAAGCCCAATGTATGAATGCATACCAGTTCAACACTTAATTCACCAAATTCAAAGCCACACTAGAATCACTTACGTTTAAAAACATCCTTGCCGTGAATATCTCTGAGATGTTTCTTCATATTTCCGAAACTATAGAAACCTTTTCCACACAAAGGACATACTGGAGCTGCAAAATACCGCACCAAAAACTGCACTGTAATCAAGTCAAGGCATCAGAAGTTACGGTTCAGAACTTAACGAATTTGCAAATCAAACAAACCGCAATCGCATTTCCTTCAAGCTTCCAAATAACAACTCAGTACATACAGTCCTATGTAGTCAGGCCCCCTTTCGGAGGGAAGAAACGGGAAAATGGCGTGCCGGGAGCGGGCGCAGCTGGCGCTGGCGCGAAAAAATTCGAAAATTACAAGAGAAAATTGTAGAAAAGTGGCTTTTTTGAGCCACTTTTCTATGATTTTCGGGAAATTTCAGGCCATTTTCAACTGGCGCAGCTGGCCCGAGGCCGTGCGCCCCCCCCCTTCCGAAAAGCTCAAGACGGGCCTGTACGTAGTTATGTGCTAGTTCTCACTTTCCGATTTCATAACACATAATTTCACATAAAATAACACGGTATCAACTATGTATCAATTTCCACTTACCGCCTCCATTTTTCTTTTTGATGATCTTTTTTACACCAGGAACTCTTGAAAATTTGGACGAAAACACCGCCTGCGGTTTCTTAAAAGAATTTAATCCCTTCAGATTTTTGTTTTTTGGTTGATCCAGAGTCCGCCTGGCAATGCTGGTACCGATATCTAAAAATACAATTCTTAATCTCCAAACCTATAATTTCCTACGCGTTGACTAACCGTGGATTTTCTTTTTGTGTGAACGAAGTTGCTCAGGATACCGAAAATTTTTCCACACAATTCACACGTGAATGGGCACTCGCCTGAAACGCCTTTGGTTACATTGGTGCTCAAATAAGGAAACGATAATTATAATCGAAACAACCAGTATGGATTCTTTCATGACGAATTCTGCTCTGCTTGCTGTGCAGTTCAAGACCGCAATACTGACAAACTTTCGAATCTTCCGTCTCCTTGTTCTTTCGTTTAGCCAGATTTTTTTTACCGGTTTCCAAAAAACCTGAGTGCACCTACGAAGCCGGTAAAAGCACTTTAGGGTGAAGCAACACAAGCTTAGAATACTATTATACTGCACAGTTAGTTAAACCACTCTTCAGTTTACTATAAAATGCAGCTTAACAGCAACCATCGATTTATAAATAGTAAAATTTGAACATAGATCTTTTATATCATTTTTTTCTAATTTGCTTTTCCCAAATTTTCTGGATGGAAAGCAGTCAACACGTCTGTTCTCATGAGAAAACAACTAGTGGAATTCATCCTTTAGCACTGTTTTCTGTTAGCTGTTAACCTGTTGGCAGTTACCATAAACTGGTATTCCGTACTATTAACTGAGCTCGAATTCTTCGCATTTCTGTGCCACAAACCTTCAGAAATCATCGAAGAATCCGCAGTAGGACGACCGCATCCGTTCTTTGCCGCTTTTCCAGATACCGATGCCACCATCTTTTACTGGAAGCACAGCGGGGAGAATTATCTGATAATGTTTTTGGCCCTACGACCGGGCGACTGTGTCTGGTTCGCATCGCAGTCAGAAATCACAACGACATCTGTGAATGACAAAATCAATAAGATAAACGGTAATGTTCCAACAATTAACTGTTCGGTAGCCAAAGATTATTAGTTAGCCCTCATCTTGGATATCCCCCAATAAGTATTTCTGGTTAATACTCAGTGATACCGCCATGACTTTTCCGTAACAAATCGCATCAGTAGCAACCTTTAACAATCGTGGTACTCGTACTAACGATAAATACTGACTTATTGACATCGCTTATTAATTAGACCCCGTGAAAGACAAAATATGTAAATGCGTAAATTAGATATTACCTATCATCAAATTTGAAATTTTTCTATAATTTTTAAATCTTCATAATTTTTTATATTATTTTATACAAAACTTTTGAACTGTGCACTATTTTTAACAAACCTTCCGCAGAGAGATCCGCGCTGCTACTAACGGCAGGCGGCGACAAAGGAGTTGCCTTTCGCTTCTCCATTTTTTTCTTGAAATGCACCACGGCTTTGCTGTATTTAGGTGCCATAGGAAATAATTCTGCCCGAGCGATTTCCATGACCACCAGCACCACAGTGGGATCCTCGTCGGATTTGCGCCGAGTTGCCAGCACAGTATCAACAGCCCGATTGAGATCCAGCTGAGAATCACAAAGCGACAGTGTGCCATTATCTGCAACACGATAACATTAACTTCCAAGTATCATTCATGTATCTCTAGTCTCTAGGGATCTGATTCTCCGAAGTTTATCTTGCCGTACTTGACCAAATCAGAGAAAATTCATGTCGAGGAATGTGTCGCTGCACCAAAATTCGCAACACGCGGAAAGACTGCCGTTCGTATTCGCAGCTCGGCGTAAGTAGGAAACGCACCACGCTGTTGGGTCTGCTAGGGAAACGAATTTCAAACACAGGGAAATCCATCTTCGGACGGTAGACTGAGAGCTCCTACAAAAGAATTCAACATGTGATGTCGCAGACTCGCAGATTGGCAGAACACCATACAACCGATCTTAGAACAGCTTCGGAGAGCAGGAAGCCGCAGTGCAATACTGCTGTACCACGTACGTTATGACAACTACTCGACTGCTAACCAGCTAACGATCTACTTTCTTTTACTGTTTACACATGCAAACCTATTTCGTTTAAGTCCGTGAGTCAGTTTAGTGTAAAGAATTTCACTACGAAGTAGGATAACCAGGTGCAACTGCACGCAGCTTTTCGAGAAGTACTACGCCCAGAATCTCGGAACAAACGCACTGGAGATGGGCAGGCTCTCTGGATGACAAGACCCGAGACCTACCTTTCTTCACTCGATCCCGAAATGCCCCGTAACGCCCGGTATTAATGTTAAATTTAAAGGGGACCGTATGCCGTAAGTTTCGGTCTTTTTTTTACCCAACGAGTCCAATACTGTACAAGTAATTTCGTAGTCAACCGTAGGCGCAAGCTTACTGTAATGTTAAAATCAAGCCACTCTTTGCCGGGTGGCGACTACTAGTACGTCAACCGCTAGCGGGCGCGGGGGCCCAGTGCAGTCCTGGGTTCCCCAAAATAAACTAATAAAACTGCTGGCTGCTGGCAGGCTTGCTTCTTGACAATTTTGAACTTTTACAATGAATTATTGCAGTACTCGTAGAGAAGTTAATGTTAACAAAACTTTTTTTAATTTCTGTGGTTAAACGTTAAAACTGAAACTTCTTCATCAAGGTCCAAGGGTTTGTTTAAAAAAGCCGTCGGCATATATTCGCGAAGCGATCGTCTCTCAAATTCGCGAGAATCCATACTAAGTGTATGTCAGTAAGTCTGATATCTCGTTGCGGTCTTTTGGTTTTGTATGAGTTGTGACTATTTTGAGTCTGTGGGTTTAGTTAGGACTGTTCGTTCCTATTCCTAACCATTATTCTCGCTTGATCTCCTTCGACATGGCCAGTAATCCAGAAAATAAACCCGAGAAGCTTGACATTGGTGGAAGAAGTACGTTTCCATCCATGCTGTTGATCAACAAACGTCCATGCGAAACACATCCCAGAGCACTTGCGGCGGAAAGTGTTGTGCTACAAAAGCGAGGTTTGTGTTCTTTGCGACTTGATATGCGTATGTCGACGTGCTCTGGCTAATAAAATTATTAGACTGGTGTGTACAGTAATTGTGAATTTTTGGACTCTGCTTATGAGAATGCTAGGGTATCGAGTTAGTTTACGATTTGCAGTTGTACGCTTTCCCACGAGGATAGACAGGACGCCTGTAGTGTAGATGACTTGTTTCACTTTTCTTTGCTTTCTAATCGCACCTCATTTCGGCAGGGCAAATTATGATGGATCGGTTAAAAAAATTTCTACCCGAAATGAAGAACTCTGCTGAAGCGCTGGAAGAAAGCCTGAAAAGCACCGATAATGCCGATCGCTTTAACATTGAGAGTGTGAAGGAAGGAGTCCGTCGTTGAATTCGTGAGTGCAGTAATAAAAATGCTGCAGAAATCCTTTGCTGATTAAATGATTCAGGTTTGACGTAGTTACCTTGAATACATTTTTGTTATTGAAGTCAAAAATACTGTAAATAGAATTTGTTTATGTGCGTTCGTGTTGCAGAACCTGGGGCTGTTCGAGTATTCTTCCAGTGAATCAGAAGAAGAGCTGGATGTGTTGGATAGCTCAGACTCCGATTCAAGTGACGAAGAAGCTGCCGGAAAAGCGCCTGATGATTTAATTAGTGTGCTAAGTAAGAAGAGTACCTCTGGACCGAGATAGCTCTTCGGTTAGGTGCATTTGGGAATTCTGTCTTGTGATAAAATTTGTTTTTCCTGAATCTTTACTTTTCCTGTTAAGTGTTATCAGTTTACCAGTGTACCACGTCGACGCATGCTCAGGCGTTTGCAGCATTTTGTTAAGCTCCAAGGGACCAAGCGGAAACGATGCGCTCGGCCGATACCCGAACGTCGCATGTGGTTGTTCTCAGCGCGTACGGTTATTTCGTTTTGCCTATTGTCTGGTATGTTGAACTATCATGGCTGAACAGTCTGAACCTGGAAGTCTGGAACATTAGTATGCATTATGGAAAACAGCATCTGGATTCCAGAAGCTGTGCATCGTTTCGGTAGTAATGGGATGGTTTCACCTTCTTAACTTGCCTGCTTAAAATGCGCATTTACGCCATTTAAAGCTCAGCTAAACCTATGGAATAATTGAACTGTCAAAGGAAACTTTGAATGGCACTGTTTTAACATAAGTAAAGGCGTCCGAGACATACACCAACACATAAAACCTAAACAGAATTAGAGCCACAGCATACTGCATAGTGAGTGCATACCTACTTCGTTACTCGTATAAAAGCAACCACAAAAACCAAATTACGAATAAAGCACAAATGCAGTTTGAATTTGAAACACATCTCTGTTCTTCATTATTTCCAAAAGCACTAAGCGTCGCTAGGCCGGCTGCGGTCATCCGGTCGAGGCTGGGGCTGGGGCGGGCGGAAGTAGGCATCTCGATGCTGGCGTCGTAAATCATCGTAATTTGCGCTGGGACGCGAAGCCTCCTCTCGGCCATGATCAAATGAGCGCTCCGATAACATTTCCGGGTCCCTGCCTTCCTGGTAGGTGTTCTTTTCGGAGTCAATATCCAGGCTACTCACGTGGTCATCAGCGTTGTAAATGCTGCTCCGTTCCGATCGCGCCGGCCCCTGATTGTCGTAGCCATACAGCGGTGTTGTGGGCTGGACTGGCCGGTATCCGCCGCTCCCACCAGGATACGGCTGCTGCGGAGGCGGTGGAAGTCCGGTTTTGCCCTGGCGCCGACGACGGATGGCATCGGCAACGCGGCTGTTGGGCAGGCTCAAAAATTTATCTTCGCATTCTTTGTAATAGCTCAGTTTCCCGAGCAGGTACCCAGTAAAGCCGGAAGCAAATACCTAGAAAACGCAATCAGAAGCATGCATAAACATTTTTCATTTTACTGATTTTAGCATGAAATATTAAATAAACCATTAAAATAAAACATAAATCCACCTGACGACAAAATCATCGCCTCCGTAAAATACCGAAAAACCACATAGTACACAAAATTACGGCAGGCACTGAACAACCGAGATTTTTTCCTATCTCAAACACACAAAAAATGCGTTCAAAACCTACCTTGAACATTGATCCATATTTCGGATGCGCTGACAAATAGCCCTTTTTCACTGCGAGATGGGTAAGTGCGGAAAATACCGCAGCAAATGGCAGCGATCGCTTTATGGTGGATTCCCGGGCACATTCTTTCAAAATGGCATTTTCTTCCGCTGTCATTTTATAATTGGAATCTGGCTCCGCGCCATAGTTGGAAAATTGGGTTCGCTCCTGATCAGGCGGAGAACCGCCGCCATACGACCAGTTTGGCGCATTGGGTTGCTGTTTATCGTACTGCTGGTACTGTCCTCCAGATGCACCCGGAAATCCTCTTCGGGGACTTGTTTCGCTCAAATCAATCGGATTCGAGTACGCGAGTCCAGAACGATCATTGTCGCCATACACGTTATTCCCAAATGATCGGTCGCCCATCGCACGATCGTCACTGAATCGCTGGTTTTTGTCGTAATCGTTTGAGGATTTCATAACGAACCACGACGTTTAACAGTTCACAATTCACTGAACCAATGGTGAAAGACATTAATAATAATATCCGATTTCTAATAAATTATTCGAAACCAATATCAAAATTCAAAAACGTCAACCAATAGTTGCCAATTTGCTCAAATCAGCTCACAGCTGCTCACTGTGCCCAGTGCGATCTTCTTGGGCGGGATGAACATGCCAGTCGAAAATGAAAATGACGGCCGAAATTAAAATTCATGCCCACCCCGAGAATGCTGCCATTGGCTGGTAATTATCGTCGCGCTCGGAATTTCGTCGCGTTCGGAATTTCCGCTCTGGCAGACCGATTCTGAAGATTCCAAAAACTTCGATTTTTGGCATTTTCGTTTGGGGGGCTTGGGGCAGTGTAGGGCGGAATGACTGGCATGACCAAAATGCAGTCGCAATTGCCATCTCCTTTTAACGTCCAGCTACGTACTATATACGTATTTATCCGCATTTATTTTCGTTCTTGCTTGTGTACTAGAAGTGTAGAACACGAATCCTATCCCGAAAGAAAGTTTACCGTTCAGCCGTGCTAGAGAAGCCATGCGTGTTGCTATTGAATTTCTTTTAAGAAAGTTTGTGTTATCCCAGGTTATAAGTACATAGTGCTGTAGACTTTTATAATCAGCAGGGAAATTCTGGAGGCAATTAGATGTTGATTTTAGACTACGTATGCGTAAGTCTGGTGTCTCCACTCTCCGGGTCAATTGATGAATTTCATATTTTCGTGTTATGAATAAAAGGGGACTCCCCGAAGCGGTTATCCGCGAATGCGATGAAAAGATTTGAATATCAAACATCAAAACAGCGCCTAGTATAAAAAGACGTTGTTGAAATGCAGTGGAGACACTGCCTGGTTTGATCTTTCATTACTTTAACAAGCTACCAAGTTACACCAGCTCCTGCTAAGCCTCTAAATCATGATTTCCTGCAGACCGAATTTTATGGCTCTTGCCTGTTTCAGTACAATAATACAGTTTTTTTTATAATAATCAAGTAGATAAAACTAAAGCCAGAAAAGGCTAAACAAAAGTTACAACAACGACAAACGGTATCTGTCGGTATGTTTTCAAAAAACCACGAATAATACTGTTGTACTAGTACGAGTACTAGTACAATTCAGACAGCGGATAATTTTTTTACAGTCAAATCATGCTCATTTATGGCGTTGCAAATCGCACGGCTGTGTAAAGAAACTGACACGGCAGACCAAAATGAATTGAAAATGCCAATCGAGCACGGGGCGGAATTTGAATTTTCGTATCCTTTTGAATTTTGCCACGAGCGGCACTTTGTCATCGCACGCGGTCTACTAATAAAATGTGGTGCCCATAAGAAGACATGAAAATTCAAAAATTAAATTTAAGTAAATAAATATTAGAAAAGAAAAATGACAGTTCTGTATTACCACAGCTGTCCACCCAATGGGAGGTTAGGTGTGCGACAGGCCACAGGACCAGCCAGCCAGCTGTATGCAGCCGCTGTCTAAGTTTCAGTGTGCGACTTATTGGGTAATTTTTGAAAACTGAAAACATTCGTTTTGGATCAATGCTGCAATCTTGTACCTTGACTTCTAGCCCTGGATACATACATTAATCCCGAACGCCGAGCTGAGTCGAGCTCCATTCGGTTGTGCCGGATTATCTGAGGAATAGTTTTGTCCGGTTGTCCAGTCAGCATATTTTTGTATATGAATCGTCAACGGTGATGTAGAATGGCACTCCACAGATGCATACCGCGGTTGTATCAGTGGATTGCGACTGCGGGAATGGATTCAGGATTATCTGTTTTTTGTCCTGCTGCAGTGCGAAGTACCCAGCCATTTTCCACTGTGCCGCGTTCTCTATCACTGACATCGGCACGAATGCTTCACTTCTCTGCACCAGTTGCTACAGAGGCGTCCCCGAATGCGTCTGACTCGCTATCGGGATCTTCGGTTCCTGGCATTCCGGTAACCGAAAGAAATCTGGCCTACCCACCGCCATATGTAACACCACGCGAAATTTGGCTGGAGAGTTTGGATAGAATCGAAAACCACAAAACGGGGCTGGTCCCGCTGCATCCCGAAATATTTGCGCAATTTCCTAGGTGCATACTTGACTCTCGTCGCAGCTATCGTGTATTTTCGGCGCTTTTTTACAGGCTTTTCTCTAATGGTGTTCTCATTTTAGGATTGATATTATCCACCAAAACGTGAAATGGCAGTCGCTGTACAACACAATCGTAAGTTTGCCCAATATCGTTTTTTCATGATTTTTATCGATGACCATGATGGCTGTAGTCGTTGTAGTTTGATTTTGATGTTGTGCACATAGGTAGCTGCGGGGTTTTGTAGTACAACACGGCAGTGTCGTACGGGTTGTGTTTTTAACTGATTATTAATGATTGTAAACAGGACTACACTTTCGCTCGTAATCGAGCTGAAATGCCCGGCGGAGGAAGGAAGCCATGGCCGCAGAAGGGGACCGGTCGAGCACGTCATGGAAGTATTCGGTCTCCGCTTTGGCATAATGGTGGGTTTTGTACTACTGCTGATTTGAACTCATTTCACTACCTAAGTGGACAAAAAAGTTTTTTTTTAATTGGCAAAGCCACCAAGATAACAATGATTGCAAGCGCCGGCACACCGCTTGATAGTTCAAATTTGAACATATAGTGGACAAAAGAGTTAGGGAGCAGTTTTGCCAGGTTCAGAATTCGAATATTTTAAATCACAAACCATGCTATCTGTTTATGTTTCAGGTGGTAGATCCAAAGGGCCTCGCGGTCCCAAAAGTTTTTTCTATTTATTGCCTCAGGACGCCAAGTTAAAAGGACTGAAGTGTACCCTCTCTGTAAAATTAGCGCAGGTAAGCAGCGTGATTTAGAATAGACGGTTTAGAAAGCATCTTTTAATCGTAGTAAGTGACTGGATTAATTTCGTGTCATTATTCTCCACAGAATGATCTTCATGTTGTCGAATCTTTTGATATTCCTTCGGAGGATCCGACGGTGAGTATCTAAGGTCTTGGTGAAAAAAATTATTAAGTTTTGCTGAAAAGAGTATGAACTATAAAAGCGTTGTATTAGAGAAACGTCTTTCTTTAAAATATGCGGAATATTCTAACCCTTGGTGGAAGCTACTGCTAACAGTAACACTGGACTGGTAAAGATAGCTTAAATAAAGGAGTGGCAGTTCTGTTTCGTATTTTTTTCGGACAATTTCGGTGGAAATTGTTTCTGTTTATGGGAACCTTATTTGAGAACGAACTTTTGTGTTTTGATAAAGAAACGTCAATAATCACACGATCATAACATTTTATGTACACATATTATGTAAATATCTTTGGGCTAAAGTTACGTTTCTTGCTTACAGTACATTCAAGCGTTGGCCACGAAACGGAATTGGGGGCTGTCTATTTTGTTTGTTGATGAGTAAGTACCGGTTAAAAGATTTCTGGTTTTTATGTGCTGTTGTCGTTTACGTACTTCGATTACTAGTACTGGTTTGTCATACTAAACTATCGATGCAGTTTAGTTTTTTTTTAAGTGATTGACTGTTGTAAATTAACTGATTTGAAATCTGGAATCGTTGAGATAATTTAGCCGTATTAAAGGTGAGAAAGAGCTTCCTATAAGTGTTGATTCTTAGATTATGCTTAACATGTTTGTTTTAATGCGGTTATTTTTCTAGCACCGACATTATGCCTACGAATATCGCCTTAGCTTGCGCTGAGATTCCTAGCTTCACTTTGATGCCCGTCTATGGTAAGTTGTTACTGCGTCAGGATTAAAGATTCAGTTAGTTCGGATGGATGGATGAATACTTAGTTCGGCTGGATCAGTAGTTCTTAAATTTTGTTTCCTTTTTTTGTCCGTGTATGAAGACTACTTGTTCCGGATACGAATCTCTTTATGTTATTTCGGCAATCATGATCTGATAACTTAATTTCTTTTCTTTAGGATTGAATGTGTACAGCATGCTGAAACATGAGACCTTAGTGCTAACCAGGGCGGCATTAGAGAGAATTGAGGAACGAATACTCCGGTTTCGTCATCGCATGGAGCGAACTGACATTCGCAGACACGTCATCGGAGAAGTTCGTTAGTGTTACAACTACAGAAGTTCGTGAAATTACCCTGTTTTATGACTGGTGTGCTTTGCGGTTTTTGCATGGATGGCAAACATTTTCGTAAATCATATTTAGCATAGGCAAGCTCGGAAATTGTGTTGTCTTTTTGCGGACGGTTTTGTTAACGGACGATGTGGTCTAAAAGTATTCCTTTGCTCGTAACAACTGCGAACTAAACTACGCTGCAGTAGTTTTTGTAATAATTCAATAGCATTCTGTAAAATATTCAAGAACAACACACTGCTCCAAACCGACACGGCAAGCCAAATCCTGCATTAACACACGCCACTTTTAGTAAAGTCAGGACTAGAAGACTACAATAAAGATAAAGATTCCATAACCAAGGGAAACTGAGATCAATCCACATCACAAAATGCTTTCCGTCTATCTAAGCGTGGAAACATCCGGAGGTAAATGCTTCAGGCCTCTGTCTTGCAGCGCCTTCTCTAAGGCTGCTCGCGTTAACACACGATCATTCGCTTTGGGCATGTCTTTATTAATCGCCACCGCATCCTTAATAATATCCGCAACGATGCTCTGCCCGGCCAGTGCAATCAACGACCCGATCTTCGGGTCCATAAACGCGACGCCCGCCTTGGCAAACACCCGATTCAGCAGGCCTTCCGGGATCAGAGGTTTCACTGTGGCGGCCATCTCCTCCATCTCTTCGGGAGTGGGATACTGCGGGAGTGGCTCCTCGACGATCGGGGCCTCGGGGATCTCCACCGGGGTTTTGGCCACGGGCGGTGGCACGGGGGCGCACTGCTGACCGCGGGCCCATTCAGCACAGCGCTGCGAACGGGATGCGTCGGCCGATCAAAATGATGCGGCGGAGGTGGTGGGGATAAGGCCGCCGTCGTCATGGTGGAGGGTGGCCGCGACGGGAAGGCTGCTGATAACTGGAAGGCGAGGCAGCTACCGGTGGGATGGGCGAGGCGACACTGGGGATCGAGTGGGCCATGCTGTGCATTGCGGACGACGGCTGGGACATGCCAGAGTGCTGGCGCATCAACGGGGATCCCAGTGGGTACCCCGACGGTGAGCCCAGGTTGCCACCGGGCGAAAGAGCTGAAATTAAATGAGAATTCACAATCTACGCAGCTGGAAAGTGGAAAACGTGGTTTCATTTTCATCGACACAAATTCATCCAAGAAAACTACTGTGATCGACTAGGCTCACCTGGATTGGGATAGTGCGCTGTAGTCTGATACGGCTGCACCGGTGAACCAACAGCGGATGGGGACTTTGCATGGACGAGAAAGAAAAAGGACTGGCAGCCGAATTATACCCAGAAGGAGGCAGACCGCGGCCCAATGGTGTGCCAGGAATCGGTGGACTGATTTGGTTGATGTGCTGCTGTTGCAGCTGCTGTTGGTGTTGCTGTTGCTGCTGGTGATGGATGTGCTGATATTGGCGAAATTGGGCTTGCTGTTGCAGCTGCTGTTGGTGTTGGTGCTGCAATTGCTGTTGGTGTTGCTGATAGATGTTGGCCACAGCCTTTGAGGAAAAACCAGATATGTTTATTACGGTCTGTATAATTAAAAATCACCACGGGAGGTGGGAAATCAATGTCAGGACGACGAACGTCGATAAATTAAATATCCATAATGCAGTGTTGAAATCAATAATACGCATATGGATTATTGATAATTCGCATGACATGATCAGTCTGTTTACTGCATACTCACTTGCGGATGCGCATTGCGTTGCCCGGGCGGTTGCGCTACGCCAGCTGGATTGTAGTATCCTGTTGGTGGCAGCTGATTGCTATTATTGCCATACGGCTCCATTGATTCGCCTGTTGGCCCATAATTGGGATCGCCTCGTCCAAACATACTGCAGAATCTTGTCTTCCGGTACCGTATTCAATTCAGCTGGATGTAAAAAGCTTTCTAAAAACGATTCGCACACATTGGGAGTGTGTGCACTGTTGGGAAAAAATTGTCAAAACATTGCAGCAACCTTGTTGGCAGCAGTTCTGCAGCATGGTGCAGCAGCATAACACTTGAACCGACGGCTTCGGAAAACGAGTTTAAAGTTCACCCACCTGTAAACGTGGCGTGGCAGTGTAACGAGTTTCCCACGAATCGCCGTTGACTTACGGCAACCATTACTTAAAAGCATGGATCGAGTTACAAAGTACTCCGACATATGAACGATATATACATTACTACATGTACCGAATCGCATGTACGCCTACTCGCATGTATACCTGTCAGCGATATATTACACCTGCGGAAGAAGTATCAAGTGCGGCGGCTGAGAACACATAAATATTATTATGTCCTAGTGATCCTAGTGAGCTTTTATGCCCTTACCTACAGAGCCTAGTGCTGCAATGAGCGTCAGCTGCAGATGTGCGTGTATACGTGTGCCCCAGAATCTGCATTCTGGACCGGATGCACAACGGGAAAACTGATGCCGGCTGCCAGTTCACTGCGTTGACTCAGCCATTCGCTTGCCGCTGGATATGCAACGTTCCTGTCAGTTCGAATTTACATAATTCGCTTGAAATGAAGAAATCATTGATAGATCGTATATTAAGTTAATAACATCGTGATCCCCAGCAGTGTTGGTATGCATACTGTAAATTCATTTCCGAAATGCATGCAGGTGCAGTATCTGCATATGAGAATCACGCTAAACCTAAACTTTATTACCAGAAGCTGTCCTATAACTAACAATAAGAATTCTTGAATTTAACTAAGGAAATCAACTTTTATGGAAGTAACCCGATTCCCGTTTCGTTGTAAGCCAAGAATTCTTGAACTATAACGAAATTAAACAGCAGGAACACGAGAAAATAATGTATGAGTGTTTTATTAAATTTAATTAAATTGCCTGTATGTGCGCAGTATTTATTATACATAGTGGTATTGGATTATAGTAGTATTGGATACTAGTGGTATATTATAGTGGTTAGTGGTGGTATTGCAGTTGTAGTATCAATACAGCAGCTTGTCTTGTAATTGTTCAACTTTAATTTCACGAATTATAAATTGAATGTGATCACACTGAATGCGTTATTATATCGGTAATTAATCCGCATAAAATATGCGCTAGTATGCGACTGCGCGCAAGATTAGTCCGAATTTGATGATGTATAATTTCATAAACACCTTGTCGAAAGCGATAACAACAATGATTACGCTGTGCAAGTATCCAAAAATACAATAAGTAGTTGTTTCAGGTCGATCTTATTAGTCCGATGCAGCTCGATGCAAGATAATAAGCTGACTGTGAGGTGTAGTAATATGTCGTCAAACACCTTCCGGTTTCCGGTGGTGTAATTGTGCCACAGATGTTGCGCGTATAATTAGCCGATGCAGGTGTCGTTAATTGAGGCTGCAGTAGAAACTGTCTGAGTCGGGAAGACGTCTTTTTTAAACTCAATGCTGGACACTGACGCTGACGAGCATTTCCGCGAGGGTGCATGTTCCACGTCTTGTATCGTATCCGGTAAGTTGTTCTTATGCAATGTCTCCTCCAAGAAGAAGGCCAATACAGCTCCAATCAAAAGACTGACACCGAAACATACGACAGGAAATTCCCGAAATGTATAATGACCCTAAAACAATAAGTATCACATTCTAGCGAAACTGAGTTAAACTTTCCCGAATGAATCCATGAACTATTAAAAGGTCTAGTCCAGTTGTCGATATGAATACTTCACACTTCTATAATATTGTGTAATTGCCATATAATTAACAATTATTTGGAGGTTAATTCCAAGTTAACAACAATCTGCGCAATCGCTGTCATATATAATAAATGTGGGAGATTTTATTACATGTACATACCAACAACACTATCTGAGGACTCAGAACACCACCCAACCGCAATCCAAACATGGCCGTTCCCAGCCCGTTACTGCGTATCACTGTGGGAAACAGCTCATTGGTCCATACGATAACCGAACAAAAGCTGCCGGCCACGGCCATGCGGCCCAACTGGGCCAGCACAGTTCGAGCAATACCGCCCGCACCGGCTTCCGGGATGACCCCGCTTACAATGCAACAGATACCGGAAACGATGCTCAAAGCCATCAATGGATACTTGCGGCCGTATCTAAAATACATATATTTCAGTTTAATACCAAATATGGTTCGCATTATCATTTGCTTTAACTGTTGCATTTTGCCATCCATTAGACGAACATGCAAGGACTCTATATGCTCCACAATTGTATACCAGCGCATAATCTTTTATCCGTATTTTATGTTTTTAAAATTATGTGCGTGTATAAAGGCTTCACCTTGTAACTGCAAAAGCACAGAACGCATACGGTATCATCTCAAGCAGCCCACCAATAAGCAGATTCAGAGCGGTGTGTCCAGCCATCTGATCCAATGAAAACGACAATCCATAGTATCCCAGCGCCAAGGAAAACCAAATATACATTAAGATAATGGTGACCTTTCGGATTTTTGCTGTTCGAAAGCAGTCGACAAAAGTATAATGCAGTTTTTCTTCCTGTTTCAGTAAATTATTGCCAATAAGCTGCAGCTGATTTTCCAGATGCAGTTGGCCCTGTATGTCCAGTTTTTTCCCGTTAAAAGCCAGGACTTGGACGCATGCTTTCGATGCGTCATCGTTTTTTCCCGCCACCAAGAGCCATCGCAGAGATTCTTTCATCAAGCTGAAATGAGAATTTAAAAATTGTGGTTCTTATTTTCAGCGGTATATTATATTTGGAAAAGCATCACTCACAAAAATTGTGGTACAAGTATTACAGCACCGGTCAGAGCGATAGCAATTTGAATGGCTTTCCAGCTGGGGAACACATATCCCCACAGCGCTAAAATTATAACCCCTCCTCCCCAGAAACATTCGGACAGCGTTCCATACAGAGCACGATACTGCTTGGCCAACCATTCCATAATCAGCACATAAAACACTTGAATTCCCTAATTAATAAAAATCACAGAGAAAAATAATAGCGCGCGTAACCAGTTTATATTTATATCATGCATACATGAAAAATATAGTATATTACCTGGACAACTATTCCCAAAAGAAATCTCAGTATTGCAAATGCGATATAATTGGGCGACGCAGTTACCGACAGGCCAACAACTACACAGCAGATTCCGGATCCCAGGACAACTAACCGTCGTCCAAATCGATCTCCCAAATATCCGAACAAGGGTGCACCGATAATGGTACCTTCAAGGTGATTAATTACAGTAAACCAATACTGCCTGCATTTATAAAATTGTAGAAGCAAAACTTACCAATGAAATAGAGAGTGGTCGCAAGATTTCCTTTATATATCTCGCTGCACACCAGACCGTACTACATAAATAACGCCAAAATTTCAGACTGTATTTGTTTTCATGTATATAAAGTTAATTATTGCGAAAATAAAAATTCGTTTCGCAAAATGCAAACACACCACTTGTACGACCTTAATTCAGTTAAATTAAATGTTTTTGTAGAAATAGTTCTAGGGTAGTGTAAATGCACTTAATATTGTACTTATTGTACTCTACGTACACTGATTCAGTACCTGGCTAACAATGGTCGACGCTTCGGTTCCGTTGTCTACCGTGGGAAAAATCCAGTTGGAACATGCTGAATATTCCGTATGCTTTTGCCCTTTACGATCCTTCCACGTTGCCGACACGGTACACTGGTGCCTTACATCCGGCTCCACAAAAACTTTGCTGTCTATCACATCTTTGCCGGTGACGGACAAAATATTTTGAAAACTGCTGTCAGAACAGAGATATTCCGTTGGAACACTTGCAAAAAATACCATCCCCAAATTGTTGGGTGAAATCACAAAATACAATGCGCAGGATATGATATACAGAATAATCTGATAGCGTCCGGGTGTGCCGAGATGAATAAGTAAGGAATCTAGACCGTGCGCAAAGTGCATTTCATCAGCGGGATTTTTTACTGTCTCGGACTCGGTGACCGGTGGCGGTACTGATATCTTCGATTCCACACGGGACCGTCTTCGCGGTTGGTCAGTCTCTTCGTCTATGACGGGATTGTGTGGAACTTGTTCCGGTGCCACAACGGGGGATGACGCCAGTATTTTGGAATCGGCACGTGATCGTCGCCGCATGCGATCCTTGTCTTCGGTCACTGCAGTATGGTTTTTACAATTAGTCTCCTCTTTGTGTTCCGGGGAACCGGTGGCGATGTAGGAGAAAAGGCTCTGGAATCGGCACGTGATCGCCTTCTGCTGTTAATATCCTTAGCCGGCGCATCGTTAGCCAGGTAAGATGGCGAAAGGTCACGACCATCACTTATGTTAGCCGGCAGTACAGAACTTCGGCGCTCCGTTGAATTCATTACGAGTCAGTTGTCTAATTAATACTGGCGCTTCATGCATTACGGAGTACAGAGAATTTTTTTGATAAATGTGGTAATAATTTTACCCAATAACATGCTTGAGCCATAGGAACGCCGGTCACTACGCACGGACTATACACAGGTGACAGCCCTATCACAAAACGAGTGGAAAAGTGCACACAGTCAATAAAATGTGCCACCTTGCAAACAATAAAAAAATGCGTACCAAAGTCGCGACTGCCTCGTAAAATCTGTTAAACAAACTATTTAACCGTACCTAAAGGCGCATTATGCTTATAGGTAAGAATGTGACGCTAAGCATCGAGGTGCAAGCAAACGCTGGCAAAAATTAATATAAATATTACCTATATTATGTACTCACACAGCATAGATGCGCCATGTACGGTTGTTCACACTTGGGCGCATGGTGTTTGCCGTAGAAGTATTAATGTTGATTTTTTGCAGATGCAGTAGGAAATTTAGTAAAAAACAACATCACAGAAAGCTTTTATTCTTCCAAAATCAAACTAGCGAAGGAATTAGTTTTATAAGTGTTGTATTATATGAATGCGATACTTCTACATCAGACTGACAGAGCGAAATTTGGCCATGGGTATTAAACTATCATCTACTTGTATCATTCTGTATGTCGTATCCCTCATCCGACCGCCCTATAATTACAACCCCATACGTACATAAATTTTTTTAAGTTGTATTGTGTTCAGGACGTTTAGGACAATCTCAAACGTTACTTTCGATCAGGTACACCGTTAAACTGAATTTATTTCATTTGCGCAGATAAGCCGTAAGCGTACTCCCAGAAATTTAAAAACTGTACAAATAGTGTAATAGTGTGCTATTATGCTTTCCTTCGCTCCTAAGATATGAAGTACTGTATTCAATAAATTTCCCGGAAACAGTCATAGATATTATTAGTATTGCAGATTTCAGTTTATATAATCCATCATTTTTTTGCAGTTGTCGCTTTTATTGCAGATAAATAGCGTTCACCGATCTGAGTGAATAGCACTTTTTATGTTGAAGAAAAACATAGCTCAACCTGCTTAAAACCGATACAATATACCTACACATGTAATTGCACAGTTTTCGACATATCTGTATTTACACATGCCCAAATGACGAGCGCTGCAGAAATTCACAATAATTTACTGTTGCAATTTTTCTCTCACAGAACCATTTATTGCCTGCTCAACAGATCAGTCCTTCCAGGGGCTAGGAAGGTTTTACCTGTTTATCAACAACTAGAAAATTTTGAATAATAATGATTTTGAAGAGATTGTTGGCTGCATAGCTATTAGTTACAATTTGATTCATTCCTTCACTGCCAAAGAAGTCCCAATTTTTCCACATTTAGAAAATCATTGCCACCTTGTAAGATATACCAGGAACAAACGTTTAGTTACTGTATGAGTCCAGTCGCGTGCGCAAATTACATGTCTAACATTGGTTTACATTTTACAGGTATTACTAATTGGACGGTAAAACAACAGCAGACGACTGTCGACGCGAAGGCATGTACGATTCGTCCTTCGTTTGCGTGCTGCTGTTGCTGAGCTCGCTGGATCCCGCTAAATTCTCCATGTCCTGCAACGTGTCGGGTAACCGGTGGTGCAGTAAATCCGGCAACGGATAAGCTGCAAATGTGCCGGCCATAACGGATAGACTGATAAGTATTATCGGCAGATCTTCGAAACCATTTTCTTCCTAAAAGTTACAGCGAGCATGAAACCATTTGTATACCTATAGCAGAATAAATTTAATGCTTCTAAGTTCTAACAAACCATCTCCTATGATGTGCCTAATTATATATAAGATTGCTGGTTTATATTTATTTCTTCGTAGTATGCCGTCATGATTTATATCCGCCCAGGTTGTGCATACGTACTTACACAGGATGGCAGTTATAACACGAGAATGTCACGAGCCGTAACTTACAAAAATTATCAGCAAGGCTGCCAGTGCACCGGCTAAACGGAAGGCGGCCATGGACACACCGAGAGCACAACAGCGAATAACCGTGGGAAAGAGTTCGCAAGTCCAGACCATGGCGATGCCGATACTGCCGGAAATGCAGGCACGCCCCACTAAGGTCATCACGACTTTGCCAACGTGCGACTGCTGGTCATTTCCGCGGATGATCAGACTCAAAATACAGATCAGTCCCCCGAAAAACATCATCACCATCAACGGCTTTTTGCGGCCTAACCTGTGAACTTAAGTGCGTAAATCAAACAATCCTTTAAAAATGTGCAAAACTGACACTTCAGAAAACGGTACAGAAAGATTAATTAACGGCTATACAGAAACTATTAACAGCGGCACATGCATTTAACTGGGGACACTGCACTTGAGGATTTATAAAAGCTGAACACGTCAACATCATAATTATGTATGTATTTCGCTACACTGCGCAGTATGACTTACCTAAAACACAAGAAAATACTGATACTGTTTAACACCAATTCCGCTGCAGCGCATATTATGAGATTTAGCGGCATCTGCGGAAAGGCTCCATTGATAGGCAGAGATAGTCCGTAATAAACAAATCCCAGAGCAAACCACACACAAAGAAGGCAAGCAAAGGTTTTGCGCAACAATCCCATACAAAAGCAATTGAATAAACTGTATGGACGGCCAAACATTTTGGCATTTCCCTCTTTATTCAGGAAACTCGCGCCGATCAGCAGCAGTTCATGTTCCATCTCCCAGGAAAGGTCATGGGCAATTCTGTTCCATCGCAGAACACGCGCGGCTGCTTCCGCGCTTTCACGCGTGCGGTTTTTTACTAGCAACCAACGCAGTGATTCTTCTACTATACTAAAAATAACAATATTGACATTTTGTGTATTGTTTTGGCTTACAAAAGTACTCTTTCAGAATATAAGCGTGAACGCTACGTTCATGCGTATACATAATTATATGTGTTTTTTGTCGTAGGCTTACAAAAAGTAAGGAAAAATTAGCAGCAAGCCACCCAGTGCTATAACCAGCTGTAGAATTTTCCATTCTGATAGCAGATGAGCCAACAACGACAGAAACATCATTCCAGTACTCCAAAAGCATTGAGCAGCAGTGGAAAAGATTGCGCGGTGTTCGCACGATAGCCATTCAGTCAGGAGACAGAAAAACACTTGGATACCCTGCAAATGAAAAGGGCGTTTAAAAAATATTAATGGCCTTTTCTCTTGATTTCAATAATGTGCATCAGAGGAAATATATTTTGTAAAAACATTTTGATGCTGATACAGTTTTTACTTGCCTGGATGGCAGTACCGAGAAAGAAACGGAGCAAACAGAAAGCGACGTAATTGGGAGAGAACGACGCTCCCACGCCAAGAATGATGGCGATGGCTACCGACAGCAAAAAGACGATACGCCGCCCGTAGCGGTCGCTCAGCCAGCCACTAAGCGGACCACCGACAGCACATCCTGCAAAGCCAACGCATGGCTACATGTTAAAGCATTATTCAAAACAAATGTCTAATAACCGGGTACTGCAATTTGTATGAAAAAATTTAAAAGGTACACTGTATACAGTACCGATAAAATAAAAAAATGTCGATAATGGTCCCATCCAGTGTTTTCCACAGAGAAGCTGAAACTGCAGTTCAACATCGAATAACACCGATCACCAACACTTTGTCTCGACCGGTAAAGCGTACACGCATATTTTGTATTTTATAATGTACAAGCACTTTGAGTCTCGTTATTTGAGAGAAATACCAAGTAGCACTTACCTGATTGACAATGCTCCGTGTTTCGAAGGGATCATCGGGAATCGCCCAGCTATCACATTCATATTTCTGCACTTGACCTTTCCCTCCAGCTGTGCTGTTGGCGTACAAGACACACTGCTGCCTGTCGTCGGGGTACATCGTATAACTGTAACTGGACTGACGTTCACCTGTCCGCGCCACTGGTTTTCGCGTCCAGCGAGTAGTAGAGCGCGGCGCCATGGTGGTTACATTGGTCATACTGAAATCGGTCTCCATGAGAGTGGTGGCATGAATAAACACTTCCTTGTCACAGATATACTGCGCCGGCGACATGGTGAAAAACATGGCCGCCAGTGTGCTGGTGGCCATTATAAAGTAGGACATGGAGAGCAGGAGGCAGAGGCCGACTTGCCAACGGCCCGGACGACCCAACTGGTACAAGAACTTCTCCATGTCCACCGCACGTCGCGCTTTCAGTGAATTATGGTACTGGTATTCGATGCTGATTAGCTGGATCGGTTCGTCTTGCACGGTGCGGGACGGACGGGATAATCTCACTGTTGCCGGTCGGTGGAAACGGTCAACATGCTGACCATTGCCGGTTACGGGTGCTGTAGACTGGTCCTCTGCCATTATTCCAACTACACAACAGACAGAACTGCACAGAATTTGCAAAATCGCAGTATTTCGGCCTTATCTCGCAATATACTATGTATGAACAGTCAAAACTGGCATGGATTGCCCAACCAACACACTGCATGTAGTGTTTTTAGAGCATAGATTACGCGTTACAGCAATGTCTCAAGAATGGAATGATATTATAAAAAACTCGAAACACACACACGTTTTAAAGAAAAAGCTAAAAATATTGGAACAATTATATTTGACATCGCAAGGCTCATAGCATTTTCGTGAAGTTGTTCTACGCGCATGCACCCCGATAAAAATGAACCTATGCTGCATGATGTTTCCGTTCGTAATCTGGAATTGCTTTGGCGCGCCATTTTAACGACGTCCTACAATAGCATTCAAATAAACGACGGGCTCATGCACGCAAGAATTGCGCTACCTTCAATACGAGTAGCATACAGAGTCACATCAGTCATGTAACGCTATCTTCAAAGATTTTTTCACACACCGCATCGCCTAAGCATCGTGGTTTATTCGGAAGTAAGCGTAGTAATTCCTTAACACGGGTAACAAATATGAACAACCAACATGAAACAAATCGCTAAAACCTTTAAAACATCCAAAATCAAATTCCCAGAAAAATGGTCAAAAGCTGCAATAATAGAGAACATTCTGAGCAGTAATAAAAAAGACCAATTAAACACATCAATAGCTGCACTAGAAGGATAACTAACAAAGCGTAAAACGAACACAACCTATATATTAGCTCAACAAATACGGAAGTCAAATCGTATTCAACTGCACTTATATCCAGAAATCCAGATTCAACAATCTTAATGAACCACCCCGCCACTGTTGCCGATTTAATATACACAAAATAAAAACAATAAAACGTGCACATGCGCCCGCGTAATTCACTCCGACGAGCTAAATCCTCTTCGTAGAACAACAGTTCTTTATGGATGGAAACTTTCTCAATCACAATCCGGAATGCTTGTCCCAACGACTCAATAATAATTCATTCCACACCAACATTCTTTCGCCGCCAGTTTTAGGGTATGTTAAACTAGAAATCACTTCCTCCAGGTTTCTTTGATGATAAGTTATCGTCCACCGACAATCGGATTAACTTCTTTCTGCTGGTTTCAGTCTGCAAATTGAGACAAATTAACGGTCGATAAGTGAGACGTCCAATTTGTACGTGTTTAAATCAAGATTATAGCGTGCCTATCTACTTCAAGTACTGTACAAATTGCATTATCGTCTGTTATCAAAATTTCATGTTGTTCCATGTTCAATTTTTTTCAGTTTCGGCACAACCATGCATTTAGTTCCACAGATAAGGTTTAATACTTCATGCTCCACTGTCTGCTCGACAGTTTCGGTTGTTGTGAGGAACTTCTTTCCCGAGTTGGGATCAACATGTTCCTCCAGTTTGCGGTGAACTTTCTCATCAACCACACGCGAGCGCTCTTTGGTGCGCGGTTCTCCGACTTCTTCACTAACCGACACTTTAGAAAATCCGCTATGCTCGGAGGTCGGTGTTTGTTCTGATGACGGAGCTGAGAAACCGGAATCTACACCCAATGAAATTACCTACAAATGCTGTTGATCAGCACCAGGGCAACCCTTACCGCGGTGCTCAGCACGTCGCTCCAGTTCTCGTATCTTGTTCACCATTTGTGCAGCCGTTATCGTATGGGCCTCCATGGATTTCAGACTGAAATTGGGGCGAACATTAAACTGATTCGTTGAAAGTGAAAACTTTACCGATATTTCTAATTCCGATACAAATTTGAAAACGACCGTACTCTACCAATGGTGCAAATATTTTTGATCATGTAAACAAAACCTCTCCACCAAAGTAACGCTGCACCCGACATAAACGTATACCTAATTACTGTGATATTTACCGCCCTCAACAAACCACTGACTTTAAATTTATCATACCGATCTGCTCTCCATGCAGCCCGCTTCTCGGCTTCCTGAGCCCAGTTTTTTGCTGAGCCGCCCGATTTGGGACTATCCGACTCGCCCGTGGATTCCCGCATCTGCCGCTCAAGGGAACGTCGTTCAGCCGTGGCTGTTCGGACCGGACGGGATCCGCTGGAACTCGGAGGAGTCGTTTCCGATGTTGCCGACCTACAAACATCCGGAATTCAATAGAATTTGTTTCATGTAGCATCGCAGTCCAACGTACCGATACCGTTCTTCCAAATTGTCCGGTTCATATTCGTGCAGCGTGAAAGTTCGTTGCTGATAATATGATTCCAGAGGCCGCGACTCCACATCGTCCCTCACCGTGGTCCATCCGTTAGGAATACGGGGATCGTCCCGCGACTGCGTATAAGGCACAGATTCTCGTTGAGCCGGCGAGGGATCGCGTCGGGATAAGCGCTCCTCCGGCTGACTATCACCATCTTTAGCAAAGTACAGCTGCTTCTCCTTGAACGTGAAGGCACTGGGGGATTTGGTTACGGGACTGGCATCACTGCCACTGGCGGCAGCAAGAGGACCACGTGCACCCGGACGCGTCTGCCCAAAACCAAACAACACGTATCGTACATCGGCACAGAACAATCTCACGCCAACAAGAAAAGCACCAGCGCCAACAAAGAAAGGACACACCACGCACCACACTGAGCCGGGGTTTAACGGGGGGCTTGTCGGTAGTTACCGTGCTTAAGCTGACTGCTTTGTTGAGAATACTGGACGAATAAGGCTGTGGACGACTACCGTTCAGCAACGGAGACGGAGGACGCAAGTCCGGCGAGACGGGCTCTCGCGACTGTAGGACATTGCTGTACGAGACGCTCTACACCAAACAATACGCGTTCACACACCAGAGAATAACACATACATATACACTACAAATATTCTCTTTATTTGCTATCTTTATTCCATTGTATCCGCTGTGTTCGACTACGGACCCTCTGAGTAGTCGACGCAGTCCACACTCCGCCAAGCGGCGGTGGGGGACTGGGTGGCACACTGGTGCGATTTTCCGTTGAGTGGGCGGACGGTGTACGTTTGCGGCTCAAGATTTCTTCCCGTTTCCGGCGGTCGGCCTCTAGTTTTTCTTGTATTTCGGCCTTGATCTTTCGCTCTTCTTCCGCTCGTCGTTGAGCTATTCGCTCCTCTTCCCGCTGTCGTTCCTGGCGTCGACGCGTCATTTCCGCTTCCCAGGCCGTCTTTTCCCGTTTTTGCCATTCCTCTTCGCGGCGACGCTGTTCATCGGCTAAACGCTTCTCTTCGCGCAGTATATATTCTTGCATGGAATCCTGCCGGGGTAATTCAGAGGTTTTCGACCAACTTCGCAGTTCATCTTGCCGACGCCGAGCTTGAGCGGCTCGTTCTTCGTCGCGTGCCTTTTGGTCACTCTGCAGGCGCAAGATCTGGCTTTCCGCGGTAGATTGTGTGGCTTCGAGCGCCTTAGCCAGATGCCGTCGTACCATTTCTTCATGAAGCTGTTCTGTTGTTTTTTCCGTGGCCGACGTAACGACCGTGGGCGCCTACGGATTAAACAGACAGCCACCATAACATACAGCACATCCCCAAAACCCAACATTCATAACGACGCTAACAGTGAAAGCAAACACTCACGCTGCGCTTAGAATTAACGTTAACCGTCACCGTCTATAAACAAATAAAGCCACAGTCAATGGGGTTAGTTGCGTTATAAAACAAAATAATTATACGAGTTAATACTTGGTACGCACAATGCGGCATCACCTTATGTTAGCTGGTCTTTTTATGGAATAAATGCCCATTAAAAGTGACTTACTTGAGCCTTTTTCTTGAGAATTTCAGCATTAGCCGGGGACACTTCCGACAAATGCTGAATAGCCAATTTCGTGGCCAGTAGAGCTTCGCTCTGAGCCGGATCGTAACCGCGGCACACCATGATATACAGTTTATCACTGGCCCGCTCCGTAGTGTGCCTTAAGACCTTGACCGCATCTTCATGCGAACAGCCCAACAGGCTTTCTCCGTTGACTTCGAGGATTCTCATTCCTGCCTTTAAACGACCATCACGAGCAACCGCTCCGTCCGGAAGAATCTGGTGTAACGCATAAAGTTTGTCTATCGGAATAAACCAATACCAACGGCAACAGCAAAACAAGGCGCACTGTACCGCCAAATTATTGTAAGTCTCAAATATTTGCATACTCTCGATATGAAAATTCCGTCATCGGTGGGATCCAATGGATTGCCTGGAACTTCAGCTTTATCGCCACCACGGATATTCATCCCTAAAGTTTCACCAGGATTTTTGCGAATAATGAGTTCCTGAAGGCCTTCCGGTGGTGGATCATGTCGAATAAGGAGATCAATGCGCTCTGAAGGATACGTTAAAGCGCGCACTGCCTCCGCATGAGCCACGCGCGCCATATCTTGACCGTTCACGCTAACGATGCGATCGCCGACGAATAAACGTCCAGTGCTGGCGGCCGCGCCATTCGGAACGATCTACAAAATAAAATAGATAGAGCCAACTCATGTTGAGCAACAGGCTTAGCTTCTCAACAACAAACGAGAACGATCTCGAATTTAGTGAAAATCTAACAATGTGTAAAGCATTACTGATCATAAAAAACTGGCGATCATCAGGGGCACTCGGACACAACTCCGCAATCCACAAGCTTACTTTTGATATAAAAATTCCGGTATCGTCGGGATTATCCCCAAACGGTCGACACGAATGGTCTTTCCCACCAACAATCGATAAACCAAGAGGGCCATACGTCTTATAGATGGTGACCATTTCCTCTGAGTATGTCCTTTCCTCGGTCGTTTTGGGTTTGCTAAGGGAGGAACGTAATGTCGGAGGACTCTTACTGTCAATCACTTCCGGCTCGTAAACAGGCCGCTGGCCTTTGTTTTGCACATCGCTGCCGGCTGAATACGTCGTTGTTTGATAAATCCTTTCCACTTGAGGACTGCGCTCGGGTCGACCGTTCATGCCTGCAGAATCCAGGGTGTGGGTGACGGTTTTCGTCGTGAAGGAAATCGATTCAGGGAAACTGGCTGGTTCCTGCTCTTTCATAACTAATTCCACCAGATCTGACTGCGACGATCGCGTAACTAAACGGGGCTGTGGAGGAGTCGGAACAGGTCGCTTCGGTTCCATTGTATTAACCTAACCAAGCAGAACAAATGTATAATTTTCGCAATCCAGTTATTTCAAATTACTCCGACTTGCGTCATTCTGTATAAACGAAACCAATGATAAAACGAAGACAACAAATAAGGTGATATGATAAAGTCAATGAAGATTCCGTGCAAAGCAAATACTTTCCAAACCAGTAATAATGAAGTAAGTGATGCTCATCTCATTGTCAGCACTCCGCAGATGCTGCAGTAGTCTTTCGCCGCAACAATGGTCATGCAAAGGCAGCTTAACCATTTCGCACCGCCAGCGAAAACATGTGGCGTAAATGCCCTCAAACTAGCCATCATTGTTTTATTACCTACCCATGCAATAACTGACAAGCGAACATTCCGCAATTTATGGTAATTCCGCTTTCCGTTCATATGCCGCTTAAAACAGCGACCCCAAAAGCTAACCAAATGTCTAGCCGCATTCTGACAAGGAAAAAACTGCAGACTAGGTTGCGACACCACTGGGATAAATACCCCATGAAGTAAAAATCTCACCCATTATGAGAAAGTTAAAGTAACAAACGAGTATCCAGATTCAGATCTATATTGCCACGAATGGGATACACCAGAGCCGGTAAACCAGAAAAGACCGACCCAAACCAATATTATATTCTGAAAGCCCGTAGTCGAAAACCCGGCCAGATAGTATTCATTTCTTTCTAAACCTCTCCCGCTTCGAACGCCAAAGCGGAAGAGTTTTGACTACCTTCACCCATTGCAACTTAATTATTTTTTTATAATTGTCATCGTGGTATTTTTAACCAGGCAATGTTGCCACGTAAACCAACTAAAATATAGTTAAAAAAATGAAAGTCTGCTCTACTGATTAAATTATCAAATGAATTTAATTAGCAGACCATTATTACGGCAAGAATATCTACGTATGCAACGTTGTCATCAAGGACAATTCTGCACGAGTGCCGGCCGAGCAGCTATCGCTACACTATCACTAGTCAAGACCATTGTGTATGCATAACGGTTGTGTGCACCGCCACTGTTCGGTGCACACACCCGTTACAGTTTCGGTGCACACACCCGTTAGTTCAGCGAGTGACCGAAGTACCACTATAGTCTAATTGACAAAGCCCGCTAGGCCAGTAAGTGACCAAACTACCACTATAGTTCGGTAAGTGTGCGGGTGACCGAGCGGTCACTGCTGTCCCGTGCAAAGAACCCGTTAGGCGAGCGCTTAACTGAGCTGTCACTACTGTCCAGTGCACAGAGCCCGTTAGAGAACCGGTGACCGAGCCACCACTACTGTCCGGTGCAAAGAAATCGTTAGGTGAACGGGTGACAGAGCGGTCACTACTGTCCAGTGTGCAAAGCCCGTTAGGGAACGAGTAAACGAGCTGTCGCTACCGTACAGTGCACAAAGCCCATTAGGGAACAAGAGACCGAGCTACCACTACTGTCCGCTGCAAAGGGCGGTTAACAAGACCCGGTTAACACGGTTAACAAGACCGAACCACGGTCAACAAGACCCTTTGGTGAACGAGCGACCGAACTACCACGGATATCCGGTTACCAGAGCCCGCTAGGTTAGGAAGTAACCGAATTGTCTTAACCCTCCAGTAACAAGACTAGGCCAGTGAGTGACTGAACTATATCCAGTGCAAACGTTCTGGGAGTTTGTAGATTAGTACGTGGCAGACAGGGGTAAGTTCGTTTCGCGGATTCAGAATAAATTATTCGTAGATCTAAAAGCCAGAATGAATGTCTTCCAGTACTCAAAAACGATAAACCGAATTTTCAACCAAATCTGCGTTTTCCTGCTGTTTGGCGGCATAAGATTTTAAAAATAAACCTATGAAATTATTGGAATAGACCGGCCGTGGACCACAAGAAACGCAGAGGCAAAGCAGAAGCTGTTTCTTGAAGCTACCGGTACTGCCCAGAGCACAGAACCCGTCAACTGAACGAATGACCGAGCCGACACTACCGTCCAGTTCACAGAGCCCGTTAGGTCTACGAATGACCGAGCTACCGCCTACCGGTACTGTCCCGTGCACAGAGCCCGTTAGGTCAACAATGCCGTTAGGTACTATACATTGCACGGTGCCGGTTAGGTGAACGGGTGACCGAGCTACAACTACAGTCCCGTTCACAGAGCCAGTTAGTTAAGCGGGTGACCGCGCTACGCTACTACTAATATCCCGTTCACAGAGTCCGTTAGGTGAACGGGTGACCGAGCTACCACTAATGTCCAGTTCACAGAGCCAGTTAGTTAAGCGGGTGACCGCGCTACGCTACTACTAATATCCCGTTCACGGAGCCCGTTAGTTGAGCGGATGACCGCGCTACAACTAATGTCCAGTTCATAGAGCCCATTAGTTGAGCGGGTGACCGAGCTACCACTAATGTCCAGTTTACAGAGCCCGTTAGTTGAGCGGGTGACCGAGCTACCATTAATGTCCCGTTCACAGAGCCCGTTAGTTGAGCGGGTGACCGAGCTACCACTACTGTCCAGTGCACAGATCCTGTTAGATAAGCAAGGTATCACTACTGATCGGACATATACCAGCGGGTACAAGCCATTCGCCAGTGACAAGAGCCTGCGAAGTGACCGAGTTACCGAGCTAGTGATAGTGTCCAGTGCACTTCCACTATTTCAGATTTAGTACCTGATAGACAGTGAGATTTTGGATTTTTCGAGTTTTCAAATCCGTGCTTGCCCTATTGTGATGTTCCTATCGATCATTTTTCGACGAAATATAGATGTATACCAATAAATATTCATTCAAAATTAAATAAAGTGGCCGTGGTCCGTGGACCACAAGAAACGCGGAGGCGAAGCCGAGGCTGTTTCTTGTACTTATTAAAACAAAAACAACTGATATATGTATTCCATACCTGCAGTTTTTTACTGACTTTCGTCGGCGAAATCTCCCTTTCTGTTAACATTCCCGTTGAAATCAGCGACTTTGGCTTCAGATTAGCCATGGCCGAGGCATCGACACTTCTTGCCCGATGTTTGGGGGTCAGAGATTCAGAAGTGCTGGTGGTAACAGAATATAATTCGTGATTTGAACCGCGGTCAATCTTTTCGCTCTCCACCACTTTTTCAGTCACATTTCCTCCCTTCTCTCCAGTTCCATTCCGTAGACGCCAAGTGGACGGCAGGGTAGTGGTAGGTCGTCCCACTTGGGACAGAAAATCAGCTGACTGGGAAGGTCGTAATGTGGCACTGATTTTCGTGTCGCTTGGCTCCACGAAATAGGAAAAGCGTTTTCCCGTACGGGGATCTACTGATGGTGCAATAGCACTGGTTGGGATCTCACGTTCGATGGTCAACGTCACTTCCCTTTCGGGGCCGGTCAGGAGTTTGACGGCCTCGCTGTGACGAGCGTTCTCAATATTCTGTCCGTCGATCTGCAAAACCAATCGGGCTTAACTAACGACAATCGAGGTAAAAGGCAAAAAAATCAATTATGTTACGACAAGCAAAATTACCGCGAACCACGAAACCATTTCCGTTATACTACGTTAGCCAAGTAAAAATGTCAACGAGAACTGGGGATGAAATCATCAGTTACATACCGCAACAATTCGATCTCCCACTTCGAGATTTCCGGATCTTTCGGCAATCCCACCGGGAGCGATACGGGAAATAAAGATCGACTAAAACAAATCAGAAATTTTATTTCCTTCTCCTTTTAAAGTATGCAGAGAGCATAGACATTAAATGTAAGAACTTGGGAAAATAATCAGCACGAGCAGTTAAACACATCACGACTAAAAGTAACTGCATTGCATGTAACTGTTCATCTAAAAGTACTAACACTATAGTACTGTACATGTAACTTTCGTCTTGTCAGTGAGATGCACTATCATTCCGCTTCATAAACATTGTACTACAAAAATACTTTCCGCAGGGCAACATTTCAGCTCGAAATTCACAACGAGTACTTAACGTAACCGGGCAAAGATATGCAGTAATGAGTGACCGCTGAACAAATTCTCACGTTTCTGCTTCCTACTCACAAACACAGTGGGCTCGCCATTGTTTTTCAACTAGTCAATTAGCAGCGTTATATGTGAAAGTAGTTAGCAGTCTCGATATGAAAGGCTACCATTACGTCCAATTTGCTATACACCAGCGAATAACTATGGAGGTCGGAAATAGTTAAAGTGATAAGAGCCACAAAATCAATTAACAAGTTCTTGTTAGTTACATGCTGACTGCAATGCAAACTGATTAGCCAAATTCGTAAAATATTATTCAGAAACAATACATTCTAATCAAGAATTTAGATTCAAATTTTTAGATTTTACCTAGAGTAACAAACAAGCCAGTAATACGAAAAACCTATAAAACCACAGAATATCACTTTCGCTAAACTCAAATACAAAGTAAACACAAACGGACCTTATCTTATACTGCTTTCTGAAATTTTTGCTCTCAAAGCCCTGCAATGAGAATGCAAGACAGTTACCGACAAACCTTGTCATTTTCTTTATAAGGAGCAGTGCCGCGTCCTCCTGCGATACTAAAACCCAGTCCCGTTGATCCTTTTGGCAAAGTCACATCAAACATCTGTCAATTAAATACTAACAGTTCCATAAACACTCGTGGACATCAAAATAAAAACAAGACCACCTAATCCATCGTACATACCTGTTTTTTCATCATGGTCGATATTTCCGGTACAGATAACTCCCGACGCGGCTCCGCAGTGAACCGCTGATCTCCGCCTTGGCGGAGCAACTATAATTTCACCCCATTACCAACTTACTTTCGAGAGAGCATAAACACCGCACGCATACAACTGCTCTTAAAGCAAACATACCTCGCGATTATCGCGTTCGACATACAGGCTGAGTGTGGTTCCGGCATTTTTCAATAAATTCACAGCTTCATAATGATCCGTGTCAATAACACTCACACCGTTCACGGCCAACACTTTGTCGCCTACTCGAACCCCAGCCAAGTAGGCTGGCCCATTGGGTGTCACTTTAGACACGAAAATTGCCTTTAAAACAAATCCGTGTAAAATGAAAGCAGATTAACGCGCATTATGATAAGAACAGTTTCATCTTCCCAGAAACCAATCGGGGAACATTCTAGCTTATTCAGAAAATCTACTGGCTAACCTCATCATCACCACGATATGGTGGCGAACCTCTTCCTCCAGCTATGGATAAGCCTAATCCATTATGCCGATGAATCGTCAATGTTGCTCGTACTACTTCGGAGCTAGCTGGGACCAGACCCTGGAAAACCATTCATGAAAAACATACTCACAAGCGATCTCCCGAACTGAGAACGTAAAGAAATCGCCAACCTCATTACTTATCTCTGCTTCATAGCTACCGAGAACCGTACCATTTTTTCATCATTAGCACATAACGACTTATAAGGCGTATTATCATCAAGCAGGAAACTAAAGCAATTAAATACCTGAAAAGTTAAACTGTGTACCACAAGGTATAACTTACTGCAGGCGCTAGTAAAAACGAAGACTACATACATGCCGATTGCTAACTTACAATATAAAATCAAAATATTCGCATATTACGACATCACACGCTTAAAATATCCCAAAAAGCATTGAAATAAAGTAAGCTACATTTTGTATCAGTTATAAAACTATTGACTTGACCTCGATTATTACAGTAAACTCATCATTACCTGCGAAGATAGCAGCATAGGATCTGCCACCATAGAAATTGAGCGCTCGCCCATGAAAGCGGGGAGCAACCCAATTGGTCGATTGTTAGTTCTGTACGCTTCTGTCACCATTTCGCTCAGCTGTTCGCTACTGCCCTTATCCTTGACCGGCTTAGGGACCATCTTTTCCACTGTTCTTTCGACTGTCTTGACTTTTTCGACGATCTTTTCCACAGGTCCACTGCCAGTGTCGGAGTTCACCTCAGATCGATCGGAGTCCTGCACAATGAAATTTGTCTGGCGCACAATCACCGGTCCATCTCCCATAGAAGGTGATCGATCGGGAGTTATTGTAGGGGCATTGGTGTAAGAAAAACGTTCAATGGTATTCAAGGCAGACGCACTACCAGGACGAGAGTGACCACCTTCAACATCAGAGCCATCAGTTCCCGGATCACGTCTCTTAGCTAATATATCTGAAACCCGCTTCTTTGCCTCCTCCGCCGTTTCACCTAATAATTACATTGATTTAATTTTAATGCAGAAATGTGTACAACAGCACATTACAACACATACAATACTGTAGGTAAAATTGCAAATAAAATCATTTTGCCATCTAATAAAATAAAAACAAGCAAAAGGAGACGCTAGAACCACAAAAAGTTTGATTACTGACACTCCCAATAATGATCTATACACTGAAACGACCATCCATACAAATGTCACGCCTTACCCTCATTTACAACTCGACGTCCTTTATTGTAATGCGGTGTATCTCGTCTTCTAAGGCGGCATTCAAGTTTTTCTTCGCTATCTTCAGCGAATTCCACTCGCTTCCGCGTCTGAAATACATAATCTGTTAGAACGTCAGGCATTCCAAGCAGTGTACGAGTATCGTATGAATACGACGTCTAACCTATGCCTCCCCACATAGTAATACTATTCGTTGTACCTGCTCTTCTCCATCCGATCCCACGGCGTATTCATCCGATGAGGTGCTGTCAATACTAGCCGACGAACTACTCGAGTTGCGCCTCTTGGATATTCGAGGTAGTTTGTAATCGATAACCGGCGCATTATGTGCTAATCTTGCTTCCTGGCCACCGCGAGTCTGGTCCAGATTCACGGCTGTAAAAATACATGGTAGTCAGTTCGAGGAAATTACATAACTCACCTGAATGATTCCATTACAATCAAAATTTTTCTTATGGAAGATCACGCGCTGCTCACGTGAAAACAAGTCAATACTACAAAAGTCTACAATAAAGCACTGCTTAATTCCGGACGTGCGAACATTTTCAAAATCCTGTTACATTCTTACTTGGTTGCAGATAATACGAAATCTTTACTGCTTCCAGTAACAGAGAAAACATCTCTGGTATATTTTAACCCACGATAAGCTGTGATTGCCTCCCAATGACAAAATCAACCTTTGCAGTAACTGTGTTAAGTAAATATGTACCTCTACATACAGTGGAGCACCCTTATAGGTAACTTTTAATAATCGTAAATACGTCACATTAACATACATATTATGGATCTACCTAGTCGGTCGGTCTTACCATCAATCAGAACTAAACAACATACGCCTCAACAGCAGCTCTTATTGTTAGTAAAAACAACAATAACATTTCTATCTACCGTGTGCGTTCGGCAAGTATCAAAGTGTCGATTAAATCGAAGAATAAAAAATTTAGACATAAACTCACTTCTAGGTGGCAAAGGAGGTGGCAGATCAGGCTTCTTCACAGGCCACTCAATTGTGGGCGACCGGGGCTGCAAGGGTTTCAGCTTGACATCCTCTTGTTGTGGCGATGCATGAGAAAATCCACTGTACTGTCTCACAGGTTCCTCCATTAAATTATGAATAACCAATTCCGAGACACGGCGCATGTTACTGGGAGAACTACTGCGATAAGAACGATCGCTTTCATCAACGACACGCAGCTGGGCCAAATCGGAATAAGTATTAAGTGCCGGTGGTTCAGGTGTGCCTGGTTTAGAGGAGTGCTCCTTCTGCAACGACAGTGTCATACGAAAATGTACTACCGAATGTAAATATGCTTTATGCACCTAATGTATGAAATCAGCACGAGAACTATCTTATGTCAACAGTTAGTCACATCAGGTTAAAACCAGTTCTGATAACATCAACAACTAAACACACCTCCTGATGTATGGCAATATCATCCAGCGGTCTCGTGCCATCACCATGGGGTTTTTTGTTCTTGAATAGCTGGGCATGCCGAGATTTAAATTCTTTTGGATGCGGTGTATCGTGTCTTGTAAACTGACCCTAAAACAGCAGCAACATCAAAATCTAACTTACACATGCATATGTAACATTTATATAGTAGGTGTACAGGTCCGCAGTCATCTTACATAGCAAAAAAAAGATAAGACAGACGTCAATGTCTATATTTAACGTCATAAGCCATGTTTTTACAGATTGCAACAGTGCAAACCCGTTACACCGGGTAGGTAAGTTCAATAAGAAGAAGGGTTTTGGTCGTCAGCACCAAAAGGTCAAAGACGAACAAATCAGGGACACTGAGCTTTCTATGCCCTCGAGGGACCGGTAAAACGTGATTCTATAGTTAAGGTAATTCCCGTGTTAAGAGTGCATCTCAAATCCCAAATCGATTACGGGTACATCATTGTCTCCAGCTAGTATTTTTCGTGGTAAATTAAGCTATTCTACTCGATCCAAGTCTCTCTTCCAGCGGAAATGCCAACAGCTTTGTTCCATACAAATGCTGTTCACTTTGACCGGGTGGGAAAATCATTAGCTCATCATAATGGAAAGTTGAACCAACGTCCCTACGTCATCCAAGCTTTAACAAGCAATCCCGGATAAGCTCAGCAGCCAAGGCGCACCGCGTGCCAAGTGTCACAGATAAGGTAATTCAATCCCTCCGAGTAACATTCATCGTAGCGAACAGACGACTGTATCAATGTGCACAGCCTTTGCCATAGGGACTTACCGGATTACTGTCGACTTCTTCGCCTTCCGATTCAGTTTCCACTCCAGCAAATACCACACGACTTGTCGGACGGGTATTGAACGACACATCCTGCAGGCTAGCTAATCTTTCTGAATTTTCACTACGCAAATGCTCTGCAACAAAGATATTGAAATCCAATACACATTCGTCAACAACATGCAAAAGCACAGAAAAATAATTATGCTTTTATTTCACACCACTCCATTTATAAAGGCCAAAATAAGAAGTAAATTCATACCTAGCGTTGGCTGAAAACTAGCATCCGTGTCTTGTTGCGGTAGTAAAAAGCACGTCAGAACTTCTGCCTTTGTGTCCTCATCAAAATCTGTTTGGAATTTCGGCATCGCTTGGGACTGAAGACATAAAGTTTAAAATGTAAACTACGCTACACCGTTAATATAATGCCACCATTATGTTTCAAAGAGTGTAGTAATACTACATCATATCCGGATACGGATGGTCAACATATACTTACTTGATTTTCGGAAATCCAAATGGCTTTCAGGTGCTCCAGCTGACTAACGGAAATGGGGAGATGGGGGATCAGGTTGCCGGAAACATCAAGGACCGTCAACCGTTCCAGCTGACCGATTTCATTGGGCAAATGCTGGATACGGTTTTTCCGTAACGACAAAATGGATAATTTTGTACAGTTGCAGGCCTACACCAAACAACAAATTCCTTAAAATTATTAACTTGTAAGAATTACCACACACGTATTTTTATTAGCTATTATCTATCCAACAAACAATTTCAATAAAAACTTAAAAATCTGTTGAAGTTAAGATAATGAAAAAACCAAAATACAAAGAAAAAAGCGTAAAGAAAGAAAAACGCTGAAGCAGTCAAGTGGCAGCCGGCAGACACACCATAAGCACATCACAATATTTAAAAAAAGCTAGTTTAACTGCTTTAATTATTAAATATTGTCTCCATGGTGCGCATTAATTAGTTCACTGAATCAGAAGCGAGAGAAAACAGAGTACTGCAACATTTTCTCACATGGGTGGGAACAGCGCAAATGATTCTAACTGGACACCTAATGAAATTATCATGCAACCTATGTTAGCGCTGCTCAAACAATTCCGGGAAGCATCCATATGATTCATTACGTCACTACATGGTCCCCAGACTAAGTATCCTCTTGATCCCTTACCGTCTGCGGAAGTTCCGTTAAGCTGTTCTTATCGACATTCAAGATGATTAAATTCGATAGATTGCCAATGGTGTCGGGTAGCTCAGCCAGCAAATTATCCACTAAGATCAACTCCGTTAGCTTTTCGCATCTATACATATACACAAGGCCAAATCAGTTAAATGAAACCCTCAACATCCGGTCGGCTAAAGTACCGAACGTCATTAATTACAGAGCCATCAAGTAGTTATACAATTTCTCTGGACGACGTTAGTCTACATACTACGGCTACATTACCATACCCCCTTTACATCAATGTGGCGTACCGTACCAAAGCACGACAAAAGAAAAACATCATACACACCCGCCAATTGTTTCTGGTACGTCCAACAGTCGATTCCGATCGGCTTTTAATATTGACAAATTACTCATATAACCGATGTTCTCGGGAAGATGTTCCAGGCAGTTTTGCGAGACCAGCAAATCCGTCAAACTGACCAAACTTCCGATCTCATCAGGAAGCACTTCGATGTTGTTTTCAGAAAAATCAATACATACCAGGGCGCGTAACCGACCGAGTTGCTGCGGCCAAAAGTCAAATGTTAGGTTACAAATGACACACTGATCATTTGGTTTGAAAATGAAGAAAAAACACATTTACCGTTGGTACTCGGGATATGCCATTACAGTCCATTAGCAGTTCCTTCAGATTCGGCAATTCACATATCACGTTCGGCTAAAATAGTCAAGATTATTTCTTCAGAAAACGATTACTGCACTGAATCACCATCAAATCTCATCGATAGAAGCCTTACAAAGTCTTCCATTTCGTTGTTTCCAAGATCCAAGGACTGCAGATTATGCAGACGACCAAAAGAGGACGGAAGAATTTTAATGACATTATCACGCAATTCGAGGGTTTGCAGACTGGACAAACTGTAATGATACACATACTTGTATAACATATCAGTCCATCTGCAATGGTCAAACAAGACAGCGCCCAACAAGTGTGCATTTACGTACTTTCCAAAATCTGACGGCAAACTCGTTAGGGAAACATCGTTCAAGAGCAACGTTGTCAGGTTGGATAACTGCGATAATCCATCAGGAATACTACAAACAATACCTTTTACCCGGAATATCGCACATCGGTAATGGTGAGCTAACGCTACCTCTGCAAAGGATTACTACTGCAATCCAAGAACTGCAACGCACGGCAGTGACGAATTTCGTCGGGAATCTCTTGTATATCTAAAAAACAAGGTGAAACCGATAAAATATTAAACCACCTGAGCATGCACTACGCATATGATAGATAATAAAGATGATAATGCCCTGGGAGGATTGTCAGGACATAGAACTATCAAATTTTAAACACTTCGCACAGAAATACTTGTAAATTAAAACATGCATCCACTGCTTCATTATTAACAGCAGCAATATTCATACCACTAACCACATTCATAACAGTTTTCGCGAATGAAAGTCCAGACAAGCGTGCAATGACAGTTTCCAATTTGTCAACAATGGTTTACAACAGCTACCGTAAAGAAGTCGCTCGGGTGGATCATGGTAGACGGCAGACGCTATGGTTTATGCATAGATTTCAGTTCACGTGATGTGATCTACTTAGCACTTCGTACAAATGTCCCGAAATTGCTTGTCGTCTCAGTTTGACAAGTAATAAATCAGAATTCATTCATCAAAGCGCTCTCTTTCTGACCAATTTTTAATTACACATCATTCGAACTTTCTCAACATCTCGAAAAATTGGCTGTGGCGGCCAAACAAACTTAGGACAGGGTTGTCCTTGAAAAGCAGTTAGAGAAAATGCAGAGTTTCTTTCTTTCTGCAGCTGCCGCAGAAGAACAGCCGGGTAAAATTGCAATCTGGAGAAGATAGACTTAAGTTTAAAAAGTTAAGGCATTTTACTTTTCAGAAAATACAAATCTACATAACCGATTATAAAAAAACGACAAAACAGATACAAACAAGTACTAAAATAGCAACCGAAGCGGAACAACAACGAACAGCACACATGTATAATAACCTAACTAATACTATGAAAAAAAAATCATAAAAATGCCCATAGAATTAAGTTTGACTTAAAAACTCCGTCAAAACACTAACCGCCGAGCTGGTACGCTTCTCATCTTTTGTTATTTAATTATACTGATTAAACCCACTGAAGTCTCAAATCCTTTCATATCAAATTCAGAACAGATGCCTACGAGGCAATACGTCCTAACGTACTTATCCTGGGGAGCTAGGCTAACATATTTGGACGGAAGCCGCATTATTGTTCAGCGAAGCATTCATCCTGAACGAACACAAGAATACGAGCAGGAAACTAGATGGAAAATATTCGTCTGCAGTTAACGCATTCCCTTCATTATTCCCGGCAGACACGTAGCAGCCCAAGGGCAGCCGCTGTTATACGTGCCGGGCAGTATACAAATCGATTCCCCGCTTTCCCTATCGTGTCTTCGTTAACACACAGGATTCCAAATCAAATTCCCTATGCTTTGCTGACTTGATAAGTGCAACTTAGGTCTCTAATGTGGTATAAATTTAACAAAGTGCTTCACGTCTGAGACACTTCTTGGCCGCGAAAAACGCAACAGAAACCACATAAGCCCAAAACAACATCTGCACAGCAAGCTGTTTGTAGTGTATCCCCAAGTCAATTACGAATCCTCTAACAATACGCATATCACTTACTTCAAAGTTAACATGTCAGCAAGTAAAACTATTTCAAATCAGCCGAATCCAGAAATTATAACTCAAATGCCAAATTTCTTACCATTTTTGCTCAGGTCCAGTTCCTGAAGGCTGAGAAAATTGGAAATGTCCGAAGGAAGATGTTCGATTTCGTTATCGCTCAGTCCCAATTTACGTAATCGACTCAATCGGAAGAAGGCCTAAACATACAACAGACATGATGACGTACAAATCACAGCGGGACATAACCGTGCATATGTCAAGTCATACTACATAGATCTTATAAAAAACCAAGTGGCTCTGATGATGTAATGCCTGCCAATCTAATTAAACGACGGAATGTGAAGGTCATATACAGTTATTGTTCGCCATAATCTAATAAACAAATTCAATCTCACCGCCCATCACAGTAATAACTGCACAAAGCCGTCTCATCATTAAAAAATCGAAGCAAAAAAATTATGCTACACTGCAGGAAAATAAAGAGTCATTCTGGAAAACTGCACACTGCTTTACAGGAATCGAATGTTACCAGCATGCCTATATGAGCGCAAAAACTTCACAAAACGTGTAACTCAATTCCAAAGCAAATCCAACTTAGTATTAAATTACAACAATTTGAAACGAATGCCAAGCAGTAAATTTTTCACAATGATATCTAATTTGTCTTTTCTTGTTTAATTAAACCAGCAGTGCCAATAATTTTCAACAGCACACGCATCAATCCAGAAAATCATTCATACCATCCCGGTAATTATTTCAGGTAAGCATCAATTTTAAAAGCTTTCCCCTCTTTAAAAAATTAATAAAGTTAAATTATTCGGTGCACGATAGTACGACACCACGAAAAATTAAAATCAGATGCAGGTTTTACAACGGAATTTACAGGTAGTTGAATCACGGCTTTGATCGAATGTTTGGTAACATAATTCTGTTAACAAACATTTATCAAGGACACTGTTCATTCATGAATCTATTCAGAAAGATGGAAGGTGTAACCACGCATCTCAAACAACACATATCTGGATATTTGATGAAACATTAATAATCAATCACTCGGCACGCATGGACCAGCCTACTATAAACTCTGTCTGGACATTAAAGTTACTAGTACCTTGCAAAATAATTAGGTATTCCTATCAACATACAAAATAAATGAAACAAAAAAAAAATTAAGGCAAAATGGATCTTAAATATTAGTCACACCGCGTAATCGCTAATTTTCAAAAAAACTGCAAAGTAGAACTACAAACGGGATAGATGCAATGTACGAGGCGGAACTAATGCGCTAAAAATAGCTCCACTTTACCTTTGGCAGAGTCTGCAAATGATTAGCGTCGAGGAAACACTCTTCAAGAGTTTTTCCATGCCGCAGCACTTCGTCGGGGATTTCGCCCAAGCTGCAATGGCGTTTATCCAGTTTTTCCACCTGCCGATTTGTGGAACATCCAATGATTGGCAAACACTTAAACATTTCGACGGTCTTGATGGTATCCAGAAAGTAATAGGCGACAAAATAATGTTAATTGTTCATCCCGATGACATGCAGTTCTCCTGACTGAGAATATTATGAATTCAAATGAAATGCACCAGCACGCTTTGGGCACTAAGTCAACGATCCAGAGCGTAAAATCTACAAAATCGGATCATGAAGAGTGTCAGTGGACGGGAAACCTGATGTCATCAAATAATCAGGGATTTATTGCTTCACAGGTCAATACAGCGCTTAAGTGGATGGGGATAGGAAGATAGGGAAACCGGAAAACTAACGCACAATCTCTGGTATTGGCCCAATCAAATCGACGTACTGTATATCGCTAACTTATCCATCCTCTTGCCACAGTATTGACCCTCACACATATCCACATTCTCGCACATTGTACCATGCGTAATAGTTGTAGAGTCTGATAACGAGCCCGTAGAATTCCACTGAAAACACCACACCAAATAAGAACCATAAAAATATTACGGTGATAAAAGGACATTCAGACGTTTGAGATCCGTTCCATAGGCATATATAATACCATGTCATATCGCATTCAAAACTACGGCACTCAAAATGCTGCAACTTTCATTTTGAAATACTTGCTTAACCAGTTTGAGTTAACCACATCCTCCTACCACCGGCAACGGTACCGCTTGTAGCCTTGTAGCGGCAAGCGAGCCGCCCGATACCGATTAAGACTGTCCGACTGACTGGGAGCCGTAAACGTTTTGCATGATTTTGCACTTCACGATTGCATCCAAACATTTTATTAATTTTAAGAACTTTTTGTGAAGATTGTGGATAATTAATAAGTACTTTTAAGAAGGAGTAGGTACAGTACAATTAAGTACTTACTCAGTCAGTAGTTAAAAAGAGTACAAGCGGGGAAAAATTATCAACGGAAAGCAAAAATATCAATAATTGGTTTCATATTACGTACAGTACGTATGGGAATTTGACATTAATACTGTACGAACTACAAAGTATAAAATATAGATATATAGATATTATCATAATAATTTTATCACATTAATGAACTGATCGAGTAAAAGTTAGTACCGTACGCAGTTTCTAGTAATTAATAAATGGTGCTTTAATTTTCTGTTTTGTTTTCAGTTTCAGTAAGTACTCGTACTGTTCTTTCTTATCTACTGGGTAGTGCTAACTCGCTCGCAATGAATTATTTCGTGTTACTGTATTATAAAATACGTATCTGCTCTACATGCATCATAGTGCACACATCTATATGTATATTCCATCCTATAATATATTATTACTTAACAGAAGTCGTTTACTCCATAGTCGACAACTCGACATGTCCCGCTTGGTCACCAAACTCGCGAAGAAGATACGAAGGGAAGCATGCCAGATACGTAAGACGGAGTAGCTGCGTCAGCGGATCCAACGCAGGAAGGCTTCTTCTGACATGGGAACAGCACCATCTTCTTTGTCAGCTAATTAAGTCGAAATGTTGTGTACAATTATGCCCTTATTCCCGCGGTCCACCGAGGCTGTGTATTACCAGTAAAAAGCATTTACAGAGGTACTTTACTTTTACAGAAAACTTATACCGCCGCCGCCGGACTGTTTTATACCGCCGGATCTGAATTACCGGTATAAGTCCACGATATTCAACACACATACAATTCTCTCGAGTTCGATGATTTTTGCCAAATTCTAAACCTCACGACGCGGCTTCCGTGCTGTTTTAGTTTTTCGGGACTAGTCAAATATATTCCAATATTAAACTTCAAAATTGGGTAATTGTATTTTTTGAAATTAGTACTTGCAAATACCTATGTAATAATTATTACTTACTCGTATTTTCGAATGGGCGACAATACATACGAATACCGGTGGCGACATGCATTGTAAATTTACCTATAGAAGTAGTACTGATTGTACAGTAAGAATAGCCTATACAGTGAAGTGAAGTACAGTAAGTATAGCCTATAATGCATTTTGCCAGGAGGTAACGGTAAAATTTTATGCTGCTCCTATTAATTAAAATCTCTTTGTATTGATATCTAATGTATTGTATCTCGTACTACTTGCATCAAACGAATGTAGGAAAATGGATGACCGGCGTTGGCCACATCACGCATGCAGTACTACATAATGGGAGTGCGTAAGTCTGGAAAACTCGAGACCGTTACGAAAACGAAACGGAACAAACAAAAGAAATCGCGAAATATAACAAATCAGCTTTCGAATTAGATCAAACTACAAAAACTTTTGAAATGTGTAATATAAATGAATAATTCAACATACAACCACGAAAGTAAGGTACTGTCATACAAATTCTTAGCAGCGGATTAATCTGCTTTTTGTAGCCGGGTCAGTTTTTTCTTTGGTATGACGGATTGCTTTGCTTTGTTGTTGAATTACAGCGCTCCACAAAGCTATCCAACAGACTAGTTCGATGCGCGTATGTTTGAATTATTTTGGCCATTTGTTTAGCGTCCTGGCTTGGCACTTCAGAACAATCCCGCGCACTGACAACGGACCGTTTATTGTTTCCCAGACCGACGGAGATCTGTTCGAATAAATGCACTGGAACATCTATAACAAAAAGGATCTGCTTAACCAAGACCATTAGCTGCACGAAAAATTGCGAAATGTGTCGAATGTTCGGAAATGGAAAATGATATACCAACAAAATTTATATACAAGTATTATCCAAAATTTGTGGTTTCTGCGTTGCGAGTTGATGGGTGACACAAATACAGTGCTTATACGATATAATTAAAGCAAATATATAGCACACTGGCCATATTAACAGTACTTAAGCATTTTACTGGCTTCATTTTATTATAACTGAAAAAGGAATACTCCAAGAAGTATGCAAAATATAATCGCACCTTTCAGAAATATCCATTTGACCCTAAACTGAGCCTTCCATCGATCCCACGACGATAAGTCTGTTCTGTCGGGACATTCCAATCCGGACAACAGTTCCGCCATTCCACATATTTGGTCGCTACCGCTGAAAGCAAAAAACAAGTACACCGGGCCAAGATTCGCCTGCTCGCTGAAGACCGCGTCTAAGCGTTGATTTCCGGCATCCGTAGTGGACCATGCATTGTGTGCCACCGAATACAGCAGATCGTCTTCGGTATGACCGCGCGCCAAGAAAAACCGGGCATTTTTGAAGTTCAGAACCAGTACACCGGGATTGTATTTGTTATCGATTCGCAACTGTTCGACGAACTCTTGTGGTGGCAACTGTTCGTAGCGGTCCGGCAAGGAAAATCCCAGCAGTTTAGCCATGGATGTCTTTCCCCGTTGCACCGGCTTACACTGGTACTGGAAACGATCTTCCGAAAAATCACCCTGTCGTTCACCTGTGAAAGCAGCGAAAATAACCTACAAAGGTCAAAATAATCCAGAAAATTAGTGGGCGCTATCTTACTGTGGAAAAACCGCTCCTGATTATGGCTTTGCTGCATTTGTATATAAGCCGGTATAAAGCTCTTGCGGTCAATTTCCGGCTGAGAATGTCCAAAAGTGTCCGACTCACTCCGCTGCAAGATACGGATGCGACCGGGGTAAGATGGAGCAGTGTCTGCGTAGCCTGCGCTCAGCGGCTGCGGTCCGAGCACTGTGCTGCGAGAATGCGGAGGCGGGGCGGTGGCCTTCGGAATAACCAGGACCGGTGCCGCTTTCGGCCGGATCACCGTGCTGTTGCGGCCACTTTTTGGTCCACTGACAATGGAAGCCCAGCTCTTTGGAGGTGGTGGCGTATCACGGTCAAAACTGCTGAAGGAAATGATTTTTGGCGATCCAGATGATCGACTGGAATGTGCTCCTTCGCTGGATTTTGCAGGCGAGCTAATACTGTGATCTCCACTCGAAACCGAACCATTCTGCAGAATTCAACGTTCAGTTACGATTTATACCAACATACCGAATTAGCCAACAACGCTTTTTCAACATTCACAAAAGCAAACTTTAAAGTATAACCCCACAAGGCAGCGTAGTAATTATAATTAATTCATATTAATGGATAAATCGCTAACGAAACAGACAAGCAGGATCTCATAGTCTGAAATAAAAATTGCGCTTTATGCGATGCAGCCACTGCACCACATTAAACTGATTCGCTGATGGCAAATAGAAAGTACGCAATCATTTGTTTACTGGTGGAGTAGTACATAACTTGTTGGCTTGACCTTACCATGCGGATTTCTTATAGTTCTGAGCCATTCGCCAAACAACCGTCTTCCATTTATATAATCAAGCCATCTAACTGGCTAACACTTATAACGGGCAACGGAAACTGGCTCATACGGAAATATTGTTCACCCAATCGACCGAAGAAATACAGCACCAGCAGAACTATATATACTAAACCACTCGTACAGGAACAGGAAACACGAAAGGCGGTACAACCCAGATCATACTCGTACAGCACCAATACCAGAGGAGGAAATCCCCCGTTACACTCCCCTCTTACCAGACTGAAAACAGCATGTTTTCAGGAAAACAAAACAAAAACAAACAATTGATTGGTTAACAAGAAAAGCAGACTCGTATACAAGAAAATACACTAAAAGCTAGACATAAACAGACCAAACAAGCGAAAAGTATGTATAGTAATAAGTATAAGATTAGTACATATACGACCGTTAGGCGTTGGGATGGTAGTCGGAGTCGTCGGATTCATCTGTCAGGTCGTCGACATCTTCCTCCTCCATAGGCCATGGGTCCCCCAGTATTTCGTGGAGCGGGAATCCGTAGATTACGGGTTCCTCAGCAGTGTCACGGCGGGCGCGGCGGGTGGTTGTGGTAACGCGATTATGCTGAATAGGTCGTCCCCATTTGTCGTACTTAGATGTTGGGATGGGGCATGGTGGCGGATTACGGAGAGCGGCGAGTTCGCGAGCTTTGGCTTTAAATACTTCCGTGGCTAGCTCGGGAAAGCGGCGTGGAAGAGTGGGATCCACGAGATCTTCCCGTCCGATTGCAATGGAGTCCATTGTATAACGCATCAAGGTGAACGTTGGGGTCGCTTTGTGTTCTTGTGCGGTGACGTCCGGTGGGGTTGGTGGAGTAGGAATCATCGGGACTTCCGGTTCCGGTGCTGGGATTTCCGGTGATGGTGTGCGTTCCGACGTAGGAATCATTTGGAGGCCCAGGTAATGGCGACTTCCGTTGCTGCTTGGTCGTGTCAGTTTGTCCAGTTTGCCATGGGTGGCTGGGAAGGCCCGACGTATGGCAAATCCGATTCTTCGTTCCGTTACGATGGGAGAGATTCTGTACAAATACTCAACAAGAATTTTAGCGTTGATGTAACGATGCCTGTTAGAGCGTTCAAAGGTAATCGTTTGGCAATTGGCGCGGAGCCACGCCACAAGCTGGTTCTGTACGCGGGCATGCTGTGCACGAGGCATTTGTATGCAGTTATTCGAAAAAAAGATTTACTGACAATGTAACTGAACAATGTAAAAGAATGCAAATGCAGATGATTCTGGTGGATTTAGAAGATGAAGTTGCGGTGAGCATGCAGCTTAACTGAGACAGTGATGACTGGCCGGTGGCTATTTTAAGATCGGCCAAGCCAGGAGGCAGGGCTTAGAAAGAACGATAGGAAGGGGAGAGGATCGGGCCAAAGTTGCTGGCCTAATAAAATCAAGAGGTGCTTCATCGGGCCAAATGGTCAGGCGAATTATGGCGAAGTTGGTTGATCTCCCTGTGCGAATTTCTGTACGCGACGGAAGCTTTCAACAGCCTTTGTCTGTCCGTTAACGCTATGATGTACGGTATACGGTAGATAATATAGTCAGTAATACATAGCAAAAGGGAAACATAAGTTTTATAAACAAAAAACAATTACATTACAGACCAAAAGAAACAATGATAATTATCTATGATGATTGTTTAATATTATCGTAGGAAAAAAGTGAATATTTTCACTATCTGCGCCATACTGTACGTGTTCAAAAGTTTCGCAAGCAGTGCCGTGAGCGGCCGGTCCTGACTAACTTATACTACCTAACTGGCGAGTTGGCTAACAGAGCGCTGAACTAGTACTGATTTCCTATACAAAAGTCAAATTATTATTTACAAAACAACAAACATAAGTATTCTGTTTTTGGGATTTTGGAAAAAATTTAGTAAGGTATAAGTAGTTTATTTCTGTAATTTTTGCGGAAAGTTTGTATTTTACATATGAACTGGTTAAGACATTCCGTAATAATTTGAGAAAAGAATATTGATGTACAAGAGCAACTGATAACCGCTTCGACTACCGAACTGCTGATCGATAATTCTGATAATTAAGAGGAGACACAGTTAGAGGAAGGATAGTTCACGTTTCTAGTATGGACAAATTTGCGCGAGCAGCAGTTTATTTTTGTTTAATTTATGTTAGATTATTCAAAATACTTACCAAAAGGCCCACGGTGCAGCGAGCAGAGCATAGCTTTACTGATGATCTCCATCTTGGTAATCCAGATACTTCCGTAGTGCTACCCCTTTTTTTTGTTATTTTAAGTCAGATTTCAGTTTTACTTTCACATTACATACAGGCACCCGTAGGACATACCTGTATTCACCACAACAGAATAGAGGACGAAACAAGGGCAGGCGTCTATAGCCATCCCGTCTATTGCGCGAAATATGATAGCAATGCTCATGCATAGAGT